CTGACCCTCCCGCGGGGCCCTCGCAGCGGCCCGTACGCGTTATTAGGGGACTATCGTTGGCGAAGCATAATGCCTGCGCCTAAGTCTCAAAGTTGACGCCGGTAGCCAGATTTCTGGAACCTTTCATCATCCAGCTGAACCCGCCAGCGGTCCATCGCCAAGGATGCCGTGCTCTCTTAGATTAGTCGATGTGAGACCGCTTCACTGCCGATCTTCCTTGTGTCACCGAACTGCGAGATGCGCAAGTCTGATCTTCAGAGTATGCGCCCCTCTCTGCCACGCGGTCAGTCGATATCTGCCTTGTCGGCTACACACAACTCAACCTTTAGAACCTCGAGTTCACAAGTCAGGGCGCTGTGGGCGCGTCTACGTCGACATCTAGCTGAATCAGACGCGGGTTCGACGCAGTCGGCCGCCTGGTAGCGCAGCCAGCGAAAAGGGGTCTCAGCCGCCCGGGTGCAGACAGTCCTGACAATGACCTGGGGACCGATGCCGATGCCAATGCCATTATACTGCGGCTTGCCTTGAAGCATGTTGAATGCAAAAATAATCCTTCCAGCATAGAACAAAGGCCGTCAAAGCAGCAGGGGACTGTGGCTGGACTGAAGCCTGCACCGCCTGGAGCTGGCCCATGCTCTTCATTTCCCCATGCCTGCGACACGTGGGAGGAAAGGATGCGATTTCATAAGGATCGCCCCCTCTAGGGAGTTCCGGCAACACCTAGCTTCAGTTCGGCTTGTTCCTGACCTTGTCCAAAAGAGACCTTGGCTCGTCCGAGGAACGGCGAGGACATGACACGCCGCGCGACAGATGGGAACATTGATCCACCGCCGTTCGACGTAGTTCTCGATGCCCCGCCTGCGCGCAAAGTTTTGCTAGATATAAAGTGCGTGACGCGCAGAAATCGTACGCGACGTTTCTTCTCCGGAGCTAGATTGGTGGACCCATCTCCACGAACCATCGTTCGAAGCGTCCGATGCACAGTCCAGGGCCCCGTAGCTGTCGCCATAGTCAGGGGCTTTTCTCTACCACTCTAGCCCTGCTGGGTCCAAATGGTCACGAGCAGAGCATTCTTGGCCGGTATGTCATGAACAAGATTTCCGCTATTGGCTGTTAGCTTGGATTGCTTTGCTAACTTTCCAGCTCGGCCGGTCAATGTCAACGGCCACCGTCCTCCTTTTGATCTGACGGCGTTGCTATAACGGGCAATCATTTCCCCTTTTAGCCCACCTCCTCCATCGTAATGGCTCGAGAGGGAGGGTCTCTCCGTTCGACACCAGCATGACTTAGCTGACAAGACGTCCATCATTGCAACGATGCCGTTGTGACGTCCCAAGACGCTTCTCTTATCGTTAATGAACCAATCGAATCGCGCCAAGCCGTGAGCGCCCTTGCGGATCTGCCTCCCGCGATGTCTGTCTGTCTGTCCGTGCGATGCGAGCGAGGACTGAAATGGGCAACATGAAAGCACCGCCCACCCGATACAAGGTCCAATTCAAGATCGAGATTATCCCGTATTCTAGTACAGAGCGGCACCCATTTAGTCTTTAGAAGGTTTCTTGATCCAATCAGCGACTTAGCCACGGAATTGTCGGAGTCGTCGGAGAGATACAATCCGTATTCTAGCAAAAGTTTCACTCGGTGGATCGTCCACGCTCTGCGAGACGAGGCGCTAGTTCTAACTTCTGAATAGACGATATATTTTTTACCAGACCACCATTCCCTCAATGGCACACATGATTCGGTCGTCTCGCTAAGCCTATTCCAATAAGCTCACAAGACTGACTCGCTATCTTGCATTGTAGTCTCTTGTTGGGTGGAGCTGCGACTACCGAGAGTCCTGAATCAAATTCCAGGCTTCCTAATGATCCATCAACGAGGTTCAATTTATTCGCTTGTCGCCTCGCTTACACTATGGCAGGTGAAATGTCCACAAGAAACGAAACTAGACGAGTTCCTGTGTTCGGCAGTGCCATCAGTTTGTTTCAGCCATGGATTGCCACAGCTACACGGCATTCCCGCTCTTCCTCTCGAGGTACAGACTTCAGAGTACAGGGTACAGGAACACAGAAACCGCTATTGTCAGATTGTCAACATCTGCAGGCATCCGACGTCAAAGCTCTCGCCGACAGCTGTCACTACCCGCCCTACCCCCGGAGAACCCTGTAGGAGGGGCCTTCCCTAATCTCCGCAGATGTCGTCGCGTTTCGTGCAGATCTCTTAAGGAAGCGTGACTGAGCCTGACTGAGCATCCGTAGGTACGTGGGCTGGCTCTGGTCCGATTGCCTAGCAAGATAATTTCGCGCGATAGTGAACTGTCAAGTAGGCTATCATAACCTTTGCAAAAACGGGTGGCTGGACGGAGGACATACACCTCTTTGAACCAGCGCATGCGCAGGGTTATCAGCCATTTCGTCACCTATGGCCAGCAATGGCTGCATGGCAGAGGCGTCTTCACTTCAGGTGGAGCACCGTGGGGAAGCAAATCGTAGATCTTTTTCCACAACCTTCACGCCTCCTCGGCCGGTCGCCATTTACGGCGGTGGGGTACGCGAACCTAGGGCAGAACGGTCAGCCCACCAGCCTCTGATAGTGAAGAAACGTACTCATGCGGAGGGCGGGAGCTCTCTCTGCTCGAGAGGCTCAGGCTGTCACAATCTCGCAGATAGCGAATGTCAAGATGATGATGGTCAGAGATTCTGTTACGCGTGGCAGAAACCACAGAGCCTGGGGCTCTTGATCGGCGACATGGGTTTAGTCCAGCGACAAGCCAGCGTTGATAGGGGAGGAAATTCTCCCTCCCCCCCTCCTCCGACCAGCTTTGTCTCGTTTTCTGAATCCGTATCCGTAGGTGTTTTACTTGGTCTCCAAACTGGAGAGTTCTGCTGTTGGCTTTTACTACAGCGTATTGAAGTTATTCGCATAAGCAGAGGAGCATGGCGCAAAAGCTGGCGATATCTTGAACGTAAAACCCCCCCTCCCATCTATGGCCTATGATCTACGACCTTTCCAGAGGTTACCGAGATGACGGGAAACGACACGGCAAGACCAAGTAAAGAGTTACATCTCGCGAGATCGGGGAAGCACCGGCGAGATGACATGGTTCTACGAGATTGGCGATTGGTGACTGAGACAAGGGGCCAGGCCAGGAGATGGCTATTCACCAAGATGCCCCCATCTCTTGTTTTCTTCCCTTTTCTGTTCAAGAACAATGTTGTCCCCTTCTTGTACCATCTTCTTTGTTCACCTTCCCTTGCTCATTGCTGATGGACCAGGGGGTGGGAAATCGTATCTGGGACATTTTGGGGTCTTGGGGGGCGAACATCGGATAGGCGAGAATGAAGATCGGTAAGTTTTTGGGTCTACCTTGGCCGCACCGAATCGAGCTTTTGCATGGGTCGGTTAGTGACTTAATATGGGGGCAAGGAAGTCACTTTTTCATGGGACTTGACTGGAGAGAATACTGTATTGCGGAACCTGTCGGCTATCGAAACGTGTATAGGCGAGACAGTGCGGTCTTATAGACGAGAACGAAAGATTATTCTCCTTTCCTGTCCAATGGCTGAGAGATTAAGTCTCTTGGGCTTAGTATGTGGGTGACGCGTGTTATGAAATTACAGTGAGATTGAGGACAATCCACCACGATGCTTGAGCAGGTCGCAGAAGGCGGGCTATTTCGCGATGTTCGGTCCAAAGACAGAAGGGATGTGGATCTAGTATTGAACGGATCGTCCGATGTGACTGAAAGCCTAGTGAACGACTCCTCTGTCGGTCTTGAACAGTTGATGGCCAGGTGAGGACATCGATTGAGATGAGTGAGGCGTGTTTCCAAAACTAGATGTAAAGTATAGAATCATACCCGCAACTGGCGACCTCGGGACTAGACTCTTGACGGCATTGAAGGTATTCAGTACGGTTGGACTATGTGGCGCATCTTTCATTGACATTGTGTTGGGTAGGACTTTTGAAAGAAGGTCATGGCTTCAGAAATTTACATCCAGTGAATGGTTTCGGCGATGTCGATGAGGGTTGTTTATTGGCTTCAGCTCAGGGGAGCGAGATTTCGAAACTTGCAAACGATGTTGCTCGTTAAGATTCAGATTCACGGTCGATGTTGCTTCTCAGTAGACGCTCATGCTTGCTCTTCATGAGAAGGACTGCTTCCTGTTCATCAAGTAGAAGTCTGACTGCCGGCTGATACTGACCTTTCATGGTAAAAATTCAGCCCCTATGAGAGCGTAACTTGGCCAAACTTTGAATGAAAAGTTTGTTTTAGGGAATAGCATGATATCACTGGAGATGTAGGACTTTGTGTTGTTCTAGGAGGTCGCTGATGATAGGTAGTAAGTCAGGTACTGATGTTTCATTGACTTCAACCCGGGCTCACGGGTAATGTCAGTATGTGAGCATCGCTTTTAGCTCACGACACGTTTTCAAGACACCAAATTTCTCTGGAATCAAGCTTCAAAGACGTGTTTGAGGCTTGCCGCCTTGTCAAGAAGTTGGGTGATATTTCCCTCAGCCAGGGCGGGCATACCCTTGACCACGCAGGGACGGAAAAAGCCTTTGTTTCTTCGAGCCAGGCCATCATCCTCTCGAGGTTGACGACGCCGTATACATCTTGACAAGACACTGCCCGGTACCTGAAGAAAGCCAGAAGATTTCCGTTGCGTTCCCTGATCAACTTCTGACATAAGCCTTTGCGGTTCGAATCAAGGTCGTGGAGTCAATTTATCAAATATTGGCCTTTGCGGTGGCATTGCTTGTCATGCCAGCCAGACTGGCGACAGGCTGATGTGAATGCACCCATCACGAGGTGCTAAGCCGCGGTTCTCACAGTCCAGCTCACAGTTCAGCCTTTTTCTCAAGGCAGAATGGAATTTATCAAAGCAACTCTTTGCACTTGGCTATCGCATTTGCCCCTACAGAAAACAAGGTCTCCAAACGTACAGGCTGGGGTATCTAGCAGCAACAAAATCGCTCTCGGGATCAAACAAGTTTCAAACATTTCCAAACACCGAACCGTCGCTTTCCTTACCTCGTTCACGCTCATTCCTACGAGCCCCAGCCTTCCTCACCCACGTCCACCAGCCCAGAAACGAATGAAGCAAGCCCACATCCTTGTCATGCTGCTTTTGCCGCGGGGGCCGCGTCGGCAGCGCCGGCGGCCGACGACCCGTCAGCCGCCTCTTCCTCCTGGGCCTCGTCTCAGCCACAGGCATGATGACGGCCGGGGTAAATTGCTCGTCGGGAACCAGGTCCATGAACAGCCGGAATGGCCAGGCCAGCGCGGCGAACGTGTGCTTCGCGAGCGAGTACCCGGCGCGCGTCTGTAAGAGGATGAGGGCCACAATGAAGGGGACGCAGACGCAGACCATTGTCACGGGGAACCTCCAGTCTTGTGGTGAGATTGTGAATTCTGTGATCCCAAAGACTGACTGTAGAGATCCATGCATCAGTATACAGACATGTAAACAGAAGGGAAATGGGGAAAGAGGGAGGGAAGGGTTCGTCTGCTTACAGTCACAAAAGTCAGGGGTAAAAACACCATGGACCCCAAAGTTAGGACCTTGATGTTGTCCCCCTGCTCAATCGCCCTCCTCGACTCCTTGATCGAGCTCCCGCTGAAAAGCTGATCTCTCAAATTCTCAACCTCCTTGCGCGTCGCAGCGTTCTTGGCATGCACCGTCTCTAAATCCCGACACGCGCGCTCCAAGTCGGACCTCAGGAGCACCATCTTGTCGCGGTACGCCACCCCCTCGGGGCTCTCTGGCGCCGGATGCGGCCAGAGAGTCTGATGCCGACCGTCCCAGAAATCGTCAGGAAAGGTCTCCCGATAGGCCGCCAGCATGGCGCGCAACCCCTCGTTGACGACGCCCAGCGTATTGTACGCCCAAAAGTACCGCCTGATGTACGTAAAGTGCTTGTCCTCGAAGAGGAGCTTGTCGCGCAGGCGGGCGTCGAACATGAAGTCCGTCGGCGGCGTGATGAGCTTAGCGATGCGCGCGTGGAGCGCCAGGTTCCGCTTCGTCGCGTCGCGGTACTCCGTCACCAGGGCGTCCAGGAAGGCGTAGGGCCCCGAGGAAAAATTCTTGTGCGCCTCGGCGTCGCCGCCACGGAGTGTGTGTTCGTCGTCTGGGAAGGACTGTATCGACAGCAGGTGCCACGGCGCAAAGGTGTCGAAGAGGAACCCTTCCTGGGGGCCCTCACGGCGGCGGGTCTGTTTCACGGATTGCCGTGGCGGGCCTGACAGGGAGAGGGCGAGGATGGAGCTGCATTCCGCGATGTCGATGTGGTCTCGCGAGCGGCGGTCCGGCGGGCGTTTGTCGTACTTTTGAAAGGGGGCCGGTTCGAGACCCTCGCCTACTACGGTGTAGTACTTGAAGACGAAAAAGAAGCTTCGTTGGCGTAAGTGTAAGGCCGAGGGGTCCCTTGCGAAGGCGCGGTGGACGTAGGCTGTCGTTTTCCCGTTATTTCCATGGTCCGTGATGAGATGGTTGAGGAGCTCCGTCATGTCGAAGTAAGGAGACATTGTCATGAATAGGGCGCCGAGCATCAGGGCCGACGGTTCTTGCAGGATGGTCACGAGACCTACGGCTTGGCCGTCGGCGTGAATCTCCTTGAGGGCGTTCCACACTGTTGGGGCGTCGACGATCTGTGTGGGAGATGGAGCTGCGTCGGCCGCGGCGCCTCGAGGACGACGGTCTGGGTGTTTGCCCACGGGTCTGGGTGAACCTTCCTTGTCGACATCGTACAGTTCAAAGGTTGAGCTGACGTAGCCCTGGCTTTCATACGCAGCAAATGTCTCAAAGTCTGCATTCTCGTCAATCTCGGCCTGTCGCCTGATCACATCCGCAAGCCCGATAGCTGCGCCGCCGGTGAAGTCAGCATACTTGAGATGGCGTAGCAGCTGGTTGTCCGTCCATGATACGCGCTCGACGAGTTTGGTGGCAGGAGCAGAAAGGGCCCCATCCGAACTGGTGGCACTACGGGGGCCTGCGATGTCAAGCAGGGGGAGGTACTCAACATCTAGCTCGGAGTGGATCGAGGCCGGGACATGCTTTCTCTCGAGGCCGCTGGGCAGTGTCCGCTTCTCGATGGAGTCTGAGAAGGTTGAGCGGCGGGCACGGCGAAGGGCAGGCTGAAAAGCCGCTTCTGACGAGAGGGCAGGACTGTGTCCTGGACTTTGGACAGGGCTTAGGGATGGCTGGAGAAGAGGTGACGGCTGGTGGGTGTTGTTGGTCGTTCTGGTATCTGATCTGTCCCTGGCGGCACTGGCTAGGGAGTCATGGAGACTTCGTAGATTACGGAGATATTGTTCATGGCTTGCCTCCACTGCTCTGAGCAGCTCTTCGGGGCTCTGGGTTGACATGGTAATGATTGACAGCAAGTCTCTCAAAATTGGGATACTACGATGGATGAAGGGGGCGACAATGTGAGTGTAGTAGACCAAAGGAAAGAAACGAAGGCGGTGGGCAGTCGGTCCCTTAGACTGCAGCCCTTTTCTACTCACTCACTTGCACAGCCTGCCTTGCCTTGGACCTCCGACAAGACGGCCGAAATCAGGATGTTGTGCCATCGGCAAGCTCCAGCTACACCACAAGCACTAGCCTAGGCAGCCTCGACGTTCCCCTCTCTCAAGAAGATCGACCCCAAATGCGGCTGAGCCGCGGAAGTCAGGGCCCAAAGGAGCGGCGTCTTCGGTGTGTGCGTACGCGGGAGAACCGAAGAATGGCAGATGGTTGTACCATCTCGACGTGACTCCATGGCCGGAGGTACGTGCGATTATCGGCCGACATCACCGAACCCAAGCTTTCGGCCACTGGACCAGATGAGTGGGCACGGATGCGTTCCCCGTATGCATCTCTGTACGCCCCGAATGTGTGGTGTGACGCAAGGAGACGGAACTTGATTTTGAATGCCGGGGGAAAAGGGAGGTGGGGAGGAGGAAGAAGAAGTGCAGGAACGCGGCATGGGGTTGAGTGGGAGTAAACACCGAGATGAGGTTTGAGTAGACTTGGGCAGCAAATCTAGAGTCGTCGGAGTCGATTAGCGATCACCAAGAAAAGCAGGGCTGTCGGCGTCGTCCGGCGCCGGCCACCAGGGCGGCTTTTCGCGGCCCAGTGTGACGGAGGCTGATTGGCGATGGTTGCTGCCTCGGCAGTTGTGAATGGCGTTGCGCTGCTGACAGATGAATGCGCCGAAAAGAAATCACGTGCGTACAGATACAGAGACAATTGTTCAACCCAACCTGGAAGGAGGGGAAAACGAGGGGTGGGAGAGGCAAACTGGTTGCCGGGGTGCCTTAGTGTGGTTTGGAGGGGAATCCGCATACCGTTTGAAAATGTCTCAATCCTCCATCGCATGATGCAGACAAACACGCTAGATTATCTGGTGTGGCTTCGTCGCATGGAGCTTGGCACCCACGGTCTTTCACCGAGCAGCAGATCGGGTCGAAACTCCAATATTGAAGTAGAAAAACACTCAGACCGGCAGCGCACCTTGAAGAAGAAAGAGAAAAAATCGCCAATATCCACAGTAAAGGTATCATTTGTATCTAATTACTAGGACCAAGTCCCTTCTGCACTTGGTTCCTCTTCAGACCACACCATCTATACTGAATGGCTCGGGTACCTTGTGCAATCATCATCCAGGTCGTATTCTTCGTGTAAACCGCCATCCTGCGCAATTCTAGTGGAATAACCTCTGGTTCGGCAAAACATTCGGGGTATGGGCAAAAGCTTCAAAACATCTCTCGACAGGCGTCACCTAGTGAGTAGCGACCTCCTGGGCCTTGCCGGCAGCGGCAACGGGCTTGTCACCGGTATCGACGTCCATGGCATCGTCATCAGCAGCCTCGCCTTCGCCCTCCTCCTCCAGCTCGTCCTCGCTCTCGCCTTCGATATCGACGCTGCCGTCATCCGACATCTCGTCCTCCTCGGCAGGGACAGCCTCTCCCTCGCCGTTCTCGACGCCAGCCATCTCCGAATCCTCGCCGGCAGGCTTCTCGCCGTTGGCAGCACCCTCGAGGGCAGCCTCGGCCTCCTCCTCCTCCTCGCGCTCCTCAGCGCCGTACTCGTCCTCGTCAGCCACGAGGTCAGCCTCGGGCTGCTCAGGGGGGAACTCGGCGGGGGCAGCGGCATCGTTGTCCCTATGGCTCTCGGTTAGCTCCACTCTTCTTTGGTTTCTTGATTTCCCCTCAGCGCTGTGACAACGTACCACTTGATGGCGAAGCGGGTTACACGAGGCTTCTCGGCAAGAACATTGCGCTTGACTCGCTCAATAATAGGCTTGGAGGGGGGCTCGGCATTGAGCTCCTCAGAGTCGTACTCATTGTTGACATAGTAGCCAACACGAACGAACTCGCGGCCGTCGTAAGCGCAGGTCAGGAGGATCACAGTGACACCCAGAATGTCGGCGTCGGGGATTCTAGAGGTGTTGGGCGCATCGGCCTCGAAGATGAACTTGTTGACTCCGACGGGAACAGGTCCGACGAGGAGACTGTCGAGCTCTTGATCGTACTGGTCGCTGTTTTTCGACAATTAGCGAATGGCGGTGTACGAAATGAAAAAAATCCACCTCAAACTGACCTGGTAGCAGAGCCGACATAGGTCAACTTCCACTCGAGATCTAGTGAAAACTTCGTTAGTATAATGGCATCTGATGGTACTTGGTAGGCGGATTTTACCCTTCTCCAAGGACTCCAAGCACTCAAAGGTGATTTCGAACTCGTACTTGTCCGTGAACTTGGCGGGGTTATTCAGAACCTGAACGCCCAAAAGCGAGACGATCGACATCGTGAGATGTAGGCGATGGGGTTATGGAGTGAGGAATTGGTGTTAAATGTAAGAAAAAAAGTCTGCGCGACTTTGGATGAAGGAGAGTTGAGAACGAGGTCGCTGTGTAGACGTCCGTCCGAGGTGATGGGTTGAGTAGGTGTCTGTGGAAGGTCAGAATGTTTTGCGGCGAGCGAGATGGAAGAAGCAGGCTCGACCGGTCAATTGCTACGGGACAACGGCGTGGACGTGGGACGCGCCTGCCTCCCCCTAGGTACCGCGAATTTCGCGTAAAGTGTTCTCCACGCTGACGCTAGCCCATTTCGGCTCTCGCGCCTGTTCGAGTGCCTGCTCAATTCACCTCAGCCCAGCCACGCAAACCGAAGCTTGGTCAGGTAGCACTCGACACATTAATCACCTTGAACAGAGCAATCCAGCAGATACTTCGGATAGCGAGACCAATGTGACGAGCCATGTTACTGAGTAGATAAACTCCGCAAACGCCCAATTACCTCGAGGTGGATAATAGGATCTTGGAGAAGCTGCCACCGCGTGCCATCCTTATCCGATAAGATTGTCTTATCGGTTGTAGCTAAGTTCGGCCGATATTTAGCCAGGTCACCGCCAAACCAAGCTAGCCTGGTTTCGGCGTTTGCTCTCCTCCAATCTTTCAATGCCAGCAAGCTGCAACCGTTCAATTTTGCGACCCGTTCATCTTACAGGCAGCCAACACCATCAGCTTCACTATCCCTCGCAGCCATCAGAAACCTTCGATAGCCGATTACGAACGACGCGCTTCTTGACAAATTTTGCTTTGCGACCGTTTATTAATCTCGTGCGAGCCGAATTACGCCTTCCACTACCGGGCCTACAGCGTCTTCGCGCCCAGGGCGACCCATCAGCTCATAGCTACCACGACCGGTGCTACACTGCGAAGCCCATTGGCCTTCAGGTGTTCGGTCGGCTGCATAGCATTGTGACCTTTGCGAAGCTTTGCGACAAAGATTTGGCGAGCCCATCATCGCAATGGATCCCGAACTCCCGCAGAGTGGCCAACACTTCGAGGGTGCGTCTTGGGGAGAAGATGGATATGAAGAAGCAAATGATATACAGCATAGCGACGAACAAAGTCAAGATCCTGCCTTTCCACTTGATCAAGCTGCGAATGGTGACTCAGAAGATGCTGGCGAATATGACCCAGAGTCGGTCACGATAACTTCAATTCCAGAGACCGCAGAGCCCAACCCCCCCACCGATTCAATCCCAACTCCTACCACGTCCACAGCCACCAAGCCGAAATCAGGCAAACCCAAAACACAGGGAGGATTCCTAGTGGGAGACTCCGATGACGAGGAGGAGGATGCGCCCACTCCGGCCTCAACCGCTGTTCCTGCTGCTCCTGCGACACAGACTCCCACTGCACAAAACCCCCCCTTCCCTTCTGCGTCTACTCCTCTTCAAGGCCAAGTGAGCGCCACTGCAGAGCAGGCCAACCATGGGGTTGCCGTACGAGCGCCAAGTGCGGCATCGAGTGCAGCGCAAGCGCCGCCCCTTCCAAACGTGCAGCCTGTCCCGAGCAGAGATCCAAATGACACTTTTGGCATTCTGGAGGATCGTGTGAAGGAGGACCCAAGAGGGGACATGGATGCCTGGCTCGCGTTGTTCGCCGAACACCGTCGCTACGACCAGTTGGATGAGCTGCGTGCTGTCTACGAGCGATTCCTCCAAGTTTTCCCCCAAGCTGTAAGTACAATTTTGATTGTGGACAGTGAAGTTTACCCTGACACACATCCAGGCCGACATTTGGGCCGATTGGGCACAGCTCGAGCTGGACTCCAACCGCTTTCAGGACGCCGAAGCGCTTTTCAGCCGTTCACTGGTCAACGTGCCCAATGTCAAGCTCTGGACCGTATACCTCAACTATATCCGTAGACGATACGATCTGAACAACGACCCCAATGGAGAGTCCCGCCGGATTTTGAGCATGTCTTACGATTTTGTGATTGCTTCCGTTGGCATTGATCGGGACTCAGGTCAACTATGGAAGGACTACGTCCAGTTCATCAAGAGTGGTCCGGGCCAAGTTGGAGGCAGTGGCTGGCAGGATCAGCAGAAGATGGATCAGTTGCGCAAGGCCTACCACCGTGCAATCACAGTCCCAATGTTTGCGCTTACGGATTTGTGGAAGGACTACGACCAGTTCGAAATGAGCCTGAACAAGACGACCGTAAGTTCACAGTACCGCCTGTAGAGATTTGCTACTAATGACATTACAGGGTCGCCAATTTATCCAGAAGCGCTCACCCGCCTACATGACAGCCAAGGCGGCAAACTCGCAGCTCGATCGTCTGATCCCCAGGCTCTCGCGAACGTCACTTCCTCGACTTCCCCCTGCATCTGGCTTTCATGGCGATCAGGACTTCATGGAGCAAGTCGCTATCTGGAAGAAGTGGATTCAGTGGGAGAAGGACGATCCGTTAGTTCTTCTGGACGAAGAGCCTGAAGCCTATAAAGCTCGCGTATTGTACTGCTACAAGCAAGCGTTGATGGCTCTTCGCTTTTGGCCCGAGATGTGGGTGGACGCAGCAGAGTGGTGCTTCGCCAACAACATTGCCAAGGATGGCAAGGAGCTGGGTCTATCTTTCCTGACAGATGGCATTGAGGCCAATCCCGAAAGTGTTTTGCTGGCGCTGAGACATGGAGACCGTGTGGAAATGACCTATCCTGCCGGAGACGACGATGCGAGCAAGGCTGCCCGCGTGAAGGCAATAAGGGAGCCGTACAGCCGCGTCCTCGACACGTTATACGCCATGTCCAAGAAGCTTAAGGAGCGGGAAGAAAGAGAGGTTCGCAAGATTGAGGAAGTCTCTGCCCAAGATCCCAACATTAAGGACTCGATCGAACGCAATGATGATGATATTGGTGGCGATAACCAGCAGTCCGGTGAACTTGGAAAAGAAGAGCGCATCAACGCCGTGAAGCAGGGATTCTCGGTGCAGACGGACATGCTGAAGCGCACTATCTCATTCGTATGGATCGCGCTTTGTCGAGCTGCTAGGAGGATACAAGGCAAGGGCAACACGAACTCAGGCCTTCGGCAAGTGTTCATCGAGGCTCGAGGTCGCGGCCAGCTCACCAGTGACGTCTACATTGCTGTTGCGAAGATGGAGGCTCTCATCTATAACGACCCAGCTGGTGGCAAGATCTTTGACCGCGGTGCGAAACTATTTCCCGAAGATGCTAGTTTCATGCTTGAGTATCTCAAATTCTTGCACTCCAAGGGTGACACGACAAGTGAGTTCTAGTCCTTTCATACTTACTTGGTTCATACTGACCCATCCATAGATGCTCGTGTCGTTTTCGAGACCTGCGTCAACCGTCTCACTCAGAAAGAAGATAAGAAGGACCAGGCGAAGCAACTCTACTCATACTTCCACAAGTACGAATCGCAGTTTGGAGAGCTCTCCTCGATTGCCGAGCTTGAGAAGCGCATGTCAGAACTCTGGCCAGCCGATCCCAGGCTTTCACACTTCGCCAACCGGTTCTCGGTAGAAACGTTTGACCCCATCGCCTACCGCCTCATCATCTCGCCGGCTGTTCAACTGCGGCCGAAACTGCTGATCCCAGCCATCGAACAGCCGACCTCGGTCCGCCAAACACCGATGGCCTTGCCGGTCCGTCAGACGGCCAGCCCTGGCCCGCAGTACGTGGGTGTCACAAACTCTCCCAAGAGACCGTTCGCAGGCGATGATTACGAAGAGCTCAATCGGCCACGAAAGCTCGCCAGAGGAGAATCGCCTCTCAAGGGTGCTGCTGGTCGTCGCCTTGACCAGCAAAGACGCAACCAAGGAGCACCCCTTTCCCGAGACATCACTTTCCTCTTGGGTATCTTGCCACCGGCCCATGCCTATGCTCACTCGCCCAATGCATTCCGCCTGGTTGCCCCCAACCTCGTTGGCCTCATCCGCGAGACCCCGGTGCCCGATTACAGCGCGTGGAAAACCCAACAAGAGCTTGGCGCTCGACAAAATAATGGTATGCAACCCCCTTCCCATAGCCGACAGGCATCCGGTGATTACGTTGAATACGGAAATGGCGGACGGAACTCGCCCCAGGGGGTCCTCAGTCCATACGATGGGTCGGGACGGCGTCTGGCATCATCCGGATACAGAAGCTCCCCCCTCCGAACTGGTTCCAGCGGCGGAAATGCTGAGCCTGCTGCGTACCAAAATGATGTGCTTCAGGAGGGGCAGTACCCACCAGCGGCTCCCATTGACGGAAACGCTACCTGGGCACCGCAAACGCCTGCTGGCTACGGCCAAGCACCAGCACAACAATATGGCAGATATTTGTATTGATCTTGGAACTGACAAAAGGATTCAGGGGCGGGTTTCCGAAGGGGTTGGCCCTAATCACGATGCCTGTCACAGACTTGGTCGACGAACACATAAGTCGGCGTCTCAAGGCTCGCCAAATATTGGACTGGGCTCTGTACGCTCGGTGTCTGGGGAACTTTTTGTTTGTATCGAGCCCACCTTTGGTTCATGAACTCGAGGGCATTCTTACTCTTCCGTCCTTCAAGGGGACATTGGCCGCAAAGTCGACGACATCAATGTTCTGTATAATAAAAAAATTTCAAGGGGCTCCGCATTATGGGGGGGCGTTCAGGGCGGCGGAAACTTAACTCGCGCTGCTGCTGTCGCGAAAGCAGCATGCATTTTTGGTCCAAGCATAACTATGGCATTGCGTTCCGTGGCTCGTTGGCGAGACTTCGGGGAATGAGGATGGATGGTGGATGGATGGTGAATGGATGGTGGACAGCTGCGTGGGATGCCGGTACTAAGGTGTCGCCTACTTACCTTAGTTTGGCTAGCTGCTCGAGTAGACGAGGAAACTGCTTTTGAGATACCACTTGCTTGTGTGTACTTTCCAGTTTGTGATTGTTTCGTACCTAGTGCGTTTTTCTGGTGACCTCCGTGTTGAGGATAAGCTTATATTTTCAGAGCAGACGAACACAGCAGTTGCGCGTGTTGCAGACAATCTGGGGGGCCTGAGCTTAACAAGTCCACTATGCTGCCCACGATGCGAACCGATGCCCTCGGACAGGCTTGGAAAGCCGTTTCATACGCCCATATGCCAACCTGGCTTGAAATGATTCTGGCGATGCTCATGGTGATTCAGACCTGTCACTTCGTCAACTGTTGGACCAAGCCTTGAGTGGCAAGAGCTTTTCAGTGAGCAATTTCCCCGTCTTTTTGTTGAGTGAGACCCTGGGCGATGTCATCTAGAGGAACTACCATCATATCGCCCTTCACCGGGCACCTGATTAGCTCTGTTACAAGTGGCAAGCCGAGTATTTTCATATGAGATACGTTGCATTTCCTAGGATATAGTCTTGAATGATTAGTTTGTTTTCGAATTCGACAATATTATAAGGTGGTCTGAAGCATATCCGAAACAAGCAGCGTTCACCTCATGCTTTCTTGTCGTACCTTCTGAAATACAAGGCCGGCGGCACCTTCCAGCCCACAGTCGGGCGTTAACGGTTCTGTATGTCGCCTGAAATGATTCTATCCTAGGTAAGTGCAAATGTTGCTGGTGTTTCGAGAATCTCGAGCCAACTCCAGCTAGCTAGCCTTCTCACAAGCCTCGAATCCTCTTGTTCCTGTCACTGGTCTCTGATACGTAGGATGGCTTGATGTGAATGCTTTATTATATCATTATTCACGGGTTTTATTCTCACTTTCATAGCTGTCCCTAGCTTCATGCTGATCACACCTTCTGTTCTCATAACTGATGCCCATGAAACATTTGGGTGACCTTCATCGCCCACGTATTCCGGGGGTCCATCCTACCAATTTATGCCAGCAGAGTCACTGGAGACATCATCTGTAATATCCTTGTCTTCTATTTGACCATCACCGTTTGTGTTGGCTCACCCGTGTGTGCTCTAATGCTATATAGATATACAAACTCCCCTCTGGAAACGGGACGTGATAAAATGACCTGAATGATCCGCTCAAAATGCCTCAATGCCTCTTCTTGAAGATTTGCCTTTCGTAATCCAACCTATCCAATTTCTCTTCAAGGAACTGGCATTCTTGTTTCGTGGCTTCCAAAATCTATCATTCGGCCTGGCTCTCGATCCTTCTTTCCTATTGCTGCTCCTTCCCGCAAACTGTCAAATCGATCTCCATATCTCTCCGTTCGGAATCTATATAAACCAACTCTTTGGCCCTCCAGCCTCCAGCTCTTCTTCTTCTCTTCCACCACCTGTCCACACGCACAAACACACACGCATACACACACACACACACACACACACTTCAATCGACTTCAATAATACAAACTCAGGTAACTGGTTCAACACATCCATCCTTGACCTACCTTACAAATCCGTACAAACACTCATAAGATAAGGTACACACGCGCAAACAATGTTCCCAACGTTCCTTCCATAATCCACAAACTGTCTCCTTCCTCCTACTACGATACTGAATTATCTTCCACCTGGTCTACAAAACGACATCTTCCCTCCACTCACAACTCACTCTTTTCTTTCCTTCCACACACCTACCACCACGCCTCAACTTTGACCAGCCTCGACTCAGACAAGGTACCTTGCCCTTCCATCCTTCTTGCATCTTCACTATTCACAATTATCATTCTCTACACTTACAGGATAACTCAATAGCAACGGTATTTTAGAACCCCCAAACCAGCAAGACCTCACTTCCCCAGAGCGACTAGGCTCTCCCTGCTCCTTCCCTCACCCATTTCCGTATTCCACATTCGTACCTTCTCTCCCAATTTCCTCCTTCCTTGAAACTCTTCTCCAGACAGCCACAAAAGGGTCATCTTCCTCCACTTCAAATCTCCTTCTGTTCCTCTCCTTTCACCTGTCAACATCATCTACCTGAGCGAGAAGCCTACGGATACTGATCACAAGCCGCAATAGCGTTCATTACGAATCCTCGTGGACAACATCCACAAGCCAACTTCAACAAACACACAAGTTATTTTTCTCCGAAACACATCTCAATCTTTCCTTTCCAATTACTGAAAAGTGTTCTGCGTAGCATCACAGCTTCCGCCACCGCCCAGGATGTCTTCCACCGGTCGCTCCCCTACCCGTGGTCCTGCCAATCCCGGCAGTCCTGGCAGATCTCGCTCGGGGTCTCAGTCCTCCCAGAAGCCCAAACATGGCTTTGGGCCTTCCATGGGCTTCGACCCGGCGAAGCCCGAGGGCGGTCCCAGCAAGGATCACATCAACTCGCGCATCGACCCTCCTCCCGAGTCGTATCTTAATGCCGGCGAGACTCCCTTCATTCGGAGACCCGGTTTCAATACGGCTGGTAAGCAAGTCAACTTGGAGGTCAACCAGTTCCGCGTGAAACAGTGGAACGACAAGATGACCATTTACCAATACGATGTGTCCATTTCTCCTGTGCCCTTGAAGTACAACGTCGTCTTCAAGAAGGTCTGGGACTCTCCACCTGTTCAGGCCATGCTGAAGAAGTACAAGACCCTCTGGTTACAGGACGGACGCAAGCTGGCTTGGTATATTTTCCCATTTCCTTCAATTTTAATTCTCGCTGACATAGATACAGGTCCTCGGTACCCATCAATCGTGGCGAAGAACGCTTGAAAGTGGACCTTGATGAGGGCAAGCCAGTCCGTCCAAATGCCAAGCCGCGTGATAACTCCTTCTTCTTCGTGATGAAGGAGACGAAGAAAATACACCTTGCAGCTCTTGAAGCATACCTCACTGGCAAAATGGACTGGGACAACTCTGTTCTCGAGTGCATGAACTTCCTCGACCATTTGGTCCGCCAGTACCCCAGTGAGCGCCTTCTATCGATTAAGCGCAACTTCTACAACGAGCGCCAGAAGAAAAGCATGGATCTAGGCGCTTGCTTAGAGGTCGTCAAGGGTGTCTACTCTTCCGTTCGAATGAACCAGTCGGTTATGAATAAACTTGGTCGTGGACTCGGCTTGAATGTCGACGTTGCCAATACGGCATTCTGGAAGGGAGATGTTCAGTTGCATCACTTCGTCAGAGACTTCCTGGGTACTTGCGACCGCAGATGGCAGGGCATGGCGCCGAACGACATCGCCAATGTCTTGAAGCCAGTTCGCCAGCAAGATAAGAGCGGCAAGACAGTCTACACCATGTCGGATGCCTTCAAGCATCTTCGAAAGCTAGCAAAGCTTCGTTTTTGCCCCAAGCACCGCGGCAAGGAGAACTGGGACAAGGTTTACACCATCAAGGGGTTTGCATTCAACCCAAGTTATGGCGAGAGGGGTGCTACTACTGACAGCATCGTCTTTACCAACAACGGCGAGGAGATGAATATCACGCAGTACTTCAACAAGACCTACGGCTACAAGGTTCAATACCATGACTGGCCTGTTGTCGAGACTGCGAAAGCCGGCTTCTTTCCCATGGAGGTCTGTGTAATTGCTGCAATGCAGCGATACAACTACAAGCTCGACCCTGACCAGACCTCGGCCATGATCAAGGCTGCTGTCACACGTCCGAACCAGCGCAAGGGCGACATCATCGACGCGAAGAACCAGCTTGCGTGGAAGGAGGATCCCTATCTCCGCCAATACGGTGTTGTCTTCGAAGATCAGATGGCCAAGACCACTGGCAGCCTCCTTGAGCCTCCCAAGATCCAATACGCCAATAATGTGATCAGCCCGATGTTCTCTGGTCGCTGGGATCTGCGAGGCAAGAAGTTCTGGGTGCCTAACCGTGCTCCCCTCCAGTCTTGGGGTATTCTGATTCTCGAGAATGCAACTAACAGGGCCAGCGCCCAGGCCTTTGCGCAGACGTTCAGGCAGACCTACACTGGGCACGGAGGCAAAATTACCAAGGACGCCATCGTCATTGACAGTGAGGCCCGGAATAGCAACGTCGCCGACGCAGTTGCTAAGGCGTATGCCCAAATCAAGGCCCAGAACAAGGCCGTACCGCAGCTTCTGTTCTGTATCTTGCGGTTTAGTAACGTTGGCTCTTATGAGCGCATCAAGAAGTCCGGCGATTGCCGCTTCGGCTTGCTCACCCAGTGCGTTCTTGCCCGGCACGTTGACAAGAACCAGGCCCAGTATCATTCCAACGTGGCCATGAAAGTCAACGCAAAGCTGGGGGGTATTACCTGCCGCATTCCTCACCCGTCTGGTCCTTCTAACAAGGCCCCTGCCTTCTTCAAGGAAGTCACCATGATTATTGGTGTCGACGTCTCCCACGCTACCCCCGGAATCGACGCTCCCTCGATGGCGGCGATGACCATGTCGATGGATCAGGATGCTACCTTCTACTCTGCTGCCGTCGAGACCAACGGCTACCGCGTTGAAATGCTCTCTCCAGTGAGCGCCCGCACCTTCCTCGGTCGTCTCATGCCCACCTGGCACAAGCGGATGAACTACCCAGCGCCGCCTCCCCACATCGTCTACTTCCGTGACGGTGTCAGCGAGGGTCAGTACTCACACGTGTTGGAATACGAAGTCGGAACGATGAAGAGTATCATCAAGAGTATATACCCCAACGCCACGCAGCCCAAGTGGACGGTCATTGTGGCTACCAAGCGTCATCACATTCGCTTCTTCCCGCAGCAAGGTACAGGTGACAAGAACGGAAACCCCCTTCCGGGAACTCTCCTCGAGAAGGAAGTCTGCCACCCCTTCTGGTGGGACTTCTACCTCTGCTCGCACGTGGCTATCCAGGGCACTGCCCGTCCCGTGCACTACACCATTCTGATGGACGAGGCCAAGATGGGTGCAAACGATCTTCAGCGGATGATCTATGGTCAATGTTACCAATACGCTCGCTCGACGACCCCCGTATCACTTCACCCGGCAATTTACTATGCCGATCTTGCCTGTGGCCGGGCTCGTGCACACGAGAACATTGCCACGTCCCAGGGCTTCCGCTCCGGCCCCAAGGCGGCGGAGATGGTTGACGAATACGGCGCTCGCGGCCAGAGCATGTTCGAGGGCGAGCGTCCCACCGAGTCCCTTTCCCTGCTGCCTCTGGGTGGCAAGGGCCCTGACGCTGACCCTCAGGCATCTGAGATGTTCAAAGGCACCATGTGGTACATCTGAAGGTGCAGACCATGGATTCTGGCGGGTGGCGGTTGGATGAAGTGCGACGGGATGATGACGACGAGGGACGCAAGCATTGTTGTTGGGGAAGATTACGGGAGAATGAACTTACTAGTTCCGGGTCAGTCAGGAGAGGAGTTGGCCTCAATCGAGCGAAAGTAGATAGGATTACCTGGGTGAGCAGGCCCTGCTCTGCCGAGCATTGATAGTGAACGTTGTCATTCCCGAGTTACAAAGTCTTTTCAGTTGGTGATTAAAAAGTGTTCTGTCGCAGCAAAAACTCACTGAGGCGACAGCCTGCGTGTATCTCTAGCAAGCCAAGTCTCAACCATATCAAAAGTATCAAAAGTCACACCACATGCTGCATAAAAGGTCTAGGTGTATGAAAATTTTCCCTCATATCTTGGTATAGTAAGCACTACATGACCCTCATAGACCGACGCTGAACAACAACACCCTACAAGTTGCAGTGAAAACCCCGGTCAAAACGCTTCCCTACTTTTCCTCCCTATACGCTATACGTAAGTAGCTACGAACAGGTGAAGCAAACGCCACTTGCTCGTATTCTCGCACGACGCTCTCGGCTGGGTTCCGACGTGACGTGTCGAAAGGCTCCACATGAGCTCTCCGCTTTCTTTCCGGAAGCTCTGTCCCGTATGAAATCGATGCAAATCCACCCCCGCCATGGCAACCCACCTCCACCTTTCCGATGGTTCGGAACACCAATAGCTCGGCACATCATGACCCGCGACTCGGACGGCTTGGTTTCTCAAGAGCACTCATGCGACATCACCGCGATAAAAACTCGCTTATTTCGCAGTGACAGTAACGCTAGGGATAGAAAGATTCTCGCCCTTGCCCGAGGCGATGGGCATCTCGCGGGCCTTCTCCTCGGAACCAAAGTTGGAACTCGCGCGCCGGCTGAGCGTGAGACCTGCCGTGGAGCGCGCGCCCGGGCCGTAGTTGATGTTGCTCGCCTTGTCGAGCGTCTCCTTGCACATCCGTAGGAAGACGGCGCCGAGTTCAGGCCGGTGCAGGGGGATCAAGCTGAAGAAGAGGGAGGCGGTAATGCGGAAGAGGGTCTTGCGATGCAGGCGCACGGAGTACGTCTCCTCGAGGAAGGTGAAGAAGTGCTCCTGGAGGCTCTCGAGGAGGTCTGAGTCGGCCTCGTCGAGAAGAGGCTTGTCACTGTCGAGAGCGTCGCGCAGGTCGTAGTTATTCGCGCTCATGAACAGGATGTGGTCGTAGCCGCAAAGCGACTGGAGGACCTTGCCTAGGTCGTAGTGGATGTCGCCCTCGGGCGTCAACGTGTTCTCCAGCTGGCAGCGCACGTCAATAAAGCTGACGAGCTTCTCGTCCTTGGAAAGGATCGCGTTGCTAAAGACCGGGTCACCGTGAATGACCTGAGCATGTACACCCTTCTCCTCAGCCTCGTACGTGTCGAGGAACTCGTTAATACGGGCGAAGAGAGAGGCAGCGAGGGGACCGAGCGCATCATATTTGTGCTGGTCCCTGTAGTAACGGCTGCGCAGTTTCGAGCCGTAATTTGCGTAAATGTTGACGCGGTTGTTTGCCCGCGCGAGTGAGTGCTCCTCAAACTTCTTCTCCAGAGCACTGGGGATCTTGAGCGTGGCCTTGTCTGTGCTGCCCGTGGTGTGGACGGTGTGGAGGGCCTTGAGAAGGGAAATGAGGCGGCCCTTGGTAATAGACCGACCGACCAGGAGGTGAGAGAAGGTCAGACCACGTCGGTTCTCCATGGTGATGTTATAAGTGGTGGTGTCGGGAATGTAGTCTACGTTATATACGGTGGGGAAAACTTGGGCAATCTCTGAGGGCATGTGAGAGTAGAAGAAGAGCTCTCCGAGAATGTTCTCAGACTTGCTCGATTTGATCACCTTGTCGCCAATGATTTGAATGGTGTTGAAGTCGCGTGCGGCAATCATGCCGGCCTTCTTTGCGTCGTCACCCGTCGCAGCATCTTGTCCGATCAAGGCAGCTGGGTCCTGCTCATCCAAAAGCCAGCCAATTTCCCGCATAGTGTCGAGGTTGGCGTTGACAGCCAGGTCATCGACGTAGACATCGGCGTAGGGCTTGCCGAAGTGGATATCGTGATATGGGATCTCGTACTTGGCAAGCTGTGCAAAGGTGACGGGACCGACGTCGGCCAAAACTGATCCCAAGTTTCCGTGATGTGTGCGCATCCGGCGGGCCGTTTGCTATTCGAGGGTCAGTGGGAAGTCACGGGATAAGCCAGGAGCCATGATCTGCTCCTTGCTTGCCAAGCGCCATGACAGGACTTACAATGATGATGTAATGACCCGCGTTGTACAATTGCTGCACAAGGCGAATGTTCTTCTCGATGGGAGGGCAGGTGGAGTAATCTCCGGCCACGGCGGGCACGCCGACTAAGGTCATGTCGAGATCGAAGCAGAAGCGGCGCTTCTTCAGCTTGATGGGGAGGTTGGAAGTATCGGTCTTGAGAAGCTTCAGGAGGTCTTTCAGCTGCTCGGGTGTGCCGACAACGCTGAAGTCCTTGGTGCTGACGGGCATGCCCAGGTAGGGCACGCCGTTTTGGATCATGAGGGCGATCATCTGGGAGGTGTAGTACTCGCCCACTTCTGACCCATCGGGCCTCTTCATATCGAGGTTCTCGGCAGCCCATGACTTAAGCTGGCCGGCGGACGGGAAAACGTATGCGCCCGTGTTTGCCTTGTTGGAGATGGCCTTCTTCTCCTGGATGTCGACTATGCGCTCCAAACCGTCTCTGTAGCAGCGATCTGTCAGACTTGTCTTTCGGTAAAGGGAAACTCGCGCGCTTGGCTCCCGTTGGTCACTCACTTGGGTTCCGTCTTGATGTAAGAGAAGATGGGCTTGTCGCCAACGTCGGGGAAGTAGAAGCAGCCGCCGTGACCCTGGGGCATGTTGCGAATATCCTGGAGGACATCGGCCCAGTAGATGGTATCGCAGTCGAGAGAGACAGTCTTGCGCTCGAGGTGCTTCTTGGTCATGCTCTGGGTGACAATGTAGAGCTACGGGGGGGTCCGTCAGCGATGCGCTTCCGAGCTTGGCTTTGCCCCTCCTTGGGCGAAATGCGCAAGAGGGGAGAGGAGAGAGAGCGGCTGAAAGAGCCGGAAAGATTGCAAGAAAGCTTGGTGGAGGGCTTACCGTCTCGCTGGCACCCTTGGTCTGGTGGCGCAAGCGCAGGAGTCTGAAGTCGATCTTGGGAAAGGTCTTGCTCACGAGCTGGCCGATTCTGAACTCGTCGTCGACCTCCTCGTTGATGGCCATCCACAGGGTGTCGCCAGGCTTGAGGCTCAGGTTGTCAATCAGCCAAAGCAGCATGGGCCGGCCGACAATGTTGATCAGGGGCTTTGGGTAGCGATAGCCCTCCTTTGCGAAGCGTGAACCAATGCCGCCAATGGGGATAATGACATTGATGGGTTGGTGGTTGACGTCGCCGTTGGCGGCCGCCTTGGTTTGGGTGGCCATTGTATCGGATTGCTATGATCAACAGCTGAAGCTCTGCTAGGCTGAGATGCAGTTCGCCGTTTGCGAAAAAGAGAGCGGTGGGACGTCGACAGAGGTGTCGCAAGGCAAGGTCTGAGGGATCGAGGGAATGGCAGATTGTTGTCGCCAATGACGGGAGTGTCTCTCCAAGCGTTCGGGTGTATTCGTGGCGGTGAGACTGCAGCACCACAACCAAAGAAGAGAAAGACGGTCTGCTTTGTGTTGCGGGAGGAAGGAAACGAATAAGTGAAGAAAGGCAGGAAATGCAATGCAAATCAACAAGTTCCAGTCCAGCACGTCACAGAAGGCAAAGGAAAGAAGCGATGCTCAGGATGGAGGGTTTGCGAAATGGAGCGGGTCAGGCGAAAGGTGTCCCTCTTTCCCACCTCAGTAAAAAAGATACGTACACACTGCAGACAAAAGGTACAAACCTCCAGGGCTCTGCGGAGGGCAAGGGAACTGAGGTACTCTGTACCACTGTACAGTGAGTGCAAGGTAGGGGTCGTGGAGACAACATCCCGGTGCAACAGCCTATGCGCGACCTCGCCCTGTAGAACCGACCGTCCGTCCGCCCAGCGAGGCCCAGTGGAGAGAAAAGCTTCGGGTCCTTTTCGCTGCCAGGGAAAAAAAAAAAAAAAAAAAAAAAAAGTCGCGTTTGCTATTTTAATTTTCTCCAACTCGAACAGATCCATTGCGGGTGGTAGCGGCCCCCAAACCCATTGGGGGACCGACCTCGCCCTCCACCTCTCCTCCCTTGTCTTCGACGCCCTGCACGTAGTTCTGCCCCTCATCCCCTTGCCTCCTAGACTCATTTTGGTAGCGTCGGACGGAGAGACGACAAGGATAAAGGGGCTTGCTTTTCAGGGGTCTGTTTTCTTCTTCGCTTTCTTTTCGTTGCTGTCTCTCCTGCCGGCCTCTCAGCCATGCGGCCTATCTTTGTACGCTGTAACTTCCACATAGCTGACGATAATGGTCTGGAACTACCGTATATTACACAATCTCACCTCCTACACTCTCCCTCGACAGCTCGAGCGTAAACCCCAGCTCACTGACTGACTGGTTGACAGGAGACAGACAGCCCCGAGTAGCCTTTTCAAGACACGAGGCGACATGTGGTCCGCTGGACCGGGTTTGCTGTGCCGCGTCGTGACGGTGGATCATTGCCCGTGGGACGCTTACCTTCTTACTTCTACGGATGTTCTGTAGCACGATTCTGAGCAGCGAGCCGCCTCGCCGCCAATGGGCGCTGCCATCTGGGCGCCGCCCGGGCGCGATTGCTGTCAATCGATTGCGGGAGTGGAGCCGGCCGACGCCCCGGCTGGAGACAGTTAGCGCCCGACCGAGTTGGTACTGTGCGCTGAACCCCTGCCAGGAGCAGACAGACGCCCGGGCCAGCCCAGACTTTCGATGTGCCCCTCTAGAATCCAACGCAACGCGCTGGGTGTAAGTCGATCCACAGATGCCCTCGCCTCATCTGTCATTCGCACGATTTCGCTCATCTCCTTTTGCTGCTCACTGATCCTCGTTACTCTCGAGAGATGCCGCTATGTTCCGATTTCAGTATCTGGCGCAATCATCATACTGGTGACGGGGGCCCCTCTGTCGGAAACCCATGGCCCCGTTTTCGCAAAACTTTGGTCGGGGCCAAGCCAGGGATTCTCTCCTTCAGGAGCCAGCCTGATCGACCATCGCTCGTCCCAGGCTCCCAGCGACGCAGTCATACGCCCGGCCGCTTATTTTGCAAATGTGAGGAATAGATACGATAAGAAAAGATGGACACGTGTCTTGGCCATCGGATTGGCTTGCCAGAGAGGAGTAATTGCGTAAGAAAGCGGTCTCTCAAACAAAATTGTCCGCTTTGACTAGTCTGTTAAGCAATTTTGACATCATCACGTACTGTACATCAGCCGAACCACGCCTCTCGTTAGACTCCTTGCCGACTCGTCATTAAGCAAGTCCTGATTTGGTCGTATAATCGCGCTGTCTTAGTTCTTGGCGTGAGTTCGTAATCATCAGCGAATCCTGCGGGTAGCAGAATGGTGAAAAGAATCAAGCATCATTGGCGGTGCAGCTTGGCAGCTGAATCTGCCCGCCCGGCCACATCACAACCATCCCAACAACGTTTGGTCAGGGTGTGTCAAGGATAGGCAAATAGAACAGCTTTGCTACTGCTGTCAGCCTTGCGTGGCATCCGAGGAGACGCAGGGGGAGGGGCGAGCGACATGGACGACAAGGGTTGTATGCTTGTGTGTACGTAGTAGGAGGATGGCTTAGGCATTGGCATTGTCATTGGAGGTTCAGCGTAATCGGCGTAGGCACAATCCATCGATCAATGCCCAAGCATCGATACTGTGCTGCGGGCAATTGATGAGATTGCGGCATGCAAACTGCGCTATATATTGATTGCAGTAGAGCTGTGCGGCTGGCCGTCGGTGATACTGGTGTTCTGTTCAGGGGCGGCGCTCATTTCAACTTGTTGCTCTCGCGATGGACAAAGTTTGATGGATTGCATATCGGATTGCCGGTCCCATTATTGAAACTTTCTCTCCTTCTAGCGGCCCGCAAGCCATGAGAACCTTGGGTTGCGCCAAGTGTCACTGAGGCCGGTCTGAGTGTATCAACTTATTATTTGACCGAAAATAGCAATCCACAACCCTGAACCCAACACTGTCGGGAGGCCGAAGTCTGTTAAATTGCTGGCCCAAAAGCCTGAGCGAAGTGACTCACGTTGCGGATGGCACTCTGCCGCAGCACGATACAAAAGACTGTGTGAGATGCTACATAGTACCTGCTAGCGTAGGATGGGAGTACGTCGGAGGCTGAGAGACGACTAACTGGCCCATGGTCAATGTAATAAGGAGTGCCTTCGGAGTTGGGTCAAATCTTGGGACAAAGGTGATCTTGAACAAAGGATATCAAGGGGAATCCAAAAGGAAGGTCGGATGCCGTCGGCGCACGCTCTGAAACCGCTGCTTGACTCGTGGAGGGTTTGGTTTATCTAGAGACTGGCGAGGAGCGGTGATGAGCAGAGCATAGCACCAAGCTGGGTGCTCTTGGCGCTGCTAGGTAGGCCGGCAAGTTGGTGACCTGACAGGCGGTGACCGACAGTAGGGGAGACTTTGTACAGTGGTAATGGCACCAATTTTTGTTCCCGAAGCTACCGAGCGATGGGTATCTGATTGAGGGAAGATGCTGGGAGAACCCGGGGAATGCAGCGAGTCCTTGTCCAGTTAAAGTTTTCTGAAGTGTTTCATGCTCTGAGCTTCTTGCCTCACTTTTACTTTCTATCCTCTCAGAGGTCGCCCGTCCGTTCGTCGTCGTCGTCGTCGTCGCCACTCGACAGCCGCCGAGATAAAGGTAGCACAAATGCCATTATCTCTTGCCCCGCCAAGACACGCAACTTGGGCTAGAGACATCGTTATTGAGGCGATGCTGACGGGGACAACGAGACCGGCGGCGGCCAAGGCGGGATGGAACGGTAAGGAGAATTAGGAGAAAGAGAGGACGAACCAGCCGTCCGAGGTTTGATGCACACAGAATGAGGCTCCAACAGATAGTTCCAGGCCCGGGGTAGCAGACCTGGTGTAGTAGTTGCTGCATCGTTAATCGTCTGTCTGATGTCGGGACTGTGCTGTGCATTGTTCTCCTTCTCGAAGCACAAGAAGACGTCTGAGAGAGCGAGGGAGGGGGGAGAAAACAGAAGCAACCACATTAGGTTTAATCCGCCGGGACGGTAGACTATGCACTCATGCCACGCGTTACCGGGCTGTGCTGGAGACGCGTCTCATTTTCAGCGTGTCCCGCAGTTATCACCAGAGCCTCGGGCCGTTTTTGCTAACGTGGTGGCTTTTGGTCGATACAATGGTGTAGGAGTCTTGGTTGAGTTTGCGCAGGAATCCCAATTAGATGGTAAGAAGTTGCACATTTGCAGTTGGTGGGGGCTGGTGTCATCTCACGTCCTTTCCACCACTCTGCTCCGTACCTTCCTTTGTACCTATCCCTTTCTTACGAGCTGGCCAGAACACATGCAGGCAGGGGCTATCAGGCGCGCCCCAGTGCCCGGATACGAACTGAACCTTTTTTCCCCCCTTTTCAATCGGCATTGGATGAGGTTCAAGCCAAGAGGAAACAATGTGTACCATAGTACAGACTGCAGACTATAGAGAGCGGTAATACCGACATTGACAATCAAACTCGCTGTCCCTAAATTGAGCGCCGATGCAGCAACGAGATGTTCATTATGCCCGTTCCTTTTTTCCTATAGCTTATCGAGTGCTGGCCTCGCGTCAGTGAATAATAGGCAATTCTTCAGTCGCTTGTTGACCGCATCTGTACGATCTGACTTGGCTCTGTGTCTTATCGCACATAATTTCCAGAGACAAGGGGTGGGTGGAATTGTCATGTAATAAGCATCTCTCGCAGCCCTACAGGCTACTGTCAACCATTGACAAGCCGTCGTCGCGCCGAGAAAACGTGTAATTGGCGATCAATGATTGCGTCAGCTGACGGACACGGAGGATTCACCAAGTCCACCCACCTTCCGAGATAATGTAGAGTCAGGGACCGGAAGCCATAACCGTCATTACAAACGGCCATCTTACTGAGCGCCCTCAATATCTAAGAAGAGGCCCCAATGAACACTAATTGATTGATGGTTGAGTGAGTATAATGCGGTTCTCCACCGATAGATGAGAGAGCCCTTGCCTAGAGCGGGCCGTACTGTGCGAATAGGCGGACACATGTCCGCTGCTGTACGAACCTCGGTGGCGGAGTTGCACCCAGTTCTCGGTTCCCCGCCCCACTTTGTGCCTGCCTTATGGCACCTTCCATCAAAGGGTGGCTCTTTGCTGCAGGCTGCGGGTAGCCACTACCCATGTTGCCAGGTAGTACCTTATGTAGTGTACTGGGCGAAGGCGAGAAATGGGACTTGCGCGCGCGCCGCGACCCTCAAGTGGGAAACGGTGCTTCTTTGCTAGCCCCAGGGGGAAGCGCAACTGGAGCAAGGGGTAGCTCCCCATCCTACTACAGCAGAGGACTTGAGCACGTCCACTCGTGTCATGCTCCAAATAGGATTGGCGTACCTGTCCAAGTGTATAAGCCTGTAAGGCGGGTGGGCGGTTGGCTGCTGCAGCAGTTGCAGGACACCAAAAGAAATCGTCAAGTCTCTCGCAGCTCGTCGTCGTCTTTTCAGCAGAGGCAACTCTCAGCCTCTCTGAGTGTGCGAGACCAGGCCTGATTCGGATAGGTCGATACGCACATCTCCCAGCAGTCCTGCATCGTCATGGCAAATTTCTGCCAGGTATCCGTACGTTTGTTGGCTAATCTTTTGTTACTAATGATGATAGAGTTTGAGTTTTACTGATATTTGACCCCTTTTCTCCTGCAGTGGCACATCAACATATTCGGTCGCCCAAATTAGACAATCCAAAAGTTGAGGATTCAGAACCACCGATGCATCGCTTTGGTGGGTTATCGACGACTATGGTTTTGTAGCCGCTGAACACAATGTAGAGTCAACATGTACTTTGCGCACCGCTACATTCCATGTCGAGGTTTCAGACAGCTTCGGCCCTGGTTGCAGTTCGCGTCATGGCAAGACGGAGAGAGCTGTTGTCCTTGGGCATCGACCGGCGTGGGCGCATACGAGAGAGAAAGCTTGGCCCCTAAGACCGTGGATCACCAATCAGTCTCCCCCAAGTACAAGGTGTCACTTGAATCTGCAGAGTATCAGACGAGCGTATGTATAGTCGAGTCTTCACATGATATTCGGTCGATCCTCTTACAACGAAACGGGAAATTGCAAGGCAAAGCCGTCGCCCTGCATAGAAGCGCGGGCTCGACGATACCTTAGTGACACCGGTGTCCCGGCTCGCCTGACGTGGTACCGAAAGTCCCGTTGCCAGAGATCGGCTACTTTAATTCTGACACAGTGCGGCTCCTCAAGAGATCCCTCGAAAACAGAGACAAGCTCAAAGTCGCCCCCCAATTTGTGTCCACTTCGCAAGAGTCAACGTGGGAGGATAGTCGAGTGCAAAGTCGCAGACACAGAATCGGGTGCCTGTAGTGTAGCACCTCCGAGCTAGGACCCCTTTCAGAGTGCGCCCCTCGTCCTCCTTCTCCAGCGGCCTTTCCTTCTCTCCATCGGCAGACGAGACGGTGCTGCACCGTGTCATCATCTCGTCCAATGACAGCTCGTGCTATTCTCCTCTTCTGACCCACATGCACCTAGACCTTTCTAAGGTAACTTCTCATTGACAATCGCTTGGCTCCCAGAGACCCCACCAAAAAAAGAGAGACAGAGAGAGGCGACAGAGAGGGAAAGAGCAGGCGTCCCGTGGCTGTATCCGTATGAAAGTAGTCCGTACCTTTTTCGATGGGTGTGGCACACACTGTACATTCGCGAAAGTATGTCTGCACCTCAAGTGGACACCTCCAAGGATTGGTCTCTAGCCACGGCCCCCCTTCCTTTGCCTTCCCTTGCCTCGACTGCCTGTACTCGACTGCCTGCAGTGGCTTCTGCTTGTCGCTGCTTTCCCTCCCCCGTTTTCTGCTGGCGTAGGCCCCTTCGCTTCCATGCAACACCCATTCCAATCCATACCTCTCTAGCCTGCTACTCTTCCCGTGGATCGTTGTTTCTCTCTTTCACTCCTCCGGTCACGTCCAGCGCCACTGTCAACGCGATATTGGGACCATCGCAGGCGGAAACGAGCGACGACCTCCGATTCCAGACAAACCAACCAGACGAAACCGTCGACGAACAGCTCTAGACTCGAATACGCATGTCGGACTCGGCGGCTCAGCGAGCGTCATTCCCCCACACCCAGCAAACCTAAACACGACCAGAGATCCTTCCTTTCCCGCCTGCTGCAGCACCAAGACCGCCAGCAGATTTTCCGCCAGCCACTACCGAGCTGCACGCTTCACATTGCACCCGGGCAGCACTCTTCTGTAGTCTTCGCTCACTTGCAATCCTCTCGACGCTCTTTTCGTACAATACTCGACGAACTTCGATCGCATCCTCCTCTGCGCCCCCTCGAGCCTTCTCTCTGAACCGCCCTTCTAGCGGCTGGTGATAATTACATACAATGTTACGACATGGGAGCATACTGGGGCTCTTCTTGAAGCCCCTAAGCTGGGTCCCCAATGGTCCCCAACATGCCGCCTACGCGGCTGCCCTCGGCCTGGTCGCAATCCAGGTCGGCATCGGCATCATCATGAAGATTTCCCAAACGGGTGGATCTTACTCGTTTTCTCCCTCGGCGTCTGTCACCATCTCCGAGTTCTTGAAGATGCTCCTGTCGACCATCTTCTTCTACAACGAATGCAAGCGCAGGGTAGCCGAGGGCATTCGCCCGTCAACCCGAGGTGGCGGAAGCGGCTACGCCTCTCTCGCCACCTCAGAACTCCCTACGGCTGAGAGGAGCAGCTTGGATGAGAAGCGGGAAGAGGAGGGATTGAATGGTAGTGCCAGCTCATCCAGCACAGGCAACATCGTTGAGAGAAACAATGGCCCGCTCCCACCACTCGATGTAAGGACGTATTGGAGCTACGTCCGCGGCGAAGTTACCAGAGACGTGCGATATGGCTTCTGCAACTTAGCGCTGTTCTACGTGCTCATCAATAACTCGGTACGTGATCTCTCCGCGGTATACTTTGCAGTTTTGTTCGTTCCGGCTAATTTGATTAGATCTTCGTCAGCTACAAGATGGCCGACCCTGGTACCATTCAGCTGACCAAGAGCGGTGTCACCTTCATCACCGCCTTGGTCATGATTGCGACTCTGAATACCAAGATTTCCAAGATCCAGTGGATTGCCATTCTGATGCAGGTGAGCGGCACGACTCGGAGTACCAGGTGTTTGATCTCGTCACTAACACGATGCAGATCTGCGGTTTGATGGTAACCCAGTACAACCCTCAGACGGGCACGACCTACTCGTTCAGCACGTACTTCATCTTGCTCTTCCAGGTCTTCCTGAGTGCCTCGTCGGGCGTGTACAACCAGGCGCTGCTCAAGACTGACGACTCGAGCTTGCATGCTGACAACATGATTCTCTACGGAGCAGGCGCTACCATGAATCTGTTATGCCACTTGGTCATCAAGACATTGAAGGCCGACGAGCCGGGATTCTTCGAAGGTTATACCAGCTTTGGCGCCATCATGGTCATTGTCAGCAACGTCTTCATTGGTCTTGCCATCACCGCTGTCTACAAATGTGAGTGACCTACCGGCGCCTGCTAGTAAGCGACGTGTACTAACCCTTCTAGACGCCGACGCGGTGATCAAGTGCTTCGCCACGGCTGTTGCGACTGGGATTCTCCTCTATGTTTCGCCCATCCTTTTCGGCACCACGCTCAGCTTCCTCGTATTACCCGGTACCGTGGTTGTCTTCGTTGCATCATGGCTATACATGGATAACCCACCTCCCAAGGACCCCAACCCTACCCCGGCCAATGAGCCTCAGAAGATGTCGCTGTTCAGCAAGATGGCAGCCGTTGCGAGGAAGTTTAACAAGATCTTTCTCGCCGTGGCCACATTCATCACCGTTGTTATCGTGGCGTTCCTCACGATGTCCGAGGCCAAGATGCCGGACTTTGCCAAGGATGGAGCATCCGCCCCGTCTGGACCATCCGGACCGAAGCCTGTTACTGGCGGCGAGAGCAAGATTGAATCGCCCTTTAAGAACACAATGGCCATGATTCGATGGAACTCTGCCCGCGCGGAGCGTATTCCTATGCTTCAAAAGTATGAGCCGTTCTTCCACACCGTGCACATTTCTATGCCCAACATGTTCAAAGAGGAGGATCCCGAGTTCCACAACCTAACGCACGACCAATTCCCGGGTACCTTTACCGTCTACAAACAAGTGTCCCGTACCATGAAGCTCATCCTGGATACCCAACCCGAGATCGATGGCTTGATGTACTACCACTTTGATGCCTGGATTGACCCTCTCGGCTGGACGGGCATGAACCCATACAACATCCACTTCCCCGCGATCATTGATACCGCTCCTCCATCCCACGGTGGACCGGAGTACATGTGCCTTACCGATACCAAGAACTACAACTGGTGGGGATGGGGACAGGATTTCCACCGCACCGCCATGGCCGCAGCCGCAGTTGTTGACAACTTCGATCTCGAGTACAAGATCAGGCGCGACGAGTGGTGCGTTGGCTGGAGTGACATCTACTATATCCCGCGACGGTTTTTCGCCGACTACATCTTCCTCTCCGAAATCTTTGCCGGCTTCGGAGTCTTCCACGAGGTGGCAATTCCCACAATGGTTCGTATCATCGATCAGAGTCGCCGACGCAACCCTTACCGATCCATCATCGACCACATCAGCGACTGCTGGGGCCATTGCTGCAGCTCTAACCCCAAGATCCGCGACGTCCTTGGTGCCCGCTGCGGCCACCGTCTCAACTACTTGGAAGAGGCACCAACTAAGGCTTTTTACGACAAGCTTGATGCGCAGGCGTCGATTCTTGGCCACCCTCTTAACTCGACCAAGTACGCCATGTCGAGTGTGGATGCCGCTCATCTGTTCGACAGCGCAGCCCTGGCAAGCATCAATAATGGCGAAGCCCAGAAGGTGAAGCCGATTAGCGATGATGCCTTGGAGGATGATCAACGGGCGGACAAGCTGGCTGCAGACAAGGCTAGTGAAGAAAAGAACAAGCTGAAGTCCGAGCACGCCCCCGTTGATAAGACTGAGAAGCCCGGTAACCCTAAGGCCGACCCAAGCAAGGTCGACCCAGCCAAGTCGGCTCCGCCCAAGTCGGCTCCGCCTAAGGAGAACAAGGAGGCGCCACAGAAGGATGGACACAAGGAAGAGCACCAGGATGAGAAGAAGGAGGGTGACAAAAAGGTTGATCCAAATGATGCCCTCAGGGAAGCAGATCGGGAGGCGGACGTAAAGCGGAGGCTACGACGTGAAGTTATGGCTGCCGTCGCCGGACTCGGTTATTAAGCTCATATACCCCTAAGTTTCTTTTCTTTCCTGTATTCTTTCTTGTTATCCCCTTTGACCAGTCCTTGGGTATGGAGATTCGGAAGCTCACTTCAGTTGGGCAACCACCAGAGGGGCACGAGACACGACAACAAAGGCTGTATTGGCAGCATACACTGGTAGATATTATCCTGATGGCATCGAGCGGCCATTAAGTGCACCCACAGAGCGAGCGCTTCACAAGCTCTCTGGATATGGTACGATATAGACTTGTCGATATTTATTAGTTCACGACTCAAAGGCTTTTTCTTTTTATTGTCCTTTTTGGAGGGGTACTAGGCGTAAAAAAGCCATGGGCAAACGCTCTTGACTGTAGGGGAGCGCGTAGTAGCGGCACAACTTGAGGCCGGTGGGTGAACAGCTCAATTGAGACCGAATTAAGTGTCTTGAAAATATAATGCGTGTAATATGAAAATGTGGTTATTCTTTTGAGTGATCTTTGTCACCTCGCTTGTCGACGGTGTAGATTATGAAAAGCCTTCTAGAACCTTAACAGAACCATGTTTGGCGTGATGGATTAATGACTTGTCAGTGTCGGTATCTGTAATTGGAGCGTTTAGACTTTTGGCCTTTGGCTTGGCATCCTAAGGTTGAGGCACACCTTGTTTTCGGACGGGATGGTAGAGGGGAAAGAGAGGGGGGAGGAGGAGGCAGGAGGCAGGAGGCAGGAGGTTTGTGAGGGAGGACGTGGAGGGAGCGGGGGATTTTCTTTGATTGAAACACTCGCTGTTTCCCGTTACTTGTGCCGTTTGTGTATGTGTGGTTCACTTGGTTCTAGACCATGTGATGACAGAATCGTGCCTGTACCAAATGCCACCTTATTGTGTGCTCCTCCCAGAAGTTTAGGGTGTAATGGGTGTCTCCCAAGGAGGGCGGATTATGGGATGAAAAGAAACACCAGCATCACTCGCTTAGTGTGCCGTCACTGTTCCGCTTTCTAGGCGTTTTCAAACCAGTGGACCGCAGCTTTTACCAATCTCGTCTTCTCTCCCTCTTTCAATCTCTCTCAAGAGTGGCTCAACGGCGGCGCTTTATGACGTCACTGTCGAACATGGCAAACGATCTTTCCTCATGCATTCGGAATGATGGTTAGAGCAAACGATAAAATCATGATTGGTACGAATGCCACTCATAATAATGTGGAAACCTTGTCCCAAAAGTCCTCTTGTCCGCGCCCTAGAATCTCTCGTTCATGCCTTGTGCCTAATCAGCATCCAACAAGACCAAAAGAGTCTTCATCCCTCCCACGTAGGTCGCTCATCCTGCCACCACAGCTGTACGCCTCACGCCTGTAGACCAAAAGGTCGTTTGAGAGGTCGCCTGCAAAGCCACCAAAAGATTTTGGTACAAGGGATCTCGGGCGGATCTGCCTCTCACAGCTCCTCCGTGATCCACTTGTCCTGCTTGCTCTGCGATACCGACTTCTCGTACGGACCCCAGGAGCTCTGCAGGGCCACGGCATTGAAGTCAAAGGTGATGCCCTGATCATTGGTACCCTTGCCGCGGGTGAGGATGATGCTGTCGAGGGGCTTGTCGGTGAAGTAGAGCATGGTGCCGGCCTCGACGCCGCCGTTAACGTAGACCTCGAGGACCGAGCGGTCGAGAATGCCGTGCAGGTGGAACTCGACATTCGCGTCGGATCCTTCGCCTGAAGCGGCCTCGAGGGCCTGGACGTTGGAGACGCCAAAGGTGCCGGACCTATCCCACGCCGTGCTGGCACGTCCGATATTGAGGTTTGCCGTGGGAGCGCCGCTGCCAGAGGTGCCGGTGAAATCAAGTCCGAGGGAGACTTGCTCCGTGCCGTTGGACTGGGAGCCCTGGAAGGCCAATTGAGCCGAGGCTGTCGAGCCTTCTTGGAGGAGAGACTTGGCCATCTTGACGGTCAGGGTCCACTCCACGGCGGGGTTGTAGTCGCGGATGACGGCGCTGCTGCCCTCAATGCCCGATACATCTTTCTCGTCGAGGATGGGGTTCCAGCCGGACGTCGTGCTCACAAGCTTCGACAGGTCGCCGGCCGGCGCTGACATGAGTCTGTTGGTGTTGGAATCGAGCCAGTGGCGACGCACACCGCCCATGCAGTGACGCCAGCCCTCTTGGTCGGTCGGCGTGCAGCACCCATAGAGCGTCGCGTCGACCGCCCATGAGACGGAGTATGCATCTTGGTTGGCGTCGTTGAGATTTTGGAAGTGGAAGAAGGCGGTGGCGTATTTGTCGGGGCCAAAGTCAAAGTCGTAGATGGAGAAGCTGTCCTGGCGCGAGAAGATTCCTCTCCGCTCGGTGCCGCTGGAAGGCGCGTCCGGGGTGAAGGTAGTGCCGTCCCACTCGCCGGTGATATACTTGACTGCAGCGCCGCCGGTCGGGCCGCCGCCTCCCAGGCTGAGAGTCAAAACCCATTTGGCGCCCACTGTGCTTCCAGACTTGTCCTTTCGGGGGATTTGGAGGAATTGAGGGCACTCAATCATGCCAATGTTGCGCTGGGGGTTCCAGATGGATACTTGCGTCCAATTGACCAAATTGGTGGAGGTGTAAAAGGCGATTTCACTCTCGAGCGACAGGACCATGACCCAAGTTTTGGTCTCATGGTGGAACGAGGGCTTGGGGTCGCGGAAACCGTGTCTGTTGAGCGAAATAATGGGGTTGTTCTCGTACTGGTTGAAGGTCTCGCCACCATCATAAGACCATGCAAGGTGCTGGGATTCCTGATCCGGCTCCCATGAGGTATAGTAGGCGATGATATTGTCCTTCCAACTGGTCTTGTCTGAAGGAAAGAAGCCTGATGAATTATTTCGGTCAATAACGACGCTTCCCGACCAGATGGAGCCGTCGCGCGCGGTGGCGGGAATGGCAACGGGGTGATCAACCCAGTTGTAGAATTCCGTGGCCGTCGTATGGCCCCAGTGCTTCACGCCATCGCCAGCGACGTTGTCGGTATCTTAGTTTTAGAGTTAGTCGTGAAGTTCTGGAGATGTTTGACACAATGAAGCCAGGCCAAGCTTGGCATAGTCTCATCGAAGCAGTGGCACATGGCATGCCAGATAAGAATGCATCGCAGGGTGAAGAGCATGTATGGAAAGAATGCGGTGTGTCTCATTCGGCGCCAAAATGCGGGGTGGGATTGCAACGCTCATCATCGCGCATGTGATGTTTCCGTCTTTGGCAAAGAGAAGCGCAACCCTCACGCCAACGGGAACTAGCACGTGTGCAGAATGCAGATCCAATGAAATGGGCAGAAAGGCGCCATTGACATTGCACAGGGCAAACACTGGTAACCGCTCGCCCGGAACCTGCGCAAAGGGTTGCGCAGATCAAATTGACCGCGGCTTTGGGGAAGTGTTTCCAATCCGGGCACGTTGTGGGATACGGGCAACAGGTAGGTGGAATAAAACAGGAAGAAACACGCGGCAACGGGATACTCACATTGGTAGTACATGTGCCAGACGCCGTCCGAGTCGACAAAGAGGCCGTTTGGATCATTAAGCCATTCGGCGGGTGGTGAGAAGTGGATTTGGGGCCGCCAGCGGCCGGATCTGTCGGCTGCTTGTCTCGCCATGATGGCTACTGGAGACTCGTCTATTGAGCGTTTGAGGTCTGATGAGAAATGCGCCCGTTCTGCGTCGGAGAAGAAGCCTGGCAGAGCGTATGTCGGTGCTGTGAGCAATGTCGACGACAGCAGCGATGTGTAGAAAAGATGCTGCTTCATGGCTGCTAGAGTCCGGCTAACCGGTCCTTAAGAGAGAGCCAGTGTCAAACTATCGGCCAAACAGTGCGGCGGCGGGTCAGGGGGCGCTGTTCCCTGATCGACAGACTTCGGATGGGGTGAGTAGCGGAGCGTGTCAGCGTAAAGGTAGATTGACTTTAGGACGAAGCTTGTGTAGGTAATCAATGAACTGGAAGTCTGCGGCACGGAAGGAAGTCCAGCTGAGAGACCACACCAAGAAGTTCGGGGTAAGACAAGATGGAGATAAAGAGGTCTTGGTTCATGACCGAGCTAGAGAAGAGCGGGAAAACGAATGATGGATCTGGAGAGAGGGCAGCGGGTATTTAATAACGAAGAACGAAAAGATGGTGAATCAAGCTTGGGAGGTGTCTCTCACAACATGCAGTAGTCCACAGCCATCAAGACAGCAAACAGGAGGAAAAAAGAAAGAAGAAAAAAACGGCAATGAACTAGCCGCAGTGACATCGGCTTAGCCTGGCCTCCGCTGGCTGAGCGGTTGCACCGGCACCGGGAGCAAGTCAATGGCAGCGGTAGACCGGCGAGCAAGAGCTGCCATCATCTCAGCAGGGCTGGTGCGAAAGAACGACAAGATACTTCGTACATGGCACGCCAAGGACGCAGAGGGGAAGGGGCAATCGCGCACCATGCGTCCAAGACAGGTCTCATGACTCTCTGTTCGGTTGGCAGGTGGCTGGCTCTCGTGGCCTCCTTTTCTGCTGCTGCTGGCAAACCACGGCTTACACCCCGCGCCAAGTTGGCCCATCTCCAACTTTTTTTCTAGAAAGTTGGGGTAAGGTATTCATCAGGGGGGACAGTCTCCCCCAACTTGCAGTAAACAACGCTAGATTGTGTAACCGCAAGTGGGAGTGTGAGTGGGAGAGAGACAAAGAGACAGACGCACACACAGACATATACACACAGACATACACACACACACACACACACACACACAGACAGAGAGAGAGAGAGAGAGAGAGAGAGAGGGAGAGAGAGAGAACCACCACCTGATTGATGGTGGACACAACCCTGCAAAACAGCTATTCCAGTAGGGTAGGCGGTAGAGACTGGGACTGCATTGTACGCCCCGGACTGGCGAAGAGGGCCCGTTCCCGTCCCTACTTTCCCCGGATTTCCATTGGTCAGGCGGCCAGGATTTGTGCTGCTTGCATTGCGGAGGGCGGCCTAGCGCTGGGTTGATCAGCTTGGATTAATGGCGACGTTCTGCAGCAACACTCCAGGATGGAACCATGTATCTGGGGAACGGATGCGGGGGTTGATTGTTGACTGCTGTTGACGGGGACATCGTGCTCAGCTTTCTTCTCCATGTTCCATCGAGAAAGAATGGAGAAAGAAAACAATGGCCATGTGAGCGACCTGGTCTTGCCTTTCGAGGTAACGTCGGTGAACCTGGAGGTCACTGACTGGCATGTGGATGAGATACCTCAACTCTTTGTTCGAGGTGCTGGCGGTGTTCGAAAAATGGGTCATTTCCATTCCCCTGCCCCTCCTGAGGCAAGCACTCGCATTACGTAAGCTAGGGTACGGAAACTAAGACTGGAAACTGCCCCTCATTGACGCCGGCAATGACCTCCAAGGTCTTTGGCAACACCAACAGAAATGTTTTGCGGAAGCCAAGACGGACTGGAAGGCATCCTACCTTAATCTTAAAGCTCCTCCTCCTGAAAATGACAGTGTTTGTCTCGGCTACTCTTCCCTCCGGCAGTTTGCCTTCATGGACGGCCGACGGAATGCCAACATCTGCTCCAAGCGGCGTCTGAGTCTGACTCCTTCGCGCGAATGCATGCGCACACCACTTCTGATCGCCAGATCGCGGATGCATTCGGGTCCTATCGTCTCACATTTGCACGTCTTTCAACCCCCTTCCACCGATGGAATGCCAAATCCCACTCGCGGTCGACGAACTTGTGGGTGGAATATTCTACATCAGCTGCAGACCAACAAACTGCAACGGCGCGCGAGATCTGGGCAAGACACAGATCGGCGCCGAGTCAGAGACATGGCGCCCACGCGATGCCAGCCCTAACCGTGACTTATTACTTCAACTTGTATCACTCGAGTCATGATGCTCAAGTCACCAGCCCTTGGCAGTTGTTCTGACGTTACTTCAAATATGCATCGCGAGTCTTGCTCGAGGTCATGAGACAATAATGATCTTTTGTCCGTCTCTCTCTGCCTTACCATCAACGTCTAATTCAAGCATCACGGTCGCCAATGATGATATCCGCTGCCCTCACATATCACATCTTGCGTCGCCACGAGACCATAACACTCGAACCGCAGTTGGTGCAACGTCCGAGCGAGATGAGCATCGCCTTTGCTGATTCCAAACGACGCGAGGCTTCATGCTCACATTAATGTCGGCCCAACTTCGGCATCCAACCATGTTGCCAGAGTCACCGGCACAGGAATGTGTCCAGACGTTACATTAGACGCAAGGCCCCTGACAAGCTGGTCTTCTGTTGGCCGCTGGGCATGGCAGATATTGACATCCCATATGCCCTACCCACCTTTCAGGCCTTTTTGCTCAGCGACCATGTGACGAAACTTTCCTTTGGGCCTTTTAAGCTACAAAGTCTTTACTGCTGCCAGGTTCTCTCGAAAAATCGACTTCTGTTTTGCAGAATCGCCAAATCTAGATCTTCTTTATGGAGAGATTCGCAGCCAAGGCATCTCTCCTCCGAGACCCGCCATCTTCGTTCTGTGCGATGATGCGCCAATGTTGGTCTAGGCTTAGTCGTATCACTTGAATCAACGAAGTCGCTGCCACAACAATCTCATGACTCTCGTCGTCATCGTCAAAATGCCGTTAACGCATCCTCGGCTTTCCTCATCTGGAAGTCTGCCGGCCAACCGGTTGCGAAGTTTCTGTTGCTGCCAGTTGTCCGCCACCACCGAGTATCGTGGTGGAGACCCGGATGCTTAGCTTCAAGATGGGGCATTAAGATGCGCATTATTGACGGGCCTGTGGTCGAAGCCGCATATGTTGCCGCCTACTCGACCTAGCCCGGACTTGTCTGAAGTCGGGATGCTCAAGAACAATGTCCAATTGCGCATGCGGCGCCATCTGCGATGCATTCTCTCGGGTTCGACTATAACCAACGGCGCGAAGCTCGCGATGTTTCCCGGGGCTACGTTAGCTCGGTTCCGAAAGGGTGCCGAGGAAATGCTGGAGGAAGAGCCAGGTGCCAAAAAGCCATCGGCGGAAGATGGCCGCGTCGAGATTATCAGATGAGCTTGATTCATGTCAGGGGCAAGGCGAAGCGAACGACCAATGACATCCGCATGTAACGAGGCTAGCACTTGAGGTTGTCGCTAACGTAGGCAGTCTCTGAAGAAAGGGTGCCCTCGGGCAAACCCCGTTCGCGATGCGGATGGGATGGAATCCGACCATCTGGTCGTCCCGAGACTCGTACTCGATCAATTGTCGCTGCCATCACCGTGTCTTGTGTGGAACCTTAGTCTCTTCATCTTGAGCCTCGTCTCTTTGAAGGCTGTCTCTGCCATGAAGCACTTCAGTCCTGCTGCGGCTCCTTGACGGTCTGGTCCCGTGCCCACCGGCCGCCAAAAGCTCGGCCAGAGTTGGCAGTGAGGGGCGGATTGGGCGAGTAATGGCGCGCCAAATCAAGGTTGAGCGGAGCCCAACGTGTGAGTGCTGGGCAGATATGCAGGTTGCCCAAACTGATGAACGGCGAGCCCCAGTTTCGAGCTCCCGATCATCTCCAATTGGCTCATCTTCTCTCCCATATGCTGCCCACCCTGCGTTATCAGACCAATGCGAGTGAATGCTACCTCTTACTTTTGAGGCCCCCTCCCCTCCAATACACCGCCCCGCCAGATCCAGCACGTCGAATCTGCGCTCAGTTTACTTAAGTATCGCCACGGCCCGGCTCCTTGTCCGCGAGCCAAAAGGCCTCGACTCTCCGCTTTCCCCCACGTCTTCTCAAATCCCTGACTCCCGAGAAACCCGGAAATTTCAATCCCGCCACCCCGCGCCGCCATCAGCCTCATCCCGAGAAGCTTGTCTGAATCCAGCCACCCGGAGGCCAACTCAACTCCATTTAAATAACCTCCACCGTTATCCCAACTTGACTACTTCCGCTCCCGGGCCCCGTCAACTTCGGATCCTCGACAGCAAACCAAAACCAGATACTCCAAGCAAAATTGCTTCAGGAGAATCATCTCAACTTCACAGACCTTACGGAATGGCCCGATAGCATCCCCACGCTTCAACCTCAACTGCACGTCACAAAACACCATTACCTTTTTGGTAGCCTCCCCGGAGAATCATCATCTATTCTGAGAGCCGCATGCGGGGAATTTCCCCGCCTACTCTTTGACTCGGTCAAAGCACCCTTTCACTCCAGGGCTCGCTGTTGCCTCTGGATCTAGTAAACCGCTTAACCGTTTTCCCACGTCCTCCCCATTTCCGACGACCCCCTTCGAACGGGTCGGTCTAACCTGATCATCGGATCAGGTCTTGAAACTTTGCCCAGGAAACCCTCCACTCTGCCACGGTGGCGTTTTACCTAGACACCAGTACACAACCCAACCTTGTTGATTCTTGTTATTGCGTTTTACTCGGAAACACCATCTGTTACTGCGAGTACTACTCCGACCACACGAACACTGCCGCTCTGAAATTAGACTCAGTCGACGATCCACCTCCGATCATCGGCTTGCCGTGTCCGTCATGGAGATCACCTATGGCACTTGGTGTCATGGAGTGTCCACTCGGCACCCCCTCTTATTCTTCGGAAACGCTGAGCCCGACTCTAAGCCCCCTAAACCCCGGGAACGAAAATGAAAGCGATAAAGCCAGCGACAGCGGGTTTAGCAACGGTATTGCGACCCCCGCCGCCGTCGGTATCGACATTTCGCGACTACGTTTTGAATGCCGTTGGCCAAATTGTGGCAAGGTTTTTCGCAGACCTAGTGATTTGACGTAAATCTCACTCCGCTTTCCTTTCCATCTACCCATGGTCATCTGCCCTCTCTCACTCTGTAAGAGGCTGAAACATTGCCTTCAATCCTTTTCGGCGTCCCATCCCTTGACTTATGGTGAGAAATCCGTTGGCTGACTCTTGATACAAAAATCATCAGCAAACACGAGAGGTACCACATCAAGGGATACCTCTGCGACGAGGCGAGCTGTGACAAGGCCTTTGCGACCATGAAGGACCTCAAGCGGCACAAGAAGACGCACGAGACGCTCGATGGCGACAGCGTGGGAGTTTACCGGTGCCGTGTCCCGGGATGCCGAAAGGCGAAGACGGGACACGTGTATAACCGCCGCGACAACTTTGTTCGTCATCTGAGGACCAAGCATGTGGGGATGGACTTTGATGTCAGGGAGGAATTCGACGTGACGTACTGAGGCTGCCTAGGCATATATACGTTAAGTGACACGGATTCTGGGTTAAGAACGAAGGGGTTATGGAAATGAGGAGGACGGCGACAGCTTTTTTTTTTCCCGCGTCCACTTGCAATGTGGATATGATATACGCAACCAAGCAACAGATTCGGCTGTTTTTCTTGTTATTTGCAAGTCGGGTTTGGAATGGCCGCTTCTTTTACAAGCTTGTGAGCCAGACAAGGAAATCCGTAGACATGGGATGGGATACTTGATTTATGTTCTTTATACATGGTTACTACGGTGGATCTTCTGCACACTCGATACCTTATTCATGGAACATGAGACAGGAATGGCTTATGACTGAAGATGTGAGTTGACGGCAGAGTTGGAAGGCCCTAGGGATCCGGGGCGAAGATGATTGTTTCTGTTGGCAGGAAATGGAATGAGATAGAGAAGCCTTTTTGTTTATTTTCTTGGACTCACACTTTTGATAAGTGAAAGAATTGTGTTTAGCTGGGACCAGCGTTGGTTCTTAGACCATAACGAGGATCGAATGGAGTGGCATTATATTGAAGGGAGTCTAGGGACGATACACCAAAGATATAGCTTATAAAACCCTGTATAAATGGTTGTCAGGCAATCGGAAATACGGCTAATGAAAGACACTAGAAAAATAGGAAATAATTCAACGTGAACAACGAGGGTCAAGACTCGGACGCTATTCCCCACAGTCTCGAACAGAGGTTGCATGGGCCTTACTTACATTCTGTTCGAGTTGTTCAACAGACGCCATTAACCTAGACGAAGCAAACAAAGTTTGCGTCTAGTATTTCTAATACATGAACTTTGAAACGTAAGAACTCATTTCCTGGATCCATGCTCGGCTCTCAATAACTCTCATGAGTCTTGACGTTCTCAAGGTTAGAACGCTGGGTTAAAAATTGAAGCATGCTGCCATCAAATACGGGCGCATGTTATAGGACTGGAAACCCGTGTCAGACACAGTGTCAGGCTCCCGCTTTACAGTCACTCACGAAAACCCGATTTTCCAAAAACAATACAGGAGTAAAAGGGGGCTGTAGAATGTAGCCGGCCGGGTCTATGCGTATCGCATCGTCGTGGAAAAGTATTGAAGTATAAATCATCTACTGCGTCACTGGCGTTGGTTTTCACCAAGCTTTTCATTTGATTCGATTATGGAGAGATAAAACACAGAAAGAGAGTGGATCTGCAAGGCGTTTCGAGGTGTAAACAGTTTCTAGTCGGACGCGAACCGCCGGTATACTCTACCAATGCATCCGACCAAAATCCCGCCGTGTGAACGTGTTACCGAAAGAGCCACAAAGTCGACCGCCGTAGTTTGCTGGCAGTCTCAATGACGGAGGTCATTACGTTTGGTAATTCGACGAGATTCGTGACTGTGGGTGGTTGGAGTTGTTGCAGACTTTCATAGAAAAGCCTTTGCAAGATTAGTCGACTACATCTGAAAGGAGTTTGCACGACGGATCGAGGCCATTTTTGTTGATTACGAATAAATCCATCATATTTGGATGCATTTCATGCGTGAGATAGCATCTTCACTCGACCTGGTGTCCGCCAAGACGTTTGAGCAAAGCATGCTACCAAGGCGCAGCAAGAGTTGGGAGACGTGATTGAAACTTCATCCTGCAGATTAGAGACTTCTGTCAAGGTGCTCCAGTTTCTCAGTCACCGAGCCCGATATCTGAATGGAAGACCAGCGCGCCAGTCCATTCTAATCAATCAAACATGATAGTCGAATAAGCAATCAAATAAAGGCCATACAGCGAATCAAACCTTCAAATAGCCGCGGCCGTATATTTCTAACGCCTAATATATTCCTTAACTTGCCACACATATCTAATCAAATAAAGTGGATTCATAGTATCAAAGTAAAGAGGATGTCTCGACCCGTAATTAAAGGCCGGAGCTCCAAAATAAAAATGGAGATAACGTATAAAGTTCAGCACTTACAGGGCCTTGACTACTATATCATACATCTATATATAATATTTAAAATTAACTTTATACTAAATCTATTCAATAATTGTTAAACAATCAAACATACCTTGAAGAATCGGTCAGATAATCCATGACTCTCATATTTTAATAGCTTGCTTGTGCTGACGCGCTGCCAATTACGACAGAGTGTCCGATGCTTAAGGCATCAGTCAGAGATGAAGTCAGAGAGGAATATCTTCATGCTCAGTCTTGCTAGCTAAGACTTATCGATATGCCACAAATCGAGCAGACTCAGACATGAATTGAACCAAGATGATGAATCCTCTGCACATACATCATCTTTGAAATCCTGTGCGACGTTCATTGGATCTCGCCTCGGGTCAGCTTCCTGATTCAGGTCATGTCCCATTGGCTATTTTGCCACCGTGCGAAGATCCGTGACTGAAAAATGACGAGCTGGAGCAGCAGCTATAGTTATTTTCCAGGTGATTAGAGAACCAGGGGTATTTGAGGCGGGAACGACAGTGTTGGCAATGGGGTCTGATAAGGTAATTTGTGGAATGGCGGCGGGCCATATATTCATGTCAAAGCTGACGTCAAGGTTATGGGCTACGACAGTGTAGTTTATCATGCAGTTGAGGTTCATGCTGATGGACCTGAGACCCATCGTGATGATTTCATTTCTTGAATGTGCAGTGATCTGGTTGATGCTAGATGGGGTTGCTGAGCTGGACGTTCGATGGGTTGAGCAGATGCAAGTGCATTTGTTGGGCTGAACACAAACTCATGGACCGTAGACGTCTGAGTTCTAAAGTTGGCATTGATAGGTGTGTTGGGCTTGCTAGAAACAAGCTGGAAACAAGCTAGAAGATGATCCCTTCTAAGTTGGCAAGCTCCACGCCCGGGGACCGTGGAATCGACTTTTTATCATGACATGATGTCAAGGCGCATTGGTACATAAGTGAGGGAGTCAGCAGAGTGTCATCTAACGGAGGGCTCTCGAGGTAGGATTGGGTCGTTGGCAGCATTCGAATCTGGCTGGGCCCCGAAAGTGGCTCCAACAGAAGGGTTTCATATCCCTCATTTGACTAACAGGGGCCCACCAGAGGGCCCTTGTCAGGCACCTGACACATGAGATAGCGGACGTGACAATGCGAACCGTGTCCGTCCCTGGGACGTACGACAGCAAGCTCATCCCAGTTTCCTGGCTACTCGTCATCATCAAGTTTCTGTGTGAGTAAGATTTCATCTTCTATCATTTGGTCAAAGTGAATTATCTCCAACTTCTCAACTTCTCGTCGGAGGTCACTACAACGAGCAAAGTATCGCTACAATCCAATAGATTGCAAGGGAGCCAAGCTTTCCTTTTCAACGAGTTGCATGTCCTGGACTTGGAACTCGCTGTTCTCACACTGATGCGGGACGGAGCGCCTTCGAGAAAGTGCCCGTAGACAGTCGCCAGCTGGCTTCCTTTTGTATTCCACTCGCGAAATCTGTCGGCTGAATGCCTTGGATTGTAAGTCCAAAGGCTCTCTCGGGCCCTGAGTGGCCATACAGACTGGCAGAAGCCCGGTTCTGTTAAGCGCTCTCTAGGTGGTTGTGATAAGTAGTGATATTACTCGCATGTACAGCTCACCTAGGGCACGCATGATGATGCTCACTTCCAACGCACCCGTTAGTAAATTGTCCGAAGCACTGCTGAAGAAGTTGCCAGTATGTCCCCGACGTGTGCTTGAGCTTTGGCTTGATCTCCACACACAGTTGCTCTTAGAAAGAGAAAACGTTGAAATGAGGTGATACGTGCCATTTCCGTCGATGTTTTGAAGCTGTGGGTGCCTTTGCGCAGCCACGTCCTTCGCAATGAAGACGTGAAGGCGTTGACCTGAGACTTTGCCAGATGCTTCGATTACCTTACATAAATCCGTAAGTGCTTCAGCGAGGTATTTAGAAGGCTTTCTACAGACAAAACCATCGATCGCGAGCACAGACGATGCGCAGCCAAGAGCGCCATCTCAATTGCGTAACCGATTTCCAGAATCAAAGCACTGCTCTTGTCTGTACAAAGCGCAGAGATGCCCTTGAAGACCAGGACCTGCTCGTATAATATAGCAACCTCCCAGTATTCAGCCTTCTGTTCAGCCTCTTCAAAGTTGTAACAATCCTTGAAGACAACCTTATCCTCTTCTCATGCGTTTTGTCTAACAAAACTTGGGACCCAAAGCTTCTTACAAAGTCGGGTTCTAGGTGTTGATGAGCCTCATCCCTCCTGGCCACGCAAAGCGGCGTCGAAAGATATGATCGGGAGTCAACCTACACGAAAGAATGCACCGTGCGCCATGATAAGGCAAGTCAAGGTGAGAACCGTGGGCCAAGCGAGGTTGAAATGGTTGGATGCATCGTGCAGTTTTCGCCAGCTCCGTTGAGGCAGCACAATTGTAAGGTCATTTAGCTGCTAATGTTGAGCACGTGGGTGCGTCGGTCTTTCGGACAAAATTTGGACTCGAGTGGATGCATCTCGACTCTCGAGTGAATGCACATGAACGATATCGGGTTGGCTGCTCGATGGACCAACTTCGCATGCTGCGTCGTCTAGATAGTCGGCTACTTGAATGTGGCCAGCCATTTTTGCCTCTTGGGACAGGTATCAAGCTAACGCCCGGACAACAGCCCCAAAATGGTAAGTCGCAAACTACGCGTCGAGCATGGCGGCCTGTCATTTAACCGTATCGAGCCAAGCAGAAAGCATGACTATGGCACCTTTGGACACTCCTTTGGGCGACCGAGAAGATTAGCTTCCAGGCTGCGTAACAAGGGAGCGGAGGTCAAAATACACGTCTCCGCGAGCCAAGGGGACGAACGGTTGGGACCACGTGTGTGAAATCTGGGGCTCCATTGGCTCGGATGGAGACGATGGGACCCCACCCCCCAAAGATCCATTTGCATCACACCCCAGAGACGACTGGAACGTCCTAATGGAAACCGGACCCTGGCTTAGTCTGGCAGGTCTGGACACGACTAGCGGGGGGGCGCGTCTTACTACCTATGTATGTTGGGGCGACGATTACTGAAGAAGGGTGAGAGATGTGGATTTCAAAGTGGATTTAGTACTCGCCTATCATGCGCGATGGGCGATTAAGTTGATCAAAAGGCGTGATACGACAAGTAGGAAGCTGGTGTGCGAGTGGTGGCGAGAATTACCTAGGTGAAAAAGTTTGGTACGGCCGGCGCGAGATGGCGGTGTCAACAGAGTACAGTCGATGGGCCTAACTTTTAGGAAGGTTGAGCGATCTTGAACTCATCGGACTGATGGATGTGACGCCCTCACCATCCGTCGAGGAAGAAACCTCAAAGTCTCTGCTCGAAGGTCATGTGCGCAAAAGACGCTATGCAACATGGCAAGGATATCTTTACCAGAGAGCCGGAATGGGGGAGATGCTCCATGCAACGCGCGCCCCCGGCGTCATACATGAACCACTTCATAAATTCATTAAGACGACCTAGATTCAATATTTGCCAACAGGGAACGCCGACCGAGCACGTGGTTGAAGAGAGGAGTCTTTTACAAGTCCAGCGAACAGACTGGAGCCCGTCCTTAAGAAGACAACGGGCACGCGACAGGCGCGACAGGCTGACAGCTATCAATGCGGCCTCTTCAATGTCGGGTAGGCAGTATCGACATTCCTAGACGGGCGTCGCGCCCTGATAAAGCTTGACCTCCTTCTTGGCGGCGGTGGCATCATCGCACACCTCAGTGGAAGCAAAGTTGTCGATGCCAAGTGCCAAGCAGCCAAGCAGCCAAGCAGCGGCAGACCACGGGAGTTGCAGCCAGGAACGAGAGCCGCACCAGGGTATTTCTTCAACGTCATGTCGTGGGTTTTGCAACATGGAGTTGCCATTCGACACGTCCAGAGTTGAAAGGTTTTCGTCAAGCTAAACACATGAAGATTCGGCGCTGACACTAGGAGCCATTGGCATCGAACGTCGTTACTGGTTTGAAGCCGTGGCGCAACGTGCTCCCGATTCGTAACGTGATTGGTGGGCCCGTTCCACGGAAACATCAAGCCCTCCTTCAATCCCCCTCCCCCCCCGGGCCCCGGGGGCTGAATCGATGGGAGGGTCGGCCGGGCCTAGTATGGTAGGCAGATGCTAAAAGTTGAAGTTGAAAGCAAAGGAAGTACCTCGGGCGGAGAAGGACATGTCACTCATGGAGACGGTGGTACCCCCTGTTGCTGGACTCAGTGGCCTCGTGTCGGGCGTTCGGTCTGTGGAATTGGCTAAATTACGGACGGTTCCAACGTGGAATGGCAGCCAACGTGCTGCGATGATATGCCAGCAGAGAATTGCGTCTCGGTGACAATGAGACATTCGGCGTCATCGTCCCCAATCGAGGGTTGGACATTGTCCTCATATTCCAGTTCGCGCCTCAGACTGCCATCTTGGATGAACTGTTCACGGTGCCAAGGCGCCAAGGTGCCACTGGACAATGGAAAATCGACCTGGCGGCCAAGCATATTAATCGGCTGTAGCCAAGTGTTCCGTTGGCAGCGCCCAGAAAGCTTGACTGTTATCCTTGGGTCAGGGCTGCTCAAGGCTGTGCCAGGTTGGCCTGGACAAGTGAAATAAGGTCGGAATTTGTTAGAGCGGTACGGATACTGCTACTGCGCATGCGCATGCCACTGTCGTTATGGTTCCCTAACTCGACTAGCATCGCCCCTCCAGGGACCATGTTCTCAAAGCAAGCATGCCCATTGGTTCCCGAGCAATATTGACACGGGCGGGCCGTTACAACTCACTCCCAGTGTCCCTACTATTTACACAACAGCTATCCGGAAAGTTAGGTGAGTTAGATGGTTTGCCTATCTCGACTCTCAAACTCTGCAGACAGCCAGCACGTCCATTTACTCCAGCGTGCAAAAAGTCTGACGAGGACGTATGTGTCTTGTTTGATCTTATCGTAGCTGGTGTAAGAGCCAGAAAGTGAAAATCGGCGGGTAGCCAGTCGGGTGCCGCGGTCTGGAAGTTCAGCCAAAGTATCCGTAGGGACGAGAGACGAAGTCTGGGAAAAAAGTGAAAAAGACGCGCCATTCCCAATCGGTCGCCGAGCACGTCTCCACCCACACAACCATATTTCCAGACCTGCGCAGCAGCACGAATCCCTGTGGGATCCCTGCGGGATCCCTGCTGCACTCTTCTATCGGCTGGCGTCTCTTTTGGGTTGTCGGCGGCGTCTCCATATTGCTGCTCCCCAGGCGGCCTTTTCCATTTCCATTTCGAACCTTGTCCTCGTCGAATCCACAGCCACCGTCTCGCAGCGCTCTCGCTCTCTCTCGCCCCCACTCCTCTCTCTATCTCAGTGTTGACCCAAGAGGCGTAGTCTAGGTGATACTCTCGCACATCTTTGACGCTTGTCATTCGCCCTACGAGGTACAACAGCCCTCCCTCCATCTCGTCCCGTCCTCCACGCTAGCACCTTAGTCTCCGTGGTGGAGGCTGATTCCGAACCATGTCTTCTTCTCGGTGTCCCTAGTCGTCGCATGTTCCGGCTCCACTAGAGAGTGTTCGCTGCCAATATCCATGCATGTAACTCTGCGAAAGGCTCCCAGCTCAGATGGCATGAAGTCCCCTTGCCCACAATGTGTCCGGCTTATAAGCCAAACACGCTCCCCGGTCCCTTACCCATTGAGTTTGCTTGCACTTCTCGTTCACCCCTCACCCTTTCCTAGCAGGTCATCAAAGCCACCCAACCTGCTTCTCCTTCGGGCCTGACTTTGCCATTCGTTTAGTCAACTGGGCTCCGAGCAGAACGACAAAATGGCCGGCATCATCGAATCTCCCAAGGCCGCGGGCGTAGATGCCACCACTACCGACATCAAACACAACAAGACAGCGGGCGGAAACGCTGCTTTCCACAACTTCAACAATGATTTCGCTCACGTTGCCGACGCCAACGAACGCCGCCGCCTTGCTCTGGCCGAGATCGACAAGGCGCCTTTTGGCTGGTACCACGTTCGTGCCATCGTCGTTGCCGGTATTGGTTTCTTCACCGACTCGGTACGTCGTCCTAGGAGTAACGGCGTCGATTGAGGCTGACCTGAATCCAGTATGACATTTTCACCATCGGTCTCGTCACTTCCATGCTGGGTATAGTGTACTTTGGCGGTACTCTCCCTGCCGACTACGATACCGCTGTCAAAATCGCCACCTCCGCCGGTACAGTTGTTGGTCAGGTCGGATTCGGTATCCTGGCTGATATCGTCGGTCGTAAGAAGATGGTAGGCGCTCGCACTTTCATCATCGGCATTGAGAATGGGAGGAGTATCTAACTCAATCGCAGTATGGTATCGAGCTGATGGTCATCATCATTGCGACCCTTGCCCAGGCTCTCTCGTCTTCCTCTCCCTCTGTTTCAATCGTCGGCCTCATCGTCTTTTGGCGTGTCATCATGGTAAGCGTTGATCTGGCGAGTTGAGGCAGAATACCACTAACAAAGATCACAGGGTATGGGCATCGGCGGCGACTACCCCCTTAGCGCAATCATTACATCCGAGTTTGCCACGACCAAGTGGAGAGGATTCATGATGAACGCAGTGTAGGTCCACCAGCTCTACCCCGTGAAGCAACCACTTTCTAACGTGAGCCATAGTTTTGCCAATCAGGGTTTCGGCCAGCTCGCTGGTGGTATCATGCTCCTGATCGTCACTGCCGGCTTTAAAGGCTCTCTCGAGACCGCGGCGAAGGCTGCCGCTTGCTCTAAAACCGAACCTTGCCTTATTGCCGTCGATAAGATGTGGCGGACGATGATCGGCTTCGGAGCTGTCCCTGGCTGTCTCGCCTTGTACTTCCGTCTCACTATCCCCGAGACTCCCAGATACACCTTCGACGTCGACAATGACGTTTCCAAGGCTGAAGGTGACGTCGACTACTACAAGCAGGGCAAATGGGGCGAGTCCCAAGTCGATGAGGCGGCCCGCGTCATCGCCCGCCAGGAGGCCAAGCAGCAGCTTGAGGTCCCCAAGGCCTCTTGGAGAGATTTCTTCCGTCACTACAGCACCTGGAAGAATGCCAGAGTCCTCCTCGGTACCGCTGGCTCGTGGTTCTTCCTTGATGTTGCCTTCTACGGCCTTGGTCTGAACAATGCCATTATTCTCAATGCCATTGGATGGTCTGGTGGCTCCAACATGTACCACATTTTCTACAAGACGGCTGTTGGCAACCTGATTCTTGTCTGCGCCGGCGCTGTTCCTGGATACTGGGTCTCCGCCGCTCTCGTCGATACCATTGGCCGCAAGCCCATCCAGCTTTTCGGATTCTTCGCGCTTACCCTTCTCTTCTGCGTCATCGGTTTCGACTACTGGAACCTGTCAGGTTCTTCCCTCATGGCGCTGTACACCTTGGCGCAGTTCTTCTTCAACGCCGGTCCCAACTCGACGACTTTTATCGTTCCTGGCGAATGCTTCCCTACCAGATACAGATCCACTTCTCACGGAATTTCTGCTGCTTCAGGCAAGGTTGGCGCTATCATTGCGCAGGTGGTTTTCGGACCCCTCCGTACCATCGGTGCCGATGCCACCAAGGCCAAGACCGACCCGAGATACAGTACCCCCTGGCTCAACCACATCATGCAGATCTTTGCACTTTTCATGCTTTGCGGTATCTTCACCAGTCTCCTGATCCCGGAGACGGCAAGAAAGACGCTCGAGGAGCTTTCCGGCGAGGACGACTTGTACGTTCCCAAACCTGACCCTCCGTTACAACCGTTCTCCAAACTGTACTGACTGAAATCACAGGGCCACGAGCGCTATTCCCGTCCACGGACACAATGAGGAGAAGCGTGTTGAGGAAGGTACCGCCACCGGATCCGTCTGAACGCGGTGACAACTGGGGTGAACCCAAATTTGAGCATTCGTTGTTTTCAGCAGCGATCGATACCCTTACTAGTAATCAAAGGAGCCAAGGAAGAGTTTCATATGTAGCATATTGTAGACATAATAGAGAGCACTTATTGCATATTGTGTCAGCCAGTTGTGCTGCTTGTTATGACGATACTGTGGGGGTATGAATGACTTTGAATTCTGCCGACGGTTGATATTGGTGTGCGCGACGCCTGTGTCGTGCATATATGGTGGTTCTCATTGAATATCCGAGACTTTGCGAACCATCTGATGAATCTTGTCTGATACGTCAACTTGCAAATAATTGTTGAGACGGCAGTGGCGTTGGCCAAGCCTCGACGCCGTTGACACTTTGCCTACCTTACCTACGGATACTAGGTACGTAAGCAGCGGAGTGTTGACGGGAGCTTGGGCTTGGACTCGCTTGGGTGGCGCACAGACCAATCGCAACCACATGACGTCCGTCTCGTTTGCTGCAGGGACTTTGACCACTGCCCACCGGGCACCCCGCCGAGCCCGCCAAGTGGATCTTCGGCCGCCCAAAAGTATTGAAAGTTCGGGGCATTCCCCCACCCGAAGCTCGCCGGACCTCCCTCCAACATCTCCAGATCCAACTTGCACCACTCTCTGACCATGGCCGCCTTTCTTCGACAAAAGCAGACAGGCATGCAGAATGACCTGTCTGCGTCAATCATTCCCGACCTCTTCGCTCCCGACTACCAGTCTGCATATGGAATTAACTCTCAGGTTAGGTCAGTAGCCCAGCTACCCCACGTTGACGCGCGTCAACGCTATGGCATCTCGAACCCCAGATTGCGATGTGAAGACCGAGGCTGATTGTAAGAGATGCAGCTGCCTAGCCTACGACCCGATCCAGTCCCTTCTCGCAATCGCCACCAACGAGTCCAAGTTCGGCCCCGGCAAGATCTTCGTCTTTGGCCAAAACAGAGTCTCCAAGGTCATCGACCCGCCAAGGCGCACATCCTTCCGCTCACTCCACTTCACCGCCAATAAGCTTGTCTCCCTCGATGCCAGGAACGAGCTGGGAATATGGGACCTTGATACTGCGAAGCGCACAGCTGCTCTCGTTTGTCCTGGTCCGGTCAGCTCCATCATCACAGACCCAATGCTTGATTGGGCATTCCTTGGCTTGGCCACCGGAGAAGTCTTGGCCTACGATTTGGACAGGGAGAACATTACGAGGTCATTCCGACTACCGAACTTCTGGAAAGAGAGAGATCCCAACGCCCGCATCGTTGGCCTGGTGAGCATTTCGCTGCACCCGAGAGACATTGGGCAGATGCTCATCGCGTACACCACGGGCGTTGTTCTCTATTCGTTTAAGCAAAACAAAGCTATCAAGTTCTTCGAATACGTACTGCAACCAGGCGCACCTGGCGGTGGGGGCGAGTCGCCAGACACGGTTCGCAGGCCGAGAGTCTCGCATGCCCTGTGGCATCCCACAGGAACCTTCATCATGACGGCGCACGACGATGGTAGTTTGGTATTCTGGGATCCCAAGGATGGCCGCATCGTTATGGCCAGGACCATTACCGAGATGAATATCGATCAGCCGACACCGAAAGCTGGTCACATCGGCTTCACAGAGCCATATGGACGGATCGCCTGGTGCTGCAAAGAGAACCCGGATGATACTGGGCTCTTGATTTCTGGTGGCTTAAGTCCGGATGTCCCTCAGCAAGGGTTGACCTTCATTGAGTTAGGTCAGACACCGATATATGCGACGTCGTCTTGGCAAGTTCTCCATGACCATTTCCATGGCAAACGCCAAATCACCTTGCCGACTCCGCCGGGCGCTCAAGTTGCAGACTTCCTCCTCATCCCTCGTTCTTCGCCCTATTTTGCTGGCGCACAGGACCCAATCGCGGTCATGACTCTTCTGACTTCGGGCGAGCTGCTGACGATGAGCTTCCCATCGGGGTACCCTATCAGCCCTACGAATCAGCTGCATCCGTCCATCTCCTTTGTCCACCCATATGTCAACAAATTCGCTGTACAGACACTGGATAGAGGTCGCTGGTTGGGCATGGTCGAGAACAGGAACCAAGGCGAACCCCTCTTGAAGGGTGGTGCCGAATCTGCAAAGCCGAAGCGTAGGTACGAAGGCCGCACCATCTTCCAGATAGCACACGGGGACAGTACCGTGCGGCTTTGGGACGCTGGTCATGCGGATGAGATGGAGAACCCGACTATGCTACAGGTCGATGTAGCACGGGCACTGGACCGCTACGAGGACATCGAAATAACGGCGATGAACTTGGCCCCCAACACTGGCGAATTCGCGGTGGGAACTCGTACGGGTGAACTGGTTCTTTACAGATGGGCTGGCAACCGATTCTTTGGAAAAGACCATCACGAAGATCTGCCATCCAATCCGGGCTCGCTGACGGACATCAGTTCAAGAGCAGAACGTGGCCTGAAAGAGGGCCTGCAGCCGTGGCAATTGTACGAAATGATGCAGGGTCCTATCACGGCCGTCTGCGTCTCGGACGTGGGATTCGTGGGCGTCGGCTCAGAGGGTGGCTTCTTTAGCGTCATCGACTTGCGCGGTCCCTCTGTCATCTTCCAAATCTCCATGACAGAGTTTGCCAAGCACGAAAAGAGGTCGTCTTTCTTGAAGGGGTCTCATGGCAATGCCCATGGAAAAGAGTGGGCGGTAGCCATTGAGTTCAGCGTCATGACGCTGGAAGGCGACAACTACTCTAGCATCTGCTGTTTCGTGGGAACCAATCTTGGCAGAGTGGCCACTTTCAAGGTGCTGCCGTCTGGCAACAGCTATTCCGTCAATCTGGCCGGCGTCCAGCAATTTGACGGCAAGATCGTGGCACTTTGCCCCATCCAAGCAGACACCGGAAGACCTGCTTTCGCGACAGGCCCGATTGTTGCGGGACTCAGAAATGGGCAGCAGGTCAATGGCGTTCTCATTGCCGGTAAGCCCCCTTGATGTGACATTTCCTGTGCTGTTAGCAACTGACAAACGACTAGTGACACAAACTGAAATTCGAATCTTCAAGCCTGCCGGTGGGAAGGGCGCATCCAAAACTTTTGATGACATTCTTTGTGACGCTGCAAACGTCACCGAATTCGAGCTTCATGGCTTCGCCATCGTCGGTGTATTTGGTGATCGAACGACTCGTGCATACTCCATCCCTGGCCTCAAGGAAATCGGCAATGCGCCGCTTCCCATGCTCGACGGCAGTCGCACTCTCTCGTCTGTAGTAACGCAGACTGGCGACATCTTTGGCTGGACCGGCCCCAGTGAGATTGCCGTCCTGTCCGTTTGGGGCACTGCCAAAGATCTTCAAGTCAGCGATGACATTCTCATCAACCCCGAACTTGTCACGCCTCCCCGCCCCACCATCTCGAATATGCAGTGGCTTTCCGGCACGCAGCATGTTTCTCCGACTGACCTCGACCTTCTGATCGACCCTAACCGCCCACCAAGCCGTCGTATGATGGCCGCGGCGGCGGCTGAAGCGAGAGCAGCCCGCTCTGCAGGTCAACCCGGCCCGAGTAATGCGGGAAGAGCCAACGAAGGTTGGGGCGATTATCTGACGAGACAACTTAACGAGCGCACCGAGAAGCTGAACATCATGAGCGATAGTATGGATAACCTGCAGAATCAGAGCCAGGGTTGGGCAGACGACGTGGGCAAGTACATGAATAAGCAGAAGAGGAACATCGTGCTTGGAGGCATCAAGGGCAAGTTCTTTTAGGTGACTACGACGAAATGATTAATGGCTGCTACGGCCTCGAGGGGATATTTTTCTAGAGCTTTGTGTAAATTAGGGCGTTAAGTATTCAAATATGCTCACTCTTCATTTGTCAACTTCATCAATAAGATTGATCCTCCCATTCTTTGATCAATGAATGTTTGCATCGCAGAATCTGTGCTGCATTGGTGATGAGTAGTTTACTGTAAGGGGCTTGATATTGATTGCCCTGCCTTTTCCAACTTTCCCCCTTTGCTCATTGTTTGGAGACATTTATTGACGACTTTGAGCCTGGCCAAGTCCTCCCAAACAACCAAACATCCCTCTCCCGTCTCACCAAGCCTCCTCGTAGCAGCCAACAGAAACAGAAGACCCCGAATCTTACAAATGATTTGCCAGTATCATATGAAATCGGTCGCTGGACGCGGCCCGCATCGTATCGACCGCAGAGGAGTCGCAGGGTCACTAGGTTAGCGGCTTCTAAAGATTCTACTATCGCGTTTTTCGATTCCAAGTATGAAGGGATGTGGGCTATCGCGTTAGCCAACAACATACAGAAATGGGGATACTTGCCTGCCATCCAAATCCCCCTCGCTTGTACGTCACCAGCGAATCTTATGGTGTCTCTAGCGTCGATAGACGAATATTCTGTGTGATGGATGTGTTCCTAGGCTTGCGTGTTAGGTACGAGAGGGTTGGGTTGCTTACCTTGAAATAGTCTGGGTATCAGAGGCGAGCTCTGGGAGATCTGGAGAAGATTTCATTTAGCGTGAGAGAGGGCTTTGGGGTGAACTTACAGTTTTCCTGGTGACACTTGTTGTACAATATGAAATGCCTGTCTGTCAAGAGGCCCTGCAGTGAGCTCTCAGATTAAGGAGAAGGGTAGACTTACAGATGACAAGATCATACGTGGCCACCCTCGCGCTCTTTCTAGAGATGTCAGCGTGACAGGGGAGAAAGGACTTACAGAATATTCTGATTCAAGGTTTTGACCGGAAAGCTTGGGAACACAAAGTTCTAGACACGTTAGTAGAGGAGGAAGAGAAACTCACTGTGAGATAGATCTTTAACGCTCGTCTTTCCTTGAGAGCCTGTATAATTGGCAATTCAGTAAGAGAGAGAGAGAGAGAGAGAGAGAGAGAGAGAGAGAGAGAACGCACCTACTATCGATGATTAAAGGTAGTCATTCAGCCACAGAAGTCAAAGTATAACTGGCTATGCAAGTTAGTGTAGAGTGAGGGAAGAACATACCTCAAGTGTGATGGATCATGGAGCCAGTACGGGCTGAGAATCAGTGACGCCTTATGAATGATCAGCGGAGACTGAAGGGAGCGGAACACTTACATGCTGTGAACACGAGAGAATCATAAAGTTCGAGGGCCTGCAATCCGTCAGTGAGCTTGCGCGAAAATGCAGTTTAGAAGCAATACATAAGACATCTGGCCGGAGAGTCGTACGGGCAACATTGACCGGCTCAGAATGCTTGATATGACGGTTCTTTTCAGAGGTGAAGGCGAAAAGAGAAGTCTGCGGGCACTTTCTGCGTTAGCAAAGACGGAAGACAGAGAGCGCTCACCTGGACGGGGAAAGCTGGTTGGTGTTGAAGCGTGTGATGAGGACGAGGGAAATTGAATTGTTGGTTGGCTAAGGACCAGAAGCTATATAGAACCATACTTCGAAGCCTGGCCTTCAATCGACGTCGAGTCTTCGAGCACGTTTCGGCCCTGTATGCTTTGTTCTCCTTTCATTGTCGGTGTGGCTGAACAAGAGGGCAGAGTTCCCAATTACCTTGTTTCGAGGACCAAGAGAAAAGCGAAACTGAACTTGTGAAGGGAATGATAGGCAACGAGTGAAAGACAACATTTTATCAGAAATCGTCGAGTCGAATTCTTTGTACTTTAGTTTCTTCCATGGAGTCAAACCATCCAATGGTCTTTCAAGCTTTTTAATTTCTTGAGGCCTTGGTTCTCAAAAGATCTGGCTCAGTCCATTCATTCTTCTACAGTGGGAAGTTGCTAGCGGGCATGAACTTTGTTGTCACACAGAAAAATGGCTTGATTGTTCTCATTGTGAATCTGCAGCGAAAGGTCTTATTCTGCAAGAGTACGGATGACAAATGCGAGCCATCGATGCGCTATTCTACCTCATGAAGAGCCTGTCTAAACTTGCACGGCATGTTGTCTTCGATACAACTGCACGACTGATGTAATCTATGCACAGAACTCTTAATAACAGGACCTATATCTACATCTGGCAGACGTATAATGAGATTTTGCTACTAAATCCTGGTAGAACTTCAGAGCGGGAAAGAAGGACCATCTGGATAGTACGCGTGTAGCGACGCGAATCCGTCATACGGCTCCAGATTTCGTTGTCGCTCATCTAGGACTCCAAAACTTGAAGGTAGAGTTTGTGAGCTTCCGAGAACAGTGGTGAGACATACAGTCTCAAGGAAATTTACTCATGCTTCAGTTCCCACTCCCAGGCAAGAACTCAGAGGCATATTTTAGCCGCCTCGATGTCAAGTCCCGTGCTGTCCGCGAGCACCTTGACTCCCCGACAGAGGTGGACCCCTCCTCCAATGAAACCTGTGATTGCTTCAACCCCTTTTCCCAAATGTAGATTTCGTTGATGATGGAGACGTGCTTAGCATAGTTCATTTCCACCTCCTTCATGTCAGCGACCTCCTCGTCGGTCAGGTGCAGGCCCATGGCAAAGCACATCAGTGCCGAGAGCAAACTGCTCCATCGAGCAGGCAGACGTCAATATCAACTAACACGCATGTAAAACCGCTAGTGGAATATCACTCAAGCCTTGCCCACGTCCCGCTCTCTTTACTGCAGGTATTGAACAAGCTCTGTGATCTCTGTGCGGATCTTCTCCGTCTGTGCCCGCATAAGAACAAAGATGGGCTTCAAAACCCGAACCGCGAGATGCTCGTCCTTCTTGAGCATGCTTGCCCACAGATCGTAAGACACGACATCTGCGGGAATTGTGCCTTGTAAGTGAAGCGTTAATTTCTGGGTGCAGAGCAGTTTGATAGTCGTCGTCTCACTACTCTGAAGCTCCTTTGACAATCCGAAATACTGGGTATCCATTCGAGGTTGGCAGCGTTAACGATGCCTCTCGGGCAAACACCAGAATGTTTATTTCCGTAAGTGGGCGTGTCGAGCCCGGACGTCGGCGAAGATGGTCTTTGCTACAGCGTAGGTCCTGCTCCTACGCCGTAAGCCTGCATCGGTGAATGACTTCCAAGTCTGCGTAGCCCCCCAGGTGGAAGCGAATCACAGATCCCACCTTACGGATGTAGTGGACTAGCAGGGCCTACTCGGCACGGCAGGCCGGCTGACCCGTCGGTCACTAGATCCGAGATTGGCTGTGCCGTTTCCTTTTCCTTCGGTAGGCAACAACCCCACTCGTGATCCTGATCTCCACCCCTGGCGCAAGCTCCTGTCTGAGCCTCATTTGACAGGGACTGTAAGCAGGGGAGCCCTGGTGCTTGGGCTGGTCCTCAGCTTGTCAGGGTCGGGCGGCATTGACAGTGATTACGCACGATACTGACGTTCTCGCACCGGTTGTTTTTCAGGTTTCTCTTCTTTCTGGCTGATTACAGTCTCGACCACATCCATAGCCATGACCATAAAGCGATACCTTTTATTCGGTCCTCCCCCTTTGCCTGCTCATTGCTGGCTACGAGACACCTGCGCCGTCACTCAGTTTATCCTTCGATTCCGGTATCCATGATGGCGTACCCTAACAATGTTGGCATCAAGGCCATGGAGATCTACGTCCCCGGACAGGTTCGTGAGTTGTTAGAGGCGTTCCGCAGCTTCATCCTCGGTCTGGCTCAGCAATTAATCTAGATCCCCAGGCTTTGGACCAGTCGCTTTTTGAACAATATCAGGGCGTTTCGGCTGGAAAATACACTATCGGCTTGGGTCTTAAGTACATGAACTTCTGCAATGACCGTGAAGGTAAGTACATATGATGCGACAGCCCCGCTACTTTTAGTGAAAGCGCCATTCCGGAGTGGCGCTCCGTATGCCTATCACCTACTGACGTGACGACCTAAGATGCGTCTTCCCTTGCTCTCACGGCAGTGTCCTCTCTCCTGAAGAAGTACAACATCGACCCCAAGACCATCGGCCGCCTAGAGGTCGGCACGGAGTCCCTGATCGATAAGGCAAAGTCCATCAAGACTGTGCTGACCCAGCTCTTCGAGCCTGCCGGCAATACGAGCCTAGAGGGTGTCGACACCATCAACGCGTGCTACGGGGGCACGAGTGCTCTTTTCAATGCCGTCAACTGGGTCGAGTCTCGCTCATGGGATGGCCGCGACGCAATCGTGGTGGCCTCGGACATTGCGCTCTATAAGGAGGCCTCGTCCCGGCCGACCGGCGGCGCCGGCTGTGTCGCCATGCTCGTGGGCCCTGACGCGGTGCTCTCTCTGGATCCAGCGCTCAAGGGCACCTTCATGACCCACGCCTACGACTTCTATAAGCCCGACCTCAAGGCAGAGTTCCCCATAGTCAACGGGCACGAGTCTCTCCAATGTTACACCTCGGCGCTGGATGGCTGCTATAACCGTCTCCGGGAAAGAATCGAGGAGGCCAACGTGAAGGCGAACGGCCACGGCCACGGCCCCAAGACTGATACACGCAACCTACTGGACATCTTCGACTATATGGCCTTCCACACCCCTAACTGCAAGCTTGTCAGTAAGTCTTATGGACGTTTACTGTACAACGACTACAAGCTGGGTGGTGACCTGGACACGTGGGGTAAGGTCCCCACTGAGCTACGCGAGCTGAGCTACGAGGAGTCCTTGAAAAGTAAAGAGCTGGAGAAACTTTTTGTGACCCTGTCCAAGGATCGTTTCAAGTTGCGAGTTGAGCCGTGTATTGCCGCCCCTTCGCAATGCGGCAACATGTATACGGCTAGTCTGTACTGCTCCCTCATCAGTTTGATCAGCAATATCGACCTGAAGGATTCAGTGGGAAAGACAATTGGCATGTTCAGCGTAAGTCGTCGTTGGGTTTTTGTATTCTCAGACGCTCTATTCGTGCTAATTATCCTTATCCCTACTAGTACGGCAGCGGAATCGCCAGTACTCTATTTGCGCTCAAGGTCACAGGTGATCTTACCGAACTGGTCCAAAAGATTGATCTCATGAACCGATTGAATCAGCGCAAGATCGCAACTCCTAAAGAATATGAAGAGGTAATCAACCATGTAAAAATGTTCTGATTTTAAGCCGTTGCTGATCGCACACAACCAGGCTTGCGCCCTCAGATTGAAGGCTTATGGCGCCAGGAACTTTGAGCCTACTGGAAGCATCGAGGACATGGCTCCGGGCACACACTATCTGAAGGGAATCGATGAGGCGTATCGGAGGACGTATGCCGTGAAGGAGTAGAAACATGATGTACTGATGACAAGCGTTGTTCTCTCGTTGTTTGTACCAGGGATCCGGCCCAGAGCAAGTAGCAGATGAAATCTAGGAGACAAACATTAGACAGACATAGAGCATAGATCGCTCAGCGCCTCCGAATGAGTTAAACAAGCATCGAGCAACGGAATAAATAATTTGCATCTGCTTTGATTTTTAAGTTTTTAATTGCGTCCGAGCGAATTTCTGTTTAAGATAACGAACGTTCTTAAATATGCTACATTAACAGCCACAATACCAAGATGGCATCAAGTTGCGAGTAATCAAGTGATTAGCCTGAGCGTGCATTCTGCAGATAAAGGGCGGCTCAAATGGAGCTATACTTAATCTATTTTAAAGCTCTCAACATCTCCTTGGATGTGTCTCTTGATTCGCCGACCAAGGCTTATACAAGAAAGAAAACGTTTAAGAATAAATTATTCTCCTCACCTTGTTGAACACAGCAGCAATATACTATGAAATTGGTTTTGGATCCGTAACTCATCCCTAGTCGTGAGCAAATGTCGCAAGGTATCATTAGCCATAGTGCCATTTCCGTCACGCCTACCGTTTTGTTCGCTTGCTAATGATCTTTCAGTGAAGAGTAGAGACTCTGTATCACAGCTGTTGTAAGATTCACTCTCCCCCCGGCATTTTACGATTGAGGGCTTCAGCTGCTCCTAGCTGACATACACAGTGGTTTAGGATGACGTTGTTGCTGCTGATGCCATTAAGTGCAAGCAGCAACCGGCAGTCGCAAAAGCTCTCATAGAAACGCAGAATTAGACCGTGAGGCCCGCTTTCATGTTCCCTTGCTCCTCTCCATCTCTCTCGTTTCTCAAAGCATCTTGGCTCACGTAGTTCCTACATCATATAAACCGACTCAATCAGAGTCAGAAATAATAGATTAGGCACAAGAACAAGAATTTCCTCTGCCCCCTTATAAGAGTATCCATCGCTGGGGCAAGCAGTTTCATCAAGGTTCCAGCCGGAGTGTGTCAATGCTTCAGGTTGCAAAGGTGAAAGCCCGCAAAGCCACCGTTCTTTGTTCCTGATTACCTCCCCAGCATATTCGTGACAAAACACGTTGTCAGGCAGGCGTGTCGAGCACAGCCCGAGGTGTAAGTAACCTTTAGTAAAAATCTCTTTGCAAAGGGGAAAAGGAAAAGGAAAATCGAGCTGAGCCAGATGGCTCCAGAGCAGCCAACCCCAACAGAGGCATCACAGTCGACGGCACCAACGGCATCGAGATAATTGCAACCGAGAAACAAGAAGGCAAGGACCAGATCCCAAATGCAGATTTAATATCATACCCAGACCCGATATTTGCTATGTAAAAGCTGGGTTCATACAGACTGTTGTCTATAATTCCTAGGGAGATCACGATTGATTCAAGTTGGGAACTCGATTCCACAAACAACGGAGACACATGTGCCTGACATTTAGAGGCTTCTCTTAGTCTTCTGTCGAAAGATCTGCGTAGTATATTAGCTACAGGAGCATAGCCTTGTTGAATGAATTACTGTTTGCAGTAACATAATTCTCCAGAACCTGCAAGACGCTATCAAAAACCTAGACATTCACCTTGCTGACTCTGTGATGGATAAGGTGACACACAAAGTCACAAGTAGAGGCAAAGACATCTAATTTTTTGTAATCTTCTTCCTATAGGAGTGATGAGATTGGAAGAATCTAGCGTAAGTGTATACAGATATGGCTTATGCATGCCAGCCGAAACTAAGCTACTTAGGATCTCTTTTCCTCTATAGGAGGCGTCAGCGGGACATCTTGCAGGCCTGCTACAATAGATGCGAATCTCGGCGTCTTTGTCTTCTTCTGGATCTCGCTAAACCGTTCACCACGGCCGCCCTCAGCTATATCTCTCTCCTCACCTCTAAATTCCTCCACGTCTCTCAGGCTCTCCTCAGAAGGGCTTACAACCACAAAGACATCGTCATCCTCCAGCGACTGCCAGTCCCGCGAAGGCGCTGCGACCGCCGGTGCATCCGAACCCTGCACATTGGACGGCTCGAACCTATACCGGTTGTGGAGAGGGTGCCTGCCGTACTCCTTGATGTAAAAATCCAGCGTCACCTGCAAGTTGCGACAGTCCTGGCGGATGAATTCGTGCTGGTTCTTCAGGGTCTTGTGGACTTGTTCGAGTTTGTCTTGCTCGGTGGCGAGGGCACGGAAGCTTGCGCGGTCGCGACTGAGGCGGATGCGGAAGATCACTGCGAAGAGAATCGCAATGATGGAGAGAGCTGAGACGGCAACGAGGCCTACCAGGATGCGCTTGACGCCTACGCAGTTGACGCCGCCAAAGTCGCCGTACTCTTCGCGAGAAACGAGCAAGTGTCTCAGCAAGAGTTCGTGAGGAGGCATGTTTGGGATGTTGCTGTAGACTATGTTAGCGAAAGGAAGAGGATGGTAGCTGTACCTAGTAATGTCTGTGTAAATATATCTGGATAACACGCCTCCGGTGTCTGTCTTGCTTCAGAACGAGAAGACAAACTGTCAACCGGCGAGATTCTGGGCTTATAAAGATTATATCACGAGAATCTTGATGGCTCTAAGCATCGTAGTCACAAAGTATTGTTCACCAGACACCAGATACAGTGGCTTTGAGTCTCAACGTGTCCTTCTGGCAGTCTTTGTTCGATTTCAGATATGATGCTTAACAAAGAAAACCGATACAGACCTCGATCAGTTTTGAACTTTTGATTGGTCTTGGGAATCTGGCCGATGTGTGGACTGCTCGTCAGGACACAGGCGAATCGTCACAATGAAAGAGGTCATAGAACGAGTGACCGCAACAGTGGATGCGAACACTAAACAGTCACAGAGTGCTTTAGGCTGGAAGCAAGATCAGGTGGAGCAATGAAATGCCAAGGATCCGCCGAGGCCGACAATGGTACCCTCGGAAGGCTCCGAGGAAGCTGTTCGGACATGCTCCCCGACCTAGTATCCAAACACGTAGTCACCAGGTAGGCAGAAGTGCATGAACAGTGGTGCGAAGCGGGGCGTCTTGTCAACAGCATCTTGCATTCTGAGTTGAAGCAATATCCAGAACAGCGGTCTGAAGAATTGCTGCAAAATATGCACTTACCGCAGGACGATAAAAGCAAGGCGCAGAATGCACCTCACTCGTTCCGGAAATGGTGTGGCACATGCGGGATCACTCACACACCCTCAACCATGGCCAGTGAGCCGGCAAGTGAGGGCAACTGAGAAGCCAGGATTCAAGAGTGCACATCTACGAGGGTCGGCAGATTGCGGCACAGACAGGGGACCCAGACAGGGCACCCCCAATACTCGCCGCTGCCATGGCCGCCTTGTTGAGTGTTTTCTCCAGGGGCCGCGTCGTTGTGCCGAAAAGTTTGCTTGATCGATCCGGCAATTGCTCTTCTGCCGAACTGTAACACGAGAAACTGCAGGTCACCAGCTGGTGAAGGGTTGGCTTCTGAGGCTCAAGAAGATGAGGAACCGCATGCGTATCGGTCGTGAGCGACCTCGCCCTGGCTTGGGCACAGAAAACTCATCAAAAAAGCAGGCTATTTTGCTGTCAAGAATGCCGCAACAAGATCAACATGCCTGCACGTACATAGCCTGGCTGCCCGGGGTTAGGAACGCAGCGGTCAAACACCTAGCTGTCCCTCGGCCGTCAAGAAAAAGCAACTATGAAAAGTGCAGAATTGGAAAAAGTAAAATGAGGCCCGCTGTCGATCCATGAAGAGCAAGTGACATGGACGGAAACGGTCGACTGCAGGCGTTGATCTGCGCGAACGATGCTCGGTGGGAGTGGCAGTTTTCTCTTCCTCACTCACCGCCATGTAGCGTGGAGGATACGAAACTGACTTGGTTTTCAGGTTCCAGACGGTTCATGGAGGCCTTCGGACATGCTTGATGGATGTGGCGTGTTTCAAGTTGCGCAGCGATGGAGTCTTTTTTTGATTGGTAAAAGCTTTGTATCCAGCTCGACATTGGCTGAGAGCTGAGAAGTGACGGGGAGGGCACTTTATTGATGGATTGGTGAGTCCTGAACCGGTCAGGGATGGTGTTGTAGCCGGCGGTAGTCAGGACCGCTGAGAAAAATTAGTCGCGTTGGTGCGGCCGCATAATGCATGGCCGCCATCCGATAACCCTGGCAGTTGAGGGGAGACGTGGGATGGTGAGAAATAGACCACCATTCCGTGGCAGTCTGGCTGACAGGTCCGCTGCAGGAGTCTCTCGGGAAGTGGTTCAACTCCGTTATCAGTTTGTTTGTGGACCCAAACACCGTGCCAGTGAGCCGTAACTTTGTCCTCGGACGAGTTTCGCTCGCATTTCGTGAATCGTTCGCTGGATATATTCTGGGGCTACGTACTTGCATTATGGCGGGATGCGGCAATCCGCCGATCCAGTGGCTCGGGCTCAAAGGGTAGTTCAAAGGTGTCATTCAACCCATCTGCAAGAACATTGATGATGACGATGCCGCGAGATGGCAAGTTTCATCTCGAGGCCTGGGATTCGAAGACCTTGCTCATCGTATTAACATCGAGTCTGGTATGTCCACTGCCGTTCCGAGCTTGGCTTGGCATCAAAAGCCGCGTGGTTCTGCTAAAGCTCACTTGAGATGAGAGAATAATGTGACAGCTGACTGAAAATGTGGTGATGCAATGTGCCAGGTATCCAAGGCGGTGACACGAAGTGGTAATTGCAATGGTTGAGGTTGAATAAGGTGGGGGAATCTGCCCGTGGTATCCAGAGATCAGCCTACTACGTCGTGTACCTAGGTGTATCTCGAGCATCAGGTCGCTTGGATTGCTAGCGGTGCATACCTCAAAAGATACACTTCGGTTCAACTCTCAGGTTCTGACGGCTGCCCAGGCCTGGGTCGCTAAGGTAGACCGGTTCATCGCATATTCCGACAGGGAACCGCACCACTCTAGGACAGCGAAGTGAGATTGGCGACGCTAGGCCTAGCGCCGGGGCTCGATGTAGGCCATATGTCATGCGCTAGTACGTACCATTATCGAAGTTCCTCATGTTTGCTGCCACTGTCTAGAAGACGGTTGCGGCAGGACTTCCCTCTTAGTAGGGGCGATGGATGACACGGGGACTACGGAGTACATAGTAAGGACTCGGTGAAATTGGGAGCCACGTGGCGCCATGGGATCCCTGGTTAGGGCGTCGTCGCAGCAATGAGAATGGCGCGAGCGATTGCGCACAGCTCTCGGAAGTTTCCTGGCCCCTTGCCCCTGTCGGTACTTGTCTCAATTCTCAAGTGCGGATACGTCGATACGTGAGTGACGGGGCGGTTGGTGAAAGAAGCGAAATGAAGCGAAGCTTACTACTATGTATGTAGGTAGTGTTGCTGGCGGCGACATGGGCGTTGGCATGGGCGAAGTATTCTGCAAGATGGGATTACGACATCTGATTGCAGCCTTGGGCTTGAGGTCCTCTCAATGGTCAAGTACTATAGTAGCGCACCCGCCGCGGTACGTGCCTTGGAGAGTACAATGGTAGGCCGAATTTCCAAATAAGGAAAGGTGGTCCAGAGATGGGCTGGCAGGGGGCATGGTTATGAATCAATCTGGGCAAAAAAGGGTACGTCCAGGGGTCTGACTACCTTGTAAAACCGTACAAGGGTAGATCCACTACTTTACGGGGAGGAAAGGGAAGGGCACCTTCAAGAAGAGGGAAAAGTGGAAAGGAGGGGAGGGGAAGAGGCACAGGGGGCGTGGGTGCTCAAGGAACACATCACAAAGTCACCAAAGTCACCAAAGTCACCAAAGTCACCAAAGCCACCAAAGTCACAGACAGGCAAGGATCCCCCTCCAAAAAGCCACCCTCCTCTTCTCACGGAGCCTCAGGCTGTTCCTCTCACGCGCAGAATTCCAGAAGTTACCCCATGTAGTGTAAGGATAGGTTTGGAAAAGAGAAAACGAAAAAGCCTACCTTACGCCAAGAAGTTCTACCTGAAGTACCTACCTCAAGTACCTTAGACACGCAGGGCCGGGCGTTCAAGGTCACCCCTCACCGCCTCCCGTCTTTCTCGCCGTCGTTCCGGGCCGCTCATCATCACGACTTTACGAGGACCAGCCTCCAGCCCGTCGTGGTTCATTCTTCTTCCATACCCATGACCTTATCTCAATAAAGTTGCCTTGTATCGGTCGATTTAGCGTGCTCTCTTTCTGCAGGTCAGTCACTCGCCTCTGCCCCGCCTACCGACAACACTGGGGCAGCTCCCAACCACCTACGACAGCTTACTAGCTAAGGTACGGATAGGCTTGTTTCGAATCCTACCTGATAATCATGAGTTGTTCACCCCCTTGTATTTCTTTGCTAACGACTGCCCCTGTCTGCTAAGTCGCGAGGGCAATTACAATGTCCGAGTCCCATGCGCAATCCCCCAGCGCCCGTACATCTCGAACGCGGCTTTTGCCTCCCGACGGTGCCTCCAGAACTACGCCCGTAGCCAAAACTGCGGGCTGATCGGTAAGGCCCCCCGCAAAATAATCCAGGGACGGGGGTTCGTTCCACTGGCGTATGGACGACGGCATCCAAGATGGGCTCATCAAGACACGATGGTATCCTTGATTGAACGAGACGCCCCCGGTCCTTCTAGAAGCATTTCACAGCCTCCTCCATCGTCCCAGACGTCGGTAAACTCGACTGCCCAGGGAGGCGCCCAAGTCAGACGATAAGTCTCTTTAGACCTCACCGCTTTTCAACCTTGACCGTATTCAGCACCACGCCTCTCGCACTGAAGGACTTCTTCATCAACTCTGCGCATCGGGTACGTAGCGAAACGCATCCTGGTAAAACAACCAAAAAAAACGCCGCCATCCCCCCGCATGCCCTGTTCCCTTCTACATGAACGATGTACTGGGCGTGAACTCTTACGATTCGGCTCATGAGGGCAACCTTTCTCCAACTGAAAGACACGACCTACCTAGCTCCTTGCATTAGCCTGCCTGCACGCCCCTGGGTCGCGATTGCCACTATGGAAGAAAAAGTGTTCTCATGGTCATTCCCGTCCAATTTGGGGGCTTTTTTCCAGGGCCATGTTGTTGCATTAGGTACCTTACCTTAGCTATTCATATCCTGTCGTCTGAGCTCCAGGTTGTCAAGTACTGTCGTACTCTCTTGGCCGACCATTGCCTCTTCCACCTTTCCTTCTCTCCCACCACCCTTTTCCTCATGGTCTCCACTGTACCTTTCCTTCTCCCCCAATGCCGTTGGGTCAATGAGGCCCGCGTCTCAGTCTGATGCATCCTACGGAATTGCTACTATCAAATTCGCCACTTTACGACCTCTTTCATGGTGTAGATGACCCCGTTCCTGGATCTGTCCGCACGGCTGATCCTGCAGGCAAGGGAAATTGTGTAATCCCAACAGGCATGATGACTTGGGAGTCAGGCACGAGGTCAATGTCAGACGCAAGTACTCGGAATAACTACACTTTTATCAAACGAATCCCTGACCATCGGGGAAGTTGCGAGGTACCTTGACCTGGTGGTTGCCAGTCATTTAACATCCCCTGCCTCACCTAGGTAGGTTGGTACGGTGCTTTCGAGCAGCCGCACCCCATCTTTTGTCGGTATTCTGCGCCGTGTTCCATGCCTTGGCCGTTGCCGTCCTTCGCCAATCTCTCACTTACTCTCCTCGCGTACATGACGCCCTTTTGACCGCTTCTGAAAGGCGACCAGATCTGGGCCGCCAACAACTCTCATTCTCACCTCAGTTTACTTAAACTCCATCTTTCACCATCTTAACCAACTTCCAAGAATGACTTTGCTACCATTCATTCTCTCCAAGAAGACTGACACCTCCATATGATTTGTATCGGAAGGGTGCTCGACGCCTTCTTTTTCGACGATCTCTCAGCTTCACCTCCACCATCTTGGCCACCAGCTTCTCTATATTCCACTTCGTACTTCGGCTCTCCATCCAAAATCTGCAGCTCGGCCACTATGACCGCCAGCCACACATCTTCGCAGCACAACCATGCTGGAAGTCTGTAAGACACTTCCACTCCTCAATCCAACCGTCCCGTAGGGATACCGCTTCAGACTTTGGCTAACACCGAATAGAAGTAGCGGGTCTGCTGAGAAGTCCCCCTCAAACGAAAAGCCCTCGCGAGATACCCGTCTTGAAATGTTCGAGAAAGACGACCAAGATAATCTGTATTCTCGCCTCCGCGATGGTGAATCCAAATCTCAGACTCTCGAGGACAAGCTCGGTCAACACCTCTCGAAGGTCCCGGGACCGACTACAACGAAGCACTAGTGCACTCGAGCATACCTCACCGTCAGCAACCAATCCTGTGTACTCTACAACTCGTCACCATGTTCCGTTCTGGCTGGTATAGTCCCATTACCTTTGGATGCCGAATGTCCTTCGCAATAATGTTGTTTTTCACTGTTTCATTCATTATTTATCGAGATTAAACAAAACCAACCCCGGAGTTACTATGTACCTAGGAAAGGATGTTTCCTTTACCAAAGACACGCAAATGCCTTGGCCGCACATCATGTATCAAAAGATTTCCCGTCAATGATTTTTTTCTTCGTATAGACACAACGTCCCGTCCCTCGTTTTCTGAACAGCACCGTCGAATGTCAATCAACACGTCAGCACCCGCCGACGCCTATGAACAATCTCGGAGCCTTCCTTGAGATCAAGGGCGGTGCCATACAGATTGATGATGCTTGGAACTGCTTTGCCTGCAGTATTTTGCTGGCCCAGTCCGCCTCGCCAGCAACAACTCGCCAGCCTGCTGGGATAAAACGCCCGACACCGAGTTGCGAAGACATAGGTGACGCATAGCGCGCGAATGTCCACGAAAGACACGCGCGTCTCGACTATTGATTTCAAAGAAAAAGGCTTTCGCCAAGGCAAACCGTGGGTCATTGGTCAGCTATCCGCGAAGTCGAACGGGAGGGCACGCGCGGCCCAAGTTCGACATCCCAATCCTGGATCCCAACCACATTTTGCTTCTGCTGGGCAAAAGGTGTCGCACGCTTCACTAGTGCTCACCTGCCCACCTGCGTATCATGTTGAACAACTATCGGGCCAAGACCTTGCTCTACTCTAGCCTATGCTTCCTCGCTCCCCACGACTTTTCCCCCCACCCCCATCACGAAGAATGGGCGCCAGGGAATTGGGAATGGCATTAGCGTTGGCAAGGCACCCGGACCTTACTTCAAAATCCACTGAACCCCTTGAGGATACTAGTGGGCCGCCACGCTGCATACCTGGCTGGCGCTATCCCTGCACGCCTTGTAGGGCGACGAGAACTCGACCGAACAAGGGCCGATAACCTGCCTACCTCGCTGGCCTCTCAAACTCGCAGGAATTTTGTTCAGTTTCAACAAGCAGTTAAGGCTTCGAGCTTGTTCTTGTCAGCTGAAAATTATGTCCGAGACGCAGCCGTTTGGAATTTCGCCAGCCAATGCGCTTTCACGGTCGGCCCCCCCGCCCCCAAAGCAAACCGGCACTTTGTCAGGCGAAAAATCCCGGCACTTTTAATTGTCTCTTTTGATTTGACAGATCTGATTTCGGGCCCCCGTAGATCTATCTAGATACCCTCGGTGCCTCGGCACAATTAGAGTCGGAACAATGACCGACCGCACGACAATGATTCGCTCGAGTGAGAGTCTGACAAAGCAGAGCCGCCGGCTTGGGTAAAGAAAAAAGCAGCAAGATCCATGTCTGGCTGAATGCAAAGGTCGGGATGCGACAGGAAACCTTGAAACGCCTGGCGCTGTAGGAGGCTCACTCGGAAGAGCCAACCGGGGACTCGGCTCGTGGATAGTCAGCCCGTTCGTCGGGAACGGACCGTCGACATGTGGATACCGGCCCCGTTACCCCGTCTGTGGGACCGCACGGACGGGGCTGGGGGAAACAGCCACAGCCGTCGTCCGGTCCTGTTTCTTCGGGAAGTAGTCTTAGGCCTTTGTTCTGTGGATTAGCGTGGTTCTAATCGGAAGACACTTGGTAGCTTCAAACCCGTTGGTTGTTGGAGGAGGCTAGAGCGCCACAAGCGAGGGCCTTGAAACGACGTCAATCTTGTCTCGACGTCCGCTTCCCTTGGGCTCCCAACAACAGAATTCCAGCCATGTCAATGTCAAACGACCAGAAACCCCATTTCAAGATTCTGGTACTGCCTAACGTGTTACATCGCGGCGGGAGAACGAGGGGAGAATATGTCAAGTGCCCAGACCAACGATACGGGGTAGCTTATTAATCGGTACGGACGGCGTCAACGGCACAACTTCCTTAATCCCGACAACATCTAGATGTTCCTTACGTGCGATGTTCATGAGAGCCTGTCATTTTCTTGCCCAAATTGCCCTATTGATGCCTTCCTCTGGTGCCCTTTGACCAAATCGCTCACTAGTTGTCCTTGATTAGAAACAATGAAACCCTCAGTCAGCCTTGCTTTGACGCTGGCCGCCGCCGCCGCAGCCACCGTTAAGGGGCATATCGCCGCTTGGGCGGATGGCATGTACCGTCGGGAATGTTGTCGAGAGCTGTAAGCCATAGATCCCCTATCGTGGCGAGCAGGGCGCTCAAGCTACCTTAGCCACGGCAGGGTGGAACCAACAACGCGGTAGACGATGCCAACACCAACCTGGTTGTCAACCCGCTCTACCAATTCCAAAAGCCGGTTGGTGGATGCAAGCTGACCACGCCTGTGATAAGGTCTCCCTTTCCAGCGGGCCAGTTCCTCAACTTACCCGCCTGGGGCAAGTCCACCGTCGATCCGGGAGGCAGCCGCGGCCGCACGAGCCTTTCGTATGGCGGCAAGACTGCGACTCAGTGACCGGGCTGCATCCGCATCCAACATCCGGAAGACTGGCACACGCCTGGTCCGGGCAAGGGTCTCGTCGATAACCCCGATGGGAAAGGCGGTGCGATGCATTTGCAGAACTACACCACTGCGGCCGGGATGGCATCCGCCGTCAGCTACCAATCGGATATCAAGAAGGTGACGATGGAGAACCTCGTCGTCTTTTCGGTTGTCGAGCAGTACATCGACCTTTCTGATGCCAAACCTCAGCAACTGACAATCAGCGAACGCAGTACTCCGTGGAAACGCGTGACTTCATACCACGTTCCCTTCTTGCCCGGTGCCCTGTGGGTGGTGACTACTGCGCCTGGCTCTGGGTTCCAAATGGCTGCAAGGAAACCCTCGCTTGTGACCTGTCTTGGCGTACTTGCCTGAGTCGTGAACCGCAGGTGGCTGGCAAAACATGTAAGTCGTCGCCACCAGACACGATCAGAACGGAAGGACACTATTAAGCTGCAAGGTTACATGCAAAGCTTGAGATGCAATGTTACCAACGCTGTGTCCACGAAGAAATAGGGCATTGCAAGGCCGCCCGTCGCTTGACGAGATGATTACAAGAAGTGCGTTGCTGGACCAAGTCAGATGATTGTTCGGAATCGTGAATCGTCGCGAGGTGACGGTGACCTGTTTGTTCTGCCTACCTAGAAGCTGAAAGTCGATGCAGAAGCCGAAGGAAACAACGTCCCGAATATTGGTTACAGCCCGGGGTACAACGCTAGAATGGGCTTCAAGGCAGGTGCTCAGAATGACATTTTTGTCTAGAGCGCGTCGTCGGACCTTCGCCTCCAGCCTACCATCTGCATGATTCCAGATCCGGATAAGCACACCTTGACCGAGAACGCTAGCGAAACGCACCGGTGACATGGGGCTTCGACTGAGCAGTCGCGCGTAGTCATGTCTTCCCCCCTTCTTGTTCCATACCGTTGCCTATGAGCGGGAAGAAAAAAGCACAAACATCGCTTAGTTTACTCCTGAAAGACCGTCGGCACGCATGGCAAGATGAAGCCGAGCATCTCTAGCCAAAACTTGCCCAGATTGATGCGGGGATCTTTGACTAGTGTTTGTGCGCATGTCACTGTGAAGCGGCATGTTGGAGGCATGACCTGATCTGAAAAGTGATATCGTGAAATGATCTTAGCGACTTATATGCAGCTTGGTCCTTTCAAACCCTATTACGGCCGTACTACTGCGAGGAGACGTGGCCGAGCACAAGAGTTGAAGCGCGTAATCTTGTTGCAGTCGAATGGATGCAACGTGCCCAAGTTGTGCCACACCGGCGAACTGCGTTGCTACACCGGCACGCGGCCTCTCACCGTGGACGGGTTGGTGAGATGGCAAAGGTCGTGGGGACGACTTGACGAGTGACTTGTGGACAACGTGTGGGGGGCCCAGGCACTTCCTGTCGTCTGAAGTCAGTGAGGGGTCTTGCTGCCAAGGTCGAAGACATGACGTGAGATGAGAGCTTTGACGGCCCTAGAACGGGCAAAGCATAAACGCTTAAGCCAACTCCAAAGGCTCAAAGCCGCCAAATTGTTTGTCAGCCATTTGCCCCAGCTTCAGGTCAGGAAATGACTCACCGAAAGATTTTCGGGCTGGTCGCACGACTAAAATCTCCGGGATTGATTTTGCATGGAGAACCTATCGATACTCTCTCGGGTGGTACACGGGGAGCTTGGTAGCAGCAACCGGCGGTGGCACGTCGCGCCACGCGCTCAACGCTCTCGATGGTGCAAACAAGGCGGACAGTCTGTGATGATGTCACAAGGGTGTATATGGCGTTAATTGCTGCCCGCAATTAACGGCGTCGCTTTTGCGACAGATGAATATGAAGGAACGATTTGCATCATCCAAGTTTCGTCACCCCCTCCAGGAGACCTTACTCTTCCTCCGCCGCCCGCTCGTTCTTGGTATGGATGTGCCAGGCGGTGTGGCACAGCCGATGTAGTGCTCACGATGTTCTTTCCGACATGTCGATCAAGAGGCGACCGCAGGGCTTCATGTTTGAAAGCGCGGCTTTTCCAGACATCCCAGAGCAAACGACGGTGGACGCAGGGTTGCTCTTGGCCTCAGAATGCGCTCGCCAATAGGGATGTATCCGCTTTTTGCCGGCAACGCGATACCGTAAGCTTGCTAGCTCTCCGACATCCAATTTGCAAATATCCGTGCCGCCCACTGATAATGCAGTTCTTCCACTTCCGCAGCACCAAAGATAGGCAAGCGTGGATGTGTTTGTGTGTGTGTGTGTGTGGCGACAGCAGCCAGTTGGCATTGAGCAAGAATAACGTGGCCTCCCGGCATGGGCCGTTCCACTGGCGCAATTCCCCTGTCGACTACAAAATCAAGGTTCGATCAGGGAGGCGTAGGGTCTGCGACCCCGCGGACCCTTCCTCATTCCTGAGGCAACGGCACCTCGGTCGGTTCGCAAGCGTCCGGCCTGCTGGTGCCGGATGTATGCTTTAGCTTCCGCGGGAAGCTTGACAGTGATGGATGCAAGGTCAATGACAGGGGAGTTGTCCGAACAGTTCGACGCCAAGTAGCTGGGAATTTCGCGGCAACGATTCCGTCGCAAGGCGTCTGCAGGCAATTTGCAGCCGGTCTTGTCATGCGACGCTGGAATGGTCAACGGACTGGTGGGAGAAGCGATCGTCCGATTTCACACTCCCAAGATCCTCCCACGATCCTGAGCGGTCCCTCAGAGACGCAGGACCGGTGACACCGACGAGTCTCAGTCTGACTCCATTTTGCAAAGACCCCGGGGATCTTGTGCGTGTTTCCCCATACATGGCCTTGGGCGGGTAGTTCGTCGATTCGGCCCGACGTCCAATGGGATTCGTCCCACGCTTGGTATCGGGCTAAGCCCAAAGCGCTGACCTTCTTTGAGGCTACCGCCAAGACTTGTCGGTTTCTCTGTCGTGAGATTGAGGCCATGTAAACCGGTGCAACTGCAGAGTGTTTCCTTTTGGACTTCCGCTCCATAGCACGGTGGACGAGTGAGTGCGCTGGCAGCTGGCCCTGGCCTCACGATCGGTCTTCAGCCATAAGTAGGTGCGACCCTGCAATAAACTCGATGGTTTTCTATCCCTCTACCAGATCATCAGCCTTGGGCCATTTGCAACAGCATATTAACCATACGTTCAAAATCACATTGCAACGATACACTATCAACCTCTTCAACTTTTGATTAAAGACCCTGGTAGCTGCAGTATGCCTGCCTCCAAAGTTTCCGTCGTTGTCAACGGCGCTTCTGCGTCAAAGTTGGTCAAAGTGTCTTACCTGTCCCCGTAGTTTCCGAGTACTGACCCGTTTGTAGGGCGACATCAAATCCAGAGAGTCAGGCCGCGGAGTCTCAGTCCCGTGTCACTGAGTTCCTCAAGACGGATTGCAACTTGTACCGGAGACTCAGCCAAAACGCGCCTAACAGAACCGTCGAGTATGAAACTCGTGCTCGCGATGCAATGAGGGAAGTCGACACAAGACTTCAGCGTGGCGCAAATTGACACGGGCTCATGTCGATAAGTTTCGGAATCAATTAATTTCGGAAGCGAGCAATACCCCTTGGACTGTGTTCGATGTTGGAGCGAGGATCGCTGTCAGTGTCGTCGTCAATACAGAAGAATAATCGCCCATTCGATGAAATGAAAGTTGGGCTGCTACATAGCTGGGCGGCGGTCCTACTTGACAGGTGGGTAGGCACGTGGGGGGAGCCATCTTGGCGTTTGACAGCAGGTGACCTGAGAAACGACTTTCTTCTTTCTTGCTCAGGTCACCTACCTAACCAGGTGGCCAGTACAAGGTACCGATGGAACGGAGGATCTCAAACAACGGCAAGAACCGTTGTCCGGGAAGGCGTCCCTGGCGATGGCCAAGAAATAGGAAGCCCTGCTCCATGGCCAGACGATCAAGAAGAAGGAAGAAAGAAAAAGACAATGATCCTGCCTAGATTTGAGATGTTTCGGGAGTAAGAGCCGGCCGTGTGGGGATGGAAGGATGTGCTTGACAGAAGGATCAATGACCGTGCTCGAGTGACATGTGCAAGAGCAACCGGCGCCAGGTGGGGCTTTGGTGCTAGAAATTTAGTGTAGAACACCTTAGCGTTTCCATAGGTACCTAAGGTAGTCGCTCCATGAGTCCATGGTACCTTTTTTCATTAGGTCCAAACAGTTCGTCAAAAAGTGGACCGACTTTTCCCTACCGTAAAGTACCTTGCCTCTGGTAAGCAATGCTGGCGCCCATGAGCTCTGGTTCCGTACAACATACCTTGTGGCCTTTCACGAAGCCAAACTGCTTGACCATTTGGCTACTTCTAGACAACATTGCATTAGTTGGATAACAACCATGTGCAGCGATGCCAAAATGGTCAGCGTACCGAGGCTGTGAAGCGGGCAGTGCATTAGTCTCTACACCGGCCATGTTAGCTATGCTGCAGCCTCGTTTTTCTGAGATAATGTAGCAAGCAGCGATTTAGTCCCCGATTTTGTCGTCATCTTTCAAAAAAGTGCAACTATACTTGACACGGCAAGCAATTTGAACCGATAAGGCTGAGACTATGCAGGCTTACTCTGCAGGAATCAGGATACATGGTGGACTGCTGAGATCCGCGGCTACGACTGCCTCTGAGACAGAGACACGCTTAGTCGTTGTCTCAAGTCCGAGTAATGGAGAAAATCACGAACTGAGTCGACTTCGCTTCTTTGTTGTAGGACTTTTACTACATGCTTTAATTCCCCTACCCTGGACCCTTTGATCTTGCTCCTTTACACGCTGAAACGATTTCGTCCAGTTCGATTTCCAACCCAAAAATATTCGTGTGTTATTTAATCTGATACTCAAAGCTTTTACGTAGTTCCTACAAGCGTTCTTTCTGCAACCTCACGCGATAAGCTATTCTGACATTGCCATCGCATCGTTCTGGAAGCCATCTAGCAAAGCCATATTATCAGCCGTGGAGATACACAGGAGTACGCAAAGGAAAGGCAAGCCGAGATTCATATCTCTACAGATTTGCAGAATTAATGTTGTCTTTAAGTCTTTTTTAGCTGGCTTCAGACTTGTTTTGCAAGTTCTGGAGCCCATCGAGCAAGGATCATGAAAGAGATAGATTGAACGCTCGAGCAACTCCCCGGGGGCATGCAAAACATCGCTAGTCAGGGAGATGGTCGCAGAACTTCATTCACAACCGATCTCAAGGGATTAGGTTTCCAGTTTCTACCCCTAAGTTAGGCTCGCTACCAAAAGGCAGCATTATTATCGAAATACAGGACGACTGTGTTTCGACAGCAGCTAGGCTCTCACAAGATCTAGGTGAATTCTTGAGATGTACGGTTTCGAAGCTCACTGGACTGGTAATGGAATAGGAATGAGGGTCTGGATGATGCAACTACACTCTGAACACCACGTCAGGGGTATATTAGACGGATCAGGAGACTTGGCCCCTCTGGCAAACCTTTCTCTTCTACTTCACGCAGTATAAGATATTCGATAGAGAGGTATCTGCTTCGTCAGACCCAGGCCGCAGGCCGCAATCGCCTTTAATACATACATTCCAAGAGTTGGAATGTTTCAAACTCTGATGAAAATTGGATGAATCCTCGAGCATATTGCCACGAGGTGCTGGCATCATGACAGCCTCCCTGGGGATTCTCAATGGTCGACCAACGATTTACCTATCGTTGTCATCTATCAACAGTCCTTTTGAAAAAAAAAATGGGGTCCTCTGAAGCAGTCAATTTTGGCTCAGTGGAGATTTTTTAGAAGGCCTGCTTAACTTTAAATCAGTCCAGGAAATCCTTGTTCAAGCCCGGACCCGCTGCCCCGTTCCAGCAGAAGTCCCAATGCTGAACAGAGATCCCAGGCTGGAGCTCATCCAAGCCTCTCGGCTCGCAACTGCCAGTTGGGTGATCCTCTTTGTCTTTTTTTTAAATGGACTGTAACTCCTAATACTAGTGTAGGTGGCTCCCAAAATCACGCTTGCTTCCTTTTTGAAACTAACCTTGAGTGTCTAAGGCCGATGCACACTTGTATCGGGCACTTTCGGGTGTCTAGCCCGATGAGACCAAATCATTCGCGATCTTCATACCTGCGCCACATCCTTCCGGAGTAGCATAAGCGCTATAATCTTTCGACAAAAGCTATATAAGTATCAACGCTATTGTGCATGTTCAAATTTGTAGAAACTCATGATGTGCAAGCGTTGTTCACTTCGATTACAATGTCAATCTTATACATCAAGTCTTTACTGTTCGGGAATAGTCACACAAGTGTCAACACAGGGGAAGCAGCACCTGAATCCTTGGGCCCAAGATTGGTTCCAGAGAAAGACACCTCTGATACCCTGACGTTGCCAGATGGCCGAGAACTGGGCTATGCACAATTTGGACTCTCGACAGGGAAACCCATATTTTACTGCCATGGCCTCCCAGGCTCCCGTGTCGAAGCTGGTCATCTTCACAAGGCAGCTTTAGATGTAGGGGCTCGGATCATTGCGACGGACCGCCCAGGGATGGGCTTGAGCACTCCTCAGCCCGGACGAACGCTTCTCGATCACCCCAAGGACTTGGAACACCTTGCGACGCATCTCAATTTGAAGGAATTCGGGGTTCTGGTACGCAATTTAGATCTTCCATACTAATATTCTGCTGCTAACTTTTGGGAGGGCGTATCTGGAGGCGGTCCCTATGCACTGGCCTGCGCCACTACGATGCCTAGCGAGAAGCTCAAATGCGTGTCCATTGTTTGCGGCATCGGGCCGCCTGACATTGGCATGAGTGGAGCCGGATGGTTCCACTGGGTCGGGTTCAACTACGGATGGCGCTACGCCCCTCGACTCGCCGGATGGTTCTTCCACCAGCAAGGGCGCTTCCATCTATCAGACGATGAACGACTCCAACTTCAGCTCCAGGATGCGGAGAAGAAGAAAGCAACGCTCCCGAGGCAAGAAGCCGAAATCTGGTTAGACAGAGAAATCGTAGGGCGAATGGTCATGACCAGTCGACAGTATTTCGCCCAGGGAATTGATGGTGTAAGCCATGATGGTCACCTCGTTGGCACCGAGTTTGGATTTCGTATTGAGGATATTCGGTCTGATCTGCCTGTGCGACTCTGGTACGGCAAGGATGACACGTTCGTCCCTATGAATCATGGAATACAGATTGCCAAGAGATTGGGAAGCAGGGGCCATCTCAGACTCGAAGATGATACGCATGCCAGCATATTCTTTAAATGGGGAAAGGAGGTTCTGGCGGACTTGGTCCGGAAAATCTGAATTGTGCTTCTTTGAACTTTTGTCTCACCACTCTAAATATGTATACAACTAATTTGAATCGCTACTTTCACACAGGTTTAACATTGCAAACATCTGATATGACTACATGTAGTCTTGATAGAGAACTTATTGCTCTAGAACCAAGTCCCGCTCGCAAAGTTTACTACTTGTACCTCATCGGTGTACGCAGAGAGTGACTCCAACCGTTTGCATTCACTTCCAAACAGAAAATTTAATACCGAGAAGTTATTTATTGGATAGTTTCAAGCGCTGGACTTCAACCTCCGATAAAAGAAAAACGCTGAGATATCGCACAAGGCCGCCAGTAAATATCAGGGTCTTGTGATTGTGTCTTCTGGGGCTTACACTTCGGTACCCTATCAGGTTCGAGCGACTCATTAGGTGGTGGTGGCACATGCATAAGGTAACCATCGGAATAATCAAATGGGTCAACAAATTTCCGACAAAAAGACACAGAATTATACCAACCCCGGGTCGCCATCCCACCAGGCTGACTCTGTGGTCCTGGTAATCCTTTCGGGAAACTCTTCCGGCCGCTCGAGCTTCGTGAGAAGCCCTCTCAAACAAACGTTACAATAAAGAAATCTTCCTGTGCTCTGCACCGTCGCAACAATCGAAACCCGGCGATGCTCATATGCAATCTTTCTTTATAGATTTATCGTATTTTGGTAACCTCTTCTGGTTCAAAGTTCTGGTGAAAGCCCATACTAGCTAGACAAACACGGACGCAAATAGCTACTAACTCCGACATCCTCTGGCCAGCAGCTCACTCGACTTTGTGGTTCTTCGCCCCGAAGCATGAACAAGCAGTCCAGAAAGTATTCTTTATCGACGCACATGCCAAAAGACTGAGGCTCGATCTTGTTGGATTCTAACTTGGCTTTGCGGCGATGCAGCCCATTGAAGACCTTGAGGTCGAGGCTCAAGGAGCTCAGCACATATTCCTGAACAGGTCCAAAGCAGCAGTGCTGACGACCGGCAAACAATATTTGGACTCAAAACTTGCTCACTTTCCCTAAGGTAGGCCAGGCAGGGGCTTGTATGACGTGGCATCGTGCGGTCTACAACCTCCTAGTGGAGATGGAACACAGCCTACGGGTGAGGGAGCCAGAGTCTGGAGCCAGTCCTCCAGAGCGGAGAAGATTGGCGTGAAGCTAGGAAAATCCTCAATCTTGGATGCAGGGTAAAGGATGTAGGCCAATAAGGAAGGGCGTGGAGGTATAGATGAGGGAAATCAAAACGGGGTGCGAGAGGTCTAACGTCCAAGTGGGTGTTCGCAGACTCGAACAACGCTAGGCACATTGAAAGCCCAGCACCATATGGAACTTGATTTCCCGGCTGAAATGTGACCAAATCGAACCGGACGCAGGCAGTCTCGGTAGCTGTGTGACCTCACAAGTAATCAGTTGTCAGTTCGCCCTTGGGTTACATGACTTATCCTTGCGGTGAGAGTCGTTCAAATACGAGAGGCAAACATGTTTGACTTGCCCCCTTCCTTTCTTTTTCATCGAGATGGGATCGAATCTCGCAGGCGGCCCAAATACCACGTACCGCAAAAGTGTACTGGGCAGGGCCGGCGGAATCAAGGCAGGGGTGCAGGTAGGGTGGGAGTGGACGGGTGGGACTGGGAAGCATGGTGTCTCAGCAGGGTCGTTTCTTTTTTAGCGCCGATTACAACCGTCTCGGGTCCATTCCTCATTGATAAAAACAGCCACTGAGTCTCCGTAAGCGATAATGGTTGCGCAATTTTGGCCCTGTTCACTGCCGCTGAGAAATCATCAGATATCACATCTCACTGGTAGATGCCGAAGATTCTGGACGGTGATCCGGGTGGGTCTCACCAAGAGACATGAAAGTCCCGGCTTCCACTCTGCCCGAGTTGTATGTATGTAATTTGTTGCGTTCGCACCCCTCCACGTCCTGCCAAGCATGCCTGATTCAGCAAGCTTCGAGTTGCCCCCCTCCACCCCCTGTGCTCCAGCCCGCAGCCTCACACATCTTGTGAGTACACTAAGCTGTCTCGTACCCTGACATGAAAAATGCTGTGCATGGAGTTTGCGAGCACATTTGGCAGCCTACCTTGAACAAGTATCAACGAAACGTCTGATGGACTCATTTCAATCATTCAGCCATAACCACTATACTCTATTCGTCGAATGCCCCCTGAGACCATGCACAGTTTATGGCTGAGGAGATCTTGCACTTGATTGAGGGTCACTTGGTGCGATAACCGAAAGTGCGTCATATTATCTAAACGTGTCGAATGGCTGATCCTTCGTCGGCATCTGCTCAGCTGGTCTCGACGACTTCGTATCTGCTTACCTAAGGTGAGTAGGCACGGGAGAGGTTATGGCCGTTGGGACTGAAATGCCTCGGCGCGTATGCAGCCCTCATGCATGTATTGAGCTTTGACGTGCAGGCCGTGGAATTACGGACGGAGGCGGTTTTCTCAAAAGCCTAGCGGCCTGACACGGTTCTCGGACCGGAGTCACGGAGACTGCCCCATGGGCCCATATGGCTCCACTGTTTCTCGGAATCTGGCCAGATTGATCCATACAGTCTTGATATAACGGCAAAGGTACCACCTGGCGCGTGCACTTGCGGATCACCGCTGCTGGCATTGGACGCCATAACTACCGGCTACAGTGGCTGTGCATTCCGTTCTTTGTTCTCATGTTTTTTCCAGCTGACTGTACAGCATATGCTGTCGCTATCGGACTGGCTTCCACCACTTCCTGCGGGCGGCACGACACATACTCACCCATCCTCCTCGTCGGGCCGTCTCCTTCACCAAATGTTTGTCATTCATGGCTTGCAGAATGTATGCGACAGGGGAGGAGACGGGCAGGTGCCCATGGTTTTTCACTTTCATTTGGACATTGCGCACCATCCTCCATGCCCTCCGCCAGATATTTGTTTCCTAGTATTAGTCACGGCCTAGAAGCTTGGCTGAGTTGTGCCAAGTAGTGGGTAAATTAATTGACCCAAAACGGTAGAAGTTGAGCGTGGGGGTGTAAGTGTCTTTTCAAACACTCCAAAAATTACGCGTCATGTCGACACGCCGCCCTTTCTCGAAATGCATCATGAAAACGACTCCCCAGATCTGGAACGTTCTTCACAGAATATTTCAATCACCTGCTTCTCACAGTATGAAAGGTCATTCGCACCCAAAGTAGTCTATAGCAAGTTGCTTTATTGACACTATCCCGGAACTCTTTCCCAGAGATACCGCTGACCTTCACGATGAAGGCTCCAGATGTCGAACGGAATGAGCTACCTAGCTTTCGTGGTTCGAATGAGGCAGTGGAGAGTGGGGCTGTCATAATGGGGGAAAAAATGGTGGAACGGATAGCTACCTTACCTTGCTGAACACCCAAAGCCAATACGTCGATCCACACCATCTCAAACTTGGGCGGAGGCCTTGATCTACCACGCCCTGGAAGCGCGGAAGCACGGAAGCGCCCCGTTCCATCAAATCCGACTTGTCCCACCCGTCAGATCGCCAGAGCCGAAGGAGCACCCGCGCCAGGCCCTCCAACACAGTCCCTGAAATGGCTGCCTTTTTTTTTTCTTGCTCCCCGCCGTCTCGTCAACACGCTGCGGTAGAAACTCACGCCGCACATAGATGCGCTGGCATGAACGTTTCTGGTGGTCTGACCAATGGATCTTGACACTTGAAGCCACTTCAGCCACTGGCGTTATATTTTGTTAGGGCTCCACCCACTAGCGCATCTTTGCACACTCGCTTAGATGCCGCGACAGCTCTTTTACCCGCATTATGGCTCACGCTCCCACCTCACCCGTCCATCTGTCCCCCGTTTTCCCAATGCATCATGCATGCACGGAACGCAAGATGGAGTTGAACAAGTGACAGAAACCCCGAGCTCTGCCCACGGCCTCGCTCTGCTCGGCGGCGGACTGTGACCCGGTGACGCTTCCCTCTGAACAGTAGATATCCACGACACTCATGCCAGTCCTTCATACATTCATTCTCGTAAGTGAAAGTCAACGGATTTAAAGGCCACCCTCGCCGCCTTTCTGGTAATTATCGGCGGTCAGACAGCCACTTCATCTTCATGCCACCTTACCAGTCATCTCAGTTCAGACAGGCTCCTAGAGGTGACATTTCATCCCCAACATCCACCCTCATACGTCACCGCCACTGTGCTGCGCAACCAACGTGACATTTAGGTCACTGCTCAAACGATCCGTGTGAGCGTTCCAATTAACCCTCATCCATGGCGCCTACAAGAGCCATGCAAGGCTCCGTTTCAATGTAAGTCTTAACTTCATCCGGGTCTTCTCCATCTCTCTCTCTCTCTCCCCCTCTCTCCCTAATTCTATTTCCGTTGTTCTCCCTCTTGTTTTACTATTGTCCTAGAACCTTTTGCGACAATTTATGTAGTACTGACCTCTGGTCCGCAGCGGCGTCCAGTCGTCGAGATCAGTTGATGCGCAAGAAGCCCCTACTCGGCGTAGTGTACGATACACAATGTTCGCAGCCGACCACGCTCTGTTGAATCACGGACTCGTTGGTAACCGACCAAGTCTATCCTCACAAGTACCAGCGGCAATCGCTGCCGTCAATCGACCCGATCTCAATCTCGGAGCCCACTCCGGAGGCGCTGTCGGACACCCTGTCGACAGTGTACCAATCAGCCTGCGTGGCATTGGTTCACAATTTTCGAATTGAGCAGCCTCATTCATCAACATTAGCCACTTACCGCCTAGGTTATGCCTAACACACGTTTTCGGTTGTGGCTGCAATGGTGTCCGGGAGATCAAGCACTAGGGGGTACATGCTAGGTACTTTGGAGCGGCATCCTGGTGCTTGTCTTGATTGGGGCTAGCTTCGGGAAGTACCGAGGGACGGATCCGAGCGGATGTGACGTTCCCGTCCCGAGAATTGGTGGACTCGGCCGAGGGTTTGGGACGATTGAACGGAGAGCGGTGGACGAAGCGTAAGGGGGATTTGGTAACTCAGCAGGGGGGTTTGGATTCGCCTCGAGAGTCACCAAATGTCCGTGCGCGCATGTTTTCATGCCCAGTTTCTGCAGATTTACACCATGGTAGGAGAATTGAGTGTGTTGGTTCTGGTCTGAGGATGACAAAAGTAAAAATGGAATTTAAGGCCTTGGGGCTAGTGAGACGACAATGTGCGCTGGCGGCTGGCGGCTGGCGGACGAGGGGTTGTTGTCTCATTCGGCGGGTCCGGGACAATCGGGGTAGGGTCAGCCTGTCAGGTACTATCAGCCGTCGCGTTGGTCCTTGCATTAATAGTTTTTGGGAAACCAAGTGTGTATTGCTTTTTTCTCTCATCCACGGGCACCACAATTGGTTGTCATCGACGGGAGCACGGCGACTTCTCCATTCCTTTTAACAGTTCCTGCCGTTTAATCTTGATAGGATCATCCTTGAGATGATCCACGTCAACGGGGCCGTTTCATCCCGTTTAGGAAAGATACCCATTGGACTTTGTGCACAGACGGAAGTCTAAAGACCGGGCCAGTCTTTCATCTAATCAATTCGACGACTTTATTTTGACTGCGAACGTTTGGATTGAATGCGTTGGTTGGTAAGGCCACTCAGAGCTCAAATGGCAGAAAACCTCCGAATAGAGGCTCACCCTCAAAATCCGGTGTTAGTCCGACAATTTGTACACCAGTCTCTCGAGTCACCTGCCTAACGGTGCGCAAGACAATTAGGCAGCGTTGGTGGGCAGTTGCGAGGCAGCCATCAGCGGAACTTGGGCGAACTGGTTCGCAAAGTATTGCAGCATTTGGGCGGGCGGAGAGCATGAACACTTGGAGGAGGGCAAATTCACAGATTATGAGGGGAGGAGGATTTGGCAATGCGACGGCGAAAATTTTTTCTTCTCCGATTGACCAGTGGATTCGATCCAGAGGCAGCCACGCACTAGTTGGCATTGACCTCAGTGTCGAATCCAGCGGTCTCTTGCGCGCGCCCGCGCGCCCGTTCCGCATCATATTTGCACTTGTTGGGACTGCAACACTGTAATAGCTGAGATTACGGCGTCCAATGCGGTTGCTGGAGAAAAAGATTTCTTCAACTGCTATGGCTGAGACTTAGCTCATCATCGCGATGTCGACCGGAATTACGGACTGTGGCTGAGACGCAAGGGAAAGGAGAAGCGTCATTGGGATGAGTACACAAAAGTCTGAAGAGAATGTCGGACGAAAATGTCGGTGAAGTACCTGCTCACGTTGACGAGGGCAGGCCGATAACAGACTCGAAAGCCGCGCTGAGTCTCTTCGTCGCTGCGCCTCATGGACCTCGGCGGGGTGAAGACGGAGAAGTGGGCTGTGTCGCAGGGAATGTTGCGCATGGTGATGTGTGACCAGGCAAGCTCGGCGGGGTGCTGAGATAAAAAGATGATGAAGGAAAGTTGGGACAAGCTCCAGCACACTTGCCTTACCTGGAAGTACCTACCTACCTACCTACCTTAGGTCAGCGAGGGGACAACAACCTCCACGGCCACGGACACACTCCAACTGGATCGATGTTGGTACGCTACTGCTAGATTTTTCCTTGAATCTCACCAACACAGAAGGGAATTGAGCTGACTTCGATGCAACTACTCTCAGGCGTAACAGGGCGGGTGTTTGCTCCTATGGCTTTCGATCCAAGCTGTTCCAAACGAGGGTAGAAGGAGAGGAGGGATTTACCGGTGCGCCTCAGGGGATAGATTGGACGGGAAAAGTGGTTGCCCCACGTTAGCTCGACGGTAAAGTCTGACCATTAGCGTGGTCGAAACGTCTAGTTGATTGAAACGGACAGGCTTATGCCTTTGGGAAGGGCTACGGATACCTTCACAAACCAGACCCGACCAAGTCACCTTGGGTAGGTTGGCACGTGGGAGGCCACCGGGACGTTCTATTGTCTGGGTCGCTGGTGTAAATTTGTCCGGTTCCATCAAGAACGGTGAACATTTGTCAATCAGCGGGCCAGCTTCAACCGATGCACTATGGGGCAAAGCGTCAAGTAGCAGAGGAGATGAAGCGGAAGGGTGTTCATAGACGATCTAGGGAAACTGAGAACGTTTTTTGCTCTTCGGTCAGCGTGGATTGCCTCTTCGTCTCGGCCGTCATCAGGTCTTCTGGACGCAAAAATATAATCACGCTGAATTGTCTCCGATACCTCAGTCATCAATGGTGCTGCAGGGATGAAGAAAATGGAATTTTACGGTAAGGTAGAGACGAGTAGCCTCGTATCCTTTCAATCATTAGGATGTCACTCACATCTTCCTGATCTCCTCGATCGTGGCACTCTACCCCTTATCGGCTATCAGGTACCTAGTTCGGGGACACAATACCTGAACAATCAGTCCCAGTCCGAGTGAGGGACCGTTTTGAACGGAAATCATGGGGAGCGGGGACCCAGGAGCGTTCCTGATGTGCCCACGGCCCCACTGAGATGGGTGCTGCACCGCAAACTCTCGCCCAAACCGGCCGCCGCTCTGCTGCACATCACATTTGGTCGTTCCCCTCCCCCTCCCCCAATCTGCGCAGCAGCACCTGTCTGTGGTTCCCACTCTTACGTATCCCAGTCTTTCTCACCTTCTCCCAAGCGCGTCCCGCGCTCCCTCACCACCACCCCCAGTGTCCCTTTTTTTTTGGCCTTCCTCAAGCTCTGCATTGTCAAGGAAATCTACCTTCTTCAAGTCACACTTCTGCTGCAACGGCTATCAACCCAAGAGCAAGATACTTCCTCTCGTCACACCCCGTCCTCGTCTGTTCCACATCACCACAGACTGACTTCCCCAACACCGCACGCAGTATTACCTGGCAACGACACAACCTTTCAGCGCTTCCTGAACTGCCGTGTCGTCTTCAAACTTGAACGACCCAACCTCATTGCACACACATTATCGACATATACCGTCACTTACAACCGCACCCTGACCAAGCTTGTGACCAGTAGCAAAACGCCGAGGCAAGCAAGGTCCAGGATGTCCTCTATCGTAGCTGAGCAGGGCTCCGCCAAAACGTAAGTGCCAAACACTACCCTCACAGCATCTTGAGATTTGATCGGGGCTGCTCCAGGCCGTCACGTCACGGGTTCGCAGCCCGTCGTTGCGGTTCCAGAGCTTGTTCTTGAGCCAAGCCGGCATCAATCGTGCCGCGGTTCAGGCCGCATGCCGGAAGAGGCTGCCTTCTTTCCACGCCCATATTCAATCCACCTTGTTCCATCCTTTATGGTTTTCAGACGCTTGCATCGCGGTTCGGGTTTGCTAACGTTGAAATTTCGTAGGAGTGCTTCGGGGGGACAGCTTTCCCTGGAGAAGAAGGTCGCGGAGGGAGCCAGCAATCGCCTCCGAGACTTCGAGGAAGATATCGGCCTTGAGTTCGCGAGCAGTGATCGCACTGGCGGCCATGAGCGACAGGAAAAACGAGTCCAGCGTGCCTCCGACGTAGTCGCGATGGTCGATCGGCTCTATCCCGGAGCTATAAGGGCCGCTGGTGACGAAGCTCAGCCCAATAATGGTCAGACCAAAGACCTTCGAGGTGCTGGGGCGCAATTCTCGGAATAGTTTTGCGGTCGCCCTGCAAGTCAAGTCAGTGTCGGCCGCCAATACCATACCAAGGCACTGCGACTCTCATCCCTCTTTGGTCTAACCCCCCAGCGCCTGTCACCGTTGACGAAGTTCACTGGTGGATTGGGTGATGGTCCGTGCGAGACCGCAAATAGCAAGGATGCCCTCGTCCCCGAGGTCAGCCGAAGGCACCCACCCCCTCATGCGTTTGGCATGAGGGATAAACACCAAAAACAAAGCAGGTCTTCTGGAAGAAACGCTTATTATGATGAGAAGATGGAAACGAAGCGACGAAAGCGTTTTGAGCGAGCGATATCGATAGGGTTTTTTTCTGTCTCTGATCAAGGCGAGAACGATGCTACGGTTGCTACCTCATGTTGGGGATGAGATGCACGCGGGGATGAGAGCCAGGTGTGATCTCTGAGAAGTAATTGAGGAGGTTTGTGTTTTCTTTCGAGTGGCTGTCATGATATTTTCTGCTGAGTATAGTGGCTACGTGGTATCGTGCTTGGATCACTCGGCGTCGGGGGAGCGATTTGCGACGCGTGGTCCTTTCGCGTCGGCTCTCTTGAAGCGCCTGGGACGTGTTATCATCTAGGCGCCTACATACCATGGATGAAAATGATGGATCAAAAGGTGAAGAAGATGGTAGATTTGTTGGAAGTCTAAGTAATGTGAGGAAAAAGCGTAAGATGATGGAGAGGAGAAACAATTCCATGTAGGAAAATGACACACTTCATCTCCTGATAACCTGAGGGGCTGCCCTACCTCGGATCAGCCAATGACATTCGCCGCCTAAGCCATCAATCGGTGGAGAATTCTTCCGGATCTGGCTTTCTCTTTTGATGTATCCGGATTGATACTGCCTCAGACTTCCAGGTTGTTTGCCTCATAGACTCAGACTGGCCGAATGCATCCCACAGACAGTACAAGTCCCAAACTTTGTGCATCAGCGATCATTGGATTATTTTGTGACGAGGGCTCGCAGAATGCATATCTCTGGGCCTAGGCCTACAAGCTTCGAAGATTCCTTGCCTACCTTACCTTGGGTGCCTCGGCTCAAACTTTCCACGTCCACAAGGGTTTTCGAGATCCAACATGTCCCAATTCTCGATGAGCATGCTCGAATTAGGTACATTGCACAGTTCAAGCGCTCATAACGAGCGTCTTCATGGCAAGTAGAGCATGGCAGCAAAGCCTAATTGAGCTACATTCCCTGTTCACGACTCTCAGTTCTGTACTTCCCAACCAAGGTATGAGCCGTGGTCATCTTCTCATGGTCTTTGGAATATGCCATCAAACCATTTCTGTACCTGGTCCGATCCATCATGACCAACCGAAGTGACAAGACCAACATACCCATCCGGTCGCAATCCAACAACAGCACCCTTGACCGGATCAATGCCATACTTCTCATACGCCCTCTCATCCTCCCCGTAAAACGTCTTCCCATCGACAAATACCTTGTCATAATCCCAGCCAAGCTTGCTATCAAACGGATGATACGTCTCGTGCACGTCTCGCAAGAGATCCACCTTGTCCCGCGGCGCAGCGTGCACGAGCAAAACGTCCACGACGGACGGGTCTTCGTCCGTCTTGAACTTTATCGAGCCGCTGTGCGGGTCCGACGCGGGGCAGAGGCCGATCGTCGGCAGCGTGGGAAGGTAACGCGACAGCCACGCGCCGAGGGCGTTGACGGCGTCGCGCTGCGGTGGTTGGGAGATGTCGCCGCCAAAGACGACGAGGCGGAAGCGCCCGTTGGAAGGGAGCTTGTGGTGCAGCTCCCAGAGGCGGGCGTCGGATTGGCGGATGACCTTGTAGGACGGGAAGCGCTGGCCGAGCTTGCAGTTTGTCGCGAGGGCCTGGGTGCTCTTTGCGGCGCTCTTTGCGAGGGCGTTGGCTTCATCTTTGGCGTCGGCTTCTTGTTCTTTGGCGACGAGGACGGTTGGTTGGTAATTTACGCCGATGCCGGTCGTGAACTGCAAGACCACACTTCACGTCAGCCATCATCGCTCCGTCCCCGTCACAATCCTTGGACCCGGGATTTGGGGATGAAAGGGGGGGGATGTGTGTACATACCATCCGACTGGTGTGGAACGCCTTCTGGAACACGTCGTCGGACACGCCCGTCTCGCTCTGTATGTCCTTGGGCGGAGCGCCCGTGAAGAGCTTGGAGAACTTGCCGTCAAAGGCGATGAGATCCTTTGCAATCTTTTTCCGCTCAAGCTCGTACGTCGAGAGGACGTCGCGCGGGAGAATGTTCTTGCATGCGAGGCCGATCTTCCAGCCGAGGTTGTAGCTGTCCTGCATGGAAATATTCATGCCCTGGCCGGCTTTCGGAGAGTGCGTGTGCACGGCGTCTAAGTCCGGTCAGCTCTTGGGAAGAAGAAATGAAAAGGCGCAGAGGTTTGATTGCATACCTCCCGCGAGGAAGACGCGGTTGAGTTTACTGAAGTGATCGCCTGTTCGTTGACCAATCTGGTAGGCCGTCCACCTAATGTCATGTCAGCACCTGGCTGCTCGCGCCACGGAGAAGCTCATCAACTCACCAGTCGCAGTAGTGGTATTCCAACTTGTACGGGCTGAAAATCTTTTGCGCCGACTTGAAGATGAGGTCCGGGGTGATCTGGGATCTATCGACGCGGCCGCCTCCGGCTGAGACCTCCTTCAGCTGGATATAGAGGCGGACCATCCTATTCTCGCGGGGAATTATCATCAAAGCGCCGGCCGTGTGCTGAATCATGGTCCGGAATCTGATGTCGGCTATCGCACGTCAGTATAAGGTACTGCGCCGTCGTGTCGGACGTGAACACTCACGAAAGTCGGTGATGGGAACAATATCCATCACAGCCCTGTGGTCAACAACGTCAGCTAAGCGCCTCATCACGCCTCACCTCACAACCACTCACCAAATGGCATCAGTGCTCTCCCCCTTCATCTCAAACTCCTTCCCCAGCGCCTTTCTCGTCCACGAGTGCGCCCCGTCGCAGCCGACGACGTACTTGGCCCGCACAACCTCGTCCCTGGTCTCCCTCTCCTTGGACCTATCCAGAATCCCCGCAACATCGTCGTCGGCGAGGTTACTCCTAAAGAGCCCATCGCTGAGATTACTCAGCTTCTGTGTGGGCGTCGCCTCCTCCTCCGTTAGGTGCCGCAGTGTCACCGTCACGGGGTGCGCGTCCGGGTCCTCGGCTGCGGACGCATCAATCTCAAGCGAGGTCGGGATGACCATGCGCTCGACCTGGAGGGGATCTTGGTTGTCGGAGGCGTAGGAGGCGCGGATGCCGTCGATGAAGAACTGCTCTATGCGGCCCTGGTGGAGGACGGATTCGGTGAAGCGGGAGAGGCCCGGGATGGTGTTTACCGATTTGGCGCTGCGCTGGATCGTTCCGTTCTCATCGGGGTTCCAGAAGCTGACCTCTGCGTGGTGTGTAAGTCAGACTTCTCTACCTAGGGCTTGAGGTTGTGCCTACCAAGCATGCGATTCGCTTCTTTCCATACATGCTCCCCGACGCCAAAACTGTCCAGGATCTCGAGAGATCTTACTTGGAAACTGCGACGTGTATTAGCACTTCTAATCTCCAGATAAACGGTCAATTCTCTTACCCATCTGCTTGCCCAGAGTAGACCTTGGCGGTCCTTTTATCAACAATACGGGTCTTGACACCAAGTCTGGATAACCAGAGAGCCAGCATCAGCCCAGCCGGGCCAGCCCCGATGATGAGAACATCGACCTTGCTCTCTGGAAGCTCAGTCATGTTGTGCACTGTCTAGTTCAGGTTCTTCGATAGACTAAGATGGACGCAGTATGAAATAAGGCGTATCCGGAGCAGAGAAGGGAGAGTTTGGACAAGTAAGCAACTTTCTATTTTCAAGGTATTAAATGATAGATGAATGCGCCAGACATTGATTCCCGACGACTCCGGGCGGATTTATCTCTCGACGATCCGGGGCGGATTTATCCCTCGAAATGCGAGTCCAATGATTGAAGCTTGTTCGGAACATCATCGTCTTGGTGTGCCCAGCTACAGCACCACCACCCGTCCGCAGGGAACTGCCGTGGGAAGCTGCCTAGGTAAGGTTTTTGGGGAAATAAGCGATGAGAAAGCATGACAAAGAGGGGGAGGGGTCGAAAGGAGGGGCACAACTGGGGACCTACAGTAAGGTACACTCATAGGCGTCGTTGAAGATGTGGGGTAAATTGCCCTTGGCGGGGTTGGGAGCATGGAATGCAGGGACTCGCAATGCATCCGCCCTGGATGGACTGCATGCACCTTATTGCAAGACGCACATGAGATGGAGGGACGGTGTCTGGGTGTGTGTGCGTGACATGTAGAATGTGGATGTAAGTCGCCTTCTAGACCTTTGCAGGGGTGCATTCCCGCAATTCTGCTGTGTAAGCGGTATCTAACACACCGCTAACACGGATATTTGGACGCCTCTGCTGACTACACCTTCGTCTCCAAGGCCAAGGAGCTACATTGCGTGCGTCCATCACACATACACTTCTCATCCTTTTCTACAAGGTACAGTAAATGTTGTCCCTTCGATCGTTTTCAATCAGCCCCCGGCCCGGCCCGCCCGAGATCGCGCCGGACTCTCCACACTCGTGACCCCACGGGGCGCTTCTCGTGGCCCTGGAGGACCTCAATCCACGGCGTATCGCTGACATCTCCCGCAAGCTCGAGGTTCTCAGGCTCCTCGTCCGATTTGTCGCTCTCCGTGTCCTCGTCCATGACTTCCACGGTATCGTATTTTGAGTTATCAATGTCACTGCCGTTGAAGGACTGGAAGTACAGGTCTTCTGTGTACGCCCAACCAGGGGAGTCGAGCTTGCCGTGGACCAGTAACAAGTGGTGGCCCGCCGCTTTGGCTAATTCGATGCGCTCCAGGGGAATCGGAGTGATGATTTGAAGAGCGCCGTTCTTTGTATCGATGCCTCGCAGAAGCACCTGGCCCAGCGTTTGCGAGTACCGTGGATCCAGAGTTTGGGCGTCGGTGTTCGGGATGAACGGGATTCCTTCAGGTGTCCTAGCGACGATTGCCTCCAAGTCCGGCGTGCCACCATCAACATCCATCACATCAGCACTATGTGCCACCGCCGACGAGTCAGTACTCTCTCTAGCCAGGCGACTAAACGCCTTGATGTCCTCAGCCTCGACAAGACACAAGATCGACCCGTTGATGGTCTCCGCGAGAAGATCTGCCGGCGGTTGATACTCGTAGCTGACGATCCCAGTAATACCGCGGTTCTTTCCCTTGTAGCTGACCATCAACGGGGGCGATGATGAAAGAGGAGTAGGGTTCCACATCAGCTGGTTCGATGGGTTTCTCTTGGTATGGAAATACGCCAACGCCTGCATCGAGCGCAAGTGCGCCGCGGTTCTGGAAGTGAACTCTGACTGCTGCGAGGGTAGCAGCGTGAACACTCCTTTGCATGCTGTCTGGAGGCCCTCGACGGTCTCTCTAGGGCCGTCTTCGGACATGTAAATCACCTCGGCCGGCTTGATCGCCGACACGAGCTCGCTGAGCAGGTCTAGCCCCGTTCCTAAAACCCAGCCGGGCGTGTTGACGATCAACGGCAGCCCTTTACAGGTGTTCTGATGGCGCTGGAAGAGATCGAGTGCGCACTCCAGATACAGCTCTGGGTCTGACGCAGGTGATACCGAAGCTATCGAGTGGCATCTCATGATGGTCACATTCTGTTCATTTGCGGCGATGTGGGCAAAAGATGGACTCAAATTGGGCTCTCTGACCTGAACCAAGGCGATTGTGCCTGCCGGAGTGTACTCTGGCTGCCCGGGATCCAGATCCATCACAACGACTGAGGCGGGAGTTTTCCGGTTTCGCGTCTGCTGGCCGGCGCCCGTGAGCAGCCGGTTGCCCAGTATGCGGCCAAAGGTGGATTTGCCGGAGGATTTTGGACCGCATAGCATCACGCTAAGAGCTGGCTGGTCTGGCTTCGCCTTCGTCAGCCCCGCCAGTTTCTTATTCCAGGCGGGGTGGGAACGGAGGTCCTGGATCAGAGCTCGCTTTGGCGCATCTTCCGAGGTACAAATCTATCAGCCGTTAGTATTCGATGAGGCAAACTGTCGATAGCGCCAACTCACAATTTTGTACGTGTCCGTCTTTGCACCTCGTTTGCTCAGTTTGCCCTCGGGCTCATGCCACAGACTTCGGAAGAGAGGTGACAGCCGCTCAAGTTTACGCAGGCTCGCCCCTTGCGGGTGAGGATGAAGCTCAAGTCTTGTCTCCTCTGAGCAGCGCAGTACAGGGATCGCGTGACAGTGAGGGGCGTGAACCCATTTGGTGCCGTCAGAAGGTCGGATACTAGCTCCTGCTACGGTGATTTCGCCTTCGACAACCCTGATACCATAGCTTCCAAGCACCAGAAAGCGCTTGATTTGTCAGTGGAAGGTCTCGCATCATTTACTTTGCGAAGAATTGGCTTACCTCGCTGTCGTGAAGTCTCAACTCCAAGATGCCTCCTGCAACTCTGCGAGAATTGCTTTTACTTGGCCTGAACGTCGAGAACTGCTGAGGCCCCGTCTTCGCCGGATTGATCTCATCAGGATCTGCGGTGGGACTACTGTGAGGTCATCAGCATGGGGTTATTGCTTCAACTAGGGAGATCATACTTTGGTTCCAAGGCTTGTACTGTTGGCGTGGATGCAACCTCACCAGAAGTTGCCTTGGGTGTGTGCTGGATCGTTTCTTCATCAGCAGCAGCAAGCCTTTTTGATGATCTCCCTTTCGCGGGAGACCGTCCTTTGGGTGTGGACGTAGGAGTTGACGCCTGGGACTCAGAAGCTGGCTGAGACTCGGCTTGAGGTGCTGGGGACAAGGACGGACTCGCCGAAAGCAGCTGTTGCCTCAAAGCAAATGCGCTCATTGCTGTTCTGCTGTTAGCCATCACTTGGGCAAGAATGCCATTGAAAGCAGCACAAGGGTTACAACTCACGCCTTGAGCCTTCAGATGTTTCTACTTTGCGTCGCTTTGGTGTCGCCATGGTGGGCTTTCTGGTCCCAAAAACAAAATCTTACACGCTATTGATTTAAAACCCGGAATTATCCCATTGGTTTGTCTGTACCTCTCGGAAAACGGCAGGAGCGACGTTGGTCCTGCCTCTTGAGCAAGTTCAGCATGCGTGCTTCGGGTAGAGGCTCAAGTTGACCTCAGCTTGCACTCAGAAAGACACAAATCTTTCTGGTCTCGCCCCGGACGGCAGGCGCGTACCTTCCGCAAATCGTACAAGGCAGGTAAGGTAGCTAGCTACCCCGGCTCGAGACCGCCTCTCGCAATTTACTTCTTGCACCTTGCCAACGTCGGGGTCAGCCTTTTTTTTCTTTTCTGATCTCAACTCAACACAACCTCAACTGGCCAAACTCACTCGCAGAATTTGCTAAATTTCTACCAAACTCAAACTCTCAACACTTCAGCCCATCGAGCACTGAGGGTGTCAATCTGGAATGGCAGTCGAAGCCGTCGGACCCCGCGATCGCGATATGGGATTGGGAGGTGAAGCACTCACACCGAAAAACCACGCTGGAAAATCCTTCATGCGCATCCGAACAACCACGCCGACGCCCTCGCACCCTAAAATGCCCGGAAGCGCGGCAGGCACGCGGGCTGGCTCTCACCGCGTCGCGGTTCCCGCTACCGCCGCGACCCCATATCTGGTCCGTGCGATCCCTGCAAAGATTTCTGAATCTCTGCGAGACCCTCGAAAAATTCCTGTCGCAGCCATTCCCACCGTCTCGACGCCCCCAATTGCTTCTTCGCCAGCGCCTCGTCTTGCCTCCAGAATCACCCCAGGCACGATGTCGTCACGCAAACTTGATGGCGTTCACTCGCTGAGCGCGCTGCTCGAGAAGCAAGGCCAGGAGTCCGCACGGCCCAAGAGCAAATTCGCCCGGAACACACAGGCGAAGGCTAAGGCCGAAAAGTTCGATCCTCGCGCTCAAGATTCCGATTCCGATTCCGACGACAGCTCCAGCAACAGTGACAGCAGCGATGATGATGGCCCAGCTAATCCAGAGTTTTTCGCCAAGATCAATGGTCAAATGGCGTCAAGCAAACCCGCCAGCACCCCTCTGAAGAAGGCCAAGCGCGGCAAGGACGATGAGGTCGCCGATAGCGACGTCGAACACAAGACCTCGACCGCGAAGTCCACTACCACCAAGAAAGCCCCAGTGAAGCCCGAGAGCTCGTCCGGAGAGTCTTCTGCAGATGAGGCGGCGGCGGAAACGGACTCATCTGACTCGAGTGACAGTGAGAGCGAAGGCGAGCCGACCGAGAAGAAGCCGGCGCAGAATGCCGCAAAGAAGACGCCAGCCACCAATGGCACTTCCACAACCTCTTCAAGCGATTCGGAGAGTGATTCCGAGAGCGACAACGAAAAGACGAGCAAGCCCAAAGCCAAGCCTACGGTCAATGGCGCGAAGACAACCAAGCCAGCTTCGACCAGTTCGAGCGAAGCAAGCTCCAGCAGCGACGAGGAGAGCTCCGAGGATGAGGCAGAGGAAGAGGAGGAATCTAGCTCTGACGAGGAGGAATCCGAAAAGGAGACCGCTGCTGTCGCCCCCAGACGCAACAGCAAGGACCTCAACGTCCCTGGTTTCGTCGGCAAGGATTTTGTTCTGAGACAAGCGCAAGGCGATGAGGATGGCAAGGACATGACCGACTTCTTCACCAAAGCCAAGCTTGACGGCAAGCAGCTCTGGTACTTCACCGCACCGGCTTCCATCCCCATTAATGTTGTAGAGAAGCTCCAGATCCCCTTGGACAAGGCGCATAAGGGAGAGGCTATCTTCAAGCACAACTCGGAAGACTACACTGTCGGCTTTGACGTTGGTGCCACTGCGGTAGAGCTTCTCATTCCCAACAAGAAGGGCAATCGCTATGAGACAGGTAAGCAGAGCATAATAAGCTCAGTCGAGCAAATCGCTAACGCCACAGCTTAGCCCCCAAGAAGGTCGACAAGGTCCTGCACGTCAAGCGCGTGACCCAGTTGGTTGGTAGCGAGCCTGGTGCTCCCAGACCCGTTCAGCCAAACCTTCCGCGTCCTCAGCCGCAGGGTTTGAGAGCTCGCTTCCACCCCATTGGTGTCCCCGATGACACCCCGATGGGTAAGATCGGCTTCGACGAATCGTCCGACGAAGATGTTGAGATGGCTTCCGCCCCCGCTCTGCCGACCCGCACCAAGAAGTCTAAGCACGCCCAGCCCGCGGCTCCTGCAGGTGATGCCATGGACATCGATGAGCCTACTCCCAAGAGCTCGAAGAAGGACAAGAAGAAGTCCAAGGCCACCAAGGATCCTGTTCAGGACTCTCAGTCCACCATCATTGAGGTGCCCAACTCGCAGCCTCTGCCCACCACCAAAGAGAAGCAGAGCAAGAAGCGACGCGATAGTATCGAGTCCATCTCGAGTGTGGGATCCAACCCCAAGCCGACCCTCGCTACCCCTAGCCAGTCCAAGAAGGCATCCAAGCGCAAGCTGCCTACAGACGAAGAGGAATCCACTCCGGCCCAGTTGTCCAAGGAGAAGGCCAAGAAGGTCAAGCGTGACGCTTCATCTCAGGATGATGTCGCTCAGGGTTCTGCCAAGAAGGTCACCGCCATCCCGCTGCCCACCATCCCCAAACCGAGCTTCTCTTTCTCGAGCCTCCCCGCTGGCTCCAGTCCGGCACCTGAGACCTCGACCCCGCAGCCGAAGACCAAGCCGAAGAGCTCGAAGAAGTCCAAGGCTGATGAACCGGCTTCGTCCCGCAAGGAGACACCCGTTCAGCCTCCCGGTATTCGTCGCGAATCCGCGGTCCCAATCCCTCAGGTCCCCTTCAGGTCCTCTCCCGCAGCCGAGGAGACGCCCAAGAAGGAGAAGCGCAAGCGGAGAAAGTCTGAGAAGACGGACGAGCCCAAGTCGAGCAAGAAGGAGACCCCCGTTCCGGTGCCTGGTAGCAGCTAGAAGCTCAGCAGCTCCGGAAAGAAATAGCTCCTTCAACCCTTTCGCCATGGCCTCAAACAGCCCAGCTGCCGTCAACAGTAATGCTCGCGCAGCATATCAAAGTCACCTATGAAACCTGTCAGTATATAAACTTTGCAGAGCCGTGCAGTTTGGCTTTGCCGATCATCTCGGCCCGCTAGGTAGTGCGCTTGCGGAGGCTCCCAGATACCAGTTTGGTCTCTTTTTTCTGATTCTTTCTTTTGCATGCATGGTACCGGATGGAAAAGTACACAATGAGTTTTTGGGGACGTATTCTACGTTCTCGCCCGCTCATATCCCCCTCACCACAAGCCTTTCTCTGGCTCTCGCTCTACCTGCAACGACGAGGCCTCTCCCCCTTGGGAGAGAGCCTCTCTCCAGTTCAACAGACCGGACGAGGCTCAAGTGTTCGAGGGAATGGATTATCATTGGCTTTACTTTACTTCATTGAGGCGTTGGACGGATCGATACCTCCTGCATATGCCTCCATGTGCGAGGGTTTCATATGGGTCGGAGACGCGGAGGAAGATAGATTTTCGGCTCCTGAGAGTCTGACTTTTGGCCTGCTAGCTAGCTAGTCGCAATGATGACGAATGATAAATAAGCTTACAAAGCCGCGACCCGCAAGTCGGGAACACGGTGTATTCACGGTCTACAGAATGATTTGCCGGCGTCCTTTGCCCAGTCACAGTACGATATCCAGACCTGGACGGCCGCCAACAACGTCGCCAGTGGCCCCGAGACGGTTCTCCAGTTTCATGACCGAAGCAGTCATAGATACCTAAGGATTGTGTAGTCTCAGATCCCACTAGAGAGAGTCGCGGTGCCCATTCTTCATAGGATCACATTCTGCTTCGCCCAGATAGGCTAGGAACGAACAGTTGCGAAAATTGCTGTACACCAGCCCAATCCCTTGATTGAGAAACCGGGTTCCGACGACGCTGGCATTCTCAGCGATGCAGATAACAGGCTGGTAGAGTGTATGGCGGATTCTAACATAGGACTTAGAGAGGCACCTCCGACACAACCTCCTTCGACAGAACCTACCTCCCTTTATGGGCATGCCCCCTATGGAGCCTCCTCCAATGGAAGCTCTTCCACAAGATCATGTCAAGGCCCGAAAATCGACATGTTTTCTTCCCTCTCGAGCTGTGTTACTACAAGGAGAGAGCCCGCCCAGCAGCCCTCGAAGGCTTCTGCCCTGACTTAGGTGAAGCATTCGTGTACCACGATCAGCCGGATAAGCTGCCATCCCAGAAGACGGTATGGGTAGTTTCCGGTATGTGCAGTCTAGTGCGTTGCAGCCTTTTCCCAAATCCTACTCTCATGATTTCCGGCGGCGGCGAGAGAATTGAAGAAACCTGGATAGTGGAAGCAGACGCCCCTACTTAAGATATGATCTCGCGGGACTCGATTATTCCCCGAACATTGCAAGGACCATACTTTGCTAGCCTCAAGCTGACAGGCTTTCGCGCGGGAGACTCGGGCTCCTGGGTCGTTGATGACAAATTGAGACGCGAACTTGGTGTCTTGGTGACCCGATCCAGCGGCGTGGGCTACACTGTTTCCCTTGCCAAAGTTCGACAAGACATCGCTTCCACGTTACGGTTGAAGCAAAATTCAGTACAACTGTCTTCCAGCATGGATCCCCTGCTGCGAGGTCGAGACGGCGAACAGATGCTCCAATCTTTCTCCCCAGTCAGGGTAGCCGCGAGACAGGCGGCAATCGCGCGATCTGGGGTCAAATGCTCCTTGACAGCGCGACAGGGATCCTGGACATAACGAGACATCCAGTCAACCTTGGTCTCAATGTACACTTTGTCTATTGCAATCTGTTACATGTGGTTTTTGTAGGAAATAGCGTGCGCGGGGTACTTGAGGGAAATCACCTGGCACAACGCCGGACGACAACTCCCAATATTCTGCTTTCAGACGCCCGGCGACTGCTTTCGAAAGCGTGCAGATTAATTGATAAATCCCTGCGGAATTGGAGGGATTTGAAAAGTGTTCTCGACAGTATACGGAGCCCCGGCCTTCAAGCATGGGTTTAGACATTCGAAGAAGACCTGCGAGATCTTGGTCAAGCTGTGATACGTCTGGATCTCCAAACATTCTATGACAAAGAAATCTGGCTCAGTAAGCTCCCAGACCCAAGTGGCTCACAGGAGTGTACATATTCTGGTCATACCCGCAGGCATAGAGAGAAGATGGCAGACAATGCAAGCCAAGGGAGACAGCGAAGAAAGTGTTGTGCACCTGGACGAGCAGTCCGTTACTTTTTCCGGTTGCCAGCGCGGAACACCTCTCGAAGGATGATAAGGTTGTGAGGAGTAGCACCGTCACTATCATGTACGGCCGGGGAGAAGAGGGACGAACATCCGCAGCAACAAGATGGGTTGCAATCTGAGTCAAGTCAGGAATAAAATTCCAAACATCGGCTCTGGACTACTAGAGCCATCAAATGAATTGTTGATCAATGCAATTGCACTTGACCCGGTCCTTCTTCGCCAAGCGAAGTGAGACTGCCATGTTCCGAAGATGCCAATCCAATATCGCGTCGAAGAAACTTGGTAAAGACACGCTGAGCCAACGGCTGCTACGTCCCCGAAAGAATATGAGACGAGGGCAAGCCGCAGAACTGCCCTCGTTGCGCTTATTTCCTGGCCAGTCAAGTTTCAGAAACGTTGCTGAAACGGGTGGGGGGCTCATCGATGCCAAGACAGCCAGACGGAAAGCGGCAGCTTTTCATCCCAAGTCCTCAAGACGGCATACTTTAACTTCACGTCATTCGTCTGACTGAAATATAATTCATCCCATGATACACTTGACAGAAAGAGAGATTCCCGGGGTCGCGGGTTTCTTGCGTATCTAGACAGACAGGATGCTGCCTTCGTCATTAATGTTCCCCCTGGCGTTCGCGTCTTACACGGTCGCATCGGAGGCCCGAATACACTTGCGCGGCGTTCGAACCTGTCCCTGGAAACCACTCGAGAATTTGTTAGAATGCTCGAATTGGGATATCACGACAGCAAGAAAGCAAGACGCAGAGACCAAGCAGAGGCAACGGAACGAAACGACAGAGGTTGAACCAGTAGGATGGACGGGCCCACATGGGTGCGCAGGACCTTACTGCCTATACGCAAACCGCGACTTCGCAAACGGTCGTGGGATCGTCGTTGTCTCGACACCAGAAAACGTGCAAAAGATAAAGAGCTTGGAACTGGGACTGCAGACTCCGGACCCAGAAGAGGATCCGTCGTCACGAAACCCGTCTTTCCAGATCGCAGAGATAGAGGGCAAGGGACTCGGCATGCTCGCCAAGAAAACCCTCGCTCGGGGCGACACGGTCATGCTCAAGACCCCCGTCCTCCTCGCCCACCGCGCCTTCATCGAACGCACGCCGGCAGCAGAGCGGCATTTCCTGCTCGATGGCGTCGCGAGGTTCCTGCCGGCCGCAACCCGTAAGACCTTCCTCGGCCAGAATGGGCATTTTGGCGGCCACAAGATCAGCGACATCATGGCGACCAACTCATTCCAGATGGACCTCGGCGGCGGCGACGGCGGCAGCGGTGGCGCGCAGGGTGATGCCCACCACTACGGCAACTTTCCCGAGGTGTCGCGGTACAACCACGACTGCAGGCCCAACGTCGCCTTCCGCATCGACGGCCTCCGGCACCGCACCACCGTCGTCAGGCCGGTCAAACCCGGCGAGGAGCTGACGATATCATACCTGGACCAACTAGGCGTCCGCTCCGTGCGGCAGCACCGTGCCAAGAGGGCGTGGGGCTTCGAGTGCGGGTGCTCGCAGTGCAGTTTGCCGAAGAAGCTTGCCGCAGCGTCGGACCAGCGGCTGATGGAGGTGGAGGAGCTGGAGAGGCAGCTCTCGGATATCGGGGCCAGGGTGACGGTGGCTACGGTGGAGAGGTTCCTCAAGTTGTACAAGGAGGAGAGGCTGGAGTCGAAGCTGGCGGGTGCGTATACGACCGCGGCGCTGAACTTTAACTTGCTTGGGAGGAATAAGCAGGCCGTCAAGTATGCCAGGTTAGCTGTTGAGGCGGGTACGATTGAGAATGGGTCGGAGATGGGGGATGTTCAAGCGATGAGGGAGTTGGCGGCGGATCCGAAGAAGCATTTTACATGGAGAGGGAGGCTCAGATGAAGAAAATGTATAAAATGGAAATTCGCTGCCGGCTTATGGTCCGTCAAACCAGATACACCACCATCGACGCCCTCAAAGCCACGGCGCACTTGAGATGCGGCTTTGTGTTGGACCTCTTCTTAGCTACCTTAGGCAATGCAACGCTGACAAGAGCTGCCCAAGCACAATGGCAGACAAACCCATCACCTGCAAAAAAGACAGCATGGCGTATAAAATCGTCGCCAATATAAATCTTCAGTCATGGGGTCATGGGCACCGCCAACAGCAGGGATACTTCCCAAAAGGGAAAGTAGCAGAGTCAAGCACCCTGACGCAATCCGAATTGAGACGTCTCACCTTGTCGCCCTATCACGGTCAGCGTTAAACATCGCGTGCCTAGTCCCACGTTTGTCGTACTAGACGCAGGTCCAGAATCCAGAGAGCATTCGACCAAGCAGGCGACTGATTACTGTCAAACATGAGGCCACCGGCTTTGCTTTTAATAGAAATTTCAAATTCTCTCATGACGTTTGGCAAGACGCGCCTATGTCTGCACGGATCTAGTCCCCACAGAAGCGGGCTCTCTTCATCTAAGTCCTACGGCCCCATTACGATAAAATTTCGGCAGATCCGGGCTACGGGCCGTCAGCGTGTCTCGACGGGCGCGCGGCGAGTCGGGGGAGCCGTGGGCACTGCGCCTCAATTAGACACCGGAGTTGGAAGAATGCGACTGTTTTGCGCAAGTTATCTATCCTACCTTGACGGTCGAGCATGTTCCCAGCTCGTCAACTGGGGGGTTTCTGGACTCTGTATGCGTTGCGGCGTGAAGCCCGCCGGGACAGGTGGTGGGGATCATCCATCCCTATATGTCCTTTAATCTAAAGGCACGAGGAAGAATGTTGTTAAAAGGTTGTAAGGTTATCGTGATCGCTGGTTTAGGGCAAGCAAACGTCCCTGGAGATCGTTTATTTCGGGAGACGGCTCCGCCTAAACGCTCGAAACGGGACTTTGTCAACAAAGTTTGCTGGTCATGGCGAGCCCGGTGAGCTCGGTGAAAGAATGGTTCGCTGAAACATGACTCGCCCAACGGCGTGTCCTCGTACATAGGATGGAGAAAAGCTCGGGGCAGGCTTTCGGACCAGCATGTAGCATTATATTGGAAGCCCCATGCACCTTGGGGCAGGCGTCCTTCCCTAACCAGTCTGATGGGACGGTCTGTCCGCGCCGTCTGCTGCATCGCACAGAGAACTGTCCTCGTCCTTCTGGCGATTGTGGATAGGTGTCTCCCACGCAAAGACGATGCCGGCCGTCCGGAAAGGATCGAGATCAGAGACACGGAACGCTAGCCCTAGGAGCAAGGAATATGGCGGCAGGGAGCAGACTCGGCGCCGTGGAATGGAGAGAGTTCGCTGTGCGCTGGACGTCCTTGTGACGGGATGACAGACGGGCGGGCGAGAAGGGACGGGGCTTGGTTGGTGGTGAATGGTGTGTGGTGGGGTCCGAGGTGCCGGACTACCCACTCCGGAGGACATTGACGAATGGCGAAGGCACTTTGTCGGCCGATGCGGAATTTTTGAACATCCACCCAACCTCCCACCCCCACCCGCCTCGGCCACGAGCCAGTGACGTAGCTGTGATGGTTCTCGGCGTGACCCACGCTCAACTTCTTTCCTCCCTTTCGCTAGCACGCCAGGTATTTCGTATTGCGAATTAACCTTCCTTCCGGCATCGCCAGCTTGTTTGTGCTAGTCCGGGTCTGGCCCCGGTTGCCTTGCTATGGGGAAATCCCTAATTGGGATCCCTGACTGACGTGCCGACGAACTTTCCCCCCCTCCGGAACATACGTAATGTACCCCCCGGATGAGGAAAGTCGAGACCGGGAGTGTCGTTCGATCCATCAACTTCAAACGGCCTCCTGGCTCGAAGCAATACGATTGATAGAAAAACGGCGCACCAATGACAATGATCACCGAAATGTGGGGGGGGGGCCCAAGTTTGAAAAAATAACAACCTCTTTGTCTTGGAACGGCGTTGAAGAACAAGTTTGAATTCCCCTCAACCCGGGGCGCTCGCAGTTCGGCAGCGCCGCAGGCCAAGCTACCGTGAAAATAGCTTCATACCTGCGTGGTACTCCGCGGTCTTGGTCCAAGATCTACCCTGCAACTTGAGCGGGTGATTCGTCCAAGAATTCTTCTCACTTCTGCCTTCCTGCGTTGGCTCGATGCTACCGTCAATGCTCAGAGCCGAAGTGTTCCCACTCACACTTCTTCCAACAAGCACCCTTTGAATGTTTCCCCGATGCTCCTGGCTCAGATCACTGGTTCTTCGTGACATCCCTACCCCTGCTTGTCACATCCATAAGGCCCATGACTTACAGATCTGGGCTCCCCATCCAGCCCCATCAATCATACTCGCTGGGGTCACTGGGCATTCGCTTGGCTCATTTGATCAATAAACCATAAAGTTGCCCTACCCTTTCTCTAATGGAATACGCTCATAATGTGGGCGGCCGTCACATAGTTGTCACCAGCTACATACTACTTATCACTTGCGTCCTTCCCCCGACATTTGTAAAGTCTACTTGAGCTGTCGTCCGAGCCTCCGTTCTTCTTCGGGCGTCTGTCAGACTTCACCCACCCTCCGTCGTCCATACACTGCTCCCACCAGTCATTGAATATACACCATACGCAAACATAATCTCACACCATGGCGCCAGTAGCACCAATCTCCAACACCCTCTCGGGCCTCGCAGCCGCTGCAGGTCTCACACCGCGCCACCCATCAGACCTATCACCAACGAGAACCCTCCCCTCCTCCATCCGCGGCATCTTCGCCCGTCAAGTCGTCACAACAATCACATCGACCCCCGAGACGACAGCAGAGAGCGCCTCCGAAAGTGACCTCAGCGGGGGCGCCATCGCTGGCATCGTCATCGGCTCTATCGCCGGCTTCTTCCTCCTCCTGTGGATTGTCAAGTCGTGTGGTATGTGGAGCCGGCCCAACGACTGGTCCGAGAAGAACGAGTACGACGAGCGCAGTCGCCGGTACCGCGGCAGATCCCCGAGTTCGCGGTACCGGAGGCGTACCCAGCACCGGTACCACCAGGAGATATCCCGGTCGAGACACTCGCACAGCCGCCACCCTTCATACGTGGTCGAAGAGGTCCGCTACTCGCTGCCCGTGGTCTCTGATAATAAGAGGAGGACGAGCGGGTCGCCTTTGCCGCCGGCGAAAGTGTACCGCAGCAGTCGCAGCAAGACAAGATACTAGGTTTACTAAGAGTGCCGTTCATGGGAAAAGAGTTCAGTTACATGATGGATTAGCACCATGTGTGATTTTACCTAGCGGCATCATGAGTTTTCTTTCACCCTCCAAAAGACTCGAAGATTTTCGATTGTGTCGCAGAGATACGGCGAATGAGAAGAACACTTACGAAGTTTACGAAATGAAGTTCATTGCGAGCGATAAAATGTAATTAGACCTGCTGCTAAGAACAAAGTCATCTGTATTTATAAAGTCGTCCTCCTCGTTGCGAGTTACGTGGCATTCAATGCTAGATTCGTTTTGATGATAACAGGAGGGCTCCTTATGACAGCACATTTGTTTCAATGTTCAAAGTGTGACGCACACGTAAACGTTGCCCTCATCCTAAAAGTAGAGGATAACTCAATGTCCCCTTCACAGCACCGCAATATGGTTCTGCCAAGTCCATAAACACCAAAGCCTTCAGTTTTCATCTCATGAGAAGACGACTGTCAGAGCGGCACCGGTACCTCGCGTTTGACGAAGGGGGCCTTCAGGCGATACTCCGGAGCAGGGTAGGGTGCGGATCGTCTCCCAAGTTAGGCGCCGATGTCACAGCCGCATCGAACGACACCAGACACACTGCTGCTACCAGATGAACCAGCATCGTGAGAGTCTGAATGGGGTTGCATTTAGACAGGCGACTACGAGAGTGGTGGGGCGTGAGCGCATCCCATGTACCTATCGTTGGTTGCAGATGAGCATCCAGCGTCGTGTGTCTACCGGTATCATGTAGGGCTTGCCGGCATCGTTAGTCCTTCTTACCCGGAGCACCTCCCTGTGAGGAAGACTACGAGACCGATCCACCTTACCTTCACATGGGTCGATCGTCCTTCCCAGGCTCAGGACAGGGCTCGCAAGGACCGCCACCGCGTAACTCCCCATTCATTCGGGCGGGGTTTTCCGGCTATGAGATTAGCGTCCATCCTGTCATAGACCAGTCCAAGGAAATGTGAGGATGGATAGCCAGCGTTAATAGCTAATCGGCTTATTGTAGCCGCAAAATACCGGATGTCTTTATTATCTCTCACGTCTTCTAGGTTATGATACAGCCGGTTAAGTTATTATATTACGACGGATCTTGGTATTTTGAAACGTTTATATAGGAAGAGAGCTTAAGATTTGAGGCTATGTTGAACGTCTTTAAGTGCTTCTTATTGCTATCGCTTTAACTCACCGGTGTATTATTCGTTCGTAGTTCCTAGCAAGTATTTATTTAAGTTGAGCACTGTTGCTTTTAAATAGGCTTAGGACTGCTTTGCGTAGTGTTTAAAGGTACTAATAAACCGATCGGCGGTGATCTATATAATTTTCATGTATTCTATTTTCATATTATAGTGGTCATTGTATTTTGATATGGGTTCAAACCATCCAATACCCTCTGTTCGAAATCGGAAATTAGCCATGAACTCTCCTATTGATGAAGGGAAAGTCAGTGTCGTTTTCGTCCGCGTTAGTTGAGGCTTTGCTCTCGTCTTCAAGTTCCTGGAGAATGCCCGGGTCTAGGTCGATGGGAGTTGCTGGCTTCCAAGGGCGTTCAGCGGCAGTCCAACCTTTGCGAGTGGGTAAATATCTCGGCCAAGCTTGATGACGTGAGGGGCTTAGGGGTTTTCCGAGAAGGCGCGACGTGCGTACTCTTCGTCGGTTCTGGTATCGAAATCCGGGCGGTTCCAGAAGATGGTGTAGCGAATCGTGGACGAGTCGGGCTGGGTATATCCTCGTTCAATAGCTTGGCTGCGAAGACGTAGATACTACTCCGACACCTGCTACAGATTATAATCGTATTCGGCCACACTCAAATTTGAATGCGGTGACAGCGATGAGCTGGCATCGTAGAGCTGAAATCGCATGTATTACGACGCAGAGGCATCCCTCCATCTATTAGAAGGGAATAAGAAGCCTTCTATATCCATGTAACCCATCGCCTAATCCATGACTCCTAAAAGTGTACGTCCCATTTCCCAAGTATAACGCCATTCGCATATTCTTCATCATTGGCAGCATGGAAGCCGGACGCTCAGCCGGACTTCTTCTTGTTCTTCTGAACCCAGTCGGCCCACTTCTTGTATTCTTCGTACTCCAAAGACTCCTTCTTGCCCTGGTACCGCACGACCTTGAGCTCGACGTCTTGCCACTTGCTCTTGCTGCCCATCCAGCCCGCCTTGCGCATGAGGCTCACCAGCGTCTCCTCCTTGGTCCACTCCTGCTCGACGGCGACGTCAGGTAGGTATGTCGCGCCGTAGCGCTTGCCGTGGTAGAAGAAGCTGATGCGCAGGCCGTGCACGCCGAGGGTCCAGTCCATGGCGTCGTCGGCATCCTCAAAGTCGGTGAGGAGGGTGACGGCGACCTCGAGCGACGGCAGCTCCGGGGCCTCGACGGGGGGGAAGCGCATGTCGTGCAGCGCCGAGGTGAGGGCGTAGCTCGACAGGCCGTCCTCGAGCTCCTGCGCTTCAAAGGTGCCGATGCAGCCGCGCAGCGAGCGGTGGCCCGAGCGGGGGGAGATTGTGTTCCAGGTGACGAAGAGCGGGGACTCGGAGATGTCGTCGTCGTCGTCTTCGCCGGCGAGGGAGTCGGTGGATGTTGCGGGGGTCTCGGCGGGGAGGGAGATGCTAGAGCTGGAGGAGGCCGAGGCCGAGTCGCTGGAGGGATCGGCGAGACGTTGTAGGGCCGGGAGGAGCTTCTTGCCGTCCTTCCCGTCACCGAGGCCGAGTGAAAGGGTCTTGGCGTAATCGGGCCATGACTGTTTGATCTCCTTGAGGGACACACCCGGCCGCTTCTCCAGGTGCGAAGCCAGAGCCTCGAAGCAGTAGAGGCAGTGTTCCACGGAAGCCATGAGCTCGTTTCAAAGAAACTGACGGGTGGTGTGAGGTCAGGGAGGTGGAAAGGTGGAGAGGTGGCGTGTCTGAGAATGAGACGTAGAGCTGTAGAGCAGTTCAAAAAGCTGGTCGGGCTGGCAATCGCACGAGGGTCAGCGGCGACGCGGAGATGGGCGACTTTGCAATACACTAGGGTGGATTTGGAGCAGGATAAGGTGAGGATGGCGAGGAAAGCTTCCTCCAAGTGCCAGTGAGGTCAGCTCGGCCTGGGGAGGGGCTTGCCTGCCTTCGAGCATGGCCCAAGGTGCTGATCGGCGCTACGTACATCGAGCTGAACCCCACTTCAGATAACGGAACCCCGCGATTTGGGCCCCGGCGTTTGTGCAGCTCTGGGGCAGTTGTGTCGGGTCGTACTAAACCACTAACCTGTGCATAAGGGAGCTTGCACAGGCCAGTTATGCGATGCTGAGGTATGCAGTGGCTGAAGCACCTGACTTGCGCCACAAGCCAAGCCACACCTCTTCTCTATGAGCTAAGCTCCCCGAAGAGGCAGAGGCTAAAAATACCAACGGGCCGCTCAAATGGTTTTCCCGCGTCAATCGGTCCCTGACCTCGACGCTGCAAGGGTCAGGCAGTTTCGAAACACCTCCTGAACAGGAATGACACTGGTCCGAACGCCCTCTTCGTCCCATCATTCCGCTGTTGAAGAGGAGCCGCCCTGGACCCGGTCTGTTTTCTCTCTCTCCCCTCTCTCGAGGCAAAGTCTGGACCACCCACATCCTACGCATTCCCACTTATCAGCCTCATAGCCAAGCTTCACGATAAGGTACACCGGGGTGAAGACTTGGCAACACGCTAAAAGTCCGGAGTGCAGGGCGTCCTTAAAAAACCCGCCTTCCCCTGCTGACTTTGCAACCGGAACATGGTGGAAGCGAGCGTCTTCTTGTCTGATCTTCGCTCGTCCTAGCCTTGGGCAACAGGGGTTGCCGCTTGCGAGGGGAGGATGGATGGGCTTCTGTCACAGTGAAACAGCACTCACCTTGACTAGTGGGACCACTGCTGCGCGGCTTCCTCGTCACAGCCCAGTTTCAGACGTGCTCTGAAGTCGTCGTCTCCCGCGATCAAGCCTCGCCCCAAAGATGCCGATCTATCCATTTCCTGACGTGGGCTTGAGGCAGAAACCAGGCGGATGGGCTGGGGAAGAGGAAGGGGCGGGAGCAAAGATGGAGATGAGGAATGGGCCAGCCAGCTCTGTGCCTAGGGTTCCCTTAACTCTGTTGTCCAAGGTCTTGGCGTCGTTCCTGTCGTTCCTGTTAGTGCGGGTGACACGCCGGGAGATCCCTTGTTGTCTTTCCGACCGACTTGGTGGGCCTGCTACCCGTCTGGGAGAGCTCGCGGCTGCCTCCTTCATGGGATGGGGCCAAGGAAAGTCGAGGGGGTCGCGGGTCTGCGGCGACCAAGGCCAGGTATGGAATCGGGCGTTGGGAAGCCCTGACCGCTTGGTCTCAACTTCATGGTGCGGGAGCGACAGATTGTAAAGCTCCAGTCAGAATTTGGATGGCAGATCTACATGTGGCCGTGTAGCCGTGCGCTATCGCTTTCCTCGTCTATAGTGTCCCTGTCCGATGTGTGATGTCGATGGTGATACTTGGCACAGAGCGACCCCCTGGAGGAATGCTATGGGGGCTGTCGACAACATACAAATAGGTCCGTCACCTTGCCGTGTTCTGTTTCTATTGATCCTGCTTGTCAACCAATACACTCTCTCAACGCACTCGACTTTTCCAACTTTCTCTTCTTGTACAACTTATCTGCTCGTCGCCGGCCGACCACTCGTTTGATTCACCAACTTTCAACCACCGTCAATATGAAGTACTCCGTTTTCACTCTTATCGCCGTTGCCGCCGCCTTCGTTGCCGCCGCTCCTGCCGAGAGTAAGTTGCCATCTCGATTTCGATATCATGGATGAACTTGAGGTATACTAACGATAAAACAGTGGTTGAGAAGCGCCAGGCTGCTTCCACTGTTCCCGTCGACGAGGGCGCCATGACGGACGCCAACGGCAACATCGTTCCTTTCAACACTGCCGGCGTCTACCAGGCCAACAAGGAAGCTGGTCTCTGAACGACCAAGTCAACTCGACAAGAGGAGGATTGAGCGATGGAGATCGACGGACACTATCACGAACTGCAAAACGATACGCAACATTATTAAACACGTCCGCAAACTCGTAATCTGGCGACAGTATCGGGATGGATGGTAACAGGGCGATAAAGGTATCATGGCAAATCAAACAATGATTTTGGCTTTATTTTGATGTTTGGGACCGGAATCAACGAAACGGGTGACAGACAATATTCCCCCGCCCTCTGTGGCAGATAATTCTGAATATACCTGTCAGCCAGTAGCAGACCGCCATGCGGATGTCGCTGGCTGCCAGCTTTTCTTCTCACACGAGTCTTCTGCAGTACATCACTCATCTCTCTGTCCCGCGCTTGCGTCAGCCGCATTGTGTCTGATGTTCGCCACTCAATAACTGTCACTCACCATCCATCACGCCCGAGCGACTCGGCAAATAATCAGCCTCTCGAACGTATCTGGAAGAGGAAGTGGTCCGATGATGGTTGCTATTTTCTGACTGATGGGAACTTGAGGAGACCCAGACCTAGGAAGACCAGAACTTGGCTGTAAGCTTTAACGTGCCAAACCCACTCCATGTGGTTGGCGGGCAGGGGTGCGCCCTCAGGGGCCCGGTTTTCCATCTGGTCGCTCAGCCACGCTTCATCAGCTTGTGAAGCGGGTTTTCTTGCTGCTTTGATGCAGCTGCCCCGCTGAATAGCCATGGTCCATGGATGCTGCGTTGAGGACAGGGCTCGGTAATGCGGCTGCCTGTTTCTGGATGTTCCATGGCTTCTTTGTTTTTCCAGCGAGTCCCGTCTGTACAGTATGATTGGAGACCAAAAACGCTCGCTGGCACGGCAATACTGACCCGGGTGTCTCGTCTGTTGGAGCCGTTTTGGCCACGACAGACATGGCCGCTTCAGACCGCCTATACGTAACCCTTGAAGGACGATAGCAGGAGGTTGGTCTTGTTTTGGGGGTTCAACAGAGTTTGTATCATATGTTTCGTTGGTGTTGGGGCAAGTGTTCGGGGGCGTGATGCTGCAGCCAAGGGCGTTACATTCCGGATGTCTAGGTTAGTGACAATTCCATAGTTGTCGGCAGACAGAGGTCGATCCGAGAAAGTCAACCGACGATGATACTGCATATTACCGAGCTGACGTCTCTGACGTGGACGTCACGCACGGAAGACAAGCACGGCTGCTCTACCATGGCCAAGCGTCCTACTCCTGCCTTTGACGAGTGCAGTGTCGTCTGAAATTGACTGTTTGACCTAGCTGCCCGTCAAGTCATGCCAGTCAGTCGTTGTTATTTTAATAACGGCGTGCTTGATGACTGATGGCGATCTTTCATGCTCTCGCATCACTTGTCCACCGGCCCTGACGTTCAGATGATACCTTTCTTTCATTTGATCAGCGCGAACGGGAGCATTGACATTGAGCGCCCGAGTTGAGACAGGTTGGTTCGTCTCAAGGAAAGATTTAGAGTTGAACCATTTGGGAAGAAAATAAAAAGAAAAAAGGCGGGCACAGACGAGAGACAATGTTTCGGCCCACTTTCCACCGTTCTGGATGACCGACAGTGCACTGCCACCTCTCGGCACCTCAGGCGTCAGTAGACTGCTTCATCCACCGTCTCCCAACTCCGCCATTGGGTTATAGTGGTCGTCTCTTTCTACCTTATTCCGCTGGCGGCCGATTGTCTCGACTACAAACAAAACCAACAACAACATTCCAAACTCCCTGCCATGCCATGCCACGTTAATGCACCAACGGCACAAATCATGGGTACTCGTCCCGTGCTGTTGCTCTCCAGAGTCGCATTGAATGCAACCAAGTGGATTCTGGATAGTCCCAGCCTCAATTAAGCTCGTCGTAAACAATCCGAACTTGCCATGGCATCTCAACTTTCCCAGCTACAGCCGCCATCGAGAAAAACTCGCGCAAACTCCTCATTGAAAGCTGCAGCTTTAGTGGATCACAGCCTCGATGCCGCATGTAACGCCAACGCAAGAAATGTGCAGAGAGCAACCAGTGGAAAGCAGGGACCGGACGATATCTCTCGTCCCTGGCATCAGCAGTGAGACGCTCGAATTAGCCTCGAACTAGGCCGCTTTCGACATCACTCCCCCCCACTCTGTCAGCCCTGCTGAGAACGCCGTTGATTTCTCGGAGGAGGGGATCAGAGTCTGGAGAGGGCCAAGGAGAGTTCACCACATCATCAAACAGACCGACAAAACCGGCCCAGTCACCCACGTTCGGACCTTGAATCAGTCAACGGTAGCCGCTCCCCACTTCGACTTCCACTAGTCGCAGTCGACAACTCTGTTCGGCAGACCATTGCCCCAAAAGACGGACAAAACATGTCTGCCTGTGCCGCAAAATGACACAATTTAAATGGGCTAGGCGGAGAATGTCATAAGTGGACCGACTTTGGTTGATTTTGCCTGCGCAGCCACCACCAGCGCGTCTCATGCACATTGACAGCCGATCCTGAAGGAAGACCACAAGCGCGTAGCGAGATGAACTTGGAGCCAACCCTTGATCTGCCCGACCCTCCACCTCGCTATAGGGAGCCGCAACTCTGGGATCCGCGTTTCCTGTTTCGTTCACCATCAGCAAGATGAAGCGAGCACCCGAGCACGCTGTGAAGCTGCGGGCACACACTTGTTGGCACTGCGGACCACCTGGACCAAAGTTCCTTGACAGCCATCTGTGCGAGGTACCGCGTTTGTTGCCCACTTTGCGGTTGTCCACATGCCATCAGCGCGGCGTGCCTGGCAGTATTCGGTTGCCGGCTCTTACCCAGTCAGTGAGAGAAGAGATGGACATGAACTAATGGTCAGGGCCTCTTGCCGGACCTAGTGATATCGATCCCACGGCCCTGAACTCAGCCGCAAACGCCATCCGACGCATCACAGTCAGTAGTGGGACGGCTGCAGTCCACCATTCGATGAAATACTCGCCCTTGCGTGGTAGTCGACGGCAGGGAGCCGCGAGGGCGTAGGGGTAGTGGCTCTTCGCGCGGGAAGGCGTTAATTTCCTCATGGCCCGAGACCCCGAGATACCCCTAGCTTAGCTGCTAGGCTCCAACAATCCAACGATGGCTAGTGGAGGAACCCCGTTGCTCCCACAATGCCCAGGCTCCTCACCCAAGGGTCTCCATCACGCCCCCAATCTGTACTAGGAGCTGGGCTGGGCTGGCAAGGGTCAGCTCGCTGCGGTGATCTGAACGGTCTATCCAATTGTACCATCGTGGCTGTATACCGCTTCACCGCTTTCGACCTGCGGCATAGCGGCTCCCAACTGCCCTGATGCCCAGCCAATCCGTCTGGGGCAGAAGCAAGTTGAGACTGGAGCGATGTTTACTGCACGAGGCTTAGTGTCACTCGATAGACTGCAGCCTGGTTAATGGTTCTTCTGGCTCAGTTCAGGTCCCGGCTCTCTGGAAGAGGTGGTTTTATATATAGCAATTGCAGACACACTCAAACGAAGCAATCATCTGCCAGCTGGATTGCCTCACCACAGCCTCCCTCTCCGCGCTTCTCGGGCCCGGTCCCAAATGACCACCCCTGTCTTTTTTGTTATGTTTTTCATCCTGTCTTAGACCATCAGCTTATAACTTCCTATGATCTCCTTGAGTCCAGACTAGTCTCCCACAGCCTCGAAAAACAACAACAACAACTGCGGCGACCAGTCGAAAGCCACCGAGAACCACTTTACTTACCGCAAACAACAACCGCAATAATGGTTTTACATCGCCAACAAGCTCAGTTCGACAGATCAAGATGGCGCATGGCGCTTCTTGTGCCGCTTTGGATCCTCCAGTTGCTCGTCTTCCTCGTCGTCATCGGTCTATTCTCTTGGCGTCTGTCAGATACACTGAAGAACTGGGGAACTGAGGAGGAAACGAAAGGGATGTTCCCCATGGTCGAGGTCGTGTAAGTCTTAAGCCTGCGTTGAGTTTCTGTTTTTTACCCGGGGCCATGTACTGATCCACATACAGATGGGAATCTGTCAACATCGCCTTCTCCCTCGTCTGTCTATTTTCCACCTTTTACGAAATTTCAAAGCTCGCCGCCGAGACCTTGACGCCGTGGACCATGCTCTTCACCCACATCTTGAAAATCGTCTGCTCCCTGGCCGTTTTGGCTCTCGACATCGTCGTCTTTGTACAGAGAAAGGACAGCCACTACTCAGTGGTTGGCCTCGGCTTGGACTGCTTCCTCATGTAAGCCATGAAGATGCTGATACACCACCCCCTTGGCGACACAACTAACATCACCTCACAGCGTTCTCGTTGCCATCCCGGGCATCTACTCGATCCAGACTTACCGTCGACTCGCCAAGTACGACGACTACCATTACCCCGTAAACCACAAGCCCTACGGCTTCAACGACCTCGAAGGCGAGACCTCGTACAGTGGACGCCTCTCCATCGGCGGCCTCAGCCTCGCTGACCGCTCCCTCCGCCGGATATCGACGTCCTCCATAAAGTCATCGATCGGCCTGCAAAAGCAAGAAACACAACAGGTAGAGCAGCAGCAACAGTCCGAAGCGACGTCACCTCAGCGCAGACCCTCGCAGTATAACAACGAAAGAGACACGCAGTTCGACAGGTACATGGTCGAGCGCGCCATGACGAATGAGTTTGGGTGGACGAACAACAGCAGCCCCGGAACCGACTCCCTCGGCCGCAGCGACAGCTACGTCGGCAGCGGGTCCATGTCAAACGGCAAAGTCGTCACGCGGGAGAGCATGGGCCGCGCGCCGAGCTGGGGGAGCTCCCACATCCTGGTGGCCGTGCCGGAGATGGACGAGGAGGAGGCAGCGCACGGCCGCGAGGGAGACAGACAGGCTCTTCTCGGGCACAGGAGGCAGGACAGCGACGACAGTATTGCGGGGCCGAGTAGCCCGCCTATTCTGTCGGGTATGCCGCCGCCGCCGAGGATCGAGATTGAAGAGTCGGATATTGTCGGTAGTGGTGCTGGGGAGAATTCGTGGGAGCGGAAGCGCAAGAGGAGCCAGTGATTGATTCGGTCCTGTGCTTCTCGACAGGGCGCAGGAAGAAACAAGAGGATGGTTAAAAGGTGAACGGATATACCCTTCTGATTTTCTGATTTTTCTTTCTCATTTGCACAGACGCTCAGCTTCTACTGAGCTATTTGTACACTTTTCATCTCATTATACCATATGGGGCACGGCGTTCCGGACGAGTGATGGGACGACACCAAAAAAAGGGGAAAGATGGGACGGAAGACAAGTCCCGATGTTCTCGAGCCACGGCTTGAATGTTCTATTCTTTCGTTCTGTACAGAGGCTTTGATAGATGAACAGTATTGCACTATACCATCATGCCCGTCGTCAGATTTACTTCTTATAATGTAAAGTGTCCGCGATGGTAGGAGACAACTGAGGTTGCCGGTAACGAAGGAATCGAGTGTGATGCTCATGTGTTGATATTCTGCCATGGCTTTACATAGCTTAGATACTACAGCGCCCTCATCGTGCTTCGAGAAGCTTCGTAACTATGACGAGCTCAGCTCATGTTATCCCAGATCTCGCACGTCACTTCTATCCAATACCTATGGCATATTTTCCACTGATTTGCCTGCTCGCCAGCAACTGCAACTAGTCTGGGAGAATTGAACAGTCACGAGATGAAGCATCCACACCAGCACGTAAGAAATCAGGGAGGAAGATGATTGATTCTAGGTAGAGGCCCGGTCAAGACCTCTCCTTCTGATAGCCGCTCAAAGACACCCTACAAGGATACCCATCAGTAGGATGCGCAGCCCCCGCCTCCACCATGAAAACCCTCTGGCCCCCCAATCCGCTCAAATCAATCTTCTTGCCCGCGTCAATCTCGCCATAGCAGTCCTGGATATCAAACTCCCGCAGCACACACGCCAGCACCGCCCTCACCTCCGTCATGACGAGCTGCTGCCCGACGCACAGTCGCGGCCCGTACTCGAAGATGCGCCAGCCGCCCTTGGGCGGGTACAGCTCATGCTCCGGGTCCGTCACGAGCCACCGCTCGGGGAGGTATTCATCCGGGCGAGGCCAGTACCGCGGGTTGCGCCCGATGGCCCAGTGCAGCATGTTGACGGCGATGCCGTCCGTCGGGTAGGCGTTGCCCGCGGCGTCTTTTAGGATCAAGTCCGCGCAGCCCTGACGAATGCCGCCTGCAGGCGGGAAGAGGCGCAGGGACTCCTTGATGCAGGCGTTTGTCAAGGGGAGGGCGTTGAGCAGGGCCGGGTTCTCGGTGATTCTGGCCGGTGCGGCGGAGGCGTCGGTGCCGAGGACGGAGTCGTGCTCGGCGCGGACTCTGGCGAGGATGGAGGGCCGCGAGAAGATGTTGTGCAGGCAGTAGACGATTGTGGCGGCGGACGAGTCGTACCCCGCGAAGAAGAACATGCGCATGTTGCGCGTCATGACGGCGAGGTACTCGGCGTCCAGCTCCGTACGCCCGGCATTGCCCGGCTGCGCGAGCCAGCTCTCGAGGGCGCTGTCGAGGACCGATTGGAACCTCTCGGCTTTGTCGCGGTTGTGCGCCCTGTTCTGCAGCAGGGTGCGGAAGCGCGCGTTGATCTGACGCTTGATGTGGTTGTCGAGCACGCGCCCTCCGTTCCAGGTGCGGAAGAGGAGGAAGGGATCGATGGGGGCCAGGAGGTTCTCGGGCTTGTGGGAGGTGAATTTCAGGCGGAGCTGGCCCTTCATCGCCTCGGCGAGCGGGTGTTGGCGCTTCTGGGTGTCGAGGCGCATGTTGAGGAGGACCTCGCCGATGACATCGGTGATGAGGTCCAGCATCAGGGGTTCCAGCCTGAACATGCCGTTTTCGCTGCCGCTCTTTCGCCCATTGGCCTCACCCTCGGCCTCGGAGACCCTGGCGCGTAACCGCTCGGTAAAGGTGGCGATGTTGCCGAGGATGATGGGCACGGCGGCGGTGATGTTCTGGTTGCTGAAGCTGGGGTTGAAGAGGGCGTGGAGGTCCTTCCACAGCCGGCCGTTTGTGTCGAACTGGCTGGGCCCGCCCGTGATGGGATGGAACCAGCCGACAAGCATGGGAGGTTTCTGTAAGCCCGTTACCGGGTGGTAGACGGTCTGGTGGGCCATCTCCGGATCCAGGACCACCAGCATCGGGTCGGCCATCGGCCAGGTGTCGAGGTAGAATGCGCCATTCTCACCAAAGAGCTCGCCCAGCCGCGCGAGAACGTAGTTCGCGTGCACACCGGGCGGCAAGCTGTCAAAACTTTTTTTGGCCTCGAGGAGGTTGCCGAAGAGGAAGCTGTGAGGCACAATGGGCTGTCTTTGTCGTCAGTGGATATATGAGGAGGGGGGTGAAGAGTGAGAACTCACCAGTCCCTGTTTCCTCAGCTCGGCCATTTTCCCCCGATGTTTCCTCAGAAGCTTGATAAAGTACAGCACCGAGCCCACGGCGGCCACCCAGACGGCCGCCGTGATGGATCTCAGGACGAAAGCGAAGACTCCGTCCATGTTGTTAGAGACGACTTTGGAAAATCGTCACCAGCCGGTCCAAGTCTGTGGACGCCTTAGCCGCCCGTTGCCAGCTGTCCCCGGAGAGATGGCTCAATCAGCGGGATCGCGCTCACTGCCCAAAGCGTCTGTGGGCACCTGTCGCATGGCACAAGCCCAACGGTTTCCGTGTGCGACGGCGCGGATGACGTTGAAACTTTGGAGTCGACCGGATAAGCTGGAGATGTTAAAATTCGAAAAACAGCGCCGTCGACAAATTAGGCGGGCTCCGATTAAGCTACCCCGTAAGCGGCCACGAATACGTCTTCTCACCTGACTCGATAAAGCTAGGTGGTTTAAGGTTCAATAGGGGGCCCTGGGGACCTGAGTTAGCTGGATTCAGGGGTACCGGGGATTGGCAGCAATCATCCCGGAAATTTGGTCCAACTTCCCCAGCTGGCTCAATGCCTGACTAGGTTCGCGATATATGAAAATTGCAAGATTTCACCGTCTCGCCAGCGCAAGCGTATAACGAATCAAGTTGAGTATCTAGCAATGCCTCTAAAATGATGGGTTTTCGAATGCAAATGCCCTTTAGACAGAAAAATTCCTCGATCCACCAGTGTTGTTCTGTGGTGCCTTTTGCTCTCTTTTCCTAATTCCCCGATTCCAGTTCACCAAGCTCCCCTCAAGCCAGAATATGATATCAAAAGGAAGCGTTTGTGGAAGGTGTGCATAGCTTTCCTTCCTAGAAGACCACAGACGAATGCTATCTTTCGAGTTTGCGTGGGATTGACCTTGGCGCTGAATGATGCATCGAGTCACTTTTCCTCCTCGGACTTCTTGGTGTAATTTACATAGTTACGTTCCGATGCAGACTGGTGAACCAGAGCACATACGGGAGGGTTCCCATTGCCGCTTGGCGTAAGACGAGGCTTGGCTGTCACTCGCGCCAAGTGGCTGATGCTGAGAAATTGGACGGCTGGGTGCTGCGTGACTTCCTCGCTGTCGTGCCCATCAAGGCCGTTGCGCCGCCGAATCGCTGTGAGTGCAAATAACCTGAGCAGTTGCCCTGTCTACCTTGGGACACCGCCAGCGAGCCCAACAGCAACGGAGGACGTCAAGAATTCCAGGTCGTCGTAGGCCTTGCGCTTGCAGCCCCGCGGTGGCTTCCCTTTGACGAACCCATGGCTGTAAGCCTCGCCAAGGACGCTCATATCCGTCGACGAGTCCTCAGGTCTGTCATGTCTGCGCACGACAACCAAAGACGACGCGCGGGACATCATCCAGACCTCGTCACCAGGCCTCGTTTGATTTGGTACTAGCACGAGGGCGCCATGATCGTGGGTCAATGCAATGCGGCGGCTCCGGTCCTTAACGAAGACGTCGAGGAACGGGATGATTGTCTCTGTGCTCGCGGTGAAGGGGCCACTGCCGGAGGCGGCGTCAGAGAGCAGGTTTCTGTCGTCGAGCGCCCAGAATTGGCGGAACAAGTCAGGGTCTTCGCCGGCTCCTACGGCCTGCTCAAAGTCGCCGAGGCCTGTCAGGCCGTTGAGAACGGGACTCAGGAAACTGCCGAACGATCGAACGATTTCGTCTCTGTTGAATCCTTGGGGATGCCGGTCCGTGGTTGTCTTGTTGAGGCTGTCGCTCGAAAGCGTCCGCAAAAGGGTGTTCATGTGATACTCCTCACCGGGGTTCGGTGAGCGCATCTTGTAGACCAGGGTCAGGAGCTTGACCAGTGGCAGAAGCTGGTTCATGTGGAAAAGCTCTTCAGAGACTTCGATGGCTGTGTCAACATATGTGCCTCCTAGTAGTACCTGCTCCGAGAGAAGATTGCTGACGGGCATCGTTTGGTCGAGTGGCAGGTTCATCGTCGTGAGCGTGGATAGGAGAGGGGATGAATGAATAGGTGGTGTTAGTGAAGGGGGATGCAAACGAGACCGGAGACGACGATTAGGCGCGGCAGTGGAGGGGGGCGGGAAGAATATATATCAAGAAACGACGGCCAAGACTGTCGTCAGCTCCGCAACGGCGGGTCATGGTGACCTTATCTAGGCGAGCCATGAGTTTCCGAGCTGCCGGGAGTCTGGCAGCTAGGGTTTGGCGGTCATGGGCACTTGGTGATTAGGCGAGAGCGCCTGCTTCTTCCTATCCGGGGAGCGAGTCCGGGGAGACTAAGTTGGCTTAGTTGCGTAAACCGGCGGGGCCCACTGGATAGGAAGGGCAGGATGGACGGGTTGGAGTGGGCTTGGTGCCGGTACTGACGGGGCCAAGAGGGTCACGATGTCATGCGTATGGGGACTGGTGAAAGCTTGAATTTCCGCGAAACTGTCAACGAATAGCTGTGCAGCTAATTATATGTGGGAAAGTGTCTTTCAGTGGTGCAGGAGTGTCAGAATGCCTCGTGTCTGGGTTCCCATCAGCCGCTTGGCGCCGGGGTAGCCTGCATCTTGATAGCCGCATTGTCACCGGTCCACTGTGAGGCAGAACGAGTCAAGATGTACGTACCATGTGTGCATGGGTGAGATGAAGTGCGATGGCGCATCCAGGCCGTAGATAGTAAAAGTAACAGACAGCATAGACAAGGCAGACTCGGGCTGAAGACTCGGGCTGACGGGGAGAAAATGTGCGTCGTACCGCAACCTGAAAGATTTACTATACAGAGGTAAGAGGTAAGGGGGGAGGAGGGAAGGAAAAAAGTCTGGTAGAGATGACGTCGAGACGGGACCCGTCAAAAGCGGGTCTCCGGTGCGCTAAGGTAGCGCTGCAGTTAGGGGCACAACCGGGCGCACGGACATCTTGGTGCCTGCCTTTCCAGCTTGCCTGCCCCTGCCTCATGTCGGGTCACTTCAGGGTCCACTCGTCCAATGTTCAACGTTGGAACCGGGAACTTGTCCCGGAACGCATCATCAAGCACAGTCCTTTCACCCTGTCTGTCCGTCTATACCCGTCCATCTATGTCGATTGAAGACGCGGCATCGAAGCAGAAAGTCATACCTACCAGATCATGCCTGTTCTCAGCAGTTACGACGAGTCAGGAGAGGCATGTCGGAAATGCGGCCAAGGAATGCAAGTCGTGTCCCTGGACATAACAGGTTCAGGAGGGAACATTTGGACTCTGATTTGCTGTTCAGACGGTTAGGATTCGGTGCTGATGTCAACATGTCTTGCTTGTTCCGGCGACGCCGCACCAGCCAGCATCCGTGTCGTCGGCCACGGTGATCTGCCACCCCGCGTTGATCACTCCAACGTCTCTCCCTGTCAGCCAATTTCAGACGATTCAGATCCTTCAACGCCAATCGTGTCGTGTCATCTGGTCAGACTCGTGCCATCGTTGCTGTCGAGCTCAACGCCGTCCGCTGCCGCCAAAAATACATCACCAAGAGAAGGGCACCACAGGCACCACAGGCACCACGATGGTCAAAGTCCTCATTATCATGGCCAACTACGGCCATGATCCCACAGGTATCCATCGCCTCATCCGTTCACCGGACCAGCCCCTCCCATCCATCTCCTCAACGCCAAGTCCCCGACATCGTCCCAGTCCTTGTCAGACTCCATCTCCTCCCCTTAATCCTCTGGCCCCGCTCCACCTCCAACCGTCTAAACATGGCAAAACCCCTACTCAACGGGATCTGCGTTACGAACCGCAAAGCTAATCTCCCTTTTCTTGCTTCGCAGAGGTTGCAGTCCCCTACCAGGCCTTCAAAGATGCAGGATTCGAGGTAAACTTTGCGACCGAAACGGGCTCAACGCCCCGCTGTGATGCCCGGATGCTCGAGGGCCTCTCCCAAAAGCTTCTTGTACGAAAATCCCCTTCCAAAAACGTACCCAACGTCATTGTTCTTGAACATCAACGCAATTGCGTAACGAGCGCTTCCGAATGCCCCCTTTGGCAAAAGTTTCCCCCTCCTCCCAACACGCCAGCGCATAGCAATTTGATGATGGAATAGAGTTGACGTGCTACCCGTCCAACAGGGCGCCGCTGCATCCGTCAAAAGGCTTTACGACGCCATGGTCAAATCCGCCGAAATGCAGAACCCCCTGTCTTGGAGTTCCCCGGGCTTCACGCTCGATGGTTTCGATATTGTGCACATCCCCGGCGGTCACGACAAGGAAGTCAGGCAGCTCATGGACTCGACCACTGCGCAAAAGCTACTCGCCGATTACTTTCCCCAAACCAAAAAGCCCGGCAAAAAGATTGTCTCGGCCATCTGCCACGGCCCGCTGGTGCTCTGCAACACCAAGGGTCAGGACGGCAACAGCGTCTTGTACCACTGCACGACGACCGCCCTCCCCGGCTGCTTCGAGTCGTTGGCGTATCACGGGACCAAGCTGTTTCTGGGCGATTACTACAAGACGTATGGTGCGGGCACGGAGAATGTCGAGGACTCGGTAAGTATACGGCTCACATCAAGGAGCACGGCTTTCTCAAGTGCTGACCGTGTCAGATGCGCAAAGCGGTGAAAGACCCCAGCCAGTTCAAGAGCAGTTGGATGCCCAACCGACCGTTCGTACCTCCCCGTCTCCCCAACTTGATGTTACGGCCCTTGCTGAGCAGCGAGTACAGCTTCGTTGTGGAAGACACAGAGTACAACTACATCAGCGCGCGCTTCCCACCCGATGCGGCAAAACTAGCCGAAATGACTGTCAACCTTGCCCATCTCGTCCACGTTCAAGGCTTCAAAGGTGAAGAATCGGCTACGACATGATAAACCGAAAAGCCGCTAAGCTCTTAAGCTTGTCGCCTACGTGGCATTCTTCTCCCATGCTTCGTCATTATTAGCTCTGGAAACGCGCATTGCAGTTGCATCCTCCGGATGCAACTGGTTCGGGTGTTTCGTTTTGTGAATCGGCTTGCGTATTAAATGGATCTTGATGCGACGGGGCCATTGAGCTCAAGTTCCCAGTTTGAATGATACACAACGCTCCCCCAATGTCGTCATGGTTATCTATTCCACAGTGTTTGAAAGTTTGGGGAATAGTACAAACATTGTCCCGGGCTTGAAATAAGCTCAGAGACCGTTGCCAACGTGATATGGATACGTATGGTCCAGCATGATGCTTGAAGTGACTCCTTCCCTCAATCTTGCAAAGCGACGCCAAGCCCGTAAGTAAAAACCTTGCAATATCTAAATATTGAGCAGCTGCACTCTTCAACGTTACCTTGAGAGATTCGCGATTCTCTCTAGAGCTTCATCAACCCCTCGGGCAACAATCGTCGGCTCGGTGTCAATAACGCCGCCCAGCGCATCGATCCACCCCGTTCTGGTCCGGTCGATCCAAGCAGATTGCCAACCGGCCGCCCTCGCCCCAAGCGCGTCAAATGGATTCGAGCTGACTAGCCAGATATCACCCTCCCTACCAGTCATATGCGCCCTCTCCGCAAAGTACCGGTATGTCTCGGGAGCAGGCTTGAAGCATCGCGCCCCCTCGACCGTCACCAACTTCTCGGGACCAAAGATAATGCTGTTTCGCGTATCTATCTCGGGGCAGGTCCTAACAGAGGCGCCGACCATGTCATCTGTCCCATTGGAAAATACGTAGGCGTCTATGGACTTGTCCCCTTCGACGATTCGCATCGCCGCCTCAATGTCTGGGAAGGCTTGGAGGCCGTTATAGGCTTCCATCAGACGGTCCTCGTCCTCCTTTGAGAGAGGCGGCTTCTTCTTCTCCGCGACGGCGTGTTTCAGCGCCGCCCGAGTAATATCGGAATACGGTCGGTATATACCTAGATTTCTCTTCGTCTCAGCTGGCTATGTTTATGTCTTTGAGAGATTTATGCGACAACAAAGTCACTGCGACGGCGACGAACCCATGCTGTTGATGCGCCACGTGTACTCAAGTTGATACCTTCGCCACTGCGCCGCCAGGTCCTTGGCCTCGTCTTTGTCGCCGTACAGATCTGCGAGTTCCTTGGCGATGGATTCGGTCGACAGCAGAGTGCCGTATAGGTCAAAGGCGATGACTGTCTTGGGCTTGTCCTGCGCCATGTTGCTCGGTAGGTTATATTCACCGGTGATTCAAATCGGGATATCGCTGTCGGCTAGCATAGATTGAATTTGATCTCAAAAGCTTGCCAACGCAAGTCACGATAATCAGACGTGAACAATGTCGTCCGAACGTCTATCAGTCGTGGCGGCTTCCGTCACCAAAATGCGGGGGAGACGGGTTGTCTGAGCACTTATACCCGGGCCCCCACCCCCACAGACACGCGCTAAAGTGCCCTAAATGTCGCTTTCGTCTGAATGGATCGTGAGGTGAGCTCCGAGAAGCAACATTGACTCAACGTCATTGATTCACGCCTTCTGGCACTAACTTCACACTTCTCATACGAGAACTTTCATCTCCCAAAATCTGAACTCACCATCGCAGGTTAAATAATGCGACTTTCTGACGAAGAAACCCTTCAATTTGAAACGTTGCGAGACTGCCTCTCAGCCGCCATCGTAGAACGCGTGACAAAACCAGCACCAAAACCAAAACGCCGCTCCAAAAAGGCAAACCCTCGCCGCGGGCCCAAATTTCAAGACGAAGCCTCTTCGGCCGTCACTGGCACTGGAGATGTCGGCCACGATGCTCCGGTAGACGCGGACGACATGATGGACTTCACCTCCTACCTCGCTTCCGAAACCTTCGATTCGTTCCCCCCAGACCTCAAATCCCTTTCTCACACCGCCCACACGGCCGACCCGTCCCTGCTGCACACCCGCTTCCCCCTGCCCCTCACCGGCGCCGACGTCGCAGACCTCTTGCCTACCTTATCCCTAGACGTCGCCGACTCCCTGGCGGCATACCACATCGTCGACCCGGCAAAGCAGGGCGCGCACGAGTTCCTGGCCCCCGTGCTGACGGAGTACGTCTCGGCCCTGGTCGCGCCGCCGCCGCCGCCGCGCTCGACGAGGGGCCAGGCCGAGGGATGCGAGCTGTGCGGGAGGGACTGGATCGGCTTGACGTATCACCACCTCATTCCGCGCATGGTCCACGACAAGGTCATCAAGCGCGGGTGGCACCGCGAGGACGAGCTGAACAACGTCGCCTGGCTGTGTCGGTTGTGTCATTCTTTTGTGCATCGATTTGCGGGGCACGAGGAGCTTGCGAGACAGTACTACACTGTTGACTTGTTGCTGGAGCAGGAGGAGGTTGTTAGGTTTGCGCAGTATGCGAGCCGGGTCAGGTGGAAAGGCAGATGAGAGTGGTAGCTACTTTGGTTCGAGTTCCTTCGTGGCATGAGCGGACATCAAAAGTGAGCTTTTGGACTTTTGCCTGGGAAACGAGGGAGAATCTTTCTCATCATCTGCGCTTAGCCGCTAACCAGCGAGCGTTTCGAGCGTTCATGTCCGCTCAATTCTCGCTCGCCGATACATCATTTGGTTGCCTCTGAAACAAAGCTCTCATTCGATCCCGAGGAATCTCACCCGACCGCTTCCAGAAGTTCAGTACGGGCAGCTTGAGTATCATCAGCTAAGCTTACACCTTCTCGCCGCCTCTACCCTTGGCCGCCTCCAGCCGTTCCTCAAAGATAGCTCTGGGCAACGTCGGATTAACACATGCCAAAGGCGCAAACTTGAGACAAATCCTCGAGCCCCGACGCCCACAGCAATAATTAATCACACATCCTTCGTCCAGGCCGCAGTCCGACGACGAGGAGCAAGTTCTGACCTCGTTGCAGGCCCGGTTCTCCACGCAGAGCGGCCGCCGTCCTCCTCCGTTGCCGTTTCTGTCGGCCGCGCGGAGGCAGGTGCAGAAGGTGTTAGTGGTCCTGTCGCCGCATCGGAAGAGGTTTACGCCTTCAAAGGGACAATCCCTGGCGCCGACGCAGCCGACTTCGGCGTACTTTGTTGTTGTCACGACGACGGTGGGCGCGGGAAGGGTCGTGACGGCGGGGGTTATACCCCAGCAGCTGCAGGCGGAGGAGTATGCTTGGGCGCTGGTGCAGGATTGGGTGGCGTACGAGGGGACGGCGGTGGGGAGTTTCGTCTCTGGGACGCGGGTTGGGGAGGGAGGAAGGGAGGTGGACTGAGAGAAGGAGGAGGAGGTCCGGGGGATGACGTCGGTGTAGACTGTGGTGGTGATGGTCGAAGTGCTGAGCGGTCATGTTAGAGCTGGGTTCGCCGGGCTATCGTCCCTTGGGTATATACCACTTACAATGTATCCGGTATGACGGTGGTTCGCATATAGGAGGAACAGTCGGCGCGGCGGGACGTGACGTCGGGTGTGATGCCTGCTCTGGTGCCGGTCACGACTCGAGCGCAGTTATTGGCGTTGCATGCTTGGGCGTTGATTAAAGGGATGAGTCCTATGATGGTAACGATGAAAGGCTTCATTTTGACACCGGCAAAGGTCTCTATGTGCGTGTTTCTTGAGCCTTTGATCATTTCCTGGGTATCGACAGCGATATTGGAAAGACTTGGGGCAGATGATTTGTCGCTTTTATCGTTAAATTGGAAGAAGGGTCGATAATACTTTCCAACGCAACGGATTAGGGGGAAATCTGGTGACGGTGGTACGATCAAGGTGAGCGACGGCCAACGAATGAGACCTGGCAACACGAGCTGAACATGGTGACTGAAGCCATCGTGGGATCCTGTATCAGAAATATAGCTAGCACCCACGAAGACAAGATGGCATTCCACGGTCTGTCTTGTTATATTGAATCGATTGCACCAGGTAACACCGCCAAATCTCACTTCGGGTAACATTCTCGGTTTCCAAGGCAGCCAGAAGAGGGGCTGAGGAGCACAGTGTATTCAATTCAATGCGCAGCTTGCTTACTTTGGTCGCTAGCAATACCCGAGAGTGAGTTGAAGGAACACCGCGGTATATTTGAGACTTTTTAGGTACTGCGATACCAAAACAGACGCAGGACAAGGAGGTCAGCTGAGCTGGTCAAGTCGAGCTTCAATCTCAGCCGGGCAACTCAAGCGGCGATCCCACCTAAAGCTCTTTTTTCAATTCATCGGACTCTTCAAGAATAGCCCCAACGCACTCCGAACAATCTGTATTCAATCACAAAAGTCTCCCATCGATCCCGTCGCCGTTTCACCCTCATCAGCATCGCGCTCGTCACCCTCCAACAGCCCGAGACTTCTCAACACCGCGTCGGGCCCGGGCTCACGACCCAAAAACTCCGTCATCATCTCCATCTCGTCTCTGCTCCCGCCGTACTCGAGGATTCCTCGCCGGTAACGGTCCCACGCATCGGGACTGCGAGGGTCCTTGACGAAGCACGACTCGAAGAAGGCGGCCGCGAATGCTTGGGCGCTTTGGCAGAGAAAGTCAGCACTGCTTGGAAGAAGAGTAGTAGATGGGTTTGGGGGATTGGAAATTGGTTTTCTAGCTTTCTTCAACATTTCCATGAGACATATACATGGCGCCATTCAGCACTGCAGACATACCTTATGTAGGCGTAGTAACCCGCGTCGTAAAGTTCGATAAGATGCGTGGAGTGAACAAGCCCGCAGCCTCTCTTGTCTGGGTTAGGCTTGAGTGTCATGGAGTCCTGTAGGTCGTTGTAGAGCTTCACTTCGTCCAGCTCCCTCAACGCATTGGTGGATTCTTGGTTGTTCACCATCATGTCAAACGTGGCAAATACCCTGTCTATCGTCAGCTCATCACCATCATAATACAGTTGATTCCCGGGTGACACCCTCTGGAAAAGGGAGACAAAAAAAAGTCGCTCCCAAGTTCGAACCCACAAGCTACAGCTAAGGAAAAACATCGCACTAAGGTAGGATTGAGGGGGGATATTGGGGGTATCCTCAGCTTCTAGGCAACTTTTCCTTTAGACTGTTGGGAAGGGCGGAGGATATCTTATCCATCACGCCTGCAGGTTCGATGAATATGGCAACGTGACTGCCTCCCCGAAATATCCAGAATACGCAAAGGAAGTGACTTCTCGAAAACAGAAGACAAAACTTACAGCTGCCTCAGAAACCATAGCCCCCGATTCAGCTCACGGCTCTCAACCAACTTCTCCACCAACTCCTTTGGAATCTTCTCCGGCGGGGGCTCTTCGCCATCCGGATGGTCCTCCTTCCATTTTTCCATGTACGCAGGGTCAATACGCGAGTAGTGTCGTCCCATCTTGATCAGCTCGTCCGGCATCCAGCACCACTTCTCCAGCATCGTACTCGGCGCCTCGCCAAAGTCTGGCGTCACTCGCGTGCCGTGGAAGCGGGTGTGCTTTGTGCGGGATACAAGATCATGAAGCCCGTGGCCCAGCTCTGCGTGGACGGGGGAGCAGCAACTAGTTAGTCGGGCAGATACGTAAAAAGGGTACTGATGAACCAGTTTCGAGTAGAAGATTATGGACGTTGAAGAACGAAGAAGGGCAGAGATACAGGCGTACCGTGGAACAAGGTCACAACCTCGTGATGCTTCAACAGCGCACAAGACGCAGCTGTTGGGGGCTGAAAGGCACACATGAGTACTGTGGCAGGATATACTCTGCTTCCATCTTCCTTCAAGTAACCCTGTCGACGAGTCAGCATATCGTTCTTCATGAAACCCAGGGGAGAAATCTCATCCACACACGCATTGCAGGTTGACATTGCACGCAGTCCGGTATTTCCCTTCTCTCCAAAGGACATCGGCGTACAGGAATCCCACAAACTGCCCCTTCCTCTCCCCTCCCCCCTCCCAGATAGCCCAAACCTGGACCTCCTTATCCCATATCTTGCCAACCAGGTCGTCCTCCGGTACAGGCTCAAATTCAAGACCTAGAAATTCGGTGAACAAGCCCAGCATGGCCGACAACGTATGGTTCAGGGGGAAATATTCGGAAATCCTCTCGTGGTCAACATCCGCCTCCTCCTCAAGTAGCCGGGTATAATACTCAAAATCCCACGGCAGAATCCCATTCCCTTCCCCTTCCCCTTCGTTTTTTCCATGAACCGCATATCTTCCAACCACCCCCAAATCCATCTTCTTCCTGTCCCTAAGCCTCGCCATCTCCTCCAGTCCCCTAGGCTCCAACCCACCACTCAACTGCCCCAAGAACACCTCAACCCACCTAGTCGACGGTGCAACTCTCCTTTCGATCCGAAAGTCCGCATGGCTCCCGTATCCCAACATCCTCGCATTCTCGTCCCGCAGGATAAGCATCTCCTTAAACAGCGGCACGTTCTCGGGGAACCTGTTATCGAACGCGACGTAGACCCGCCTCCTTGTCTCCGGGTCGCGCGCATGCCGCAGCACGGCATTGTAATCCGACCTCTCCAGCGTCACAAATCTCTTCCCGCTTTCCTCGAGCAAGTCTTCCTGCCCTGCTGCTTTCCACCTCTCCATCTCTACCTTGGGCACACCCTCCAACTCTTCCTCCGTGAGCCAGAGGCCTCCGCTGCCCTTGAACAAGTTATTTCTAAACGCCCTCTTCAACTCCTCAATCTTTTCCCTCCGTTCAAGATACAGCTTGATCCCCTCCTCATCCAGAACCCCGTGCCCAGTCCCGCGATAATCCAGCCACAAGTCCCTCACAATCCTCTTTTCCTCGTATCCCAGCGCCTCCTCATCCCTCTCCTTGACAGCATTGACCAGCTCGTAAACCCCCTTCATCCGCAACCTCTCCGCCGTAGACGCGGACCAGAGCCGCTGGCCTTCTTCCACAGCCTCGCGTGTGGCCTTATCCGGGCCAGAGAAGCGGAGGACGCTGAACGCACCCGTCTCGCCTTGCGTCTCATCGTCGGCTCGGAGGAACAGGGCAATGGTGTTGGCAAAGGTCGCCTCGGAAGGCGTGATTGTCGCGGCTGCGAGTTCGCGGGCAGAGCGTTGGGTTGCAAGGACTCGTTGAACCATGGGCACGATTTCGTCCGCGGCGAGGACGCGGGGGAGGGACTGTGGTGGTTGGCGAGGCATTGGCACGGTGTTTATTACGGTTTGGCTCGGCAGTTTAACAAAGATGATAAATTGAGTCGACTAGATATAAGAAGTTTAATCTCAAGTTCTCTGGAATATGGATTCTTGGTGTGTTTGGTATATAAAACACTATCCACCACTGGATTTCCCACATCTGGCATCATCCAACACGCGGTGCGGTGATTCTGTGTTCAACCCCTCGTCGGCAGGTAAATTGCCTACGTAAGGTAGGTAGTCTATCACTAGCAATCGACCTGTTCACCACGTGCTGCTGCACAACCTCAACCCTCACCTCTGAGCCGCATGCCAACCTCATCCGCCGAAAAAAAGCCTCGTCACACGACTTACACCGCCAAGCTCTGCCTTCGCAGATCCACCACCATCGGAAGCTGGTGATAGGTCGAATCCCGCTCCTTCCCACGCCGCAATCCCGCATCTTCCGTCATCTAGCGCCGGACCCCAGCCCGCCGACATGGGCCCGCCCTTCGCCTCACTCGGCACCGGACTTTGGGTACCTTATTACTCCACTCCCACACTCACAGCGGCCCCCTTGGTGCCGATGATTGGACCACCGGAGCCGGTCACGCGGATGCCCGTTCGCACCCGCCAGCCTGCAAAAAACGGGGGCCTCGGGAACGGCACGAAAGGCACGAAAGATCCAATCTTCGGTTTCCCACCCCCCCCTCTCTCTCTGTCTTCCTTCATTATATCTACCCCGCAGTCGCGAAGCATCAAACTCGCCATAAACGTCATCAACGCCTCAAAACCTCCCGTAGAAACGATCCACTTCGGCCTGCTCTCGCAAAGCATACGAAGCTTTGGCTCTCTGACCAGCCGTTAAAGATCTGAAGCAGCATAGTCGGCCAACAGTTCATGCACGTCAAAATTCTGACTGCCGCCGACTCTATTAGCAGATACGGAAAGGTTAAGGGTGAAGGGAGTGGAGCTTGGCTGTTCGCTGTCCTTGACCCAAAGTGGATGATCTTTCTCGGCAACGGGCTCGTCGGTGAGCTGTGCTGGACTTTTGGGCTGTGGGGAGCAAAAGAGGCCAAACAAAACGATCTTGAATATCATGAGATGAAATCTAAAACTACGGCACCCGGCATGAATTTCATCTCAAGCTAGGAACGGCTTTCCTGTCAGCAAGAGCTTGGTGGTCACAGCTTTGGCAAGTCTATTGTCCCGCTTTGTGGCTTCTTCCTCGATACTGCTCGGTTTCCGAGCCCCTGGGGGTCATGACCATTAACCAAGTTGTGATACTCGCTCCTGAATACCTAGCTGTTGATAACTGAAAAGAGACCAGCCAAAAGTGAGACGTTTATGACCACCCGGGCTGCATTTCTCTTTCTGAGAGTCGAGGATCCTTGGAAGTTATCAGTCAGTCGAGAATACGTGTAGCCGGTATCACTCTCTTCCGATGGTCCAACTTCGCGTGTAGAATACAGTATCGCGTCTGGAGCAGTCCCAATGCGAAAAGGTATTCACCACCTCGCTCATCTTTGACAATGGAGGCGAACATCCCAAAACTTCGCGAACCCAATTCAAACCTCCGACTTGATACCTACCTTGGTTATGCTCAACATCGTCCGCGGATAGAAGAAGCCAATCCAGACTCATCCCGCCCTCTCCAAACAAACAGGCTCGGAAGTCGTCCCCGAGAAGCAAAAGGCCATAGCAGAATTCAGCCTCGCGGCATCGACAAAAAATCTCTGTGCGAAGGAAATGGAGTTTTACTCATCTTTCGCATCTCCGGAAGAGGCAAGAAACGTAAACAGCATAATCAAGTCAATGCTCTCATGCCTTCTCGCCTCCCCCCACACCAGCTAGACAGCTATGTGACCACAATGACCAGAGCTTCCGTCGCCTCGCCGCTCGCACTTCCTATGGCTCCAGTCCCCAGCCCAGCTGAACCATCCGGTCCACCAGATCGTCTCCGCGGATCTTCCCTAAGATCCCAAGAGCAGTAAAACGATTTGCCCTGCCAGTCATGCAAAACACAGTCCTCATGCCAGCGGACGCTGTAGTATAAATCATCTCAACCTCTCAGCATTGGCGCCAAGAATGGCCAAGGCAGGTAGAGAATACCTTGTTCCTACACTTTGGTACGTTCTTTCAACGCCTTGAACATGCTGCGCATGGTCAGGAACGCAGTTGGAAATAAGATGGGCTGGGGAAGTCTACGCCCAGCTTCTAAATGACGTATCAGGGTATTGAGCGCACAACTTGGCGATGCCCGTGCCTCTCAGCCTCGTCTAATTGAGACCTTATTCAGCGACAGAGTCGCGGCGGAAAAGACACAAGGCTGCCCTCAATTCGCTAATCTTAACCCAGTTGATATAAACCTTCCTTCCCCCTCGCCTTCATCTTTGGACCCCCAAAGGCTCGTTTCAGACTTCTGAAGTGGCAGAAACGCAAGTCTAAAAAAAGAAGAAAGACAAAATCGCGGTCTGAACTCCATACACATTACCCAAAGCATGTTCTCCAAACCGTGCAAGAAGACGGAACCCCAAGTAATGGAGAAGAGAAACACAACTCCCACCGCGACCATATCGATAGAGTACGACCCGCCGTTAACAGCACAGGCAACAACAATGAGAGGAAAATCGTGCCTAGCGATGTCTCTCATGAAAGATTTTGGCTCTCTTACCGCACCGGCCAGTGACCAGCAGAAGTTCAGCCAGCGTCGAGCGGCGCTCTGAAGTAAAGTCTTCCAGCCGACCCGGATGCTCCCGTTCGGGGAGCAGACACTTGAAACACTCTTGTCCCATATTCCTCGACTGTTGCCGGCCGCCAGCATGGTAGTTCCATGTTGTATCCTTGGTGCCAAGACCAGTGAGACTACCGTTCTCTGCCATCTGGAAAACTTTGTTTCGACTCGTCAGAAAGTCTCGACCGCTGCGAGCGTCTTTCCAACCAAAGAGCATGGCCAATCCCATCGACCGGTGGCTGATTGATGGGTGAGAGACTGAGAAGATAGTGACTGGCGAATCCGGCTTAGTTTCCGCCCGGTGTGGCTGCTCTCAGGAAGTTCCGCCCTCCAACGAACGCCGAACGCCGGAGCGGCGGCCTATTGTTGATGAGAGCCCAGGAGAACGGGGTGGTCGGAAATTAGGTGCCCGCAGAACTTCGGACGAATCCCAACTGCCTGTGATCGAACCACCGCTGACAACCGGGGTGATCCTATTTCACAGCGAGTCATCGTTCTCTACCTCGTGGACTGTAAGTAGCTCCTCATGAAGCGGGCTCATGCCCAGTCCAGACATCCACACCATCGAACCCAATAGTCGGGAAGGTTGTCACAGTTTCATGCGCATAGAAACCTATCAGACTCGCCTGGAGGAGCAATCCCCGTCTGTGTCCCGGCCACAGTCGCTATCTTCGACGCGGGGAACGCTGGAGGCCAGTGAGTACAGCAGAAGCCTAGTATTCTGGATGAGCAGGTCAAAATTTAACGTCACAATCCCGTGTGGTTGGCTCCTTGAGCGCTCGCAAAGGGCACGTGCGGGACGCATGGATGATGTGAGACAGCAGCAGCGAATTGCCACTAGCTACAGGTTGCAGCGCGTGTGGTGATACAAAGAAGAAATGGTACGGGGAATCGCTCCTAGACCGAAATGGTGACTCGCGCAGCTGTAAGCTTATTTTCGAATCTCGCCGACTCCTCCAGGTCATGAGCGACTTCAGAAGTCTCGACAGGCAACGGAGCCAATCAGTGCAGCTATAGTAGGTGCGGTATCACGGAGTACTGGCGGGTCTTGGCACCCGGATCGCTCGGAGGTTCTGCGCGCTGGCGGCTGCGCGTGTCTCTCTCAAGTTCTCAACTCGCCCTCCCGCTTTTGTTTATCCAAGACAAGGTCTGCACAGACGCTGTAATTGGGTGAGGCTCCATTATTCTTTTTGGCGGGTCCGAGTGACCCCATTGGAAAAATTAGAAAAAATCCCGTGGGACCTCATTTCGGAGAGCACCGTCAACGAATACCGCTGTAAGATTCCGAGGTGGAAATGGGGCGGGAGGAGTGGGAAAAGTCCGCCGAGTGCCGGGCTACGGTCGTTCCATCAAATTTTGATTTTGCAGGCTCACAATCTCGATTGCTGCCAGGGCTCCAGAGATCCATAGGGACTGAGAATGAGAATCCTCGTCCTCGCCAGGTGACTTTGCTTGGCTCACTGGAGAGTGGACGTTGGCACCTTGGCTCAGATCAGCAGGGACCAACGCAACACAGGCGCACGCGACTCAACTGGTTGAGCGGGACAGAAGGCTGCTGCAAAACATGAACACTTCCGCCGAGCTCGCCCCCTGGTCAACATTGTCGACTTGTGGTTTGTGGGCTACGCGAGTACGCGGGAACGTGACTGGTTGCCGTGTTCGGTATTTTAGCACAGACAATATCAAACTGCCAAGACCGCTAAGTGCGCTGGAGCCTCTTATTAATGACGATGAGTGCTACTGGTGGTGCCCTCCCCTCCACATCCTCCTCAGCTGGACAGACACAGACTACACGCCGTAGCGCTTCGGCGGTGAGACAAGGTGATACATTGACGGGCAGGACCTGCAGGCCATGCGACTTGACGTTGTTTGTGTAGGCCTGGTTTGTTGGCACCTACTATGAAATGCTGTGGAATGAATGAGGTCGAATCAATCAAGTTGGCGACGTTGAGAAGCCGCCTGCAGACGTTGAAGCGGCTGCAGAAACCAACGCACCTAAGCTCTAGTCGCCGGTATGGTGCAGGAGCTTGCAGTCATTGACTTTATTTATGGTGGTCGGTGAACACGGACATCGCGGCGGTTTCGAGTCCAGGCACTCCGCGAAGACCTTTGATGAGGTACTGTCGTGCCCGATGGGGAGAGATGCGATGGCCATCAAAACTTTTTCAAGTTAGTCGCCGTTTCGATGGATGGGTGATCCATGATGCTGCCTTTTGCGGTGTGTGGTAGGGAATAATTAGCAAGTGAGGTCTCGAGTGGCTTGCACTACTATGTACATACACGTGTAGTTAGCCATCACCCATGCCAAGAGTGAGGTGGGCGCCTGGTTTTGTGGGGCTTGCTGGATGCCATCCATGTGGCAGACAGACAGTTGTCGGGCTCGGGATCATCCAAGTCCGCGAAGTTCGCGGTCTGGCCTTTGCTGCTGGCAGATCAACGACAGCGCAGCAGCATCTGCACTCGCCCGACGGTCGTCTGACGTGCTGTGTATCATAGAAGGCCAGTTGGTCCAAGCAAACTCGGACGAATTACATGTTGCGCGTATGACCAAATTGTCACCATCGCAACCATATCCTACATGCTTATCTTGCATTCTCCGCAATATGTCGAGGCTTGTCGCCTCCCAAGCTTTGCATCTTGCAGCGTAGAACGGGTAGAAGTTGGTGGCACCGTTCTCTCGGCGTGTTCCGCGTATGGTCGGGCAGTCACATCGATTGGTAGAGCGCAAGGTCGCACGCACGGCTGCACACATTACAAAGAGGAGACCCAGACGACCCTTGAAGCCACCCTTGAGGCCAAGGGATGGAGGCTTGGGGCGGATTGCGATTTGCGAAGATGATGCGAGAAGGATGCGAGATCACGAGATGTCAATTTTGGGCGTCGCGCGTATTGCAATGTGATTCTGACGAGGGATGAAGGGGCCATCGCCGGGAGTCGATACGACCTAGAATGGCAGACGTTCCTGCCATGGCCGCAGTACCTCAAGCGCCAAGTGTTTCGCTATAGCTAAAGGTGAGAAAACCCTCTGGGTGGTGGTGCAATGCGCCGACCCCCTCCAAGTCCCCGATCGAGACGTGTAGAGCATCGTCCCATCCCAGTGACGGCCGTGACTGTCCGTGTGCGGGACGCATCGGCAGGTATACATACACGTGTAGACTCTAGAGAGAGAGAGAGATTGAGAGAGAGGGAGCGAACGAACGGCCTGGGTGCCACAGACCGTTAGAGGTCTCAAGCCGGATTGGTGGATGTGCTGTGGGTAGTGCCAGTCCGGTGGTGCCAGTCCATTGGTGCTGTATTACCTATCCGCGTACAGCGTATCTGCACCTCGCGTACGGATAGACAAGCATAAAGAAATTATCGCCGGGCCTAGAGATGGAAACAGTCGATGGGCGGGAAACGGAGGTGTGATCATGACCGACCCCGACCTCCTCAAAGGTCGGACAGCGGCGCCCTCGTTAGTGGGCGGACAGCGGTCGTGCGGGAAACATGTGGAATCCGGGAGTTAGCGATGTGAAGATTGAGATCCTTCCGTAAGCACGACGAACCAATTTACTGGAGGGAGGGAAAAGTAAAGGAAAAAACCATGACGACAGTGGGGGGGTTTCCATGATCCAGGAACGTCGCTTGCCAAGCGGGGGGCCCACGAAAGGAAAAAATGAAGTCAGCAGCGCAAAGAAGAAGTGGGGACCTTCGGGACCTTCCTGGGCTTGCCCGAGGCAGAGCGTAGTGAGGTAGGTACCGGTACTTACCCCAGCGATACCGAGCGATCCGAGTACTCCTGCAGTCCTGCTCAATCCTCGGAAGGCCATGCCCACACGGCCTCAGTTCCCAACCTCACCTTTCACCTCGAGCTTCCTCTCACTCGGCCGATTTTTTAATGCTGGGAATCTCGAGACTGGAGCTTGCCCGCAGCCCACTGTTGCTAGCACCATTTACTTCCGCCTGGTTTCGCTGGGCCCTTTCCTCCCCTGGTCTTTCATCTTCGCGGCGGACACTGGCCAGCGGGCTCCTTTGGCTGCGCATGCTTGAGTCCTCGGGGCGCTAATTAGAGAGAGCGAGTCGTCGTCACCTCGACCCCAATCATTTCGCATTTGGCCTGGTCTGCTGGCTCCCTCCTGCTCTGCACCGCTATCATCCCTGCCTGCGTCTGCAATTGCGTATGTAGTACGAACTACGAAGTAAGGATAGCGCTAGTCGTTACAGGCGTTAAAGGGAGGCAGAGGCAGGTCAGGTCGCTTGTTCGATCCAGCGCCTCATGTCCCGTTGGAATCTCGCATCATCCTGATCTGTTCTGTTCTCTCCCTATCCCTAACCCCCGTCTCCCGAATTGCAGAACTTGAGATGACATTTTCTGACGATTATATGAAGCACATCAAGGGTGATGCCATTATCAAGAAGCCTCGATGATGCTGGCATCCTAGCGTCTACATTAAGGGGTCGAGGTCCCTTTTTTCGTTTCCCCTCCCCTTTTGCGCGGTGCACTTTGGGCGGAACGGAGCTAAGGAATGCAGGATACCCTTCACTCGCATTCCGTTCTTGAGCGCCTCGGTGCCGGCGACGGCGGCCGATGGATTAGATAAGCGCGACCGGCACCGGGAAGGGGTCCAAAGGTGTTGTTGGTTAAGTTCAAAGCCATTGCAAGCCACCGACTGCAAGCCCCATTTTGACAGTGACGCTTTCTAACGCCTTTCGTCGTGCCACCAAGCCTGGTTCATATCGACGTCGGCCTCGACGGACCAGCGGCCAGCCCGATTGCACCGTCCGTCCCCCTCTCTCCCAATGGCTCCATGATCGCGCCGCCGTCTCGGCCCAATGACCCGCGCGGGCGGCGGGCCATTGATTTCTCAATTGGACGAGTGCGGCCGCGCGATTATTTCTTGGTGCGCCGATTCTTAATGACAGGTCGGGCAGTTGCCGCTGCTGTACGCCGATGGGCCTCCGGAAACGAGATTTACGTCGTCGACATGCAATTCCCGAGCCGAGAGGTAACGGCGTCGGCAGTGTGGAAGGACCCAAGCTCGCCCTTTGATTGACTTTCATCATATTTTGCATCGCAAACCTCAATGCGAGTCTGCGACAAATGGGACAGATGTACGGCCTCGGCTCGGTAGAACGTAGCAAAGACGACGATAATCTCAAAATCGGGTGAGCAGCAGATGTTTGTTTCACCGAGATGATTATTTGGTCCAGGTCCAGGGGCTGCCGCGGCGAGACCAGGGAAGACCTATGGACACGTCAAGGTGGCTTTCCGTTGCTTCTTCTCGCTGGTGTGCGACACGTTGCGCTGGCAAAGTCCCCGGCGGTGTGGGCAGTGGACTGAGAGCACGGGTCAAACCGTCAAACAAGATGGTTCGGACGGGTACCGGTATTGTAGGCTCCTACCAGGAATAATCAGCCCTGTCGACTGGGTCATCATCAGCACGCGACACATCTTGTCTTTCTGCGACTTTGCTTAGGTGCAGGTGATGCAGGCTTGCAGGGCTAGGAGGACAAGACAATGACGGTGACACAGCCAAATGGGAAAGAAAGTTAGGTACTGCAAAGTCCGCCGCGCCGATTTGACGGGGGCCGGGGGTGGACGTTGCGGGCCTTTTGGGGGGACTCGAGATGAAGCCCTCGGAAGGTGAATAGACGAACCCATTTTCTTATTACCACTGCTCTTCGGATACTGTAGTCTGCAAGTCCTTTCCGAACAATAGAAACATTCATCTACTATGTACAAAGCCCTTGGCGAATAAAATTGCCGCTAGGCAAATAGAAGAAAGCATGAACAGACCATACATTGTAGCTCCTAGATCAGCTACCTAATTCCCGATCCACCACGGAGATGTTCCGGAGAAGGATGTGGAAGAACTGGTAAGGATTGTAGACGGGAGCTTGCTTACTTCTCAATTGTGATCTGTAATCCGCAAGAGAATGCGAAGGCGAGGGCGGATTCAGGGAAGGGCAGAAGAAAGGGCATAGAAGAAAAAAAGACCCCCCAGACTAGTGGGGGGAAAAAAAAAAATCGAAGGGAAAAAATGGATCATCCCGGCGTCGCCTAGAATTCTTCCCCCCAGCCAGTGGCGCATCATCACGTAAGGCCGCCCGCCCGCCCGCCCACAATACCAAGGTCCATCCATCCCGCCCACGCCACAAGCAGCGCCAGCGGACTTGGAATAAACGGGGTTCCTTATGACTGGATTACACAGTAGGTAGGAGCACTTGGGGATTCGTGCCGTTCAGGAAGCCTCCTGCCCGATCAACTGCAGGGAGTGAGGAGCGCATCGCTCCATCCCTGCACTCGTTTCTTGCAAAATACGCCCGTGCGCCTTCTCACTCCACCTTTGTTCAGCATCTTGACCAAAGAAAGGGCAGAAGCCACTGGCGACTTTGTCCTTGTGCACTAACGTACCTTACCACATGAGCCCCGCCCAATGGAGGAAGTACCTGTACCCGAGCCGCAGCACCCGGGCTTCCTCTCTGATTTTCCCTCACTCTTTGGTCTTGTGCCCTCGCTGCATGCGACTCTGTTTTCCCACTCTGGCCCGATGCTGGGCGATGGCCCCCAAGAGAGAGGCATGGACAAATACCTTACGCAAGATACCATAGTACTTGTATCTGTACCCATGGCACCTGCCCGGCTCGTGTCAGTCATCGATGCAGTCAATCGGTCAGTCAGTCAGTCATCACGGACGCGGACAGGAAACACCAGCATCGTCGTCCCCCGGAAAGATCGACATGAGACCTCGCAAAGACGGCGCCGAAGTATGCCAGCTTTCGACAGCAATCATGACAGCAGCGCCCATGACCAGCCAGCCAATGATCATCACGAGGGAAGGATGATGGAAGGACGGCAGAGCATTCGGCGCTTGGCATCTGCCTAGCATGCTTCGAAGTTCGCTAATCCTTTGATTCCCACAGATGGAGTATTAATATGGGAAAGCGAAAGGAAGCAAAAGCTGGGCCATCTTTCGCCAATCCAGACGCAGGCCAGTAGGTACTGCAGTAGGGAAGTACGAAGATACCTGCTGTAAGAGACGCAGTGGAAGACGCATTCGGCGGTGGCCGAAGGACAGACGGACAGAGGGCGGGCGGGACGACAGGAGTACTCGGTACTCAGACTGAGGTAACGAGGTTGCCAAGAAAGGCATGCTAAGGGACCCCAGTGTATCGACCTGGGTGAAGCAGCACTGCAGCAGAGCATCATAGCTCCGTCTTGATTCGGTTCGGACTTTTCACTTTGCCCAGTCCCAGCGTCCTAGTGTACATTGTACGCACCCCAATGGACCACTTACCGCCTGATGCCCCTGGTCTCGGTCAGCTGTGTAGGGACGGGAGACTCGCATCCACAAGAAGAAAGACACGCAAGGTTGAAGGTACCCACGACACCTAACCAACCCGTCCACCCGCCCAGAGAGACCAAGCCCGCGTACCCTGTACCTCGACGCAAGGCAGTCTGGGTACTCGTACGGCTCCCCTCCCCTGGTACCAACCTTACCTCACTATGGTCCTCTGTCCTCTGCGAGAAGGGACGGAGAGCAAACTAAGGTAAGGTAGCCCACACACCACACACCACACACCCAAGGCTCGCCTTTCGCAGTCACTGCTCTCATAATCGCTCGGCTTCTGACAAGCACCCCGGTCCCCGCCGCTTCCGTAGGCCGGCTTGGGCAGTCTTGGTACCTTTCCGTTGTGTCTTGGGTGTCGTTGGTACCTGCCACTCCACACGCTCTCGTTCAAAGATGGACTCCAGCCAGAGCGACATGTCCCAAAGCTCGGCCTCCTCTGCAAAAGTCTTGGGACCGTGGACCTTGTCTTGTCTTGTCTCCATTCTCACTCTATCCGGTCTCTGCGTTACCTTAACCTACTTTGCCTAACCCTGCCGCTTTGCCCGCCTGTTCCGCTGCCTCATCATACATATCAATCTAGTCATCCACACTTTCCGTAACTTTGACGCTTGTCTCATGCTCTCTTGACCTTCTCCCCTCCCTCTCCAAATCTCCCCCTCCTCCTCCTCTCAACGCTTTTTGCTACCTGTCGATTATTTGCATATTCCCCCCTTCCCTCCGACGGCGACGATACACTCACCGAGACTGGAAGCAAAAGTGGAAAAGGGAATTTTGAGGATTCCAACGGGTCGATTCACTGGGACGTGACGTAGCTGGGTCAGCGAGCAAGACAGATTCAAGACAAGACAACGCCTGTCTGGATGGTTCGGTTTTAGTCAGACACTGACAAGTCGACGCTCCCCGGTAGACGACCACTCGCCCTTCGGTCCTCTACCGTCACCTATTACACCTTCGCCCTTCGCATTGCGTCGCGACACTCGAACTCATCTTTCCCCTCCGAAGGCACCAGTAGCCATGCGGGACTTTAGCACTTTCCTCCAAGGAAAGCCGACACTGCCGTCTCTATGGACTGGTAACATCAACTTCGCCAAGCTTAATCCTATTCCTCACCGATATCGACCCAGTCGAGCAAAAAGGAATCAGAAGAAGCGCGCATCCGGGAACTACACCGGCGCCGAGGACGTGACCTCGCTACAAAAATCACTGAACCCTCTCGACACATTACGGAAATTGCGAAATCACAAGTGGCGCCTCCTCGACCTGCAGTACACGATCCTCATCGCCTTGATCATTTTCTCGCTCTGCATTACGCCTTCAGCGCCGCTTATCAAGACACTCGCCGTCACTGGAGGCCTCCTGCTTTTGACGGTTCCTGTCACCAGCCAGTTCTTCTTCCCCGGACTGAGTATATGGACCTACCTCATCTATTTCTTTTGTAGCCGGTAAGTCGCTTTGCATGCGGTGTTATTCACTCGGCTTGGATGTTAATTGAAATCCAGCTTCATCGATGCGAAATACCGCCCCCATATCTGGGTCCGCGTCCTCCCCGCTCTCGAGAACGTCCTCTACGGTGCCAACTTGTCCAACATCCTATCTGCTCACACCCACCCGGTCCTCGACATTCTCGCCTGGATTCCGTACGGTCTGGGCCACTTTGGCGCTCCCTTCATCTGCGCTGGCTTCCTGTTCCTCTTCGCCGCGCCCAAGACGCTCCCCATTTTCGGCAAGTGCTTTGGCTGGCTGAACGTTCTCGGTGTTACCATCCAGCTCGTCTTCCCCTGCACTCCTCCGTGGTATGAGAATGAGCATGGCCTCGCCCCGGCTGCGTACGGCATGTCCGGATCCCCTGCGGGTCTGGCCCGCATTGACGCCATTCTCGGCATCGACATGTACACGACCAGCTTCTCGACTGCCCCGGTACCCTTCGGCGCTTTCCCGTCGCTACACGCTGCGGATGCAGTCATGGAGGCTCTCATTTTGAGCTACTGCTTCCCCCGGTTCCGGCCTCTCTTCGTCATCTACGTCGCATGGATTTGGTGGGCGACCATGTACCTCAACCACCACTACGCGGTCGATCTGGTCGGTGGCTCGCTCCTTTCCGCCGGAATTTTCTACTTTGCCAAGGCTCGATATCTGCCTCAGCAGCAGGCTGACAAGAAGACTCGTTGGGAGTACGACTACGTTGAGATTGGCGAGCAGACCAAGGTCTTCGATGAGGAGTATGGACGGATGTACAACATGGGATATCTGCAGCGCCGCGGCAGCTCCGACAGCGATGAGTGGACAGTTGGCAGCAGTTCTAGTTACAGCACATCGAGCCGGGGCAGCGGAAGCTTGAGCCCCGCCCTTTCCGAAGAATCCGGTCGCAGCATCTTCAGCATCGAGATCAGACCCGACAGCGACAGATACGAGATTCCCCAGCTCACAGAAGTGGCTGTTCGGTAAACCGGTTCTCGTTACACGCGCAGACCAATTCAGATACTTCACGAACAAAGCGAGCAGCGCCGACAGGGCAACGACGCCGGATTATCCCCGCCGCGCGTACTGAGAGCCCTTGGACGATTCTTCGAAACCGCGAAACAACAACCTCCCTTCACCGACACTTTTTTTCGATTCTCATCATCAGCACTTTTTCACTCAAAACGGATACCACTTTGGATTACCTGTACCATTTGCATCAGAAGCACAGCAACGGCGCAAACGTGGTATTTTATTATTTTTTTACAAACGACAGAAACAGCCGGAGACGCAAAGATCTCGACAGGCTTAGGAGTAACGGCCTCATGGATGACCACACCGGCAGCAGAAAGACCCACGGAGTCGGGGAAGGGGTGTAAACGGAAAGACATGGGGGACATGGGATATAGAGTACCCTCGTACAAATTAATGTGTTCAATGTCGAGATCTATCTCTGGATCGTCCAGCAATCAGCTAGGCTGAGAAGGAGATTCATCTCAGGCGCCCGACCAGCAGGAAGGCGGGCCCGAAGTAATGCGGAAGAATGAGGCGGAGTATACCACGAGTAGAGGTAGAGCAGTCGCTACTGGAGTAGTTGATGATGTGGAGAAAGAATACGAGATCAAGCTATTCTCTCGACGAAACAACTGTCACCTATTCATTGCAGGTTGTTCGTGATGTTTTACTTCCATGTATGCTGCAGTCCAGATTGAGTTGACATCCAAGGGTGCCAAGCTGGGGTAACCGCCCGCAGTCTGACGTCGACTGGTCGCCGATCCCCCCATGACTCTCAGCTGAGCTGATCCCGGCTCGGCCGGCGAAGGTGATGTGGCCGGCTGGCCCTGGCCTGGGAGCTACGGTACACACGGCAGGACTAAGAGTCTTTGTGGCGTAGAATGGCGCAGACGGCGGCTTGCTCGGACAAAGCGGACGAGGGGGGACTGGGGCGAGAACGGGATACGGGGGAAAGGGACAAGTGACGCTAGGGCCAAGACCCGAGTGATCGGGTCCGACACCTCAGCCCACGTCCCCCCGAATGCGGCTGGGATTGGCCCCCCCAGTGCTTTGCCGAACCCGAGTGACCGGGGGCCCAGAGACTCCACTGCGCCGAGCAAGGATTCTTGGCATGGGTTACATTTTTCTCATTTTGTTTTGCCTCTCTCTCCGTGGAGTTGCTGTTACTTACAGGGTTAATTCCGAGCGACGGGCGGGACATGGGCTTGTGGGGATTTCGGAGTTTTTTCATCGGCTTGGTGGGTAAGATGGATTTGCCATTTTGCCTCGGGCGTTGCGCAGATGACCCGTGATTTGTACTGCGAGAGAGACATATCTTTGTTGAAGGGGACTTGAAGGTGCGGTGGCTTGCTTACGGTCGTCAGAGAGACATTGACGATCCGGTCATCGCACACAAGCGAGTGTGGAAGACTGGGAGAATAGATCTCATTGAGTTTGTAATACAAAGATACGTTGACGCTTGACCGAGACCCATAGAGTTTAATGGAAGCAAAGGAGGTTATATGTAGTTCGGCCAGTACGTTTGGGAATATGCGTTGCCCAATTTGCCGTGACGATCAATCTACCTTACATAGCTAGCACGGCAAGCCAGGCCTTTCAATACTTTAATATATAAGTAAGTAGTCCCGCGGTATCGAAAGGGCTGAGGAGCTCCGGAAAGCGCGCGTTGCAGTACAAGCGTCTATATCATAGCTGTGACTACCTTATGTAAATGACAGCATATTTGCCGTAGCGGTTGGTTCTGTTGGAGAGTTGGAGTGCGACCAAGGAGGTCGTGCAGGAATGGACTTGCGAAGGCCGGAAGCCCGGGGAAGGAACTTTTTTGAGCTTCGCAGGGCCGGGGTAGATGGTTGGTTCGTTGGCCATGGACAGCGTTCAACTTTTCGCACGTGGAGGCCTTCGAATGAACAAGAGTTCATCACACGATGCCTTCCGTACCTCTTAATTGGCAGAATGGCCTTTCAAATCCACGTTTGTTGGCCGATGGGAAGAAAGCAGTTGGGAAAGTGATAACACCCTGTTGGAAGCAATGTTGGAAGCAAGCACAGCCAACATCATTTAGTAGGTACTGCAGAAATTCATCATTGCACCCCTCTGGTATCATCGCTGAGAATGCCTGGAGAAGCTTTGGTTACTAACTATTCTGCAGTATTCGTGTGAAAAGTGGCAGTTCATCCCAAGACTTCAAGTGACTTACACGCCTTCCTTTCATTTGGCCTTCCACAAAAAATTGAATATGACAGGAGATCTTGACCTGTCTCCGGTTACACGCCTAGGCAACTTCGCGGCTCTGGGTGGTCTCATCCAAGACATCAATGATCTGCCAGAAAAAAAAAAGAAAAAAAAAAAAGGCAGTCGAAGGAGACGAGGAGACGCGCCATGAACCAGTCATCAAGACACGCAGCATCTTCACGCCCTCCAAACATTATGTGAGCAATTGATGCAGCACACGTGGATTTGGGTAGCAACCAAAGGCCAGTATCAAACACTCTATTGCGTATTTCTGGCAGTTGTTGGCCTGGAATCCACGCGGCTTGAATCACTGGCGTAGACACTGAACGTTGGAATCTCAGGGCTTAGAATGGTGTCGACCAACCCCAGAAGGTTCGCGATCTGGCCAAGACTCTTGGAGTGGATCTGATGCTTCTTGCTAGGTGAACCGTTCCAAAAAAAAAAACTTCGAAAGCATTCTCGACTTACATTGAAGGTATACAGGGCGTCTTTTGCGTCACGTCTGCGCAACGGGCCATCTCAAGGATACGGCACAGGATGAATCCTTGCTCACGACCTTCACCAAGTCTTTGGCCCTCAATGTCATCGACGGTAGCTATGTTGCCCTGCAAGGATACCTGAGCCGAGTGCTGTTTGTGGAAGTATAATTTCCACTCTTAGCTGATATCTCATTTAAAGCATAGGCTTAAGCGGTGGAATTGGCCGAAGCTCAATCGAGCTCCGCAAGAATCTCCGCGAGACCAACTGGCAGAATCCTACTGAAACTGCACACACAGCCATGCACGCGTCTTATAAGACACATCCACCAAACTGTCTCGAGTACTTGCGTTTCATAGTACTAGGACCTCACACCAACCATTGTATTAGGTAGATAGAAGGCCAAAGGAATGCAGCCATGGCCACTGACAACGCTCAAAATGGGTGGCTATCGACAAGGCCGGGCACCCTGGATTCACTCTTCATTGTACCCTGTTGAGGAACCCCTACTCCACGATGCGGATACCTCAACCAAGTCATCGTCGCTGGTGGATATGGCTGGTGGTCGTGCTTACTGGGAGGCCACAGCCGGCGACATTTTGATGATGGTCCAGCTTTCAGCTCTGGAACGTCCCGAAGGCCATTGGCACCAACAGATTAATACTAGTGGGTTGAACTTGAGGATAGACAAGTTTTGGAAGTGCGGTCAGGCGTTGAGAATCTCATTGAGTGTGAGTTGGTTCATCTATGGGAACACTTGGGCAGTCGTTTCCGTATGATAAAGAGTTGATGACCGTGCAACTTCAAACTTGCAGATCTACTGTGGTTAGTCTTCAATTTTTGTTGGATAACAGTGCCATGTTCTATATTGAGTAAAACCTTTAGACCAGAAAGATCACTACATGTATACGAAAAAGAACAAGCACAACGCAGCCGACATCTAAGACCACGGAAGACCATAGCCCACAGTTTCCTTCATATTCTTTCATGCCAGATAGATGGATTCCCGAAATCGCAAATCCCGCTTTCTGGCATTTCGTATTCCCAATCGTTCGACCTAAGGTTGTCACATCATCAAGACACAAAGTATAACATAACTAATCCAGATGCTTTTGATGGTCGGATTCTAGTAGATTAGGATCGAATTCGGTTATTCGGTTATAATCGCCGTATTAGGAAGCCACGAGTTAGAAATCAGAATGAAGTCGAATAGTATCGTATTTCTCTAAGCAAAGAAGTGGTTTAAGAGAAGAAACAGTCTCACATGAGAGTATGTTTGAGAATATAGAATACACTCCTGACCAGCTCCGGGTTTCTTCAGTTTTTCGTGTACGCCTCCAAGAAGAAGCCCAAGAAAGCATAGCCTCCGGCACAATGAACATTTGAGTTATTCGGGATCATGTAGACGTATCCACCCTGGTTCGGGCAGTACCCAAAGCCATACACAACAGGGTTTCCGGTGGGGGAGCCGCTCGATTGACAGTTGCCGTAGTAAGCATCAGAAGTACGGCCGACGTACGAGCAAGTGATGGGATAGTTTCCGGTGCCCTGGAGATCGCTGTAGACCTTATCGTTCGCGGTGGCAGGATCTGGCTGGTAGTAGTCTACGAGCACTTTGTCCGGGCTGTTCAAGTTCCGCAATTGCCCGGCCTTATCGACGTAGAATGGCGTGGCGGCAGTGGCATCGCGGACGAGGCGCAGGGCACCTGAACCGTCGACTGTTACGTATAGGCTGCGATCACCGGAACCCTGCAGGACGAATGCCGTGGGTGTGGCCGTGGGCGTGAAGGCAGCCTCAACGGTGCTCGTGACGGTAACGGTGGTGACCGGGGTTGAGAGCGTGGTTGTTGCAGCGGCGATGCCGTCACACGAGCAGGCGGATGAGTAGCGCGCCGTAGGGCCGAGTGTCCCAACAGTGTTTTTGCAAGCCGTTTCGATGTAGGCCGGCAGGCTGCTCGGGCGGTTCTGCGCGGGTGTGCAGGCTGGAGCAGCAGCAGTGGTGGACAAGGCCTGACGCCCTTCGAGCTCCTCACGCTTCATCTTCTTGAGTCCCGGGTAGGCGTTGACCAAGGTAGTGGTGTACGAAGTGACGGTTGCTGTCTCGGTTGCGGTTGAAGTACAAGGCGTTTCGGTGACCTGCATCCATGAAGCACAGTCGGCCGACGCCGATGCTGGCCCGGGCTTGGCGCCGAGCAGCGCGCGGAAGCAGTTATCACGGTTGCACCCAGCTTGGCGCCCGAACAACTCGTCTGCAGGGGTGGCGGCGGCACGCTGTGCGACGATGCCGCCGACAAGAGCGGTGAAGAAAGAGGATTTCATCTTCTAGATCTTCTAGGAAGGCAATAACTCGACGTGGGAAAGAGACTGTTCTTAGTTGCAAGGATGGGATGAAGGGTTGGTATCTAGAGTGGAAGGGAAAGGCTTGAGCTGCTTCAGGTGAGGTGCTGCGTGAGTGAGAAGGAGAAGTGTCTTCCGAGCTTGGCCAGCCGTTTTATAGATAATCACTCAAAGTGCCTTCAGAGTCCAAGTTCTTGAATACATCTAGACCGCAAGTCTGCCGAGAATGCGCTAGAATCATCACAGCTAAATCCCATGAAGTTCAGCAAGCCTCATTGCTTCAATCAATGTCATTCTCCGCCCCGGATGTGGCCAAAGCGGAGTATCTTCCCCATGTCATTCAAGTCCAGAATGCTCCATACTTCACCCACTTGAACGGCACCGTGGGCTTGGATCCGAAAGCTGAATGACATGGTCCAACAAGCCTTTCCATCTCCCTGCATTCCCATTCAAGAGAAGCTTGATTCTACTTCGGGACGCGGATCTCTAAGCGACTCCGAAGTGAGACAAAATCCTATGGCTGAGCAACACGAGCGTCAAGTAAGCCCACATCATACCATATCAGACCATGCATCTACTGTCTCTATTTTCGGGGCGCTTGCTACATTGCGACGTTGGAACTCAGGACGGGACAATCTAGGACGGCCATTTCAAGCTATAGTCTGGCCGCTGCTGCGGGTGCAGCCGTACGGGAGCCAGTACCTGGGCCCGAACGGTGCGCTGCTATCAGCTCGAACGTCAAAACCAGCTAGCTACTCCGATGTACCAGTTCACTGTGGTCTGCTGACGGTTTACATGGTACTTTATGTCCTACTAGTTTGCAAACTAGTGCCACCAGCCCCGAACGAGTTGGGAAACGTCTTCCCCACTAGCTGAAAAGAACCCTGCCTTAATACCCATCCACCCTGTCGGGACCCCTAGCATTTCTGAGAAAAAAGAATTCTCCGATGCTGCGGTGAATGTAGCTGGCTTGAGATTCCTAGGATCCTGATCCACCCCAAGAGTCTGGATCGTTTTCTAGATGACTGTGTGTAAGTGAGAAGGAACGACCTTCACAAACTAACCTGATTTGATATTGGCACTACTGCGGCTGAATCAGACTCTCCTCTTTTTGGCAGTGAAAAAGTTTTCTCTCTATGCCTGGACTCGCTGAAAATCGCCTCTGGCAAAATAACGACGGCGATTCCGAATCGAAGGGAAAGCAACAGAGTAGGGGAATGTGGGCGGACAGGAGCTGAAAATAAGGCTAACTATGTTTCTTGTTCAACATGGGCTCTGTTCACTCAATGGCTTTCGTAGCTCAGCCACAAATGTCTGTCTCATTGGATTTTCTACGAGACCTCATATGAGTGGCATGCGGAGCTTCCTATGGCTTATAGCCTTCGATCCGGCTTGACTCACTCTCAGCTCAGGGAACCCTAAACACGATCGAAGATGTGTATCCAGAAAACCCAAACCCGAAGATTTTTTCTCCAATTCTTTGAATGATTAACGTGAATTTTTGAATTACCTTAGGTTGTCAATGTACGGTATTGTAAACGCCACGCTGAATCTCGGTCCCCGGGGGGGGATTATGAGTCAAAGGTCAAATTCATTCCCTCTAAATTTCTTGCATGATGAGTTTTCCACGCAGAAATAGATTTCATCTCATCTAACTACTCTTGTCCGATCTTCGTACTAGTTGGAGGGTGATATTCCCGGAAGATGCCTTCTACGTTAAAGCTTGTGCTTCCGCACAGATTCGTTGGCGTTCAGTGAATTCTACTGGTTATACTATCTCAGGTGTCTCTGTTCTGGCTCTTGTATTCACCTCTTTGAACTCTCTCGCTTAGCTCTTTCAACACCTTGGCGATGTACTCGCAGTCCTCGATGTCGACGTAGACAGCCACACTCAGTCTAGCCCACCACGACCCACGGTGGAACAGTAAGGATAGGTATGTCTGGTATGTTTCAACAAACTGTCGGTTGATCCACTCAGTAACTGCTGGCACTTCCTGTATAGTGACATGAGCCGCACTCTTGTCGTCCGCTACCTTAATCGGCAGCCTTACATGGGCAAAGAAGACCCTTTGCTCCTCTGGAATCTCAAAGGCTTCGGTTCCCAGATGAGCAACCATAATCCGCTCAGCTTCCCGAGCGAGATTCGTACAGTAGGTCCGTATGGCGTCCTCTCCTCCGCAAGCCTGTTTGCGAAAGTTCAAAGCAGTCTCGATGCAGCAGTAAGGCGCATTGTCGATGGTTCCGAAGTACTCAAACTGCTTCACCATTGGGTTTGTCTCCTGCGACGAGGGCATAGGATCGAACACCTGACGTGCTGCAAGCGGTCGAAAACCATGGGAGGTGGGCAGCGTTGTCCGGATCATATGTTGATTTCTCTTTGGAACGAAAAAGGCAGCGACTGAGCGGGGGGTGAAAAGCCACTTGTCGCAGTTGGTGACGAAGAAGACTGGATCGAGCTTGCCCAGGTCGAGCGGTATGTGCCCAATACCATGTGCTGCGTCAATCATGCTGAGAACGCCCTCCTCACGGCAACCTTGTACCAATTCCTGGAATGGCATGAGAAGTCCAGGCAGGCTGATAATTGTGTCAACGACGGCCAAGCGAACACGGCCCTTCCCCGCCTGTTCGCACTAAAGCTTTTCACTCTGTAAAGCCTCCTTGAACATCGCCACGATCTTCTCGGATTCCAGGGGCAGATCAAGCTGTATTTTGACCCCTGACACTCCAATGACAGAGGGTTGCGCTTCAATGAAGGCCTCGATAGATTTTTCGAGAGCACCGTAGATACCAGACGTGTAGACGATCGTATCACCATCTTCCCACCGAAGGTTGAGTAGTACAGTGTCCGTAGCCGTCGTCACGTTGGGGCAGAGAACCAGCTCATCCACAGGACATCTCATGAATTCTGCCAGCAGAGAGCGACTTTGACGAAGGATATCGGGAAATACGTAGCGTATGAACCGGTCGGGTGCGGCCTCAGCGACATCTTGGTACTGACGAAGTGCGGTGCGGACTGGGCTCGGATAGCCTCCAAAAGACCCTAAGTTGTCCGTGGTAAGTCAATGTTCGCTTAACAACCTCGGCATTGAGTCCGATTGTCATAGCTAGGTAATAAGCAAGGATAGTACCTTGATTTACATTGGTATAGTCCTTTGCGAACAGAAAGTACTTCTCTCTCATGGGCTTCCCAAATGGGGTGAGAGCCAATGCTGGGGTTGTGTCAGACGCCATTACGCTCTAAATCGTTCTTGTAGGCGAATGACACACGAAACTTTGCCGGTACTTTTATCTTTACAAAAGGTGAATAGGGGAGTACTTATAACTTCATCCAGGGGCGTGACTCGGTGAAGACCCCATATGTTGTGTACTTGCGCCCTTGGGACGCCGTGTGCGAAACTTGGAGCGGGGAAATTGGTCATCAACCAGGACAGCGGGTCGGTAGCGTTAGCATCTAAGCTCAATACAGCTCAAGCTTCACCGGTGCCATATCAGGTCCGGGAAATCTGTCACATGGGAACTTTCAAGTTTATTATTGGCTACTATCTACCAATATTTGCAATCATTGTATGACACGCACGAGACAAGTTCACTGGTCTGCAGTACAGTTATCTAACCCAACAACGCTTGGCACTCCATCTCGACCTGAGCCCCAAACGGCAAGGCAGATACCTGAACGCAGGTTCGGACCTATTTTGGGGTCAGTGACAGCATACGAATACCAAAAGACGGACTCACGGGCTGGGGCTCTTCAAACACCCCCAGATACGCCTCGTTCATCTCGGCAAATTTGCCCATGTCGGTCACGAAGACGTTGACTTTGATGACCTTTCCAAGGCCGGATCCAGCAGCGAAAAGAATTGCCCCCAGGTTTTTGAGAATTTGAGTCTGAATTCCGACAAATTGCCGATTAGCCACTCGCGGCTTTGGACTGCTAAGGTTATGCTTCATCAACTCACAGTTTGTGCAGCCAGGCCATCGGCAAGCTTTCCTGTATCAGGCTCCATGCCCACGTTCCCTGAGACATAGACGATGTTATTAGCCTTGATAGCTTGTGAAAATATAGGTAGAGGTGCCGGCGCTTTGGCGGTGAAGACCACAGCGTCACGACGAAAGGTAATTTGAGAACTCATGATGCGCTTGTTGGGTCAACTGGTCAAGAAGGGCTGGAAGGAATTGTGTGGGGAGAATATGCCCGATTTATGGCTCAATTAAAGGCCGCAAAGCTGTGCCGTAACGAGAATGCGTATTTAATGCAATCTGGAGCTGATAGAGAAGAGAGATTCGGATGACAAATTACAAATTTCTGCTAGGAGGTGCATGTCTCCAGGGGGGGATTCTCCAATTTGTCATTTTTAGGGCGCGCCCTACTGACTTTCTTCTCAAACCCGGCGGGATAATCGCCAATTTTCGTGGGATACGGGAGGTAGGTAGGTTTGTGAGCTGCAGCCTGCAGATGGCCTCGCCTCAATTTCACTCGAGGTCTTTAATGCCCCCTTCCTCGTTGTTCTCAAGTTTATGAGTCTCATTCCATTCTCTTACATCTGACTGCATACATCTAAAATTACTCGAAGCAGAGCCAGCCAGCCATGCCTACCTACGAGTTCCATCATATTTTGCCTCTTGGCCGTCCCCAAAAGGCCAATCTAGCAAGACTTATCACCGACTGGCATGCAACAACGTTCAAAGCCCCTATCTTCATTGTTAACTGTCGATTCGTCGATATCCGTGCTGCCAACACGCAAGACTTCTGGGTCGGTGGTCATGAGCTGAAGACCAACAAGCTCATGATCGCTTTGCGAAGTGGAACGGGCCGTACTGAAGATCAGTACAAGAGCATCACGATGAAGCTGGTTTCATTCTGGAACGAATCGATTAAGGATGTCCAGGCAAGCCAACAAGAGAAGGAACTAAAGGATGTTTTCGTTATGGGCGTGTTTGACTCCGCGTACGAGAGAGGCTTCTTTTTGCCCATGGTAAGGCCACCTGGGAGTCGGATCAGTCAATGTGTAAGATGACACCAGCACGCTAACAAGCCTCTAGCCTGGAGAGTTTGAGCCATGGGTAGCTGGAAACCAGCCAGAATTTCAGAAGCTAGCGGATGGGGGCGATGCAGTGTTCAAAGACCTCGTTCTGGAAATCCAAGAGAGGCCTGAGTTTGGCGGTAATTCCCAAGCCTCCTCGAAGTGAAATATAAAGACGTATGTAGCCGCTGTTCTCAGACTGATTCTAAGAAGAACCATCAAGAAAGCCTAAGGAAATGAAGTGTGCTATTGCAATGTGTGATACAGTATCAATGACGAGCCCGTGCGTGGCGCATCTGCCGTCTTGACGTCTGTCGTTGGTCTGAAATTTGTAATCAAGCCTCGCTTGTGGGTGGTAATCTACATGTCAGTGGTGAGAGACTGTGAAGACCAGTTCCTCTTCCAATCTATCCGTAGAGTAATTCGAAATTCGCGCAAACAGCGGCATCTGTGTGGGTCCTTATCAATACGTCAAAATCCGGAACTCGAAGGGAGCAATTGACACCTTGCTTAGTTTGAGAACCATACTTCGGCAACATGAAATGGCGGGGTATGCTTACCAACCAGGAAAGACATTTTGCACCAATTTTCAGTGAGGAAAAAAACTGGAAATTAGTCATCATCCCATAGGCCATGATCTACCTGTAGCTTGGTTGAAACCGTGAGGTATCTCCAAGGCATATTGTGATTAAACTAGTCGCAATCTTTGGTCGCCTCGGAGGAAGTAAGATCGAGTTTTAGAAGTGCCAATAAGCAAGGTATTTGGTTTAATTCAGAAATGCCACTATGTCACATTTACATACGTATATGAGGCCTCACACGCGCACAGGTAGATAACATCTAGCTGGGCGCGCCACCTTTGGTTTTAGTTGGTTAGGAACTAACGCTTTAGACCGTGACACACTGCCTTGAACTTCTTGCAAACATTGAAAGAGAGGAGGCTAGTTTGGGCTGGCGCATGAGACATTTCTTTTTCCTTAGACAGCCAGACTTTTTGAATATTACAGTTCGATTTCGAAACCATTAGCTGCTCACTGATCACAAGTATCTTTCTAGGTGATTTAAGAGGCATTGGGAAGAATGACATCAATAAAAAATTGCTCGGTGCCTAGTCTGCCATGAGAGCCTTCACACCAGACATTTGAAAAAAATGGGCCAAGGAAGGAAGGCAGGACTATCCAGCGTATTTTTGACTTCTCTTGACTGACACTCGTACTGCCAAATCAATCTGTGGGTACTCAAAATACTATTGGAAACGTCTCCAGGACTGATAGCTGTACCTGAAAAGACACAAAGAGTCCACCTCGTGGAGATAAAATCAAAAGTAAAACAGTTAATGCAGAAGCCGGCGAGGGGCCTCGTGCTTGAGACGTAAACTTTTTTTCAGATTTAACAACTTGTAACCGGATGAATTTGTCCCAACTTTCCCCCAAAGGTGATCTCCCAAAAGGTAAACACCGACTAAGGTAATATAGCTATGGCAGTCATCTGTAGGTACTCCGCGAAATGTAACAGAAGGTTCAACTAGGTGCAAGAATAGTGATTTCAAAAGGTAGGTCTGGCATTGCACAGAAGCAGAATCTTAGCTTCTGCCTTCCGTGGGCGAAAAGCCAGCTAAACGGAACCTCCACCTCCTGAAGCAGTGGCGCAGTTGATTGTGGCTTGACAGACATAGTACGGGTGATAACACCCAATCGTCTTTTACTTTCGTCCCATTGGCCCGTACACTGTCAAGACGTGAATTTATCTAACCCCTCTGGCTATTATCGCTCGTTATTGGTTTACTGAGTGAACTTCTGGACGATGAAATCGACGGCAGGGTCGATGAACTCAGGACGTATGTAAGTCAGGTGGAAGAATGTACAGGTGCCGTCAGGATCGCAAACCTATATTCATGGGCCCAAAAAGAGTCAGTCGGAGTGATATGAGATCAGTTGAGAGCCGGCATGAGTCTTACCGGATCACCAGCTGCACAGACCTGATTCACTTTGTCATCTAATCCGGCAGGGAATTTGCTTAGGCTGGCTGCGAGCTTCAAATATCCATCCCCGAACATTACCAGAGATTTGATCCGACCGTATAGCTCGGCCGGGATGTCGGCTGCAGCGGCGTGCATCACAGCCGCGCCCTGAGAGTACCCGATCAGAGAGAAGGTCTGATTGGGACAGGCAGCAGCCTGAGACTTGAGACGGTTGACAACGTCGTTGGAACCCTGACGGACGCCGGAGATGATTTGCGAGCTGGCCGGATACTATCATCATGTGAACAGAGCCCCTTAAATGACGCAGAACGAGTTCAGTTCTTACTTGAACAGGGTATCCTCTAGCACCAGACAGGGCGACAGTCACATTGCTGACGACTGGGTCGCCGACAATGATGCCGAATTTGCCGCCGCCGCTAGCAAAGTTGGGCTCACTCGTTCCTCGAGCTGGATGACTTCAAGTCAATTTGAGAAAACTAACAGACCATAACTACGCAGAACTCACCAACGAGAATCTCGAAGTCAGAACAGCCAGCTGGAATATCCCCCGGCCGGATCGGGACCGGGTCACCGATAGTAATCCCGGTCTCTGGAATCTCCGGACAGTCGTCAGTGCCCTGGGCGCTTACAACGGACAAAGGCACGACAGAAAGAGCGACAGCGAGAGCGAAAAGCTTAGTGAAAAACATGGTGACTTTGTATGTTGTGGATTTGATTGCTTTCGGACCGATAAGTAATCACCCTAACCATATTGGAAAGAATAGACGCTAACAAGATTATGTCTGGTTTATTTATCTGGATTCTTCCTCCATAATGAATTCGATGCCAGCTCGAGGTAATACTAATTGTTTTAAGCCTCGGGACCTCGGATGCTACGTCTTTACCATCTTGCCTAGGTTGCTCGAGTACACCGCTGGTAGCTTCATCGCAAGTGCATCCCAAAGAGGGGGTTCACGCAAATGAAGTTGCAGCTCTTGGCCTGCTACCCTGTGTGATGGTGTCCTCATAAAGATGGAAGGGAGAAATAGCAAATTTTTGTAGTCCTCAGTCAAGAAACGTACCCTTGGCCACGCCTCCTGAATCATAGCATCGTGTGCCTCGGCACGATGGCTTGGAGGGTGTCGACAGGGGTCTGACTTCACCAGGATCGTTCCCCAATCGCATCCCGTACGATGGCCGATTCTGGCCAATGGGTGATATCCACATTGTGATGCAGCCTACATGCACCCCAGGCGACGGAAACTTGTGGAACTGTGGGACTTTATGGCAACAGAATCCTTCGCAGGAGTTACTCAAGTAGGGAAAAACACAGCCTCCCATCTATATCAAACAGCCCAAACCCAACTATAACTTAGACAACGCGAATCGCCCCCTTGGTCTTGGCCCCTTTTTCAGCCCCCACAGAAAATTCTCCGAAAACATCGCGGCGGAGGCGAAGAAGCAAGTTGACTCCCCGGCCAAAGTGATGACATTCAACGGCTTGGAAACGGTGCTGCAGGCTGCTTCCCGCATTTTTCTGTCGTGGAACTCATACCACATGGTTGACAGATGAGTGAACCCATCGGAATCCTGAAGTATTCCCAAAGTGACGGAGCAAATCATGTCATTGATCAGGGAACGGATACACGGCAAACGGAGGGCCCGTGTGAAACGGCTTGCGGGCAGAAAAAGAAACGAAGCTACACACGAACATGTTCATGTAGATTATCCGTCTGATCCGTCTGAACTGCTAATGCGGCCCGAGCCTCTGTGCGCCATTAGGGTCAAGATACTCTCCGTTGGACGAGGCCAAAGCAACAAGCACGGATGTGACCTCCACGTGGCGTGATCATATTTGTCCGTACGAATAGTGAAGTCTCTTTCCCATGGCGGGTGTCTCACTCTGGCCTCATGCGAGAAGATGCTCCCGTGATAATCAGGTCACTGGTCTTAGAAAGTAAAATTGGCGGGTAAAAAGTGTTGTATCTTGAAAAGAAACATAGATGCAGCACTCAAGCAGAACTAACAGCCGCGTGTCTTAACCGAAGCCAGACAGGAAAGACAAAAAAAGAACAGAAGCCTCCGGAAGCCCCATGTCGCAAGGGAAAAAAAAGGACCCAGCCATTGTTTTTATCATGTTATGTGCGAAACTACGCCCATCAGCCCACTCGAAAAATCTGATCGCAGGATATAGTTCCCGACGAGAAGATACTGCCCTTCATGGGCCTCAGAATGGCAGTTTGTGCAGCACGACCTTAAGCCTGAACCTTTTTGATCTGCGCAATGAGGAAGTTGGCGCCCTCCTCGGCGTAGAGGCCGTACGACAGGTGAGGCGCCAGGACGGCCGCGCTGAGGTTTCCGTCGCACACAGTGTCGCGCGGGTTGGCGGCGCAGATGATCTTGATCTTATCCTTGGGGAAGTTGGGGATCTGGCCGTTGTCGGCGCGGAACTGGGTGTCTCCGAAGGTGACCACTCCGGCGATCTGGGTCTTCTGCGCATCGGGGGCGTTCTCGATGGCACGGTGGTTGACGGCCGCACCTTGACTGTCAGAACGGTCAGCATCACAAGTTGGCAAACAGCAAGTAGCGAGGTTCTAAATCTTACGAGTATCCTCCGGTGACGACAATGGAGGTGGGGCATTTGCTCGCGATATCGCTGAGGATGCTCTTCATCTCGTTGATGCCAGCGAGGTCGGCACCACCAGGGAGGAAGTTAGTGTCCAGACGGGCGCCATAATCAACACCCTGGACGGCAACCTTGCCCGGAAATGCGGCCTTCAGGTCGTTGGCAACAGGAGGTCCCACAACGGTGCCCTGTCCACGGAAAAGAAAGAAGATTTAGCATCAAGTCACCAAGAATCCGACAGTTGGGTTTAGGAAAACGAGTAACCCACCATGTTGCCGATCTCCGTGGAGCCGCGCGCCCAGACGAAGATGATGTCTTTGCATCCGCCGGTCTTGAACTCGTTGGCCGTGCTGCCGACGCCGCCCAGCTGCCGCTTGGTTTCTTCCTGCGGGATCGTGGGGTAGGCGAAGGCGGTGGAGGCCAGAACGAGAGTGCTGAAGAACTTCATGGTGAGATAGTTGCGTTTTTCAAATTGTTTGGACTTGCAAAGAGAGTGAATGTGAAGTGGCTTGTCGCGGACAAGATGGCAAAAAAACTGAAGAGAATGGAAGCGGTTGCGGTTAGCTGCTGAGATGCCGGAGTGGATGAGGAGCTATCATGGTTCTGTGGTGAGCTCTCTGAAGGGTTCTTATAGAAGGTGATGATATCCACAACCTCATAGCATCTACACCTAAAGAGGAATATTCAACGAGATGTTCTCCTCATTTCTTGTTGTTCCTCGGCTTTCCAGATCCCTCGGCTCTCGAGGAGAAACTCCTCGACGGCTTTGTTGGAATTGCTGGTATCCAAGGATGGCCAGGTGTGGAGTCCATTCTACCAAGATCTCGAAAGGGTCAGGATAATCAAAGACTACCTACCTAGGCATGTTACCATACGCCGGGGCAGGTACCAATGTCTTGGGCTCAAACACATTGGCAGAGCGGCGAGTCCCGCCAGGATCCGCCATGTCTCTCCCGAAGATGCGGTCCATCATGCAGAGTCAAGCTTGTCATTCGCTCCATCGTGTGCAGTCCTGAACCTGCCAGTCCCGAATCAGGCGTCGTTTGCGAACACAGGTATACAACACGTCCGTTGGATTTTCCTGCTGATTATTTAGCGCGGCTGGCGTGTTGCCTTCGGACGTAGGCAATGACAAGATGAACAAACGTAAGAGGCCGTTTCAGCTAGCAAGGGTTACCTGCCACTCTGTCGACTGCCAGCTGGTACAGTCACCTCCTGACGTGGTTTTCCAACTTTTCCCCGCACAAAATGTCTTTGGGTGCTGTCATGTTGGAGTCTGGACTCGAAAGGGGGATGACATGGATTGATCGGTGGTACTCTCTCCGGAGTCCGCAGTTCCCTTACTCGAGTGTGCGAACGGAATTTGCCACATAATGGGTCCTTCTCTTCTAGACGCCAAAACCCCCTTGAAATAAAAAAGTGAAACAGAAATATCATCACGGATTTGAAATCGTCAAAGGCGGTTTGGCCAAGCAGACTCCAAACTCGAATGCGCAAGGAGATTGAGGGTTCGTGGTTACAGGCGCCCTGGTAATCAACGGCATCACTAAAGTATGTATCACAATAGTGATCGTTTATAACACAACACGTCCGCCAACACGCGCAACATTAAAAAGGCATTGAATGAGCGCTTGATCCCAGTAAAGATATATGAGTTGCTGACCATTGCATGTTTGAATGAAACGTTTCTCTTCGGCGGCTTGTATGGGTCTCCCGAACATAAAGATTTAGATTCTAACTAAGGATTTTAGTTGATTAATTGTCATCCACGTTACAACCGCCATCATCCGGACTACCCGTCCAATCACACCCACCATGCTCAATAATTGTGGGATGGCAGCTCCACTTGTCAAACATGCGACAGAACCGGTCGATCGTTTACAACCCAAGTGCCAAGGTCTTCAGGTTGAAGACAAGGGGCTTTTCGAGAAATGAAATATATGGGTCCATTGCGAAGTTCTACCTAACTTAGTTTGGGAAGTTGGAGAGCATTACTTTCTAGCCAAGTTTCAAAGACCTTTTAACCCATAGATTCATGGAATTATGATGGAGCCTTCCACTTCTCCTTTACCTTTCGCAGCTAGATATTGCAACGATTGCCTCAGGAATGCGGGACACCGAGGGCGATCAGCAGAATACAGCGAAAATCGCGTCAGCTGTCAATCTCAATTCAGCTTGTATTTGTAAGAGTCAGCCTGCATCGATAGACCGAGGCTCAGTTGACATAGCTTGCATACTATTGGGTTATCTGGCGTCGATCGTTAATTCAAAGAGTTGTCAAGGAGGTTTGTTGTTCCACGAATAATCAATGATGTTTGCCGACATAAGATCAGGGGCCCGATCCGTGAGGGGTTAACTTCACTTACCCTGATCTTGCCTTCTCATCTTGAGAAATTACTATTATCTGGTACGACTCTTGCCAATGTATTCAGCGGATCGTCAAGTGATCATCTACGTATGGATTGAGTCATTGGACAGTATGATAAGGGGAGATAAGCCGCACCGCAACGCCCCCCTGGTTTCACTGACTTCTTGCCAGACAGAGTCACACCGAACTCGAACATTAAAAGTCAAACTCTCATCGATAAATCAGACAATGATATACCAGGCTCCCCGATGCATTCCACAAGGCCCTGTTCGAGCTCTGTTACACAATCCTTATTTCGCATGCAAGCCCTGACTGGTACAACCTCCTTTGTCAAAAAGGCAGCCATTGCTTTCTTTTCCTTGTCTACTTAATAGGATTATAGGCTGAAATGCGCAGTCACTTCTTAGTAGCAGTAGCAACTCAAGTTTGCTTTTGGTTTGCTTCTGGCATATCTGGCTTGCAGTAACCCACATCTTTGAGTTTGACGATGATAGCGTCCGAATCAAAGACAGAGGCAGACGCGAACAATTTGGCGATTCGGGTGTGACTCCGAAGATTTCCTGCCAATTGAATGATTCGCAACATAGATTTGGGTCTGGCATCATGATTTCTATCGGATTGGAAGCCCAATTCGACCTCGAGTCAGCGCCAGCGCAGGGGCCATCTAAGGGTCTCTATATCAGCGTTCAACCGGCGAACCAACCCACGGTTAGAACCTCTCTTTTCTACTTCACGCAGAGATCAATATATAGTTAATTGACCCTTCGTCACCACGGTTCGATCGAAAAAATCACCCCTGTGATACGTAAACCAACAGTTTCATCTCAAGTGAGATTCGTTCACGCAAGGCATACAAGTCCCCATGGCGCAGCTGAGACTGAGAGACCCGTAAACCTTTTCCGTAATGCTGCTCTGTTCAGCAATATTTACTGACTACAAATACAATCCCTTTAGCTTTCAAAGTTCCACATGGCCTGATACAACGTTTTCTTCGTGAAAGTTTACAATCACAACAATCGCATGGGATATATGAGGCTTAGATGCGAACGCCTGTGAGCCTATGTCGTGGGCCGAGTAGGATCTGAACAGATCCAACACGGTTGTAAAAGTTCGATCAGGCATTTGAAATTTCTCATTCTTGGAACGATTGTTTCTTCCGAGTCTACTTAATCTCAATATTCCCAGCTGTGGCATTGACTTGCCTAGTATGGGAGTCGTCCCGTGGGAAGAGAACGAAGATTTTGCTTACCAATCACCTTTCGACTTATGCAACAAATGCCGGTGGGATACATAGAAGATCTTTGTCATCATCCCTTTCCCTCTGTCATACTTGAGACTCTGTCTCCATATTAATACTGCAATTGACGTAAACTCAGCCCTGTAAGTCGGAGCTGCTAAGCGTTTCTTATTACCTGGCCTTCAATCGGGACTTCCGTTTTATTTCCCTTATTCAATGTCACTAACGGTTTGTATCCTACAGCATGGCCAAGAAGCCATCGACGTCCTGTGATTACGTTGCCCACGATATGACGAGCCACAATATTGAATATTCGTCATCCAGCTGGTCCCAATATCCAAAGAAGAGTCCCAAAACTCAATCTTTGGCCACAAGAGGCCCCCTTTTGCTTAAGATGGAATCTGAAGTCTCCCTTTAGTGTGGGATTGTTAATCACGCTTGCCTCGCCTAGAAATGTGCCAACCTCGAGTCTGCCAATCCAGAAGGAGTCTACCAGGCGGCTTCAGGTGCCTTCATCTTCTCTATCATAAGGTATCGTGAATTTTCGGTGTGATCGTCTTCGCCTTATTCTGTTTCGATCGAGGCGCTACTATTTGTAAGTGCTGCTACAATGTCCGAGTGCACCCCATTGCTGTAGTCAGTTCTAGAACTGTGTAATACCATGGCTCTAAAACGGAAGAAACGAGGATGTTTGCGAAGAGTGAAGAAAGAGTACCCAGATCATGATGCGACGAGGGAACAGAGACAAAGCAGCAGCCCTTTGAACCCAAACCCAAATCAAAGACCAGTCTAGAAGCTACTGCTCGATTCTCAGCAACTTCATAAAAACAAAGTCCAAGCCTCTTTTCCCGAGTTCTATTGAATCATCCTGCAGGATATTTTTGATTGGAAAGCTTGTCATGTCAGACAAAGAGCTTTTTGTTAAGGCTTCCCACCTTTTGGTCCCTCCGTGACAACTGCCATCATATCCCTTGAAACGTTCACACACTTTGCTCACTGGCCCCGGTGGACGTAGTGATGGAGCTAAAATTAGGTACATGCTTGCAAGCATACGGCCGTTGCCGTGCGAGGTCCTGCTCCCGGGTGCAAGGTTGGGACCTGAGTGAAGGCAGGAGTACCACAAAAAATGGCTCTTTCCTCCCTAGGAAAAGATTAATAAAAAAAAAAAGGAAAAGAGCACCCCGCGGCCTCGGTGTCCCAACTTCACTTTTCAGGACAATGGTTCGCCACGAATCCTCATCTTGGCCCGTCAACTCACTCACCCACTTGGCCCTCGCTCTTCAGGCCTGCAGTCATGTTTCTACAATTCTTACTCTCGGAATCTGAATTCATTTCGTAAGCCCGGCCATTTCCTACCACTGAGTCTTTTAGCTGACGGTCACTCCTTAAGATCATATTGATAATTCCGTCCTCGGTCTGAGGAAAGAGCAGAGTATACAGCATTTTCCAGGTTGGGCTTATACTCAGCTCGACGACTGTCTTCCTGTGTCGCTTCTTGGCCTTCGTCTTTTTCTTCAACAAGTCAAGTGCCCATTCACCTTCACTACAAGATGGATTGATCCGCTCCTCAGGATCAAATTTGGTTAAGAAGGTGGATCAAAAAAATCAGGACATCCAGTTTCGAGTTTCGGCCAGGTACCTTATACTGAGATGCTTACAGAATGGACGGCTTCACTACCAAAGGAGGCAACCGCTCTCCTTTGCATCAGAAGCTTGCCTTTTTAGCATTGACCAATACAATCGATCAGTGGAACTCCGAGTATCCCCGGCTCGCGAGTCAGCTGCTGGACGACAAAGATCAGCATCTCTTATCCGAATGCTATGCCGCTCACTTAATGCCCACTGCGCCTTCCCTGTGGTGGAACGGCAATAACGCCAGCATAGCCACTTGTCTAATCCTACCAGAGGCATATCCCTCGCTCAATCATGGCTCTTGGAAAGGAAGCAAGATCAAGGCTAGCGACATCCTCAGAACCTGGCGCGAAGACGCCGCCCGTCTGTATCCATTCAGCGAGATCGACGACGATGACCATGAGAACACTTCCATTGAAGATATGGCGCAAGACCCAGGCCAAGAATCAGAAAACGTCATCAGTTTTTCCCGAAGCCTAGAACAGTGTAGAGTCAATGACCAGAACGACTTTGACGAGTACAACAGAGATGTCACTTACATTGCAGAGAGTCCCGCTTCAAACAAGAAAAGAAAGGCGGACAGTTCATTGAGCCAGGTTGCCACCCCGAAAAGAGCCAAGCAAAATCGATCTATTTACGACGATGAAAGCTCTGACGACGAGATCCTTGTGCGCCGCCAACGACCACATGCGAGAGCAAACGTTCGACCACGACGACCCGCTGCTCTGATCATTACGCCTCCTCACGTCGGCGAATCTACACCCACGATCTTGATCGACTCGGATAGTGACGATGAGGAGCCCGTTGCACCAGGAAGACGCCAAGGACGTGGTGAACGCAAAGAATCGATCGAGCCCGTCATGGTAAATCCATCGCGACTCAGTCTCACGCCGATTTGCACCGTAACAGCTATCGAGCCAGTCGAAGCACTACAGGAAAAGCACAGCTGCATCGCGACTCTTGACTCTCGACTTTGTCGACAAATCCCGTGATCAGTTCACGTCCGAGGAGCGGGGGTTGGTAGATCATCAGCTCAGGCAAATGGGAGAAAGGCTGGACAGACTGAGCAACATGGTGAAGAGAATGAATAGAAGTTCTAAGTCTTGAGTATAGATGGCTCTGAAATTTGAGAGCAACAAAACCTTGGCGAGTTTGGTCAAGAGGGAGACGGTTTGCAAAATTGCATCATTGGGAGGGTCTTGGTGGATAGACCCTAGTCCCATAATGAAGACTGAAGAGCTTATCCAGAATGACATAATGTGTGCAGTCTTCTTCGATGGGGCTTACCCCCTTAACTTTCAGTGCAGGACACACACGGAGAGAATTGCTTCAAGGTCTTCGAGACAACAGGTGCTGTACTACACATCAACTCTATGCACCTTGACACACTCAGTCCGGCAAACACCGATTCATCGCGAAACCAAGAGCAACGCCAAGCCCTACAAACCCGGGTCCTGCGCTAAAACAATGTTTCCGACTCACTGTCCTCTTTCGGGAATGTTTCAGCATTCATTCTGTGGGTGCTAAGACCCCGGGTTTGTTTACGTTCAGCTTCCCCCGCCGTAAATAATCAGACGAAGATCGAACACGTGCGGGCCGAGACACCTTATGTACCCTTCCTGAGATCCGCGTGTTATCCTGATGGTTAAATCACTCCAAGGTAGCCTCAATTCTCCCTTTTCGATAGTAGCTAGTAATCAGCGGCGAAATTAATACAGACATGGCAGACTCAATCACGGAAACATTAGCTGCGAGTCGCAAAAGATCTAAGCCCGGATCCGACGCCAGCTGCGAGGCCCTGGCTTCAATCAACTTCAACGACAGACCGACACATACTACTAATATTATACTATTACCCAAAAATGAGGATGAGGTGGAACTTTTACTCGAAAAGACGAGCGCCCTCGCGGGCGTGGTCTCCCACAATCGCAGCCTGGCCGTCTGGACCTCCTTCGCGGCAACACCAAACCCCAAAAGAGACCCCATCGCCATCGCCAAAAAGGAAGCCGACGTGCGAGAGCTCGAAATGTTTAATCGCTTCGAAGACATTGGCTGTCAACTACCGCCCTCAAAGAGGCTCGACGTACTCAAAGACGTCAAACCCCTCGACAAGGAGAACAGGAAGACGGCGGCGCGGTACGTGGACATGGCCTCCTGCGTCGACGAGGTGTTTGGCACGCAGGGCGCATCCAAAGAAAACGTCGCCTGGATCGTGGAGAACATGGAGGTCGTGCTGCCGCTCGTGAAGTTCTATTTGCGGGTGAAGCGGGCGCGGAGGAACCTCGCTGGCGGGCAGGACTGCCTGACGAGCAACGAGCTGGCCGAATACCAGACCGTGCGCAAAATCCGCAGCGTCCTGGGCGTGAGGATGCAAAAGTTCCGGATGGAGAAGGCTTCGGAGAGAAGGCTGAGGGGGTACGATGTCGTGTTGTTGAGGAGGCAGAATGAGATGGCGGCTATCTTGAAGGGGCAGCGAGATGCGAGGGGAAGGGTTGAAGGGTTTAGTGATGGTCAGGAGTCGAGGGCAAAACGGCAACGTTGTTCAGCCTAGTCACGTCATCATATGTATTTCATAATGAAGGACGATGACAACGATCGGGCTCGATGATAATGGAGTCTTCACATTGAAATCAATTGTTCCTTTTCTGGGTTCAAAGAGTTGCTTTGCGCCTCGCTGCAGTCAGGCCACATTCAGTCCATGTCTTGAAACCTTGTCTAACCTCGGCGTGTCTGCGGTGAGCTCGAACTCCCCTCGTCATGAGTCGCCTCCTCATGCTCTAAATCCTCGTCGTTGATTGGCTAGACACCAGAGCTATGCGACTTGCAGCTGGTGTCAACTCAAATCAAAATCGTTCGCGGGCTTGTCCTTCACTGTCAAAGGTTTTGCAGGGGAAAACTTCGAATTACAGTTCCAAGACCACCCCTCGAGCTGTTCCAGTCCCCTCGGCCTTCACAATTGTTATTTTTTTTTTTCCAAATCATCAGTAGCAAAGGGCAAGGAGTGTTGACCTGAATTCTCACCGTAACGAGGTCAACCGGAGACCCCAGCCCACATCTCAACTTAGTCAGCAGAAGATCTCCACAAAACGCCACCGGCTGCCAGGCCCGTGCCGATCAGCCCGGCTCCCCACAGGCAGCCTAGGGCTAAAATAGCCCGTTTCTATCCGTGGTAGGTGCTGCCTTATGGATACACCGTCCACGTACCCGTGCCTAGCTCTCCAACCTCGCATGTTGAAGCTGCTTGTCGAATATGAGAAAGAGAAGCACTCGAAGCTCGTCGAGGGAGGCAAACTGACTTTCTATTTCAATGGAAACCGAGTAGTCGCAGCAGATACTATATAGTAACAACCACGGCGCGCCCAGCACACCACATAAGTATCCTTGAACTCTCAATACGAGGCTTCATCCTAACCCATTGGTCTCTAATTTGATGTCAATCCTGGGCCCTCCGTCGTGACGGCGTAAGACTTGAGGACCTCAACCTGTTTCCTTCACAACCCATCGTAGCGTTGGCTTCATGACAGCTTCGTCCAAACATGGCCCCAGTTCCCAGATGCTCGGATGACCATCATACGTCTGACTTTCACACAATTGGTCGAGAGCCCTTTATTTCTAGACTGGACTGTCGGCGTCATTACCTTCCTTTCCTCACTTGTGTCTTTTGACGAATGCGACTTTCACATCCTTGTCATCTAAAGGAACGCATTCAAGGCAATACGAGGTGCCGTGCTATTTGCATTTTGCGTTTTTCCATTTTCCTGATCCTCTACATGCGTAATCCAGACTCAACTCGTCCAAATGCCAAGGACCCGTAGGACCTGTATCATCCGGGCTGTGACCCGTTCAGTGTTCCAGTTTCCATGAGGTATCCCTCTTTCTCCTCCAGGACTCTCAACATCCTTGATCTTCTCTTGTTGGGTTTTTTGTAACTAGTGGCCCTCATCACCAAGGCCGTCCAGCTCCTTAAGCACAGAGGACTTGGTGCCGATCTTCTTCATTTGTGTGTCCTCGAGCTTCTCGCCTCCGGCCAGTCTCATCTCAAGATCCTCAATGGCGCGCACCTTCTTCTGCAAGCTGCGAATCTTCTTCGCATTCGGGTTTTGCGAATTATCGGCGCCGGGATTAGTCACAGTCACCGGTGCGGCCTGCTGAGGCTGTGCGTTAGGCACCTGCGGCGCGCCATTCTGGCCTCGGTGGGTGTTGCTCCTGTTACGATGCTGACCCGCACCGGGGTTGCGAGAGTGGCTGCGGTGTCTGTGGTTACCTCCGGCACCGCCACGACGCTCAGGACTACGACCCTCGTGGCCTGATCCTGCGCCAAAGTCACGGGGAGGCGGGGCAAGCGAGGCGCCACCGCCGTTCTGGCCCTCGGGGTTGATTTCTCCATCCTTCTTCCTGTTGTTGCGCTTCTTCTTGTTCTTCAGTGCCGCCTTTGACAAGTTTTCATCGTCGTTAGGGTCGGCTCCGGGAACCTTAGGAGCAGCGCCAGGGACCGCAAACTCTGCCCCAGGCACACCACGACGGGGGCGTCCGAACCCGTTAGGTCCAATTGGCGCAGATCCGTTGTTCATGCTGACGTGAGCCGCGCCGCCCTCGTCCTCTCGCTTGAAATGAAGCGGGGTGGCGAGTCCACGAGCACCGGGGGGGCGGTAAGCTCCCGCAGGTTTGCTGGGCGTCTTTACGGAGCCCAGGTAGGTGGCCGCGGAGGCGTGCGGGGTGGGAACCGGGTTCAGGGGATCTCCACCCGCAACCTTTTCAGCAGCCAGGGGCCTCCAAACAACGTTGTACAGCTCGACCTTGTCCTCGTTGTACATGAGAGGGCCACTGACGTGCCAGAGCTTGATGCCGTTGTCGACACGGAGACGAGGAGAGGTGGTGGCTGTCATGATATAACGGCTATCGGGACTCCACGTGCAGACACTGGGGTTTCCACTTTCTATGGTGTGAAGCTTGCGGAAATCCTTTTCGAGATCAATGACGTCGATCTGGCCAGCCAGATTTCCAAACCCGGCAACTAGAGCAAAACGTCCCGTGGGAGAGAAAATGATGGTGTTGCGAGGGCCCAAGGGGAACGAGTGCTGGGCAACCGCACGGTGGTTGAAGATCGTAGTCTTGGCAGGCATGTATCCATAGACGACACCAAACTCCTTGGAGTTCGGGGACCAGGTCACGTCGTGAATGGGACCCTCCTTGTCAAGGCTGACGCGGGCGTCGAAAGAGCCATTGACACTGAGCAGGTACAGCGTGGTCTCGCCATAGTAACTCTTGTTGGACTTGTCGACATCGGTCTGAGCCAGAACGAGGATGCTGGTTCCCAACTGGTTCCACTTGAGCTGAACCTTGTCTCCCTTGAAGAAGGTCTTTTGGGAAATGGGGGCATTGAACTGGGGCACGTTGTAGACCTTGACGGCAGCGGGTTGTCCCTGAGACGTAGTTGTTAGTATGTTGAGAAGCCCTCCTGGGCGAAGCAATCATTGCTTACCTTGCGTTCAGGAATAAAGACAGCGACAGAGTGAGAACGGCCGGGAGCCAGGGCAAAGTCAGCGACGCCCTCGACTCTCAGCTTGTTCCAGACGGTGCCGAGATCGTGACTCTCGTAGAACTGGACTTCGTTGGTGACCTGGCGGGCACAGAACTTCTCATCGGCTGTATACTGAAGGTTCCAGCCTCCCTGTGACTTTTGGACGTACTTGCCCAATGGCAGCTTGTCGGCTCCGGCAACACCATCCTCGACGGTGCGCCAGACCTTCAAGTTCTTGGTCGCATCTCCGTTCTCGTCCTTGGCAGGACGCTCCCAGGTGACGATGAAGGTGCCGAGAGGGGAGAAGCCGAGCTCATAGACATTGGGGATGGGGAGGGCAAGAACCTGCTGGCCGTTGGAAGCGTCGACAACCGTAACAACTTCGGGGCTCGCCCAGGCAAAGTAACGGCCACAGGGCGAGTATGCACAACACCGGAGGTTCCCTTCAGGATTGGCGAACCCAGAGAGAGGTTGGTAGGACGGCGCAGCATCAAACAGGCCGATGCCCTTCTGGGTGCGGTAGGCAAACTGCAATTGCGAGGACGCCATAACTAGTCAAAGTCACAGTGTGTATCAAGAGCAGATAGTGCCGGCGGGTTGGAAGGGTGACGTTCTTGGGTGGAATTGATGGTTCTTCTTCAGTGAGCTCAGAGATCGGAGGTCGTCGAGATCGAAGTCGCCGAGGTGGACGGACAAAGACAGATGGCGATGGCTCGAGAGCTTGACGTGTAGTGCTTTGAGATGGACGGAAACCGTGGACTGATCAGGTGGTGGGTATTCCGACGACGGCTTGTTATTTCTTTGCAGCAAAGGAAGCTTTGTTGATCTACTTGGTCGCAATCGGCTTCAGGTGTTTGTGTTGATATTCGTACGTCGAGTATGGCTACTTGGGTATACCACAGAGCTGGCGTCGGGCGTTGGCTTGGAAGCTGGTCGACGGATGACGTGTGAATCGATGGTCGATGGCTGACGGGGCAGTCTTGATTCAGAGGGGCGTCGGAACCGAGATGCAAACACACACGTGCAGTAAGAACGAGGATGCAGAGGCAGACGGCAGCAACTACAACTGGATGGAGCTGAGCCGTGAGGCTATAGGAACCCGAGGAAGAAAAATAGGGAAGAACGTGAGGAAGAGGGGAGAAAGGGAATGGGAGGAGGCACCCTGAGGGGGGAAGATTGGCGTGCAACGGTGCGTGTTGTTGTGTGGGCTGGAGGAGAGGAAAGGGAAAGGAAGGGGAGAGAATGGCAAAGTGGGATTTTGTGAATATTTTTTTCTGCTTTGCCTGTTGCCCCCCCCTGGTCTCGTCGCCTGCGCGGGTTTGCCTTGGCTCTGGCTGGCACACCCTGGCCACTTTTTTCTTCGCTTTCTTTTTTGGCCTCTCTCGCGCCTCACCTTGTCTTGCAGGGCATTTTGGGGCCCTGTAGCAGTAACTCAGACTTAGCTGGCACGCTGTAATGGAGGTCGGACACGTCAGGTACTTGTAGGTAGGCACGGTCGGTCGGACAGTGGCCCACTCAGCGATAGAGCCACGTACCTTGCCTGAATAAGATGTATTATGTAATGCGGCCAGCGCACCTCTCAAATCCCACAAGCTCCCCAAGGGTGAAATTGTTTGCTCCTTGGTCATAAATTAGGTACACATGGGGCAGATCAGACTTCCTTGATGGTGAACCGCCGAGTCAGAGTTATTCTCCGGGGTACAAAAGGCATTCAGCGCGGGAAGGTTCTGTGAAAAGGCAGGCATTGCAAATGACGACCTTGGAATAGAACAGTCGGAAAGCTGGAGCGACAAGGTGCAGCTTGGAAGCCAAGCCAAGCCAAACACACTTCCCAACGCGGGCCGCAGGCGGACAGGGCAGCGCGGTGTGTGGTGCCGTCCGTCCCCATGAGTCCCCGGGTCCAGCCGTGGCCGGTGGACTCTCACCGCGAGGAGGTGTGCCGTGTGCTCTGTCTCGCCGCCCTCCCCCCCCAGGCCTCTCTACAAGTCTATCCGTACAGTAAGACCCAGCTTGGCCTCGAAGTGGAGGCGTGGCCATTCACATGTTTTCCACCCGCTTACGACACCGGCAGAGACGGACGTTCCTTCCCGGGCAGACACTGGACTCTACTTGCAGGTGAGACTGAGACCTCCAAATGCTGCGCCGTTGCCGTATCAATTCTGCATCTCCAGGACGGTGTGTCTTACTCATCGCTCCGCGACGTCGTCTATTGGCTGGCTGGTTTGTCCTCGTCCCGCGCATCTGATCATTTTCAATTCCAGCAAACGACGTCTCCCCTCCACCGACCCGGACAATAAACCACGGACTGGCTTTATTCATCTTGCCGGCTTCGGAGTCATTCTCAGGAAGAGATCTTTAATGACAAGGTTCCTTGCTCGGGCCAGGTACCACTACCTCCTTGAGTCCTCCTCCAATCCGCCGCAGTTTCCGTCTGCGACAGGGACAAGAGTCATGGCCTTATCCTCGATCCCGCTCAGGCTTCAGCATGAAATGCCCATGTTTGGGCTTGTGGTTTGTTCCTCCGCATGAGAACCACGGAGATTGCGACCCACTCTTGCTCCCTCGCCCTTGCCCTCGACCTTTCGGCTGCGGGGATTACAGCTACCCTGTTGGTTTAGATCGACTGGCTGTGATAACATCATCTCCATTGACGGCATGCGCGCATCGATAGTATCGACAGCGGCAGCCAGATACCGGCCATCCTATTTGTCGGCAATCGTCCCTCTCAAACTCGGGCGTGATCCGCAACCTACAATGCCCGCAATCGTACGTGGCTGATCAAATCAGCGATTGGGAAGTAGTGAGGCATCTGGCCATTTTTTCCAGCTACGGAACATCCTGCTGTCGCAAGACTATCCCATGTTGATCGGACTCGGCTAGGTACTCCCGCTGGCCGGGCTTCACGGCCCGCCCAAACGCCTGAACTTCGAAAAAGTCTAGCTCTTTTATCATCGCATCGGCGCGGATGGGAGAGCTTTGTCAAGACGGACCTTCGATTCTGAAAGGACTACTACGTCGAATGACAGGTAGAGGGTTCAACAGGTCGTTGTTGTGGCGGTCCACCCTCGTCGTTACCAAGTCTCCCGGATGAGGCTCACTTTGCGGCATCGAAATCACAGCGAGTTCAATATCATAGTCCGACTGCTGCGGCTCATCTCTCTCTGTGCCTGGGGTACTTCCAGGTGTCGAAGCAAGCCTCGCATTCGAGTCCGCTGTCGTGTTTTGCAGTCTTGTCCTGTTGCCCGCCGCTAGCTTGGACCGGCGATTCATGCCCCAAGACGACAGAGAATCGAGGCAGTCTTTCGAAACTTTTCTCCACCAAGAGAGCCGTGCTGTGGAGGAGTTAGATGAGATTCTCGTCGCGGTGCGCCGCTCGAGGAGATGGTTGATCGAAGGAAAGCAGGCGCAAACCAGGCCAATAGCGAGCTCTCCGGTCCTGGCAGCATCGTCGTCAGTAGGGGATGGTACCTTGAGGACAAAATGTCCATGAGGCGTAGACTCACACCGTCCAGTCAAGAGGAATGAAATCTGCAGTCGGGTCTTTTGTCTCGCCAAACTTCGTGGTGAGGTATACACGATAGACCGTCACGGCAAATGCTACGCCGCCCGCGCCCAGAAGTGCCACCACCTTCACTTTCCTGGCAAACGACACCCGCAGCGTCCATGTCAGGGGGATGGGAACAACCAAGATTACCAAATCCGACACGATCGAGATGGAACCATCATACAAGAAAAGTTTAGTCTGATCGATGCACTTGAAGTTGACAGTAGTCGTATCCCAAAATGCCTGTACCGGAATACAAACGACGGCCTTTGCGACTTGTGCCGGGATATAGCACAGGAGAAAGAATGCCAAAAGAGCGTGAAGCACCCGGGCAACATTCCTGTCGACGGAAAACACGCGGAGGGTGAGAAGAAGGAGTGCCGTCTTGGTGAAGAAAGCTGCTGGCGAGTACAAGAGGGAGCTGATATACAACCACTAAAGATGACATTCTCAGTCAAAAAAGATCATCGTTCTATTTTAGGGCTCAACACTACCTTCTGGAGCTCGGCGAAGTTGCTGGCAGTAATTTCCCAAATATGGAATCCTTCGCCGTAGTGGAGTTCTGTTCATTCTATTAGCGCCTGCCCGTCGTGCTGGACGATATACGAGCTGTTCTTACTGATGAAAATAGTCGTGTTCAAGACTACGGTGAAGATCTAAACAGTCAAGATCAGCATGTCATTCGGGTCATATGGTGTAGACTTACCCATCCAACTAAACAGCTCCCTATCCCACGTGTTAGCATGGCTCAAACCACCTCAGGGAAAGACCTACAATCTTCCAGCCGAAACTTTCCATTCACTAACAGCTTTACGTAGATCCTCAAGGCGAAGAAAACCACGACAACGATCTGAATGAGAGTCATATAAACGATGTGGAGCATGTGCCCGGCGTCGCGCGGATTGTCGAAATTGGGCGTCTCCCCGTACGGTGGTGGCGCCGCTCCGATCGGGCCTGTGTTGATGCTCATCACTGCTAGCTCCGGCCCATGACGGAACGTTTTATGTGCATATCGCTGCGTTGATGGACGACGACGAGTCTGGAGAGCTCAGGCGGCAGAATCCTTCACCTCGGTAGCAAATTGTCCAAGACAAGAAACGAAAGATGGTCGATTCTCGTACAACGATATAATCGCGGAAGCCTCGCAGTATAAAGAGGGATTAAAGGAGGCCACCCTTCCCTGAAAAACACGTGCAGCAGGGGACACTTGGGGAGGGTGTATATGCTCTTTGACATGACATCTCAGCATTGAGTTTCGAAATACTGACGAAAACACAGGGAAGGGACGATGTGCGAGGCACGCGAGTAAGCCAACGCTGCCCAGCACTTGTTCGGCTCGGTCGGAAAGACTCCGACCAGAAGTTCTAGATGCAGTTTGGAAACGACTCTCACAAAGGGTGGAGGGTGAGAAGTCTCTCTCAACACCGGGTGGATTGACCAACCCTTATCCTCTGCGGAGAGGTCTCGTCTCATGCTCGAGACTCGTGAATGGCCCGTCGACCCCAACCTTGAAAGGTTCTGGAACAGAAGTAAACTCTATCTACGGACGGACCTTCCCTCGGTCGGGAACACCGTCGTCAAACGTCTTTCGCAATGTTTGACCATTTAGCTGGGTGGACAGGTAACGGACAATACTGACTGACAAGTGGATCTGGGTTGTGCCACGTACGGCGAAGTGGACTTGTTCGCCTCAATCTGGTATCTTGCGAGCTTTTTGATCTGGGATGTCTCTCGCCGCGTGGTCCGGACAACGTCTCAGGGTGAGATGCGTCGTAGAAAGAAGCCAGCAGTCTGGTTCGAAACGTTGCTAAGACAACCCACCGAGATTTACAGCGACTGCAGCTCTTGACCATCTGCATGACATCGAAGCAGTTTGGGGTTAGCTCGCGAGGACTATGATCGGATGACCGGCAGCAGAGGATGAATTTATCGATGAGGGCGCTCAATGGTCTCCGTTATGAAGCCACTTCATATTGCGAGACTGTGCATCTGTCGCTATGCTCCGGTGTCGCCAACCCCGGACCTTGCACCAAGCAGAGAATGAAAACGAGGCTCTTCGTGTGACTCTCGGATAATCGCATGCCAGTATTGACCAAGAAGCAATGGTTAGTAGTAGCAGAGGTGCGCTTGATAATTCTTACGTGGGTTGGAAGAAACTTTTCCCTCCATACGTCCGATCCGCAACGAGAGACGACGAGGTCGGAATCGCTCCCCAAGAATTGGCTCCTACCGCAGTTCGGCGAACTTCGAATCAGCACATTCTGGCGGAGTGGCATCACCTAAGCATCCGACCGACAGGTTGCACGGCACCGGATGCCTATGTCTTCCATGAAGGAGTACACAATGCAACGCGAGGGGTGGCCGGCCAAATAAGCTCGTGGAGATGGTATAGCACGTGTCGAAAGGTGGGCGAGGAGCCTCGAGGTTTAATCCTTTTAGGTTGCATGTCTTCGGGACCAGCAGTTCTCTAGATTGAGCTAGGAGTCTCTTTGTAAAGCTGACCTACCTTGGGGATGAAGTAAGAGAGAGTCATGAGGCCCTGGACCTCCCGTTGGGCCTCCATCTTGGTGTTATGCCCTCTTGGGGCAATGTTATTCGCTTCTTGAAGGATAACGTTGGGCCGCAATGCCATCTCAAAGTGCCCGTCGCCGTGGATGTACGCCCGCGACCGTCTTTACGCAGGATTATCTACGAGTCAGGAGCGCAGCTAGCTACCAGTGTGACTTTGCGTTTTCATCTCCCGCAGCTCGTGATCTGCCTCGCGCGTGTGTTAGAGCGTACATGCGCATTCTCACGCCAAGCAGCGGTCTTTGCTGAAATTCCCGGAGCCGTCTCCGATCGGAGCTGGGTCACACCCGTCATCGTCGAGGTTCTGTCAATGGAGCTTGACTCGCCCGCAACGCGTTGGTTAGATAATGCCAGAGCGGGGAGCGAAGTTTACACCCCTTTCTCGAGCTGCCTTGGTTTTGAGGTCGAAGGGACGAGACACTTGAATCCTTCGCTGGGGTATGAATTTTTCGTAATTTCTTCACGAATGTTGAGACGTTGAAACAGAAAGATTGGAAGCACTGGCCCCCTGCGTTTATGCGGTTCTCTCTGGAACCTAATCTTCACAATGTGAAATCTTCCGCCGCCTTTACAAGTCGAGCAGACATGAGTCGAGAACTGGATTAGCTAGATTCACCAGCGGTCGCGCAAGCTTTCAAGCTGGTTGTATTATTGGTATCATTTTGAGCGAGTGCCAAGTGGCAGCGTATGTAGCTCCCCCAAGGAAGAATCGCAGGAACAATCTCTATCTACCAGACCACTGCTCCCTCCAGCCTCCCTTCTCAAACAGCCATAGCGCCTCCGTCGCGTACGCCCGGCTGCCCCTGTGGCCACCATCCACTATCGCCGCCTCCGACAAGCTCTCCAGCACGCGTCCTTCCTGTATACTGCTCCAGATGCCCCTGCCGAGGCTGTCTTCCTCGCCTGTTCCCCACTCGCCCTTGCCCAACCGATATAGAATCCGTCCCAGCGTCTGGAACGCGACGCAACGCTGCGCGGGGACGGCACTGCGCGCGTAGATGGCCAGCTCCTCGATCGTGTAACCGGCCGCCTCCGGGGCCTGGCCGTGGTGGTGCAGCCCTTTTGACGTGGGGATCGATCTGCTCAGGCGGGGCGGAATCAGCCCGCCCTTGAAGTCGAAGCGGAGGGCCGCGATGGGCAGGGACGACTGGCCAGGGTAGTAGGGAGATTCGCGGTCGGCGGGGGAGTCGGCGGTGGGGATGGGCGCCATCCAGGCGAGCTTGCTCGGGTCGGCGGGGAGGTTGGGGAAGAACTTTTCGTGGAGGGTCTGGAGGAAGTCTGGGTGCGAGGGGTCGAGGTCTGGGAGGGCAGGCGCCTGCGGGAAGTGCGTTTTGTCGGGCTGGTCGTTTAGGGGAAATAAGTCTTCTGGCGGGGCGGCAGGAGCTTTGTCTTCGTGTGTGGCCGGGGGCTTTGGCGATGCCTTTGACGACTCTTCTCCGGTAAAGGAGACGGATTTCGCGGTGGATTTCGGTGCTGGCTTGGGTTTCGGTGGCGGGGAGGTGCCCTCGATCTTAATCTCTGGCGTCGGAGCCGGCGGCTCCTTGTTGGTTTCGTCGGCGGGAGGATCGAAGGGATTCGGGCCATGCTGCTCGTCAATATTGGCCCTGCCAAGGAGGCGTTGGATGAGAGACGGGTCGAGAGAGTTCAGCAGTTCCTGCCGTTCCTGCGCGATGTCCTCCGGGCTCATATCCTCCAGCTTCTGCCTATTCTCACGATCGATTCTCCGCCGCTCGGCGGCCTCGAATGACTTTTGAGAGTCTGCTGCGACATCGCCGCTGGATTTTTGTTGGATCGAAGAGGTCGCGGCCGCGGCTTGTGCGCCTGTCGTGGGCTTGCCCTGCCGTTGCTGCTTGAAGGCCGAGACGCGGGCGGCGCGTTTCTTGTGTGCGGGGAAGCCTGTCGTGGCGGCGTCGATATCGTCAAAGACAACAGGGTTCGCAGGGGCCGTCTCCTTCTCGACGATGTCTCCGACTAGCATCATGGGCGCCATGTTTGCGTTGTTGGAGTGTGGAAAGGGTTACTTATGCGCAAGCAAGGCCTCAGGATGTGCGTAATTCGAAGAGTGCTGGTGGATGTACCAACCATTTTTTCCCTTTCGGTCGCAGTCAAGAGCGACGTACCTTTTTTTCTTATCGGACCGTGGCTCTCTACCTTATCTGATTGCACACCCCAGGCCACTGCCCCCCCTGCTCAGAGGTTCTGGGTATGCCTTTTTCGGAACTGCCCGTGCGGCACCCCGAACACAAGCTCATTTTCAGATGGTAGTGCCTACCACGGGGAACCGGGGTCACCTCGCCAAGGAGTCATTCGCGTTTGGGGGTCGAAAATTGCTGCATATCAAAATTTCGGGACTCAAAGAGCGAGTGCAATTTCGAACATTAGGGGCTTCCATTGTGTGCAATCGAGAATTCTTCCAGCTGTCCCGGAGAAAGGAGAAGTGCAACGGCGAGGCGGCTGGCTGCAGGCCACGCTACCTGAGTTGGAGGCTCGTGGGAGGGGGCAGAGGACTTGTCCTAAATCCCGAGAATGCGCCGTTTTTAGAGTTGTGGCTGACAAGCGGGACTGAGCCACACCAAGTTTTGCATTAGCGTCGATCGTCCGCAAAATTCCAGAAAACCTTGGATGGGCGGAGGCGGACTGGCGGGCGACCATGCCGGGGGCCACGCCTTGTGTTTCCGCTTGATTCGCACAGTGTCCTTGTTTTTTATGGAATGGATGAAACTCGTTGGATTCGTTTGAAAATTCCTCTCGGAGGAAGCATCATTAGTTTTGCATGGTAGAGCGACTTTGTATATACAAGTCGTGTCGTGTCGGTGTCGCCGTGTCTCTCTTGACAAGTGATCATTGCATGCAATTAGGCTAAAGTACCCGAAAGGAATTTCAGCTGGGAGATGGCGTACCTTCTTTCTCTCTCTCCATCTCTCTTTTTTTTTTGTCCTCCGCCAACCATGCCACTCAAAATCCAAACAATTGTCGTTTATGTCTCGCAGATAGCAAGGAATGTTCGGGTGACAAAAGAAAGGATTATGCACGTTCTTTCGAACTTGTAGCGTGTTGCAGAATCTGCAACATGTCTTCCCACTCGTAGCACACTAGCAGCATCTGTGAGTTGCCCGAAAAATGGCCTTCCGACTGCAGTGAAGGGTGTGTCCCACGAATGCAACTTAGCAACAGAGGACAGGACTGAATGGTGACTCGACTGTCGATATCTTCTTCCACTCCCTCAATTCGTCAATGAGGCTCTTGGGCCTGCAGTCTTCCTTGATCAGCGAGACATGCAGAAGAGGGGATTGAAATATGCCCTGCGCCGTCGTCCCCTCCCCTGGACGGTGGGGGGAGAGGAGATCTGGCTGGACCGTGAGGTGAGGTGTGCCCCCGGCCGTCATCTCCGTTTCCCAGCCCCACCCCTGGCATCTTCCCTCCAAATCTGTATGCGCCGGGCTCAGCAAAGGTGGTTTGCACAAAGATCCCTGCACCGGTCGCGGTTATCTGGGACGCTAGGGCGGAAATGGAAGCCGGACGTGGTTCAACGTCAGACGCGCAGGACCCATCTTTACCCACATTTGAGCGTTGCACCGCTCTCAGATTGGCGGGACAAAAGGGAAAAGACAGCAAGAGCCCAAGAGGTGGCACATCTTTGTACTCGGTACCTGCGCCCGGGCCCGTGTTTCTCTTTTTTTGGCGACCTTGTTAGCTCCGAAAGCTGCAACCACCTGCACCACAACACGGTCCCCCTTTGCTGTTTGCTCAGGTTGTCCATGGGAGAAATTCCACGACCCCTTCTTTTCCTTCCTTTCCCCACTGCTCGGCTCCTGCTCCCCTCCTCGCGCGGCTGCACGCACTGGGCTGGATGAGGTACCATCGACCACCTGCACCCCCTCGCATCCAGGTAGCGCCGCGCTGCTCCATGTCTTCCCAATTAATGTTACTGCATCCATAAGGTGTATGGTACACACACACACACACACATTCGCAGCAATTTGCTGGAGACAATAGTGCCTGCCGCGGCAAGACTTCCCATCCCGTCTCCTCGGCCAGGTCGGTTCTTGCTGACTGTTGATAGTGGTTGACTTCCAGGCTCGCCCTTTCCCCAAGGCTACCTGAGCTGAAGGCGACGAGTTCCTCGCATCGGGTTGGCCGCTCGCCCTGCTTTTGCCCTGCGTGGTCTGGTTCCGGGCGGCGTGCCTTCGTTCGTACCCTGATCCGCTGCGGTGGTGTTTAATATTGACACCTGATGACCTTGTCTTTTCTTTCCCCTTGCCGGTTGGCGAAACGTGGTGGTCGAGCATCCGGACTGATGGAGGAGGAGGAGTAGGCACCATCGTCAAGCGGAGAAGCCCCCAAAAGCCGCCAACCTGTGTTGTTGCTTGCTGATGGGCAATGAGCAATGGGCAATGGCCGAATGGGGGTGGGCGTGCTGATGCTCCCATTCCCACCCCGTCCCGTCCATCGTCTGTCTCTCTTACCTGAGGTGAGGTTCCTTGCCATACCATCCCGTCATCCCGTCCGTCCATCTTTTCTTTCTACGCCTGGCCCACGTTGGAAGTTTACACATCTCGCTCTGTCAGCCCGGCCTTGATTCCTTGTACCTACCGAATCTCTCTGCATCTCTGGCCCGGCTCTGCCTTTTCTCCCTGAGCGGCCCGTTCACGGGGTGCCATCGCTTCTTGTCGTCTTGGTGTTTTCTCCCCTTCCTGCCTCCCCACTCCCATTACTTGCAGAGGTGCAGCCGATGGCTCACGCCCCCCCTTTGGTTCAGTCGTCCACTCTTTCCATGTTGTTGCCATTCCCATTTCCCTTCTCCCGCTCCCATTCCCATCATCCCCAGTTGTTCTTCTCTTATGCCCTTTCCCTCTTTTAACCTTGGCTTGACCGTGACTGACCGCCCACCCCATCCATTTCCCCCCTTCACCCGCCCCGTCCGCGTTCTTTCCTTGCCCACCCCGTCCACGTTCCTCGTGGTCCTGAGGCCATCTGATCCCATCGACGTGCCCCCCAGCCTAGTCCGAATCTCTAATTCGGCTTTCATAATAAAATTTCCCTCCCATTCACTGCTGCTGAGGCCATCCACGTCTGCTCGGTGCCCCGTTTTTATCTTCTTGCGCAGCAGCCAAATGTCGGCCCAAAAAATAATTGTTGTTCCCCCCAAAAACGTAGCCATCCCCATCCTCTCTTCCGACCTCCCATTCCCCTCCTCCTTTTTCCTCTTCGCACCTACCACGACACTGCAAATTCGACCGCAGAATCACCAAATCCATCAATCTTGACATCAACGCCCATCATCGACATCTCAAAAAGATCGTCGTTTTGTTCGGCTCACTAAGCTGTATTCTTTGACGGTCGTCAAAACGCTCTTTGGCCCGCATTTCGACTCTTTTTGATCGGTCAAAGGTGCCAACTGTCGTCAAAAATACACCTTCAGAACCTCATTGAGGTTATTCACGAGTTCCCACCTTGCAACTCCGCACGGCCACACTGCAGGTGACCACTGCTCAATTGGTGCAGCAGCCTCCTGCCTCAGCCAACCTAGTCCACTGCCTTACATAATTCCGCGTCTGCCCCCAACCCACTCTCAGCCAATCCGACGCTACGAAACTTAAACGCACCACAACGCGAACCCACCTCCCTGTCAGAGAGGAAAAGTGAGGTCATTCAGGACGACCTTCCAAAGCAATTCACTGCACCACTGCGCTCGGATTCTTTTTCAATGCACTGGAACTGTTGTGATCTACAGTGATCTCACGGTTTCAAAGACTGCCCTGGAATCTTTTTTTAACTTCAGGACCCGGTCTCTGGTGCAAGCGTCTGTCGAGTTGAACTTCGACGACCTCTTTTCGGCGTGGTGTTTATTGGTGGTGGAGGAGAGCCAGCTATGCGCGACAGCTCCTCGCCTGCACTTTCATCACCACCTTCCGGCTCTATTTCAGAACCAGGCTCGCCGTTAATCGGTCGGCCAAATAACAACGACATGGATATGGACGAGATCATAGTAGATCCCTCCCAGCCTCGCTTTAGCGTCGTCGCAGGAAATGAGCCGCCTCAACCCGAAGTTCGCCTTACCGCTGCTGGCCTACCAAGAAAGAAGCCTGGTCGCAAGCCTGGCTCTACTGTCAAGCCCAAGAACCCCGACGAGCCGCCTAAGGTGCGCCGACCTAGGAAACCCCGCGATCCCAATGCGCCACCCATTCAAAGGAAGAGAAAGTCGGCACCTGCTGCTGATGCCGACGCAGGCTCAGACTCGAAATCCCTTGCCGCTGCCGCCGCCTCTTCCTCCACGCCTCCTCCTTCTCGACAGACAAAGATTACAGATATCGTTGACATCACTTCCGGTTCCCGACCTGGCTCCGCTCAGCCCGAACACATAGCGCAAAAGGCGCCCAAGCGAGAGGAGATACCGCGTTCGATGCAAAGCATCTTAAATGCAGACCCAGAGCCTGAGCCGAAGCCGCAGAACACCGCTCTTCCGACACGCACTAGCGGACAGGGTTACGATCCTATCCGTGGTAGTTACGATCCCGTAAGAGGCATATTCGGCAGCGCCTCATCCCCGAGACCCGCAACACAATCCGTCAACCGACCGAGCGCGTCTCCATCTATTGCGAGTCTGGTAGATCCGCCCTCACAGAATGTCACGTCGCCTTCCACGCAAACTTTCCGCAACACCTCTACTCAGGCGCGGACTGAGACTGCATCTGTCCCAGCATCTCCGTCATACCCTGTCAGATCAATCCCTCAAACGATCTCGAAGCCACCTGTACCCGAGCCAAAGAAATCCCTGGCTCCCCCGCCAGTCCCAGCTATCAAAGCAGATGCGAAGTTAAAGGATGCTGCGTCAACTGCTGGTTCTGTCACGAGCAAGAAACCTTCGCCAAAGCAAAAGCCACAGAAGTCCGGTGTTTCTTCACCTAAGCTGAATGCTCTGGACGAACCTCGAGATCTCCTTGGGGATCGGTCAATTCTAGACTTTGGCAGAGCCGAGACGGGCAAGGAGTACAAGGCCCCGGATATTGTCCTGGACATCCCTATCAAGCCTGGCGACACAAATATCTACGTCAACGTAATGCGTATGGCTGAGGAGAAGTATGGCTGGGACGCCCTGCATCCTCGTCTGGCCGAAAAGCGAGATCGAAAGGCCCGCATTGCTGCTGCTTCGGCTGCCTTGGAGAAGACGGCGTCAGGCCAGGAATCTGGCGACGAAATGTCCGAGGACTCAGACAAGGAGGCAAGCAACGTGGAGATGGGCGGTATGACCAGTGGTGCCGACCTGCCAGAGAAGCCGAAGAAGAAGAAGCGCAACTTCAAAGAAGATGAGTACGATAAGGATGATGACTTTGTCGACGATTCCGAGCTTTTATGGGAGCAGCAGGCGGCCGCTAGTCGAGATGGCTTCTTCGTGTACTCTGGACCGTTGGTGCCAGAGGTTGAGAAGCCTGCGGATACAAGGTACGTTGCATTTACACCCACCCTGTATGCATGGTTTACTAACATGTTCTAGACCTGACGGATTACCTAAGCGTGGACGCGGTAGTCGAGGCGGGCGTATCGGCGGGCGTGGCGGTACGACGCGCGGCGAGGGCGGCACGGGTCGTGGGGGAGGACCAGGCTCCAGAGGTGGTCGCGGTTCCCGAGGCGGTTCGCTCACTCGCAAACCGCGTATCACAAAGTCGGAAAAGGAGCAGCTCGAGCGCGAGAAGGCCGAACGCCAAAGGCAGGCTGAGCTCAGCGCCAAGTCTACGAACGGCTATTCGCTTCAGCCTCAGACGCCTTCCTTTGCAGCAGGAATGGCAGGCGCGTAAACTGCATTTGAAATCGCTACACTACGACAAGATAGATGCGACGACAAGATGTCATCTTTCCTCGTTTGGAGAGGAAGGTTGTCATCTAAAGACGCTTCTTGCAACAAAATGAACATACACGGAGAGAACTCGATCGATAAAGAACAGCCTCTAGAGAGGTGACTGTCGCGACTGCGACTTGAAGAAGAAGACTAATGAGGGACCGTTGTCTGATCTGAACAAGACGTTTGGAGCAAGCGTTGTGATGTCGATGCTCCTTTTCTTGGTCATTGACTTTGCTGGGGGTGACATGGGTAGGCTAGGCGGTACTGTTTCCCAGGAGTCAGACGGTATGGGACGGCATGGGATCCCAGGAGAGCGGCGTTCGGACTTGAAGGACTGGTTGACTGTTTATTGGACGGAATGGGCCTACGGTTGGGCGGTTCCACTTGCCCGCTAAAGCTGGTGAAGTTTGCAAGCTGTGTGAAAGATTGGCGAATTGTCTTATTGTTACTCCGGATTAGAGATGTATTGCTAGACAGACTTGCTACCAAACAATGGAAGGCACTGATGAATGTCATGGGTCGATATACCTTGGTCAAGGTATCTGAGTGCGGCAGAACTTTGGTGATCAGATAGAGACGCAAGTTTCAAGATGAACGAATCCCGACCAGAGCAATCCTGGCCAGAGGTTGATATTGGGTCTGGACCCTCCAAAGCTGGAGGCTGAATGGTACTACATGCGTATATCGGGGCGCTATGTCATTGCGGGGAGTATCCCCAGCTCACCGCCCCGGAAAACAGGTGAGGCTCTAGCGGCAGAAAAGCGCCAAGATTTCGCATAAGCGATTTCTCCACACCCCAAAAAATTTCGAACCGCCCGAAAATTCGCAGCCAATCCGCCCGCAACCGCCGCAGTATCAGAGCTCTCTTTCTCTGTTCACCGAGTCTGCTTGCACCCGCCGGGCCGTTGACTTTCGTTTCGCTCTGCAGCCCTCCTACCAACCCTTGTGGCCGATACGAGAAAGCCTTTGGCTTTTCATTTACACAAGCAAAGATCTCAACAATAAAGAGAAGAAGCACGGGAATATGGCGGAATCTACTCTGCAGGTTCGTTGCTTTGCCCGTGCCCCGCCACCGGCCAAAAAAAAAAAAAAAAAAAAAAGGCTGCTGGCGGTGGTGATGATCCTGTGAATGCCCCGAAAGGCACGATGTTAACAAGCTCGTAGGATCGCCTGCGCGAGCACTCAAAGGCCTTTGATGGTCTTTTGTCCCTCATTCCGGCCAAGATGTACTATGGAGAAGACAACTCTGTAGGTTTGCCCAGTCCACACCTACATCCCTCAATGCCCTGCAAAGCAACCGCATCGCGACCTCTTCACGCCAGCCTCCTCCCACCTCGTTCGCGCCTTTCACTCTCCCTCAACTGCATGGCCTTCGGTCAGGCAACGCTAATATGGAGAGCCCATTTGCTTACGTTTCTTTCGCATAGGAACAATGGAAGCGGACGAAGCAGACGAAAGCCGAGGCCAAAGCGGCAAAGACTGCCAAGCTGGATCCCGACAGCGAACTGAACCGCAACGCAAAGGAGGTCATGGACGAGCGGGCGGCGCGCAACAAGCGCAAGTTGGAGGCAATGCAGGAGGAGGAGGACAAGGAGGATGACGACGACCAGCCTATCCCCGGCGTGCAGAGGGAGCTGCCAGGGCAGGGCCTCCGGAACAAGGACTACAAGAAGCAGAAGATGGCCGACCTCCCGATCGACACGATTGACGATGCCAACCCTGCCGAGATGTCACAGAACCAGCTCATGAGAATGGCGAAGAAGGAGGCCAAGCTGGAGAAGCGCGCGACCAAGAAGGCGAAGAAGGCCGAGAAGAAGGCTGCCAAACTGGAGGCCGGTGGCGGCGACGCCGCTGCCACGGTTGCCTCTGCTGTTGCCCAAACACCGGAGGCCAAGGAGTCCAGCAAGCCGGCCGACACCAAGATCGCAAAGTCCCCGTCCGCCAAGAAGGAGTCCAAGAAGCAACAGAAGAAGGCCGAGTCCAAAGACGCCAAGCCCGTCACCAACGACCACGACAGAGACGACAAGGACGAGGAGTACGAGACCGTCGACGAGGACGAAGACGAGGCCCAGGCCGCGACAACGGCCGATCTCAACCCTCTTGACATCTCCGGCCTCGACAACCAAAAGCCCACAGAGTCCAGCGGCGCCTCGAGCCCCACCTCGGCACCGGCCTCGCCCACCTTCGACACCGCCGCTACTACTACCACCGCCGGCGCGAGCGGGAGCGCGAGCACGACGACCTCGACCAGCTCCACCGTCCCGCCCTCCGAGAAGCCGAAGCACATCAAGCTCCCCGCCGACACCTCGGCCCTCCGCGCCCGCCTCGCAGCCCGCATAGAAGCCCTCCGCGCAGCCCGTAAAGCCGACGGCCCGGACGGAAAACCCATCCGCACGCGCCAGGAGCTCATTGAGGCGCGCCGCTTCAAGCAGGCCCAGCGCAAAGAGCACAAGAAGGAGCTCCGCACCAAGGCGAGGCTCGAGGAGGACGCCCGGCGCGAGGAGACGCTCGCGTCCAACTCGCCCAGCGTCATGTCCCCCCGCGTCGGCCTCGGCGGCGACGACGGCGACGAGGAACCCGCCAACTTTGCCTTTGGTCGTGTCGCGTTCGACGACGGCACGAAGCTCTCGCACGACCTGTCCCACGCGCTCAACACGCACAAGAAGCGGGGACCCTCAGACCCCAAGACGGCGCTCATCAAGATTCAGAACCAAAAGAAGCGGCTTGCGGCGCTCGATAAAGAGAAGCAGGCCGACATTGCCGAAAAGGAGCAGTGGCTGATTGCGCGGAAGCGGGCCGAGGGCGAGCGCGTGCGCGACGACGAGCAGGCCCTGAAAAAGGCTGTCAAACGTAAAGACCAGGCCAAGAAGAAGAGCGAAAAGGCGTGGAAGGAGCGCAGCGACGGGGTGGCCAAGTCGATTCGCGACAAGCAGAAGAAGCGCGAGGACAATATCAAGAAGCGCAAGGACGATAAGCTGGCGCACAAGCTCGGCCGCAAGAGCGGGAAGAAGGTGGGCGGTGGCGGGGCGAAGAAGACCAAGGCGCGTCCTGGCTTTGAGGGCAGCTTTGGCGGTGGCAAGAAGAAGAAATGATCTGCCTTATTCGTCGCTTGAGCAAGAGACTACTGTGAGGAATAGAGCAGAGGTGCGGCGATGAGGAAGTGGGTGACGCAGGAGATTAATCGATATCCCCGGGGTAAGGTAGTGGAGGGAACGCGGGAGGATGTTTGAGGAAACCGACAGCGGTTTTTGTTTTTGCATCATCTGCTATGGATGGGAAACGGCGTTTTTGGGACAAAAAACTACTGTACATTTTGATTCTTTTGCACAAAAAAGGGGGACGGCGGCGTAGGAGGGAACCCATGAATACAAATTTCAAATGTTCTAGCCATGTCATGAGGGCCGTTATTGCTTGTTGTGCTCGCACACTGATAATGCCATATACTGGTGCAGAATGCAGCTCGTTGTTTTCACATTCAAACAGCTTGAAAAGAAGAGGTTAAATTTGAGTGCTCACCAACGCCAGTAATGTCCCTACCTATCTTGAACACTTGCGCGACACAGCGATACAGATCAAGGAGACAGTAGAACGATCCCGCAAACTGATATCTCACACCCTCCTGCCCTCTACGCTATCGTTTTCCGGGATGTGGACTGAGTGTGTTCTGCATTAAAACGATCGCTTACGGTAGAAAAAAGTAGTTGAATCCCAACCAACTACACGCGTTGTGTATTTTTCGCCGTCCCATCATCCTTCATTTTTTCCTGCTGGAACCCCTTTTTTTCCATTTGGGGCAAAGGAGGACATAGCGCCTTTTCATGATATTTTGCCCCCAGTTGTGAACCCAATATCCTGCTCCCCCTCCACCGCCTACATGCTGCACATTTTTTTTGGTTTAAGGGGGAGCACAGGAAAGACGCGTTCCCCTATTGCTTGGTTTATCGTTTCTCATGAGGGTTCGAATATGGTGAGTATTGGGAGAGCTCAATGCTGGGCGTTTCGATGTGTCTAGGTTGTGAATGGGATTGAGAAAAGGGGGGTCGCATCCCCGAAAATCGCTCAGCGCTCCACAGCCATGTCCTATGCAAGGCTTGAGCAGCGGAATGATCGGTTTTGAGGAGATCGAGGTCGATTACGTTTACAAGAGAGAGTCAAGACGGGTGAAGACGCTGAGGCAGGCTGCGACAACCTCGAGTTGCAGCTCCTTATCCTTGCCCTTGCTGATCTCCTACGACATTGTTAGATCCAGGCCAATGAGCGGAGTGGGAGGTGTGGTTCAACGTACATCTGCAATGACTTGAGGCAGGTTGGCGCCAATACCGTTGCCGGTGGCCTTCTTTCCGAAGGGCCACTGGCTATAGTCGGCGAGAAGCTCGTCCGTCTGGGCAAAGGCGCGCTCGCGGGCTTCGTGGCCGAGGGTGCTGAGTGCGTTCTCGAGCACGTTCGCGGCGTAGGCGGCGCACACCATGGCAAGTGTACGGACGTATCGGAATTCGAGGTTCTCGGGGAGGAATTGGGATGCGGGGAGGACCACAGTACGCTGGGTCAGAACGTTGCGAACGCGGCGGCGAATCTCCTCCTTGGCGCCTCCGTCGGCGACGGGGTGGGTCGCCATGTCGAAGAGCAGGAAGTTGCGCTTCTCGGTGCGGAGGATGCCCTTATCGACTAGACCCTTGGCCAGGCGCTCACGAACCTGTTTTAATTGGTATCCAATCTTCATCAGGTTCCAGGTCTCTCCTGTGAGTTGGACGCAGCCGTCAGCCTTTATTCTTTCCACGGGCGAAGTGGACAGCGCAGTGCTCGGTCCTAGGGAGGGAAAGGGGGGAGGCATTACCGCTCATCAGGTCAATCCAAGAGCTGACGCTCATCTTCTCGCTCTGCTTCATCATCTTCAATGCCTCATCGAGCAGGACCTCGCCCGTCAGGGTGTCGTCAATAACCTCGATGACGCGGTCTGCCAAAGGGAAGCGCCTTCTCGACGCATCCTTCTGCATGCTGATGCGACCACGGAATGCGAGTTCGATGACGATGCATCCTCTCAGGGCGTAGGAAATATTGTCGTTCCAGAATGATAGATAACCCTGCACCGGGCAAAGAAAAAAAGTTAATTAGCGACCTGGCTTCAAATGTGGCAATCGGTGTGCAGCGCTCGTTGTCGGCGTACCTGCTTGTCCTTGAGACCGAGCAACAGAACCTCCTCCATCAAGGTGAGCTTGGGCTGTTTGCTGCGCTCGGCGCTCTCGCTGATATCACGGGGGTCAAAGGCGATCTTGTGGCCGTTCTCGCCGCTCTCGTAGCTCGTCTCGGGGGCGCTATCCTTGATATTGGGCGTGGAGTTGGTCCGGCTGGCGCCATTGCTGGCCTCACCATCACCGGCCGCAGCGCCTCCGCCTCCGCGGCGTCGGGTAAGACCTCCTGCCGCTGCTGACATTGTGTCTGATATCGATGTGGTGTCGGGGGTGTATCGTCAATGGGGAAGGGAAGTAGGGCTAGCTCGGCGGTTTTCCAGAGATTCGGGCCAGGGCAAGCGGCGGTCGCAGGTGAGACGCTTAGCACTCGTCGCGGGTCGCGCGGATTGTCGCCGGATAGCAAGGCGATGCAGGATGAGCCAGCAATGTGTTGGAAGGTTGCTTGCAGGTCGTCAGGCTGCGGGCGCTCGGTCGTGATGTCGAGGCGCTTTCTCTCTCCCTATCTCGGCGATCGGACCAGGGAGCTGACAGCTACTACGCGGGCTAAATGGGCCTTTTGGGTTGTGTGTCAGAAGTCGGGAATAGCCTCTCTGATGGTGACTAGAGATGGCGAGAATCAGTCCAATCCTGCCGATGGAGTAAGATGGTGAATGGAGCAGTTTGTCGAGGGGGATATCTGACGCTTCTGACGTGTGCCCTTTGCTTGAATCTCCCCGATAGCCTGCTTGGTTGGCTAAGTTTTGGCCCCTACTGCCAGTTAATGGAATTTCTCGCAGCCTGGAAATTGCACCGCCCCAGCTGTAGTGCACGGGCCAAGCCTGTCAGTCGAGCTCTTGTGGCGCCCTGAGGCTTGGGCTCCACCGAGAAGCACGACACGCAATGGAAGGGATGGACCTCCCTCGCCCATGGATCCTGACTAGGTAGGCATCTTAGGTAAACAATACGATGTTGCTCGGTACCTTACATAAAGATCTCCATCTAGCCCTTCACACGTACGAATACGCCGAGATGCTGTCGTGTGTCCGTTCATCAAAGGGTCATCATCGAGGCACCAGCCTGTTTGGTATCTGCCGCTAATTATATCAATGAGCTCCGCTGGTGCCGACGTTGCTGCCAGTCTTCGCCGGCCTTGACTCAGGCCACCAAAGTCTATTTGATCAATCAAATCCACATTAAGGTACTTGTCTTCCAGGTTGTTTGTCGACTGGTCTGTTTCACATCGCGATATCCATTTTTCCGCCTCGAGGTCATATCTTATCAGCGACTTTCGTGAACACGTGGCTAGACGCGTGTGCTGAATTCAAACCCTGGCATTGACGCCCTGTCTCACAAGGGGGAAGACAGCGAGCAACGCGAAACTCCAAGACCGACGCGGGCACTTTTTTGATACATTCCAACATCCCAGCATAGCCGATGGCCAGGGTGGCCGCTGCTTGCTGAGCAGTGTTTCAAGACTATCTGCCGGTGTCCTTCACGGGAAGCCCGAATGAAAAGTGGAAGAGGTATTCAAATAGAGCTCAATTTGTCGCGAGTAAAGAGGCCAGGCATTATACCCTCATTCCTACGCAATACCATGGCGTGTGAGCATTCGCATGGCAAACTTCTGTGAATCGTCCCGCGGTGTGCAAGTTGGCGCGATGCTTGTATTGACCCGCTCCATGTGGAGACAATGTACCCGCCAGACACCGGCCGCCGTCGGAGCTCGGGAGCGAAAACGCCGGGTCGGCTCCGGGTTCTACTTCCGGCGTAATGGCTGCTGTGTGCGTGATGTCCGGGAAGGCGGAAACGTCGAATTCTGGTGATCAAACTCTGTTCTACTACCCACACTTTCTCTCGGGTCGTAAAGTACTTCTATTTTACAGTTAGTACCAAAGCAGCCAATTTGACAATTCCGGCTGCCCCTGTTAGTGACCGACCGCGGCCTCATGCATCGCTGAAAACCTCTTTCCCTCGTGCTTGTTGGCTTCCACCACCTTTCTGATCACAAGAATGTCACTCTCGGACAACTTCATATCCTGGGGGCCTATTTCTCCTCCAGCCTCTTCGACTTGGTAGTGCCCGGAATAGTAATGAGACTTTGGACAGCCACCCAGGCTAGAGCAAGTTGAGCGATAGAACAGCTCTTCTCGGCATCGATTTCCTTCAACTCAACCACTATGGCTTTGTTCTTGTAAAGCTCTCTCTCTGGAACTTGGGGACTGAAATGCAGGTACGAGAGGCGCACATTAGAGGAAGATGGACTATTACTCGTGGGATTTCGGTGTTACGTACCAGTACGGCGGAAGTAATCCGGCGCGAAGTCGTTAGGATTCTGGTAATCAAAGTCTTCGACCAACCAACCCTGTCCCAACGGGCCGAATGCTTAAAAGACGACGTCTAACTCCTTGACCGTCTGGGTTAAACTGCTTGTCTCATGGAGGGTCTCAAAAGCAGAGTACTCGCTTGGACAGCATCGGCCTTGGCAATTACTAAGAGGTCAGTATGCTACCTATTGATAGTATTGAAGTCGTTTTGGTGGATAGGATGTACTCGAGATTGCCTCGCGTAGCGTCTTGGTAGAGCACTCTGATTGCCCAATGTATTTGGCCTTTCCCTCTCTCCGGATCTCGTCAAGAGCGGCTATAGACTCTGAAAAAGGCGTCTCTGCGAGCTCCATTAGTTGAATTGGAATAAATCAGAGAGGATGACATACTCGATCGATTCTATGCAAATAGTATAGGTCCGGGGCAAAACCCAGTCTCTCAATCTGATGTGAGATCCAGAATTGGTGACTCTGCGGTCCTTAAAGACATCAAAGCCACATATTGAGGCAACTTGACATGAAAAATCAGGACAAGACCCAAATACGAGGCCTCGGAGTAATTTGCCAAATACCTTGTGGCGAACATTTTGCTTGCGAATGAAATCTCCTAGGACCCTCTCATTGAGGGCCGCATCGTATGCAACCTGACAACAAGTTAACGTTATTAGCAACCTTACTATATGGAGTCCGAACCTATAGCAGTGTTCCAAAGGGTACAGCCCAGCTCGATTACTTCAGAAGTACTGGCTCTACCTGCTCGGCCGATAGCCTGGTGCTGACGGCCGGCGTGATGCCCATTGCATCGAAACCCAGGACTGGGACTCGAATGGCGCCGAAGGGAAGACTTTTTTCCATCTTGAATGTAGTATTCGAGTAATAAAGATGGATGTTTAAAGCCAGCAGCTGCTGAGAAGATTGATATGCGCTGCTGCAAGTGAGAAGTGCGAATCGAAGGATCAAAGACAGGAACGGATGACTTTATAGCTTCTCGCGTAGGGTCATCATCGGTAACGGGTTTGAAAAGCGGATTCGTTGTCTTTCGTGAGCCGTAGCATTATAGCCCATCCATGACGTACAGGTTTGGTCCGGGCATTGCCTCTAGGGCGGTAACCAGATCGCATATTTACTGGTCATGACAAGTAAATCCGTATGACAGAGAAGCAGCTTCTTGGAATTCCCCGCCTTTTGGCTTCATATTGAAACTAGCGAGTCATCGTTCTGAAGTATGATGCTCGGCTCCGTATACAAGGGTGCCAGCAACTCCTAAAGGCCGCGATTAAGTCCGCAAGCCACTCCACAACTCGAAGGGCTGTCGACAGAGCCTTCAGCATTACTAGTCTATTTATCTGTGTCCCGAATTCAGCCAGATTGCGCCTTGTCTCCCATCAGATGTCCAACTCATCCATGAGGCACTTCTTCTCTACCGGTTCCCAGTCAGAGTAGCGTGAAGTCATTGAGAGGGGGGGTAATCATCTAGATGGCCTGTTTTTGATGAAGTGAATCCAGGGAGTAAGAGTAAACGACAACGATAGATTCCGGGACTGCATATCCTGGAGCTGGGTTCTTACTTAAATTTCAGTTTGACTTCGTTAAGCCAGTGGTAGGACCGGGCCACCAACAAGTCTGAGCCCTTTCGAGTCTTAGGCCAACGGTACATTCCTGTACAAACAGCAGGACACGCTTCAATACACATCTCACTTCGAAATCATGGTTGTTAGCCATCCTGTAAGTTGAATTGATCCAATCAGTGTCAATTTCAGTAGCCAATCCTTCTATAAGCGAGTGACCATCATGGATGCGAACGGTATTCTGCATTCTCTCCATTTATATACACGACTACGCCATCATGTCCGCATCTTGTCTCACTACGTTATCAACCACACCCGCGAAACCGGGATAATTCGTCGTTCATGTGCATGCCATGATCACTCGTGGACCAAGACCCTGATCTTCAAATGTATCCAGGTATCTTAATGGTTACTTGACCAAAACAAGGTGCAAGTATTCCTGTGTTGCAGGATACCCTGATTACCATGACCAGCTGCCCAGCTGCCCAGCATTCAAAATGAGTCACGTACAGAAAGCCACCAGTTTGATTTACCCAATCTGCTGCGCTAGAGGGCTGCAAAGACTTTACTCTCGCCAGTTACTTCATAGACCACAAATTCCTTCGCGGTCAACAAACCTGACAATATTCTATGATAACAGGCATTGTTTATTTCGAACCTCGTATGCCCACGTAAGGAATATTGAATATGCCTACTTCAGCGCAGATTTCATCCTTCCTTGTTTTGAAGAACAGTGTGATAGACGCAGTAGCACTAATGGTCCATGCATGCAATCTGCCTGGTCCAAAGAGTTGCTCTCCACAGGCACATTGCTGTTCTGATGAATCTGACCGGGTACCATGTACTTGATTAAGGTCGTAACGGTGCGGCATCACAGTCGGTGGCGTAAACCTTGAGTTTCTTGGCTCGCCTTCCGTGCACCGTGGGTCCCGGTAAGTCTCATCCACTCTCATTTTTAAGTAAGAGTAGGCAGAACCATTTATACCGTGAACTTGCTCTGGAATTAACATGAATCGGAGATGATCGCTACATATTCAACATCTTCGTAGGATCTATGTGCCAGCTCTTTGTAGCCAGAGGACATAGGAGCCTCAAGCTCAACCTGAGTCATAATGTCGAGTACCCGGCCGGCCTGTCGATATCGCAGATTCTATTCAGGAGGCTTCATGGCCAAACCTGCTCATTCAATTCTCAAGGCTGAACCTTCTTATCGAGCGTATCAAGGTTGAGGAGCTGGGTCATTGCTGTACTTATCCTTCCTGATCTATATAACTTACCCTTCCTCCGAAGTAGATCCTCCCTTCTTTCACTCGGCATCCCCCCACTGCAATTCTTCGTTGCAAAAGTTCTTGTACTTAATGCAAATTCTCTCCTTCAACAAAATTCACTTCTATTCTCTTCATTCAATCACCTCTGGCAAAGAAGACTTACCCTCTTCTTGCAAAAAACAACCCATCTCTTTGCCATAGATCAAGATGTCTGATTCTCAGCCTTCTTACCTTGTACTCGGTGTGCCGCGTCTAGCGCTCATCTGCCTTGCGGCAAAACTCTATGTTCAAACCCAAGCAACTGGCGTCCAGAAGTACTTTGAGTCCTCTTATCACTTTGATACTTTCAACCTCTTTCTCTCCCACTTCATCAAACCTACTCAGTCTATCTGGCGTCAAATTCCGAACACAGAGCGCCGCGGTCTCCTCGAGGAGTACTATCCTACAGCAGCTGCGCTCGACATCTACAGCGAACAGGGCTATGAGCGAGATTTTACGCAACTCTGCTCTCGGTGGTTCAGGGACACCAAACTCCTTATGCCAGAGGTGTTGTTCATGATGTCCAAGCAATCTGCAGTGGCTCTGAACCAAAAAAACTTAACAAACAACCCCGCTTCTGTTGACTATATGAAGAAGCTCGTCAAGCCCTCGGTCAAGCATACAGCCACAACCAAGCTGATCGATACTAAGCCTCTCATGCCTACAAAGAGACGGCGACAAGAAGAACAGGAGGTTGAAGTCTCTGTGAAGAAGAGAGCGAAGCTGGTCACTCCTGGTGCCAAGACATTCTCTACAACCGCCTTGATTACCACGAAGGATACCAGTTTCGAAAAGAAGAAGCTAGCAGTTCCTGTAGTCAAACACCCTCAAACAACCACCTTGACTGCCACGAAGAACACTAGCAGTGGGAAGCTCAAGCTGGCTGCTCCTGGTAGCATTACATCCTCTACAACCGTCTTTACTGCCACAAAGGACACCAGTGCCGAGAAATCCATCCTGCAACAGCCCAAGCAGCGTTGGCTTTCGGACAAAGAGGTCGGGCGTATCGGACGCAGACCTCAAGGCCAGGGCTGGAGGTCCAAGATCACCCCACTGCCTTTCTAGACGTGTGTAACACTACTCTAAGCTAAAGAGCCCGTGTCTCCTCGCTATGAGCAGTTGTCTTTTATTGAAGGAGTCCTCGGACAAGATACCCTACGGAGCTATTAGGTCTGGGTTTTGGTTCAGTAACGCGGTCTGAGACCTTTGGTTGTTAGACGGGGTTTGGTTTTGTTACTTTGGGTTGGTGTGCCGAGGACGCTGCTTCTTATTGCACTTCAATTGATCTTTTTGGTCGCACTAAGTGTTTCAATCTGTTAAAGTGACTCCACTAATTGACTCAAAACTCGGAAACGCTCATACAGCTAGGTGTGATATTCATCCCGGCTGTGCCATTTTGCCATATACTCGCTCCGCCCGAACAACCTTGGACACGACACTGCCGTAAATGTTCGCGGCTCAAACCGCCTGTGTTAACTTAGTTTGAATCCAAGTGACTTACTAAGGCGTTATGCTACATACATATTTGGCTACAATTTTCCATAGCCCGGGCAGACCCCATGGGAACAAGATTCAAAAAAGGCTCGGCGGCGGGAAACTCGAAAACCACTTTTCATGCGACTCAATTTAGCAGATAACAATAATTTTGACAAACGTATTCTCAAAACTACGACTACTGCTCAATGGCCCTCGATTGTGACCGCCGTAGGCCCCCTCATACTTTTCTTCTCTCTCCGCACTATCCGCAAATACTTCTACCTTTGCCTGAGAAAACTTGGAGGCGCTTACGCGGGTCTCGAACAGCATTTGTAGCTCAACTTGGGAGCGTTCCTTAGTTTCGGTCAGGCAGAATTAAGCCCACACTAGGTCGCAAAAACAGATACCGATCTAGATTAATCCTCCCTTTCCTTCCAAATTCCAGGCGCTTGGGTTGATGGTCATTGGGTTCAAGAAATTGGCAGCGATACTTTCCACGAGGTAGGCAACAGAGCAAGAGCAACTGTATTGATTCGGAGTCGGGTGGAAGAAATCTCTGCGATTAAACTGTATCAAGTCGGCCCGGTAGTCATGTCGTATGTGATGACAAGAACTATCCAAAAGGCACCTGATGTCCAGCCTAGATTCGGACGAGAATCCGGAATGCCCATGCCGCCAACAGTCACCAGAACGATGAACATGATGCAAAGATCAATGACATATAGCTTGCGGCGTCCGATGTGGATAATGAGAAACCAGGAGAGAAAAATGCCAACAACTGTGATGGGGCTAGTACCCAGACCAAAGCTGAAGGAGTTGTCCGAGTCGAATCCACCCTGTTGGAGAAAGTAGATGACATTCCCACCAAACCAAACGCCGCAGGCAACTTATCCTACCTAAACAAAGCAGGCTATCATTGTGCGGTGAAGTTTGGTACCTCGGAAGCAGTCGATATGTGATGTTTTCCCGGAGTTCACTCTCTCCATTCCGTACGGGTGGGTAATCATGGCGATGCTGGCGTCGAGCTCGGAATCAGTTGTCGAGGAACTCGCCAGACGCCGCTGAGCATCTGAAGAATCAGTCAAACGGCCTTTCACTGATGGGCCCTCTGGGGCGAGAATCTCGCCAATCACGATGGGCAAAGAAAAGACCCATTGAATGGCATAGGGGGTGCGCCAAGCCCAGTCGTCCGGGCGAGAGAAGAGTCCCCATAGGACACCGGTCCCGATTAATTGTCCAATGATCAAACAAATGTTAGTGTAAGTCGTCACGATCGGTCGAAGGGCCATGGGCGTAACGTCGGCGGCGCAGGTCGTCGTCAGAGCTTGGAAAACGCCCTAAGGCCGCAGAGCAGGACTCCTGCGAGGAGGTATCCGATATTCTGCGCAAAGAGGAAGAGGAATATAAATGTGGAACGTAATGAAGATTCGGGTCCAATGAGGAACACAATAACGCCGGGATCGCCCGGCCGTTGTATGGTGTTGACGGTCGATGGGATCTGGGTCATGGACTGCTGTCTGAGACCGGCTGGTCCGTCATCGACGACAACGAATCGATGCATTTTGACGAATCTGGGATTTTTTTTATCCGCAAAAATCCGGGGACTGCGTGGACGGATATCTATTTGCTTTTGGGCACGATTTCAAGGGTGCCATGAAGGCCTTCTTCGACATATCACACACCTCGCACACCCCGCTGGTCTCTGGGAAACTGGCGGAGTCACTTCCACAGATACACGGGCCAGGAGTATCTCAATCTCATGGACAAGTTCCGCGAGCGCGGTATAACGCTGTCTGTCGCAATGATGGATATGGAGTGGCATCTGATGAAGGCGGATGAGATGCCACACTCGGGCTGGACTGGGTAGAAGGTCTTTTCACCGATCCGGAATCCTTCGCTTCGGCGCTACACGAGCGTAGCCTCAGAACGTCCCTCAACGACCAGCCACACGAAGGCGTAGCCTCGCATGAGGAGCATTACGAGGAGATGACAGCGTTTCTCGGCCATGATACTAGTACAAAAGCAACCATTCCCTTCAACCCCTCAGATCCGAAGCTCTTGCAAGCGTGGTTCAATATCCTCCACCATAGTCGAGGAAAAAAGGGCTGCGACTTTTGGTAGATAGACTGGCAACAAGGGCTCTTCTGCGAAGTCCTCGCACTGGAACCTTTATGGCTCCTCAGCCATTTCCAGTTCCTCGACCAGAAACGTAAGGATGGAGATCTCAAGCCCTCATACTCTCACGTTATGTTGGCCCTGGTAGCCAGCGGTACCCAACCGGTTTCTCTGGGGACACCATCATCACTTAGGACTCGCTGAGGTTCCAACCAGAAGTCACAGCCACTGCCTCCAACATTGCTAATGACGGCATGACATCTATGGACATATGCTCGGATCCCGTGATGATGAGCTCGTCGCATGATTAACACATTTAAGCGTCTTCTCGCCCATCTTGCGCCTTCAGTCTCGCAATACTCCGTGAGAATCCAAGGAGCCGTAGAACTACCGCTCCGAGGCGGAAAAAGCAGTCATATCGCCAAAGCGGCTCAGGCACCGATTGATACCTTACCTACATACGATGAACGTGCGTTTCTCAGAGTCTGACGATCCGTTGATTTGACCACTGCATTGATATTTCCCAACGAGGGAGGAAGCCTTTGTATATCCCAATCAATATTCCTTCGGTCCTTCCCTCATCATGGCGCCTGTGGTGGAACCAGCCGATGCCAGGACACGACGAGCACTGGCCAAGATCTGGCTCCCACCGTCAGCAGCTCGATACATTGATATGTTCAACGGGACTGTCTACAATGGCGGCCAGGAGCTGGTCATGTGACGTGATCTCTGGGGATGCCGGCATTGGCACCTGAAGTCTTCATCATACATACCCCTTGATGCTGATCAAATGCCAGCTAATGAGGGCAAGAACTCGGATGCGCTTGAGATCGTGGTGGTGGTCGGACGGGACGGGAGCTTTACGATTGTCGAGAACCTCCATGATGACATTCACGCGGTTATCGACCGAGTCTCAGGCCTACATATCAATATTGAGTGGAAACAAAGGTCAAATTAGAAGATTATCCGGTCGACGATGGGTTGTCCCTTTCATCAGTGGTCTCGGCGCAGAACTCAGACGATACATCAAGGTTAGTCTCGGAGGGGCCATGTTGCCAGAATCTGAGGCCAGAGTCTATCTCGGAAATGAAGAGGGCAAGGAGCTGGCGCCAGGTATCGTCGCGGAAGTACAAAACCCCACAAGGGCCAGCACCGATGAAGCCATCGTCATAGAACTCACTGAGAATACCCAGCTGAGCCGCACTGATCATACAGATATATTCAGACAGCTCCTTCCTGGGTATGTAAACAGAGTTTGCGCTCAAGGACAAGCTTTTTGCCATCCTCAACAGCCGCAAACGGACTGCAGCAAAGATGGGAGAGCTTCTGAGCGTATTTGACGACCACGCGATTCTGAGTCCTACCTTGGAGCTACTTGGAGCACACAGTAGGACGCTTCAGAGCAGATGACGAGGGAATTGGGAGGATGTATTTAGTATGAGAGACGATCATTACCGAGCCATATATAACCGATGCCGTACTTTGAAGCTTTTCACCTTTCGAGCCACTTAATCGTAGCCTCTTGCCTGCCCTTGATTCGTACCCAGCTTGCTCCTGATCCCCTACTTTCTAGTGACGATATGGCACAATTCTAGGGTTTTGGAGGAGTCAAACTGGCTCAAAGCCTGTACCTGTGGCATGTTGAAGCATGTTGGCAAGCATTTAGTGCCAATCTTGGAGGATTAGAAGTAGCTAGGGCAATGTGCGCCTGCCAACCTACCTCTCCTTCACCACGCTCCACACGAAGAAACAAAAAGTCACTGATCATGTTTTTCGATTCGGTCTTTGCCCTACTACGGCGGCGCTACTACAAAAAATACGAATGGAAGAATACGCCATCTATCGACTCCAAGCGCATCGCATCGTATCAACAAACTCAAAGGAAAAGAAGAACCTAGACAGCATGCATCCACCTCCGTTCCCTTGAACAATCTTACAAGAAACTTCACCCGCATGCCATGAAAAACATACCACGCAAACGAGTATCAACCAAATGCTGTCATGGAAAGGGCATGTGAATACCATTTCCATCCGGGATCTGTCCAAATTCCAGAGTCTTCTTGATCCTCACTCCGAGACAACTTGAAAGTGAGAGACAACCTCCTAAACTTCTCCGCCCTTCCATCCTGAGGGTGGCGGTCCTGCTCTTTGCACTATTTGAGATGAGAAAGAAAAGACAGTGACCAAATGAGACCGACGTGCACTTCTTCAGTCCGAGGCGAATGTCTTCCGCGCTGCAGTACTACCAACGGACAAGAAAGCCGGCCGCAGCTGATCGAGAGCCACACCAATTCGAATCGATCCACCACTATTTGAAATGACGATAAACCAGACCGTTCACCTTCGGTCTCCTCTGATAATGACCACACCGAATGACCGCCAAATTGTTGGCTTTTGGGTATCCCAGTCTTCTTAGTAATAGCCGCGCCGAGCTATGTAATTTGGGTTTTCTTTGTGCAGCATTATATCTTTCCCTTTCCGTACGACGAAATGACGATCCAACCTCAACGCCGAGGGATGTTGTGTTTGCTGAAATGAAAAAGGGATGTGGATCAGAAACGTATATTGAAGAGGTGTATGATACCAAGCGATGTCTGAGGGCTGGTGAGGATTCGTAGGGACTGCTTTGGGCGAATGTGAAAGCCGACTCGAACGCTTCCGCGACATGCTTTTGAAAGAGTTGTAATGGGGAAACCCGCCTCCACTAGGTAGGTGGCAGAAACCGCCAGGCTTTGGCCATATTTGTTTGTGTGGAACGGGTATATATATGTGAGAAATTGAGAGTCTTATTGCGTCTCTGTTTTTCATCTCTCAATGCTCTCGGGACTCATCATACCCATGGGCTCGTCCTTATCAGTCTGACTGGCATTGCCCTGGCTTTGCATGCTTTCGTTCCGCTCCATGCTAGAAGGCAGCGCGATCGCCGCCGCATTGGGCCCCGAGCCGTTGATGTTGACGTGCTTGACCTTCTTTGCTGGCGTAGTTTCGCCCTTCTTCTCCTGAGAGGCATTGACGTCCTTGTTGGCTTGCGCCGCCAATTCCATCTTCTTCTTCTTCTTGGCGAGGGCAATCTGCTCCTTGGGCGGCCGCTTTTGCGGCGAGACAATCTTTCCGGAGGCGCCAAGACGCGGTCTGGGCCGCCTCTGCTTGACAGGAAGCTCCTCGTCTTCGACCAAAGGCGTATCGCCGTTAGCGTGCAGCTTGGCCAAGAAGAAGTTCTTGACAAGACCAATTTGGCCGTGGATGTTCTCCGTCGTGATGGGTTCAACAGGCGGCAATGATTCGAAGAGGTCGGTGACCTCCGTGCCAACCGTCTGTGTCTGCATCTGAAATTGGTTGCGAACACGGGACTGGAGCAAGTGAAGAGGAACCGAGAGCATATCAAGACCCATCTCCTTGTCCAGACCCAGGGCCTTGAAACCAAAGAAGTCTTCGCCGAGATCCTCAGCGAAGTCACCACTAACGAATTGTTCGCTGCCGTCTTTGAAGGCACCGACACCATCCTGTCCGGCTTCCTGAGTGAGGGCAGGCCGCAAAAGCTCGGTAAGATGGAACTTCATGCGTTCGTGGATGCCGCCAAGCTTCGAGCTGAGTCGGTCTACTTCGTCCTTGGCGTAAGACTCTAGACTGAACAGGTCGCAACCGTTCTCGTCGAGCGTGTGCAAGATAACTTCCTCGGGGGTAAACCGTGCCCGGAATCGTGAGCTTCCTTCGGCACGGGATGCGGGTGCCTCGATCTTCTCCGCCTCGCGATACACATTGAAGGTCTTGATGATCTTCTCGAAGTAGTCGGATGCTAGGCTGGTCATGGTATCGATGGCAGAGGGTTGAAGTTCCTCAAAACCGGTGTGGTAGAGAATCTTAGCTACAGAGCGTTGCAATGCACTACGGCAAGTCTCTGGTGCAATGACAGGGCCATCATCAGCGATGAAAGATGGCTCGGCATCCTGCTCGACAAAGGATTCGTAGTTGGACTTTGGAAACTGGTTGTTGTAAACCTAGAGAAAAGGAGTTAGAAGACCGACTTATCCACCTGCCGGCGACATTTGTATATACCTGAGTCTGGATCTGCATCTGCTTAATCACGCCGATCTTGCTCGATAGCTTCCTCGTCTCCTGGATTTGATGGATATTACTGTCGATCTTGCTGGCAAACTTGCTCTTGGGCGCCTTGAAGTGACCTTCGGGGATCATGCGGAGATATTCCTCATGCTGGTTGATAACGTGGCCCTCACCGTCCTCGATCCACTGCAACTTGGGATGAATGTCCGGTAGGACTGTCAGTGGTTCGTAGTACGCCGGCACAATCTTTTCCTCTTCTCCTTCCATACCCTCTGCGAGGGTTTCGGCGGGTTTCGCAGCCTCTTTAGCAGCGATAGCAGACGAGTCGGCCTGGGCTTGGCCAATGACGCCCAGGGTCTCTGCTTCCTTTTGCCCCCTCAAATACCACCGGATGCCGGCTTTATTTCGGAGCAGAGCAGGAGCGTCAGTATTGAGCTTGTTGTCCTTGAAAAGCTGGTATCGTTCCTTGGCAATGAGTGCGCGGTCCTTCTTCGTCACTTGCTTCCAGATCTTGTACTCGTCATCCTCGTAAGCCTGTTCTGCAGCCTCGTTGAGAGCCTGTCCCAGAGCCATGCCGTTCAATGTAGGCCCATCGATATCCATGGCATCAGCATTGCTTCCGATGCCTGAGTGTCCGTTGACCCCACCAGGCGTTGCGGAACCAGCGATGGGTGTGCCAAACCCACTACCGTCGACTGCCTCAGAGCCTTCTCGGCCTTTGGCCAGCAGCCCGTTAAGCTGCAGCACTGGCTTCTGGTCAATGTTGGGGGTACCTTCCTTCTGATCCGTAGGTTGTTTCCGGGACTTGGCGCCCTTGGTTCCGGCAGTACGACCGCGAGATGACATTATCGGCTCGTCGTCCGAGTCATCGCCCCCATCTTCCTCGCCACCGTTTTGTTTTCGGCGCTCTTCGGCCTCAACCTCGGCTCGCGGCCGGATGACGAGGTCCGGGATGAGAGGAATAAGCTTCTCGGCCTCTTTTCTCATGCCATTAGCCATCCGGCGCAAAGGGTGTCCCATATCTTGGTTGTAGCGCAGGCAGTTGTCCCATATTAGGTTCAAGTCGGTGACGAATTCCGCCTTCGATTTGTACGTGAGAGACTTGATCTTCTTGGTCATAGACCCCATATCCATAGGCTGCTTGATGACTGCAATGTGCCGAAGGCGGTTAGCCAATCCGGCTCGAGGTCGTCTGCCTGGGTACAACTTACGGTTATAATAATCCGGCGCATCCCTCTTATTCACCCTCTGCAAGAAGGGCGTTGAGTATTCTGTGTGTGCCTTCAGCTCCGTCAATACTTTCTCGAGGGCCTCGTACAACTCTTCTTGGTTGACATTCTCCTCACTGGCCCATTTACTTCGGTTCTTCCGCACTTCGTTCATGAGCGATCGCAATTCGGCGTCGGAGGCGCGGACCTGGTCGCGTTTCATATCTATCCTCGCAATCAAGTGCTTGAGGGTCAGACTCGACGCGCCTAAGTTGGCGCTGCTGAGCGACCCATGGTTCTCGGCTTGAGTGCCGTTTGTGTGACTGTTGTTATTGTTATTTTCCATCTCGGCCTGCAACTGTTTTTCGGACTCTTCCAGCTGCTGCTGCTCAAGCATAGCAGTCCGGTCGTTTTCAAGAGTGTAGAATATGGTATGGAAGCTCCGTCTCGCCGCTTCTTCGGTCGCGTTTCGCGCCTCTTCCAACTGTTTGCGCGCATCTTCGCTTGTTTTTGTGCTGTCCCCAGACCCGTCGACCTGTTTGAGTTTCTCGAGCTGCTTGCCGGGCGAGCTGACGGAGTGCACGGGCGAACTGCCGGACTTTGAGGGGGAGAGCAGCGAGCCGGCGCCGGCGGCCGCAATGCCGTTCGCGGGTTTATTCGAATCGGCGGCAGTCGCGTCTTCTTCTTCATCTTCGTCATCGTCATCGCCATAATCGTCTTCGTCGATGACCCGCTTGGCCTTCTTTAATGGAGGCTCTTGGATCGGCGCATGGTCAGTGGTAGGGGGTAGGATGGAGGGGGAGGGTGCGGAGGGGCGGCGCAGCGCATCGATGGCGGAGTAATTATAGGATCCGTCGTCGGCAAATAGCAGCGAGATCTTCGCCTCGCTCTTGTGATAGAGATCCTTGAACAAGGCGCGTCGTCGTTCATCTTCAATATCAGGTTGTGCCTCAGGCATCAAGGACATTGAATGGTCGACGGGGGTTCCGTTTCGCGCAGGACCATCATCAAGTTGATGGAACAGGCGACTAGACGGTTGGTGATGAAGGGACGGCGGCTGCCATACGTGGTGGCCATTGGGGAGGGACATTTTGTGCCCGAATTGATGATAGCGACAGGTGGGCGGCGTGTCGCCATGCGCAAGGAAATGCGCTCGTCAGGGACCGAGTCCGGGCGGCAAAGGGTCGTTACGAGCGCATCAGTAGAAAGAGCGACATCGATAGAGATGACCGGTGCGTTTCGGAGGCGTGAGTGATTGTGGTTGTTGTGTATTGATGGATTGGAATAAGGGGGTTAGGCGTGGTTCCGAGAGGTGAGGTTGAGGACTTGAAGAGGCTCGTACGCAAGTACGCGATGGAACTTTTCCCTTGCCTGAAGACGGCGAGTTGGCCGCTGCTAGCGGTACACGGAACCTTGGTTGACCACGAGTTACGCAGCACAGACCACCACGAAGACTGTCGCATGTACTTAAAATGATCTCCCAAAGTCTCAGTGTGCTCGTCAATCCATCTACCTTTTTTTCGGACCCAGAAATGAGGTGCACTGGGGTGATGATGGGTGCCGCGATTGCGGGATGCAGGTACAGGAACTTCCAATGCCGACGGCGGCGCGAGCGGAGGCCACCGTAATTCCCCCCCTTGGCCCAGCGCTGAGCGATCGGATCGCGTACGTTTTTGTCACGTGATGGCCCCAGCCAACCAGTCGCAGTCAGCAACGAGCCAGGAAGCGCACCAGCACAAAGCACAAAGCACGCAGCCAGACGGACCAGCACCAGCAGCCAACAACATGGAGAGTCGGGTTTGTGCTTGGGTGGGAGTACCTTAATACCACCGAACTGAGTGATGGTGCTTATCCGCTTTTCAGAGGTGGCAATGGTAAGAGTCTCTGGCAACTCTCCGCAACACCACCCGTAACCTCAGTTCCCTCCATTCACACATATCTTGTGCACCTCATTCCCACCACACAGTGACCTCATCCGCATCCACGGGCGCGCATCGCGTCTACGCCCCATACATCGCGACGTCGCTGCGGCCCACGGCATCTTCCGCCCGGGCCACCTGAACCTGACCAAACCGGCCCCCCTCCAAAATCCTCGGGGGCCTACCCCTGTCCTCGAAGCTCCCGTAAAGCCTGGGGTTGGGCGCCACCACTGCACATCTCCTTCCGTCAGTGGGCTGAACTCCATTTCGCGTTCCCGCAGCAGAAAAAGCTCTCCCTCGCCCCGGTCCAGTCGCTTGGGAGCTCCGGCCAGCTGGACACCTCACCCTCGTCCCTCGTCCGTAACGACCCCATTCCGAACAACAACCCTGGCCCGTTTTCCTCATTTCAAGAGGCAAACACACAACCCGAACGTCGACCACTGTCTCGTGTCAGCTTGTAGCTGACCTTACACAACTTCACCACTCGAGCCACCCATAATTCTTCGAGACATTCCAAGAGCTTGGCTACCTCAGCTACCATCCACAGCTACGAATCACACCACCTTCTGCAATAGCTGCTGCAGGTTTCTTCAAAATGCGGATACGCTTGCCCTTTGCAGGTGCGTCACGAGTTTCAACTGTGGTTGCCCATGGATTTGGATTTCCATCGATTCCTCGCAGAGCCGAGTGGACATGAGGCTCCTGCTCCAGTCCAGCTCCTGCTCCAACCCAAGCACACAAGCATCGCGTCCACATCCCTAACTAACACCTCCTCTAGGCGTCTTCTTCGCCCTCCTCGTCGTCGCAGGCTACGCCGGCCTGACCTCCCTCCAGCTCGGCCAATACGTAAACGACAAAGTCCTCCACTTCATAACCTTCTTCCTCCTCACCCTCGTATTCTACTGGATCCTCGACACAAACCGCCGCCGCACCCTCAACCTCACCCTCACTGTCTGCACCTTTGTTCTCGGCGTCGGCTCCGAGTTCCTGCAGGGCTTCCTCCCCAACGGCCGAGAATTCGACTTTTACGACATCGTGGCAAACGTGGTCGGTTCGCTGGCGAGCATCGGCTTGTGCTCTTGGTACCACAAGCGCATGCTCGAGCGCAAGCGCCGAACCAAGACATACCAAGCCGTTCCTGGGGAAGATGACGCGGATGTTGAGCTGGGCGAGGGACATGAGACTGGCATCGTCGAGTCGAGCGGTGCGAGAGACGGGGGCGCTGGTGTTGGCGCCAGCGGAGGGAGGTCGCTGGAGGAGGAAGTGGACAACTGGGATGAGAACCAGGTGGATGACTGGGAAGAGGACGATGGGGACGGTGACATCGGTGGAGTCAAGAGCAAGGACATGGACACTGGGGATGTTGGCGACTCCAAGAAGCGGGCCGACTAGAGCTCTTTTGCGAGGAGGCCAAGGGCGTTTGTGATATGACGGATGAGCATTGAATTACGATTTTGGCGTTTTGGGGAGGCCCTTCATCCTAGCAGCGTGTTTCGTATTAGAACAAAATGTCATTCTTTCTCCTCATTATGCTATCCTCTCGCTAACGCCAACCTGGAGACCAGAACATCGTGACACAGCAAGGTAGGACACGAAGAATACAGATCATCGGCTATGAATTCGCGGTTAAACCAACAAAGTTACAAAAAAAAAAAAACGCCAACCAAGTAGCCCCCGTCTTTTGCGTCCATGTATTCGAAACCCTCAGATCCGCAAACATGCAAGCCTCACCAGCCAAATGCCTCGTTGTGCCACACCACCTCCCGGCCCCTCATGACCCACGCGCCAACGTACTCCCGCACCTCCCGTCCCATCTCCGCCGGCCCGCACACCAGCACCGCAACCCTTTCCTCGGCCCCCTGCCTGAAAAAGTCGTCAACGATCTTGCCTAGGTCTGGGCGCTTGCGGTGGCTCTCGCTCGTGAGGCGATTCCGCCTTCGGTCGCGGGGCAGGGCGCTCATTTCTATTTCACCCTCCGCGTTCGCCTCGGCGGGAAGCCTGGTCATGGGACCGGTCGAGTCCGAGTTGAGCGCCTCGCCCGTGAGGAAGATGCGTATGTTGGGGTCGTCGAGAACGCTCTTGGAGGCGGACTTGTCGGCGGCCATGGCCCAGGCTGCGTCGCCGGCCCCGCGGACGGACCAGACGAGTTCGACTTTGGCGCTGGGATTGTCCTGGAGGATAGCGTGGTAGATGGGTACGGTGAAGGTTGCGCCCACGCCACCGGCCACCAACAGTACGCGGTCGACAGAGGAGCTGATGAGTTTGTCAAAGTGGAGGGATGCGGCACCGTAGGGGCCCTCGATGCAGAGTGGCACCTTGCCGTCCTCGATGCCGGTGCCCGCGTTTGCGAAGCGGCCGAGATGTCGTGTGAGCGGGCCATCGAGCTGACGAGCTACCAGGGTGAGGTCGCCGTTACCCTCGTCAACAGACGCAACGGTGAAAGGGTTGAAGAGAAACTCAAAGAGCATTGCGTCAGGAGATGTAGGCCCAGCTCCAGGTCGTACTGCGGCGGGGACGCTAAGGTAAATGTGGGAGCCTGGGCGCGTGTGGAAAGCATTGATCTTGTGCTGAGGAATTGAAGCAGATATCTTGATCAGATTTGTGCCAGGGATGATCTCAACCTTTGAGAGAGCCATCACGGTCCGCAGACGACGGACGGTAAGGTCGATGAGGAAGACTATGATAGCCTTGACCATGAATAGCCGAGCCGGCTTGGCGTGGAAGAACACCAGGACCGGTATAGCGAAAGCGCCAATGAGATGAGTGATGAAAAAGACACGGTACGAGTATCTGCGAACGGTGGCAGCTGCAGTTGAAGTCATCATGTTCATGGTTGCAAACGCAACGACACCGGCGAAGACGACGGGTGCGAAAAGGCGTTTCTGGACAATGCCTTTGGCTACGAAGAAATTCAGGTAAAACACAGCGTGGAGGACGAGGAGGGATAGCGTCACGCGTGAGAGAACGCGGTGCCATTTGTTCAACTCCTCGTGAGATGTGCGAAAGGCCTTGGCGATGGGGCTGAAGCTCTTCAATGCCAGCAAGTACTGAAAGGGGATCTGGGATACGGCGATGATGCCGAAGCGTTTCGTGAGATGGAGGTAATCTACAACAAGTCAGAAACATGCCTTTTCTTGGTCAATCCAGGTGGCAGTATGTTTCGGTATGGGAAATCCAACCTCATTGAGACTCACTGAAGCCTCTTGAGGGATTGGTTCCGAGGGTCACGTTTGTAGTTTCGTCGTATCTGGCATCAACTTGAGGGGATTCACAACTCACCGTCGCCCGTCTCCAACACGCTCAGAACCAGCAGCCAGGATGCCCAGGCCAGACCAAAGACCCATTGGTCCTTCTGACCCCAATGCTGCCCCATGAAGTAGACATCATCGGCCAGCCACCAGTTCCACTTCCTGATCGTGGCCTCCCAGCTGCGGCCCCAGTTCTGTCTCCTCGACTTCAGCTCAGGAGAGCCTGGGACGGCAGCATAGGAGGCTCCCGACTGCCAGCGTTGACTGAGATATGCCCCGAGTCGAACTAGTAAAGCAATGATGATCGGTGTCAGTGCTGAGTATTGAGCGTAGCTGCCATAGCGATCTAGGGTCTGTCTTCGGATCTGGACCTCTTCCTTGGACAGGTCGATGAAGTGGTAGGGCCAACCCATAGCGGTCGATCTCTTGCGGGTCTTGCGGATGATGGGGGAGAGGAAACGGAGAAAGAAAGGATATGAATGGGCTCAATACCACATGAGAAATACGAAGGACATGAGAGGAAGAAAAAGGTTGTAATCATCCGCGAGCTCGGACCGAGCGGGTAATTACACAAGAGGACAAGATGGAGATGAAGTTGGAGTCTGCGGAGTTGGCGAACGTTACCGTCACTTGTCAGTTGTCACGTATTTAAAGACGCGCTTGGGCATCCGACTATACAGCAGAATGTGCAGGACGACACCTTACAGCTGGCATCTTCCTCCAAAATCTGACCTCGCAGTCGAGACAGTTTTAGGTTGGCTTAGGTGCGTTTTCTAGTAGGTGTGTCGACCAGCCGTAATGGATTGCTTGGTAAGCCACGTCTTGATTGGTTAAAATGAAGGAGCTAGTGAAATGACCCCTGAGCTTGCCCCCTCGCGGTTCATCAAGGAAGCGTTGGAGACATTTCAGCGAAGACCCCCAACCGGCTGTTTGTCGGTGAGCGGGAAGGACCCTGACGAAGGAACCTTGCATTCCATTGCCTCGAATGTCGTTACTTTGCCATACTTAGTTCTCTGGGAATTCGGAAATGTCAATGACCACGGCTCAGCATTGCCGCTTTTTTGCTTCTTTTCTTGCCATCGTAGGGAGTTGCTGCACCTCCACCAGACGAACGCAAGATGCTTAGCATTTGGGGCACATTGGTCAACTCCAGGTTTCCTCTTTCGATTCCACTCCGCGACGGGAAGAGCTGGTGGCTGAGCCAGGCATTTCGGTGTCAACTCACACAACCTAGGTACACCGTTATCATACGACGATGGAGTATCCTCTGGATAGGGCTCTCAGTGGAATATAGTCCAGAATACGCCCTGCTGCAGCAGCAGATCTGCCTCGCATAGCTGGTTGGTTGACCTAACGGAAGGTCTAGTCATGTAGCATGCATCAGCGCTTAGGGCGGGGTCTGCGGCTCCCGTTCACAGCCTGTTTTTGTTCGAGACAACACACGGCCGAGTCCTATAACCAAGTCATATAACAGGCCTCATACTTCGTGTTGCATTTGCTACTCTTCTTCAAAGGCAATGCAATCAATCAGCATGGATGGAGAATACTGTGAATTCTGCCCGCAACCAGAAGTTTCGTACTGGAGACAAGGTCGGGTTGAGGAGCATCCCCGCTTACCGGTGACCATACTGACGAGCGATAGGTGACGGGGAATGGAGGCTGGCTCCAAAGACCAATAGGGGGAATCCAAAACCTTCTTCGCTAGACGAGGATGATTTCGACGTTTGCATAGTGTAAGTCTGGTAGCCCTTCGGTACCCACTCGATGCTAATAAGATGCTAGCAAGGCTCATGCTAAGGATATTCGCGAATGCCTAGCGTGCCGAGAAAAATTTCGCAAGGCATTCTTGATTCCGGATCTCTGGTGGAAGCGGTATTGCAGAGATGCGAACGGCTACTTTGGTTACGAGACAAATATTGACGAGGACGGGAATTCTACAGGACTAAGTGAGTTGTCAAGATGGGCGCCAGGAGCGATGACTGAAGGGGTACAGGTACATGGGCGCGCTTCGCAGTGAAGCTCACAAACAATGAACATCCAGAATATGAATGGTCAAAGCTCAATGTTTTCACGCGTTGGGTGGCGGAGACTCGTCAAACAATCCTCATCGTCTTTGACGCCAGGCGACCAGCGGCAAGTTGCATGGAGAGGGTACCAGAGAATGAACTCGACCCCTTATATGTCGTTCCTAGTACGGACTTCTTCATCGACCCCTACTGGATATACATCAGAATCTTGGAGAAAGTCGTCACTCTGCAAGATGCCGCTGTGTGGGCTGTTCGTGACACGGTCAGGACTACGGAAAAGACGAGGGATAATACCCACGTGCCCGACGCGGCCATGCCAAAACCTACACCAGACTATCGTCATTTGCACGAAACCGCACGACATGCTATACACGTTTCTGAGACGTTGGATCTGGCTGTCAAGGCTGCGAGGAAGATTTTGCTGCAGCACGAGACATACAAGGCTGGCCCTGACGACGGGTCCAGGTCTGTTGTTGCTTGGAAAAGGGCTTGGAACCACACGCATCAGCGGCTGCAGTTCTACGAAGAAATGCTTAGCAGCCTTCAAGAGCGCTCGGCTTCCAACAAGGCTCGACATTTTAACGAGATATCGCTCGCATACAACATGGTTGCCCAATTCGACTCTGGCATTTCTGTAGACATTGGTCGCGCGACGCAGAGAGACAGTGAGGCCATGAAAACTGTGGCTTTTCTGACGCTGCTCTTCCTGCCAGCAACTTTCGTTTCGGCTGTTTTCAGCACTTCGTTTTTCGACTACGACTCGGGATCAGGCTTGTGGAGTGTGTCGGACAAGTTCTGGATATTCTGGGTTGTGGCTGTTCCAATAACTGTCACAACAGCTCTTATGTGGTACTGCCGGCACAATCTGAGCCCTTCGGGTAGTTGCAAGCTCCTTCGACAGGTGGATTCTCGAGGAGCAGTCGCATGCAAGGACATTGAGTTTGGGGACGGCAAAGCTGTTGCGAGGCTGTGGCATCAAGCACCAGCGACGTCTTGGAGATAATGGCACAGCACGCTGCGCCGCACTCGTGGTCAGGCAGGCAAACCCAATACTGGTGCCGCTGATAATAAATGTGTCAGGTAGCAATCGAAATCCGTCAGTACCTAATGCTTATCCTTTGCCGCAGTCGCTCAGCCGATTGGGCACGATCTTGCGATGCAGAGGGGACCATGTGATCGAAAAACTACTGGACGATGCAAGGGGCTGAAAATTGCGGCGCCAATTGGCCATCCGGGGCTGTGTTGACGCAGCCTGCTTGATGCCCTGGACTACTTTGGAGTGGCAGGCAAGATTCGTCCGCCTCAAGTTGCCTTTCGCATAGCCCCATCTCCTCGCCAGTTTCTACGACCCGGCTTGAACTTGACTTGCAACACCCCTCACTGATATCCTGGCCACATCTCTGTTGTCCTACAAGGTAATTAAGAGGCTATCGATTACTCGTCATTACGCGATATTCGCTCTCACGGCGGCTGAGAACAGTAGATTGGGAAAACAACATCAATCGAATGCCCCAAAACCCTGAATCCAGCCTGATCGAAATGTCCAGCAGCCACGCTCACTATCAACGAAATGGTGCCGATCCGCAATCCGTGCGATGCTATAGCTACACGCAAGAAAAGCGAGGACGAGACGTCAGCAACGAGGAAGATGAACTTGTCTACGGGCTTACAAAACGGGCAAGGACAGTAGGCCAGGTGCATCATATGGCGATCGATGCGGATCAGGCTTTGGTCAAGCTATCGCATGAGTTATACACCGTGGGCTGGGTTTGTGCTCTTCCTCTTGAGATGGCTGCAGCCCAAGCCATGCTTGACTACGTACATCAACCTCTCGACATGAACCCAAACGATAGCAATGTTTATATGTTTGGCAGCATCGGCCTGCACAACATCGTCATTGCATGCTTGCCATCGGGACAGTACGGCACAACCAGTGCGGCCGTAGTGGCAAACAATATGCGTTGGAGCTTTCCTTCTATACATATTGGTTTGATGGTTGGGATAGGCGGCGGCGTTCCCGGCAAGGTCGACATACGGCTGGGCGATGTTGTGGTCAGCAATCCGACAGCAGATTCCCCGGGGGTCGTGCAGTATGACTTTGGCAAAGCTGTGAACGATGGTCACTTCGAACGCATCGGCAATCTGAACAAACCCCCACCGTCAGTGCTTGCGGCTGTCTCAAGGTTACGAGCTGACCACGAAGCATGGCCGAGTCAAATTCCGACAATCTTGTCCCACATGGAAATGCGGAATCCTTACATGATTGGATATTCGCATCGAAATGTAGAGGAAGACCGACTCTTTGAAGCATCATACGAACATTCCGGGGAAACTTGCGACAGTTGCGACAGGTCCAAACTGGTATCACGCGATCCACGACCGACAGATACCCCCAGTATCCATTACGGGATCATTGCCTCTGGGAATCAGGTCATGAAACATGCTAAAACAAGAGATCGACTTGCAAAAGACCTCGGACTGCTATGCTTCGAGATGGAAGCCGCAGGGCTAATGGACAACTTTCCATGCCTCGTTATTCGTGGCATCTGTGACTATTCGGATTCCCACAAAGCAAAGCGATGGCAGAAATATGCCGCCGCCACCGCAGCAGCCTACGCGAAAGAGCTTCTCCTCATCACGCCGGTCCAAGGGAATTCCACTACACAAAAGCAGCCTGAAGTGTGTGACATTGGTAAGTTGCCGACGTCGTCCCTCTTGCTGACATCCGCTTACGATTTAACTACAGAAACACCACCATCAGATCGCCAGAGGCTTCTAGACTCCCTCAAGTTCAACCAAATTGACAAGCGGCACGCCAATATCAAAGCCAACCACGCCAAAACTTGCGAGTGGCTCATTGATCATCCTGACTACATCGCCTGGATAGATCGCAAGAAGTACTCTCGGCATCACGGGTTTCTCTGGATCAGGGGAAAGCCTGGAGCTGGGAAGTCAACGATAATGAAGTTCGCCTTCACACGGGCGAGAAGGAGAACTTCATCAATGGGAACTTCCATCTCTTTCTTCTTCAACGCAAGAGGCGAAGGTCTCGAGAAAACCACGTTGGGAATGTATCGATCACTCCTGCATCAGCTTTTTGAGAAAATGCCTGACCTACAGGTTTTACTCGATGCCAACGACGTTTCACCCTTGGACCAACAGGGACTTGTAGCGTGGGATCTGGAAACGACCAAGACCCTCTTTCGTAGCACCATCCGGAAACTCGGGCAGCGACAATTGACTTGTTTCATTGACGCCCTTGACGAGTGTGCCGAGGGTGAGGTCCGAGAAATGGTCGAGGTCTTTGAAGACCTGGGACAGTATGCTGTTCAGAAAGACCTCCGGTTCTATGTCTGCCTTTCCAGTCGGCACTATCCCTACATCGACATTCAATACGGCCAAAAGCTCATCCTCGAAGACCAGATTGGTCATGGGGAAGACATCGCAAATTACGCACGCAGTAGTCTCAAGGCCGGTACCGGATCTAAGAGTGACGAAGTCATAGCCGAAATTCTTCGAAAAGCCTCTGGTGTCTTTATGTGGGTCGTATTAGTCGTCGACATATTGAACAAAGAGTACAATGGGGGTCGCGTGTTCAAAATCAAGAGCCGCCTAAAGGAGATCCCGTCCAAACTCAGTGAGCTCTTCCAAAACATGCTGACGAGAGACCAAGAGAACCTTGATGATTTGCTTCTATGCATCCAGTGGGTTCTCTACGGTGCACGACCTCTGAAACGAGAGGAATACTACTTCGCCTTGGCCTCCGGCTTGGAGCCTGATACCTTGGGGGAATGGGATCCCAATGAGATCCCACATGAATTCATGGATCGTCTGATCGTCAGCTCATCCAAAGGACTTGCTGAGACAACGAGATCCGATGACAAGACGGTTCAGTTCATTCATGAATCAGTACGAGACTTTCTTCTCAAGGACAACGGGTTGCGTAATCTCTGGCCAGAATTGGGCGCCGATTTCGAAGCCCAAAGCCATAACAGATTGAGGGACTGCTGTCACGTATACTCGAGTCAAGTAAACATATCCGAACACTTGCCAGAGAACGAATTTCTATTGGACTCATCCAAGGAACAAGCCGCAGAAATCAAAGACCAAGTCGAACAAGGCTTTCCATTTCTAGAGTACGCAAACAGTCACGTACTCTACCATGCCGATGCCGCTGCCCAGACAGCTCCACAGATCGAGTTCTTCCAAACCTTTCCATTGGACCAATGGATCCAGAGAAGCAATCTTTTCGAAAAGCATAAAACTCGGAGGCACCAGCCCAGCTCCACGAGCCTGTTGTACATTGTTGCAGAGAAGGGGTTAGCGAACCTAGTCGGCACAGCGCTCCGCCAGACCTCAGATGCCGAAATACGCGGAGGCCGTTATGGCTTTCCACTCCTTGCAGCTCTGAAGGAGGGCCATGAAAAGGCAGCAAGCTTGTTGTTGCAGTGTACTGCAAGTTCCGCAACACAAGATCGATCTACTTCATATAATACCCCGGGATCCGATACCAGCACCCAAGTCCCCCCGAGCATCGACTGCATGGACAAAGAAGGGCGTACGCCCCTTTACTTTGCTGCAGAAAGAGGGCTAGTAAAAATCGCCAAAATGCTATTCGACTTAGGTGCGCAACCTGATCTTATACCAAAGAAAGTCTTCTACAGCCCCATTTTTCGTGCTGTCGAAAAGGGGCAAGAACCACTCCTGAGGCTCATCCTTCAACGGCGTTCCATGTCGCAACGTAGTGTCGGCTGTGACACAACTCCACAATCGTCACCATCAGTTGACAAACATCAAGATATTAAAAAAGCCCTCGTCAGGGCGGCTGAAATCGGGAAAATAGACATTGCACGACTTTTGATTGAGACAGGCGTCTGCGTCAACACGGGGTATGAGGACAATGTCACGCCTCTACTAGTGGCAGCCCTGAATCTTCAAAAATCCTTCATCGAGTTCCTTCTTGATAATGGAGCAGACATCAATGGAAGAGATTCCCGTGGGCGAACACCTCTTCACAAGGCTTGCACAGAAAGGGGGGGCTCAGCAGCTATAAATCTTCTGCTCGAAAAAGGCGCACACGCTCACGCACAAGACATTGATGGAAACACCCCATTATTCGTCGCCGTATTACGTGGCAATGAGTCCGCTGTCGTTACTCTACTGCGCCACAGCAGTGTCAAAGTCCAAAAAGATGATGACGGAATTACATTCTCCAATGAAGGATTGCAGCAAGCAGTCGGTAACGGACTTCTAGAGCACAGGCACTTAGTGAACAAGCAGGGACAGACCCCTCTCTTTGTGACTAAACCCGACATGTCGGACCATGTTTTGGGTGAGCTATTGGATGCAGATCTGGATCCTGCGCATCAAGATGATGCGGGTCAAAACTTCCTCCACGAGGCGTGTAAGAGGGAGCACGCAACCTCCGAATATCTTGAATGTGTCGAAAAGGCCATTCAGAAGGGTCTTGAAATTGACGGACGAGACTACAAAAGTCGAACCCCACTTATGAACGCCGCCAACAAGATGAGTCGGAGCTTTGTCGATTTTCTGCTTCAACATGGGGCCAACCCCAACGCGAGGGACGATGAAGGCCATACACCACTATCCGAGGTCGTTTCTTCTACAATGTGGATCTATTCTCCACGCGACTTACCTGTAGTTCGCAGCCTTCTCGACGCAGGTGCTGATGTCACAGAATCAGGCCCGGACGGTGAAAATTTAGTGGCAATGGCTATTCGGCTGGGGAAGAATGATGTGGCAGAATTGCTTAGAGCAAGGATAGAGAAAGTCGGTATCACTACATGAGGGCATGGCCGATTCATGTGTCCTCAAGTAGGACTTCGGGTTTCCTTCAAACTCTGGTGGGGGTGTTCTGTGTATCTTTTCAGTCGGGCACTTGGAGTAATTACCTCTGCATCATATAAGGCGTTCGGGGAGAGATCTGGTTATCTCCAAATTCTGCTAAAATCCCGTGAACTGGTCATGGTTGAGATCTCGGTGCTCACACGACGTCGCAAGACCGGCGTGTCGAAAGCCGGAGGAGGCGCCGGCTTCGGCCGGACAAATTTACCCCGCCATCCCCGTCCCGCGGCGAAGTCTTCCGCAACCCCGCCCAGGTGGACCAAGCGCTTTCCATCGGCAGCCGCAAGCTCAGGATATGCTCGAGAAAACGGCTGTGAAGTCCTCCATAGCTTCAGGGCGAAAGCCTTTGAATCAAGGGTATACTTAGAATAGGTAGTTCCACTGATATATACATTCGCACCAAAGATTTGAAATATGCAAAACAGAGGTACTCTCGAACGAATGTCGCAAGACGAAAGAGAGTTTACTTCGACCAACGCTGACACTGGGCAATTATTTGCTCCGTGCCCATACATTAACCTCGTGGCAGCTTTAGCCATCAATCCCGCTATCAACCCCCACTCAATCACCCGTCGGTGAGGGCCCACACCCATCTCCGACCCCGCGCCGGTGGAATCTCGCCGTCGATTTATCTTCCTCACAGCGTCTTCAGTCCATCTTATATCGATTAATTCAACTCATCAATATCTCATCATCATCCTCGCCTAGGAATCATTAACACCTCGAATAATCTGCTCGAATTCCCTACAACCCAACCACTCGAATCTGCCAAACACACCCAGCTTAACCACCATCACCACCACCAAAATGTCCGACACGATTGAAAAAGTCCTCACGACAGCCGCCCCGGCCCCCCTCCCCCAATTCTCCCAAGCCGTAAAATACAACGGAATGGTCTACTGCTCCGGCAACATCGGCATCCTCCCCGACAAACCAGGCATGGTCCAGGCGGAAGGCACCGTCAAAGACCGCACCCGCCAGGCCCTCAAGAATCTCTCCGCCGTTCTCGAGGCCGCAGGCAGCTCCCTCAGCAACGTCGTAAAGGTCAACATTTACATTACGACCATGGCCGACTTCGCCACCATGAACGAGGCGTACGACGAGTTCTTCACGTTTGACCCCAAGCCCGTAAGTCCGCTGTCCCATGTCCATTACGATCGCCTTGGCCCGGCCGGGTCACAATGACGAGGAAAGAAGAGAGGGCAAGCTGACACCGAGGAACCAAAAGGCCCGCACGTGCGTAGCCGTGCATCAGCTGCCGCTGGGCACCGATGTCGAGATTGAGTGCACGGCTTTCCTGAACAAGCCGGCGCAGAAGCTGTGAACGTTCCTGACTAAAATATTGCTTGAGCTCGCGAAGAGTAGTAGAAAGCTTTTTACGACTTATACATGGAATTGGCCTGGCAAAAAATGCCAGGGTATCAGTAACCCGCCCTAACTAGAGCAGGGCGCACCTGCGAACTCTATGAGTAAAGCACAATTTTCCCGCCTTCTTGGAAAGCCTCATGCAACCGCATGCCCGTGACGCCGGATAACAAATACACAAGTCCCTCCCGCATCATATCTTCATGAAGCTCCAGTGAAACGACCTCTCTTATCGCATATCTCACTGCCGATATCTAGCCAGCTGTGCCATGATGTTCTGAACTTGGACTGCCGAGTCGCCGGTGCCAGCTGTAGGAGGATGGGGGTGGCCGTTCGTGGGTGGCGCGCCATTAGGAGCAAAGGCCTGTCCGCCGTACGAGGCAGGCTGCGTCGGTGCTGCCGGCGACGCCTGCTGAAGGCCGCCCATAAGAGCTTGCAGTTGAGCGTTCGCGGCTCCAGCGGCATTGTTAACAGCTGTTGGACTACCCTGAGAGTTCATACCAGCCAACAGTCGCTGCAAGGTCGCATTATCGATACCATTCATCATGCTGGCAAGGTCGGCCGCAGTGGCAGCCGGGCCTTGGGCTTGTGCCACAGGAGGGCCACGCGGCGGTCCCTGGCCTCCGTGGTAGGCGGGTGCATGAGGAGGTACGGGCTGCCCTCCATACGGCTGCCCGTATCCTGGGTACTGAGGCTGAGGAGGCGGCGCATTCTGATAAGGTGCCGTTGGCACTGCTTGTGACCTAGCTCGGAGAACGAGCTCTGCCGCGATCGGCGGGTCGATATCCCGGTAGTCGTCATATCGGGCGCTGACGCCTCCGGAGCGGTCGAAGACCCGTAAAGGGATCTTACCCATGTTTTGTGCCTGTACGTCGAGATCCACAATGGCGTGCACGCCTTCGATAACTTGGCGTTGAACAATAGCCTCACGCGGGAAGCTTGGGTGGAGGAACATGACATCGACCTTCAGGCCCCGATCAGTGAATCCGCGTTGGACCCAAGTGATAAAGTCGCGGCTGAGATCTTGGAGGAGCAAGAACTGCACATCGGGAACCTGGTTGCCGTAGCGGCGAGGGATGTCGAGGCGGTCATCAGCCGCAGAAGGGCGACCGTAGGCCGCAGGCGGACTAGGACTGCGCCTGCGGTATCCATCGTTGTTGCGGCCGTATCCTTGCGGAGACCGTGAGCGACCGCGGGGGCGGTCGTTGGAGTCTTGCTGGTAACGATCCCGGCCGTGACTATCCTCACGGCCATGGCCGCGCCTGGGAGGGGTACTGCGTCCCGGCCTGTAATCATCGCGACTGCGACGATTGTCATGGTGCGAGTTAGCTCCGTCATGCCGATCCTGGCGTCCTGACTGTCGGCCCCCGCGACCACCACGGTCTGGCGATCGGTTTCTCTCGTTGCCATCCTTCTTCTTCTGGGCGCGTGAGATTTCAAGATCTGGTGAAAGTTAGTAGGCTCCCCCATCTCCATCTTTCCTTCCGAAGATCACTTACGAATCTTGCGGCCCTTGATCTCGCTGCCCTGCAGGTTGTCCATGGCAGCTTGGGCGTCCTCTAGGTTGTGATACTGGACGAAACCATAGGCCGACTTGAGTGAAATTTGAGCGAGACGGCCGTATCTGTGAAAGATATCAAAGACATCCCTCTTGGAAACGCGTTCGCTCGACAGGTTGCCTGAAAAGAAGTCAATGGCGCCGTCAGGTCTGCCTGATGAGAGAGAGCGCGAACCAATGAAGATGCGTGAGCCATCGGGGAATTTATCCCATTTGGCGTCAGCCATATAACGGCGCTCGTCGTTTATGAAGGTGTCCCAGAGCCTCTGCCGGTCAGTATTATCGTCCGCCTGGCCGGTAGGGTAACCGGCAGGAGTGGGGTAGGTAGGCGCGTTCATGGAAGTGATGGGGATTGCTGCGTTCAAACCGTTGGCGGGTGGAGGAGGGAGGCTGCCATAGACGTCGGGTGCGGTACCAGGGGCACCGGGAGCACCCGTAGCTACATAGGTGGAGGGTTGGCCTTGTGTGGGCGGAGCGATCATGTGTGGAGAGACATGAGGGGCTGCGTTCTGCGGAGGGAAGCCTCGATAGTCTTCAGATGGGTACGTGGGAGCCGTCTGCTGAGGCAGCGGAGGTCTGGGAGGAAGAGTGGCAGACGCGGACGAGGTCAAGTTGGACGATGGCTGGGTATCATGGTTCTGAGTAGAGCCAGTGGGGGTTTGGTTGTTGTTAGGCTCGCTCGTCTGGCCCGTCATCTCAGCAACGAGTCGAGAGATATCAACGGCGTGGTCATCCTCGGGAGCATTGTCATTGCGTCCATTGAAGGAGGCGATGTTGGCAGTCGAATAAACCGCGCTCGAATCAGCTCCTGGTTGGGCGGCAGCTGCTTGGGAAGGCGCGGATTCGGTGGTTTGGTCTGAAGCGGCAGCAGCAGGAGGAGGCTTAGCCGACGAGGTATCAGCGACAGCGACAGTTGGGTGTGCCACTTGCGAAGGGCTTGTCAAAGAATCAGGAGCGGCGGAATTGTGCATGGATTCTGGTGCCTTTGATACATCATCCTGTTCCGCGCCTTCTTGATCCGCATCCCGAGGAGGAGAGTCGAAGATCTTGAGATAATCATCCTCGCCGGCATCTGGCTCCATCTGTTGTTCCTGAACCTTGTCCGTGTGTGTCTCCTCTTCCTCTCCGTAGGCATCGTCCAGGCTGTCGACATCGTCGTCCGCGTCCGCGTTGTCTGCGGCGGCACCCGCATACGGTTCGGTCGACACTGGTGCATGTATAGGTGCGTCTAGGCCGCTCTGGGCGATTCCATTAGTTTGGGCGGACATTGCATCAAGGATATCAGCAGTATCCTGGAGAGCAGGCACAACAGCTGGGGCGGCGGAATGGAGGGGAGATGGACAGTAGGGCGAGAGGTCGGCAGCAGTAGCCTGGAACTCGGGGGTGGCCTCCGGTTCGGGCATTCAAGCTGTCGGGATGATGGCGCACTGGTTGGTGGTGGTAGTATTGGTATTGGTGTTGATGATGACCTGAAGATGCGAGAGGGCGATGCAACAACAGCTGTGGAAACTTGGTAATGTCGGAGGTGGAAAGGCTTGCGCGAAACAGGCAGAAGAAGAAGCTTGTGAGGTTGGCGGGACAAGCTTGGGGGGTGGGTAAAAGAATGGGTTTTATGTCAATTTAGAAGCGACGAACGAGGCAACCGGACGCCTGGTTTTCAGCAAATTCAGTCGAGCCGCGGCAGTGTCGTCATGTAAAGATGCGCGAGGCAAGGCAAGCACGGCTGTTTGATTGGTTTTGGGACCCAAACGTGAGAGGAAGGAACCTAGAGTGGCAGGAAGGCGGGGTGGGAAGCAGGCGCAAAAGAAAAGAGGCCGCAAGCACGGGGGAATCTCCGATAGGGGGGGGGGTGTTTGGACGATGTGAATGGTGAGTGGGTGCGGCGCGTGAGAGCTTTAGAAAGTTGCTACAACGGGTGAAAAGATCGACTCAAGTCAACAAGAATTCTCTGCGAGCTTACTTCCCCTCTGAGGTTGCGGAGGGGGTCGTCGATTCAGCAGCAGGAGAAGGGCGAGGTGAGAGAAGTTGCAGGAGAAACGTTGAACCTTGAGGCCATGGGCGCCGAGGTGTGGTTTGGTGGCTGCAGCGGCGGTGTCGCGTGAAAGTGTGTGTGCGGTGGAAGGAAAAGGTTAAAAAGCTCAGGTACGACGTGGTGGAGGCCGCGTGGGAGAAAAGTCGAAAAAATCCAAATTGCTGTGGGAAAGAAGGTGCCATCCGCCCAAAACTGTCCGCGAGGCTGGCGCTGGCCGACCACGCTGGAGGGACTGAGATCTGACCAATGTCATCGTGGGAAAAACGGTTGGAAGCCCACAGCCCGGCGCTAGCTCTATCTGGCACTTGGGTCGCGCTTTACCGAATATGGAAACCGTGCAGTCACTGAGAAAGACTCACTTCCGCACTGTACAACATCGTTCATGAAAAGCAAGGTCCACACTCTCAGTCTGTTGATCAACGGTGATGACTGCTGTCCGAAGTAGGCCGGACAGTTCTGCAAAGGATGACTGATCTACCTTTTCAAGATCCAGTCTAGTCTCTCATGTCTTCCCGAGCCAGATGGGCACTTGTCTCATTTCACTACAACCGGCTTGATACTTCCCTTCCCTAGGCAAGACCTGGCTTTATCCCACTCGCCACAATGAATCTCGCGACAAGTATGTTTCGATCTGTCCGCCCAGCCTTGAAGATTCCTTTCATCCGACCCCTGCAGCCCGTTCGCTGGGCCCGATTCCAGGCATATGAGGCAGATTTCGATCCTGAAGAATTGGAAAAGGCAAGATCATGGCACAGGTCCTTTAACGGCAGCCAACTTCCCAAGGGGCAAACAAGCTTTGCTCGCTCGAGCGGCCCTGGTGGTCAGCACGTCAATAAGTAGGCTCTCCTTTTACCTGCTGAAGATCCTGGTACTCTTCTTCTTTGCATTGCTGTTGGGCTAATTCCATGCCAGAACTGAGAGCAAAGCAGTCACAGTTTGGCCTATCAAGGACATCTTACCAGTCTTGCCCAAGCTACTGCACCAAGGCATCAGGGAATCAAAGTATTATACGGCCAGGTCGGATTCTCTGACATTCCAAGCCCAGACGCACCGCCAGAGAGAGGCCAACTCGGAGGAGAACCAGCAAAAGCTCGTTGACGAGATCAAGAGGATATACCAAGAGACAGTCCCTGGCGAAACAAGCCCCGACAAGAAAAAGAAGCATGCGGAAATGTGAGTCGTCTTTTCAGATACTGATGCACTGTAAAAGAAGCTGACAAGACGTGTAGAGCAAAGTCTTTCAACGAGGGGCGCCTGAGACAGAAGAAACAGCTGAGCTCTAAGAAGCAGAATCGACGCTCTTCTTTCGACTGAGCTGGACAGGAAACGTTCAAAAGATGATGTTGATAATTGACCATCTAGCTGGCGAGAAAGAGGGTTTCTGCTCGACTAGCGGGTGATGCTGAGTCGTGGCAGCAAGCTTGCCCAGATTCTTTTTCTGCCGGGCCAGCTAACACAGTCGACGGAACCGAGAGACATAGGTGGGGTAGGGGCTAGATCTGGCCAAGCACCAAGGTACGGCCGACTGGCAAACGAGAGGGTTCGGACCTGGACCCTGAAATGTGACTCAAAAAAACGGCATTTTCAATTCACGCGCCGAGGATTGGATTCACACCTCTGAGCTTGGCTCGGCTTTTCCCCCGGGGATCTCTGTATTGAGGATCTGTCCGGGGTTTGAAGAAGATCTTCAAGAGACTTTCTGCCTCCAGAGTAGATGGTATACAGCATTAGAATGGGAACAGACTGCTGATGTTTGTCCAGGCTTTATAGCCAATGCTTATCATTCAAGACGGCTGCGAGATCTGCACCTTCTGTGTAAGATGCTGTATATGTAGACATAGATAGATGTAAATATACGAGACTCATACCAATAGGTCGGATGCTCATGGAACAAACAATCGTCATGATCAAGAGTCCGCCAGAGAACCTCTGAGACCGTTTGCAGCCTTGGATAGATAAAGACAATCCAAAATTCCATCCATCTGCTTACCTTGTACATAGCACACAAATGGAGGCTTAATAAACCCTGTTATGTCGAGAGCAGGAGATGGGCTAAGGTAGTTGGGGGCTGCTTTGAATGAGCCCACCCATCGGGCAGCTGCCAGCTGGGGTGGGGACGCCGGCGCCCGTGGCTGGGCCCGGGCCGCCTCGTCAGGCCGTTAGCATCCATCCATAATCCAGCACCCCATCATGGATGGGTCGCTTCATAACGATAAATTGTCGTGGAAAGAAACGCATGTAATAACGGGGGGCTTAAGGGGGAGATACGTCGACGAAGCGGGGCGCAATCCTCAAACCATCAGTGGTCAAAAGAGGAATCGAAGCTATTTCGCTGGGTATCTTGCCAGGGACTTGTCTCCGAGTTGCGGGACTTCGACACGTTCGAGTGCCTGATGTCTCGAGCTGAAAGACCCGTAGCATGTGGTGCTAAGATGCATAGGTGCCCCTAGTGTCTGTATCTTGGGTGTAGCGGCGTGTGGTCCACTTGTTCGTCTCTTTCCCATCCAGTCTTACTCCAAAGCTTCAAATCCTTCTTTTTCTCCCTCCTCCTCGCTCCTACTTCCTTCCATCGTCGTCTCTGGTTTCCGATTTCCTCAGCACCGTCTCTTCTTTCGACTGAGCATCGCGTGCTCGGCGTCCATCAATTTGATCTGCGGCATAGCGTCATAGTGACAGCACATCACCCCTTCATCTATCTGCTGTGTGCCGATTTGATCCTTGCGCCTAATTCACAGTGGCCCTGCGAGACCCTCCCAAGGGCCCGTCAACACGACCGGGGACCGTCGATCATCAAATCAGCCCAACTATCCAGCCAAATACCCGTCGTGCCCACTTGGTCAGCTGCTCGCTCCTTCGAGCAATCCTCGCCAGAATATCCAAGCTTCCACCTCGAGCCTCTCCCTTGTTCTTCTACGGTAAATATTGCTGCCCAGACAAAAGTTTTCCGAGACAATCGCGCAGCTCATCTTGTCTGCCCTACCGTCGAACCAACCCGTAACCTCGGCCTTAGCTACGTCGATTGAGGCTAACCAACCCCAAAAAGCCGCCGAACGATCTTCGCCAGCTATTTACCCCGCCAACCCTTTGATCTCCCGACCGCAACACCGACCGACCGTTATCTCCCGAGCAATCGCCTGACCCTCCTCGACCGTTGGGCGACGCTCGCGGCCTCAGTTATTCCGCTCTTCCAACAGCATCATCACATCGTCTGTTGGCCGCAGCAATGGCTTCCAACGGCGCCAACGGCGGATCTCCGTCACCCAAAGTCCAGCCCTGCAGGTACAAAGTCGGCAAGACGCTCGGCGCCGGTTCCTACTCCGTTGTCAAGGAATGTGTCCACATTGACACCGGTCGCTATTATGCCGCAAAAGTCATTAACAAGCGATTGATGGCCGGTCGAGAGCACATGGTGCGCCTCAAACCCGCCGTCTTCTGCATGATTGACCGACGAAGCTGACATACAAACCCTCTCAGGTCCGCAATGAAATCGCAGTCCTGAAAAAGGTCTCCATGGGCCACCAGAATATCCTGACACTCGTCGACTACTTCGAGACGATGAACAACCTCTACCTCGTGACCGATCTAGCTCTCGGCGGCGAGCTCTTTGACCGCATCTGCCGCAAAGGTTCATACTACGAATCCGACGCCGCAGACCTTATCCGGGCGACGCTTTCCGCCGTTGCTTATCTGCACGACCACGGCATCGTCCACCGCGATCTGAAGCCCGAGAACCTCCTTTTCCGTACACCAGAAGACAACGCAGACCTCCTCATCGCCGATTTCGGACTGAGCCGCATCATGGACGAGGAGCAGTTCCACGTCCTGACCACGACATGCGGCACACCTGGCTACATGGCCCCCGAGATCTTCAAGAAGATTGGTCACGGCAAGCCCGTTGACGTATGGGCGCTCGGCGTTATCACCTACTTCCTTCTGTGTGGCTACACGCCCTTCGACCGCGATAGCGATTTCGAGGAGATGCAAGCCATCCTGAACGCCGACTACAGCTTCACCCCCTTTGACTACTGGCGCGGTGTTTCCGACCACGCCAAGGACTTCATCCGTCGCTGCCTCACCATCGACCCGAACAAGCGCATGACGGCGCATGAAGCCCTACAACACCCCTTCGTTGCTGGCTATCTCAACAACGGCGAGGGCGAAGGCCAGAACCTGCTACCCACTGTCAAGAAGAACTTCAATGCTCGTAGGACGCTGCATGCTGCAATTGACACGGTTCGGGCCATCAATAAGCTCCGCGAGGGTCAGAGCAACTTGATGGACGGTGCCAAGTCGAGAGAGCCTGGACGTGGCGCTGCAGCTCTCAAGGCCCAGCAAAATGCAAGGAAGGACGATAGCGCCATCAGCCTAGGCAGCCAGGGCCATAAGGATTCAGGCTATGGAACACAACCCGAAGTCGACAGCCAAAATGATGTGGTCATGACCGATGTGGGTCCGATACCCAGCAGTGTCCCAGCAAGTCTGCGGCCTGGCAGTGACCAGAACAAGTTCGTGGAGACGAGCAAGGGATTATGGAGTGGTCCAGCATTGCGGCGATAGCCTCGTTGTAATGCGGTACCATGTGTGAAGATTACGGCCGCCCATGAGGATATGCATGATGTAGACAAGGGTCTCTTTGCAGCAGCAGCGGATTCTCTTGGTGATTTCCATGCTTCTTCTGGGCTCAACTGTCTGCGCAAAGAAACTCTAAGGGGTCTCTTCACAAATATGAGAGGCGGTCGTGCAGCCAAGCGGTCTGATCCTCTGTCGGATAGCATCATCGTGTCTGGCAGCAAATGGCTCTACGATGAGAGCGTGAGCTTGGGAACGAAGAATTGGATGATGGGAGAAATGGCAGGAAAACAAGATACCTCGGGTTGATGTCCGCGGGCTGGCTCCGTCATTGGACGATACATACACAACGGATGGGTGGCTGATTCGCGGAACCACCCCTTTACTTTTCTTTACCTTTTGATGTGCAGGCGACTTCCTACAGGCATTTATCGAGAACAGAACGCTGGACACACAGCCTATTTCAATGAGAACGATATGAAGGGAAGCAGAACCTCGCAAGAAGTGATTTCTCAGAGAGCTTAGTGTGACATCTACTAACTGAAGGTGGCAAGCTGTAGGCTGAATCCTTCGCTAGGTGCATCAGATGATGTCTCAGTCATCTTGTGCTCGAAAATGAGATACGACCAACTCTCAAGAGAACATGAGAAACACAAAACACTATGAGGGAGGAGTCCCGAAACAATAGCAGGACGAGCCTGGCTTACTCATGATCACCGAACCCCTTCAAAGCCTTGAGGAAACCTGGAGATCATCAGGATATGAGTAAGGTAAGTGCACATCAGCGGTAGGGGATAGAGTTTGACTGAGATGCGCGCTACTATGCGTAGGCATCTATTCAGACCATATTTTAGAGACTCTAATTGGACGAGACCCGGTCCAAGCAACGACTCTACGTTCCGTAAGGCAGCATCAGAGCGACGACCCTTTTCTGTATTCCTCTCTCCCACATACTCACTCACCCACTCCCTGCACATCTCAGTGGCCGCTTCTGTTTTCCCCAGGGAAGGATTCTTGACCTACCAATGCAAAGAGCCGAAGTTAGATCCACATCTAGCGGCGTAATGACGGGGAGAATCAGACGAGCCCATCACAAGTCGAGACTCGGCTGCAGGCGCTGATACGGCGAATCAAGATGAGCTCTGAACGACGACTGACCGGCCACGTCCCATCCCGGTGCGGGACGTCTACGGGTTGTCTACGGGACGTGGTGCCCTAGGGATCGATGCTGACTTCCCAGCAACAAGTCCGATGAGGCTCGGCCCGCCTGTGGAGGGTTGCACAAAGGCAATCCTACGGTGTGGTTTCATCGACTTGCCATCCCGCTTCGGTCTGATATAAGCGTGCCCGTCGGGGCCACCACTCTTACCATCATCATCGTCGCCGTCATCGTTGTCGTTGTCATCCCTGAAGCTCATACGGCTGAGCAGCCCCCGCGTCCTAGTGGACACGACGAGCGACAGCCTCAAGGCGCGCTTCTTCCGTTACTACCTGGAACTGATGGCCGCTCACGCCTCCACGGATCAGCAGAGCTGTTCCAGCTGGATAACGGACTTCGCCTTGACGAACCACACCCTCATGGACGCCATTCTCGGCTTCTTGGCGTTCCACGTCCGCCGCTCGGCGCCGGACGACAGCAGTAATACCCTTGCAGCCATTTCCGAGGCCTCGGACGCGTGTATGGTGAGGGCCATCCAAGCGCACTCGCGGCAGATTGTGCGCCGGTGAATCAACGCCGAGAACGCGTCCGTCGTGATGGTGACATGTGCCATAATCATGTTCTACACCAGAGCGAACCAGTCATTCATGGACGGTCCGGGGTCGGGGTACTGGAGTCTCGCATTACTGGTTGACTCCCGTCCGGAACGTTAACGCCGTCTTGATATCCGCTTCACCCATGGTACGTAACAGTAGGATTGGGTACCTGTAAAGACCGGAATGGCAGGAAGCCTCGCAGTAAAAGGAGAAACCAGTGCCGGGGCCGGGGTCGGGAACATTCGGTTTCTTGCTGGATTTTCTCGACGAGGCCGAGACGAGCCTGGAGATGTTGGAGGCGTACCGCATCGCCGTCAGCAGCCTCGGAAAGATTTACGCGGCGCCTTTACTCCGTGATTTACTGCGGTCTCCCGTGCGCGTTTCCCCGCGACTCGTCGAGCCGGTAGAAGCCCAGGACCCGAGGACGCTGGCCATCGTAGGGCGTTTTTTTATGCCCTTGAAGAGGAGGGCCACATACCTCTGGTGGGCGCAGGGGGCGGCCGAGAAGGAGTTTACCGGCGTGATAAGTATCCTGCCGAGGGATTGATGGCCCATGATGGGTGGTGCTATTAAAGAGTTTCATTGGGCTGAGACTTGAAGAGTGGATTCATGATCCTGTTCGTTCTGACAGTTGTACTATATTGAGGTTGGTAGCGGAGCCGGTGTTTCGATGTCATCTTCCGCAAGCGCTAGGAGGATATCCTTTCCGACTCAGCCCTATCCTCTGGCTGGCCAAAATGTTGTTACCAATCTTGGCAGAGTCATGTAAGTATAATCTCATTACATCCCTCAAGAGATCATCCTGATTGTCAAGAAGTAACAGTAGTGGTGAAGACAATCCCAATTGATAGGACGGTGAAGATCCAGCTTTCATATGCGTGGAGTCCAGCATCTTGTTTTCCACAACCTGGCTATACCCCTGATGAGGAGCTTACAGCCCTACAGCTGCTGACTGCGTCAAGTTGAATCTCTCACCAGAAACACCGGCATTAAAGAGCATCTGAGATGCTGAGATAAAGATCGAAAATGAAACATCTTCAACCCTCGTCACATCACCAACTACACCCTTGTAGACCCGCCCGTTGGCGCCAAGCTGGATGTGCGACGGCCCGGAGTTGGACACGCCGCCCGCACCGACACGCTTGCGCCGAAGCTCCTGTCCCAAGGCATAGTCAAATGCCGCAATGTACCAGACATACTACCCGCCAACAGCGAGCTCGCTGTCCAGCGTGTGAACGCAGAGGATGCCGTTGACGTCGGGGTCGCTGACGTCGAGGAAGGAGGGGGGTTGTAGGAGTTGGGGATCATGCCCAATTCAGGTTTACGCCGTTCACTCAACTGGATCATAAACGCGGGTCTGTCTTCATCTCTTTCTCTACTGGTCTGAATCGCATGCGATACTCTTTGGATTATCACGGCAGTCTCCGTCATTGTGTAGAGAAGCTGGAGGTCATGTTCATTACCGATTTTTCAGCGCATCACCTACCTGGTTCTCTCTTGCGAAACCAAGATTTTTGATCAACCGCCTTTTTCTATCGACATAGCCTCATGCATTGTTAATTACTGCATATTCTTGAAACAAATATAACGACCCAAACTTGGCACGGCAGAGGGATTTTGAAACATTCGATGTCTCTGTGACTTCATCCTAGTATCATGGCTCTCGTGCGGTGGGTGTAGGTCACTCTAATCTCAAAGCACCCCTGACCTGCAATGATGAATTGCAAGCATGATATTCCTGTTCTGGTGATGACTCTGCAGTCGGATGCTCCGGGGTGTGTTGTTGTAGTCCACAGCCATCTCGCAGCTTGTCTAGATGAATTCAATCACAGAGATGCGACCTTGTCGAGCAGTGCAGATGGCCCAAATTGCTGAGGCCTGACAATTCAGGCTGTCTAGTATTCTCTGGCACTCACCTTAAATACGATGTAATTTGCTTCAATCCAAGGTAGAGCACTCCACATGATGCGCCATCCCTTGTGTTCGAGCAGATTGAGGCCGGTCGCGGCTGGATCGGCAGGAAGTTCAAGGGATTATGAATCAAACGAATCACACCTTATACAGACTTGAACTTGCGATTCAATTTTGTTCCAATTCGGGACCGACTCTACATTTTCTGTTGTGGTAAAAGATCAAGAAGCAAGAGAAGGATTGGAATGAACCGCCACGCTGTCTGTAGACACTGGATTCACCTCCGGAGCCATTTCGAACGAAGTGTTCGACGATGATTTTATTTAGAGGTTAGGTCAACCGCGAAAAATGGTTCTATCAATCGCGAGCAGAACGACTGGTCTTGAGAAAGGGGTATAGCCCAGCCATCAATAAGTTGGCAACCCATCACGAGTCTTACACTACATACCTCAAACCGCCATTGGCCCCTTTCCATCCCCGAAAAGCACATCATACCACTTTTCATCTCCCTTCTGACATAACCCATTCCATCCAATAGATGAAAAGCTCCCAGGATTCTTCGAACCATCAAACACCCGAACGTTCTTCTTCCCATTGACCACCTCCTCTGACGCCCAGTACACCATCTCATTCCCGCTGTCGCCATGTATGAGAAGTCTCGCCAAGGGTGTCAGCTTTCGGTTCGCATCGAGAGCCTCCATCACGAGGTCGCGCAAGTGAGGGTAGAACCACGTCAGGCTCCACCAATTCTCTAGCCGCCACTTCTTCAGGCCAAAGATGTAAGCGTTGTGGTGTATGCCCACCGGCGCGGTTCCGAAGAAGAAGTCGGTGTAGAGCGAGATGTTGCCCCAGCTGTACCCCGGCAGAAACCGAGGAACATCTTTCAGCTCCTGCGGCGTTCCCTTTATCCTCACGTTGCCCGGGACTCCTGCCTTTTCGGACTCTTTCCTGATCGCCTCGACATCATCAAGTTCAACAAAGTATCCGTCATCTTCGGCGGAGCAGGTAGGCGGAATCGTGGCAAACTCATAATCCAGCCCGATCCCGAACTCGAACATCTCGCCAGCCAGCGCCGCGTCGGCAATCTGCCGCACCTCCTTGGGCAGGCTCCCGAGATTCTCATGGGAAACGAAACCGTTCCACGTGGAAGAGAGTCCCCGGACCCAGTGGCGCCACACCTCCTGGTCCCCAATGACCTCTGCAAAGAGCGCTTGGTCGCTCCAGAGCTGCCGCCCGCTCGCGGCCGCCTTGTCAATCTTCTCCTTGCTCTTCCGCAGCGCGCCCCGCAGAGACCCGATAGTGCCCATGATCATCCCGCTGTTGACGCATCGGGGTCGGATCTTCTTGTACTTCCTCGCCGAATCAAAGACGTACGGCAGCACCTGGTCGGTCTGCTCGCCGTAAAAGTCTTGCGGTAGGGGCGAGTCTGGCCAGTAGTCGTACCGCGGGTCGGATCCTGACTCCCGGTCCGGCTGACAATCCTTGGCGGTGGTGACGACGATGCTCTGCGTCGGGGGGCTGATGGGAAAACCGGGCTTCAGGCCGCTTTCTTCCCATTGTTTCTGCACCCGGCCATTGGCTTTCAGGTTGAGCTGGTGAAAGCGCTCGATCAGGACGGATGGGGGAAGCTGGAACCAGATGTCGTAGGCGTCCACGAGGAGGACGAGATCATTCTCATTGACGTCGTCGCCGTCATCCTTTTCGTAAAGAGCACCAATGACTGTCAACAGCGACTCGAGCTTCGCAATATGGGAACCAGAAAAGTGCCAGTCGGGCCTGTTGAACTCCCCGTTCCAGTTCAGAAGCGTGGGCATGGGATAGCCCAGCGCGACGGCCGACATGATGGTTTTGCAGAGGTTGATGTTCGGTCCGTCGGCGGGCATGAAGAGTCTCAGTCGGCGTGAGCCCCCTGTATCAACGTGAGTTGGGCCCTTGAGGCTTTCTAAATCCGACCCTGCGATTCTTCTTTCTGTGCTGCCGCCTTGGATAAAGTTCCTGAACTCTGCAGGAAACTGGCCAAGTAACATTAGGAATGAATATCAGTAGAGATTGCTAGACTTACAAAGTTCGTCACGGCGAAGCCACAGATGCCCATGAAGACAAGCACAGGTAGACTGAATTTCACAACAGCGATGCATAATTGACCAGACCGTGCCGCCGCGCCTTGGCGATGATGCTGCGCCTCCCCATCTCGAACGCTGCCATGAGTCTCAACTTTTGAATTAAGCCCCCAACGCCATGGAAACAGACTCGACGCCTTTCCAGAAATTATCATGTTCGCAGAGATGGACAGTGGTGGACGGGAGAGTTGCCTCGCCGCGTGCTGCGCATAATGCTTTTCAAGCAACACCCCCCCCCCCCAAATCCATCATGTCTACAATATATCACATTGAGGAATCTGAGCTGACGACGCTGATAAGATGCAATCAGCCCGGAAGGCTGCGTATTGCCGTAGCGGTCATATTATACGGCGGGTCCGACGCGACGCCTTGGTTCCCTATCAACTGCCGGATCCATCCCACGTGGTGGATTCGATTCGTCCGGACCAGGTCCCGGTCAACGGCCCATCCATTCTTGGCCTTGCTCGGGGAATAGCACGTGGATGCCGAGCAGCTATGCAATTGATCCCGTCACGCACAGAGTCACGAGTGTAGTCGCTGTCGAACAAGGCAGCGGTAAACCTGCTTCTGATATTTCATTAGAGGGAACCCCCATGTCTCGGGTGTAGTGGCAGGATGCCATGACCTTTAGAGCAGCCCCGAGACCTCGCTTTCGCGATGGCGTCGAGAAGTAAGACGACGGCCCGGACCGCGGGAACGTCCTGGTCTTTTCAGGAATTTCGGACATTTTTGGCACTTGCCCTGATAGGTAGGTTTGCGGCTTGATGAATGACGGGCAGCGAACACTTTATCTGAGCCGTAATCGAGCCTGATCTCACACGACTGCAGGTTTCGCGAACACGATCCTACCATCCATTATTCACGCCGCCAACTACCTCATCATCCCTTTCCCTCGCCACATCGTCATCCTCATCGAGGTCGCACCGGTGCTCCTAACCAAGCTGGCGCTGCCTTTTGTGATCCATCGCATCCCATGCCGAATCCGACCACTCCTCGTCGCGGTGGTTTGGATCATCATCAAAAGAATCGCAGATGACACGCCACCAAACGTGCCTCCACCATTGCGCATCGCCACAACCATTATCGCATCTACTGCATCAGCGGCGATGGAAATCTCCTGCCTGGAAATGATTGGGCACGCCGGTCTTCCGGGGCTGACTGGGTGGGGCTTCGGCACCGGCGCGGGGCTGCTCGAGAACGCCGTGTGGCCGTTCCTTCTGACTTACAATGCCGGGAAACTTCTTCGAAGCGCTACGACGTACGTCTACTACTTTGTGGCTCTGCTTTTAGTGGCCCATTTTGCCATATTACCTCAAAGACTGTCTAAGAGGAGCATGAAGAAGGACGGGCGAGGGAAGCAACGCGAGGACGCCAGTACCGAGGAAGGACAATCCTTTTTGTGGCAAGATGGGAGCAGATCGAGATCTGCTAGCCCGTATGAAGAGGGTAGGGTGTTCGAGACGCTCTGCTACATGGTTCGCTCAGAGATGCCACCCCTTTTCTTAGCATCCGCAGCGATGTCTCTGACACAATATGGCCTTGCCAGGCTGCTCGACGGATCGGCGTTTGAGACATTCGCCCACTTCTATACCACGTATAGCACGGCTCTTCACTTGGGAATTTGGATCGGTCGGTGTTCGTTCAAGGTTCTTCCGTCGCGACATCTCAGACTTCACCTGATTGCTCTGAGCGTGTGGACGGCGCTTGCATTCGTCAACGCCGTGTTCCTCATCTCGACTTACCTGGCCTTTTTCCTGGTATTCCTGATCGGTACCGCGGCGGGATCAGTTTACATGAACGTCCTAGCAAGGCTAATGGGAGAGGGAAGGGACACGGCTGGCCGGGTGGTCAGTCTTGGTTTTGTCACCGCGGGTGATGCGGGAGGTATCATTGTTGGCGGTGTGATGGGTACTGTTCTCGAGATGGTAATGTGCCGCTCGCTCACCAGTAGCAGACGTTGGTGTCATAAATACCGTTAGACAGTTTCTATCAACAGCATACCTTTCTGTGGTACGTACAAGGGCTGACGCAGATCAAGCAAGATCAAAGTCTCCGGAAAGTCAATAGCGTCAGTCACCAATGGCGAACTATCCTACTAACCCCACACTGCCAAAAGAGGCAATATCAACAATGTGAGTTCAGGGCAGATCTGTTCCCCAGGTGCGATTGGGATGACAAGTGAGATAAGGTGTCTCTAGTCAACTATGTCTATCTGAAGGCAAAGAATATAACCAGCAGAAGTTATGTGGTGTTGATTGGCTTGAGATCTATTTTGAACTTCTAATGGACTCCTGATCCCCTGCCTCAACCTGAAGTAGGAGATCTCTTCAAGGCTTTGCGAAAGGTTCCAGCAACCTTGAATTCTGCGGCAGATATACTTAATCCCGACGATTTTCCTTTTACAGAGCCCACCCTTAGAGCTGGTCCAAGATCTTCTCTGCAGCGTAATCGACATTTGTTCCAAAGTTATGCGCTTGGGTCTGGTGGCCAGTTAGCAAAGAAGGTCTCACCGCCACACATGATGGTCAAGATGGACATACCTGAACATAGATGGCCCCGTCCTCCAGGACAACCTCTCCATACGTCGCATATGCCATTTTATCCACGATCCGGAAGTGAATCTCCCCCTTTTCCACAGCCTCGTTGAACCCCTCTCTCAACATGTCATCGTCTCCAAACTTCTGATACCTCATCTGGTACACCAAGCCCTCAAAGTACATCCACGTAAACGCACCAAGGTTCCCTTCCCAATCACTCCTCACCTCGCTGCCCTTCTTCTTCCCCGCCTCCCGAATCTTGTCGAAATTTGCCTCAAAGTTGGGCACCAGCACAACGTCGGGCCTCTCCAGCATGTCCGCCAGCGTCTTCCTCGTCTCCTCAATCTTGTCATCGTAATCCTGCCTCACTGACGTGCGCGCGGCGAAGCTCATCGCCGCATCGGATCCGGGCGCCGGGGGCGCGGTGTTCAGGGCGTTGAGGAGGCCCTGCGTGTCGATGGCGTAGTCGACGTTGGTGCCCAGGTTTCCCTCGGAGAAGACGAGCGCGAGCTTGCCGTCCTTGACGACCACGCCGCTGTATGACACCCGCGCGTCTTTGCTGCGGTCATCGAGGTCGATGATTAGGGAGCGGGCGTGGCAGATGGAGTTGAGCTCGGATTTGCCGTCTTCGCCGTAGGTTGAGGTGAAGGATTTGAGGTTGGAGATTGCGGAAGAGACGTATCTGTTGCTATGTCAGAAACCACGATAGTTCCTGTCTTTTGAATGTCTAAGACGTGGATCATTATCTTACTGAGCGATGCAGCTTCCGAGGGACGCTTTAGCGTAGCCGTCTCCTGCGTAAGGGTAGAGCTCATTGGGGTTGATGTCTTTGAGTGTCCACTGGGCGCCTAAAGCACCAGAGAGTTCCTTTTGAAAATCTTCTTTCTGGCTTTCCCACTCATCACGGACTTGGCTTTGGTCAGTAAAGACAGGTATCAATTTAGTGCGTCAACACATACTGTTCTTCCGGAGTGCGAGGGGAAGCTTTTCGGCTGGCGGCAAGCGAGACATGGTATTTGGTCAGATGAGTGCAGTATGAAGTAAAGAAACCAAAGCCAACTCGAGATGGTGATGGCATCGTATCATCTAATGTGGGCCGTGGAATGGCAGCCTTTTTTTTTTTTCTTCTCATTCATGATGGGCAATTTCTAAAGCCTAGCTTCAGTCCTTCATCCCCCCTCTTCGAACCTCCTCTCAGCTCTTTCTCCTGAGGATGAAAACAACCTCCCTATTGAATCTTGGCCCGCCGACGGTCACTAGCAACTTCAATCACGGGGGTTCGGTAGAGACTAAGGGTTCAGCGTGGCGAGGCTAAACCGAAACAGCGGCGGGTGTGGAGGTTGTTCTTTGACGTCTGCCTAGCCTCATCGCTTCTTTTCTCCTCATGTTTGCGATGTGGACATGAGGTTGCCGACCTTGGTGGTGGCGCATCGCGCAAAGCTCAGGCAGCCAGCCGCCCTTCAGGGGTTCAGGGCTTTTCATTCGGGGAATAGCGGGGTGGCCACCTTCTGCCTCCTCCAGGAAACGAGTTTTGGTGGCTGGTAGGCAAACATGGACAATCGATCGTTGCAATGTTCTTGGCACTGCAGCTTCACATCACTGCGGAGTTTGTAAGTGTGGAGATTCGAGTAGGTATTCCGCCGGTCCTACGATGGATTACAAACGGCGCCCGTCTCTTAATTAAAGGTGAACTATATATCCGTATGCGGACCGGGAGTCGCGGGGAAGGGAGGCCGCCAAGGTTCGTAAGTGCAGGTTGGTCGACAGCGTAACGCCAGCACCTCGTCCGTCCGTCCCTCTCCGAAATTTTCTCGGTCCGGACCTTTTGCCGTGTGCTATTCTCTGCCCCTTCCCTATTCTTTCTCTCACCGTCTGCACGAGCTTTGTCATTGTTGAGTTGTCGAGACTCTTCCAGGGATGTCGTGTCGAAGCGGATACAACCCGGCACGTGCCCTGCTATTGGCACCTAACCTAACCCTCCTAAACTCTCTTTTTTTTTGGCAGTTGTGGCGTGCCGGCCACCGATGGAACCGCTGGGCTGTGGCATGTTCACGCGGGTTGCCGCTTACGGGGCCGCACTGGACCGTCAGTTCATCATCTGACCTGATGTCCCACACATTGCAGATCGTCTACTGTGCCCTGGGCAGTACTACTCTGTGTGTGTGTGGGAAATCAAGGTTGTTCTTTTCGGGCAACGCACTTCACCTTCCCATGGTTTCCGCAACGTCGTATTCTCTCAAACCCAGATCAACAAACGGACTACTCCCATCTGCGACGGACTATTGTGTCCTTTCTTTTTTCTTACCGGGGGTCATGGCTCATAATCCGTAGCGACACCATACCCATAGTCGCATATGGTATGATTGACGTGTAAGAGGTCCTGCGTCCCCCGTTGCCTGGGATGAGTGGAGTGTGGTGATGCCACATGCTCGGCTGCATGCCACCGCGCTGCCGGGCACCTCTTGGCGCCCGATCTTTGTGGCCGGGGTGGATTATCGACTGATAAGTCTAGCTACATCGCGGCTCCACACACGCTGGTTAAGAAGTGAATATCTACCATCGATGACTCCCATAACGACAAAGGGAAAAAAGAGACTCGTTCTAATCATCATCTCATTCATCTGACATTCAGAATTACACACAAACTCAATACCCAAACATTTTACGCCTGGCATGACAACTCTGTGAGTCCCCCCCTTCACAGCCATAACACAATGACTTGTGTGAACAAACCCCAGACCACTAACACACACATCCAGACCCCTCAAAGTAAAGGTTGCAATCCGTGACCACTGGACCAAGGAAGACAGCTACCTCCAGCAATCTCTCAAGAGCCTCCGAGACGTCCTCGGCCTCGACGTCGACGTCACCCCGGACTGGCAGATCCTCCTCACCCAGCTTGACGCAGAGTACGCAGACAAGGGCGACTTCGCGGCCGCCGTGGCCGGCACCGTCGAAGCATGGTGCCGCGCCGCGACGGAGCTTCTCGAGGATGAGAAGAATGAGGAGTGGACCGACACCTTGCTGGACAAGCTGAAACTGACTTGGTCGAGATTGCGGCTCTTTGTCGAAGTGAGTTTCCTGCTTTTGGGACATATTCTGTCCTCAAAAAAAACAAACAACCTAACCAGAACAACAGGTCGCCAGCGATGAACAGGCCTCGACAGCATGGTCCGACGACCGCGGCGGCTTCCTCGTCACCCTGCCCAAATGCCAGCTCATCACCCCCATGGACCTTCACCCGCTCTTCAAGTCCGAGATCAAGACCTGCTTCGCCGACCACCACAAGCAGCTCCCGCCCTACTCGGCCTCCCCGACGCAAGACTGGGCCGACCTGGAAGTGGACGCCCGCCTGAACCGCTTATCCATCGGCGGCCCAGTGGGCGGCGGCGGAACGGGCCACCTCCGCCAGCGCGCGTCCGTCAGCTCGACCGCCTCGCGACAGCCGCCATACGCAGACTTCATGCCCAAGGCCGACGCCCTGCCCCGCCCGGACGAGCTGCTCCAGAAGGCGCCGTACCATCTCATCGTGTACAGCCGCGGCGCGCACGAGATTGAGATCCAGGCAAGCCACAGCGCGACGCTCAAGTTTCTGGCGGATTACTTTAAAAAGTGGAGGAGGACGAATCATCAGATTAGCAGCAAGGTGAGGCTTCCCTTCCCCCACCCCACCCCACCCCCTTGTCTAAATGTACATAATAAACGCGCAGTTTGCTAACAATGGAGAAAAAGCCCCCGGCCGTCGAGGTGAAGCTGCACCAGTGCGCCTTTGGCATGGGCGCCAGCATCGACCGCCTGGTGCTGGTCTCGGAGCACAAGTACGGTGGCGCCTTCATCCTCACGCCAACCATCATCCTCTCGCTCGTCGAGGGCGTGCTGGGTTACAAGCCAGTCTACTCTGACGCCCACTCGTGGACGTATCGGCGGGATACCGAGTTGAGGGCTTAGAGAGAGAGAGAGAGATCTGCCGCGGCTGGACTATGGCGATCGACATGGGATTTGGGGACAGGGGCAGGGGTTACTGTAAGGCATCGGTCGGAATGGATGGAAACGGGAAGGATGATTTTCACGATGCCCATGACCTCATAATGTTAAGACTAAATAATACGAGAACCTCATTATTCATTAATCATGGCTGTCTATGCACGGGGTATGGTGATGTGAGCTCGCTCGCTCAAAGTAAATGTCAGAAATCCATCGCTTATTCGCGACTCCAGATGACAGGTTTGTTGAGCCCAGGAGAATGTTGAGACCAGATCTTCGGAGACCAGATCTTCGGGTTGGTCCTTGGGCTACTTCAGTAGCAGCGGACTCCGAAACTCCGCTCACTAATAAGGCCCCGGCCGCCCCGGTCCTGGTCCGTTCAATATCGACGAGCACGTTTGCGCCACCCGAAGCGTCTGACGCACTGATCCCCTTCCCGGGCCCCGAAAAGAACCCGCCCTGTTCCCCAACGTCTTCGGAGTCGGGCTGCTGGACATTGAATTATTGACGGGCCCGGACTCATCTACCCGACGAGACGAACGCAAAGCGCGTGTTCCGATAAGCTCAAAGTTCTTCAGCCTCGTCAGTGTGAGCTGCTGCGGCTGCTTCTAAATTTTGTATGCAAACTATGCGCTCTGCTTTTCTCCATTCGTCTCCACCATAGTCATCTGAATGCAACTGGCTGTGTGTGTGTGTGTGTATATGTCGATGACAGTCGTCATGGCTGAAGCCTTTGGTATAACTGCCTCCAACGAGACCACATCCTCAATTTCGGTCTGCAGTAGAAGGAGCAAGTCCAACTAAGCCTTAAAATCGATTTATGCCCCGTCCCTGGTCAATCTCTTTCTCATAACCTTGCACAAATTGTGTCGAATAGGTTCCATAGACTTAAAAGAAAACATGCCCTTTGACGCCGATGCATACGACCTCAAATGCCGCCAAATGTCCGACGAGATCATCATAGCCCGGCGATCCCACTATGTCCGCCAGCTCGCAAGTAGCTCGACCGGCGCAGCGCTCCACACGGCGGCGGGCGCGGTGACAGCGGGCCTCAGCTGGCTCATGGTCCCCTACGACGCGGCGCGCATCCGCAACGCCCGGCGGAAACGACGCATTCTCGAACGGCACGCCGTCGAGAGAGGCCTGGCGGTCGAGACGAGACGCGGCGATGTGCTGGTCCCTGTGGCGATGGGGTTGACGTTTGGCGCGGTCGCCATCGAGGGTGCCGAGATGTGCGCGGACGTGCTGGTAGGAACCGGCGGCGACGGGTCGTCCGGCGCGGCGGCAACGCATGGTGTTGTTAAGGGGGTGGCTCATGTCGGGCTGGATGCTGGCATCGCTGCGGCCGAGCATGCGCACGCCAAGAGAGAAAAGATGAAAGTTGAAAAAATGTTGGCGTGGGGAGGTGAGCGAGGTGGTTCGACAAGTGAAGAACCGGAAAAGAAATAAGAGCTCGGCGTGGCTACCAACGCTTGGCGGTGTTGGTCTTCGGGTATGAGGATGTCGCTCATATCGCCTCAGTCGGTACAAAATAGACCTTTACTGAGGGCGTGACTTGCCCCAAGGACAGTCATAATGTGATTGAAGCTTCAATCAAAAATTTGAGTAGAATTTTGAAACCCCGCGACACTTTTAGAGGCGTCTTCTGAATCTGGGCCAAGTGTCAGTGAGCGATCCGAAAGCAAACGGAGTGATGAGAGCTCGTTTTCTTACCGGCAGCACCAGAGTAGACCGCACATAGCGGGCACCAGGACAACCAAGAGACCAGCGCTCCAGTATCGCGTGCTCAGCCGATGCATCTCCTTCAGCCGGCGCTCGTTCTCCTCCTCCTCTTCGTCGATGATGGCCCACTCATTGTCCTTGCTCCAGTAGATGTCGAACTTGCCCTGTCGGATTGAGCCGTGCTTGATGTGGACCGAGTTCATGGCTTGGTGTGTGTATGCCTTTGGTGTGTTGATGGTGTGAGGAGCCTTCGAGGAAGCTCCAATTGTTGGGGTGTACGATTCCTGCAGTGAAGATGTTTGCCGTCGGAAAGGGAAAAGGAGAGGAATCTCGCTTCTCTTATTTGAAAATTTGTTTCGCCTCGAGTCACTTATCCAAGGCGCCTCCGTAGATAGGCTTGATAGGGAGGCGCGTAGGGCAGAAAAATGCAAGATGGCGAAACTAATTCGAGATCGGCTCGGGTATTTCCAGTTTTATTTATGGGTCCCGGGTGGTCCTTCACACCGTTCTGGATGCCTCCTTTGCTCCTTTGCCGCTTTGAGGGGCCACCAAAGGGGGACCACAGTCACCACACTGCGTGGTAAAACAAGCAGGTGTGTGGAATCGGTGGGAACCCAGGCGCAGGGTGCGGCTTGCGTCAATTTTCGGCGGCCCGATAAAGATTGGAGTTGGCGGGAGCCGCGAACCAGATGCCAGGGCTGAGGCATGCGGTTGACTTTTTTTTAATTCTCTCAGGTAAGCTAAAATCTGCACAAGGTCCCCTGCTTCCGGCCTTGGATAGCTTTAATGGTTAGCTCTAGCTTACGGCAGCTTGCCGTGACTTATCTTTGTTACCTTACCCTGCCAAGCAGGTAGCCTGCATTTTTTTACACGCAAGGCAACGGATCCATTGCTCGTTGTACTTTGTTGGCCCCCCCCCCTCTCCCATCGAGGAAACATTTTCTCCCGGGACGCGCGCCAACATCGGCGAGCCGCCTTGCCTTGCGTGATTGATCAAAATAGCTCTGACACTGCGTATTTCCTCACATTGAGGCGGTGTACCCAGTCATTCGTCTTCTCGCGGAAGTGAGCAATTTGAATGATAAGGGAGTGTCATTCCACTGCTTAAATAAGGGGTTATCTGAAGCTGAGCAAGGTTTCTTGAGACGATTCGAGGAGGTTATCCAAGCGAAATAGAACCGAACCGGGCTGAGTTTCACGGCCGGGCCAACTGAGAGCTTCAGGTGCACATGTCAAGCCCAGGCAATTTGATTTGGCATTTGGACATGGGTCGCTGGGCGTTTTGCTGGCATCGTCGTGTCCCAGCCGATTTTATCAAGGGTCCCATCAATCGACAGGGGCAGCTGCAGGCTAGGACCCAAGACCCACAACCCGCCACTCGGTGAGTCATCGTGATAAGGTAAGCTCCACTCACACCCAGCGGCCCGTCTGTCTCTCTGTCTCTCGGTGAGCATCTTCACCGATGATAACATCGCCAGTGTGATCAGCACCAGCTTCAGGCAACAGGTGACCTATAGGTGAGCGGCTCGACTTACACATTTAATTTCCATATCATTTCCTGTTTTTGAAACGAAGTTGTGGCTAAATTAATTTAGTCAGCAGCAAAATATAAAACTGACATTTTCAAAGAAAAGGTGAAAAAGAGGCTACCTTGACATTACGTAGAGCTATTAAGGCGAAGGCGCATTTCGCACTCCACTACTACGCTGCTTCACGCAGCATGTCTTGAAACCCCTCTGTTGCGTGCTCGTCACCCAAGGTACCTCACGAAGCCTCGTCACTGATGAAAGCACACTTTTCTACACCCCAATGCTACCGTACCTATATGCCTGCGATGAGTAGCCTTGGTGCATATGTTATGCAATAGCAGCAGACTCGTGATCTTTTTTTCACTTTCCTATTGCTTCCCGTAGCCTTAGGTAGCACTTGCCCACTGCAGGTAACTACACCAGCCAATAAGTGCTCACCAAAGAGGTTAGACAGGCGAAGTTGAGTAAGAATTAGTATCCTTTATATTCAGGTTAGTAAACGAGCATTATATCTACGTTCATTGATATAGCCAAGTAAGAGATTGGCAAATCGTGTCCGGGAATGCTTTTTATGAGGACCATTTTCACAGTGCCAGGACTAAGACGCACCCGAAATGAGTGGCCCGCATCTGTCGGTGACTGCCCACATGCACGGGAATCGCTGAGAATAAAGGCCATACACTCAATCCCATTTCAGGCACAGTTTGCTACCGCATTGCACAAGTTCGACTCAGGAACCCCTCTTATTTCTGGTTATATTTGATACTGAATACTCCCGACACCGGGGCAGGCAGACGCTCATTGTATTGCAAACATTGGGCAAATAATCCTCTCTGAAGGTACTGACGAAGAACCAAACGATGATTTTGCCGAAGCCCGCAAGAATCTTGAAGGTCGAGGGCTTTCGAATGCCAAGCGAGTTGTCAGTCCTCACTTGCGCTCTTAAGCCCTCCTTTCCATGTCTCGGCCTACTGCTTTGCTTCAGGTACCCAAACAGGAAATTTGGCCTACCTTACATCTAGGATCAAATGACTGTGGTAAAGGAACACTCCTCCCAAGAAGCTCAGCTAAGCTGGGCGCTTGCCGTCGCAGAGGAATTCTCTTGCCCGTCCAATCCTCTCGACGAAACCTTAGGAGTAGTTCATGACGTTGGATTCTATCAGCCCTCCTCCGAAATAGAACTCACGCAACTCGGCATTGCTTGATGGAAGTGCACATAACCCATAGTAAAAATCAGAGGGTATCATTCTGTAAGACAACCTACATACTCCGGAACATAAATCTAATCGATCCATTTACAAAGTCGCGTTCCTCACAATACCATTCTCCGTATACAAATATGGCGGCGTCTCGGGCGGGCTACGTCCATTGCGATAAAGCCATAGCCTCGAAAGATCCTTCACCTTGACCGTCTTCTTCCTGTGCCGCCCCCTGACGTGCTCTCCGTGGAACTCGACCTCATTATTGACATCACGACCCAGGTACGTGACCTCAAACGCCTCGCGAGCATTGGCTCCGGCGTCACCCTGCCGCCCGACCTGAATCTCGCTCTCCATGAACTCGCTCTCCTCCGCGGCGCCGATAAACTCGCCCGTCTCCGGATTCTTTGCGAGGGGGAACATGCCGTCGAGGTAATGCTGGCAGAACTGGTGACCGCCGCGCTCCGACGCCCGCACGAAGAGCCGCCCGATGAAGCGCGGCATGCTGTGGTCCGCTGTGAGGGATGTGCAGAAGTGCAGGACGCCCCATATTGCGACAAAGTCCGTGGTGTGGGCGTAGTGCTCAACATGGCCGATGGCGCGATCCAGTGCGGCTGTCGATGATCGAGAGGAAATGGACGACGACTCTTTGGGGATACTGGGTGTGCGTGGGTTGCCGTTTTCGCTTTTGGTTCCATTGCTGAGACTCGAGACCAGGCGATGTTGGCCGCTGTTGGCGATTGGCGATATGGGACTGCTGACAAAATCGCCGTGGGTTATGCTGGTTGTAGTCAATGTCATGGCGGCAGGGTTATTTTGTGCGAGAGCCTGAGACACTGCATGGCGATGGGGGTTGTTGAAGTGGTTTGCGGCATTGCCAAAAGTGTATACCTAGGACTTGTTAGAATTGCTACCATATAAAATGTAGACTCAAACTCACCTCAAGCTTGGCAAGAAGATCTTGTGGCAGTTCCTGCAACAGCCAGTCGAGAACCAGGCCACCTTCAATACCTCCTTGTGAATGTAACACGAAGACAACCTTGGAGTACTGCGGGTTGTAGAGTGTTTCCTTGACAATACGATAGCACATGCGCACATCGTACGTAGCGTATCCGAGGTTCCGTTGGATTAGACACTCGACAACGTCAAACAGGATTCCTGAAGTCTGGTTGTGGATACCAAGGATGGGCCGCTTAAAGGTGAGAGCAAGTCTGTTCAAATTATTCTTCATCCAATGGTCCCTAATGCAGTGTTAGTTAGTATCTTGAATCCTTCCCTCAATGCTCGTCTTCACACATTGAGACACACCCGGGGCAATAGGAATATTGGCAGATTGCAACGTACCCTACAGCAACTCCGTTCAAAAAGATCCATTTCTCGTGAGCGTGCTCCGGTAGCTCTGGTGCATACTTGGGGTCCGAGGTGTAGGTGAGAGTTGGCCCGTTCAGGAGCAAACAGAGCAGATAATTGATGGCGAAGAAGGCACCGAAGGCGAGGCCAGCGATCCAGATAGGCAGTAAGATGGCAAATGGCAATGCCAGAATGAAGGCAATTTGCAAAACGCACAGAAAAAGGTGCGTACACACACAAAAGAGGTTTTGTCTTGTGAAAGCCAACTCGTCCAGCTCCCCCGAGTCGGCTGGGGTAATAGGCCATACGATCCACGGAAGCGCCCAGATGTACTGGAAAAAGTAGTAGATGTCCCATGCGAGCAGCTTCCAGGGGAAATCGGTGTAAGAGTAGCTGATGACAGAGCTGCCTCCCACCTGAGAGCCAAGGAACTTGGTCGAGCCCATCCTCTGTTTATGCAGCTCGGTTCGTTTCTGTTGCTGTGATCGATACCGCACCGCGAACCTGTCGCCCAAACCTGGGATGGAGAAGAGGCCGGCGGCCATGACGACGGGTATTGCTAGGACAATATAGAGCCAGGAATAGCCAGAGGGCAAAAGTGAAAATGATAGTGAGAGTGATGACAGAAATGGAATCTGGTCAAGTGACCAGCGGGAGACGGACGGTGGGTGCTCACGGGGCATTATATCGTGGGGAAGAAGACGGAGATGGAGGGCGCCGCCGGTCAGACAAACGAACAGGCTTCCAACCACATACTAGAGATCCTAGTTCCCTTGTAGCGGTCGTTAGCATTTCATGGGGAAAAGTAAGACATTTTTCTGCTCCAAAAAGAAGTAGAGACACAGGTGCAGGGCTGAGTTGGCCTGAACCGGGCCGGCATACCTAGTCGACGGCGTCCTTCTTGGCTGGTCACTCGACCAGGGGGCACCGGTCGCAGCGGCTAGGGCGCCACCCCGCCGCCTCCCCTCCCAGTTGCCTTGCAGGTCGACGAAGTCCGGTGTGCATTTGGGGGCTGAGATGTAGCGAATAATCGAAGATGGGATGCGCGAGAGCGAGATACAGTCAGATCCAGGCTGTGCACCAGGAAAGCCAAAGCATACGCGAGGCTCTGAGGTGTTACAAATTACAAAAGTAGAAGTCAGTGACGGCAACGCCGTTGGAGTTGCACACAGAAAATGTCAATATGCCCTCCGCTAGCCAGCAACTATGCTTTGGGGCTGCTTGAGGTGCATGTGGGCGTCTTACAGGCTGCAGTAAAGGGTACACCACATGCGCCAACAGCCTTTGAATAAGAGCCAGCAGACGCGATTAGGACCCAATGAGAGTGCCAATCTGTCGTCATTTCTGACGTTACATGCCCAGCTAATCGGCACGTCCAACCCGATAGAGTCACATCCTTGAGGGTCCAAGCCGCTTATTGCAATCCTCACCCGGCGAGGCAACAGGCAGCCTTGAATATCGAAAGCGCTGGGGTACGAAATAGCAGCCTCGTGAATAATCCCCAAGGTCTGACCGTTCATTCGTCTTGAGGAACTGGGTGGCTGGATGTCGATCTGGCAGACACGGAGCTGAGCTGATCGGGTCCGTCCGAGTGCAGCCATGCATCATCAACAATCCAGGTGAATCGACTTCTGACTTCCTTGTCCGTCAACTGATCCAAGCGCGGGAAAGACATGGAGAGGCTTGGCTGTCAGATTTGTCGCAGCTAGTCTTGAGTTTCTTTCACCAGGCTGCCTGCATCGAAAGTCGTCACATGTATTCGTACTGCCTTTGAGCGAGGAAATGCCTTGCGCCTCAGGAACATCGTCAGTCTCGGGGGTACTGTTGTAGTCGAAGGCTCAATTGATCGGATTCTATCCGTATGACTCTGGTCTTCCTGGGGCTGAGATATTCGAAATCGTTCATGTCAACTGTCGAAGAGATGGTGTGCGGGCGAACGAATAAACTTGAAGCGCAGGCCACTCGGTTGGGATGAACATGATCTGGTCCGTGCGCCAGACGGCGACGCGGGACAGAGGGACTGACAGCTCCTTCTCCAAACAACCTGAATCAAGTGTTTGGTGGGGCAGTTTGTTGACATTGAACCTCCAAATCCCACATCAACCAACATCCCGCCCACGGCCAGAGCTGAAACTCGAACCTCGACCGCCAACAGAGCGCAACTTTATACCCCGTGTATCACAAAAGGAGATACCATCATGTCAATGCTTGCCATCCACCTCGAGCAGATTGCCCTCTCCTGCGAGGGCATCGACTCGCTCCCGTACGCACCCCCTCAATACCCCCCCTCAGTTTCTTGTCCAAGAAATTCACTGACATGTCGCACAGCTTCCCGCCCCCGAAAATCTTTACCAATGCGATGCTCTACAACACCGACATCACCTCCCTAATCCGCGACACCGAAGCCCACGAACGCGCTCTCTTCTCCGTCCCGCCACCACCACCGCCGCCATCCTCAGCAGCCTCCCAGAACCCAGACTCGAAACCCACCACGTCTCGCCGGCAGACCGTCTTCAACGTTGCCTCGGGCGAAGTCACCACCGGCCCCCCACCAGGAAGCTCCCGCGCAGGAGGCGGCGGCGTGGGCGGCCCGCGTCGCCACACCGCCGTCTCGGCTGTCCTCGGCGGCGACCTCCACGCCCAGCTGCGCCGTGGCGAGCGCCAGGCCGCCAGCAAGGGGGGCGACGTCGACGTCGAAGTTCTCCTCCAAGGCGCGACGAAGCTGTGCGGCGTCTACGCCCTGCCCGGCGCGCTGGAACGCATCCCGCAGCTGAGGTCGCGGTACGCGCATCAGACCAACACGCTGGCGTACTACGAGGCCAAGGTCGCCGAGAACCAGGCTGCGCTGGAGAGGATGAACAAGGATCACTGGATGGGAGAGGGAGACGAGGAGCCAGAAGACGAGGACGATGAAGAAGAGGAGGCAGGCGAGGATGTCATGACGGAAGAGGATCTGCGCGCCGAGGAGGAGTTTGTGAGGGAGCTCGACAAGAAGAAGCGTGAGCTGCAGCAGCGGTTGCGGGCAATGGAAAAGGATTTGGGAGCACTATTGAATATGTGAAGAAGGGGACGAGTTGGAAAGAATAGGCGCTTCTACGACGTTTGCTTGCGACATGATACCCAAATTCAGAGACTCCATCATTACCTTATCTTACATTCAATTCAGTGCTGTGCCAGGACGCTCAACATGATAGCCCGTCCTGTCCACCCGCCGCCCGACCACCCTTCTCCCTCGCCGCAACAATCTGTCCCAAAAATTCGCCCACCTCCTGCGCACCGCCAACCTCGTACTTGTCATTAATCACAAAGTGCGGCACCCCCCTGACGCCCATCCGATACGCGTCCTCAACCTGCGCATCAACCTCCTTCCCGCCCTTGCCCTCCTCAAGCCACGTCCTCACCTCCCCCCTCTCAAGCCCACCCCGCACCGCCGCGTCGGCAATCATGTCCCAGCTCGTCACGTCGCCGTCCTCCTCAAAGTAACTCTTCATAATCGAGTCCACCACCGCGTTCTCAATCTCGGGGCCCTTGGACTTGGCCAGCTGGATCGTCCGGTGCGCGTCACGTGTGTGACCAACCTTGCCGCCAAATGTAAAATTGAAGCCCTCGGCCGCGCCCAGCTTCTTCATGCGCGAGTGCATCATCTCCAGACGGTCGGCGCCGAAGCGCGCCGCCATGCGCTCGTTGACGGGCACACCTTTGGGAGGCGCCGTCGGGTCGAGGTAGTAGGCTTGCCATGTCACGTTGAAGGTGTCGTCCTTGCCGCCGGGGTAGGTCTTTTTGTACAGGTCTATCGCCTTGTTGAGACGGGCTTTGCCAAGATAGCACTACAGTGGCGTTAGGGGTACCATTCAAGATTAGAACCCTACACGGAGGCATCTTACAAAGGGGCAGACAGGGTCTGATATGACTTTGACGTTGATGGTGGCCATTTTGCTTGCTTGACGTGCGGCGTTCATTCGCTCCGAGCGTCTCAATCGACAAAGAGTATACGGACACACAGATCTAATTGAACAAAGTCTATTACTTTAAAATATGGGAATTCAGACATCAAATAGGTATGTCGTGGAATCAGCCTCGGCCTTCAGCTCGGGCGGGGCTCCGCCGAAAATGGTCGACATCTTGTTGATTACCAATCAAACCCGGAGCCCGATCCGACCGGAATCTTTTAGCCCTTGGCCGGCGAAATTGCTCCAAGTTTGCACAGGCTTACCCGTCTCTTCATCAGCAAAAGAGCCCACAACCGCCATTATTCAGCCGAGCAAAATCGGCGAAGGCGGGTCTGGGAAGATTCCGGTTGCGTTCGGCACTCTACATTTCGGCACTTGATTTGTTACGTCGCATTCATGATTCGTGGAGTCTCTTGCCCCTTGTCACTACCACCGCCGAGGGCCCTTGCGAGGTAAAGCACAGGCCGTTCCAAAGCTTGTATCCTCTCCCATCACTGCGTAATTTCATTCGGCAAAAGATATCCGCCACGAATTCGTGGAAAGCTAAAACTGGGGTATCATTATGTTGGAGTCGTTTTCGAAGCATCAATCAACGGAATACCGCTCTGTTGCCTCTCGCAACCTCTGGTCATTCCGCGACCGGCGTGATTCGTAAGGCTGCCTGCGATACCTGCGGCGCTCGTCTCTCCTCCAGCTCGAAGGATATATGCCGCTGGCGCTTGTGGACGACTCTCCACGATTAACTGCGCCAGGGCTCTGTGACCGTCGCCGTTTGGGTGCGACATCCGGATATTGTACTGCGCGGTCCCAGCTTTCGAGCGACATGTAGGGGCTTCTCAGCCATGCTCTAAGCTCATGAAGTAGCAATCGCGTATTCTCTCTCCCCAGAAACTCTTGGATAAGCTCCTCAGCTTGGCCCATGCTGCCTTGCATGTCGACAGTCTTCAATATAGCGATGATGTACTCCAGCAGGAACTCGGCGTTGTTGGCTCTGCGACGCCGGATAGGGTCGGTATCTTGCGGCCGTGTATCATTGTCAGGTGAGAGGAATTCGAAGACCTGGAGTTCGCGTCGAAGAAATGTACGCGCGTGCGAGACAAGTTCCGTGTCCGAGGCAAACATCTGCGGTGTCAAATCTCTGTATCTTGAGATCCGGTTCGAGCCGACGTGTAATGAGTACAGCTGGTTTCGGTAGACAGTCCTTCGGCGGGTGATAGCTTCATCTTGGGATGGAGTGAGCGTCCGAGTCGTTGAAGGTGCATGAGGCCGTAGCCGCCGTGAGTGAGCTTGAGAATAATATCGCCTCGTCTGCTGAGTAGAAGACACATTTGCCGTAACTCCAGCCTTGTCGGGTCTCTCAGGGGCCTTGAAGGTTTTCCATTGCTTTCGGTCGTCGCTGAACTCGTAGCGGACCTCCTTGATATCGGTCTTACACAAAGGACACGCTACCTGTCGTTCCAGCCATGTTACGAGGCAGAGAAAGTCGAAATTGTGGTGGTGGCACGGTTGCGCTTCACAGCCTTCCGTGATCTCTTCGAGGCAAATGACGCAACAATCTTGGAGATCCGTCGGTCGCGTTGTGATCTCTTGCAAAGTGGTCTGCAAGACGACAGAATGGATATCTCGTGGACTCGAGTTGTCGCTGGGTGTCGCCTCGGTCGACATACCACAGGTGCAAAGCGTACTCAAGAGGCAGTACTCGATGTGTGACGGAAAGACGAAGGTGCCATTCCGGGAATCACCACCAAGTATGACGGCCATGTTAGTCAGCACGAAGTCAAGCACGGTACCTTACCGAGGCACCTCAGCTCATAGTCTGATAAGATAAGAGACAGTCTACCTGGTAGGTGGTAAGGTGCCTACCTACCTAAGGTAAGGTAGCGTAAGGTACCTACCAGGTAGGTTGTCGATGGTGGGGCACCGTCGCACTTGCGCTGCTGGGCGACCGTGGATCTTTCGCGTTTAGTGATTTTCCCCTGTCGCGTCAGAACCGCGTTTACTGTCCTCCACCTTGTAAGATAACCCACCCTAGATACATTCAACCACGTACCTCAACCCGAACCACTCAGTCGACCTTGATTCGTTCTTTTGTGATCCGACTTTCAATGACGCTGATACTATTCGAGCAGTGATTGCCTTACAATGGACGACCCTACAAAGGCAGAGTATGAGCTCCAGTCACAGAAACTACGTGCCGAACTCAAGACGTGGGAAACCTCTTGGGCAAAATCCCACGACGGGAAGAAACCAGGCAGAGACGACATCAAACGCAATGCTGATATAGGTGAGTGGTGCCCGCTCCAGCACAACACTGTTCAAAGACTGACACTTGATTAGCACAAAAGTACAAGCAATATAACAAAGTCCGTGACATCCTTTTAGAAAAGATCCCACCGCCTCCAAAAGAAGCTCAGAAACCGAAGAAGCGGGATGAAATCCCTCCTCTTGCGCGAACGCCGTCGAAGAAACACAAGCATGCCGAGACGCCCTCGAAGAAAAGGACGTACCCCGAAGATGCCGCTCTTACTAGCACCCCGGCCATCTCCAGAACCCTCTTTAGCCCTGCGGCCCCAAGATCAATTGGACCTACACCTCAGCGCGATGGCCGCGTGCTTGGACTATTCGACCTCATGGTAGAGCGCGAGCTGGGTACGCCGTCAAGAAAAAACATGAACATCAACACCTCCGCCGATGCAAGAGTGATGACGACACCGAGAAAACGGGCGACACCCATGGACGAGGAGGACGACGCAAAGTTTGGGCGGACACCAATGTCGACAAGCAAACGGCAAATGCTAGACAGCTTTATGACACCTTTGAAGAATAAAGCTGTTCTCGCAGCGGACGCCAAAACACCCACGACTGTTTCGAAGCTTCAGTTCAGCACTCCGTCCTTTCTCAAAAGACACACCCAGCCGCCACCAAGCAAGAGCGACGACTTCGCAGCGCCGCCTCTCCGATTGCCTCGGAAACCAATGGTCCGTGGTCTCAGCGCCATTGTAGCAAGTCTCAGAAAAGTAGAAGAAGACAACCTAGACAATGAAGATGAACTCGAGGCTCTGCGGGAGGCTGAAGGCGAGACGGTGCAGCCTAAAGCACCCCCTAAGCCAAAAGAGGACTTTCTTGCTGCCGACAGTCAAGTCAACCTGCCTCTGGGAGGATTTGATGACGAGGGTATTTACGATAGTCCTGATGAAGAACAGGTGGGACGTGACGGAATGCCATTGAGGATATACAAGAAGAAGGGGCAGAAACGGACAACGAGGAGATCGAACCTGAAACCTGTCCACATCAAACGGCCATCCGCTCCCGCCGGGGAAGAGACACTGAAGGAGGACGATGAAGGGGCTGTGCCAGAAACACGAGTCAATGACGATCCAGAGGACGACTACGATGAGCTTGCGGACATGGGATCAGACTCGGAGTTTGATGAGTCGGCACCAAAGACCAAGTCTGCGAAGAAAAAGGAAGAGAAGAAGACGGAGAAGGTGGGGACGGTCAAGAAGGCTGTTAGGAAGGTGAACGAGTTGGCGCACACAAATTTCCGGCGATTGAAGCTGAAGAACAACGGTGCGAAGGGCGGGCCTGGATACAACAGCAAGTTCAGGAGACGACGCTGAGTCGACATTTGCATTGCAAGGCGTTTACATGGAAAGCGATATCCCAATTTACGGTGCTGATGAAGCCATGCCCATAATTGAAAAAAACACGATAATCATGAACTGGACTTGCGTATGCCTTCCGCGTTTGGTGTATAAATGAAACGAAACATTCCGTATTGAGAAGATCTCTGTATTAGACTACCTTGTGTTACTTATAATGCGGCAGGCAATGAGCCCTCAATCGCCGAATCAATACAAGCAGGTAGAATGTCGCAAAGTCGCAGCTGATGGCAACCATAAGCCACGATAGACCAGCCGAGAAAATGACACGGTTGACGAGAAACCGGTCATGTTCTAGCATCTCTGCCGGAATCTCCCCCTCCCTCTCGACTAACCATTCATTCTCCGTCCAGAGTGCATCACCACTGCCATCGCACATCTCCAGCTCTACAAATTTGTGTATCAGGTCCTGACCACGGTCAATGTGTCGTTGTAGTCGACCCAAGCAACAGTACGACGGGCCACTTCGAGCCACAGGCATGGTCCCCTCTCCTTTGCGGACGACCACCGGCACCTCCCCCTGGAACTTCTCCCGGTACCCTTGTCCATCGTTCTCGATGGCATCCACCAAGCAGAGGAGCCGTTTGTAATCTGTGAGCACCGCCCAGAGCCAGCAAAACGCCAGAGCCACCTGCACCAGCATGTTGCTGACAACGTCCGGCACTTCGAGATCCGTCGACTGCCCAGCGCAACAATTCCTCAATGCCTGCTGCCGGTTCAGGATCTCGCGGCAGGAGCGCATGCGCGGAGGCGGCGACTTGTACAAGGAAGGATTCCACTTGTCCGTCCTCGCCTCCGAGTGGTCTTCTTGATGCCACCGTTCCTGCCAGAAAGCGTTCCAGAAGCTGGTGGACAGGTTCTCGGAGCCTGGTTGGGAGAAAGGGATGACCCGGGCAAGCTTCGCGCGCCAAGCTGACGGCCAATCGGTCGCGAACAGGGTGAAGAGGAGAAAGCCGGTGACATCGCTCGCGAGGAGATGCGTTGGGTGGTTGTGTCCGGGCAGGATGCTCGTGATGTGAACGTGAAGGTCACTAATGCGACGCCCGAGGCCTCGCCTTTTGTTAGGGCTGGTTGGTCGCGGAGATGAGTCCATCGCTGTGTGCTGGTTGCAAGACCCTTTTAGTTTCCCCAGAAAACCAGCACATTCCTCACTTGCAACTGTTGAGGCGTGGGATCATGGCCTATTTCACATGCGATGCTTTCCCCGACCACCTTTGCATGTCTGCCACAACTATTCTAGCTCAAACTCATAGTGCGCCCGCCAAGTCCAAAAGGAAACTTGCGCTGGCGTATTTTCCGATGTTTCAAAGTACTAATTCCACTTTGGGATCTCACGCGTCTGGCGACGCGCGAGCTAGGAGAGGCTGATGGCTCCAAATGATTGTCTGCCGTCTGATGTAAGACGGTACCCGCATGTAAGCGCTTATCTCAAATCCTTGGTTCCAACCGTACGTTGCGATTTACCTCTAGCGAGACGATTTGGTTCGCGGAGGGAACGAAGAATCTGGTCCATGTTCAGTTCCCTAGCAATCACCTGGCTCGAGTGACCATTGAATATGCGCAGGCAACTCAAGCCCATGTTATCAGACGGTTGTTGTTACGGGCAACCAATCCGCCCTTTGAGTTCTCTCCTTTTACGCACAGATCATTCTGACTGGCTACATATTGGCAACTCACAGAGCTTGGCATTTCTCGGTATCGATGTACGAAACCAAATGCATATCGTGAATCAAGCGTCACCATCATCATCCACCTCGGCACTCTCAGCCGCGTTTTGGCATGCGTCTCCCTTCACCCGCGTAGCTTCCAGACAGATGAAGACTTTTCAGATTTTTCGATCATGTCCAAGTCTACCGCACTTCTTGCGGTGCTTCGATCGTAGTGACTATGGGAACTTTCTCGCCGTCCCTTGCATCTCCATTCGCCAGCGCATTTCCTGACGCAAGCTCCTCCAACGCCTTCGCATTCAGCCTCACCCACATCTCCTTCCTCAACTCGAGACCGTCCATAAACACCCCGTACCAAGAAGGATCAAACGGCGGCAGCGCCCTGCCAATACCGTTCTCAGGCTCGCCAGCAAGCTCTCTCACGGTCTCAAAGTACTCCTCAAAGTGCGGGTGCACAAGCGAGAACCTGATATCGTCTCCCTTTTCCGCAATCCGATCCGCCTCCCACCGAGCCTGCTCCTCCGCGGGCGGCAGCCTCGCCCGCCCAGCCAGCACCCGCGCCGCGAGCACGGCCTGCCACTCGAAAATCTTGAACGTCAGCCCTGCCGCAACGGCGCCGATGAACAGGAGCGTCGGGTCGCGGTGGTAGACGACGTGCTGGTAGAGACCCGGGACGCGGTTGTTCCTCACCTCGACGGAGGGCAGGAAGGGGAGCGTCCAGGTAAAGCCCGTGGCGAGGACAATGTTGTCGACGTCCGCTACGGACGTGCCGTCTTGGAAGTGGACGGTCTGGCCCTCGATGCGGGAGATTGTGGCACGGCGCGAAATTTGGGGGTGGTTGAAGGCTCCATCGCCAAAGTAGAGGTTCGCCTTGCGGCCGTTGACTACCGAGTAGATGGGGTGTTTTGCGGTCTTGATGAGGTCGACTGAGATGTCTGCCCCCGAGACCGAGGCGCCGACTACAACAACGCGCTGGTCGCGAATGTTAGTGAGTTTTGACCGGCAGAGGGTTTCTGGCAGGGGGTGTTACCTTGTTGCGGAATTGATCACGCCCGCGAAAGTGCTTGCTGTGAATCACGCTCCCCGGACGAGCCTTTTCAAACTCTTCGAGGCCCTCGATATGGGGGACGTACGGAACCCAATAATGCCCAGTCGCAACGACAACAGCGTCGAAATACTCGACCGACCAATCATCCCCTTCATCGCCCTCTTTCCTAAGGGTAAGCTTCCACTCGTCGCCGACCTTTTCGGCACGCTCGACTGTGGTACTGTAGGAGACCAGATTCTGGTAGCCGTTGCGGTTCACCAACCCCTGGATAAAGTCCCGAACCACTGTCCAATGCCGGAAGGGTGTCTCGGGCCCGTGTAGCGCAATCGAGTTCTCGGTGCGCTGTTCGGGGATCGATTCCTCGGAAAAGGACATGGGGATGGCGTCAACGTTGGTTTCGAGGTAGGGGTAGATTCCTGACTCGGTGAAGCGTGGCGGGCCCGAGCTGGCCGGGTGTTTCGGCGTCCGGGACGGCAGGGTTTCCGGGATCGGGAGGGGTTGGTCGGCGGTTCGGGCGGCTAGAGAAGAGAGGCTTGTCAAGTGCGGCGGCGGTGTTTGGTCGCCCACCCTGTGACGATGGAGGGTCAGTACATGTTTGTGGAAGTGGTATTATGCAACCCAGTGCCAATGTCCTTTCCATCTCCTCGCCTGTCAAATTGTCTCAGCTATGGTAGCCACGGCCAGTGACATTGGCAACGCGGTTCATGGGCTCATGGGCTCATGCAGGAACTGACCATCTGCTGAAGCGATCCAGATACCAGAGCTCCATCAAGGTTCTCATTCTGTGTTTATTCCGTCGCATTGCTCCATCAAAGAGGTAGCAGACGTTACCAAGGCAGGACTTGAGCCATCAAGGTACCGTGATTGAGCTCCGTCTGAACACAACCAGCCCCGCGTCACGGCCCCATAAGGAAAGCTTGGGACGAACGAGAGAAAGAGACTCACCAACATCCGCCCGCTGCCTCTCGACGCTCAAATACACGAATGACGTCGAAAGTCTTCTCCCGAGCCAGGGCGTCGATAGTAATGGCCCCGGCTGGCCCCGCGCCGATGACGGCAACTCGCTTGACTGCGCTCATTCCTCCAAGAGTTGCTCTTTTCTGCGCGTTCTATATCTTTGATACAGGAAGATAGATGAGGGTATCACGGGAATGATAAGGAGAAATGAAAAGGGCAGGATATGCACAGTCAGTCCAGCACGCGAAGGTGCGAATGCTCTCACTTTTTTAGCTGCCCGCCTCCCGAGAGTTTGGGAGCGGCTTGCAGCGGACGGATGGAGGGGTCGACCGGCAGGGGTGGATCCCACTGCTGAACTACCAGACGGTCCAATCATGTCGTTGTAAGCCGCCTGACCGGGTAGTCGGACAGGGATACCGGTGCTGTCCGCGGTAATGGAAAAGTCGATTTAGTCATCTTAGCGCCCGATGGCGTTATCTCGCGAGGAAACGTTGTCTCGGGGCACGTTGCAGCATGTGCTGTTATCGATAACGCCTATCAGTGTTTGCCAATGAAGAGACAACTACCGTACTACCTTACCTTAATACCTTACCTAACTAGGTACTTGCTCAGATGAGGTTGGAGACCATCAAGGTGCGATGACTTGCATCGTGTCGCGTGGTATCGACCCCTGGGTTTCTGGAGGATATTCGCAGATAATGTGGAGGAACGTAGGTAAGCGATAAAAGGCTGGCTGGGATCGAGAGAGTCCCATAGAGAACCTGGATGGCCAGCTATATGAGACAAAAGCATTTGAACATGGCACTCAGCCGAATCCAATGGCGAAGATCGGTGGTTTTCTGTTCAATTGCCGTGATCGACAGCCATGAAATCTCCGACAGGTGAGACGATGGTGTGCACCGCGCCGACGGACCGATCCGTTGTAGTGTCCGATGACAAGCTGGCATGGGATATCGATGAGGAACGCAGGGCCAAGAGGAAGTAAGATTTTCCCAAGATAGCATTTTAGCTTCAGATACTTAGCTTCAAGAGTGAGACTAACTAGGTCATCAGAATCGATCTCACTGTGCTTCCGCTCCTCGTCTTGGGTCTGCTCATGTTCCAGCTTGACCGCATGAACCTCGCCTCAGCCCTCACAGCTGGCTTCGCGAGAGATATCAGCATCAGTCAAGACACGATCAATCTGGGGAACCAGATCATGTTCATGGGCACTGTCATTTTAGAGATTCCATGCAACTTGCTTCTACAAAGGGTGCGTTCAGGCAATCCAACGTTGACTTATTCCCTGTGCCTCCCCGCATATACCCACGCCTTTGCAATAATCATACCGAGATTCACATCAACCTGACCCCATCTAAAACAGTTTGGTCCCCGAAAATGGATATCCCTTCAAGTCATCCTCTTCGGCACCGTCGCTACGCTCCAAGTCCTCGTCAAGAACCGCGCCGGCTTCCTCGCCACCCGCCTCATCCTTGGCCTCGCCGAAGCCGGATACATCCCCGGATCCATGTATACTTTGTCAAACTGGTACACCAAGCGCGAGTTGGCAAAGCGCATTGCAGTCTTCATGTTTGGGCAATTCGGCGGCAATGCCCTGAGCCCGCTCCTTGCCTCTGGCATATTGAAGTTGGCGGGGGAGGGCGGGTTGAGGGGATGGCAATGGCTTTTCCTGCGTGAGTGCCCGTCCATTTTCTCGGACCGTTGAAATCTTCAACTCTCCTAACTCTATGTGATAGTCGAGGGCCTGGCGACTCTTGTCGTAGCTATGATGCTCATCTTTCTTCTCCCCGGGTCCCCCGATACGCCGAAACCCCTAGGAAGTCAAGGTCTGATTCGGTTTTCGCCAAGGCAACAGGAGATCCTCCGAGAGAGGATGCAGATTGATGAGCCTGGGAAAGTTGACGGAGTTCGGGGTATCGAGATTCCCTGGGCCCTCGTCTGGAAGACAGTGAAGCACTACAAGAGGTGGCCGCATTATGTATCCACCTTTTGCGTCTTTTCGACGTGGTCACCGCTCACAACGTACACACCCTCCATCATCATGTAAGTCCCCCTTCTCCACAGATGGAGAAGGATGTATCTAATCGCTTCCAAGGGCCCTTGGTTTCGACCGCATTAGCGCCAACGCTCTAGCCGCAGTCGGCGCGTCTCTCGCCATGGCTGTGGTCTTTGCCTTTGCTATGTTGAGTGATCGGACGAACAAGAGAGGATCAACAGTCCTACTGGGACACTTGTGCTACCTTTCCATCCTGGTGGTATCTCGAACCGTGCATCCACATGTCGGCAAGTGGTCGAGATGGGGTTTGTGGACGGCGATCAACGCATTTGCTGTCTGTTACCACCCCGCGCACAACACCTGGTTGCAGGTCAACTGCCGAGACCCCGGAGAACGCAGCATCGGAATCGCGTAAGCATTGATTTTTTCAGGAGACCTTATTAGACGCTGATAGACAAGCAGCATGTGGGTAATGTCTGCCATCAGTGGCTTGATGGTGGGATCTCAGTATTTCAGGGGTAACGATCTGCCTTTGTAGGTTTCTTCCCAGTATTCTACCAAACGTTTTCTGACGACTTTGTAATAGTTACAACAAAGGCCTTTTAACGATGATCATTATGGTCTCGATCGGTATGGCATTTGGTTTACTACAGGAAGCTGTTTACTTGTTGCATAACAGGCGTGTGGCGCAAGGCAAACATAGACCCAAGGACGGGTCTGAGCCGTACGTTTATATTCTTTGAAGGGGCTCATCAAAGCTACCTGGCGTTTGAAATGGAAAAATGGGGTTGCCATGATACATTCGAGATTAAAGAGCACAGTACTCAGGGGGGTGTTCGGAGAGATGTGGGTAGTCAAGGAGCCGAATAGCGATACGATTGTGGCTTAGAACATTGGCCAAAGTGCCGACAAAATCATGTTTGCAGAAATATTATGAAAATCTCCTTTCAACTTTGGCTTAACATTTAAAACCTCATAAAGGAAAGTCCAAGTGGGTTTTTTTGGCGTCGACCGCCTTACAAGTTGTTGAGGAAGCAAGACTGCAATACGTAGTGGCCAGAACCTGTCGGTATTCATTAGGTAAACTTGAAAACGACGCGCAAACATGAGTTCATCTCAAAACGGATCAAACAGAATTTACAGACATCTTAGTCTAGTGAGAATGACCGTGTCCATGGATATGCTCTTCAGACCGTTGGCTCACAATCCGCTTCCCAACCCAGTCAGTGCCATTAGCCCTCAGCAGTGCTGTAACTTTGCCCATGTCAACACCAAGAACCTTTTCAATGTACTTTGGCAACTCAGTATTGTCCCAGTTACCAGCCATATCACCTTTGATAGCATAACCATTTTCACCGGCACCGTATCCGTATAGCGTGATGTCGGAGGCGGTGTGACCTCCTGTGGACCAATGAACACCAGCACGGCTAGCCAGCAAGTTACCCAGCTCCGAGCTCAGCGAGCCGGCAGCGATGAGAGTGTTCACCTCGGCGTCCGTAACCTCTGAAAGCCCGTATTGAGGCAAAATATCGCTCACAAGGAATGCCTTCTTGTCAGAGCCGGTGTAATCATCCCAGATCTCCATGAGAAACTCCGTTGAGGCGTTTACCTTTGCCAAAGGTAGAGGATTGAAGCCGTTGAGAGTCAATCCGCCACACTCATGGTCAGCTGCGGACATGAGCATGGTGTCCGGGTGCTCATCGATCCACTCCCGAACGAAGCCCATGACCTTGTTATAGTGGATGGTGTCAAAGAGGTGAGCGGCGGGGTCGTTGGCGTGGCCTGCGTGGTCGATGCGCGAGGCTTCGATCATGAGGAAGTAGCCCTCTTCTTTGCAGTGTGTGTCGCGGTGAAGTGAGTTCAGGGCCGTCTCCACCATTTCCAGGAGGGAGGGCTCCTGATCAGGTTGACGGGAGCGGTCAATTTCATACATCATCTGGTCTGGAGTATGTTATGCTCTTGTCATTCTCTGGGCAAGAAATATCAATTTACCATCATTGAAGAGACCAATGTAGGGAAGGCGAATGTCGCCGAGGCCCTTGTCGAGAGCATCAAAGGCCGAGCGGTCTTGCATGACATAATAGCCGTTCTTCTCAGCGAAGCCAAAGAGATCAATCCTGTCGCTCCGGCAAGAGGTTGAGTCGGACTCTGGCTTGAAGTAGCATCGGCCACCCCCTAGGAGAATGTCGGCGACGGGGCCGAGAGGATGCCCGTAGCCAATCTCGTGCGCCGCGATCTTGGCGTAGGAGTTACGGTCGGCAACATGAGCCGCATAGCCTATATGCCTGTCAGTGGCATTGATTGTGGGTTATATGATAGGATTGGCGTTGGTCACCTACACGCAGGGGTGGCGTGGTTGATGGTGCTGGTGACGACTAGGCCCGTCTTCATGCCTGCGAGCTTGGCAGCCTCAAGTATAGAACCGACGGGCTCGCCGGCAGGGTTGACACCGATGGCTGGCATATGTTAATGAAGGTTGCCGAGCACTAACAAGCCATGCATACCATTATTGTAAGACTTTACACCGCAGGCAAATGCGGTTCCAGAGGCGGCAGAGTCCGTGATAAGGTTGTCGCTTGATAAAGTACGCACGTTGCCGAGGACCTTCAATATACTGAGTACGATTGATACCAACATCTAGACTTTCTAAACGTACCATCTTATCAGCCGCAAGCTGAAAGCTCACAGGTGCTCTTGGGTTTTGGCCATTCTCAAGCAATGAGACGTAGTCTCGTGCCATCGTCTGAGAGGCGGGACCGTATCCATCGGGCACGATGTAGATAAAGTTCTTGGCATTGGGGTGCGACAAGACAGATTTGAGTAAGATGGCTACGGCCACGACGGAAGGACGCATCTTGGCTCTGGTTTTTCGACTATACAATCAATGAAAGTACCAATGTGATCGAACTGAGAACATCCTTAGGAAAGCCATCAAGGTGGCGGCCATCAACTTTGTCTTTATAAACACTCGTGTTCGAGAGTCTTGGCCTCATCCTACGCGTTGCAGTATCTTCCATTATACATGTCGCTTGCAGCCGCCGTTCGTTGCGGCATACACACTTGGCATGACGGTTCACATTCAATAGTGTCTCGATGATTCCGGTGTGAGGATCACAATGCCTCCTTGCCAGTATTGGAAGGAGCTGCCACGCCGTTGGTAGCGTAAGAGATATTTCATCGGCTTGAATCTCATCTGGAGGATAAATACGAATGATTCCGTCACCTGGTACAGATGTTTCGCAGCGTTCCTGACGGCCAAGGCGCCCTAACACCCGGGGTGCGGCTTGGCGGTGGGAGGGTAATCCCCGCTTGTCCCAATAGACGCTATGAGTTGGGCAACGTGTTTCTCGTGGTGAAGGTAGAGAAGCGTATTTCAACGACGTCGACCCCCGGTCTTTGACTTGGCTTTGGAGACAAGAGGGGAAGGTGGCATGACTTTGACAGCCCACGTGCTTGAGGTAATTCAACCTTGGTAAGACTTTGAACAGCTGCGCATTTTTATCTGCTTGAATGTTTGAATGCTCAAAAGCTACCTTGCCTTTAACTTTGAGAAACAGTAGAATAAAGCTGCAAGGAATGATACTCCGAAGGCAGCAACTGGGAGAAGGAGGTGGGAATGAGACATGCGTACTGTACAAAAAACCTCCACTAAGGCCTACTTTAGCTTGAGGATGTCAAGCTCATGACAATTTCTTCCAGATATTTAGTTGAAAACCAGTATGACGTTATGTACCAGTATCCTGTATGTGGTGAGCCTTGATAGTGGGAACGATGGGGGCGCGAGTGGTTGTCAACCACAATGCTTAGAAGAAGGGCTCAGTCGCGAGGTCACTATCAGCAGGTGACAGCCTCGAAATGACGAGGAGGAATTCAAGAAGGCAGAAGATGGTTTCCTAGAGACTCAACCTGTTACTCGGCCTCGCGTGGTATCAGAGGCTCCAGGGCTGTCGTCGCATGAGACCTGATGAGAAACACGCCATCAGGCAGGAGGTGTTTGTGGCTTGTCTGCGGTGGTGTGACGAAGTTCTACAGAATGACGCAGGAACAGAAGAGGTTCGACGATGGCGAGAAGGCTTGATCATCTCACAAAGGATGAGAATCAGCCCGGTTTATGAATGAGAGAAGTGGGTGAGTGAGCTGCAATGAGTAAGGTAGAGTGAGTGTCAGATGTAGCAGCATCAGACTGCCCAAGTTACCTTAGCCAGTGAACCAGTGAGCCAGTGAAGCCTCAAGCTTGGGAGGTGCGCACCCTTTGGTCTCCACTTGCTCCAGGTGGTGTAAGCGCCGCCCCAAAGATTGGCTGATGTCGCACGGGAAGAGTACAGGGATCCCCCAAGCTGCCAATAATAGCTTCCCGCGCGTCTGCAACCGCCCTCTCCAGAAACAACCTGGAAGACGCAAGCCCAACAACACAGGACACCAAGAACCCCTTGTTATCTAAAAATTGGTTCAGAATGTCCCGTTTTCCTCTCAAGAAATCTCGTATCGATTTTTTCTTCTTGTGGGAGGCGCTTAATCAAACCATCTCTGCCCGCCCGCTACTGCTACCCAGTCTCGCGACCACGGCAACTTGTCCCTGGCAACCTTGCGAGGGCTGCAAGAACTAAGGTCAGGGAATTCGGTCATGCTTGGCCACAAATTTCAGCATCCGATCGCCCCCGGTTGACAGATGGGGAAGAAATGCAAGTCATTGGACGGTGTCGTCCCCAAGCTGCCGGGCCCTCATCTAAGCTGGCTCCATCCAGCCTTAGCCAGGCCTAGGAGACTAAAGTGTTTCGAATGCCTTCACAGCCCGGCGTGTTGAATGGGCCACGACAAGGTTGAGAGTTCTGGACCTTTGGGTCGCTTAGTCTCCTTGCCTTGCTGTCAGGTCCATTCATACAAGATGGAGCCTCGTGCGACGAGTGTCGAGACCCCGTCATACAACAAGTTTCTTCGCCTTTCCGAGTGGTTTCCAGTCATATTGACGTCTTTCTCTCTCTTTCTACCTTTCGCTCTCCTTTCTCTCTGTCTTTTCTCGTGTTTCGTTTCTCGGTCCCTTTCTCCACGTAGACATACATTCCTTGTCCTTTGTTGCCTTTTCCTACTCTGTTCCCCGTCTCTGCTGATCGCCGCCTTTGTGCCTGCACCAGATCCCTACTCTCTTTCTCTAAGGTGTTATCCTGATTTGTGGGCGTGCGACACAACGTGGTCTCGATACCAGTTTATATTCATAATTATTGCCTACCCTACGGAGAGCGAGTCCAAGTCAATATCCACTTCCAAAAAGCTTCTCACTGCAGAACACCGCGATGCTCTCTAGTATCCGCATTGCAGATGTCGTGCTGCTCTTCCTGACCATCCAGACCACGCAGGCCGGCCCAGTAAGACGTGGTGGGAGTTAGTGAGTATACTTCATATCAAGGCCCCGTTGTCTTCACTAACACAGTCAACAGCTCTCGGAGGGACTGGAACACAACCTACAGTTCGAGTATTGCTGCCTCATCAGAGAGTCTATCACCTTCAGCGTACGGCCCCGCCACCTTTCTCGTTTCTCAGAAGCAACACTTACACAAATTCAGAGAACCAAGCACTTCCGCTGCCCCGCGGGTAACACAGCAAGACCAGGATGGGACAACGCCGACCCCCATCTTCGTCACCCTCGACGGCCCATCAACAAGAACCCCGGCCGCAACACAACCCATAGACCAGAGTCCTTCCGCGACACCAGTCGAGTCTACCACAAAGTCCCAGACATTACCGACCACAAACTCGGCGGTTTTTCTGCCTCCTATAGACAGCACAATCTCCTTGCCGCCCTACCTCACATCTGGCTTCCGAAATGCGTCGTCACTTTCACCTGGGAGCACCGCCTCGGCTTCAGCCAGTGTCCCTGAGAGCCTGACAGTCACCCCACATCTCGGGGGACCATCAGGTGCTTCGTCTTCCACTTCCCTTGGATCATCGCTGCAGTCGTCTCTTTCATTCTTGTTCCCCGTTCCAGGAGAAACCTCGGTGGCAGCGCCGACAACTACGGCTGAAGTAACTCATTCACCTCTCGCTTCCACCATAGCCAGCGCGGCATCAACGAATATTCCAGCTCCCCAACCCTCTCCAGAGACAGATGCCCCTTCCTCCCTGCCAACAACTCTTCGCTCCACCACAGCCGGCCCCCCTGCGTCAACACCTCAAGTTCACGTCACCGGAACGCCAAACAACCAAGTGCCCACTATCCGCACGTCCACTCCAGCCGCCTCAGCAACCGTATCCCCAGCCGTCGCAGCCAACAACCTCGCCTCCGCCAAGACCTTCAACGACCTCTTCGCCTCCCTGACTGAGCAGTCCGCCTGCACCACCGGCCAGATCGCCTGCATCAAAGGCCATGTCGGCATCTGCGGGTCTGCCGGCGCGTTTGCGATGCAAAGGTGCGGAGCGGGGACGTCGTGCTTTGCGCTGCCGATGACTACGACCGAGGGCGTCATCGTCGGATGCTATGATCCCCAAGTCGCAAGTCAGATCCTTGGGACGCCGGTCTCTGTGTCAGCCTCGGCACCGGGCTCGACGTCTACGACTGCGGTTCCGGCGCCGCCAACGGCATCTTCCAAGCTCGGACCCGAGATCACGGTGACGATCACGCCGACCGTCATTGCGACGTATACCATCTCCGTCACCGCACCGGGTTTTCCGGGAACGACCTCCGCAGCTCAGGGCCCTGGTTTCACAACCACCGTAGTCGTCACTCAGACCGTCGCACCCGCTCCCGTACCGTCTACATCGACAGCAACCGGAGGAGGAGATCCAGCCACGACATCGACCTCCGTCCGCAAGACGCGCACCTCAACGGCAGATGAAGAGACCTCAAAGACTGGAGGCTCCAGCACAACCAAGTCCACCACAGCAGAGTCGTCGATAGTTGAAACCACGACGACGAAAGCAGCCAGTTCAAAATCAACAATAACAACAACCCCGGCAAGCACCCCCGCAACGGCGACTGGGACTCTGACGGACACCCTCATTGTAGACCCTATTCCGACAGATGCACCCACCGCCGCGGACGTGCCGAGCCCAGTCACGACACTGAAACCCCTGTCAATGCCGCCCGCCGGCAACTCGCAGGGCGCGTCCGTCTTGACGGTGTTTGTGACTGTCACGCAGAAAGAGAGGGAAACTATCACTGTCACTGTGACTAGGGGCTGAGGCGGAGGCCATGGAGGGCTGCTACTGAAAAATTCTTGATATATGTGTGCCAAGATCAGAAGCTTAGTGTTTGTGCCATCAACTTACCTACTTAATCTGGGGCCGGGGGAAATAGCGTTGTTTTGTTCAGTATTTAGCAACTTTTTTACTCACATGTTTACTCACAATATAGAATTGAGAACGTCATTGCCAATCGGTCTTTCCACAAATTGTCCTATGAGGCTCAAAATCATTTCTCTTTGCTATGCGTTTTGTCCATCCTCTTGTTCAAAAACCAATGGCCTGAGACTTTGCGCTCTTCCGCGCGAGATATAAACGCAGTGTCGCGAACCGCTTTAAGGCCGATCCAAAACGCTCATGCCTAGTCTATCTCAATGATCTCAATGTCCGAGGTCACCACGAACGTCTCTGCGGCCTGCTGTCCATCCTCCATTGTAGTTCTGCTCTCGCTTGCCGTCTGTGTCCGACTCGTCTTCATCACCTTTGACGTGAATTGCTCAACCAAAAGTGTGCTTCCTAAAGGACGCTTCGATGGCAAGGCGCGACTTGACCATGAAGCTGGCGATACCGATTCAGAGATGCTTGTACGCGACTCTGCTAAAGGCGGTATATCCATCATTTGAACATCATCAGAAAGGTCGCGTTCGACGCCAATCCTCGGTACAACTTCATCTCCGTCAACCAAAGATCCCAACCACGCCTTACGAAAGGAGAGACCTAAGGCCAGCGAGACCTCCCTGGCGACACTGTTGCCAACGACTTTCCATTGGTCTTTGGGACGTCCGAGTATGACCTCGTGGTCTCGGAAGCCTTGCGCACGCCGGGCTTCCATTACAGTGAGAATACGGTTCTGATTCCAGTGCATTATACGCCCGACGCGAGCATCTGTAGGTGAGGCGACCGTCGTAATCGTTTGCATGACCTTGTCTGGGTAAGCTCGTCCCCAAGCCCTAGAGACTGGCAATTCAACCCGGAGACCTTTTTCGGGGAAGAAGCTTCTCTCCGCCGGCGTCATGACTCCCTTACCATTATTCCAAGTCGTTTGGAAATTCATGCCGTAGGGGTGCATGGGGATGACACTCAGCTGTGAACGTGCGCATTTGGTGATGCCATTGGCGAGTCTGTGGTCCGGGAAGTTAATGCAACAGTCTACCTTTCCGTCCATAATGTCAGGCAAATCAGCCGTCGCCTCTTGTGCGCTGACGAACTTGAACGGGGTGGGCATCACGAGTCGCTCAACCATTGGCGAGCCGTTGGGGATCCAACCTAATCCCCTACCGCGAATCTGAGCTGTATAGTGGGAATGAGAATGGAGAGGCATGTCAGGAAGAGCGAGACCAGGCGCAGCAAAGCACAGGAAAACGCGGCTTCGACTCTGCGGTGATCCATAAGTCCAGGCATCTAACAAGAAGACCTCGGCTTGGTAGCCGAGACCGACGAGGGCGCAAATCAGTTGGCAGAATACATCTTCGCCTCGGCGTCCTTTGGGCTGTAAGATTTCCATTACGTTCTCAAGTAGGCCATAGCGAGGTCGATATGTATCGACGAACGAAGCGAATGCAGCCACTAGTGACTGATTCTTGCGTTGCTCAGGGGTAGCCTTGTCAATCGTCAGGCGTGAGAAGCCAGGGCATGGACTACCACCAGAAACGAAGTCCACCTTGCCGATTTCAGGGACCTTTTCGCTGAAATCTCCTCGTAGAGCAAGTCGTTGAAGATCATCTATCGAACCTGCGAAAGGATGGACAGTGTTCGTGGCGTTCGCCATATATGTGTGAATGGCCCTAATATTGATGTCATTGGCCCAGTTCATCTCGATTGCGCCTCCTTCTTCAAGCCCGCGACCGAAGTTGCCACCTCCGCAAAAGAGGTCGAATCCCCGAAGCTTTCTGAATGGCTTCATCGGATTATAACCTTGTCTAAGTGATGGTATTGGCCCATCCTCAATAGGAACCATAACTCCGTCCTGCCACCGATGCGTGATGAAAAATGCGTTGCCCACCCCGTTCCGGTCGTATGGCGGTGGTATCTTCTCTTTGAGACCGAAAAATCGGACCAGACATCTCCCATGAATCCTTCCCTCTTTGACAGTAACCGTTTCGTTGGTATAGACAAGTTCGTTTGGTGGAAAATTCGTGCCGGGCTCCAGACGATGCCTACGCTCCAGGAGGCGAAACGTTGCTACGCCATCGGCGTTGGGGAGGCTTATCAATTCGCAAGGCTCGACTATGTTGTCATTCGACTTCAGACTAACCAGCAGAGTTTCCCCAATTTGATAAAGGGAACTCGCTTCATTTCGGCGGTGAAGGCATCGCAGGTGCTGCTCCTTGAAAGTGATCCATTTGCGCTCGTCGTGAAGGTAGGTTTGGCGACAAAAGAACTCTGTATCAGTCCCGGACGAACCTGCCCAGTGTACTTTGTGGATTGCTAGTACCTCATCCTCCTTGATCTTCCCGACGGCAGAATCATGGCATGTACAATGGTCTGAGAGGAAGAGTTCGTTGTTCCACGGGTATCGCATCGTGCCGCAGAGCGTATCGATAGGCCTGTATATCCAAATCACGTCAAACCGTTTTTGCCTCGAAGGGTGGGCATTATGAACTTTCTGAACCAGTCCAAACCAACGGTCGATATCGTCAAATCCGGTAGCAGGTTCTCTAGCCCTAGCCCAGTGCTCGTCGTTATCGTCTCTCGGTGTAGAAATCACATCTCCGACTTGTACTTCACCTCCGGTCCTTTCAAAGATGTTCTTGACCGTCGTATGAATCCTTGCTGACGACTCCAAGCCTAAATCTCGTGTGATGGCCCTCCGTAGCTTTTCCACATCTGCACTTGGGCTGATGGCCTCCATCATCGGCCCGCAAGGCAAATGATGGAAGAGGTCGTCGATGTATGGAGTTACAAGGGTCGGCGTTGGCGATAGTGAAGCCCGTGGAGTGGAAGCCCCGCTACCTAGGCCCCGGGGTACTTGCTTCTGGCTATTGGCGAATGCGGTAAAATCGCGGATCTCTCTCCAAAGATATATCGATGTGACTTTGCCGTGCCCAAGGACCCCATAGGCTTCTTTGTATATATACTCCAGATGAGGCACAATCGCAGTGCCAAAGTCTTCCCTAGCATACTGCCGCCGCCATTTGGAGAATGCCTTCGAGCTCCCATGCATTTTGCTAAGCCATTGACTGAAATCCGACCGAAATTCTCGAAATGTGACACGACGGCCCTCATCTATGGCAGCAGAGAGATAGTCGACCACGTGCTTGGCCAGATCTGCGACCCATATGAACCCGGCATGATATCGGCGATATTCGGGGGCCGGATTTCTCAGACGATAATATATATCGGGCCCCTGCTTGTTAGCAACCGCGACATTCATCTTCGAGCGTATCCATATCTCAGAGTTAACGGTCGGCTCAGACACCCCGTAGTTCCCAATGGGCAACTCATTGAAAGGAATTTGCCGTATAAAGAACCGTTTTTCCCCTATAGACAAGATGCCGTCTGCAAACATCTGGGTACATCCGTTTTGAGTGCCGAGATGGTGTAGAGGGCGCATCTCACAGGGATAGCGTCTGTCCTCATAAAGCTTACCACCCGGTGCCGTGGCGTTAATGTGTATGGCGAAGTTGTCAAACTCAAACTCAATAAAGTCTTCATTGTTTCCATCGTCAATATTGTGCCGGCGAGTCTCTTCCAGCAAAGACCGCACCGCTGCCCATTCTCGTTCGCTGGCTGCAGTCCCTTCGCCTTGGTATAGATTTGCCGGCACAACAAGTGTGCTAGAAGGAATATCGACCGAAATCTCATGCGGAAGACTCAACCGCGCTGCCGGCAAGATGGTGCCTACCTCTATGCCATTCTCGTCTCTGACGGGCTGCTCTTCCAATGGGGCTTCCGGTGTAGCGTCAACCGGCATCGGCGGACTGGGTGCTGTGGGCAACTCATCGTCAATGACAGCTGCTGGCACTTCCAAGGCTTGAGAAGTGACGCGATCCTCAAAGTTGCGCAGTTCCTTGGCTGTCTCCCAAGGCTCATCGACTTCATTCTCGTAGCCTGCAGTATCAGGGTCCGAATGCAGGCTTAGGTCTTCCTCCTCCCAGTCGAAAGGGAGACCGCCATCCAAGTCTCCCACGTCCTCTCAAACAGACGTTAGTGATTTGAACATGAGCTAATTTAACTTGAAAAGGAACGAATACGTACCAGGAAACCAAGGCATTGTGATAAGGGTGCTATTAAATCGAGGTAGGTGCGGCCCGAATGTCGCACCGCATTAGTCGCAGTTATGTTGGAAAATGTTGATAAACGATGAAATGGGCTGCCAATAACTCATGGGCTCAACAGGGCCGGGCTGAGTTCTGTGTCGCGACTGAGATGAGTTCTGGCTGAGGTACTTGATCAAGTACTGTGGTGCCCGGATGCCAAGTAGAAAAAGGGTCGAATGAAGAACCTCGCTCTAACCAGGTTGGGTCAAGATTGGTGGGTTGAGAGGTGTGAGAGGTAAGGTGGTAAGGTACCTGGCGTGGTGGATACATTGGAAGAAGACAAGCGCGCTCGGTAAGGTACTAGGTAGGGAAGGTTACGTCTTAGGCGCGGAAGGAAGGAAGGACCAAGCTTGGAAGTTGGTCTCACCAAGTGAATGCCAAAACAAAAAGGTAAAACCCTTGGAATGGATATTCAGAGCAATTGTTTACTTCGAGCCATTTCACAACAGCTGTCAATGGATCGGCCAATCAGGTGTCGATGAATTGGGCAAGCTCGACCCCACAATGAATGACATGCTGTTGTCGTTCCTGCAGCACCTAGCGTCCGCAGGGTTCCGGATTGGTTGTCGTATCACTCTTCCGGATTGGTGAACCTTGAACGTGACTTTTGCCCAGTAGCATTTGTACATCTAGGACTGCTAACTCGAAAACTGGCTTGAATCCCTTAGATTACCTTACCTGACTAGAAGAAAAATGCGGGAGTAGTTTTGAAGTCTTTCGTTGACTGTTTCTCGACAATAGTTAAACGAGGTAACCAAGGGAAGCAACGAACCAACTATGTTCCTTTTGTTCATAACGTCGAGTTGTCTTCCGCTGGCGCATCTGGCTTTTGAAGTGAACTGAATGTACAGATGTTGTCATCTTCTTTAATCATTGAGTTGGGTATCTTTCAAAAGTTCAGTAGCGGAACCTAGTCTTAATAGACATGATCCTGGGCTTCCACCTTGTCGCCCTCCTTTTCTTCTCTATACTCGAGTACAATCCTCCTTACTTCGAACACGACCTCGACAGCAATGAGAATAATGATGATCCACTCCAGCCTGGTGCTATGCTGTTCGCTCGACATCTCTCGCAGGACACTCGCAATCTCTTGCGCATAGTCCATCTTCTGATTCAATGTCCGAATTCGTATGTTGACGTCCAGCGCCCGACCAACCTGCTCATAGTAACCTTCCAGACCCAGTTCAGATCGGCTGTCCCAGAAGATGTCTGGAAGAGAGTCAGTCAGTTCCGAATAGTGGTTGAGCCTTGCGCGGAGGCTCAAAAGCTCGCCCGTTTTCTGCAGGATGAACTTTCTGCCCAAGGGCAAGCCAGAACCCTTTGATAGCACCGAAGGGATCTTCCTGGTGCTCTCAAAGTAAGCCGTCAGCGCGCTTTCCAGCACAGCAAGCTTCGTACTTCGGGCTAGTCCGGAAGAGAATGCAATCTTGGCGAGAGTTGTATCGAGCATATCGCCGTCTCGTTCTTCGAGTTTTGTGCCCAAGACTACAATATCACCCTTCATACTACTCGTCTCCCTGTTTGGATCGGATATATACTCCAGATCCTCGACCTCCCGAAGAGCCGGCTTGAGCGGCGTTTCTGCTCCACTCAGCAACTGCTTCGTAACAACATCTGGGGGCAGTGCCCATGTGACAATTGTTCCGGAGGGGAAAACAAAGATATCACCGCCATTGACCCCACGTGCGTGGACCACCTCGCTCGCCTCGAATCCGCTCTGGTACGGATCGATGTCAAACCCATGCGCCCGGAGAATTTCCAAAACCGTTCCCATATTAAAGGCTTCGGCAACACACACAGCGCTTATCAATGTGGAGGTAGACGCATCCGTCGCCTCTGCAGACACCGCTCCGGGTTCTCGTTGCGCTGGTCGCTGGGCAATAATCGCTACGCGTCGTAAAGAGTTCTTTGCGCCCGCAGAGCGCACCACCTTACGCTTCGATGCTGTGGGTTGGGAAGAACCGTCATCTTCCTGCTTCGATTGCCTCGTAGTCGGCTCGCCAGTGCTCTGGGAAAGGTAAACGTTCGAGGTGAAAAAGTTGCGCTTTCGAGGCATGCTCGCTGGTGTCGTGACATGGAGGTATCGCTGTGGGCGGGACGTGAAGCGAGCGGTATGCAGCCCGCGGCTGAGCGAGGATGCTATTTTGAAATGGCAGGGTCGCATTTTGAGTCTCTGGGCGCCATTGAACAATTCGCACACACAAAAAGAAAGATGAAAAATCCTATATGGAAGCAACGCCGCTACGCAAATGGGCAGCTGTTGGTTCCCAATGGAAGTGATGCCGAGCAGGGAACCTTCTTTTTCCTTATCGATTGAGCTGTCTTATCGCACGTGATGCACTACGTAAAGCTTCCCGCATTCGCGACGTTCGCCCCCCGTACCTTTTTTTTGATGGAACTTCATCAAGCTCCCCTAAGCCATTGTTAATCAGCCTCGCAGCATCTCAATCGTGGGATTCCGAGATTTTGCTAGCGAAGATGGGGCAATGCGGCCGCCGCCCATTTCCAGATCACACGGTACTATCCTGACCAGGGGCCGATGGATGCTTGGCCGCGACTGGCAAGCTGTTAGTACTCCCTCCATCCTTGAAAGCTCTCCCAATACCATAACTAACATGGACCCTCTCCTAAGCAACTATCCCGACGGCACAACTACCAGTCCAGCCAGTCTGCAGCCGCAGTACAACAACAATCTTCTTGGCAGCGAATCCATTTGTTCGACCATCCCTCCTCGTCACATAATGCGCCAAATCCCTCTTCTCGGAACGATTCGATACGGATCGTGCGCCATAAGCGGTCAATCTTCTCAGACTTGCTCCTTGCCGATGCTGCCGACTTGTATCGCCTCCCCTCCGAACCACTATCCGAATCCAAGCTGTCGAATCTTCGATTTCTCGCGCAGTTGAATTCCACCCAGCTCAGCGTCATCACCGCGCAGGAAATTCTCCGCCAGACCCCAGAGCTTAGTCCAGATGTTGCACGCCTACTATGCGGCGATCGACAATGGCAGGCAACCCTAGATCACTTGTCAGCGAGAGGGCACAGACTGGCGGATGTATCTAACTGGGCCTGGATCATTATTCCGCGCGATCCGGACAGGAGGGTTGACAGATTTCTGAGCAAACCAGGTCACAAACCAGTGTTCGTCTTGTTCTACCTGCTCACCAGCAGGCCGTACTTTCGGAGCTCCGAATCCTTACTGGGACTACTGAGATACTGTAATGAATGGTATGCGGGACGACAGAAGTCATCCGATCATGCGCCGCAAGCCTTTGAGTTGGACTCGGTAATTTCACCGGTTTTATTCAGCAAAATGCTCGACAAATTGTGCCAGCATGCGAGCAGACTGCAGCCCGATACGTTGCCAGATATTGCAGAGCTAGCAGTGGCGTACGTAAAAGACATTCCGCATGGCCATCGCCACCCAGACAAGGCGTACAAGCTACAATGCCAGGTGCTCAATCGCGCTCTACAGGCCGTATCAGTCGCATCGAAAAAGTCTCCATATCAGTGTAGCTCTTACAACTGGACGGCTGTGACTAAGCTTCTGTCGCTATCTTCCAGCTCGGATAGAACCCTGGTCATTGAGGAAGAGAGCTATCGGGCAATTCGGCAAGTGTTGCTTGCATCGCCAAAAACCGCGTCAGAACGGGACACGGCCAGCACTCTTGCCAGTCATTGGCCCCCGCATCGGATTATGCGGGACGGCATGGAAGAGAAAGTTGGTCCCGAAGTCTACCAAAGCCGAGTTGTCAAGGCTGGTGTAATGATGCAAGAGGGTGGATATAGTAAGAAGGAGTTCGATTTGATCACGGATATCCTGGGTGGCATGGCCCCTGATGGCACACCAACGGTCCAGACGAGGGCGAATTACCCACGCCACCTTCGTGTCGAGCAAGGTACATGGGCAGCTCTGATCCGGACGACTCGAAATGCACAAGAAGCTTGGGCACTGTTCAAACATCCCCCAGAACCAGGGATGAAGCCAACGTTTGAGGTGTACAGAGAGTTGATAGCTAAGCTCTCTGCGAAGCCAGCAAAGGCTGGACATCACAATCTCCCCGGAGATGGGAGGGAGGTTTTCCCTTATAACGATGAGAACCTAAGTGACTTTGAGCGGGCGCGGACCAACGCACCTAGTATCCGCAAAGTGGTGGAAGAGATGTGTACCGCAGGTATTCCCATCCGAGGACGCTTTTTGGCCGGACTCATCAAGCAGTCACCCAGCCTCGACATTGCTTTGCATCACGTCGATTGCAGCAGCTTGGATGAAGGACTCAAAAGCAGTCTCAGACAGAGCCTCAAAGACTACCAGGGCCTTAAGGGGAATGCGCTGGCACAACCGCCTCACGACATACTGCACGCATTCATCGACCTGCTTTGTCGCCTACAGCCGAATCGAACAATAAATACACGTTCGCGCATCTCTAGCAAGAGCATGTATAGTATCCACTACGCATTCCGACTTGCGCAAATGGGATGGGTATCAGCTGACGCCTCTGGTCGAACCCCATGGGATACGATCATGTTCAATCTAGGCAGATCAAACATCATGGTCAGCAACAGCATGCCCCGGGAGAACAACATCGAAGTGGTGCATCTGGCATTCAAAGCCCTAGAAAAGGCCGAAGGACATACCGGTCTCAGCCTAAACATGATAACTGCGTTTGCCAGTGTACTACGGAAGGCGGTTCAGCCCCGGCTTGCCGCTTTGCTTGCCAAAGCTTCGACTGAATCGTCAGTTCGTTGTGGAGAAAAAAAACTCGAGGAGCCAAGGACGAGAGACCCGCTCGAAGACGGCGCGTCTGCTTCAGCAACTCTTGACGAAGACCAGGAATTTTTGTCGCTTTATGAGGCGCAGACCACCGAAATGAGGATTCCTGAGGGCCGCATCTTTCGACTTGCCGGCTCCACCGACTCTACCAAGGCAGACTCCAGCAAGCTATCATGGCGCCAGCTTCTTGCCCCTATCTTCCAACGAGAAGAGCTGGGCCACGGCCAGACACCTATCGAGACAGTCCGAAAAGCGTCGAGTCAACTTAAGGCCGCCTGGAGAGCACTTGCTACTCTGGGCCCGGCACGCGACCCTGAAGTGAACAAGCTCGTAACTGCAGCGACAATCAACACATATATGCGCACACTTGCGTTCCTCGGCGACTGCGAGGAAATGGCGCTGCTGATGTGGTGGGTCATCCGAGAGTGGACTCCCCAGGCCGGCGGTGACCTTTCACTGGCGCACGCGAGGTACCTTATGAGAGCATTCCGTGCGTTTCGGGCCTATGCGGAACCCTTGCTCGACAAGGAGACGGTGATGGCTTTACGCGAGGAGGTCACGGCACAAAGCGGTAGCAGTAACGGCGGAGCGCTGCACTGGCCGTCCGATGAAGAGGTGGAGGAGTACATATACGAGGATGAATGGGGCAATCATCAGAATCTGCACGAGGTCATTAAGCTCGGCCCGGCCTTGAGGCAAGACCTGCCAGGTGCGGAGAAGGGGCTACGGGAAACCGAGGCGTCTGACGAGAAGTGCCGGATGGTGATGGACTGTTAAATATAATCATAACCACTGTGAGATGGGAATTCACAACAGGAAGGGCCAATGTGCCAGGCGTCGTGTAGAAAAAGGACGGAATCGGGGACACTTGAATAGATACCCAATCATACCAATACTGAAATTCACTCATGTAAAGGATTTCATTCATTTTCTTGTTGACCGAAAGGCTGCAGCATTGTCCATTAACTAAAGCATTGCGGAGTCTATTTTCCTCTTCGATCCAGAGCCATATCCTAAAAACAGCATATCTCCTCCGTTGTGCAGATGGGACCGGACGACTACTGCTCTACGCTTTGTTTGAGGTGCTTCATCGTGACCAGGTCGTCATCGTCCGCCTTGCGCTTCGTGGAAGTCGCACGCATAAGTCGCAGAGGCGTCCACTGCGGGGATCCCGCCGTAGAAGCCGCGGGCTGCAGACTCGAGGCTCCGGAAGGTTCGCCGGAGGTTTCACCGGATTCGGCAGTGGCCATATAGCGGATGTTCTGCTCGCTCTTGATCACACGTGACTCATCTATGACCTGTTCGAGGAGGACGCAAGCGAGCCGTGGATAGCTGCTCAGTATATGCGAGAGTCTGCGGCGCAGACCCAAGTCCTTCTTGTATTGCGGTTTAATCATGTTCACGGCAATTTGCATTCCCTCCTCATCCTGGTGGGTTTGAAGAACGTAGGAGACGGTGAAGATGAAGTCTGCGTGGTTGGTGAGGTTTGGTGCGATGCTCAAGAGCGCGGTCTTGGCTTGCTTGTGGAGCTTGCTCATGTTGTAAGCCTTCGCTCTGGCCAAGATGCAGGCGCTTAAAAGCATGCTGTGATCGCTATAGTCAAGCTCATGGGTTGGGCCTTCCTTGTTCGTGTCCAAGCTCTGTGGTTTGATGGCGCCGCAAGCAATGTTGAAGGGCTCATATGTTCCGGAATACATGTACTTGAGGATTGCTTCGATGGTGTTAGCCCCGTTCAGGACGAGACGTCCGTCCTTCAGATGCCGTATTAGCAAAATATACCTTTTATGGCACTTTGTACGAGAATAGCCTCAACTTACCACCAAAGGCAAATTCTTCCACTCCTCACACTGAGTGAAGATGATGCACTTATGGCATAGAAAGATTCTCCCGGAAGCCTCGATCAAGAGGTCGCTGTAGCTGTTTGAGTTGTACAGACGGGTCAGGTCGATTCCCGCCATCTTGGATATGCCTGGGTATGTTACTTGTAACCTCGGAAGTCTAGTTGAGTGAGCAGTGTGTTTTTACGGTGGTGTGTTGGAGAAAGCAAAGGCTTTGAAGTGAGATGAAGAAGGGCGGAGATTGAAATATAAAAGAAGATAACCCCCAAGTAGTTTAGTTGAAAATATTTCTCCAAGCTCATTTGAGTTGTCTGAAGTGAGGAGGAGAAGAAGGCGGAGAAGACTAAGACTAAGTAGAGGGGAAAGCTTTCATTGATGAAGAGAGAGAGCCTGTTCCAGCTAGCCTCGCACAGAAGGAGGTAGCTTTTCGCTTTTCCTTCCAAAGTAGGCCGAGAAGGCAGTGGAGCGAGGAAAATTCGCAAGGGCAGGTCGAAGCGACGGCGAGTACCTTGAAATTTGAAATTGAGAAAATGGGCAAGGCGCTAAAGAGTTTTTCGCATGATATATTCGTTACCTCATGGTAAGTTCTTCTGTCGTAAGTGTCATGAAGAGTCGGGACAACCGTCGTACTAAGCCTTGTCATAGAGTCCAGCTCCTCGCAAACAAATAGTCCAACGTCCCTGCCGTCGGGCTCTTGGTCCAGTCTCCTTCATTCCTTCCCGCGTCCTCATACCAAGCTAAATCTCTCCTTCCCGTTCTGGGTATTCTCCAGCACCTGAGGAAGTGGAACGGCTTCTTTTCTTGCTGCCCCGAACAATTTGGTACTCGGAATTGTTGTCGCGAGCCGCTTCTTCCTCTCTCCTCTCCCGATCACGCTCTCTTTCTCGCTCAGCCTCGACCCAGAAGTCACCAACTTGGTAGCCCTGAGCCCGAAGGTCTGATATCTCCTCTTGAGCTTCAATCAGCTCCCTTCTGGCTTCAGCCAGAGCGTCCATGCTTGCTTCCATTGTGTCCAGGGCGAGCTGTGGGTGTTTGAGCATGATGGGCTGGAGTCGGTCTTGCATCCGTCGCTTTATCAGACAGTTCTCTGCAATGGTACTGGCAATCTTCGCGAGGTGGACGGGGAATTGTGAGTGCTGGCTACACGTCTCGTAGAGCTCGTCGATCACGCCGGGGAAGTCAACATGGTTCGTGAGATATTGTGCTGAACAGCACAACGCATCCGCCGCTTCCCCGTACAGATCGACGAGCTCGAGCTCATGAGCCAGCTGCATGGTGTGGAGGGACCAGTACATCGAGTGAGGCTGATATTCAAGATCAGCCTCGCTGGCTCGCCGGACCGCCAGCGGTTGCTCGTAAAGCGCCTCGTACTGTCCGGAGTACAAGTACTGCAATATGGACCCGAGTGTCAAAGCACGGTAGTCCAGATGGACGATGTCGACTCCTTCTTCCCGGTTCTGTAAATAAGGTTGTCAGAATAGATCTTGTGAGTCCTGGACAGAAGGCTTAGCAGTGGTCCAATTGAAGCCACCAAATCTTTCAATCTCGGACATTGGGTGAAGAGAATGTTGCGATGAACGGAGTACTCGGTCTCAGAGCCATCTTCTACTTCGGTGGTGATAATTCTTAGATCACTGTAGGAGCCTGACTCCAGGAGGAAAGAGAGGTCGAGACGGCCCATGGCTGTGGAAAGAGAAATGAGACGAAATGAGAAATAAGGAGTTATGATAATTAGGTCGGGTCTTCTTGGAGTCGTCCAGCGACTTCTTTTGTCGTACCTAGTCGGGAAAGAAGAAGAGACTGAAATTTTGAGAAGACAAAAAGGGTAGGGATGAAAGGTCGATTGGCGACGATGACGATAATGACGACGAGGGCGCGAATCAACGGATAATGTGTTGAAAATTTCTTTGAACGTTGTCCAGCAACGAAAAGGAACAGAGAGGAGGAGTAATTGGGAAGTTGAAGAATAGGACTGTCCACGAAGAAGCTGAATGATGGATGTAGGATGGATATAGGATTTGAGAAGAGAAAAAAGAAGACCACCCTGAGGTAGAAAAGGTAAGGTAAGGTGAGGCAGGTAGTCAGACATGGGTAAATTGCAGACAAAAGGGATGTTTGGATAGAGATTTTGACGTTATTCAGAAGAGGAAGGAAGGAGGGGGTCGTCCGTTGTGTAGGTTACTCCTTCCGTTTTGGTGGCCCATCATTGAGGTGCAAGACGTAACAGACATGCCTTTCGAGCTTGTATATTCGAGTGAACATATACGGTTGACTATTGGTCGATTTTAGTCTGGTTCCGAATGACTTCCTCATCGAAAGTTATTAGGATGAGAAAACAATCTCAAATAGAGCCATACGATTTCTCAGTATAGCCTGACAGCGTACCCTAACTCGGGTGAGCTGTTGTTTACTCTCTCATTCGTTGGTGATGTGAAATATCGCAAGATGTTTCATTTATCTCTCCTAAGAATTATCGATTTTTGAGCTTTTTTTCGAGCCATTTGACTTGGTAAAGTTTCGGAGTTTATCACGGTGACCAGTTAGTTGGTGTTCATTAGGAACTGTAGACGAACGATGAGCCTCCACTAGTGCCCATGACGACTCCTGACTTCCTGCCTTAGGAGCGATGTTGACCAAGAAACTTCGTCGAAACAGTGGACATGAGAAATGACATACTTCGTTTGTTTGGGACCCAATCCATTGATCGTATGCATCCTTCTCATGATCAATATTGAGTTGCATACATCGATGGGGGTAGATACCCAGTCATTAACGAAATGAAAGACGTGAGCTTCGGACAACTTCAATCGCAATGAATAAGACAGCATCGAATACTTTTGGGAAGAAACGTCTTACGTTCAGCGGCAAGCTGACGGGTGTGTGGTTGCTGGATCAGGAACCCACTTGCTTTGGTAGGACAAGCATCGGAACATGATTGTCGATATCTTTTCCCTCGTCAATGAAGCAGCGATGGTTTAATTAATGTGATTTCCCGTATCGATTCATACGTCTAATTCCATAATTTCTCAAGTACAAACTGCCTCCTTCCTCTGAGGGTCTACTTTCGAAGGGAAACACTCACCTCACTTCATGTTGCTAGTTACATTTGAGTTTATCTTCGCAAGGCCATTGGAGAACTTGTTCTTACCATTATTACTTCCAGGAGACAACGATATGAGCTTCGCTGTCATCGCCGTCTGCTTCTGACGTAATCTGTTCGTATAATCGCATGGTTGGGATTATATAGTAACCTGAATTAGACTGAAGGTAGTTCAGGATATTTGTTTCCTGCGGTGCTGTAGAAGTACATTGCAATCGCCCGACAAAGTCTGCTTCCAAAAAGAAATTGGGAGACGTAGGACCTGTGTAGTCAAACATGTAGCTTAGGTCAACCAGCAGGAGAATTGGCGATCTTGTTGGCGTGGGCGCTGCACTTTGCAAAGTAACCCTTGCGCATATCTTGACGCGCTTGAGAAGAAGGCTCACCCTGACTACTACTTCCCCGGTGCAGTCCGATGAGTTGGACAACAGCTGAACTTTGCTTCAATCAAGTTGGTCCCACGATCAAGTCATCCGAGACAGGACTCTTCACCGTTGCCGATCGGAAAGAGTTCGGACGGGCTGGAAAACATGCGGACATGTTTCCACAACGCCCTCAATTTCCTTGAAATGAAACATGTCATCACCGATAATGAATGGTATCGGATTAATAAGAGAGCAGTCACACACACAAAGGCACACAGCTAATTGACGCGAGTGCCACTAGTTTTTGATTAGGATGCAAAGTGTCGGCTACTCGAACCACTCTATACACATGAGCCAAACCCTTTCCCTTTCCCCGTTCCCGAGCCAAGGTAATAAAAACCATGATCCATTTCCTCCATCACGAACCCCCACCTACACCCATTTTGCGTGTGATAAAAACAAAAAGGGAGGAGAAGCAAATAAAGGACCTTTCCGCTGTGCCAATGGCACAAACAAACTTCCGATGGATTGATTGTTCCGTGTCGACGTCCCAAAAAGAAAAGGCCGCCCCTTCCGGCGATCATCTACTGAGTTGTAAACTCTCCTCCGAGACTTTCTAATAACACAAAGGGCCAGAACGCCAAGAGTCAAGGGTTGTGGTCGAATCGAGAATTTCCTCTCATGCAACTGCCTTCCCGTGTGCCCACCCATTCATCATCAATAAGGCCACCCCTTTTGCGTCGCTCAGTACAGCACCCCAGCTGTCCGAATCGCAGATGCGATTTGAAGAAAAAAAGGTCACCTCTCTCTCACCAACTCCGAAAGGACATCGCTTTCCTGGCTATTCAGACACCCTAGAATATATGGAAATCGGCATTTTGTTGACGCAACATGCACCAGAACCGACTGAGCCAGTGATCGTAGGTATCATTCCTTTGCTGAGCCCGGCCGGGGTAAATATTGCACTATTTGAGGCGCAGGCACAGCATAGGGCGTATTCTGACGACCATTCCATGCTATGGCCTCCCCCGAAGGTCCCCTGGACACCGGAGTAGACCGTGGTAGCACTGGTGGCTGCGGTGGCAGGAGATGATTGCCAGCTTGCTAAGCTGGCTTCCTTTGCTGCTGTTGAGGTATGACCGGAATGGGTACCGGCGTCACTTTATGCGGGATTGGCGGGGTTCCGTTGGCCTTGCCTATACTGCCAACAGGGCTCTGTGGCTTCGGGGTACCGCCTGCGGCCATACGCGCTCTCATGTTCGCATTGTAGGGTGACCCTTGGCCGTTCGGATCATCGGCTGGTACTTGGGTCATGTTGCCTTCATGTGTGCCCTGTATCTTGGTCCCGAAGGCTGCACTCGTCTGCTGTGCGGCAGCTCTGTACCTGGCTTGCTCGGCGTGGAGGCGCTGCTGGTCTGTCCTTGCAACGGCTGTATTGTATCCAGTTAGAGAATTCATAGGTTGTTGAGGGAGGTGACTACCATTCGGATAATGCTGACGGTTGATCGGAGGGGTGCCAGGCACGTTTTGGTGCGGATTCGATCCATAGTACCGTTGCTGCTGGTGTGGAGTTGGCGAATTGTACTGACCAGCCGGTACCTGGGGTGACATAGTCCGCTGTTGCATGTTGTTGGCACCGTTAGGGTAATAACCTCCATAGCCCTGGGAAGGCGTGCTTGGCTGTTGCGGGAAAGACTGCTGGTAGCTCTGCTGAAAGCGAGCATTAGGCGTGCCGTGTGAAGGCGTCCCTGCGTAGCCAGAGTACTGTGGAGGTCTTTGTTGAGATCCATACTGAACACCCTGGTGGCCATATGGTGTTTGCGCCTTCCCGACATGTTGCGCATAGTTGGTGTATCCGTTGGTCGTCCGGAAATTGCCCGATTGAGCGGGACGGGGTTGCTGCGCATGAGGCATCTGGTGGGGTACACCGGCCGGACGAGGAACGGAACCTTGCTGCGGGGGAATGGCGGGTTGCTGGCCTGACCGGTAGTAGTTGGTTGGAGCAATTGAAGGCGTTCGGGTGGGGGTTCCGTACTGCGCCGACCCGTACTGGTTGTTGTACGGAGTGGAGGCACTGGGCGTGCGGTGCGGAGCAGGCCGGTTCTGGGGAGCAGCAGCGGCCGCATTCTGCTGTTGACGCATTCGGGCTTGCGTTGCGGCATCGTCCTCCATCACACCCTTGTACTGATCTGTGCGGACCTCGAGCTTAGTGCTGATGAGAAGCTCTTCAAGTTGGTCACCGTTGAGTTTAGCCACTGCGTAGGGGGGTAGAGTGCCGATGATCAGACTCAGCTGAGCCCTCAAAGTTTCATAAGTCGCAGTCTCCTCTTCCGTCGGTGACGAGACAGCACCATGAGATAGCAAGTCGCCGTTGACGGGATCACCAGCATAGCGATTCTGTGATGATGGCAACGTGAGATTGCGAATGCGCTGATACGACAGTAGCGTCTCAATCATGTCGGTGACCTCATCCAGGAACTCGTCAACCTCCTTATCGGCGGGTTCCTTATCCTTGGGTTTAGTGAGGACCTCGTTCATGTCTTCCAGTGCCGGATCCACCAGCCATTCATCCCACTTCTCAATTGCCTCGTTGACAAACTCCTCGTCTACGTCTCCGGTCTCAGTCGCCTTCTCCCCAAAGTGCTTTTCGAGCGCGTTGTCTTCATCAACTTCCTGCAATTCGGACTCAACGAGGCGGTTGAAGTTCCGCTGTCCAGTAAGCTGCCAGTACATGCGACCAGCATGGCTGGACGGAATGACTGAGCCGGAATCGTCTCTGCAGGGCGCGAAGCTGGAAAAGGCGCTGCGGAACAAGGACTCCATTTCGTTGACTTCGATTTCGGTAGACGAAGGTCGGTGGCCTGCGAGACTTTGAGCGCGTTCGCGTTGCCTGGTCTTGCTCTTGGATGAGGGTGCCGCATTGGTATAGTCCAAGTAGTAGCCGACCGCGACCTTCTTGCTAGAGTAAGAATCATTGAAGTACTTGGACTTTTGCGCAGGCTCAGGATGGTAGAAACCGAGAGCATTTCCCTTGACCAGCTGCTTGGGTTGCTTGGGCGGCTGCAGTGGCGGGAGAGGCCTGCTCGAGGAAAACAACTCCCCAAGAGTAGCTGACCTTTCGTTTTGGCGAGAAGGAACTATGTAGGACCTCGATATGCCCGTAGGAAGTTCCAAGGAGGCGGCCTTTGCAGCGGAGCTCTCCTGCCCTGGTACCTTTTTGGGCAGACTTGAGAAGAGCTGCTTGCCATGAGGGGCGAGACCAACAACCGTCAAGACAGCGTTGCCTGGAGCGACTTCTGGGATCGGCTTGATGTAGTTGATGTTTACAGCGCTGCGAGGGTACGATATCTCCCGTCGAAGGAGGTCCATAGCCTTCTGTTGAAACTTCTTGGTCTGAGCCACAGCGGCGCCATCAATGACCTCCTTGTCCTTCTCATCCTTGGCCGATTGAAGTTCTTGAAGCTGACCCTTGACAGCTTCGACGAGATCGGCCGCGAGTTCGTCGACGTGCGAGTACGAGTCGTTACTGACCTTGTCGGCGATGGTGGCTGGGCTATCGGCGGACTTTTGGCGTTTCGCGTCGGGTTGCTCCGAATCGGGCTCGGGAAGATAACGCTTCAGGATTGATGGGTTTGCATCGAAGCTTTAGACTGCATATCAGTACAATGCGGCCTCGGGGGCGATGAACGGGGATGGGCGCGCAGCTAAGGGCGCAAAGGGGTGCGGCAAGCGTACCTGCTGAGAACAGCGAAATAGTCTTTGATGAGTGGTTTATGATCCTCCTTTGGGATTTCCGCGTCGACCTCCATCTTCTCGGGTCCATCGCCGTTGACCTCGTCGCCTTCGTCCTCGGTATCGCGCTTCCTCTTCACAGGAACAACGGGTTGGGGGGACTCAGCGTGGTCCGGTCCAGGGATGCCGTTTGCCTGGACCGAATCCGGCTGCGCCATTGTGAAAATCGTCGTCGTGCGTCGTAATTGTGACTATTGATGGGAATTGTCGCGATGCCAGGGCGTGTCGGGCCGTTCGTTCTGTCGATGTCGCGCGGGACGACGGGGGTGGTAGGTAGCCCAGTGGAGGGCGGGATTGTCGCGACGCGCGAGGTTCGTCGGTCGCTCGTCTTGGTGGAACTCCAAACCCTTTTTTCGTCAAGCGTCGCGAGGCCAGGCGTGTTAGGGAACCTTTTCATCCAAGAACACACTCAAAGGCAAGCAACTGGACTCGGAAAATGGATGGAGTCCATCAAAGTCGCCGTTTTATGATTTTTTTCGCCTTGTAAGTGCTCCTGGAGCAATTCCCCTGCGTAACTGTCGGGAGGCTATACTGGAAAATTAGAGGGAACAACGGGTCCTTGTTGGTTGCTGGCGGAAAGGCACTGAGCTGAGGCCACCAACGATTGGTCCGCCGATCGATTTAAACGGGTCTTCCACACACGTGACGATCTGGCCTGTGCAGAGGAAGAGTGGGCTCCACGTTACGCTTACACCTTGGTGGCCATGGATACGGCCATGTCATCGAGCAGCACCGAGCAGCACCCAGCAGCACCCAGCAGCACCGGATGACTTGGTTTAGATGAAGTGGGTGAAGTAAGTTAAGGTATGCTGACCATTTCAATTCAGAGTCTCATGCACAAATGATAGCTATTTGAAATTCTTTTTTCATATTTCCACGCTGTCTTACGTTACTACTCGATCTATCAGAGGTGGTAAAAACTCTGGCGCTAAATAGAACATAATGCCCCATGAATCGTACCCATTTACTCAAGGACTCATTGAGGCCACGGAACTCAATTCACATAGCAAGTGCGTGATCGGAGTGTGTGATGGGACTTGCGTGAAAAGAAAAATGCTACTATTGGTATTCTCACAACGGTGTCCAGACTAACTTCCTGTCGTAGTTACATTACAGCCGCGCCCTAAATCGGAATGTCCGAATAATCGACGTATTCTCAAGGAAAGGGAGTTATGAGTAGGCGTTTATTTCTTGGCCTTGGCCAGACCAACGGCGTTCTTTCCGAGGTCGTAAACGGAGTACCACCGGCGGAGGAAGGCGTCTCCAAGGATGACAAGAGGACCGACCGGCTCGGGGAAGTCCATGCCCTGGAAGGTGGAGATGCAGCTGCCAGAAACCTCCAGGACGTAGTCGTATGCAGAAATGCTGAAGTTGTAGCCAGAAAGGGTGAAGGTGATGTCGGGAAGCTCGTCGCGCTTGGAGCACTCAACAGAGTACTGGCCGTTGTAACCCTTCTTGGCGCCAATTTCCTTGTTGAGCAGCTCGGCAAGAGCAGAGGGCAGAACGTTCAGGGAAGTGCCGGTGTCAAGGATGGCGCCGTGTCCCTCAAGGTCAGCGGTCTCATCGCCAAGCGTGATGGCGTCGAGGTCAACCTCCCAGTAGGCCTTGCGGCGGAGGGGAATGTAAGTGATCTTGCCCTCGTAGTGAGAGTCATCAAGGCCGCCGAAGGTAGCTTCGCTCTCATCACCCTCCTCGTTGGTGTCACCGAGGTAGAAGGCGAAGACAGGCTCGTCGATGGCCTTCTGCTTAACGAGGTTGTAGAAAGGGGGGACGATTTTGTTAACGGAAATGGTGTCGTAACCGAGACCAAGGATACCGTCAAAGCGGCCAAAGGCGAAGGCAAGGCCGGGCTCACTGGTAGCCTCGGCAAAGTCCTGCTTCTTGATCTTGAGGTCGCCAATGGAGACGTCATCCTGGGATACGAAGCCAGTCAAGCTGCCAGAGCCGTAGTGGATCTCGAACTCGGAGCCATTGGACTTGTAGGTGGAAGAAGACGAAGAGTCGTACTTGGAGTGCAAGTAGCATGCAATGCTGCCGCACTGCTGTGAGGGCACCCACAGGTTGGAGCTACCGGTGTCCAGGACAACCTTGAAGGTCTGGGGAGGAGTTCCAATCTCGATCTCGGAGAAGTCTACAGTGCAAGAATTAGTTCGGATGATGATTACTAATTACGAAACGGATGTGACATACACTGAGCGTTCATGAAGTTGCTCACGGGGACGGGGTGCTCGCCAGTGCTTGTGAAGGGCTTCTGGTTGAACATGGCATCGGCATGGCTGTCAGGGCGAGCCCCCATGTACTTCTGGCCAATCTGTCTGACCTGGTGCTCGATAGGGACAGAATTCTAAGGATGGCAACGGTCAGTAAACGTCGTTGTGGAGATGCGGGTAGATGGCCAAACATACAAGTTGCTCCTCGATGGGAACCTTCTTGAGCTTCAGCTTGTGGACTTCGGCCTGGGCCGCGCCCAAGAGCACAGCCGCGGTAAGGAGAGTGCTCTTCATCGTGGCTGTCAGCCTCGATTACCCTGATTACGATGATGTTTGGCGCCCTGCGTCTTCGTGCTGGTGATACTGGGAGATGGCGGTTGAAGCGGATGGGGGGGATGATGATGTGTTGACGGGGGGAAGATGTGAAAGCTGGGGCGGCGCCTGTACCTATTAAGTAGGTAGGTACCTTGCTTAGCAGCCTACCCAGACTTACCTTAGCAACTGCGCCCCCGTGACAGCCTGCCCACTCGCCTCCGCAAGGCACGAAGGCCCATGACGCAGCACCCGATAGGTGCAGGTGCCTTATCTGCCTATCAAAAGCTGGGGATGGTTTGATAGACCCACTTTAGCTGGCTGGGGGAGCAACCATGGAACCTAAGACGGCGCGGAGCTGCCCCAACTCGCCCAAGGCACGCAGCGAGTTGGAAGCCCGAGACAGAGCTCCTGGCAGCTCTCACACACTCGGTGACACTCACACTGCTCCCGTCTCCGTCTCTCACACTCGTAGCGCAGGGTGATGCGGCTGCCACTACTACGGAGCTTGCGTGTCTGATCGCGTGTCCCTGCAGCCTTTTGCATCCCAACACCCATTTCATTTTGCTGTTCAGTTGATCCTGCGCCGACGAGATGCTTTCCAAAGAGCGCTGGAGTGCAAGCAGCGGACGCGATGGCGACGGAATGACCCTGACATCACGCCACGAGGTGGATTGATGAGATAAGGAAGATACCTCACCTTCGGTGAACAATTCCCTAACTCTCTCACTCGGCCACCCATAGCTTATTGCTTCCCTTACCTTATTAGCTTAGCTTATTTTTGCTCTAACATCCGAGGTGTGCCTGAAAGCCAAAGTGCCTACGTGCCCCCAACACCTCGGTACCTGAGGCCAAAGGATCCTGGACAGTCTCGGAGCTCGGGGCTAATGTGGATGCGACCTGGCTTGCCTGGATGAGTCAGCATTTCCCAGACCAGAGCATGACCCAGGCGCTCACCGACCTTACTTCGGTACCTATCATACCAGGCTAAGTACCTCTGTGGCCTTCCGGGTTCCCTCGCGCCAAATGCGCTTTGGAGATGCACGAAACAGCATGCAGGTAAGGTGGGTGGGTAGTCACAACTACCTCAGTGTTGGCGCAGCTCACACTTCTCAATTGCCTCAACTCAAAGCTGAAATCTCATGGTTCACGTCAGAGCCGCATAGAGTTTGAACGTGAAAAGTCTTGATTAATCTAGAGTTAGGATCCAAACACTGGCCAATCACAGATTCGCTTGAAAGGAACTAGGAGACATACAGCCAGCCGTCTTGACTCTAGCTTGCGCCGGCATCGCAACTGTCTCGTCCCTACCTAGAAAGGTAGGACTGCATCGACGCTGCGATGAATGGTTTTCTATTATTTTCTTATGGGCGGCTCTCTACTTTGCCAGATACGGTGTTTGAAGCAGAGAATCTCTCCACGGTCAAAGTTCCAGTTGATTGCAGAGACATAAAATTGTTGTTTGAAGAATAAGTCTTATTCGGGTGGTTTCCCTCGACATGAAGCGCCTCGTCTCCCCCCGAATTCTCAAGAATGAGGTGGCTGGGAACTCAACCCACGAAGCACATCCACAGAGTGAATTTGTGCGAATTGCCAGTCTTTTCGAAAAATAGCTATTACACTGTTGTTGAGTCACAATTCAATTGCCACAAATGGCCCGCTCGCCATTTGCAAGGTCTCCCGCTCGTATTTGTCCCGGCTCACCCGAACCAAAGGTCGTTGCTCTTGGAGTCTTCAGACGGTTGAGGCGGGGAGGCACGAGCAGCTACAGTGAACAAAAGGTCAAACCGCCTCCCGGTCGTCGTGAAATGGGGCCGTTTCCTCGATGACTCGTGGAGCCGTTCCAGAATCGGAGTCGAGAGGCCCCGCCACAGGATGTGAGTGAGTTCAGGGAAAGGCCGTTTTAGCGTTAAACTGGGGACCACTTACAACTGAGAGCCACACCGGGGACCACAGGTGGCCCACCCTAGGCCGCGAGCTCACTGCCGCAAACTGTCGAGCGATCCCAATTTAGCGAGTCAAATGCCTCCGAATCGTCCCTGCCATGTCAAGCCATCAGTCAACTATCGAGGGGCCGCCACCGTTTTTTTCAATTCCACCGCGTCCTAGAGCTCGACCCCGCCAATCACACCCCGCCAAACCCCACCGCTTCAACCATTCGATTCACATTTTGCTCCCTCCGATGTTCTGCCAAATTTTCTCAAGCTTTTTTTCCCATCCCTTCATAACCTTGCTGGCCTCCCTCTCTTCCTCTTCCTCTCCTACATCTATTTCTTTCTTGCCATTGATTGCGCGAACACTTTCTCTCTCTTCCTCAACTCCACATCCCACGATCCCTCGCAACAACACAATTCACAATGGCTGCTACTGGTTCTTACTCCCTCCCCGTCTCCCACAAGGAGGTACGTCTACTCTGTTGCCCCGCCATGCTTCAAAGAGCTGTATACTGACTCACCGACAGATGCTGGAGAAGTCCCTCATCGACTCCGACCCTGAGGTCGCCGAGATCATGGTACGTTGAGCAAACCAAGCCTCGACCTCACCAAGAGCACGATCTAACCTCTCCCTATAGAAGGACGAGATCAAGCGCCAGCGCGAGTCTATCATTCTCATCGCTTCCGAGAACGTCACTTCCCGTGCCGTCTTCGACGCCCTTGGATCCCCCATGTCCAACAAGTACTCCGAGGGCCAACCCGGTGCCAGATACTACGGTGGCAATGAGCACATCGACCAGATTGAGATTCTCTGCCAGAACCGTGCCCTCAAGGCATTCAACCTTGACTCCTCCAAGTGGGGTGTCAACGTCCAGTGCCTGTCTGGCTCTCCCGCCAACCTCCAGGTCTACCAGGCCATCATGCCCGTCCACGGCCGCCTCATGGGTCTTGACCTCCCCCACGGTGGTCACTTGTCCCACGGCTACCAAACTCCCGCCAAGAAGTAAGTAACTAGACGGTGCAATGCACAATCGAATGATAATAGCTGACTCTCGTTCCCAACAGGATCTCTGCTGTCTCTACCTACTTTGAGACCATGCCCTACCGCGTTAACCTCGACACCGGCATCATTGACTACGACCAGCTCGAGAAGAACGCCCAGCTCTTCCGTCCCAAGGTCCTCGTCGCCGGTACCTCTGCCTACTGCCGTCTGATCGACTACGCCCGCATGCGCAAGATCGCCGACTCTGTCGGTGCCTACCTCGTCGTTGACATGGCCCACATCTCCGGTCTCATTGCTGCCGGCGTCATTCCCTCCCCCTTTGAGTTCGCGGACATCGTCACCACCACCACCCACAAGTCCCTCCGTGGCCCCCGCGGTGCCATGATCTTCTTCCGCAAGGGCGTCCGTTCCGTCAACGCCAAGGGCCAGGAGACCCTCTACGACCTCGAGAACCCCATCAACTTCTCCGTCTTCCCCGGTCACCAGGGTGGCCCCCACAACCACACCATCACTGCCCTCGCCGTTGCCCTGAAGCAGGCTGCCAGCCCCGACTTCAAGGCTTACCAGCAAAAGGTCATTGACAACGCCAAGGCCATCGAGAACAAGTTCAAGGCCCTCGGCCACAAGCTCGTCGCCGACGGCACGGACTCCCACATGGTCCTCCTCGATCTCCGCCAGTTCAACTTGGACGGTGCCCGTGTTGAGGCCGTCCTCGAGCAGATCAACATCACCTGCAACAAGAACTCCATCCCCGGCGATAAGAGCGCCCTCACCCCTTGCGGTCTCCGCATCGGTACTCCGGCCATGACCTCCCGTGGATTCGGAGAGGCCGACTTTGAGCGTGTCGCCAACTACATTGATGAGTCTATCAAGATCTGCAAGGAGGTCCAGGCTTCCCTGCCCAAGGAGGCCAACAAACTCAAGGACTTCAAGGCCACCGTCGCCGGCGGCCAGGTTGCCAAGATCAACGACCTTCGCAAGGAGGTTGCCGAGTGGAGCTCCGGCTTCCCCCTCCCTGTTGAGGGCTGGCGCGTTGACGCTGGCATCTAAATCATGCCAGCGGCTTGTGGGACTAGTGCCACGTATGCTAGGGAGCGATGTGGAAGAGTTGATCAAGGGAGGAATCGATATATACCACTCTGGGCTGATTAGGCCCAGTTCAACAAAAATGGTCCAGAAGGGATAAGCGTGGGGCGACCCAATTCGTAACAGGGTCGGGTTTCGCGCATGACATTTAACATGGCTCATGAACAAAGGGAAATGTGCTTCAAAGGGCACTACTGCTGCATTTTACATAGGCGTTGCAATTTTCAAGCGGAAAAACAAATACCGGGAAGGGTAAAACAAAATTCTGGAGGCGGGAGTTGGGGGTGGCGTTCTCAACTGCGGCCATTTTTAGGTAGCTGACTGCTTCAACGCGGTCAAACGCTCAATGCAATCAACACGTTGACAAGCAAGCATGTGTCTTTCCTTGAGTCTTCTGTGTGGTTTGAACCGTTACCGTTGCGCCCCCGGTGTGGCGTTGAGACACCCCAGACTAGTCTGTCCCAGCCGTGACAATGTCAACTGGGTCCAACAAACGATACAATGGAGAGAAACGAGGATGGGAAGATATAGTGGGAAGGTATACTAGACAAGGGCCATCTCTGAAGCGGTAGGTCATTGCGAAGCGTTGTAAAGCATTGTTTCGACTTCAAAGACCCTGACAGGTCTTCAGCCACACCCGCTGGGTCTACACAAAGGACTGGCCTTGTTTATATGTAAAAGCTGCTCAAGCCTCTTGTCCGGACACATGTATCTTTCCCCTCGGCCCTCGCCGTGGCCTTGAACGAGATGGCATTGACGGTCGGTCTACATAATCAACGACCCTGCCTGTCCGGGGCTTTCCTTTCGCTCTCTTCTCGATAGACCAGACCAGGAACATAAACACGCTAGGATAATACACCGTCTCGTCTACCATACTCCCTTTGACGGCATTGCTTCATCATCAACTTGTAAGTGCACTCCCGCACCAACCTCAACTAACGAGCACAGTTCTCCCACCTCTTCTCCAAAACGTCGCATCGTTTCTATTCCGTAGTCCAGGTAAGCTTCACAATATGACCAAAGTAACACCCCTCGTCCTCGTCCTTCTCGCCTTCGCCCACGTTACTCCAGCCCTCTCCTTCTACATCCCCCCCTTCCTCAACTACACAAATAGCACAAACACAACCTATCATACCCCCAAGCCCCCCGCCCCCGTCGACGTCTCGATAACGGACATAGAAGTAGACAAAGACGCCTGGATCTGGGGCGAATCCTCCGGACCCTCCTTCTACAGGGGCAGCAGAAAATGGGAAGACCAAATCTGCGGCGCCTCCTCCTTCGCAGGCATCACCCGCCCGACATCGCCCCTAACGACAGATTGCCTGGCACTCGCCGACGACGCTGAAGCGGAGCGTTACGTCTGGTACGCAGATGGCTTCGCAGACAACAACAACACCATCCTCGGCATCCGCACCCACGGCACCTGCAAGTTTGGCATCCGCCCCCCGTACGCCGACGCGCTCCCGCACATCATGACGGGCTGGTACGTCGGCGGCGTGGACGTTGCCGAGGTGGTGCGCACCGCGGTGCGGGACTATGACGCCGGCGGGCTGACGGGCGCGAGCGGCATGATGCACTGCTGGGCGAACCGGCAGAACCACGTCGACGTGCAGTGGGCTATTTACGGGCCGGGGGAACAGGCCGAGGCGGGCTGGTTCTGGGCTCCGCCTGTGCCCTCGGTCGCTGTTAAGAGAGGCGTTGTGAGCACGGGTGTGGTAACTGGTGTGCTGGTTTTCTGGTTACTGTTGTTTTGGTCCATTGTGAACTGAGGTTGTAGATACGTTAGGTACTTTGGTTGTAGGTTGCATCGGGGGGGGGGTAAGTAACACAAGCTCTCAGTGCAAGGCAGACTTTTCATGAGGCGTAATGTTGTTTTAGGTTTCAGCCAGAGTTCATCCATCGATGTAAGTCCCAGCTTCACATAAAGTCGAGTTTATTATAAACTTGAGTCGTTACATTCGGCTCATGTCAAGAGCATGGTTCTCCAACTCTACCACATAGTTGTTTTGTCTAGCTCCTTTTAGACGTAAAACTGTAAAGTCTCTCAAATAATTCCTCCAACAAATCACCTAGAGGATAAAAAGGTTCAAAATTCTCTTAACCAGCCACTGCTGTCGTCGCGATCTCGCCAATTCTGAGTTTCGTATCAGGTTGCCTGAATCACCCTTCCTAGTGGTTTGTACTACCAGGCTGTAGGAAACCTTGAAGGCTTGTCCAGGCTGTCGGGATCGTGCACAGCTCGTACAATTGTGCACCTGTGAGGAAGACACTGTGGCGTTGTGACTGTAACGTGACTCAAAAATATTCTCGTTCTGTTCATGGGTACAAAGTCATGATTCGATTCCTCCCCCCCTACAGCATCAACCGAGTGTTAAAGAGGCTGTGTGGCACTTAATCCACGTAGCGTCAAAGCTTGATTTTTTGGCAAGTAGGTAGGAAAGATCGCAAGATGTAGCAAGACCGACCATCACCCGCCAGAACTGTCATACCTTGTCAGAGTTCACAAGGCGAATAATAACCTGGAGGGACCTTGAAGAGGGCGCGTGGGGCGCTTTAATAGGCAGACTCAAGCGAAGCTGAACTCTGATCCGGAGTGAAAGCCAAACCGCGAGCCAATTGACAAACATGTTCGTCCGATAGCGATTTCGGATGAAATGGTAGGAACTTCAGCTATCAGGCACAGAAAACTTTGTGATGCTGAAAAATCGATGACAGTCAAGACACCGGGGCGAGTAGTCATGGGCCAAGATAATGGGATGTGCCATGGGGAGGAGCGGTTGAAGTTGTAAGCTTTGACGTTGCCGTATGCTTCCAATAAATGTGAATTCAAGTTCCATTGCCCCGAACCAAACGAGGCCGTATTTCCGATTGGCCATGTCAAACAACTGGCGGTCATTAACATAACCGAAGCCGGGAATAGCAATAGAACGCAAGGCTTCGTCCGAGAGGGCTGCAATGGAGACACGGAAATCATGCACTTGCACTTCATGGCAAGGCCTAAAGAAGCGGTCTGAAAGTCTCAGCTTCCGTTGTGCCCTTAGACTAAGCTAAATGTTGGCGTCGTGAACCAGTTCCGATGGCAACCGTTGAGAGTTTGTAGGCGCCGTCTTGAGTCAAGACGGCGTCACGGCCTAATGGTAATCAGAGGGGGATCCACATGTTCCAAGTCAGCTGCCCGATTCTTCACCGTATCATCGGATGGCGTTGGGAACCATGAGAGGCGATGCGACCAAACTCGTGTTGCTCGAGAGTCGTATCCGATGGGGCGAGTAGTCGTGTGAGGCGCGTTGCGAGGACTGGACGAGGAAGTGAGGGGGAGAAATAAAATTCCAATTTTGCGATGTCGTTGGGCTGTCAGAAAGTGTCAGAGAGTAGGCCTCGTCTTGTGTCACACGAGCTGACCAACGAAGCGCTTCTTTCGAGGTTCACCCGCTTTAGTGTGTGTTCAAGACTCAAGTAGCATGTGCCAAGATGCCCGGCCCGTGCTTGCTAGCAGCAAAAAAAATAATAGCAAAAGCGGCCGGCTCCGCGCTGCATGATGCATAATCTGGTAGTGGCCGCTGGCGGGATCGAGGCAGAGAGACAAAACAGTGGCTTGCGTTAGGCTGGATACTTTATCTCGACAAGATTGTGGATGCTTGAGCTTGAGAGCTGTTTCGATGTAGCCTCGCCTCGTCGAGTCACCAGACCTGCCTCTCGTGTGCAGCGCATACGCGCTTCGATATAGAGCAATGGCAACTGATCCTTCGCCCCAAGCAAGACTCCATGTCTCCTTATTCGCCCATAGTCGGTCGACCGCACAGTGGCTCAGCTTCAACAAAGCCGAGTGACTCAATCGATATATTGCTTCAGTCGTCATTACTTCTGCTTACGTCGCCGCTCTCTTTCATTGCTTGCGCCTTCACCGAAATCGAAGTAAAAGGGCGGCGGCGGCGGATTTGCAGTACGCTTGACTGGCCTTTCGGGCGCAGGTACTTCGTATTGCTCTTTGTTGAACACGGCCTGGAGCCAGCGTCTGGCTGGTCGCGACAAATTCCCATGCGTCCAGTCTGGAAGTTGAGGCATCATTCTCACGAGGGCCTCTGGACAACATGTCAGAAAAAAACACAGAGGCGAGCGAATGTCTCTCGCTTTGCCGCGGGAAGGATGGGAATGAAGAGAGACAGGCATGTCAGAGACACGGAACGAGAGGAGGAGAATAAAAGGGCAAAGGAGCAATGAGGTAGAGCAAGAGAGACGAGATCGGTGGCGCCGTTTGAATGTTTCGGAATGGCAAGTCTCTAGCGGCATCGTTGGCGCCCTCCAAGTTCCTCCTCCTTCTCCTTCTGGGGGGGGTGTCTTCAAAGCCGGAGGGCGGGTGAAGCATCGTTGCATCGATAGTGGAGGGGCCTGGGCATCTCGCACCTGCAGATGATGTGCCCTGACGTGACTACCTTACCTATAGGCCAGGCCAGGGCACCAATGGATGGATCTTCAATCCTCCTCCAAACTGGCCAAAGTGCCTTCCCTGCTGCGTCACTGGGATTAAGTTGACCTTCCAAAACCACCCTGGCAGGCCTGGCAGGGGCACTTCACAACGTAACTAAACAACCCCTTCAGCGGAACGTCCATCTGTTGAAGCTTACCCCCTGAGTCTTCAAGCTGGGAATTGACTCTTGTTTCTTGTCTTTGATCACCACTTGGATTCTCTCTGCGTCTGCTGTGGCTCGTGATATCGCTCTTCTCTTCCCTTCGCACCCGTCCCCTTCTTCCCCACCGGGCCTAATCGCTGTCCCAGTGTGACCAGCTCGCCCGGCGTGCTACACTCCATCCATCACCAGGACATTTGCGGCCCGTCTGCCTTCTCTAATTATTTGAGTCTCGCAGCCTGCCTTGGGCGCTGCGCCTGCCCAGGACTTAAGAACGAGGCGCCGGACGCTACTTGGTCAACTCGACGCGCAACATTGACCCGCCTCATCTTGGCTTTCAGCTTCCGGCTTATGCGTCCAGGCATCTCCTGTTATAAAGACGTCCCATGCGGGCTCTCTTCCATCTTCGACTCTGACTCTACTTCGAGCGGCATAGTCAGAGAACCCGCGACCATCGGCAAATCGTAACACAGCAAGCTGCAGTAGTGGGAAAATAATAATCATTCATCAGAAAACCCCCCTGCTGCTGACTCGAACTCGAGCAAGCAAGTATGGTAAGCTTCCATCCCACTCCCGTCCTGCTTGTGTTTGCACGGAACGGCCCGCCGCTTTACTCTTCAACATCCTTGCCTAACCAACCCCCCCCCCCCCCCCCCCCCGCTCATCCGCGCCGGAATATACGGTACTCCTCTCCCCCCCCCCCGCCCTTTGTTTTTTTGCTCGAGCGCCCCCCCCTCTTCCTTTCCACTCCCCCTCCCCTACCCCCCCCCCCCCCCCCCCCCCCACCCCTTCCTTTTCTCAGCTGTCAGCTCGCCTCCTTTCTCATTGTGGCCGACATATTCTAGAACATCTGATGAATATCGTTCGATCGAGATGCTAATTAGTCCAGGGGTCCATCAATAAACAAATCGCACGCTATGAAATCACCGCTGTTTTCACTCATCCTGACGCCACCGTCGATATTGTCCTGGTCCATGGTCTCAATGGTCATCCCAAAAGTACATGGACTTCGTCTCCATCTCAAGATGGCGGAGATGTGTTCTGGCCCACAGACCTACTACCGCACTCCCTGGGAAAGACCCGCGCCAATATCTTGGTCTACGGCTACAATGCAGACGTCTATACAAGCGGTAAAAGCGATCGAAGTGCCAGCGACAACTTCATCTTCCAACATGCTCAGACACTTGTTACAAACCTTACTCTTTATCGTAAAAGCGAGCGTACATCCAGGAATCCCATCATCTTCGTCGCCCACAGCTTGGGTGGCATACTTGTCAAGCGTGCCCTGCTTTACTCCAACGATTTGAGAGACAAAAACCAAGAGGATGCAAGATCTATATTCGTCTCTACCTTTGGCATCATTTTCCTAGGCACTCCACATACTGGATCTGATATGGCAACGTGGGGCATCGTCCTGCAGAAGATGGCAGACGCCATTGCGCCCAAGAAAGTATTCGAAAGCGAGTCAGTTCTCCTCAAAACCCTGAAAAAGGACAACGAGAATCTGCAAAATATCAATAGCCACTTCCTTGACGTTTACCAACGTTTCAAGATCCATATGGCCCACGAAAACCACAAGACTGATGTCAAAGGCACGATGGTGGTGGTGGTGGATGCGAGTTCAGCGAGTCCTCAACTGCCAGGCGTCACTTACTACGGCATTGAGGCGGCCCATTCCGGGATGTGCAAATTCGATAGCAGCAGCGCTCCAGGATACAGAAATGTATCGACCGCCATTCAAACGTGGGCGGAAGAGGCATCGCCAGTTATCCGAGCCCGCTGGGACATTGAATTGGACGACAGGAGGGCTAGAACACAGTACGAGGCTTCCGAGATGACTCGCGAGTATCGCAAACCTGCAGAGACCGTATTTTCAGGTATTTCTCCCCTTCTGGTGACTTTCCTCTTCTCATCCTTCCGAGTTCACCGGCTGCGTATCTCGTTCTACATATATTTCTCCTCTTTTTCCTCTCTTTCCTCTTTCTCCTCTTCCCCCTCTTCTCCCAAGACCCCCCTTATCTATTCATCAACAGTGTAGAAATGACAATCGGGAAGCGGATTATGAATTTTCGGTCTGACAAGTGCATCTAGAATATAGAGATATTCAAACAGCTCAACAATCGTCACCAGTTGACACGGCAAACACCCGTTGCGCGTCTATTTCTGACTCTGCTCACCAAGTCTTGAACTCCGGTCCTCATTTTGTTCATCCTGACCGGTTCCGGCCCAACTCATTTTTCAAAGGGCGAACGGAAGAGCTTGAAAGTCTTCACAAGCTGTTGAAAGACCCGAGGAGGCGTTCAGAGGGAACATCTGCAGTCCTAATTCACGGTATACCTGGTGCCGGAAAAACGCATCTTGCTCGACAGTATTGCTTCAGCCACAAGGAACAGTATCCTGGGGGCACATACTGGATCAGGTCTACCACATTGCAAGACATGGAGGACGGGTTCTGGCGCATTGCGAAAACCGAGGCTATCAGGGGCATGGCTGTTCAAGGAAAGACGAAAGACTTGTTGAATCCACAAAATATGGTGGATATCGTCAGAAGCTGGTTCAATGAGTCAAAAGATTGGCTGCTAGTATTCGATGGCATTCGTTTCAACGACGACGCTGTTCTCAGATACATACCTGACCGACCAAACAGCAGTATTATCTATACATCAACCGAGCGGTGCGATCCTGGTTCTTATCTTCTTGACAACCCCAGCATCATGAAGTTGGGTTTACTCCCAGTTCAAGACGCGCAAGAGTTATTGCTTGAAGAGATGGGAAAGAAACAGCCATACACCACTGATGATCTCAGACGGGCTCAAGACTTGGTACAACTGATGGATCGCCTCCCCCTAATGATTCATGCTGCTGCTTTGCAGATGAATGCAACCCGGGAACCGCTCGCAAAGTATCTAAAGACCTTCCGGGATTCGCCAAAAGTGGGCATTCTTCCTGCATACAAAGCGATTCGAGATCAGTTGCAGACTCGTGGTAACTCCGCCGCATTGAATCTCATCTACATCCTCTCCTTCTTCAGTCAATTTATGCCAGTTGAACTACTAACTCTTGGTTTGAGAGCTTTGGACAAGCGTACACCTGTGAAAACGGAAACAACCAGGGGCAGAAGAAGTTTGACACAGACTTTCGTTACTTTGATAAGCTTTGCTCTTATTGAACGAAACGAAACGGACGACATCTCTTCCGCGAGCTCGCAATGCTCCCATTCAGGTGTCGACGCCTCACCCGAGACTTTGGATACACTTCGTGTCCACAGTGTTGTACAGACATTCTTCATCGAGCTTCTTGCTGAAGAGGGACAGCTGCATTTCTGGCTGGAGCGGGCCATCCGCGTCTTCTGCACGTCATTTGATGAGGCTTATGCCAGGATAAGTGGTGAGCCTGATACCGGCCTGCCGGAAGACTACAGACAATATTCTAGGCACGGGAGAAAGTTAAGGGAGCGTCTCATTCGTTACGCCAATGATCGCTCGTCTCTCCAATCTCGAGAGCAACTCAGTTCACAGTAAGTGGAAAGTACCTCTTGTTTTTCCATCGCAACCCCCTTTATTCAGTAATGCCCTTGCGACTTTTTATGACTGGGTTTGGACATCAGTTTCTGTTGCTATTATTTGTGTCGATCTTATTTTCTCTCCATTTCCGTTCAGCTTTGTGCAGGAGTACTGACGCTGAGAAATAGGACTGGCTCCGTGGATCTTGTCGCTGCCAGAAAAGACTTGGAGGAACGACTTGCAAGGTTACCCGCAGATCTGAATGAGTTGCAGAGAACCGTTTCTACAAGAATCATTGATGGGAAGGAGGCTGGAGTTCATACCTCTGTCTTCGAGCGCATGAACAGTCTATCATCACATTCGACAGATGCCTCTGGTGCCGCCGTATTCCCTCACTCAGCGGGTGCCTACCCTCCCCAAGTGGAACACGATTACGAGTCGCCGCTCACAATGGACAATCCCCACCACTTCCACATGCCATATGTGCCATATGTGGATGAACAGGCGTCTCCGGTCGAATACCAGGGGTCAGAGGATCGAACCATCACTCCATATCCCCCTGACATAGAAGAAGGGCCTTATCCCGATACTGCTGGTTCTGAGTGGACTACCGTGACCAGACATCGATCGGTGAGGAGGATGTCACTGCGGCGTTATCATGATCGTGGAGGAGCATGGAGAGAGACTGCCACAGCGACAAACGATCCTCGTGTGAGCATTAGTCGAGAGTCTGCAAGAGGTCTCATTACCCCGCCTCAGTCTTCAAGAGGTGGCAGATCACCCAGTCGCTCTAAAGTTTCTGCAAGGAGCGAAGCTGAGGCCGAACTCCTCCACATCAAAAAGGGGTCTCCACCGCCACCTCGAGGTGGTGGCCTCATACACGACAAGGGCAGAAGCTCCAGTGCCGGTACACCTGTGGGACCGAACTCAGTTCTCGGAAATTCCAGCTACGCCAAGGTCGTGTCAGGAACCGCGGCCGAGGAAACATCCTCGTTTCCTGTATTCACTTCTCCGCCCTCCAGAGCCGGGACACTCGACAGGGCAGCTGCCTACGATGCTCGGTCTGTCTACAGCCTGCAGACCGTCAATAGCCGTACGCCTTCGACGGGTCCCAAGTTGAAGGAAAATCAACTGCCAAAGACGACTGGTTTCGTTAATTCGTTCCGACCGACTGAATCGTCTCACCAGTCACAAGGTCAGGAATCCGTTCCACAGCCGTACTTTCAAAGAATGTTCCGGCGAATGGCGAGATCAGTCAGTGGGACCAAGCGTCATGAGAAATCAGCCCAGGGAAAAATTGCCTCTCGCAGTTCATCGACCTCATCTGCTCCGAGATCGTCAGAAGAACTCTCAAACACATACCAGGAGGGTGTGAGAACAGCAAACTCTAGTCCGGGTCCGAATCACCCCCAACCTTTCCCTCACGGACTGTCTATTGTCACGAATCAGCAGAGCAGTTTGCGACAGCATCCTGTTGACCATCCAGTAAACCATCAGCCACTGTACACATCTCAGGATGAGTCCTACAACAAAGTTGTTTCTCGGTCTGATCCAAGCCTCGATCGCCGGAGTCCGGACGTCTCGTCTCTTGGGACTATGGGAAATCCACCTTCTTCGAAGCTGGTCTCATCTAGCACATATCTAGAGAATTATAGGCCACCTGGAAGCCCTGCCAACCCTACGCCGCCAAATGGGTATTCATCGCAGCCAATGTCTAGAAATCCAAGCTCAAACCCTCGGTACGCGGCAGCGACTGGCTCGGCTGGCACTCTCCTGAGCAGCAACAGCGGGAGCGTTAGGTCAAGTCTGCCCCATCGACGAGCACCATCCATGGTGGAGACGGAGCCCTCACCACGCCTCTCTCCAATAGAAATGGATCAGACTTCTTACGACATATGGAATTATAGGCAGAATGGACGACCTATTGACGAGACGCTCTTCGGAAACAGCAATATGCCTAGCCGACTGCCTATTGGTCATGTTCCCAATTTCATACGGGAAAGCCCAACAATTAGCCCACAGCGTCTCCCTGGCAATGGCGAACCAATGTCCAGATCCGGGTCCGGGGGTATCAGAACTACAGATGGCAGGGTCATCTCTTTTGGTGAAATTCCTGTAAACGTTGAAGAAGCAGAACGACGGCGTATTCGAGCGGACCACCATCGTCTCCAACGCAGGTATGAGGAAGCTGTGGAGCTTTCGCAGCAAATCAGACCCGATGAGGCGGACCCAGAGTCTCCTCCAGAGTCAAATCCTATTGGGCTTGGACTAAGGATGGAGTAGAAGGGGTCATATTCTGACACCATACTTGGTTTAGGAATGATATGGAGCGCCGCTTCGGGAGGCTCTGAAGACATACTTTGATGACGGAGACACTCTTGGGCTGGGTCTGCAAGGCGGAGAATGGAAATTATGGGTTGAATCCTCTGTCTGAATTCCATCTTTTCTCAAGACTTGGGATAAAGGTAATGCTTAGGAATGGCAAGAGGCTGGCGTTAAAACAGTATGAAAGGGGTATTTTGGTTATTTTTATCCCCTCAAGACGGTCTTGGAGGCCTGACGTTTCTTTTGTTACTTGTAGATTGATTGATAATCAGAGCATGGTTAAAATCGCAAATTGGCGCCCGCATGCTTCACTTGTTATTGTGACTGTTTGTTGGTGTTCTCTAACTGGCAGGCCCGAACTCCTGCAGTATGCGAGGGGAGACCTACTACCTCGCGGTTGTCGCAGGGCTGTTCCATGGTCACAGCAAACCCCTATTTTGGTATCTATTCTTTTGGCGCCAACATGAGCACGTATTCCCGCGTGCTATGCCCCAGCTTAATCATGTCCTTATCCCTCAACTCGTAGTATCGACTATCCGCGACCTTGTCCCCGTTCAGCACCGTCCCGTTGGCGCTCTCGAGATCAATGAGGTACGGCTTCACCTTGCCGATGCGGTCCCCAAACTCGTTCCGCTTCTCCACGTGGCGGAACTGAATCACGGCGTGCTGCTTGCTGATACTCGGGTGCTCGGCCACAAAGTCCACGACGGCGGCCTCGCGGCCAACGAGCCAGCAGCTCCGGAGGTTGAGGTCCACCGTGTCGGCAATAGCGTCCCCCTTGAAGACGAAGAGCTTCCACTGGTCCTTGGCGGGGGGTTTGCGCGCCTCGGCGGGCTCGTGGTATTTTAGCACGATGGAGGTGCCGTCGGCCTGCTGGACTGAGTTGGATGCCGCTGCTAGCAGGCCCGTCGTGCGAAGGTTTGGTTGTTCCTTGGGTTTTTCGGGTTCTTCGCCCTTGGAGACTGCGAAGGAGGCGTCTTGGTCTGGTAAGGGGCCGGAGCGGCGGATGGGGCTTGTGGGTGCAGTGATGCGTTTGCGCTTTGTGGTTTTGTTATCGTCTGCTTCCGAGTCGGAGGCCGGGCTGCGGTCGCGGTCGCGGTCGCGGTGCCGGCGGCGTCGGGATACATCTTTATCTCTGCTGCCGCGGTCATCGTCGGGGGATCGTCTCCGCCTGTGTCTGTTGCGATCGCGGTCCCGTGAGCGGGAACGTTTCCGCGCAGGAGGTTCTGGTGAGCGCGAGCGGCGCGAAGCGTCGCGCCGATCTCGTGACCGCGATCTTTTCCGTTCCTTGTGTGGCGGTCGTTCCGAGCCGCGATCGCGTTCGCGATAGTGGCTGTCGCCGCGGTCTTTGCTGCGTCTGCGGCGGTGGCTGTCGCGGTCTGTGGTGTCCCTTTCTCGGTGCGGCCTGTCGTCTTCGTCGTCGTAGCGGCTGCGCCGTGATCGTTGGCCACGGTGCTCGTCGTCGGAACCCATCTTCGTGTCGGTTTGTTTTGCCTTGGGAAGTGGGCGAGGTTGGAGGCGGGAGAATTCCTTCACAGATGGCTGACCACGCGACCAGCGTAGGACGGTCGTTAGGCAGATGAGATGCGGGTTTTATCGAATTCGGCCCCTGATCCGCAATGCAATGGAAATGTCTTCCAGAGAAAAGTTCAAGCCACAGCAGTTGGCAGGGAATGAACTGTCAGTGCCTATTTTGGATCCGTATTCTCTCAACGATAAATATCCAAGCCGGCCGGATTGGAAGAGTAAGATTTTCGCCGGAAGCTCTGAGGTCATTCCGCAACGGACGTGCCTTTTAGCGGCTGAAGGGTAAAATGGCGGCCCCCACACGCTGCAATATCCGTCCTACACGGCCCCAACAGCGACCCCACTCCGGTCCCGTCCTCCATCCCGCCCGGCCATCCTCGACCACCGCCGTCGTCCGCGCATTGTCGCTTCATAAATCACAACACCACGAAAAAACCTCACCACTTCCGCCTCACTGCCAACCCAAACACCTGCTTCAGCACCAGGCAATAAATCACCGACACCAAAAGTTGTTCGCATGGCTCCAAAAACTATGGAAATCAATTTAGACAAAGTATTCAAAAAGTCAAAACGATTCGGGCTAGCCCCTTCGCGTGCTAAACCCGGCCATTTAAGGCCTCAAAGGTCGCACAGGGCTGCCTCCACCGAGTAGCGAACAAGAGGGTCTGTAAGTTCGGTTTCACTGCCGCGCTGCTAACGCCGCTACTTTGGAACCACTCGCCCAACTGCTCAACGGAAGCAGACGTGGGAGACCTCATAGATAAAGGCAAGGCCGCCGTTCTGTTGGGTCCGGTCAGGCTTATGATGGAAGGAAGGAGCCTCGAGTAGGACTGTCTGCTTCCTTCCCAGCCTATTATTAGACCCTCGCGATTTCATCCGGACTCGAGCACGTAAGAGCATTAGAGAATCGGGGAAGGAGCCTCGTCTGCGCTGCAAGATGGGACTCACAACATTACGGAAACATACCGACGGATTGACTGGTTGGTGGCTCATCAGATTGTAAGATACCCTGATTCTATACCTCTTTTTCGCAGCGCAAGTTGTGCTACTCGTCTTCCAACACCTCTCGAGACGCCCCTTTTCTATTCTCTTCCCCTGTACTCCGCTGGATCATCATGCGAGGCTGAATTCGGTAATCTCGCCCATTTCGTTCTTCGCTTCCGCTCCAACCTTGTAAGAAATCCTCCACCGCAACTTAATGGACTGCACCTTGCGGTTCTTATCCCCAGCATGCCATACTTCTACGAACTGGGTCACGCCTCTGCTCTGTTTGGGAGCCAATTCGCGCCCCGTCTGGGGTCTGAGGCCAAGTTCGTAACCCTGACTAGTGTTAGCAACATGATTCATCTCGAAAAGGACGCGCAAGACTCACTTTCGTGGCAGCGAGCTGGTAGTGAAGCTCCGAGATGGGCTGCGTGGACTTGTTCGAGAAGGCAAAACTAAGGTTGATCGCATTGCCCGTCCCCGTTCTCCCTGCGATCATCTCAATCTTGACAATAGAGTCGCTGACGGTTGCCTTGTGCTCCTTGGGTTGACTAGGCGCTTCAGGGGGGAGGGCTGATGAGAAGGCCCATTCGTCATCATCGTTTGCAGCTGGCGCAGCTGGCGCAGGGGCGATTGCGGGAGCGGGAGCGGGAGTGGTGGGCTTAGAAGAGAAGATGGGGGATCCCAGAGCGGCAAAGGGGTCGTTTGAGGTCGCGACCGGCTGCTGGGGCGGCTTGAAAGCAGACATGCCAGACGGCTGGGGTGTGCCGCATTGGGATGCTGAAGGAGAGGTAAAAGAAGCGAACTGCGAGAAGGATGGCGGTTGGGGTGTTGCAGTGTTGCTCATGGGTCCCTTTGCACTGTTGTTTTCTGTGACGGAAGAGAGCAGTGCTGGTCCTGGAATGTCTAACTTTGGTCAGTATGTGGATAAGTCAAAGGCTGCAACAAAGATTCTGGTTAACATACTTGAGTTTGCTCCGAATCCCAAGGTTAAAGCACCCCCTTGACCGTAGCTTGCTGAATCGTCCATGGACAGGCCGAGAAGATCGTTCTCGATGCCTGCTGACTTCGAGGCCGGCTGACTTGACGATGAGCCATTTGTTGTCTCTGGTTCACCATCAAAGTCGATTAAAGAAAGCTCTTGCGAGGCACTCTTGGAAGAACCTGAAGTCGACGGCAGCGGCGCACCACTGGCTACCTTCTTGGCGGCTTCAATATCACCCTTCTTCATGAGCTTGTACCGCTCCACCGTCCGATGTATGCTGTCGTTGATCTCCAGCAACTTTGCGACGGCCTCATGATCATCCGATTCCTCTTCACACATCTTCTGGATCTTAGGTTGCGCACTGGACAGGGCAGCAGCGAGCTCTGAGAACACGTCTCCGTCCTGCATCTGGTCGCCCTGTTGGAAAGCCTCAAGTCTCTCTTCGAGCAACCTGGCCTTGGCCTGGATCTTGGCGACCTCCTGAGCGGCCTTAGCGCGGTAGTCGGTCTTGCTTCGAGTATCATAGCCGGCCATGATCTTCATAAGACGGTTTGCCTCCTGCAGGTCCTCAGGTGTACCCCGTCGAATGAGCTCCTGGAGCTTAGCAGATTGCGCCTCGCGTTCCTCTTCTTCCATTTCCTCGGCAGATTTCAAGTTCTACGCACGTCAGTATAGCTCCAAAACGCTGTCAGCGTAAGAGGCGCCTTACATCGCTGGGGTTGAGCACGGCGGCGTCATCCCGTCTGACCTCGGGAAAAGTATACCCTTTGTAGCTCAGAAGACGATGCATATCCCGAATAAAGCCCAAGTCCTCCTTGTATCTGCTCGTTTCGCATATCGTGCTTCTCCACTCCTCGATCGCCTCAAGGATCTTCATCTGCACCCTCGTCGCCCGTATCGGGGGTCGCTCGGGGAACCTTCTGACAAGCTCATTGAGGAATTCCTTCGTGCTAATCTGCAAGTGAAATGGATAACCGCAGTTCTTAACGCAGATGTCGAGCAGGTTGATCGCGAGGAGGGCCACGTTGGGATTGCGATGGTTGATATAGCTGACGATGGCGACAGCGGCCTCGCGTGGGGCGGAGCCCTTCTTGGAATTGATCAAGTCGGAGATCTCGAGGTTCAGAGCGAGGTTCGGCTCGTAGTTCTCGGGACTGCAAGCGGCCTGAATGAAGCGCTGAAGCTGGGATGGCGTGGGAGCACCCATTTCGCCCCAGCGGTCTCGGGCCGCAGCTCTGGCTGATGCGGCCTCCATTGTCGTTGCGGTTGTTGCGTTCGTAGACAGCCTCGGGTGGGGAGGTAAGGGAGCTAGCTATATTAGCGATTGGAACCTTGTCTTCGTTAGGTTCTCAAGGTGCGAAGCGCATCTGGGGTGGATGGCCGTGAGAAGTAAAAGCTGGCCGAGCAAGCGCCTGCGAATTGGACAGATTGGATTAGGTCGGCGCAGGCATCCCTCTTGAACCCTGTGATAGGTACCGATGGCATCTGTGGCCGAGTGACGAGGGGCTGCTGAGTGACAGGCAGTATGGGAGGAGGAGCCACTTCAAATGTGGCCTGTGCTTGCCAAGGTGTGGGTGGCTTCTTTTACCTCATTCGGAGGTAAACTGCCTACTAGCATATTCGAACCTTCCTATGCATTGTAATGTTTTTCCCCCGTCTATGTGCCCCTCCAATACCCCGCCAAACTATTCCACCGCCCAAGGGAATGCCGAACCCTACGAATCGCAAGAAATTCAATCAGTCACCTTGTAATACAAAAGCACCCTGAACATGGTCCGCCACAAGAAAGACAACTTCAGCTCCCGCGGCCGCAAACTCCACTTGGGCCCGCCGCGACAACGCCAACCCCGAGATGGCGACGACACCGACGGCCCCTCTATCCGCCCAACGTTCAAGGCTGCTTGCTGGGATCTCGGCCACTGCGACCCCAAGCGATGCTCTGGCAAGAAGCTGATCCGGATGGGCATGATGCGCGATCTCCACGTCGGTCAGCGGCATAATGGCGTCATCATCACACCCAATGGCAAACACACCGTCTCCCCGGCCGATCGCGACCTCATGGACCAGTACGGTGCCGCCGTGGTCGAGTGTAGTTGGGCGCGCATGAAGGATGTCCAATGGAACAAGGTGGGAGGCAAATGCGAGCGGCTGTTGCCGTACTTGGTGGCTGCGAATACTGTCAACTACGGCAAGCCTTGGAAGTTGAACTGTGTCGAGGCGTTGGCCGCGGCGTTTTACATCTGTGGACACCCTGAGTGGGCAGAGCAAGTTCTGGCCCCTTTCTCCTACGGTGAAGCTTTCTTGGAGATCAACGGGAGTCTGTTGAAGAAATACGCCGCGAGCGAGGACGAGAAGGGAGTGAAGAAGGTTCAAGAAGAATGGCTGGACAGACTCGACAAGGAATATGCGGACAGCAGAGAGGATGCTGACGCTGACGACATGTGGAAGGGAGGAAACACAAACAGGAGAGCCATACGAGACTCTGACGATGAGGAGGAGGATGACGAGGACGATGAGAGTGGAGACGAGTCTGGCGAAGGCGATAGTGTTGACGGCATATACCTGGGCAAGAAGCCTGCAAAAGACCAAGAAGAGGAAGAGGATGACAAAGACCCATACGCGATATCAGATGACAGCAATGACGACGCGGCCATGGAGGAGATACGGCGCAAGGTTCTCGCATCAAAGACGTTCTCGAACCCGGCCGCAGAGGAGAAGAAGAAGCCCGAGTCGATAGCACGGCCACAAAACTTGAAGCCTGACTCTGATGTCGAGCCCGACTCGGACAATGGAGAGGACGATGACGACTTTGACAACATCATCAATGCCACGCCTGTCACGGACAAAATTGGGTTGGCTAAGCTTGAGAAAGAGCGGTCGCAAGCGACGACCACGAGTAGAACCTTCTCATCGAATACTGTGTCTGCCCCGAAACGGTGGTAAAATAATACATGATGAAGTTTGAGGTGGTTCAAATGCTTCAAGAAACACTCTTTGACCGCAATGATTGATCATCTAATTAGCATTGTTTTACAGTATGGTGTTGTGTGAGTTATATCTCCGAATACATTCATCCCCGTCCAGCGCACACCTTTGATACTCTGCAGCTCTCAGAGTCCCTTTTGCCCAATTCTATACCGACGACATCGCCTTTTTTTGTCTCGTACAAATGTCTCACAGCTGTTTTCATTATCTTACAAGGTCCTCTTCTCCCTCACCTCCTCGTACATCTGGATTTGGTCGCCCACGTGGAAGTCTGTAAAGCCATCGAGGGCGATACCGCACTCGGAGCCCTTTCTGATTTCGTTCACGTCCTTCTTGCCGTGCTTGAGAGTATCAATCTTGCCTGAGTTCGATGTCAGATTAGGCGGGCTTAGACAAGAAGTATTTGAAGGGGGAAGCTTACCATCGAAGACCTTTTCGCCTCCGCGCAATATGCGCGCTCTAGTTGAGCGAGTAACCGTGCCGTTTCTGACCTTACATCCAGCAATATTCTTGTACACGCGGCCCTTGATGTTGATGGGGAAGATCTGAAGAATCTCCGCCTCGCCGACGACTTTGGACGACACCTTATCCGGCAAGGCCTCTGACATCACTTGCTTGACGTCGTCTGCCAAGTGATAAATAACGCTGTGATCCAGAATCCTGACACCCTTTTCCTCGGCCATGGCCTTGATGTGGCCAGGAATGGTACTGCTGAAGTTGGCAATGACACTACCGGATGCCTCAGCATGCTCGACATCTGACTCGGAAACCTGACCAGCCGCAGACCGAAGGATACGAGGCTTCACTTCGTTGTTTCCAATCTCGTTAATTGTGGCGCATACGGCTTCGACAGAGCCCACAACGTCACCTCTGACCATGAAGTTGACGACAGCCGTGGCCGGGGTGGGTTCGGCATCGGCATCGGCTGCCTCAATGTCTGCCGCTACCTCTGCAGCAATTTTGGCCTCGCGTTCGCGTAGTTCCTGCTCGGCCAATTGCTTCGAAGATGCCTCTCTCTCCCGCATCTCCTCACGGTAGTCGACAGCCACTCTGGCTCGATCTTCATCGGGTGCCTGGATGATCTCGTCACCAGCAGCGGGTAGCTCGTCTCTCCAGCCCAGAACCTCGACAGGGGTTCCAGGTGGCGCCTCGTCCAGCTCCTGTCCGGCCTCGTTTCGCAAAATTCGAACCCTGGCCCAGGCCGTGCCTGCGACAATGAAGTCGCCGAGACGCAGAGTACCGCGTTTGACGAGCACGTTGGCGGACTTACCGTAGGGCTTTACACTGGCTTCAAGGACCCAAGCTTCAGCCATACCATCGTCTTCAGCTCGCATGTCTTGGATTTCGGCTAGGGTCACAATATTCTCCTCAAGCTCAGCCATGCCTTGACCAGTCTTTCCGCTCACACAAACAACCTGTACATCACCACCAAAGTCTTCGATTTCAACTCCGTGGCGAGCGAGGTCTGCTTTGACCTGGTCCGGACGCGCGTCTTCCTTGTCACACTTGTTGATGGCCACGATCAACGGCACCTTTGCGGATCTAGCGTGTTTGAGAGCCTCCAGAGTCTGGGGTTTGACACTGTCATCAGCTGCGACAACCAGCACCACAATATCTGTAACGTTGGCACCACGTTGACGCATGGTCAAGAAGGCCGCATGGCCCGGTGTGTCGAGGAAGGTGATGAGTTTCCCTTCAGACATCTTGACCATGAAAGCGCCAATGTGTTGAGTGATACCACCGTGTTCCTGCGCCGCCACGGAAGATTGCCTGAGGTAATCGAGGAGCGTAGTCTTTCCGTGATCGACGTGGCCCATGATGGTCACAACAGGAGGACGTTGCGGCAATATCGAGACATCTTCCGGAATAGGCCGAGCCTTGAGGTCCCTCGCACCGCCGGTATCCACTTTTGGATCGAATCCAAACTCTTGGGCGACTAGAGCAGCCGTTTCTCCAGTCATGATGCTGTCTTCGGTAATGTCCTCAAAGCCCATTTCTATCAGAGCCCGCAGGAACTGGGGAATCTTCATCTTCAGCGCAGTACCCAAGTTTGATATGCTGATGAATTCTGGGAGGAAGATACTCGGGACAGATGCAGCTGCCTCGGCTTCCGCTGCCCTTCGTGCTCTTTCCTCGGCTTTCCGACGACGGCGTTCAGCAACACTTGCACCACCATCTTCCCATTCTTCATTGTCATCCTCCCACTGTTGTTGCGCTCTTGACTTGTACGCTCCCCGAGACGATCCATAACCATCCCCGCGACGATTGCCGGTCTTGTCGCGTCTACGGGAGTCGCGACTGATCTCGTAGGTTTCATCGAATTCTCTCGCCTTGCGTTCGAATTTCTGAGACACGTTCTCTACGGCTTGTTCTTTTCTCCCTGGATTGCCTTCGTCCAAGCCACCAAGCTCTGAGCGTGACGCACGTGGGTTTCTGTCGTCCAGTTTGTAGTTGCTGCCCACGCGTTCTTGGAATTTGCTGAAGAAGCTCTCTCTGGAAAGAGTCGAGTCTAAGGGCGCATTCCTATCCGAAACATTGGTGGTGTCGTTGGGTCGCTTCTTTGAGAGTTGATTCCAGCTGCCCGAGCCCAGTGCATCTGACTTTCCTAGACCATCCCATTGCTGCCGCGAGGCCTTCAGGGGCTTAAGACCATTGAATCCGTCTTTTTCAGCGCGTCGGTAGTGTGGTACAGGTGTACTTGCTGGCGCTCCGTCTGAATCATGTCGATGTCTCCAGTCGAATCTGGGTATGGAGCGTAAAGGCTTTTCATCGAGACCGCCTAGCGTCCGCGTATTCACATTTGTGCCGGTGTTAGCTCCAAGGTCATTCTTAGGGCCATCTCCAAGGCCACTGCCAAACCGCTTCGGCTTCTTTTCTTTTTCCTCCCCTGCACTTCCAATGCCACTCCCGAGGCCTCTTGGAGTAACACTTCGAAAAACGTTTTGCGAACCGCCTCCTGGACCACCCCCCGGCCCCCGTTGTCTTATGTTTCTCTGCGCTATAGCTTCCTGGGCCTTTCGAATCGCCTCGGCTGCCTCCTGCGCGGCATTCTCTTCTACCGCTTTCTGGTCGGCTAGCTTCTGGCGCGCGGCTCGTTCATGGGGTAAAAGTCCATCATCGAGTTCCTTGCCTTGACCCGCGGGGGCCTCTTGGTCATCGTAGCTCGGCGCTCTTGACGTGTTACCCTGGCCGAATGCTGGCGCTCCCCATCCGGATCCGTTGACCGGACCAGGTGACCTCCTAGGAATTCCCGAGCTGACAGAGCCATTACTGCTGCTCCAAGACCCAAACCCGTTGTCGTCTTTCGATGGAGGCTTCGTCGAGTTGGAGTAGTTGCGTCGACTGAGATCACGCTGCCGCGGCAGGGCGGGGTGGCGGCAGAAGGCGCAGACGTAAGCACTGCTTCGCTCCTAGAGAGCTATTAGCTTATGTAGAAAGGAGAATTAACAGGTTCAATTTCCATGACTTACGTTCCATATCCTACATCTAAGCATGATCTGTAGTCGGGCGCAACATGAAAGGCTGCGAGGAAAGCCTTGAGAAAGTGAAGACTGGGCTCGAGCTCCTTCCAAATGCCCCAGAAATTTCTTGAGCTCCCCAGTTGGAGGTCGGCCGTCAGTGGTCTGCAACCAACCGCTGCCGCAAGGCAATTGGACGGTTTCTGGACCCACCCCTGGGCATGTCAGGGGGCGTAGATGGACATGCGACCCCCCTTGCCCGTTTGTAAAGCAAACTCAGCCAGTTTTGAGCTAAAAGCCCCCGGTTAAGCTCTTTCATATTCACAAGCACACCTGGTCATAGTAGTGTTGCGACGTTCACAATGGCGCCAAAAGTGAAGGCTGTCAAATCCAAAGCGGCGCTCAGAGCGGCGCCCAAGACGGCACTGGGTACGCCGCCGAAACCCTTCAAGAAACCCGCAGAGGTCCTTCAACCCTTTTTCGAGACGCTCTCGCCAAAGCATATCTACATCACCCACATCGATTCTAAGCCCAAGGAATTCAAGAAGAAGATTTTCCTCGTGCCAGTCGGCATGAACCTGGCCGTTGCCGCGCTCTTCGTCTTACGCATGTACTGGATTCTCCCATACTACTTCAAATTTATCCAGTCCGCCATGGGCTATCCCAATGAGACGACCTTCCCCACTGCCGACTCGACCTGGGGACAGTTGATATGGGAGATTGCCAAGCGAGGCGGCTCCCTTACGCTGGATCTCATGCTCTTCATCTTTGTCTGGCCGTGGCCCATTGAGTTCGTCTTCGGCCAGTCGTACAGCAATCCAGTCAGTTGGCGATGGAAGGTCGGTTTCCGCGACAAGGAAATCTACGTCCGACGCAGCCGAGAGTGGGACCAGCAGCTGGGCGACATCTTCAAAGACGAGGAGCGGAACGAGGCGCTGCAGCAGGTCATCCGGCAAGCTTGCTCGCCCCTCCTCCTACAGGAAAAGACTGGCTACCTCACCATGACGGGACAGTGGGATCTCGACTGGCAGGCCATGATTGACGCGCACACTCTGGTGGATCGCAAGGACGTCGCGCTGGATGCCTTCGGGCGTTTAGTGTTGGTGTACCACGAAGATTACGGCTGGATGTCAGTAGAGGAAGAAGGTGTGAATGCAAAGGAAGACGACAGGCGGAGACAGGTGTTCCAGTTCAGGGATGCCCTCAACGCAATTGGCAAGGAGAACCTCTTTTTCCGATGGATCGAGATCGTGCAGTTTGAGTCCTCGCAACCTGGTGGGTTTGGCCCTGAGAAGCAGGTCGAGGTGGCCAAGCAAATCCGGGATCTGTTCCAAAAGGAGGGTGTGGATTTTGACCAGGTGTGGTATGACGCTGTGGGATCGGATGGGTTGAGTGGTATGTGAGGCGGACCGTGTATTTGTATGGCGCAAGGCATGTACTTTGGCTTCACGTGTTCATAGAGCATTTCACGGAGTCTGGCAAAATAGCTCATGGCCGCAGTTGGGATCGGCAAATCAAATCTTGTGTCCGTATTGTGGTTTACACGCAGTACCCGAGGCATGCTATGCTGCGATCGTATACGGACCAGGAACGACGATGGTATATAACTTGAGGTCGTGTCCAGGGTGCCAGACAGTACTGAATAACCGACTCGGCGAGGAACAGCTTATTTGCTAGATTTCTTCCCCTTTTTAGCGGCTGATGGACCGAGGGCGGCCTCCCGCTTCTTCGCCTCCTTCGCATCGATCTCCTTCTTCTTCGCAGCCTCTTGGGCCTCACGCTCTTCTCTCTCGGCCTACAAAATTCAGCAATTAGTCTCAGGGTCTACAAAGAAGATCAACATTGAGGTAGGCAGTCTTACGTCTCTCCGAGCAGCATCAGCCGCTCTCTGCTCGCGAATGAGTCTCAACCGCGCCAGGTCAGCCTTGGCCTCGTCCGTCTTACCGGCCTCGTGCAGCTTGCGGTATCTCTCCTTGGCCTGCGCGGCCTCCATGCTCTCACGCTCCTTGCGGTTATTGGCTACGGCCATCTTCTTGACGCCCTCGGCAGCCTCGTCAACGTCGGCATCGACAACAGGCGCCTTGATCTGGTTGCGAGAGGCCTTGGAGTGGTTAGGGTTGGCGGGCATGTCGTCGTCACTACTTTCCTCCTCGGAATCGGTGGGAGGAAGGTCGCCAACCTCGACGGCCTGGGCCTTCTTCTTGGCTATGGCGGCGTCCTTGCGAGCCTTTGCGGCAGCCTTTCGATCGGCACGAGACATTTCGGCCTGGGCGGCGCCGCCCTCGTCAGAGTCGGACTCCTCCTCAGAGTCCTCCTCGGAGTCTTCCTCGGAGCTTTCTTCGTCCTTCTTCTTGGATCCGGCAGCCCACATGTTAATTTCGTTCCCATCGGCGTCGAGGGGTCTGAGATCACGGGAGAAGTGCTTGCCACCTGTTCAGTCAAAGATTGTTAGCGCTTGAACGAGTGCCACGGGACGAATTTTTGACATACCTCCACGGGTGAACTTTCTGAATTTGCCGCCACGACCGCGAGAGTTGGATCCTGGCTGTCCACCTGCCATTTTGATTGTGATGCTTTTTTTTTTGCTGGTTGCTCCTAAATGTCTGCGTAGACAAAGTAAGATTGCGGGGTCGAGGTGGGATATTTAAAAGAGATCGTTGGCGCAAAGGGTAGAATGGCGGGGTAAAAGTGTGCTCTGCTGCTGTTGTGGGCGGCGGCTGCACTTAAAGGTGGTGGTTTTAAGAAGAAGGGAATGGTATCGGAGATGAAGAGGAAGAGGGATTCATCTGGAGATCAAGCAGAGTGCCACAGGGTCAATACAGTGAACAGTGAATCAGGCTTCAATTTTGGCCCCATTGAATAGACACTAACTACCTTACTCAATAAGTCGAGGAGTCACAGGCTTGATGTGCGGCAGACCAGAGGGGCAATCATCATTCCCTACCTCAAAGCATGATACCGCACTTGATCTCAGTCCCTGAGCCTGCAGAGTCCCGCAAACACAAACACCTTGGCCTTCATTGGCTGGTGGTAACAGCCCATTTCTACCTGAGGGGCCACTCTTTGGCCTCTTTTTCACCGCCACGACTTTGTGCCCCGCAAAACGGGCAGGCTTCAATTTCGAGAACCTGTGCTAGAAGATGCGCAGGCGCGGAGTGCCTGTGATCTCAGCCACACCTACCTAGCTGAAAATCGTCAGTGACCTCACCTTAAAGATGTAGCATCTGACTCAAAAGTACCTAAGGTATAAGGAGGCGGAGAATCCTGATAGAAACGGGCCTTTGATACAAATACCCAGGAACCTGTGAAAGGTTGATGCCATTTGTGGGATGAGAGCTACCAAGCAAATGAGCTCTCATTCGTTCCATGCAGTGACTCCGTTCAATTTTCGCAGCTTGCTTCTGTTGCCGACGTTTCGAGCTACTTTATAATATTGAATATTTTCATATCAAAGCAGAGGTCTATTGGAATAATGGGAGATATCGCTCGGTCATTAAGAGAAACTATCTTGACGAAAATTTTTGTACATGCTAGTGAGGTGCTCCAAGTGACCTCTCACTATGTAATTCTTCTCCTCATATGTCATGGATCCATGATGCATGCTGGCGAGGAGTAGCGTCACGTTGCTTGGGCAGCAAGAGCACCATGAGGCAGGGTATTGCCGACAATCAACTTGTGTTTGAGCAGCAGAGTACTAAGCTCCTTGACATAGGTCATAGACAGAGCGAGTTGTTCCCGGGTTCATCGCAATAGATGCAAAGGACCATTCCATTTAATTAGATCCAGTGGCCCACCCAGGCACCCAGGGAAAGTAAATACCGGCCTTCGGCAAAACCTAAGCGCGGACCACTCTGGCCCCACTCTCGAAAAACCAATATCAAGGCTGAGATCTCGCGCGACTCTTCCACCTTTCTCTTCTCTTTTTCTTCTTTACCTAATCATAAAACATATAATCCTCCTTATTCACTCTGGCTTTCACGTTATCAATGAATGTGTCTGGAGGGGAAACAGGAGGAGAGACTGACGCACCTACTCGCACACTTACCCTCTGACCCGTGGCAGCTTCTGCTGTATTGGTGATTGGAGAAATTTTTTGCAGCGATACATTCTATCCCTCTGCCGCTTTTGCTGTGCTCCATGAAGTCTACCGCTATCGAGGTGTGACCGAGCAGATTCCGTGTGAGACGCCCAATTCGGCAGTGGAGTTCATGTCTTGTATGCGCCTTGTCCATACGCAGGCGCCTACAACGTAAGTGCTTGCAGCAGAAGGTGTGAATTCCCACTGATGCCATCTCGGCCGTACAGTGCGGTATTCAAAGACACGGTATGAACACAGTGCGCTTCGGTCTCTCGCTGAGTCCGTCCCTTTGCCAACCTGTCATCTCACCAGTCACCGCGACGACGAATTCTCGTACTTGGGACCGTTACATCTGGTTCGGCTTTTTCTAAAGCTCCGTACGCAGCCTTTCATATGAACCGTCTCAATGTATGACCAAACCGGACAAGTCTTCACGGAAGTCGTCGCGCGGCGACCTCCGGACGCGTACCAAAATGGCCGGGACTGGTCGAGGCGGACCGGCCGGCTACCACGAAGAGGCCGCGGCGGCCAAGGCAGGAAAGGGCCGAGATCGCTCGCCGACATGGCGGTGCACACGATAGCGGAAAACATTGGCGACGTGGAAGAACAGCACCTCACCCGAGAAGACCTGCCCCGGCGGTACTTGTGGAGGATATGGCGTCTCCTAGAGAATAGGTTGGTCCTGCCTTACCTCTCTTAATCAAATGTCATGTTTCTCAAGATTTATCCGTGTTTCATTTATAGAGGTGTATGCTTTCAAGCTTGGAAGGTGTTTTCAAAGTTCCTCCTCGCCGAGGATGACGAAAAGACGCTGGGCCTGTATCGGTACCGCCAGCACATTTGTCAGCCAAGCGAGAATCTCCGTCACTACCTCAAACCTCTCGAGTCCCCGACCTTTGATTTTGTGACACATTTGAATATCACGGGGTCTTGTTCCTTTGGCGAGAATGAGCTGCTGGCACTGGCGCGGCTCAAGAACCTTGCGATCCTCGAGATCATCGAGTCGGCGGATGAGCAACGGACCATCTTTCCGAGGGTCGATGATCGTCTCGTCAGGAGTTGGTCAGAGATGGACGACCCGTTCCCGCTCTTGAGGGTGCTTAGGCTCTGGGGCGACGAGTCCATCACCAAGCACTCACTCCAATACGTATCCAAGTTCCCCGCGCTGGCGTTGTACGACGTGAACGCGTCGAGGAGCGACTGGAGAGGAGCCGGGGACGCCGCACTGGACGAGGGTTGGGAGATGGACGAACCGTTACATGGCCCCCATGATTCCCTGTTGTGGTACCTGATGCTCTTCGATGCTGTCGAGGAGAGCAAGCCGAGACAACTGCAGGGCATGGCCCGCAATATTGACGACGGACTGATGAATTTCTGCCAGAGCAGCAACCAACCCATCACAATTAACCGTAACCAGGACGCCCCGTCGTTTCTCGACCACCTCAGCGATGCGGCGAAGAGGAACCTCTCCATGTACGTCGACGTGCCAGGCTATGAAGCTCAAACCTGCAAGGGGTTCCCGTTCGAAACATGGGCTTTCTGGCTGTACTCCTTCATCGGTCAACTCACTAAAGATGAGGACCTCACGAGAGCCGGCCTGAAGACGGAGCTCAAGGCGGTATCGGAACAGCTGGTGCTGCCCGCCAAGCCACTCGCCTGTCTTCAACTGGGCCACTGCGGATCTGGTAGGCCGGGTATCACACCCGCCGTATCTTATGTACGCAGAGGACTCTTCGCCACGTCCAGGTACACATTCTTCAGAAGATCGTCAGCAGGCAGCAAACAGGAGTCGGTGCGGAAGCCCACGGAGTCACTGAGACCGACGGTAGAACTTGGAAAGGTTGAGACCGGACTGAACCCGAATAGAAAGAAGAGGCGGAGGCTCGATGACATATTGCAGTCTTTTATGGGTTCTTGAGTTCTTCGCCAATTGGACACGCGTCATTTTAAGGAACGGTTACCAAGGTTGGGCTTTGGGCTGAGTAGAAGATACCAGTCAATCATGATCCACCCTATGCCGGCAGAGCAGTGCCATCAGCGGAACAAAAATTGATGACGGGACGGTTACACCATTTTGCGGAAGCTGGCGTTTGGAAGTTTGATGTATGGCAGCAGCATGGTCTTGGGAAACGGCATGGGCATACGTAGTACCATTATGATGGAAATGCAAAAATCATGGCTATCATTTTGGTCCCCAAGCTTGACGCCGTACTCTAGATGATGACAATGGCGTACCCATCGCGACGGGTATATACCTCCTCCGCAAGTTCATTTTCCAAGAATATATCACACAACATACTCCTTACAACATGGGCTTCAGGTCGGCGGCAACGGTGAACGGCGCCTCGGTCTTGCTCTTGATCTCATCCACTGTCACTCCATCCGCAATCTCGATAAGGGTCAGTCCATTAGCGAAATCGACGTCGAAGACACCCTGCAAGCCGCGTTAGTATAGTGTATTCCCACGAAGTGAGTAGAGCAGGTGGAAGACACTTACCAATTCCGTAATGATTCTTGACACGCAGGCTCTGCCGGTCAAGGGGAAAGCACACTGCTTGACGATCTTGGCGTTGCCCTTCTTGTCCGTGTGCTCCATGGTCACAACGACCTTGGTCGCACTCGGGTTGCTGACGAGGTCCATGGCGCCACCGAAGCCCTTGACCTTGCCCGGCAACATCCAGTTGGCGAGGTCACCATTGGCGCTGACCTGCATGGCACCGAGAATAGTGAGGTTGATGCGGCCGCTGCGGATCATGCCGAAGCTCTCCTCGCTGCCGAAGACGGCGGCACCAGGCTTAAGGGTAACAGTCTCCTTGCCGGCGTTGATCAGGTCGGCGTCCTCGCTGCCCTTCTTGGGGTAGGGGCCAAGACCAAGAATACCGTTCTCGGACTGCAGCTGAACCTCAACCTCGGGACCGACGAAGCCCGGGGCGAGCATGGGCATGCCGATGCCCAAGTTGGCATACATGCCGTTCTTGAACTCCTTGGCGGCGCGGCGGACAATGAGCTCGCGCTTAGCCGCAGTGTCACCGGTGCCGAGGGCCTTCTTGGCATCGGCGTCGTTCTCATCCTTGGCGAAGGTGTACTTCTCAATGTTCTTTGGGGTGGTGCTCTGGATGACGCGCTTGACGTAGATACCGGGCAGGTGGACGGCCTCGGGGGAGATTTCACCAGGCTCGACAATGTGCTCGGCCTCGACGATGGTCATCTTGGCGTTGCGGCCCATGGCGCCGTTGAAGTTATTGGCGGCCAGGCGGAACTGGCAGTTTCCGAGCTTGTCAGCCTTGTAGGCCTTGACAAAGGCGTAGTCACCGGCGATGCTCTCCTCGAGAAGGTAAGACTTGCCGTTGAAGACCTTGACGTCCTTGGGGTAAGAGAACTGATCGGGCGAGCCGTCGGGCTTGTTACGGAGGGGGAGCTCGCCGGTCTGCACTACGGTGCCGAAAGCAGCGGGGGTGTAGAAGGCGGGAATACCCTTACCACCGGCGGCGCAGCGCTCGGCGAGGGTGCCTTGGGGGGTAAGCTCAAGCTCGACCTCGCCGGTGAGGTACATCTTCTCGAAGGTCTTGTTCTCGCCAATGTAGCTGGCAATCATCTTGCTGATCTGCTTCGTCTTCAGCAGCTTGCCGAGGCCAGAAGCGTCGGTGCCGGCGTTGTTGGAGACGGCGGTGATGCCGGTGATCTCGGGCTTGTTCAGGACCTCGTCAATCAGGGTATCGGGGACACCGCAGAGACCGAAGCCGCCGCAAAGGAGTGTGGAGTTGGGCTTCATATCCTTGAGAGCCTCAGTAGCTGAAGGGTAGACCTTGTTGATCTCTGGCCTCCGCGCAGTCGCTGAGAAGGCGCGGGCAAGAATGGCAGTGTGCTGATCGTAACGAAAAGGTCAGTTAAGCTGCGCAGGCTGGTTTTTGGTATTAACAATTCAATTGGACATACGTTGGAGCCATGACGAGCGTAAGCCCGCAATGAGCGGGCACACAGAGCTGCTGAAGGCATCGTGATGTGTGAGGGGGTGTGTATGGTAGGAATGACCACAGCGAGGGCTACGAGGACCGGAGAGTATGGTTGAGCAGCAGCTGACTGTAACCAAGAGATGACAACCACAAAGGAGGTATCAACAACAGAGCAGTAGGAAGCCGGAGAGAGCAATTGGGAAGGGGGAGAAGAAACGCTCTCCGTCACGAGGGATTCCGAAGGGGCCCCGGCCAATTTATTGCATCTACGTTTATCCCCCAGGACCTAGCTCCAAGACCTTGAGTTGCCGCCGAGCGCAGTGTGTGGCATTGGGAACGTGTCTGGGGGGGGTCCTATCCCGCCCCATCCCTTCGGGAGTGAGCTCGGCAAGAGAAAGGACGAGGGTCAAGCTTGGACCCGGGGGCACTGGCCGACGGGTCTGAGAACGTAGAAGCTGTTGGCACCCCTAGGTACTTTAGGGTAGAACATGCATCTATTTGGTGGGTTACCTAAGCATCCCCCCTCTCACGTTCCGCGGGTCGGAAAGTGGCGGGGCTAAATGTTCTTGCGCCCTGGGCTCTGGGGGGACGCCAAACTGGGAAAAGTCTACCTCCAGCTTTTCCCCTTGACCCCGTCTGAACCCCGCAAAGACAATTCTGAGCCTCTGATGTAGGGGGAGTGCATGGTCCGCTTTGTTTTGTCTACACCTGCTCTATCCTGGAGTACATAGATATCAACATTGCTAGAGGGGGACCAGATGTTCAGGTCATCGATCAAATTCAAATATGTACCTTACAGCTTCGAGGGCATTGAGGGTAAGTCCGGGGATCTGTTCGGGAAGCGGCGCCGTTTGCCGAACAATCTGCCGAAGCGGAACAAAGTCAGGAATTTCCAACCTCAGTTCCGAACAGGCCTCTGAGCACTCAGTCCCCTCGACAAAATAGTAATGCGCAATAAAATCATACCCAGCCCACTGACAATTTTCACTGCGATACCGGGGCCATGCACTACCCCTCGGGGCGCACGCTGGCGAGTTTGGAGCTCTGCGATCCCCCTGCGTCTGTCAACATTAGCTCCGAACCTTCGGTACGCAGTCCGGCACTCGCGCGGCTCATTGCCATCCGATGTTGTGGAGAAGCCCCCGGTGTGTTCCGCTAGCCTCTTCACTGTATCCTCGGCCATCGTCGCGACGCAACTGCTGCTATGGAAAACACGGTGAGCTCCAGAAGGCAGCATACTGTTGAAAAACCTAGTTGTATCCGTAGCTGCACAGTGATCTGGCTTAATGGGACCATCCTCCTGTTCTCGCTAATATTTATCCAAACCCATGGCTGCATGGCTAGGTGCCTAGGTGCAGTATCCGCTAGATTACGGTAGGTACGGAGTACTTGGGTAGTCGCTTCAGAGGCGGGGGTTTTAAGCCTGAAGCTGGCTGACTGCAAAGTTAAAGTGGATCCATCGCATTGTCCAATGTCTTATCGGGCAGTCGGTCAGGGATAAGTTTTCTCCCAGCTCTTATCGGCTGCCCCACGCTCAAAAAATTTCCTAGCATCGCCGTCTTTGGTGCAACAGTAGATGGATCTGAGGTTGCGACCCGTCTGTGACTCTGTACCATTGCGCTTGTCGGTCACAAATTGGACAGCCCACTTGTGCATCATACACCGGGCTCAACCTTCAAGTCGCTATAATGGAACAAAGCCCCAAGCGACGGAAGGTCTCCCACCAGGGCGACTCGAGGATCTCCGCCAACATTGCGACAGCGAGTCCATTCGTCCTACAGACGGACGAACTGTTGAAGGAAGTCAAGGTCAACTACGCCGAGGCGCTGGATGGCGCCGACACCCTTCTGCACAGGATCAGGAACCTCATTCAAGGAATTGAGTCCCACGGTCCCATTCCTGTTCGTTGACCCGACGTTCCTCGCCCTCAATCGGTCATGTTAACATGATTTTAGATCGCCGAAGCCACGCGCAAGTTCCAGAAGACGAACAAGATCAAGATTCCCTACCCGGACCCGAAGCCCGCCGACGATGCGCCTTACAAGCTGTCATACGAAAAGCCCGCCGCTTACAATGTCGTGGGCAGCTATGTCTCGAGGACGATGGTCCAGGCTCAGACAAACAAGGGCGTGGACATGATTGTGCAGATGCCGGCTTCGCTGTTTCAAGAAAAGGACCACCAGAACATGCGCTACTTCTATCGAAGAGCATACTACATCGCGAACATCGCGGCTGTCTTGCTCAAGGAGCTAGGGGGTTCTGCTGAGATGGAGTTCGAGAACCTGCACGGCAACACCCTTCTGCCCATCCTCTCCATCCGGCCCTCTTCCACATCCGAATCTTCAGAAAGTGACGAGGGCGACGAAAAGGCTGAATCTGGACCTTCAAAGGTAGCTTTCGTCATTAGGATCATTCCTTGTGCGCCCGAAGGCGTTTTCCCTAAGAAGAAGTTGCACCCCGCATACAATAGCAACCGAGGTGGGCAGCCGGAGAACGTCAAGGAGTCGAGCGTGTCTACACCCTTTTACAACTCGACTATCAAGGCCGAAGACACCTTTGTCACGTATCTGCGAGTTCTAACTCGAGCCAAAACGGATTGCGCAGCGTTCGCAGACGCTTGTATACTCGGAAGGATCTGGCTCCAACAACGAGGTCTGGGCAGTTCGCTGTCCAAAGGTGGATTTGGTCACTTTGAATGGGCCATCATGATGGCATTACTGCTGCAGACAGGTGGTCGAAACGGACAGCCAGCGCTTTCTTCCGCCCTGAGCAGTACTGAGCTATTCAAGGCCACAGTCCAATTTCTCGCGTCTGCCGAGTTCGCCAAGAAGCCCTTCGTGTTCGGCACTTACAAGCTGGGGGCTGACCTTATTCGGGAGAACGGCCCCGTCATGTTCGATCCCGAACGTGAGGCCAACATTTTGTACAAGATGAGCCCCTGGTCGGCGAGCCTCCTCCATTTTCACGCCTGCACGACCATGGAAGTGCTCAACAATACCCTTGCCAACCAATTCGAGCCGACATTCATCACCAAAGCTGATTTGCCGTTGCACTTGTTCGATACTGTTTTCGAGATCCAAAACGTAGACAGCAACTCGAAGAGCAACAGCCCAGATCGTCGAGGTGCTGTCTGGGATCTGAGTTTCAAGGCGTACACAGTTTTGAAGAAGGCGTTGAAGGAAAGATCACAGCTGATCCATTTCGCGAGCCAAGATTCGGCACCATGGTCAATCACCAGCAACCAGCCCAAAAATCTGCCCAACATTCAAGTCGGCATCATCTTCGACCCCGCAAATATGGGCCGGTTGATGGAATATGGCCCTTCGGCTGAGCTTGAAAAGGAGGCGGCAAAGTTCCGCAAATTCTGGGGTGATAAGGCCGAGCTCCGACGATTCCAGGATGGCAGCATCCTCGAGTGCGTGCAGTGGACGAGGCAGACATCGGCAGAAATTTGCGAGGAAATTGTCCGGTATGTCCTCCAGCGCCACGTCAGCCTCAGTGCTGGCGACCTACGATTCCATGATGCCGACATTCCCCCGTCCCTGGATATCTCGCCCTTTGACAGGGAATCCTTCGAGGCAGCGAGGAAGGCTTTCAGCACACTGGAGCAGGATATTCGCGGCCTGGAAGAAATGCCGCTCTCGGTCAGACAAATCGCACCCGTAGTCTCCGAACTACGATCTGCGTCGGTCACGCCGCCCTTTGCACTTTCTCAGAAATCCGGCCCTCCGCCCATGGACGTGAACCTCTACTTTGAGGCATCCAGCAAGTGGCCGGAGAATCTTGTCGCAATTCAGGAAACCAAGATTGAGTTCCTCCTCGACATCGACCGTCGGTTACGCGCCGTAAACGACAACATTTCGACAAGTCTCGGCCGCGATAACGCAGCGCGGGATATTGACAACCTCGCCTACCTAGATATTATCTACGCAAACGGCGCCGCATTCCGTTTGCGCATCTTTGCAGAGCTCGAGGAGACACTCCTAGACCGCCAAGCCAGGAACAAGACACTGGACCCCCAGAGCAGAGTAGAGGCCGAGGAAGCACTCTTCAACCTAAACTGGCGCCATAAGCACCTCCCCCTTCACACGCAGACAATCACAACGTACTGCACCCGTTTCACGACCCTCTCAAACACCATCCGCCTTGTCAAGCACTGGTTCAACGCGCACAAGCTCGCCGGCCACATCTCGGAGGAGCTCATCGAACTCTTCGTCCTTCACGTCTTCCTCAACCCTCACCCATGGAAGGTTCCCTCGAGCACCATGTCGGGCTTCCTACGCACGATTCTCTTCCTCTCCCGCTGGGACTGGCGCGACGAGGCCCTCGTCGTCGACTCGTCAGACGACATGTCCGCCGACGACCGCAACGTCGCCCAGCACCACCTCGAGGCCTGGCGCGCGCGCGATCCAAACATGAGCCACGCCGTCCTCTTCGTCGCCACCCCGCACGACCACCTCGGCCTAGCCTACACCCGCCAAGGGCCTTCGAAGCTCCTCGCGACCCGCATGACCCGCCTCGCAAAGGCCGGGAGCAGGATGATCAAGGAGCAAGGCATCGCCCTCGACGTCGTGGAGCTCTTCCACCCTTCGCTCGGCGACTACGACGTGCTGATCCACCTGTCCTCGTCCGGCCTGAAGCGCGTCACCCGCGACGCGGCCTCAGAGGCGGGCACCCGTCACTCGCTCTTCAAGAACCTCGACGAGCGTACGGGCAAGGTGCCACTGCCGCTGGCCAGACACCCGGCGACGGTCCTGTTGCGGGAGCTGGAGACGGCGTACGAGGACACGCTCGTCTTCTTCCATGGCGCTCCGGAGGATGCCGTCATCGGCGCCATCTGGCAGCCCAAGCTGCGCAGCCGGCAGAAGTTCCGTGTAGGTCTGCCTTACAACTTCCACCGGGTCGAGGACGGCAGCGATGAGGACGGCGATGTAGTCGAGGTAAATAAGCCGGCTGTGCTCCTAGAGATTGCTAGGATTGGTGGTGATTTGATCAAGAAAATTGAGCTCACCGAGTAGAAGAAAAAGGATCTATGAATGTAGATATTGTAATTCGGGCATCATAGCGGGGTTAGGAAAAAAGTCAATGAGCATAAAAAGTTGATTCATCACTAAATCATCATTGTCATCATTCATACTAAGCTCTCGGTCACGGTGTAGATGTGATTACAAAATGAAATTGTCTTTGGTCATGCTGATTATAGCCCTATTCAACCTTGGTTTTCCCTGTCTGTAACGCCGTGCCATGATATAAAATGCCTATACACACCAACAAAAGACGTATACACAAAACATGCCCCTTTTCTCGTCACACAACAAGCCCAAGTGTATCCATCCGAAATACCTCATTCCCCAGTTCGTGGTATTCATTCTAGTATTTGAGCAGCTTCTGGTCCTTGCCACTGTCGGCAACCTGCTGAGTAGAGAAGGCACAGTACTTATCCTTGATGGCGACCACCTCATATGTACCTTCTTGGCTCGCGCGGATGATCTTGCTGCTCTCATAGGAAACGTCGTGCCGCGTTTCGAGAACAACGCTCTTCTGGCCCTTGCGGGCATTCGAGCTGCGAGTGTACGTGAATTCGTACGGCGGAGTACCCCAAAACTCGAAAAGGATCTCCACTTCGTTGCCTTCATGGATATCCACGCGGGTCTGTCGGCCCCTGCTGATCTTGACGGCGGGCAGAGGGTGAATAGTCTTGGTGATGTCGACAGAGGCGCGGCACTCAGAGGCCTTGTCAGAGATGGAGGTGATGGTGAATTCGCCAGGGGACTCGGCGATACGACGGAAGTTGGTTGTGCTAGACTTGGCCTTGCGTTGCTGGCCCTGAAAGTCGTACCAAATTTCAAAAGGAGGCGTGCCGGAAAGCGTATAGGCGATACGTTCACCGACGCAATAATCTCCTCGGCTTTCCAGAGGGTAAATGGCGGGGGCGTCATGGAGATGGACTTGCACAGATGGCGCACCAATCTCATACTTCTTTTGACATCCACGGGCATCTCTAACTTCGCGGATGCGAACGTGCTGGATTCCAAGTCGTAAATGCTGCCTAGGAATGTGTATGCCGTATGTGTTGTCCTGAATAGAAGGGATTCTGTATGTTTCAGGTACAGTTCCACTGTGATGCTTGATCTCGATCTCGACGTAGAATGGAGCCACGCCGTTCAGGGTGATCGGAATCGTGTCTTCTTTGTCTTGCTCGGTCTTGCAGTACTTGAATGATTGCCCCGGCTTAACGAAGGCAGCGGATGGCTTAGCGTTGACCCTTTGATCAAGAATCAGAGAGCGGGAGTTCTTCTCGCTATTGTAGAGATTATCTGCCAGAGCGGAGAACTGGTACGTATACTCTCCAGATTTGGAAGTATCCATCGGAATGGACGCTTTGTTGAGAGACGTATCGAAATCCCTCTTGCTGGTCGAGGCATAGCCCTGGGCCGATTTATGCTGAATGTTATAGTCGACATGGAACGGGGCCGAACCTTGCAACTGTTAGCAGGTCCAAGAATCAAATGGCGATTGACTTACCCTTGAGGTTGACCTCGAAAGTATCGATGTCCCCTTCACATACATCACGTTTGACGAATTTGCCCTTCTCCGAGACGATGGTATCAGAGGGCACCACAGTGATCTCTGGACGAGGGTACCAGTCGACCTCGAACTTGGAAGCCTGGGGGTCCACCACACCAGGACACTGATTGTCTTTCACGTTGACGATCTCGAATATGCCTCGAGACCTGACATGAAGGACATCATTGCCATTCCTCAACGTCTTCTCGTAGATATCATCATTTACATCGACGTTGCGATAAGAAACCGTCCAAGGTCCTTCGCCTTGGAGACGCAAAGGTAACTTAACATCGGCGTGTTCAATCACCTTGGTGATGCGCTTGTTCTCGAGCAGGCCGAATGCTGCGCGAGGCCGCTGTCGCCTGACCGAGATCTTGAGCTCATCCTTCAGGAACGTGCGACAGCCAGACTTATCCTGGACACTGTTGAGAGCGAGTGTATATTCTCCGCCCTTAGCAAGAGGCTTTGTCTTGATCTTGTATGTTGACCCCTCGATGTCGGTGACGCGCTCCGACTTACGTTTGCCATCGTGAACCAGCTCCCATTCGAGCGTAAAGGGGGCATCGCCGAAGAGGAGGATGTCTACTTCAACCTCCTGTTCGAGACAGGCGCTCTTGAGTCCGGTTGGGTGCGAAATGACAGCAGAGGCCGCCGGCTTGACGTCCGTTTCCAAAGTCATGTCGGGGCCGAGAGGTTGGCCCTTGTAGATAGCATCATCGATCTGCTTGAATATGTACTTGTGGTGACCGGCTGCGGTGGGCCTCAGTTCGACTTGTTGTCTAAGGCTCTTTGCTTCAACTCGCTCGTGTCGGGTCTTGCCTTGTTCGTCGACAACGTCGTACCGAACCACAAATGGAGGCGTTCCGATGAAATCCAAATCAACTCGAAGTCCCACTGAGTTACCCGCACATTTATCCGGTATCTCCTCGGAACGGAGAGCAAGTTGGGGCTCGAGTGGATTGAGCAATAAGCAAGATGATGGCTCTTGTACCTCTCCATCGCACGAGCCACTGGAGACGGTTTTGAGTGTGTAAAGACCAGGCTCCGAGACGTATGGCTTGTCGTGAGAGTTGGAAGCGGTGTAAGAACCCAAGGAAACCTGGTCGCCATGGTCTCCACTGTTGGTCAAAGAGTCTATGGGCGAGAATTCCCAAGTCAATGTGTGCGAAGTATCCGGGTTCTTGCCAGCTATCGAGAAACTGACTGGGAGTCTCGCCTTTTGGCCCTTGGCAACTTTGACCGGTCTGCGAAGATCACAGTCTTGCAGCCGAGCCCTCGGTCGCTCCTTGACAAAAAAGTTGCGTGCCAGATGCTTAGGCCGGGGACGGACTTCAGCATCTTCGGCAGATGGAGCGTACTTCTGAACGTTGCCGAAGCCGTCAGTGACCTCGTCCACGGCATACTGCCACTGTCCTGGACTATCCAGGGTCTCGTTGATGCGCACCGCCACAGTATGGGGCTTAACCCAGGAAATGTCTTCGTCGCCTACGTGAGTCAATGAAGATGAAGGCGTACCGAGTAAAGGCGAAGTATAGTCTTCGGGCTGTAGGCTTTGGAAGTGGAAGCTGCGGTCATTGTCTTTGCCCGTCCGGCTGTAGACAATTTTGAGAGGGGGCGTTCCGGTAACGTCAACCAGCAGGTTGGACAAGTCCCTAATACACCGGTCCTCTTTATCGGGCGTCCGGAAACCTGCTTTCGGGCACGGCACAACATAAGTGTCCCTTGTTGTGCGTTGGACCTCAAGCTTATATTCATCCAGGACTTTGCCCAGACGGTACACACCAGTTTTCTTGACTGGATACTCGATGGAGTGAGCAAGTGGATTTGATTCCGCCGTTTGGTCCTTAATTTGCTTGGCAATTTTGCGAATCTCCCTGCTTGATAGCTTGATCGTCTCTTCCTGGTTGGTATCGAGGTCGATGCGGATGAGCTCCATCTCAGCGGGTACCGTAGAGTTAAACTGTATGGGCAGCCGAATACTTTCGCGCCCTTCGCCGATGCAGAATGGAGTTTGCTCAAAGTTGAGAACCGCAGAGCTGGTGGAGCATGTTAGCGAGTGGGACTGCAGTATCGCGCCTGAGTAGAACATTACCCTTCCGGCAAAATGTTGATGATCTGCCTTCCCATGATCAAGGAATGATTATGTAGAATGCTTGAGACCTTGACGGTATTCTCAGAGACAGCCAATTCCCGGTCGTAGAAGACTTTGAGAAAGCCAACAAGCCATGGTTGCAACGGGAGCTATTCATGTTTAGCATGGCCTGCCTAAGAAGCAACACACACTTCCTAGTTTGATGTACATACCGGAATGTTGAACATCAACATGAAGTTGAAGAAGGCGTGAAGCAGGAAAATGACCGTAACCACAGGCTGTGACAACTCCAACCATGGTATCCTCATTTCCGGTAGGCCGAAAAGAAAGCCAAAGTCGATGAAGACCCATTTCAGGAACAGCCATGCCGATGTATCGTTGTCCTCCACAAGCTTGATCCAGTCGTAGAATCTCCATGCCAACAGCCCAACGTATATGGCGAAGGCGTAGAAGCGTTGTTGAGGAGCATCGAGGATCGTCAACGGGATGACAGGCTCGCTCGCAGGGCCAGTTCGAGTCGCGCTTTCAGGAGCTTGAGGGAGCGAAGATGCGCGGTGGCTCTTCTGAGAGGAGATGGAGGAGTTCGGATCGGGGTCCTGTCGTCGGGCTGGTGTTTGTGGAAACCCACCAGTCCGCTGTCTCGGTGTTGCGCTCATCGCATGTCGTATTCAAGGGCGCCGCATAAGAATCGCAGTCTGGAGAGTACGCCAATGATGAATTGGTTTGAACGCTCTGGGAAATGCGAGGGAAGGCCGAGCAGTATCAAAAAAGGCTTGCCCGGCGTAGCAAGCTATTGTTGACGTCGTGGAGGTAGGGAAAGCTGTGGCGGGAATTCAGAGCTTCAAAATTTCCAGTGAATGTTCGTCACGTCCAAACGCGCCTGGCAACAACACCCACCTGGTGCGTATGTATGCTCTTTCATTGGCACAGCGGCTCTTGGGGTGGATACCCTCTTGGATACTAACAGGGTCCCAGTCTTCCGACAGCTGGCGTGCAAGGGCCATACGCTGTGCGAAAGCTGAGTTGCGAACAGCTGACCCGCCTTAACCCCCCCTGGACGTAGGTAGGTACCTTAATATTGACGTCGGTCGTCTGCTATCTCAAGCTGGGGAGCTGTAGCCTGTCCGATGCACGATCATCCCCGCCGTTCTCTGAAGCTTATCTTGACACAATATCCATAAGGTAAGGTAGGCACCGCCACCACTTATTATCTCCAGCCGGATTAATCCAAAGTCAACAGAGAAGCAACCATTTACCTTACCTCGTTAAGGTACCATAGCTGAAGGGACTGGGCCAACTGATGTGCGAGTGAAACTAAATAGGAAGCTCTCTGAGAGATGACTATCTTCCCAAGTCCTCAAGCCATCCCAGTGGGCACCGACCTGATGCAGAAATATAGCACAAGAGGTAAGTGTACATCGCATCTTATGTCGTCGAATATGTGATATCCTGCCACGTATTGTAAGTGCAAAGAACGGGCTTTTTTTTTTCTTTTTCTTCTTTCTTGCTGCTGCATACTGTCGCTCCTTCCACAATGAGATCCGTCTCAAACCCGGGCTACGAATTGGAGCTCATGTTTCTAATTCCTACCCAAGAGTCTCAAACCTGAACACGATGACTTTGTCTATGGTCCTACAAAGCATCTCTCTACCTCAAACGCATTTTTTTTGTGAGACCTGCAACAAAATGATTCCCCATCTTCAATAGGCAAGATCTACCACCATCGTCCCTTCATTAAGTCGATTCTTTTACCGAGCACCATCCTCTTCATATTCACCTTCTTGCGACGCTTCCTTCCATACTCACCACCGTCCGCATCCTTCACTACCACCTGCTCAGCACGACTATTTCTATGAACTACATAGAGAATCACTCTTCTCCCTAAGTTTCCGACTCAGAATCCGACAGACGAGCGATCTCAGACGTAATAAAACCCGCCATACATAAGAATGGCGTCTGTAGCGCCCCCGCGTCCTGATGTGCCTCGACGGCAACTGCGAAGTCGCCAGGCAAGCGCAGGTGTGGTGCCTGCAACGACCGAAGTACCAAAAACGTCTGACATTCCCTCGACTACAGACTACGAATGCGACATCTACGCAATCGAGACCAGCCCGCATACCAATGTCACTTTTGCGCTCGCAGGCGAGCCTGATCTCTCGCCAGAAAGCCGTCGGTTGCGGAAGAGGAAGGAGTCGCCCTGCGAGGCTGACAGTGAGGTTGCTGTGGCCGACTCACGGCGAAATCCTAAGCGGAAAGCCACAGAGACTGCGGCTGCTTCTCAAGAGGCGAGAGACTACCAGACGCTTCTACGTGAATCTTTGGCGCCCCTGGACAAGGATGAGCTCAAGGAATGGGAGGGTTGGTGTGAGGTGGAGTCTGAGCCTGTCCGTTATCGCGTCCACCACCCAGCCTCGCCCTTCACTAATGCCATTTACAGGCCTTCTTCAATGCTATGCTACGAGAGATGGGCGTCAAGGATGTGAAAGTCCAAGAGGTTTTCTCGGTCGATGAAGATTATGTGGCGACTCTTCCGCAACCCGTCTACGGGCTCATCTTTCTCTATCAATACTTCTCGGAGAACTACGAGGACGATGAAGTTGTCGACGGCCGCGACGTTTGGTTTGCGAATCAGGTTGGCTCTATTTATCTCTCCCTTCCCTTAGACCGCAAACACTCACCAGGCCACAGACGACAGATAATGCCTGCGCAACTGTCGCCATGACCAATATCCTAATGAACAGCGCAGGGGTCGATCTTGGACAGGACCTCCAAAACCTCAAGGATTCTACCAGCAGCCTCAGCACTCCGCTTCGTGGCCACGCCCTGAGCTCAAACACCTTCATCCGTTCTGTCCACAACTCCTTCACGCGAAGAATGGACCATCTGAATGCAGACCTCTTCCTTGAGACCGAAGCAGCTGAGTCCAAGAAAAAGAAGCGCAGGGGACCGGCGAAGAAGAAAAAGAGAATCAAGAAGCAAAAGATCGACTCAGAGTCGGGCTACCACTTCATCGCCTATGTACCAGCTAATGGCTCGGTATGGGAGCTGGATGGTCTCAAGACAAGGCCGGTCTGTCTCGGACCCCTCGAAGAAGGTGTCCACTGGGCCAATCTCGTCCAGCCCGAAATCCAGGCTCGCATGTTCCAGTTCGAAGAGAGCGCTCTCTCCTTCAATCTACTCGCGCTCTGCAAAAGCCCGTTGAAAATCTTATCAGGGGAACTCGCGAGCACGATCCGCTCTTTTGAACTTTTGGAGAGTCGCACCAAGGGTCTCGACGGTTGGCAAAGTCTCGTTGCCGGTAACAAACAGCCTCTACAGCGCTCTGAGACAGAGCGCATTGCCGGCTTCGGCATCTATGAATCGGACATAGAGAAGGCGCGAGTTGACCCGGCATTCGAGAAGAAGGTCACGAATCCGACCATGGAGATGATGGAGCTCTTCGATCTCCACACCGATCTCGTAACGAAGCAGAAGGCTCTAATGGGAGAGTACAATACCGAGATCGGTTTCATGAAAGAGGACGATGACCGTGTGCAGGGACGGAAGAAGGATCATACTCCTGCGATTCATTGCTGGATGCAGAAGCTGGCGGAGCACGGCGTGATCGCAGACTGGGCAGCTGATTCCTAGGACGGTTGCGACAGAAAGAAGCGAGAAGAGCGCGATATTGCGAGTGGTCGATATCAAGTTTGCACTGCAGAGGCGTTTTGATCTGGAAAAAATAGATGGTCTCGCGTGGGTTCTGGCGGCCAATAAGTCAATTACTTAATGAAAGACAACCTCCACGACCGTCCCTCTGCTCTTGAAGAGGCGGATATGGAGGGCACACAGAATTGCCCGACGTCGAAATTATTTATTCAAACCATAGTGATGCCTCGACTGCTTTTCAGCCCTCACACTCCACATCTCCTGGTGCTTATAATGGCGTATAGACCATCTCGTTGTTGGACGGGATGAATGTGCACCTTTCCCTATCGAATCGCTTGAAGAATAACCCGGTGTCGGGGAACAAAGCTGCTTCTGCCTCTTCATGATCGCGCACAAGCTCAAGACTTGAGGCCTTGACCAAAGAAAAAGTCCCTTGCATGTTTGGAGGAGTTCTAATGACTTGTCAGTGATTTTATAGTCGTTCGTCAGCTACCCTGTTGACTCACAATAACCTGTAATACAGGACCGATCCATGGGGAGTCATCTCCCCGTCGATCACAACCCCGACAAACCCGTATCTGCCATGCCGCACAACATTACCGATCTTATACTCCAAGTTCATCTGCGAGTCACGGAACACAGGCTGCTGCTCGTCTGCCCGGCGAACGAGGCGAAGTATGTATTCGGGGTTCGGAGCAGCAAGAAATACATCGCCGTGCGGTTGAGGCCGAGTAATGTAAATCTTTTCCACCAACCAAGCGTCGTCGAAGCGTAGCGAGTTGAATCGTAGTGCGAAATGCGATGTCACGTCAACGAATGCATCGGGATCCAGTAGAGTTGTCGCCCATGCGGCGGCGTAGACGGATAGCTCCAGGTTCTGAAGAGCAGTCCCAGCCTCCAGTCCAGCCAATCTCTCTACTGATACCTCCTGAGACGTGAGAACAAGATTGGTATGTCGTATATTGTGTGCGAGCCGGCCAATCATGGTTGAAACGGCTGCCGGGGCCATTGTTTCGACATCTAGACTATGCCATCCGACCTGGGCGATGAATTGTCGTAGTGTTTCCTTGTTGAACTCCTCATCACCCCCGTAAGGATCCAAGTACATCCTCTCAAGATGTCTTGACGCATCCGCGACTCTGGAGCCATCCAACGTGAATCCCGGCGTCGCAAAGACCATCGCAAGCACATGGCCTGGCAGGGCACAGCAGTGGGCATTCAATCCCAGCCTCTCGCCGACACAGCAGAAAATGGCTGCTGAGACCATCGGAAGTGACTGGTGGGCCTCATTTCGTAGCGCGTGGCCGAGGAGACAGTTTCGCAAATTGCGATAGTTAGTCTCTGGGTCAATCATACCGGTGAGGTTATTGGATCTGAGCCAGCGATTCAGAGCCAAGGACTTTTCCCGAGTGCAAAGACTGTTGAATTCGTGGTGGCAACTCCGGAAGTCGGCTGCGAGGTTGTCGAGAAGCCTTGAAACCTGCCATAGGATTGGTCAACGAGGTACTATGGTGTCCGGAGGATAGCCTACGTGATTTATATCACCCACGTCGTCCTGGATGACAAACATGTCAAAGGCAGCAAGTGCGCGCTCTAATCTGCCGGGCACGACTTTGGGACCTTGATTGGGTCTCCAAACTTCGAGTGCCTCATCACTGCGAAGGTTGTCCCAAACTTGGACGGCGATTCCACGGCGCATGCTGGCGAGAATGGCGTTACTGAAATACCTAAAATAAGTTTAAGCAAAAAGCGCCAGTAGAATTATTACAATAGCTGCTTACCTCCTGGCCAAGACATCATGGACATGATCTGGAGTCTGGGCCTGATCCAGGAGAAAATCTTTGGCGTCATGACCAAGCAAACAGATTTCTTCAAACTTCCTTACCCGGCCATACTTGGTGGTTAAAATCCCACGGAAAAGGCTTGCAGCCTTGGCATTTCTTTTGTTGCGAAAAAGAAACAACTGTTTCCAAGGAATGTCGGACGCGGGCTCCTCCAGTTTCTCAAAGAATCTGTGGTTTGGATGCCAGAATCTGAAAGCGTGCAAACAGTAGTACCGCCACAATATCGGCTCATTAGAAAGCTGGCTCAGGCGTCTCGACAGTGGGTTCACTGAGACCAAGTTGTCTTCTGGTGAGATGTAATGGAGTATTTGGTGGATGATTTCATCTGGGATTTGGTCGAATGAGAGCATGGCGGCAGACGCCTCACGCGCACACAATGAATCCGACTGTAGCTGCTTGGATGCTGTCGCAATCGCAATCGCCGCAGGTTGGTGGGGTTTGCGGGGGACTTATACAAAGAGGCGCGGCAGAGTATCGGCATGCGAACGAAGACTTCTAGTGGTGAGGAAAGATCGATAACAGTTGTCTCTATGAGTAGATCGTCCTGGGGTTGGATTGATCGAAGGCAGATAGTGATGTTTTGACGCTTGCGGTGTGAGGTGGTTGCATCACAAATCGAGGTTCTTTCCCACTTGGAGTGTCTCAAGCTGCCCTGTGGTAGCAAACAAGGTCCACCACGTTCATTGACGTTTTATCACCGAAAAGTGGGACTCTGCCATTGGATTCTTAAACTAGGGAGAGCCTGCTATTTCCTCTGATATAATTGGGCAAATTAAACGTATGTTCATTGGTCAAAAAAACCATGACCTGGTCCCTCTTTGTCCCACCACGCTAGTCCGAGATAGGATCACGAGTAAACAACACTCATAACGCGGTCTGGGATGTGACCGTGTACCCTTGGTCCCTTGCTGCTCTTTCAAAGTCCCGTCCACTATCAACACCGCGACTGACTGGGTTCTGAGCTATCGCAACCACACGACATTTTATAGCTTTGCAGACACTGCGCATTTGCTGTCTTGCTTCGCATCAGCGCATGCCATTCCCACATACCGCTAAAAAGAAGAAGAAGAAGAAAACCACTGTTATGATCGCAACCACGAGATCGCAATTTTAACCGCTCGTCGCCTTTCCCCTCTATAAGTCAAACGCGGTCGAGATGGTCGCCCCAGGTATTGGCGGCCTCGACACGCCGCGAACTAACCTTGGCGATGCGACATACCTCAGCCGACAACCCGACTTCGACATGTCGCAGGAGGTCTCCTTCCAGTCTCCTCCAGCAAAAGAAAATAATTTGCTACAGCAATTGCGCAACGGACGCTCTGGAGGCATCAATCTTCGCACCCCACGGGGTCGCGGGCCCTTCGCAGACAGAAAAAACCTACCTGCCGGACTTGGAGGAGCAGAGTTTACCCCTATGTTGAAGTCGGCCACGCGAAATAGCATCCGCCGAAGGTCTGGCAAGGAGAACGGCGCCGTGCCGAACACACCCGCACTGAACAAGATCGACGAGGATATGACGCCAATTCCCAACATCGACACCTCCATGTACCAATCTCGGTCTTTCATAGATCGCACGCCGCTTCCCGAAGTCGACAGCCCAAGCACTGCGTCTACACCGCTCGTAGTACTGCCGCGACGCGACGGGAAAGGCCCTTTGCAGGACGGAAATCAGTTGTCGCTTCGGGAACAGGAAAGCGTAATCGATAAAATCGAAAAGGAAAACTTCGGCCTCAAACTCAAGATCCATTTCCTCGAGGAGGCTTTACGAAAGGCTGGTCCCGGCTTCAGCGAGGCGGCATTAAAGGAGAACACCGAGCTGAAGGTCGACAAGGTGACCATGCAGAGGGAGCTTCACAAGTATAAGAAGCACCTGACATCAGCCGAGAAAGACCTTGAGAGCTACCGACAGCAGATGATGGAATTACAAGAGAGGGCCAAGCGGAAGTATGCAGACCAGAAACAGTTGGCAGAGATTGAGCGTCTGCAGCAAGCGTTGGAGGACCGGGAAGCTGATCTCGACGACATGCAGCGCCAGTTGAGTCAGGGACAGCACGACCAAGGGCAGGTGGACAAGCTGCAAGATGAGATAGGTGACCTGGAAGCGGAACTCCGCGAAAAGGAGCGCCTTCTTGGGGACCATGAGGACGAGATTGACGACCTCAAGGCGAAGCTGGAAGAGGTGGAGGACAAGATGAAGGATGCTCAAAGGCGAATGATCGAGCTTGAACAAAACGGACAGTCTAACGACGATTTGGAGGAAGCGAGAGACACCATCGACGATCTAGAAACCAATGTCCGTCGCTTGGAAGAGCAAGTTGAAGAGATGAGAGACAAACTCAACCAGGCCATTGCAGACAAGGAGCAAGCAAAGGGTGATTTGGAAGAACTCCAAGAGGAGTTGGCAAACAAGTCTATAGCCACCAAGGGGCTCTCGCGTCAAAAGGAGGAGAAGCTTTTGCGCCTGCAAGCTGAATTGGAGGAAGCCGACACAAGATTCGCCAGCGTCGAAAAGCAGCTTTCCGAAACGATCAAGGAGAATGACGAGCTCAAGAACGCTGCCAAGGAAGATCGCCGCGCACACGAAGCCTCAGAGCGCGACCATCAGTCGCAACTGGCCAGAATCGAACAGCAGCTTTCCGGTGTAACGACAGAGAAGGACAGTCTCAAGAATGCCGCGGATGAGGGTCGTCAAGAACGGGAATTTTCTGACCGCGAACGCAAATCGCTTTTGATTCAAGTAGACGACCTCAAAAGGGACTTGGAGTCCAGGCTAGACGAGAAGAATCTATTGCAGAGTCGTCACGAGGCCTTGACAGGCGAGTCTGACTCTCTCCAACGAGACGTGGCACGCCTTCAAAAGACCGTGGCTGACTTGGAGGAGAGCCTCGCCCAAGAGCGGGACCATGCCCTTGAGATTGAAAGGGATATCCGCAGCCAATACAGAGATGAAATCGACAGACTCAATGACGAGGTCTCGGACCTTCGGGCTGAAATCCGTGAGAAGGACAACCTCTACGACAACGACAGCGAAAAATGGGAGACGGATCGCCAAACCCTGGAGTCGGAACGCAGACGGGCGGAAGAGAAGGCCTTAGGGCTAGAAAGGACGATCGCAAAACTGCGCGAGGCTGAAGGCAACCTATCGACCAAGGAATCAAGATTGCAGGAAGCACTGGAGAGTGAAGCTCAACGCCACAAGGACGAACAAGCATCCCTCACAAGGCAAATCGAAGACCTTCAGCACAACCTCGAGTCACGCCAGTCTATGCTCACTGAGTTACGGAATGAACTGTCACAAGTTCAGGATGAGCTTCGTCAGACTCAGCTAGACTATCAAGCGCAGACTGAGAAGATTGAGGGGCTGGAGGATGAGGTGGAGGTCCTTCAAACCACTTTGGACGAGGAATCAGAACACTCCCGTAAGGAACTGGAAGCCGCAACGAAAGAATGCGACGTTTTGAAGTTGGAACTGGATGAGCTACATCGTGGAACGGCCTCGGTCTCACAAGAGAATGCCAGCAAGTCGAATCAAGCCATCGAACGACTCAGAGCCCAGCTTGACGAGGCAACATCACTCGTGTCTAAGCTAAACAAGGAGAAAGAAGCGCTCCAGGATAGGCTTCAAACTCAAATCTCTGAGTCGACTGTGCAGGTGAACAGGGTTTCTCGCGAAAAGCAGACACTGCAAGATCAACTCGCCAACCTGAACCTCGAAATGCACTCCTTGCGCAGCTCGTTGGCCGAGGCAAGGGCGGAGCGAGATGAGGTTGAGAGCGAGATGAGGCGCCTGCACCAGAATGGCGAAGAGACACTCCGCATCGATCGAGAGCGCCTAGACTTGAGGACGTCTAAGCTTAAGCTTGACAATGAAGTACGGAGACTCAAGGACGAGAACGCCGCTCTGGCGGAGCAAATGCAGTCCGTCGAAAAGTCGCTCGAGGACGAAATCGAGAAGGCCGCCGAAGAGGAGGATCGCCTCAACCAGGAAATTCGCCAGCTTCAAGTCAAGCTACGGGAGGTGTCTTCATCAGAAGGCCAAGAAACAGTCGCCACACGACGCACGATACGAGAGCTCGAGCGGCGAATCAGGGACTACGAAGACCAGCTCGCGATGACGCAACAACTTCCCGCTAATATCGGTGAGGGTAACAGCGATATTTCCATCATTCGCCGTGATCTCTCAACGGCACGACAGAAGGAGCGTGAGCTCCTCCAACGAGAGGCAGCCCACAAGGATGTCGTCAAGGGTCTAAAGAAGCAAATCGTAGAGCTGGAGCGGAAAGCTCACGATGCTGAAATGTCCCGTCTCATCACGTCTCCTGCATCATCGAGCCCTTCGGCCAGGAAATCCGAAGTCTCTGAGCTGCGCCATCAACTTTCTACAGCACAGCAATCAATCCAGGCGTTCAAGACCAAGGCGCGTGACGCAGAACGCAAAGCCTCTCAGTTCGAGCATGATCTACAGACCCAGCTTGATGATCTGGAGGACCAGAAGCTCGCTCTGGAGCAGGCCCTGGAGGATGTGCAGCGCGATGCCGATGAAGCTGCTCTTCTCCATGAAAAGGCTCTCCGTCGTCTCAAGCAAAAGCTTGAGAAGGCAGAGCAAGACCGGCAGCTTGTGGCCCACGGCCGTCATAACATCGAAAGCATGTCATCCTCCGAGAAAAGAGATCTCCAGGAATTGCTTCATAGGACACAAAGCGAGGCAGACGCGCTCGAACACGACGTCATCCAGCAACAAGAGACCATTGACGAACTGACGGCCGCCGAGGGCTCGCTTCGTCGCAAGCTCGACAGGGCACGTAGTGAGCGGGCGGCCTACCGCCTAACCGCAGAGAAGCTGCAGAAGGACATCAGAGACCTCAAAGTGCTGGCCGCAGCTGAGAAGAAGAACCCGCGGGCAGTCCGCCTCGCCGCCGAGACGGACGAGAGAATGAGGCAGACGGATGAGGCGCTCGAGACCGTCATCCGCGCTGCCGAGAACGCAGACGCAAAGCACACCAAGGAGCTCCGCGGCATGACGCTGCAGATGGAGTGGATGCAGGCGCGGTGGAAGCGTGAGGTCAGCATGCGCGCCGATGCGGCGTACGCGAAGAAGTTCTTGCAGCTGGAGCTCGACATTGCCAACGCATGGTATGTACCCTTGCCCATCTTGTCTTTAGTGGTCCCGATACTAACGCTAGACTCAGCAACAAGGCTCAGCTGCGTGAATTGGAGCAGATTCGCTGCGAGCTGCTCGGCAGCCGCCGGCCCCTCCCACCCCCCTCCTCGACGACGGCGAAGAAGCAGGGCGGCAGCGGCACAACGACGTCCCGCCGACCGACGCTCAAGACAGTGGCGACGATGGCCCGCTTCATCGCCAGGATGCAAATCTCGGCGCGCGAATGGGCCAAGCACGAGGCCACGCGCCAGAAGCTGGCTAACTGCATTGACGAGATGCGCAAGACCAAGAGGCGGAATCAACTCAAGGTTGTGCATGCGGACGACGTTGCGGCCTGAGAATCTCGCTGGTCGTTCGGTCTTGCCTAGCCTCGACTCGCAGTCCAGCTAGATGACTCGAGACTATTATTGTGTGTTCCCGAAGAAACGGGGAATGGATGCAGATTCGGGTATCTGCGAAACGCTTTCCCTATTGATCACGGTGCAGCTGAGCTGAAGATGTCACGGCATCATCTCGGGCTACCACACCACACGCACATCACCCACCACCCACTTCTTCATTCAGCGCGCATCCCCATCCCCATCCGCATTAGCATTGGTGTTCAGTCTTCTTTTGTTTGCATAGCTGGTGTGTGTTATCACTGCGAAACCCTTCATGTTGCAGTGAGAGCGAGCGTTTAAAGGGGGTGTGGTTTTCCCTCTCTTTTTCCTCTTTGAGTTGATGATTGTCCATGTTTGGAGGAGAATCGGCGAGCTAGCCCCGGGATGGGCGGGGGAGGGAAATCAGGAGGAGAAATTGGCATGTTTTCGCTAAGCTCTGGAAGATTATTGGCCTGCTTGGCACTGCTCATGTCCTCATCTGGCGTATTGGGCGTCAAGCAAAATATTGTTTCCTTAGTTCGGTGAATTGGTAGAATGGCTAGCGAAGGGGGAAAGGAGTTGCGATTATGGGTCTAATCATGATTTCCAAGCACGACATTACATGATGAATAAATTGGAAAGGGCATGGATACCTGAACAGTCACATATTTCTTCTCTTCACGTCCTTGGCGACATTGCATGATGTTGAATGACAATGGAAGCCATCCTATATCGGGCGGGCTAGACCACCATTGCCATTTGAGTTTGAACCTACCTACATGTGGAAAAATTGTCGTGGTGGGAGAAACATTGCATACTGCATCTCTCTTCAACGTCCACGTGGCAAAAAACCAATTTTTAATTCATTTTCAGTTCTGTGAACTAGTCAGGCAGGGTACGAGACGTCCCAACTTTGCCAGAACCGGGAAAGGCATCGAGAGTGGCAAAGAAGACTTGCCCAAAACAAAATGAAGCCACCCAAGTCATACCCAAAATCTTCAATTTTCGCCAGCCCAACCGTTCCTTTTCCAATGGTGACCTATGCCTACCTATGCCTACCTATGTCTAACCAACCCTGAGTATTTATGTTTCCAGGCCGAAGTAGGGCATTATGACATATACAAGGCGGACCGGCCGTCGACACACAGGATTATTATTACATAACGAACAAGAGGTTGGTGTCTGCGAGGTTAGCTACAGAACCATTGCAGGAATCCATTCTCCTCTTCTTAGAAATAACGTACTCAAAGGGTGGCTGCAGGAAAGCTGAGGCTTCTGCGTGTAGCGAGTCGAAAGCTCGTCACGAATACTGTTCAATAGCTGCACGTAGCTCTGTTGAGGGTTCTTCTTCATGGCCGTGATAAAGGCCCACGACATGGCACCAGTAGCCTGAGAAGCGATCGTCGCATCGGCCCTGTGAGTAGAAATCAGCATAGGTACAACTTGCCAACCGCGCCATAAATGGACGATAATTGGGGAGGTTCGCCTTGATTTGGCCATCGTTTCCGCACTTGCGGGCCGAAGTAGTTCCAACGTGACTCGTCGCTCTAGAAGCAAAACGCAGCCACAGGTAGGCTGCAGTTTGTTCTAGAGCATTGAAAGGTTACCGTCGACCTGGTACAACACGTGTGAAGTAGATATTATGAGAGGAAAAAAGTCAAGAAAAAAACGACATGCACACCCCAGACTCTTCCTTTTCAGGCTTCGGCCTCCATTTTCCAGAACAAGCCATCTCACCAGGAGAGGCAGTACACGCAATTCAAAGGGCTTTACTATGTAACCTCCAGAGAATCCGTAAAGCGCATTGAGAGGAAAAGGGTATCATCAAAATAGAAAGAAGGGTGTAGCGTACGAGGTTTGGTCATCTTTGCTTCCTGACAACATGACTACATCGGCAGGCGACGTCTTCGTAGCCATAGTGCGGTTGTAAGCATCTTCGCCAGTAGTTGCCTTCTTGAAGAAGCCCATAATGTTGCTTGCGACACCGCCGAGATCGCCTTGGCTGTACGATGAAATGGCACCGAGCAGACCTTGGCCAGCTTCCTTGGCAAGATTGGGCTCTTTGAGGATGCCCTGGGTCGAGTAGATGTATGGAAGATCGAGTGCAGTACCCGAGTGACAAGAATCGAAGATAGCTGTTAGTCTCACACCAGCCTGTAAAGGTTGGACCATGATTCTATGCATCTCATCGTCCGTGATGTGACCGGTTTGGCGGAAATCTACTGGATAAATGACTTCATCATACCCATCAGGCTCGTCGCCGTCGAGATCCTTTGTTTGACCACCATGGCCTATAGGTGTCAGTGCCCAACAGCATAGTCCTAAAGTTTTTTCGCAGCTTACCTGAGTAGTGAAAGAAGAGGGAATCGTTGGGCCTCGCGTCTTTCACAAGCCAATGCATTGCTCTCAAGAGATTCTGTTTCGTAGGCTGGCTCATGGGATTTTGCTGGTCGTCAGTGAGGATAACCATATCCTCCCTCTTGTACCCAAAGCGGTCGACGAGGTATGCCGACATGTTCTTCACATCGTTGATGCACCCACGCAACTGGCCGCGTTGTCCAAAGTAGTTGATACCAATCAGCAACGCCTTTCTCCGGCCAGTGCAGTTAGAGTACTGAAAGTTGTAGCCGGTGGGTGCGCCATGTCCAAATCTCTGCGGATCAGATGGCGGCGGTGGAGGAGCATTGTGGTTTCCATGCATGTAAGCATTCGAGTTCACGGTGGGCACTCCTTTGTGACGACGGTTGTCAACTTAACGATTCCCGTTTTGGACGTCCAGCTTTTCAAACTCACCTGGGCGACTGTTGTAATTAGGTTGAGGCGGGGGTTGCTGATATCCACCATATTGTTGCGGAGGAGGGGGCTGAAGATTACTTTAGTCGACGAGACTTAGACAAGGCTGGTAGTTAGCCGTACCTGATTGTATCCGTAGGGTTGAGGCGACGGCTGCTGGTAGCCGTACCCCGACCCAGCAGGAGGGTATCCGTTGTATCCTTGCTGCGGAGGGCTTTTGCTCCTCATGTTAGTGATTGAGCGGGCGGACGCGAAACAAGGGTTGGAATTCATACGGGTAGTAGCCGCCCGATGCGTATGGTTGCTGCGGCGGCTGGCCACCTTGGTATCCTCCGTACTGGCCCGGGTATCCTGACATCTTGTCGAGACCTCGGACTATTCTCAGACCCGATCTTTGTGTGTTTGGTGACCCGAGGCCAAGAAGCCGTGATCCGAAGAGTTTCTAGCTCGGCGAGATGGTCTTCGAAGAGGAGAGTGTTGACCAGGAGGATTTCGGGGTCGGACTTCTTTATAGATGGGCGACGAAGCTGAAGTACGGTTTTCGCAATTCCGGAAGACGGTGAGGGGAAGCGAGGGGGTCGTGGTTAAGGTGTAGGGACGGGACGAGAATGCGTGTGCTTGCTTAGGTCTCGAGACTAAGTTGGTGAGCACAAGAGCAATGTCAGCCTTCCTCGAGCGCGAAACTGGTTGGAGGAGCGTGGACAAGCTTACCAGTACGAGGATGAGGACTAGCTGATGGCCTATCTCAAAGCGGGAAACTGATCATGCAGCAAGGGTGGCTAAGGACCCTAGTTGACTCTTTTGATGCTTTGGAGCCGGCTTGTGAGACGGATTGGGGTAGACATCAACTTGGGCAGAGCTTAGGCGGAGGTAGCTGGGCGCAACAGAGGTGTGTGAGCTGGGGTGGCAGTAGGAAGAAATGACGGCGCGGAAACGCAATACAGCCAAGAAAAAAAAAGAAGCTGAGCTGGAGATGATGGAAGAAGAAGAGAGATGGAGTGAGCGGGGTGTTCGGGTTGGAGGAGCGAAGAAATGTGAGGAATGTAGGATGTGCTGGGCAGGGTACCTCAAGATGCGCCGCGGCGTTGCGGCGAGGGTGTGGTGGAGGGGTTCGAGCTAAGGTTGTCGGCACGCACCAGATCCACCGTCCACCACGTCTTGGCTTGATGTGTTTTGGCGGGGAGGGGTGCCGTGGGTGCTTCGCAACTCGGTGCCCGGGACTAGATTGGACAACATATACACTGCACCACAAAGAGACCACCACGATTCAGCAAGGTCGCAAGGTGGAAAGAGGTCCCAAAGTGGAGGTAGATGATGACTGTAGGGCTAACAAGAATACGTAATGTTGGATCAGTCGTCGTAGGCGCCGAGGAAAGCAACGGCATGTGGCAGGCCGGGCACAATGGCGATTGGACTTACGGAAGAAACGGCAGGGACGGCCTCAAAGTCCAAGAGCATTTTGCTAGCGGAGGTGGATCGGTGTACCTCGCCGTCCACTGCCGCACTGCGCCCAATGTGTTTGATCCCTTAGCTAAGCAAACATGATCGGGGCAGGGTCTGCACTGGGAGGGCGAAAAACACTGACGGCTGCAGCTGCAGCTTGCAGACAATCAGCCACGAGCACGGGCCATACCAAGGCCGTTCCCAGCCCGGTGAGAACCGAGAAATGGGGCAGAGTTGGAGGCGCTAAACCCCTTTTAGGACTTCCCGTAAACAGCACCTGCTGCGATTCCACCATGTGATGGATGTCACGTCCCTGACCTGGGTAGATGGGCCCGGTGCCACCGTTCCTGCCCTGCCGTGCCATGCCATGACATGCGCGCAACAGTCGGACTTTTCTCTGCATCTCCGTCATTTCGCCGTCGTTGAACCGCGAGGTACCTGAGGTTCAACTTGGTCCAAGGTGTCCAATTCAGACTCGCAAGCAGACTCGGACCGCGAATCTCGTTGCTCATTGCCCTCCAGGTTTGGGCATTCCTCTTTCTGCCCGCCAACCCAAGACAACCCTTGCGCCGTCTTCAGCCGCAGCCATCCTTGATGTGTGACTCCGAGAACCTAACTTCACTCCTCCAGACATCTCGGCAATGGTCACTAAAACGGAACCGGACCAGAGCAAAGCACGTCCAAGTTGACGACGAACAACTACGAATAACGAACCACTCACCGCCTCGCCCTCCCTTACACGGAGGCCTTATGGGCTCAAGGGCTCCTCGAGAGGTTTTCTTGTCCACAATCATCATCCGGCTTCACCTCCATCCTCTCGGTCGCACGACCGTGTCTTGCATCGAATTTCCTCTGCGTCACTCCCGTCCACCCCAAGCCCCCAGGTAGCCGCTCTAGACTACCTACCTTGGTCCACGGCCCTGGCGCTGCTGTGGTCTCCACCCCCTAAGGTAGTCCCGCTGAACCCTTCTCCCCCGGTCAAGCTGAGACTTAACGCCAAAGTGGGCGGCCCTACGCCGATTCAACAGGGCTATGCCGCGCTACTTACCACCAACGGCACACTTAGACGCCCTATCGCGTCAGACGAGCCAAACATTGAGTCGTTTGCTCATTGCTGAAAGCGCCTCGCGACATTTGAGACAGCCCGGACTGCATTGGAGTCGGCTGCCTCCGCGCGGTAAAGCATTCCGCTCCGAACTCCATCAGTTGAGCCTCTCGGTCAAGATGTTCATTTCACTTTCGGCTTCTGACGTTGACAACGTTGTGATGGCCCGGGCATCACCCCGTGGACTAGTGTCGCTACTCAATCGGATGCTACCCGGCTCCATTTTCAACGGCAGTCTTCTGCCACTGGATTTATTGACGGCCATGGAAGAAGAGCCAATCACATGCCATAGACAACAGAAGCCCAGAATTCATCATTAATTGAGTTTTCTAAGCGGTCTGCAGATCGATATCGACACCCTTGTCGTGCTTGGGCATTCATCCCGTCTCCAACATCTTCGCGGAGAATGCGCCGAATTTGAAGCTGTCTTGCCGGTATTTCAGCCACTGAATGACCCGACCTCACTCATCCGTCTCATCGCTGTTTGGGGGACGGAGCCTTCTAGCTTGGGCTCTGGTGAAAACGTGCCGTCGATAGTGACGGACGTGCTGTTCATGTCGTACGAGGGGATTCCCGTCCCTCGTTCGAGCCGTTTATGTGCGCGGCCCCAGCATAAAGCGCCACCGAGAAATAAGGACGCGACGTCTGTGGTTGATAGGAGCTCGAGTACGCACTCGTTTATTCCCCGATCTCAATCTGGTAAGCTTACGGGATTGCCGATCACTGTGGCGCTCCTGATGGACAGGGGCTGCATCGATTTCTGACGAATCACCGTCCGTCGCTTTTTTCATTCTACCCCTGGTACCTAGCCCTCTGGGGTCCAAAATCGACGACCGTCACCCCGGCATCTGTCCGAAACGCCAAACGACTGGTCTTAGACAAGTCCACCTGGATGGGTCATATCTACTATGTATGTGCTGTATGTACATGTCTTCGACACCTCACCACACGAGCATTCTGCAGACGGTACTTGCAGCTTACATTCCATCGAGAGGTCTCGATTTCAAGCCCTCACAATGACTCGAAAAAGTAATGTCGGCCCCTGGTGGCCAGCGTGACACGCCCATCCAAGTCCAAAAATGAGGTGGGCCTGTTCCACTGTGCTTCGCACCGGCAACGTGGTGAGAAGCATGCGGCCATGTCTCTGAGCAGACCATAGCTAAAAGTTTCCCCCGGGAACGTGGCGGAAATCGATTGGACAGCAAGTTGTCGACTTACGAGAGACGTGGCTATGGGCTAAAAGTTCAACGTTCGGCTGGCGCATAGGAATTACCAAGCCTCGTGGGCATCTTGTCCCAAGCCTCTGGTGCACTGCTGCACTGCTGCGCGGCTGCATGGCTGCATGGCACCGGTGTCCCGGGACGTCCAAACTTACCACCGGGGCTAATGGACGCCAAACCAAGACCGCAATACACCGCACGCATCGCATCCGCCTAACATCTTCCGTAACCGCTAGGCACGGTAGGCCTCTGCCACCCGACAGCGTGATTACCCGACTTTAAAATTGGTGTACCACGATATCACCTGTCCCACATTCGCAATTTTCCGCGGTTCGTCCTCGATTAAGGACAACGGAGCTAACCATTTTCTACGAAATGTATATGTTTCCCATCCCTCCGAAACCAGGTCTCGGGAAAAGTAGATCTAGCGGGTCCCTGTCACCAAGTTTGTCGGTTACTTTACTCTGCTCTTCGTTACTAGAGTGGTTGGCTTCGTGCTCCATCATGATACTAGCGATGTTTTCGACCCAGCTGAACGGACCCCCTGCCCGATTTAGACGCGGCCATGTCTACAACCGTGAGCTTTGCGCGTCATCTAGAGTCTGGCCATCTCCAGGTTTTCAGCTTGCCGTCTTTGAATGCTACCTCCGTACAGCCTACTACTTCTTTGTTGTAGTAAACCCCAGATCAATGCCTCTCAACGGAGGGGGGCCTGAGCTACACATTGTAGGAAGCTCAACCAATCGGATGGGCACGACCAAATATGCAAGTGTTGATTACCGGTGGGAAGCCCCAGTCGACAACGGAATCCTGCAAGACAGACCGGTCCGCACCCTGGTCAAACTTCTTACCATCGACTGGATCGTACTTCGCCCGCAGTGGCATGTCTTCAATAACTGCTTTGATATCTTCTAGTCAGTTTGGCATTTTCGTACATGAGACTCTTGGGGCCGGGAACCGCTGATTGGCCGGTTATCGGTGCGATTAAACGTACGACACGTAAAGAATCTCCCTGTCGACAATTGCATTCTTGGATTTTTCTTCCCACTTACCCCCCGGATGATCTCTATGCACGGCCACGTGCGGCTGGGGCCTTGTTGTCTTACGCTATGTGGCTCCCTACCTTTGGCATTGCACTGCAAATCGTAGATCCAGACTGGACATGTGAATAAGCGTTGAAGTCGAGTTTTACGGTGCGGATTTTGTACAAGACTCGTGTGCCTCTGCATGTCAACGTTTCCGTTGCTAGGATAGGATTTGGTGGTTTCTTTTGGAATGGAATTTTTTTGGATACGCTTTACTTGTCAAGCTAGGCCGCATAGTTTTCAACAAGCGTCTTTGGTGACAATATGAGAAAAGCCTTCCCACGCGGCGTCGGCTTAGCTCGCAGTAATAAACAGGTGATCTTCTCGATTCTACGTAGCACCGTCTACTTGACAGGTACTGCCAACTGTTGGCACCGAGAACGTGAACATGGGTAGCCTAGAAGTTGAAATGGCTCCAAATCCCGCACGAACTCTGCCCATCACTGGACGAAGCCAAACCAATAGTTTGCTCTGGTGATCGCTGGTAGTTATCATTCCGTCCTCCCCCCCCCCCAACAAACGTCGAAATTGAAAACTCGTTTCAGCAGGAGGGAATCTTACTGGGAAGAAAGTCTAGTCGCACCGGATGGAAGGAAACCTGGATCCAAGATGGGCCCCCCCTTGCTGTCGTGTCACGTTCTATCCTTTTACAGGTTGACAGTCAAGTTCAGGCACACTGCCGACAGGCTTTTGGCTCGGTGCATGGGATCCCGACTCTATTAAACCTAGTTTTGGACGTAGTCGCTGCTTACTCATACGCGGCAGCAACGGCCATATATGTATCGATTCATATATTGTATTGTGATAATAAGGGGAATATGAATTCAATGAAATCGGTCTTTGACATCGTTAGCCGTCTATGAAGCTCGCCATGCCCTGAAATGAAGTTGAGTCGTCTCCTTTCCCATTAACACTTCATGCTGCTTCAAAATGCTCCCAGCTCAAGCATCAAGCATCAATCATCTTGACATCTTCTTCCGTCTTCTCCGCCGTCTCCTCCGCCGTCTCCTCCGCCGTCTCCTCCGCCGTCTCCTCCTCCGGCTTTCTCATCAGCCAGCCCATCAGCGACCAAACCAACTTCATGGCCTGAATGCGCTCGTCGAGAACAAAGAAGTCGTACCACGGGCTGCGACGAGCCTCGACCTGCCCCCAGCTTCGGTGGACATCGTCCTCGGTCGCGCCATCGAGCACGTCCAGAAGTCGCTCTGGCACGCGCACGCGCAGGATACTAATGTGGTGGAACAGGGAGCTGATGACGTAGATGTCATCGTAGCCGGCGCCCTTGACCTTGCCAATGGCCTCGTAGCGCGTCTTGCGGTCCCAGCTGGCAGAGGGCGGGCGGACCATGCGGTAGTTGTCGTAGATGGACATGTTCTTGCGCGGTTTCTTGGTGGCCGGCTGGCCCCTCTCGGTGTCGACGCTGTCCTTGTCGCCCTGGATGGCATCTCGTTCGACTTCGCGGCCAATGGGGCCTCCGGAACCGCCTCCCCAGCGAGGTTTCGTGGTCCACCACGCGCCGTCACCAAACTTCTTCTCCGTCTTCCCTTCTCGTGCGCGGTGCTGGGCGGTGATGAGGGCAGCCACCAGCTCACGAGCCATGTCGATGACCTCGTCGTTGTCCTTCTCAAAGGAGATGCTTGCACGCGCGGAGACGGCTGCGAGGGGGCCCTCAACCACGCCCTGTCGGGCAGCCTCACGCGTTCGCGGGGTCCGGAAGATGAAGGTACACCCGGAAGCAAAGTAAGAGGTCCTCGGGGGTGGAAGCTCAGCTTGGCGCTTGGAGGGTTGCGGCGAAGGCCCGCTCGTGACGTGAAGACGAGGTTCCGTCCTAGGAGCCGAGACATTGCAACCAAAATCGTATGCTACAAGCTTGAGAAAGGCCGTCAACAGGCTCTGGCGATACTCACCCGGCATAGATGAACCTGCCGAGGTGCGGATGATGCGAGGTGTCTCCGGGGTTCGTGGCTTATCCTGCTCGGCTTTGGTACCATCGGCGGCCTTGCCTCCTTCGGTCTCCCTAGTATGCTCATACGGGTTCGTTGGGTCATCCCAATAGGTAGTGAATGCCTCCAGACACCTGAAAAACTCATACGCGTTGCCGAGGCGTGCCTGTTGCTGCCCTTTGGGCGCAGGAATGCGCCTTACAGTTCGGAAAGCATCCTCGTTTGAGTGAGATAGTTCACGCTTACGATCGAGAAAGGTCTGACAGCCAGGCGATTGAGCGCCGTTATTCAGAACAATGCGCGTTTCCGCATTCTTCTCACGTGCCTCCTCTGGGGAGAGCTTGCCCCAGCCCTCAAAGTCGGGCAGGTAAGCGGAGTCAGGAATGAGATCTGCGGTGGGAGCATCCGGGATGAGGTGTATGCCCAAGGCGTCGAATATGGCGGTATTGATATCTCCAGGGCGATAGATATCTTGCAGAACCGAAGTCAATGGCTTAGTCGGACCAGTAGGCGCCGAAGAGGCTTTGAGCTGGGGTCGGCTCTGTGGCAGGGTGATTGGCGTTGGAGATGGGATATCTTTCGGGTCGATCTTGACAGCGGTTGGCAGGTTTGCTAGCAGCTCTTGTTAGGATGACAAACTGTAACAATGCTTCGAGTACTCGACTGTCACGACAGTTCCGACAGTCAAATAAACGGTAGGAGTCTCCTGGTGGTACGATTGGCTAGACACTAAGAAATTGCCGGGTGAGATGAAATCGGGTGACGGAAAGCGGGTGCCGGCCGAGACCGGGCGTCCCCGCGAACGGGCCGCCAAGGAAGCGGCGCCAAAGAATGGAGGCAGATCAAGCGCGGAAAGGATGGTGGGCTCCTGTGGCAGGATCACAACAGATAACGGCATTAACGGCTTCTGTGTTTTAAGGTGGGAGTAGGTAAAGCCGTGATGGCATTGATCGACGATACGCTAGGGTGTGGGAGGAGAGGACGAGGAGAGCAGAGGCAAGCCGACGCAGGGAAATGATGGAGGAGAAGGGGGAAAACAGAGAAACGGATGACCACTCGCGCTCGGCAATGGGTAGAGGCGCCATCGTACAATAAAGGTTTGACTCCAAGATAGCCTTAAAAGTCACAAAGCATTGTCTCTCGTCTTATTCAGAACAGATGAAGCAGCAACAGACACTGGTTGCACTTAATGAAATAGTAAACTCACCCAGAGCGGGATACGTGCCGAACATGTTGTCGTGAGGGTCAAAGCTAATTTCTGAATAGTTTGAGATGGCACGACTTGGTTATGATTCCCAGGAGACGTTTGATGCGAGGCGAGGTAGAGGAAACGGGAAATGGGTGGTCCGGTCGGCGATAGCACTAGGTAAAGGCGGTGGGGTCTTTGGGGAGGTAAGGTATGGGCGACGTCGAGCGGGGTCGAAGCCTGGCTTGCTTCGTTGGTGAGATAGGGATACAAAAAGAGAGATGCATTCAGTTTTTGGCTCAGACGAAAGGTCTGGTTGGCAACCGGGTTCTGGTATTTTAATGTTTGGTCAGGATCAACTCCTCAGAGCACCTCCACCCCGCTAGGTCAAAAGATGACAGAGGCTGCATATGAGTAAAGAGAAAATATAAACCAAGTCTGACCCAGGTAGCTGGGAGGAAGAAAAGTTATGGCACGTCGTGAATGGTGTAGAAAGTAGGAGACGGGAGGGTGAGGGGAAAGGGGAGAGAGAGGAGAGGGAATCCGGAGCCAGGAGCCAGCATACATACATGTACCTAGAGGAGAAGGAAATGGGCTCTGGAGCGCTACAGTTGGTAGAGCAGGCCCCCGTACCTGCCTCGTCAGTCATAAGTCAATTAGTCAATGGAGCAAACAACCCCCGGCGGCGGCTCTGTGTGCATGTGCACCTACGCCGTTGCGGACCACAGCTGCTGCGAAAGGCAAGGCGCGGTGGGCGAGAAAGAGGAGTTTCCAGCAGACGCCGTAGAAGCGAGAGCTTGGCGGCCGTTGCAGTGTGCAAATATTGTCCGTTGTTGGTGTGAGTTTCCATCCATGCGGATCTGTGGTGCTCATCACGGCTTTGCTAGGCCTGCTTGTTGGACCACGACGGACAGCGATCCACACTTATAGGTGCACCATGCAGTGTTTCTGCAGCTCTGCGGGTTCCTCTCCTGGTCTGCGACATGTCCTATAGGTCAATGGCGCATTTGCGTGTTGGTTTGGCTTGTCCTTAGCCCTGGGACGAGGTCAATCGAGAGCTGTGATTTGATGTCGTGCGAGGCGATAGGAGGAGCGATGGCGCGAGGGACCTTGCAAGTTGAGGCACTGAGGGGTTCTGTCCAGTCTCTTCTTCGGGTGCGAGCTCGATTGAGAGTTCAGGGCGGACGGGAGCGGGGTGAATGACCTGGTCTCCAACAACGGTGAGCACCCCAAGACTGAGGCCATGGTTATTTGAATTTCTCCATCTTCTCCGGCTGGACCCGGTTCTTTTCTGCGGCATACCGGTCGATGTTTCCGCGACGAGCCTGCCGACGTGCGCTGCCAATTTGCTGAGTCATTAGCGGATCGGAGAAACGCTGCGGGACGAGGATATGTGGGTCCCCACCGACGGGACGGTATCCAGCGCTCCGGACTTGGAGCCCGGCCGCTCGCCGTGTAGTGAATCCGGCCTAAGCCATGAGGTGAACAAGTGGCTGACAGATCCCGACATCATGTATTCCGCTATACGCTAATCGTCGTACCAAATTTTTTGTCTCGGCGTGAGAGTATAACACAAGACGGGAGAGTTCTGGCCCGTTGTGTAGATGCGATTCACATTGTAGGAAGCTGGAGCAATGAGAAGAGGTACAGCCATCGTTCCTACGGAGCGCACACTGAACACGCAACGACACAGCTGGCAGCTAGCAGCTACCTTCCCCTTAGCCATATCGGCGTTGACTAGTAGCCGGTTGTGAGCGAATGATCTTTTCCTTCCCGACAGTACTCATGAGTTAAAATCATTGTACAGCCTCACTCAAGATCGATATCCCCGGTCGGAACCTTTCAGAAATCGTAGTCTGCAAAATCCCCCGAATCGCTTCGTGTCCCGACCGTACGATGCGGCACCTGTGTTTCGGGATAGGTAATGGCCCAGCTGCTTTAGCGTGCAGAGGAGACAAAGCGGAGCGCCAGGTGAGACATTAGCACAAGACAGACTGCCCCAAGGTCTATGTCTCCTCACTCTTTTCTTCTGGTTTCAAAAATTTCCCGCGCGCCCGTGGAACATTGAACTTGACCTGGACAAATTCATGGATGGCATAGATTAATGTTCACAATATGATGCCCCTCTTCCACCCCCTCGACTAGCCCTGTGTCTTGGGAGCATGCCACGTTGCCATTGACATACCAAGCCGGCTCATCGGGTTTACGTAGCGGTTAAGCTTACTCGAGCTTATCTCACATCGTATCATGACACCAGCCAGCAACGTCCCGAGCAACAGTACAGTAATTCATGTCCAGCGACATACACGAACACGAGGGCACTGTTGATGTACGCGTACTTCGTTTCGGCCTACTGCAGCCAAAGGGTAGAAAAATAAAAAGAGCGCAGAGACCCTTCCAACTTTGCACAGCCCGTTTTTCCAACTAAACCTTTCCAAAAGGCTGATTGAATTTTCTCTTATCACATTCGTCCTTTCTCCCGGTCGAGTTAGATGACTGGTTTTCGACTGGTGCTGTCGGCCAGCCCGTCAAACCATCTGACGTCTACGACGGTAGTATCGAATAGATATCCAACCAGTCACACCATCACTCAGGACCCATCGCTTTCACGCCAACACGAAGCAGCTGGTCCTTGATAACGGACCCCATTGTCATCTGAGTTCTTGATGCGGCCCTGATGATGCCAATCCCAACAGAGAAATCTGGAATGTAACGGTATCGAGGACTTGCTCACTGGCCCCTTGAAATGTTTGGTCTTCGAGTTTCACGCCCTTGGTTACGGTTGTCCATCGTCGTTTGATGATCCGGGAATCTAGCACAGGAGCAAAACGAAAACATAGCAAGGCCAGATTTTGGATCAGGGGGGTGGGGTTCGGCCAGTGTCCAAGCCGGCCGGCGTTGTTTTCTCTCTTCTTTCTCCTCAACAATTCTTTAAGCTTGTGTCACTTGTTAAAGCTTTGCCCTGTTCTCCCCGCTGATATGCATCGTCGGCACTGAAGATCCCTTTGATCACTTGCATTGACCTTGTCAGGAGGATTGACAGCCGAAGATGGTAGACCACTCATGATTTGGGGATACATTTCGACGCACTTCTCCAAACGGACGCATACCGTATCCAACCTCGTGACCTCGATGGCAAAAACAGCAATATGTATTCGGTGTGCGTGACTGGAGGTATTTGGGCTGTGCTGTGAGCATGTTTGAAGGTTGCGCGCATTCTCACGTCGATATCCGAGACGCGCCAACCTGACGACACCATGTAGAGACCATAACTCCCTGTTTCCCGGCAGCTGCATCGACGAGTAGGCACTTGACCTTGGCAAGCCGCAAAAGGCGCAACAAAAGACGCCTGGCATTTTTCAGGGGATACCCGGTGCACAAGCCGTATGCTTGTCAATTGATCGACCGACTAGCCCCTGGGCGTTTGACGTCTCGGTCGCTAGTGACCCAGTCGGCAGGGTGAACTGCGGGCAAGACGGGCCAAGACCATGAAAGAGTCTCTTGGAAACGGCTGCAGGGTGGTCTTCGCTTTCGTGGACCAGTCTGGGAAGACCCTGCGGGCTGCCATCTCAAGCGTCCACTGTGGGTGGTTATGCCACGAGGTCAAGGGGACCAGGGGGTTTGCCTGCAGTCGATAGACATACCAGTCTTCATTCCCAGACTTTCAAACCCCATCAGAATATTACGGCCTTAGCGGGCAGCAACCAAGAGGAGCGAAATGGAGGACGCAAGGGTCCTGAGAGATCATTGTGCTCTGATAGCTCAAGTGCACGAAAGGCCGAGCGAAGAGTTCCTTGTGACCTCTGTTTCTGCTCGTGACGTACATGCTCGAAATATCAGGCGAAGCAGTGAAAGTCGGGATTTGGCCGAAGGAGGGACGGAATTGGAGTGTAGTTGAGAAGGTCTTAGCAGATTCACCACCAACCACGATGCGTGGACGGGACTCGTAAACGTGTGGTGATATGTCCGCAGTTCAGTTGACGCGTAGCGGACGACGAGGAAAACAACGACAAGTCATGCTGCTCCGCTTCTCTTAACCCGACTCACTGAGGCGCTGCGTCGTGCTTGGTGTTTCTTGTTTCCTGCAGGCTAATGGGCACAAGAGCGTGATATGGTGTCTCATCCAGCGGAAAAAGGAGCGACTGGCAACCCGCACCAGTGAGGAGGAGGGGTGAATGCATAGCGACGGCAACCGCGGCAGGCCTTCTCCGGATATGTAACAGGCGAGAAGGGGACAGATGTGAGCGGGCCGCATAGGTATTTGTTTGAGAGATCATGACCGAGAGGGCGTAGCCTGGATTCTATTTGCAGACAATTTTGACGCTGACGAGGTGGGAACTCGGAGAATGAGGGGCCAGTCACGCAGTGGGCGAAGGGGGGAGCCAAGAATGTTCCGAAGCGTGTGCCGGGGTTGAGAAGTTTTGCGATGACTTGTTGGTGGTAACCGCAGGCAGGAGAAATGAACTCGAGATAGATTAATTGAGAGGTTAAAGACGCACGCGCCTGGCCTGACTTGGCCGTTGCCCATGACCAGCCATGATGCATTTATTCGTTTGTCTGCCGTGGACGGGAGAGCGCTGCAAATGTTACTTTACGTACGCAGGTACGTCATGTTTCTCGTGTTTTTCTCGTGTTTATTGCGCGTATGTAACGTATGTTGCGTATATTATGTATGTTGCGGTGATGGTTGGAGCGGGAGCCCGAATTAAAGATTCTACTGCTTCTGCTGCGTGGAGATTTACGAGCATAGACACCTGGCAAGTCGGCGAGGTCTCGTTCCGGCTTCTCTCCAATATCCAACGGACCATGACCAAAAAGGGAGGGCTCGAGTGGCAACCGAACAATGGCGAGAGGGGCTCTGGTATTCGAAGTGTAGCCGTACTTACGGCGGATGGAATTCAACTAAGCATGGAAAATGCCACTGGGTAGATTCTGGTTCGGGACGGTCACGTACCCTCAGACGAAGTATTCCCTTTCCCAGTTGGATGCGCTGCGACGGGAAGATCCCGCACCGCAGTGTCTTGCAGTGTTTCCAAGGCAGACGGCTGATTGGGCGCCACAGAGGGGACTTATGCAGGGGTAAACGGTGGAGAGACGTACCACAAGCTTAGTCTTACACCAAGGTAAGGTAGAGAGAGGCTAGGTGACTGGGTGCAAGTCGAGCGAGGATGGTTCTGGCATGTCTGGAATGAGAATTGAAAAGGGAACTCAGGAAAACAAGGTGTGGAGGGGCCGCCAACCAACATGCTTACCTACCATAGTAGGTACATGTTTATGGGCAGAGTGTCGCAGATGGCGGGAGAATGAGATGCAGCCATTCGCTTACATAAGAAGTAGTCCTGGCAGAAGAACCCAACCAGCCCAATGAAGGAAGTTGAGAGTCTGTGTACACCTCACCATTTCCCAAATCTTGCATTTTGACCGTCACACTTTGACTACAACACTACCAAATTTTAAATCGATATAATAAAAGTATAATCAGAAGAGAGCCTTTTTTTCCTTTTTTTTTTTTTTTTTTCTTTTTCCAAAAATGTGGCAGAGTAAACTAATTATGCGTTCTAGCCACTACCTCGAGGCGGCACTGTAAAGATTCGTTAAGACTTTGAATCTTGGTCTGGGAGATGGCGGGGTGTACACACCTCAGACTTATGGCATTCCACTGTAGTGCAAGGTACACTATGACTTGACTTTTCCAAGCCTGAGGCTGGGGACCCCCTGGTCTAGAACATGCCTGAGGTCGCTTGGGGGCGGGTTCTCGTGCTTCAGGTGTGTTACAGACAAGGGGGTCGCCGTTTTTGGACTCTGCATCTCCTCTTCCTCTTCCTCTTTCCCTCCCTCTCCCAATCCCGTTCCTCTCCTATTCCACTCCCACATTGTTCACAACCGTTGGGGGAACGTCCAAGTCTCTCAAGGTCAGACCCCATCCCTGCAGCACCGATTCCCATCTTGATGCGCCTACGCTTCTAGTCCCATCATGATTCGCCCACCAATACCCAGGTCCCACCGCTCCAGCGCTCCAGCAACTACATCCTGTCCCTCTCTTCCCAAAGGAACCTTCTCAGACACGGCCACTAATGCCCGTTGGAACAATCCCGCGATGCGCCCGAGAGAGATGTGTGAGAGTGAGAGAGAGACAGAGAGATCCATCAAACATTGATCAATCCTTCCATGCTGCGACAGACGCCATCAATGCCCGTGCTTTGCTGCTGCTGCTCATGAGGCTCCCTTCCATCCTCTTTGCCATGAGTTGAGTCCGTTCCACGAGTCGAGTCACGTCGGGTCAAACAACGCACTTGAGGGAGACTGTGTTTAGAATCGTACTAGTGTACGGATACCAAGGACGCAAAGCCATATTTCCTCCTCTTGCAAGTTGTGGCTTGCGGCATACCTTGCATTTGCAGGTGTAGCGGCTCCAGACTTGCATGCCCGTCCTCGGCGCCCTGTGATGGCCTTGGTTTGGTTTGGTTTGGTTTGGCCTGGTCTATTCTAGTTCTGCTTCTGGTTCAGTCATGGTCTGGGGTCTGTCACTTTGGTCGTCCTCGATTAGAGTAAGGAGATGGAGCCGAAGTAACGCTGTCGCTCGGCGCCTACTGCCCTTCTCCTCCTTCTCCTCCTCCTCCTCCGGTCCACGGTTAACGCTACTCCCTCAGCACCTCTCCGGCTGCTGGGACAGTGGTTGATACCACAGTACACACGCCTGTCGTCCATGCTATATCATGTAACACGCAAGTGCCTGCTTGCATGTTGCAAACTGTTGCCCGTCTCTGTTTGTGAGAGGTCCAGAAGAGGTGTGTGTGGTCCCTGTCCCGCACGATCGGAGAGACATCCCGCGAGCCTCAGTCAAGACTCAGACCCTGCCGTACCAGTCCAAACCGGTCCATACCAAACCACACCGGGCCAGGCCCTTGCTGTCTCTTCCCTACCATACCATACCTTGCCTGACCATACCTTACCCTGCCATACCCTCCTTCAGTCTCTTACACTCCCTTTGCCCCGATCCCCCTTCTCGTCCTTTCCTTACCACGCCCTGCGAGTCTCTCTGTGAGACTTCTCACTTTCTCGACTTTTCACCTTCTTCTCCCGACAAGTTTGGTGATTGCTTCTTTTCTGTACTCAGCGTCCTGTTTTATCCGCTTCGATTTCGAGAACGACGACAGCTTCGATTTTGACGATACGATCTCATCGCTGCGACTGTCTGCGCTTGCGTTTCTGCTTACACTTAATCGTCACCGAGAATCTATTCCCCACGACTCTTCCGTCGTCTATGCCTCAGAAGGAACCGGTTCCTAATGAGATTTTGCGAATCGACCTAGATGGCCGGCTAGGCTTCTCCTAGTATCAGTCTACTTTCTTCAACCCATTTCGGGGCCCTTGTTTGATTCTTGAAACTATTCAGTTTTTGCGACTGGAATCGCAACATATTGCAGCAATGTCGAGTCCAAATCGCAATGCGAACCTCCCGGATGGGGCTTTCATCACGACTTTCAATGGCAAGAGGTGTACGGCTAGGCCAAGGAATGGAAATAAGTCAAAGTCGAACAACCAGCAACGAGCGTCGACAAGTACGTCCCACTCGACATCGACAACACATTCGACGACACGACCGACACCCCCTCCGCAAGTGAGCTCATCGCCGCCGCCGCCTCCAGCGGTGGCTACTCTTCCTCCTGCTCCGCCGCCGCCGCCTCCGCCGCAGACAACACCACCGCCGCCGCCGCCACCACCGCCAGCCGTTTTAAGTAGCAGTTCAGCGAGTACGACGAGCTCCTCTTTACCTCCTCCTCCTCCTCCCCCCCCTCCCCCTCCAGTGAATACACCCTCTTCAAAACCACTGCCTCTGCAGCAGACACAACCGCCGCCTGCTCCAGTGGTCTCGAGCCCTCCTCCACCTCCACCGCCGCCGGTTCCAGCAGTATCAACGTCTTCTACGCCCCCAATTATTGATGCTGAGCCGCCGGCAACCATTCCTACTTTTCAAAATATTCCCAATTTTCCTGTGCAGAGTTCTCCCCCTACTCCCGCCCAGATCTTCCCCCCTGCCTCATCTTCTTCTTCAATACCTACCCCAGCCGTGTTACCACCCGTTCCAGCAACCAGCAAGACTGATGCCAACGCAGTCCCAACACCAACCCCATCTCAAGCGCCGCCCGCGTTCTTCAGCAACATCAGCCCATCGCCATCGCCCACGAACAGCGCTGGGGCCGGCGCTGGCGGTGTCGCGCCTTCGCCACCCCTGAAACCGGGTACCGCCGCAGGCGAGGCAGGAACAGGCAACAATGCTCCCTCGACCAGTCAAGCTCCTGCTTCGAGCAGTAGATCTGGCGGCGTGGCTACCCCCGTCGTGATTGCTTCGAGTGTTGTTGGTGCTGTGGCGGTGATCGGCTTGCTTGGGTTCTTGCTTTGGCTTTGGCGGAAGAGGGTGCTGAAGAAGCGTCGGAGCACGCTTCTCACGCCGTTGTCCACGGATCCCAGCTTCAGGGAAAAGTCGTCATATGTCATCGACAGAGGGTCCCTAGGACCAACACCGCGCTCAGCGAAGCTCAAGGCGGCGCTTGGCTACAGCTTTCAAAGATTCCGCGGCCAGCTCGGCGGACTGGTCTCACGCAACCGGGATAGCAGCTCGACCGGCAACCGTCCTCAGTTTATGAATATCACCCAGCACAGCCGAAATAACTCGTCTCTGTCGAACCATGGTTCACCGCGACACGTCGTGACGACAAAGGATCGAGTCAAGGACTGGTGGGAACGGCTGACGGCTGATATGAAATTCAACTGGCGACTTCGCGACGACAGGAATGCCGAAAAAGATCCGTTCACCTCAGCTCGTAACATGAGTGACAGAAAAGCGGCTGCGCCTGGACAGCCCGACTTTCTGACGCTACTGGGTATGAACGACAGGGAGGTTGAACGGGAAGCTCAGAGGAGGCGAGTGAGCCGGAACCAAGGCAGTGCTGGCTCGGCCGATCACTTCCTCGGTGGACTCGGACTGAACTTTGAGAATGCTTCGGCCAACCCCTTTTCTGACATGAACGCATTACCTCACGACTCTGCGAAGCCGGCACCGCTCGTCGTAGTCAATCCCGGCAACGGCAACGGCAACGGCAACGGCAGTGACAACAACCCCTTTTCTGACGCCAATGCCATATCAGCACCTGCTGCGGCAAGAAAGCCATCATCGACTTACGTTGCTGACGTACGCCGGTCACGCGGCACATCCGTAGGCGGCGCCACAACGAGGCCTCCTAGCGGATCAACCTATTCTCCGCGCCTAGATTCCATATATCGTGACTCGACGCAGAGCGTAGAGAGCTTTGCGACAAGGCGAAACAAGTTCCGATCTGATCCGTTTGATCTGGAAAGGCCCGAACTACTTGGCAGCAGTCTCGGCAGCAGTGGCGGTAGTCGAGCGACACAGGCGAGCAGTAATTATAGTGAGAGTGGTGGAGGCGCGCCCCGCGTACCTGGCTCTGCTCACACGCGTGCGGATAGCTTCAGCTCCAAGTACAGCAGTGGAGTGAGCATGGACGGCTGGAGTGATCCCGGGCCGGACGTCGGGCCCTCAAGTGGACCTGGCTATCGCAACGAAGGGGCCGAGAGCCCAGTTGCCGGCTACCGGTCTGGAGACCAGAAGAAAATCATTGGGCGGAGGCCCAGCGGCGGAAGCCAGAACAGCGTCGGCAAGGCGTTGTAGGGGGGGGGGGGGGGGGGGATATTTTCATATGTATACAAAAAAATCTTTTATTCACTCTTAAAAACCGTGGGGAGGAGGAAGGGGGGGGGGGGGGCGGGGGGGGGGGGGGGGGGGGGGGGGGGGGGAATTTCATCATCATGTATTACCAAAATATCTTTCACTACTTGTACAAACGTTGGAGATGAAAAGGGTTGAGAGGATGGCCATGCACCAGAAGAAGGGAACGATTCTAACGCGATTGGGGCTTTGAGGAACAGCCACGCCGGGTTGTATGTTTGCAATGAGAGATTGAGACGGGGATGGTATGATGAGGGATACCGACACAAAATGTAAGGGACCCTTTCACCCGGGACCGGCTATGGTGTATTTGGTGTTTTGAGGAGGCGGACACACGCCCATTTGGTCTGTGCCGTGTTCCTGTTTTCTGGGCTCCTTGTTTCTGTTCTCTCCCTTCTCACGAAGGACCGTCAACACCTGTTGGTTAAGACACTCCAAATTCAATTCCGCGTCCCGCCCAGCTTCTTACGAGTGGGTGCGATGGCGGGTGGAACAGCACAAAGCCTGTTCCATCGTAATGGTTTTGTTAGATGAATCCTACAATGTTAAAATATATCTGCCTACATGGAAACAAGACGGGCAGAAATATTACACTGTTGATCAGTACCTGCTGAATACTCCTCCTCAAGAGACAATGAGGCATGGGCGTTGCTTGTTTTGCCTGTGTGTTCCATTTTATCAAGTAATGCTAGGGTAAGACGACATGAATGGCTGCGACTTGTACGTAACCGGAGGCGAGACCGGCCGTCCGGGCGCCCGGCCGGGGGTAGCCGGCAGGAAAAAGAAGCATGAATTTGGGACGCAAGTGGAGCCGTAGCGAGCCGTAGCTGTTCTGATAAGAGGAAAGCTTCATGCCATGATGAACAGCTGGCAGGAAGTGGCGGTGGCAGTCGCATGATTGTCGATAAACCTTGTCGAATCACACCACTTGCCCTTCCCGTCCCGGGTCGAGATCTGTCATAGTCATGTACCTTGCCGTCTGTCAGGTAATGCTTCCGTGACTCTCTGCATGGTGCTAATACACGGAGAAAGAGCAGTCACAGTCACTGGAAGGAGCAAACCGTGGAGCACCTCGCTGTGTCCTGGGTGGGATTAGTGGGTGCAGACCACACACCTAATTACCCCTCATTCGCGGCGTCCATTCAGCGTCGACAGCCCCCAACAACATCAAGCCGGGGGCAAGCCAACGCACCGTGCCCATACACACCATACCGAAGTAGCTTGGGCGTTACGTTAAGGTGTCAGTCCACCTAATTACGGTACAGCTCAAGGTATTCAAAGGTGAAGACAGCAGGCAGGCACAAGCAACGGACAAATGTCTACCACCCGACTCGATAGGTAGCACAAAAACTAGGCAGTCTCGAACCAGCAGCCACCGGCCCAGTCATTGTGACTTGACAATAGGTATCTCGCTCTGCCCCGTCGCATCCCCCGACAAATGACCCCGCCACGCAATGAGCTGCAACCTTCCTCCTTTCGAAATCTCTCCCTACCTATCTACGGATACTTTTATATAGATTTCTCCAGACCTCGGTGTGCACCCGCCGGGCCACCCTGTCCCTCTGCGGCGGGACCGATCCGAACTCACCGCCGTTGGCCGAAAGTCAAAGTTGCACCGGCGACAGCCCCGTCATCCAACGACCTTGCTACTCTCAGATCACCATACTCAACCTCCCACCGGCCACCTCAACTCACCTGGCCTAATCAACACAACCCGTTAAACAGACCAAAGCCAGCCCATCTTGCTTTTTGCTTACCTACTACCGACCTTAGTAAAACCACTGTCGTTTTCGTTCAGCACCTGCAATACTCTTAGCTTGGAGAGAAGCACCACCTCATCCATTCTCTCCCTGTTCCCCCGCCTCACCTATTCTCACATAGCGCCCGTCTGTCTACTCGATGAAAAGCCCCTGTTCGGCCACCGCAACCGACCTGTTCCCCTATATGCCACGCTATCTTCTCCACGCCCACCCTTGAAAACCGGATCTCTTCCCACCCCTGCCGGCTTCGACATCATATGCTGGCTAGACCCGGAAGTCGCGAGATGGCTTACCAAAGTCCTCCAGAAACACCATCCTCCTCCGGCGCCCACACGCCAACACACCCCTCCATCGCACCGTCGCTATCGAGCTCCGTCATCACAAACATGTGGTCTGGTCTAATACGCCGCTTCTCCTCCGACGTCCCCGAGTCCTACGGCCACAACGAGCACCCCCAAGAGCCTTCACATCTCGCTCACGCGTATACCGAACCTGTCAGCGGTGGGGGCTTTCACGATGGCATTAACGGCGTCTTCTTCCCCACCCAACAACCCATGCGAACCGCGAGCCCATTCCGTCCGCCCCCTCTTGATCCCATCATTCTGCACGGCTTCAAGGAGAGCACCTCGCCGAGTGCCCGGCTGTTGAGCCATGGCGTGGCTGAGGAAATTCGAATTATGCTTCCAGAGAGGCTCAGGATCAAGGAAGACTGGAGGTTGATATACAGCTTGGAGCAGGATGGCGCCAGCCTGGCAACACTATACCAAAAGGCAGCCGAGTTCCAGGGACGGCGAGTTGGGTTCGTACTAGTCGTAAGGGACGATTTGGGTGGCGTAAGTGGAAGCATCTCCTTTGATCGAGCCTTTTATTTGCTTGGCCAGATCACAGAAACATATCGAACACGTTACCGTAGAGACATGTTTTGGGATGGCGACAGCTAATCTTTCTTCTCCTCCATGACAGACTTTTGGCGCCTACCTCTCCGAATACCCTCACCCCGCGTCCAAATACTTCGGCAACGGCGAATGCTTCCTCTGGCGCGCCTCCACACTCACCCCCCTCCCACCCCCACCATCTGCTGACACGACGAACCTGACGCGCATCACCACGGTGGCCAGCCCGACGCGCTCGTCCTTTCCGAATAACAACAGCGACCGCAACGCGCCGTCTCCAGCGCCGAGCGAGTCGATCCGCTTCAAGGCTTTCCCATACTCGGGCATCAACGACTACTACATCAACTGCGAGACGGGCTTCCTAAGCGTCGGCGGCGGCGACGGCCATTACGGGCTGTGGCTCGACGACAGCCTCGACCGCGGACATAGCGGACGCAGCCATACCTTTGGCAACGAGCCTCTGAGCGACGAGGGAGAGAAGTTTGGCGTACTGGGCGTGGAGCTATGGGTACTTGGCGCCTGAAGTTGTGACTACGCGAAGAGGAAGAGGTGGAGATTAGAATCGACCGAGTTGATGCAGACGGGCAACGGCTGGCGAGAGCCGCCGGAACAACAGTATAATAATCTACACAGCATGAGCACGAGTACGCCAAAATCGCGACGGCTCAAGTTGTCTATGGAGGGGAAATGACCCAAAAAAGAGAAAAAAAAAGACAATACACCACACAGATATACGACTGGACTGAACTGGGCGTTGGACAGGGGCGTAAGGCGAGGTTTTGCAAACGGCCACAGAAGCTTCTGTGGGCCATTATTGTGCACACTCTGGGGCAGCAATGGTGCCTCCACGAGGCAACTTGTTTCTTTTTTTTTTTTTTTGGGATCGGATGTGCGACCAGGGGCGAAATAGTCAGTATATCGTCATCTCCTTGGGAGTCTGGTATTTGCGATTGAGTGACCGTGAAGTCAAATCTGGCAACGAAGGAGAAAAGAAAGCGCTGATTGGGCAAACGAGGATTGAGAAGAACGTCCAATTTTACAATACCCCCTTCCCCAAATTAAAGAACCAATACTTTTAACATTCCTTCCTACGAATACTGAGCTTTGTCAATGCTACCCTCAGCCAGAAGTGACGAAAACTTGCTGGCTGGATGTTTCAGCCTTTCCGTCTCACCGTGCTAGTTGATGTCCTTGTGTGGCGCGTTGGAGCTTTCATATGATAGCTTTCATGTCCACGCCCACAGCTGTTCATTCACACGGGGCCAGGAATGCCCAAGACCGCATGAGCAACCAAGATCAGTCGAGTGTCTCATAGAATTGGCCTGATGTGTACGTACTACAGGCATGGACTATGACATGATTCCACCGTCTCAAAGTAGACAGGTAATCGAGAATTCGTGCTTGCACAGATGCGGGTTCGACAATCATCTGTAAGTTCTCACATTTTTTAGCCTTCGTAGGCTCTTTGAATAGCTCAACACTGTTGCTTTGTGCTTACAAGCGACATCGATTCAGTTGACTGAACACCATCATCGCATGTTCCCCAACAGATTGTGAGTTGGGTCCCCGACGCGTTGGTGCATTCGATGTTCTCAATGCTTACCAAGCGTGAGATGACCAACGTCATTGATTTCCCTAGCATTGGACGAATGGAGTTCTGAACACAAGACGGGCTCACAGGAAATCAAACAGCCGAGTAGATGAAGAAATAGAAGAGGAAATTAGACGAGAAAAGTATTTGCCTGTCCATCATTCATTCGACTGATTCTAGTCGAATCCGACTCGCCTCACATATGTTCCTTTGGGTCTTTCGACCACCACGGGTCTCACGGTCTTAACTCCCCTATCCGTCCTGCATGGTTTGTCTATGGTCATTTCCTCCAACCCCAGAGTCAGCAACTGCGCTGAGCTTTTCTCATTCTCATCGTCCCGCCGGATCATGTCTCTTTGGCCCACATCATGCTCCTGCTGTGGATCGTTTTTGCCTCTCTCATTTGCTTCCCTTCTTGCCATACTATACTGCGCCGTTGCTCACCGCATGATCTCCTGGTAGATCAATTGCTTCAGCTGCTCTTTGCTCAGGTTGTCCTTGTGCTTGTCGAAGTCGAAGAACTCCTCGGGGATAGGTGGCGCAGTAGGTTCATCATCCGGGTCGTGGTACGGCTCAAGATAAGGGTGCTTAAGGGCGTCCTCCACCGTAATACGCTTGACAGGGTTGAAAGCGAGGAGCTTCTCGAGGAGGTCGAGAGCCAAGTCGGACGTCTTGGGGAACAGGGTGCGGAACGGAACCTTCTTCTTGAAGGGAAGCGAGCGGATGTACTCTCTCGCGCGGCGGGATTTGATACCATAGTAGTCCTCCATCGTCGGGGTGCCCAGAACATCCAAAATCAAAGTGAGCTGGTGGTGGTCTGTGATATCCCGTGGTCAGCTTGTAGCTTTAGTTTGGCCGAATTAGGCCGTACTTACAGTCCTTGCCAGGGAATAGAGGCTTTCCGCTCAGCATCTCAGCCAGAATACAGCCAACCGACCATACATCAATGGCTTTCGTGTACTCCTTGAATGTCAACATGATCTCAGGAGCACGGTACCAACGGGTCGCCACGTATTCCGTCATGAAACCCGAGTTGTCCTCCTGGGATGCAGCGGAACGCGCCAGACCGAAGTCACAGACTTTCAGATCGCAGTTGGCGTTCAGAAGCAAGTTGGAGGGCTTCAAATCACGGTGGAGGACATTGGCCGAATGCATTGCCTTGAGAGCGCGGAGAGTTTGGTAGATGAAGTATTGGCAATGGTCGTCGGACAGGTCTTGGGTTCGAATGACACGGTGCATGTCCGTCTCCATGAGTTCCTGCAAACAAAGACATGTTAGCAAACGATCCATTCCCATGGATGTGGCTCGCGAGGAAGTTTTGCTCACTTGGATGAGGTAAACCTCATTGAACGTCTCATAGCTCCGGGGCTTCTGGATGTCGAGGATAGAGATGATGTTCTCATGATTGAAGTATCTCAGAAGCTTCATCTCACGCAAAGTTCTCAGACAGAACATGGAGTGGTCGAAAGGTGTGATCTTCTTGATGGCTACCTTTTGGCCAGAAGGCTTGTGTATCGCCGAGCTATCATGTGACCAATTAGCAACCCAGTGGTTCTTCAAGTACGGTTGAGACGGTAGACAACGCACCAGACGACTCCGTATGCACCCTCGCCAACGACATCCTGAATGTCATATTGCTCGCTTACGTTGAACGAGATCTTTCGGGAGCCCGAAGCGTTGGGGGGATTCGCGCGCGACATTGTGAGCGATGTGCGACGATGGTGTCGATGTGGAGAGGAAGTTGTCGGAGCAGTTGGCCGACGGAGTAATACCACACAGGCGGGTCCTCGCGAACGAGATGCTACCTTGGGCGGAGAAAAAAAAGGGGGGGATAAGAGAGAGAGGGGGGGGGGGGGGGGGGCGAGTTAATGCACGCTATAACGAGCCACCCGTCACAAACCAAATCAGCTACGTGGGTGGTGTTGGGGGGCGGGGGCGGGGCGGGTGGTTGTGGCGGTGGTTGGGGGGGGGGTGTGAGGATGAGGTGGGGTTGTGTTGGTCACTGCGACCGAGGAGAGCAGACTTGCCGTCCCACGGTTGGTGTGTTTGGTGGTGGCGCGGGCATGAGTGGGATGGGTTGGGCTGTCGGGTGGTGCGGTGTAATGGTTGTTGGCGGTGGGATCGGCCGACGGCTGTCAAAAATGTTGGGCGTCGCAGACACACAAAGCTGAGGTCGCAAACCTGCAGTACTTTGTTCTTTGGTTGGTTTGGAAGAAAGTACACGCAGCCAGGTCGGTCCAGTCAATGAACAGACAACAGGCGGATCGGCTTCAGAGTATCTCGAGAGGGGGAAAGGATGGGACAGAAAGAGGCGGACGGGAGGGTGGAAGGGGACGAGTGTCGTCGGAGGTTCGAAAGTGGGCGAGGGCCGTGTTTCTTGGGTCCGCTCGGGCCTTGGGTGCTGGCGAGGTCCGCTTGTCACAGGCCGGGATCGTGTTTAGATTCTTGCCAACGTCTCGGATGTTGGTCACTCTTCGTCTTGTTCGTCTAGTACCACGTTTGGCCAATATGGTTATTGGGTGTGTGTTGCTGGCTTTGCTCGATAGCAGAGACGCGAGGAGGGTAACTCGTCGGTTGAGTGTGAAGTATTGCAAGTGTCCGGACCTGAGAGGGCTAGTTGGGCGGAACTGCAGGCTCAGAGTTGGTGTTAGCTGGAAGGAGCTCCAACGGGTCAAGTGACAGAAAAGGCAGGTATCCCGGGATGCGCAAGGTTAAGCAAGGTGAGGAGGGTCCTGAACCAGCTGGGACGTCGGTCGGGTACGGATAAAGGACCGCAAGACCCAGGACCTCAGGTCCAAGCCAGGTTTGCAGGAGAAAAAGCAGTTTAGATCAGCGCAGAGCAGACCAGAGGGAGCAACCGCAGACGAGCAGGTTCCCGGCCCTTTTCCCTTGCCTTCTTCCGGTCTTCTCGAAAGGCAACCGATCTTGCGGGAGAGTTTGCTACGACAGACAGATGCAGTGCAGACAAGCTTCCAGAAGATGAGCGATGACAAGACGGGAGGCACAGAGAATGGGAGCGCGCGCGTGGCCTGGAGGTTGAGGAGCAGCAGGAAAAGGTGAGGGCAAGCGGGTAGGGTAGCGGGTCGTGGGCGACGCAACGAAACGAGGCAAAGGGTAAGGGGAACGGGCGATGAACCGAGCACCCCCTGCGACTGCGATGGGACTTCAGACGAGATACGTCCAAGGTGCGCAAAGGAGGACAAGACACTATGAAGCAGGCGGGCCCGGAAGAGAACAACGCGGTTCGACTTCACGAACTCCTGGACCGGAGCCCTAGCTGCTGCCGCTTGGGTGTGTCTTTTCTCTCTCTTTTCTCTCTCTCTCTGAGGGTTGGCCTACCTAGGTGCTTGTGCCGGTATGAATGATGTTTGGGGTGAAGGGAATCGAGGCGAAGGGAAGAGAAGCAAGGGCGGCGAGGGGGGTTGAGTTGCTCGATGAGAAGAGGGTAATAAAAGACTGGGCAATGAGGTCGCTGAGCACTGCGGCGACGGCGATCTCGGGGTGGTGCCGGACGGGACTGAGTGCAAATACCCAGCTGAAGACGGGAGGCCAAAGACTCAAAAGCAAAGTATACGTACCAGAGACTTGCGATGAAGCGAGGATGCGAAGCTACTGCGGAGGAAAGTGAGGTCAGGTCAAGTCAGGTCAGGTATGGTGAGGCAAGTTGACCGTCGATGTTTTGGTGAAGAAGGTCAAGGCAGAGGGGAGAGGGTGGAGAGAGTGAGAGTGAGAATGAGAGTGAAAGAAGGTGTTGAGGCGGCTGTGAGGCTGGAGAAGAGGAGGGAAAACTCGCAAACGTGTGATGGTCAGGCTAAGGGTAATAAGGTGAGGTGACGGGTGGGATGGGTCAGTCAGGTATTCGTAGAGAGAGGTGAGGTGGGTAGGTAGGTAACCGCAAGGGGGGGAAGACGGCAAGGGAATGGGAGTTTGGAGTGAGAGTTGAGTGGACGAGGCCAGGTCCGATAATCTTACCCCGCTGCAGATTTGTCTTTGTGTAGATGTCACAGTGTCTCTCGATGTGATGTGGTGGACACTGGAGAGCCAGTGCGAGCGACTGCAGGCGGGCGTTTATTAATTATGGCCTTGGATGAGAGTCGTTGGTCAAGCTTAGGTTGAGGTGTTATTGGATCACCTCCGTGTTTGTGTCTTGTCTTCCACCGGCGTGGTTTGAAAGGGGTGAAGAGGAGAGGGAGACGGCAAAATAGGGTAGGATGGGTGAACCAGGCCGACGACTGACTTGTATTCTGGCGAGACTGGGAGCACCTGGGAATGGGATCGAGAAAGACAGCGCAAGTGGAGGAGAGGGGGAGGGGGGAGGGGGAGGAGACAGAGGAGGGGGGGAGATAGCGGGACCTGGCCCTGGGCTAAGGTCGCTGAAGGTGTCGGTCGGTTCTGAGGATAAGGTAGCTCGATGGAATAAGGTACCTACCTACCTACCTGTGGCAGACCTTGTACCAAGAGAAAGAAAAAGTACCTCACCTTACCTCCCGTCAACTAGCATCCAGAACCAACCAATTCCAAAGCTCTCGAGAGCGTTTGCCAACCGACCTTACCTTACCTTACCTCACGTAGGAATTGGTACTTAGCTGTCTCATGGCCACAATGCTGGACACTGTCACGAACGGTTTGTTGGCAAACCTGACAGATTGCACAAAAACGGACCAAGGTGCGCAATCAAGTGTACAGTGTAAGATACTGCGTAAGGTAAGGTACCTAAGGTACCTACCTACCTGCTTACACCTACCGGTATATGTATGGATACCTGAGCTAGAGCCCACCAGGCACGCTGATCCAGGTCAAGCAAGATAGATACCTTTACTTGGAAACGTGCTTGCTTCAGGAAACCACCCCCACCCCAAGACAAGGGCCACTCAGACCCAACCCATCCATTATCGCACCCGTGGCTTGGACCGGGGCCCAAGTAATGGGGTTTCAACGGGAAGCCTACTCGGGGGCTGACCATACGACTTGCAGGCATCTGTCGCTGCCAGTTGCAGAGAGGTATCCATGCCCCCGTTTAAGCGTATAGCGAGAAACACACCAAGCCGTTTCTGCAAGCTGTACGGATACGGATACCGCATACCGTTGTGTCCACGAACAAGCTAAGGTGGGTATGTATCCCTCACCGGCATCCGTCTTTGTAGGTCTTTGACACCTTTGCCTTTGCCTTCCATCAAGCATGCCAAGCTACAAACATCATTGAAGTCAATGGACCTGTTCTGGCCAAAAGCCCAATGAATCAGGACGGCTGACTGATGGATGAATGATCTACCTCTCTTACTCGAAGGGACCCCGACCTGTTTCTAGTGCGGCGGAAAGGGAGCTTCAAAGACACGCTGTCAGGGCTATCCCAGCGCCACCGCCGAGCCAATTGTTGAGCAGACGAAGAAAGCCTACCTGGAAACCCCCTTGTCCGGATAGCAGAATCAGAAAGGGCCGCCACATGAGGCCGTCTGGTGGAAGAAGGACAACCAAGCCCCTGACGGTTTCTCCAATACAAACAAGGTGAGACCAAAGCACACAGTCAACGCCACCCCCATAGTCGTCCGTCCGCGTCTACACAACCGCCGCGAGGGAAAGGAAAGACTGACTACCTTAGACTTTCCAATCAACTACTGGGCTGCATCCGTTCGAGGACTAATTAATCTCTGATTCAAATAAAGTCCAGGAAAGCTCCGCCCCTCCCGCCGACCCGTCAACCCGTCAAACCGAGCAACCAAACAATCCGAACTTGGACTCCCACAACCGCAGCATCGACCAAAGGTCTCACGATAACCACACAAAGACCTTTCTTACCCCCGTGTGGATCTGTCCTTGGCCTCACAATGCCACATAGAAAGAGACGAAGCCCAGACCAAAAGCAAACGTCAGATAGACGATGCTGTCTCTCAGTCTCTCTCAATGGAAGAAAACCCACTCGCCCCTTGGGAGCACCGATGGCGGTTACACATCAATGCTCTTCCCTGCATCTTTCAGCCCACGTTCTTTGGTCTTTAGTCTTGACTCCCATTCTCATCCCCCTTCCTGAGCCAGAAGTTGCAGTGGGAACAGATGATCCACACCGGCTGATGAGCCCAACTTCGGGATGATAAACCATGCTCTTTGGGGGTTTTCTGCTAGCTGATGAGGTCTTCTGACGTTCTCAAAGCTTTCATGAGACTTCTACGCGAGGCGGCACTAACAAAGGAACGTACGGGGAAGGGACGGCGCTAATGGAACGAGCTTGATACATGCATATCCCCGGTATTCCACCCTTTTCCAGGGGCACAGACACCTTTTCAATGGGGCAAGGGGTGGGGGGAGGGGCGACTTCTACTCTTTGGCTCACACCATATGAGAGGTCTTTTTCTTCCAAGTACGGATATATGCGGACTAGTAAGGCATGGATTAGTACGGATACCTATAGCTACTTTCTCGCCGAGCTGCCGAAGCGTCAAACCAAGGTAATACCGCCTACCTTGCTATTCAAGCCATCTCGTCTAACAAGCCAAGGAAAGACAAAAGTGCAGCATCACACAAAGCAGCTGGATGAACCCAAGTGACAAGCGTGCTAATTATACCAATGTGATGAAAAATCAGATCGACTTCTGAACCGGCCATTGGCCGGCACTCTGCAGCCACGGCACACATACTGCGGCGCCTAGCACCGCCCGCCATTGGCCCCCGAGCCGGCTCCCCTCTCACCTCGGCGCGTGTGTTTCACCTCTCACTGGTGCCAGTTTCACCAGCCCACCCAATCAACCCAGGAGTGCCAGATTTCACCTTTTCCTGCGCCCCTGCGCCCCTGCCCCCCGGTTCAATTCCCATCCCAAAATCCAAAGCAACGAAAGGAAGGCGGGACAATTGGATGGCATAAGTGGTACACGCGGTCTGGCAAGTTCCAGACATTCATCTCCTCAGTTGCGGACGGTATGGTCGTAGTTGGACCTGCGGCGGCTACTACCACCCTGACGTGTGGCAGGATACTGCGCCTAGCACCCACGACGCCCCACGACGCCCCACGACGCAAGGTGGACCCTATAAGCTCCTCAACCTCTCGAGACAAGCTCATTTCTCTGAGGCGAAGGGTTCCAAGAGACTAGGTAACTCTCCGACACGCCAGGTCCCCCATTACCGATGTCGCCATTAACCATTTCCACCTCTCTCATTGGTATTTGAATGATCTACAGCATGCAGAGCTATTCACACTCATACATATACGCTGCAAGCATGGCTATGTGACGGGAGGACGATGAACAAACGTTCGGCCAGTATTTCTGCGTATTGATCTCTAGTTTGATAGAGACATTGGTCTAAATAAACCTTGTTGTACCACCCAGCACCACATGCTACCGTCTTTCACTTGCAATTGCCCCTGGTACTGCTTCTCCAATCAAGTCACAACCTGCGTCGTCTTGTTAGCAATACTACCCTGAGAATGAACAACCGCTTTGGGTGCGGGGGCAAACTTACCTTTTCTCTAAGAATACCAAGCCACTGTGCTGCGCTCATGCCCTGGTCCGCTCTGTCCTCCACCAGTAGTGTCTGCGCCCACAACTTAAGGCTCGGCTCTCCGTCTTCTCGGACAATATAGAGATGGGGCAGGATGATGCTGCCAACTCCCTTGGACTTGTGGTCCCGGCTCTTCTGAACAACTGCTCGTACCCGCTCGTTGAAGTCGTTCTCCAGCTCCGGCAAAGCACCCTTGCCCACCCGTAACTGAGTCCTGTCCTCAACTCCAAACACGTCGGCCAACAGCTGCGGCACGGCATCCCGGCCAGCCCAGAGAAACTGTGTCTGGCCGTCGTCGATGAGATACAAACCGTAAGGGGCAAATCGTTCTGACGAGAGATTCGCCGGCGGCGGGAGCACAATCTGGCTAGTCTCCGAGTCAGGCACACCTGCGTTGTCGGGCATGTCGTGCAACGAGTAGAGTCGGGGGTAGATGTATTGCATGAGCAGAGGGACAGGAAGCGTCGAAAGCAGACAGAGGGCTGCCGACCGCAGATCTGACGGGATTTGAGCTGACTTCCGGAGTCCGACGTTCTTCATGAGGCCCAAGAAGAGAATGGGGAGGCCGCGCAGGTTGGAGGGGAACTGCAGACCACCGCCCATGCTGCCACCGGCGAGCTCCTTTCTGAAAGTTTGCAAAAGTTCGATCAACTTGTTTTGAAGAGAGTCGCGAGCAGCTTCCAAACCTCCACTCAAGGCGCGCTCGACTGCCTTGTGACTGAAGTATGTGGTGATTGCCTGCTGGTCGGCCGAGGCATAGATATCAGCGAGATTTGTGGTCGTTGGAAGGGCCAACGTCATGACGCGGATGCGACGCTCTCCATTGCAGGTCGTGTGAAGAACCGCAGTCTGCAAGCAGACCACATTCTTCGTAAGGTTCTCGTCGATGGCAACCTCAACGACGTAGCATTGATCGCGAGGGAAGGCGGGGAAGGCGCATAGATCAGAGCTTCTGTTGAAGAAGTTACCATAGAAGGCATTCATGCGCAGACCAGTGGTGGCGCGAACGCGGAGCACGGCTTCCAATCCAATCTTTGATGACAAGTAGTCACTGAACTCGGAGGCAAACTTGATGGCGTCTTCAGGGCGCCCAGCGTTCCAGCCCGGGTAAAACCAAGTCTGTCCTCCAGTGTACCTCGGCAAGTTGCTCAGAGAGGCGACATCCTGGTATTGCGAAGAGAACAGGAACATGTCGATGGAGACCTGGTTCTTTGAGCACTCTACAGCAAAGCTTTTGTAGAAGCTATTGGCAGTTTGGAGCAGACTGCTTTCCTTGCTTGTACCCAGCAACTTCTTGTCCTCGCGCATGTCCAGCTTGCCGACGCCCACACTGGGCAAGGAAGCACTGAGCACCACGATCTTTCCGCCGAGAGCCGAAATCAGCTTGTGGCCAGCTCTGAGGGCCGAGCCCATGGCAGATCCATTGTTCTGGTTGCTCTGGTACATTTCAGGCAATTTGGTCAGGAAGCCCTCAATGCTCTGGCGGCTCTCCGTCAGGGGTACCAGCAGATCTTGGGGCACAGGCAGGAATGGCTCGTCCAGATCGCTGACGACCAACATGCTGGTCTCGGTGTTCTCTTCACCATCCTTGGGCACGGAGAAGTAGTGCAGGCTAGAGTCCACAGCGATGAAACCCAGGCGAGTTCGACGATCGGCATTAGGTATCCTGTCGAGACTGTCGAGGATGGTTCGGGCACTAGTCGCGAGAAGGCCAGTCGAGACAGCAGCGTAGCTCACGTCAAAAAGGAACAGGTAAACTAGCGGCTGAGGCGGGCGCACCATGTACTCCTGGGGCGCAACAAACTCAACAACTGAATAATTCAGCTCGTAACGTCCCCAACGGTCAGTGCTCCTTTGCGAAGCAGCATCCCAGTCGAAAGCTTGAGGTACATCGTTCGTCAGGTTGCACATGTTGCAACGCCAACGGTGGCCATGGTCCAAGAATGTAACGAAGGGGTTGATGTATGTTCTGCAGCGTCGACAGCGCGCAATGACCTGATCCTGCACCACAGGAATTGGATCCTCACTATCGTGGAGAGCTCCATAAGGCTGAATGACTAGCGCGAAGGGTAACCTCGACTTCTTCAGGAGAGAGTGTGTTGTCGGGACGGCGTTGAGGGTAGAGCGCACGTATTTAGGACCGCAATTCGCATCTGGGGAGGGGGTCACGCTTGTCTAGAGGTCTAATTGTTAGAAGTGAGCTTCACAGCCGGGACATGAGTGTTGACATACGTTGGGAGGAAGAATAATGGGAGGAGGAGGCAAGTCTAGCTCGGACACATTGAACGGCTGGTTCATCAAGTCGGTAGGGTAAAGCTGGTTCAAGGCCACAGGGCGAGCGGCTTGGCCAGTAGGTTGCTGCTGGGTTTGCCCGCCGAGGTTCATCCCGGCCATCTGCTGGTTGAGGCCACCAACGCCGGGGGCGGCAGAGGTAAGGCCGGACGCAGGATATCCGGCATCGGGGGCTTGATACGCGCCGTAGGTTCCGGCCTGAGCAGCGGGAGGCTGGGGTATGCCGTACTGCTGAGGTTGAGGAGAGCCATACGCGGCGGCGGCGGCGGCGGGTTGAGCATCCTGCGCAGGATAGCCACCATAACCCGCGGCCTGCGGCTGGGATATTCCATATGGCTGTGCTTGAGCAGGTGCACCAGCCGTATTGGAGTTGGCGCCAGCTCCGAACTCATAGGCTTGGGTGGCATAACCTCTCTTCTTCTTCTTGCCTTGATCAGTTACAGCTGGCTGAGAAGCTTGAGCTCCCTGTGCTTCGTAGCCATCCTGAGGCTGGTCGGAGTAAGGTTGTTGCTGTGGGGGGTATTGGCCGTAGCCGTCGTTCGGTGCCGACATGGTGCGCGGTCGGGGCAAGGACGAGATTGCGCTCGATACTCTTTGCGTGGGCTAGGATCCAAGCTGTGGCTTTGCGATGGATGGGAGAGATGGACGTTGAAAAACGTGGGTTGGTCGAGCGAGGCCAATGCCGGGTTTTTGGACGTACGCAACAGGTGGCGTGGCGTTGGGTAGCGAGGGGTTCGAGAGGATGGCAGATGGTCGTCAATGAAGATGTGTCCACATGAACCAGATGACGAGGGCTGTTGGGTATGGGTCAAGACGAGGCTAAACTAGACACCCAAGCCGGGTAGCGATTGAGAAAGGGAGGGCGAAGGTGCAGAATGTAGCCTTGGGCAGATTCGAATGGACAGGTGGTTCAACCCACTGGATCCAGCTCCAAATCGACTAGGTATGCACCTCTATCGTAGGCAAGGGCTTGACTGGCTTACCTGGAGTATTCCATCATGGCTGGCGGTCAGGATATGTGGCGGGGAGCTTCTGTGCACAGGCCAGGTGAGGCTGAGGCACCCGGTGACGGAATAATGTAAGACCCGAAGAAAGCCCCGCGCCGAGCCCTTTCGGCAGATTGCCGGCCGGCAACTGTCACACCCACACTTACACAAAAAGGGACTGCTGTGTATTGCGCAGAGGTCCGAAGAGAGGGAGCCCATGATGCAGTACCTAGACGGAAGTCTTAGGTATCCGTAAAGCGAGCTCTTTTCACTTTTGATATGCCTTCCTTACTTTTTCCATGGATGATATCAGACGTCGTGGGGCAGGCATGCTTCAATCTCAGTTCCGCATAAGTGACTGAAGACGTACTTCTAAAGCAAGAACCTTAGAATGGGGTTAGGGATTTTGGATCAAACCAAGTCTATGGATTTGACACATTGTCATGTTGAAAGACGTGTTCTCACCAGGATGCAAGTACGCAGACAGTTTGATGTGGCATGGCAAGGTGTTAGACTGCCGATACCTCTTTCTTACTCATTCAGAAGTAGGCTGGCAGCTGGCTAGCAGTCATGACACCCGAACTCACAGACCCCTCCCAGGCCCTGCCCGATGGAGTGGTGAAGCTACCAGAGTCAGGATGCGTGCTTGATGCCCCCTCTCCCCGCCAGCACCGCTAAGAAGAGGAAAAAATGTAAACGTACAGATAAAGGGGGCCACGGGCGCGAACTACGGGACTAGGTAGGTATATCGGTGGATACCACCACCTCAAGGTCTTACCTGCTTTGCTTGGTAAGACGGTTGATGGCCCTCCCGCTCATGAGGTGCCCATTGGATTCTTGTTCTCAGCCTCTTGGGGTCCCAAATCCCCACTCGGCAGCCCCTGGACCACCCCAAGGGCCCAAGTCCCCTGCGCCGAGGACTGGGCCGTCGCTCGATTGCGACTCAACTTTCCGGCATAGGATGCGCCGTCCGCTGCCCGCGTGTAATCTGCGCCTAGATCGGGCTGCCCGTCTGTTTACCGTATTCACCTCACTACAAAGGACGTTAGCAAGGTACGGATAGGTAGACACGGATAGCGGGACGGGAAGGTGAGTGGTGGGGAGGGGAGAGGGTGGTACTGCAATACAAAATGTGCTGCTCCGTGACACGATTTAGCTCTTTCTGCGGCAGGTGCCGTGTAGGTAAGGTGGTAAGGTAGGCAGGGAGGGTAATTAGACTTGCAATTCGTCTCATTCATCTGGACTTTCTCACTGCTTCCAGTTGCTTGCGCTTCCCGCTTTCCTTCCAGTTCTGACTGAGCGTATCTGAGCTACATTCGTTACCCTGCCTTCCTTTAGCTCCCACCCCCTCCCTCTTCTCGATCTGCACCCCGGCTGCCTCTTCGTCCAACGTCCGGCACCTGTTCTTCTTTTTTCCTCTTCCTCTTTCCTGCTTGTATGTAGGTTCGCCTCTTTTTCGCTTTAGCTCATTCACCATTCTACCAAGCCCGCAATCAACTCATTTTCCTCACGCAAAACCACAACTTACCCTTCGAGATCGACATCGTACTATCTGTCTTAGAAGCCACACTTAATCGGACGGCGACTCGCTCCTTCTTGCGCATTTTGTGCCCTTCTACTGCCTTCTGAACAGATCTTTCTTTGTCCCTCTTTTTTTTCCCTTTGCTTTCGCTTCATACTGTTCGGTTTCTTTCAAAAAGTCCACGAGAAAACTGTATCTTCTTCCTGGATCTATCGCGAATCGTGGTTATAAACGCAATAATGGCGTGGGGTAAGAAACCGCAACCGCCACCCCCTTCGGCCCTGTGGTGAGTTTCATTCCTCCCCGGTCAGAGATGGGGTGCGCTTCTTGGCAAAGCGAGGCTTCTCGTCTTCGCGCCTCAATCTTTCCCCTTGTTCTATCTCACGCGACCCATTACAAGAACAGAAGGACATCCTTCTCGGCTCTTGTGAACCGATAGGAAACCCGCTGACATTTTGCGCGAAACCTACAGGCAAATTATCCCCCTCGTCATCACCCTCCTCTTCTTCGCCGGTGTGGCCTTGGTGCTCTGGCAGGTTTACATATCCGCCACCAAGATTCAAGAGTCCGCCTCGGAGCGCATGGGCAAGAAGAACGTCGTGTTCACAAAGGATGGCGTGCGCGTCGGCGTCAAGCACACCTCGAACGAGAACTACGTCGACAAAACTCAGAGCTGGGTCGTCAAGGCCTGGAATCTGAGTGGGAATACTGCCGGCCAGATCAAGAAGACCAAATGATGGGCGCGTTATCAACCCCATGCTTGATATGTCTGTCTGGGCGGGACGGGACGGGGGCATGGGAGGCACAGGATACCGATGCGAAAGGAACCGGGAGATGAGCGATACAAAGAAAGCGCAGGCAAGTCGATCAGCCCACTCGGTACACATGTAGGGGCAGTCGGGCCAGCTATTTTTGAGATACCCAAACAAGGCCTGGGATGGTCATTGCAGTCATGGCTAGGAGGGGAAATGGGCAGCAGGCGTCGCCTGAGCGCCGAACGGACAAAGGTTGGGATGACATCTCGACGGGACCTGTTCGATGCAGTAGTGTCTGGCTCAGCGCAGCTAGTTTGTGCACCCTGCAGCTAGTCAGGGCCAGGGCATTTTCATTTTGAGCTTCTCAGGATGCTTGGACGGAATCGATCAGGTTTCCCAGGACTACAAACTGGTATAGATGCGTTGGAACGCGGAACATGGGTAGCTACCTTCCTTATCTACGTGAGATACAATGCAATGCGATGAATCAACTCGATGCCTTTTTTTTATTTTTCTTTTTTTTTTGGTGCTAAGGAATGTGTATATGGCATGAAGCATGATATACCGACTTTGAAGCTCAAGTCAGCGAAGCAATAAAGCCCCACCCGCGGGACAACGCCGTGGTATCAAGAATCCCGTTCCTCCCAGGCCGGCCCAGGCTGTATGCTGCCTTTTACTCACTTCAACATGTCGACCTGCGAACCCAATTTTGTGCCTCTTCCTAGTCGCTCAAGTTGCGCGACATCAGCGTCCGTCCACCATGTTCATTCCCACCTTTTCCCATTGGGCACAGAAAGAGCTCATTTGTATACTTCCACAGATAGGATGCGCCACGGAGAATCGACGCGACTCATCCCTGAAGTGTGAAAAAGGTAGTTACAAATAAGTTGTGACTCGTCCAAGCTCACACGGAAGGTATTCGTTTTGGCGACCCAGGATTTCACAACTCATTGAGCGCCTGGGCGAACCGTCAACCAATTTTGCGCTACCCACTGTCCGGCCTGGCCCGCGGTTCCGGTTGCCTTCGCAAGGAGCTCCGCCTTGTGCTTTTCGACAAATTCCTTCTGCATGGCCTCGCGTTGCTGCAGAGGGTTCATTGAGTAGCCTGCGGAAGGCGGCGCGAACCGCGCAGAGAGCAGCTTCTCAAAGTTGTGGGCCTGCGGGTACGGCTGGGCCATCAGCCCGTCCCTCCTGATGAGCATCGATGGAATGCGGACTTGCATCTGTCGAATACCGTTAGAATAGATGAAGGTAGGATGTTGGTATGAAAAGTAAAAAAGGGGGGGGAATTACCTGTGACAGTATGTGGGCGTACTTGACACCGAGCTCATCGCCAATGAACTTTAATCGTCCAACCACCCAGGCTCTTTGGGCGTCCGTTGTGTAGTCTTGCCCGTGCAAGCACGCCAGGGGCCAAGTGAGGAAATAACCGGGAAGACCCTTTTGCGATTCCTCCAAACCGCATGCAAAGCCTGAAATGTTTGCTCTTTCAAGCAATTCGGGCCTCTTCAGATGCCATCCAAGGTGGTAGGGTACTGAGGCGATTATATCGCTGATGGTGTCCACACATGTACGTGCAGCCGTCGCGTATTCGGGTGTTGTGCGGTAGTCAACGGGTGAGCAAACCCAAGCGGCACAGCGTACAATGACGGAGGCGAGAATAAGACGAGACACTCTGGCCATGTTCCATACGCTCGCGATCCAGAAGTCTTGGTAGACATCCACACGACCAGGGAACACCTCGGCTTTTGCGTAGTCTCCGTTGGGAACATTGTCCTCCCACGCTACCGTCGTGTACTGGAAGTAGTCTGGCGTATTCCTCATCCAGCTCATGAATTCTTGGTCGACGGTCTGGGCCCGACGTATCATGTCGAGCATAATGTCGATGTTCTCTGGGCTTCGGGCCACTGTTGACATCAGTCGTGTGACCTCGGCACGTAGCTCGGCTGTCTTGATGTTTAGTCTCTGACACTGTGCGGCGGACTCGTCCTTGACGGCGTCGCTGAGCCACCACTCCACGCCCATGATAGGTGCTGTACCCGTACTGAGCGTGTGAATGATCATCTGTGTTCGGACAGCGATGAAGAGTAGCAGGCCTGTCTTTGTCCGGAGTTGTTTCCGACCTCGAGCCTTTACCAGTTGAATGGCACCCTCAATGTGCGAGCCCCAGGCGAACATGCCCATTTGTCGAGCAGTCATATTTTCGAAGAGACCCAGCATAAGAACGGAAGCAAGTGTGGCGTCTGACTTGGACTGGTCGGGGTCTTTGAGCGCGATGTGTGTCTCTGCCAATGCTTTCGTGTAGTGGCCCAGTGCCTTCTCGCTCATTTGGGTCGCTGCCGCGTTCGGTCGGTTTCCTAGTGAGGCCAGCGCACACGCGTTGAACGCGTGCTGTAGGTGGTGGTTCCCTTGATCGACCTTCAACAGCGGTAATAGGTATTCCATGAACCCACGTGTGCTTCCCTGCCTGGGTAGCAAGACATAGTTGGCAACGAAGTGGCAACTGGCCATTTGTTCTACTGGGACGTTCAGACCAGGGAAAACAGCTGTGGGCGAATCAAACTCCTTCTTGAATGTGGGTGAAATGCTCTTGTCCGAACTTGACGTCGGCGAGTCGAGATCCTTTTCTTTCTGGGCCAGGGCCTTGCGGTTCGCCTTCTGAGCTCTCCTCTCTGTTGCTTTGGTCTCATTCCGAAAGACGAGGTCAAATTCGTCCTTGTAGCCAGGACATTGGCGGCGCGACTTGGCGCATTGGTTACAGGTTGGCTTCGTCTCGTCACACTACAGCAGGAAAAAGCAGCGTCAGTACACACTTGCACCTGTTTTCCAACGCAACGGCTCGAATGCGTTGCTCTCAGGTCTCACCTTTATCCTCCTAGTTCGACACATCTGACAGCCCCTCGAGGGCTTCCCGCAGTAGACCATGATGAGGGTTGATTCCGAGGTACTGTAGTGAGGTGGTGGTTTGGGTGACCGTGTGCGGGCTGGCCGATGAAGAAAGGCCCGGCTTCGATGGGATCAATTTACTATAGCCACAACGATTGTCCGGCCACTCCGGTCGTAGGATTTATTCAAGAGTGATTCGGCGTATAATGATAACGCTGACTGCCGATCAGGGTGAGTATGAAAGATCGACTGGAGATGTTTGGACCAAAGTGTGCAGTGACATGAAACTCGCAGACAGGCGAGGCGGTGTGTTTTTGGTGTGCGGAGGAAAAGGCTATCTAAGCTGAAAGGGAAAATCAACCGGCGACCTGATGTGGGTGTTTGGAACCAAGTGCCGGGGACAAGCCGGGTCCGGGAGCGCGTGTTCGTGTTGAGATGATAGAAGACGAGTATGTGGCAAGAGACTGCGAGAGGCCAATGAAGGGACCAAATAGAGTCCCGAGGTATGGGAGACAGACTGCTGTATATGTCCAATCGGTCTTGTGTTACTGGGATTGCCAATTGGGTTGCTAAGTATTCGTTTCGTATTGAGCAGGAGTAGCAGAACAAAACGGTTCTATGCGTGGCTTGAGGCGTGGGTGGAAGTTGGTTGTGAGGAGAGTGAGGTGAGAGCGATAGGAGACGACGTGGTAGAAGAATGGCAGGCGAGCGCATGGATGGAAGACTTCCAAGCCACGCGGGTGGTGTTTGAAAACCGGCGCAGTTGCGAGTCTCACTGGGCCTGTTTCCCTCCTACGTCCGGGGGTGGCCGTGGTTAGGATGATCTGGGGTGTACCTGGTCCGGCCACGGCAAGTGAAGAGTGTCAAGATGGGATTGATGTTGCAGGATGCGCCGCTGCGTCCGTGGGCGTAGGGTTCGGCTAGGGAATGGGGAGTACGAGTGTGTTGGGGGCCGGAGTTGAATAAGGTAAGGTATCCATCCGTGCCTCACTGTGTAAGGTAATAACGGACAAGACAAGGTACCGGGAGGTGATGTAGGGCGGGTAGGATGCAATTATAATAAGTCGGGTCTCTTGTCGAATGTTGCGTGTTGCCAATGTAGGCACTAGGCTAGGTGGGCATGCACATGTGGCCAAATATTCGCATCGGCAGAGAGATTAAGGCACGCGGAAGAGACGGGAAATGCCGTTCAAAAGGGGGACTCTGTCTGTCCCATTCGGTGGTCTTGCAGTCTCTCTGCAAAGTGGCAGTCCCTTGTCGAGAGATTCTCCTCTCGAGTGCAGATACCTAGACCAAGGAAACGCATGTTGCAGGCCCCACGGAGAACTTCCATGTTACAGTACGGAGTACGGATATAGGCATTACAGAAGTACCCTTCCTTCCGAGTGCCCCCCTCCCCGACATTTGGATTAGAAGTACAGAGTATCCGTGCCTTGGTATCCGTATACCGTATGGCGCATGTGGCTAACCTGCAGCAGGCGATGTGTTGCATGGGGAGGGGTAGGGGGAGATGATGGCGATGTGCTTTTTCGTCGTGGGTGGGGGCAAATGGTGAGCAAGCAGGGGGAGATACGGACCATACGGAAACCAAGTATTGATATGGTATCCGTACCTTGCTTTGCATCCGTACGGAGACGTTACCTTAGTTCATAAGTAACGGGGCTGGCAGGGCAGAGAAGGCAAGAAAGCAGAATGCGTCAAAGAAACAGGGGAGCCCGCTTTGACAACGAGCTGGAGACGTTGCTGATCTGAGCTAGTACTCGATGGCAGAGTTCAATGGCTGAGGGGAAATGTGACTAACTCTACTGGGAACCCAAACGAAGGAGAGGCGCTTTTGGTTGCACACCACGGCATTGTCAATCTTTGAATGAGTGGGGCCCTGTCTTGCCCCTGGGCAATATCCAGTCGACCTGGGTGCTGGTATTCGTAGTGTACATACACATGACTTTCAAGCCCAATAGCGAGACTCGTTGGTGGTGAAGAAGAAGAAGAGGAGCCTCGGGACTCGGAGGACCCCCGCCAATGCGCCAACGGTGGCTGTCGCAGGAAGCGTGACAGTGAGGGGATGTGAGCCTCCGTCCAGGATACGCCCGGGATCTTGGTGATACAGTATCGAGGAGCCGGGCCAGCTAGATTGGCGACCGTCAACTGGTTGGCTTTTTTGCATCTGGCCCCAATGCCCCATAGTCTGGTTCATTGTGTGCCCTTCAGCTGGAACCGACTTTACTACGTAGGGGTGAGGGCTGCTGACGGGCGGCCGCTTATTCGGCTGGATGGAAAAGTGATGGGCTCTGGAAGATAAATCGAGCAGAAAGAAGGATGCAATGGCGGTCGGAGGCCATTCTCGCTGGCCGCATTCATCATGTCAGACTCCGTCACTCTGGTTGATGGTGCAGACGAGTCGGCAGACGTGGGTTTCGGCGGCATTGACTACGAATTCCCACGCAGTGTATCCGTATCCGTAATACATCCCTGGATACTAGCGCTGCCGTCTTTGGATGGTTTCACCGCACACTCGTTCAATACCTAAGTTTTAAGGTCTGAACGGCTACTTCCGGAACGGACGCCGGGCCTGTCTTGGCAGGTACGTACTGTTTCCTGCGGCACGTGTCTCTCTAAGGTACCCTGCATGCTGCTCTACCTTACTCTCCGCCGCCTCAGACTTCACAGTCACGCAGTGTAGACTTGAGGTCCAGGCTGCTTTACTAGCGACGTGAGGCACCTGTGAAGAGATGCAATACGATCTTCCCGTGCCTCCTCGGTGTACTATGAGACCGGGGCGTGAGGCCGAGACAACATACTGAGACATTGCCATGGTGTCCCGTATCTGCACCGCCTGAGAAGACATGTGCCGGCAAGACAGCGCGGTGGATTCATTTGCTGTTGGTGACTACAGTTAAATGCAGGAAGGTGTGCCCCAAGGAAGAGCGACATCCAAGACAAGATAAAACAAGACAAAAAGCTGGGCCACGCCCACGAGTGTCCGTTTCAAGCATGGCAGACGGGAAAAGCAAATATGACTGGATCCCCGGAATGCACATCACTTTTGGTCTGTCTATCCGTACTGATACTATGTAGCTCTGTCCCGACTATCCGCCTCGACTGCTATTTTGGCTGCCAGTCCAGGTACCAAAGTGATGTACCGGACCGTACCGCAGGCAGACCCTCTGGCTCAACGCAACTATCAAAATGTCGGTGCAGAGATACTACCTATGCATCCGCTCGTTCGCAGAAAGTGAAAGTCGCGTCACGCCAAGCCGATGACAGAGTCCCGTCATCTTAGGCAACCCACAGTCCAACCCACAGTTAGCTAGTTGCCTCGACTCAGACAAACAAATGAATTGTCACTACTACTCCGTACTCCGTACGCTGTCGCCGGCTCACGGACCTCGCGTGGCGGCCGATGTGAAGCACAATCAAGTCTTTTTTTCTTTTGCCTCCGCTCTCGAGACTCGAGACATTGCAATTGCCAATGGAAACTACGCTAGAAGCCCCTCTCAGCTGCAGATAGAGTGGCATGGAAGGAATCCTGCACTGAACCTTCCCTGTCAAATGGCTGGGTTGACAATGCCATCACGCTCAGTGCGTCCGATGCTTTGCGCAGCCTCACTCCCATCGAATCCCATCGACCCTCCTTGGTGCCTTGTGCGACGACGGCGATGATGGGTAACGGCAACTTCCTTGGCCGTCCAATTACATTCCGGTCATCTTTCACCCCAACGACGTTGCCTGTCACTTGCCTAGTAACCCCTTCTGACGTCTATCGTATGGCCCGGTACAATGGTCAGAGACTTGTTAGTTCAGACGCACAGTCGAACGAGACCAAGATGAAAACAGCCTCGAAAGGATGCCAACAGTCAAAACTACAAATTGTTGCCCGTCTCCGCAACTCATCCGACCCCGGACTACAGGGTCGATTCCACTATTCGCCGTCACTGGGCCTTCATCAGGTCAACGCTACCTAGCCCAGAGACTGTTTAGGAGGACGGGCGAGAAACAAGCCCGCCAGGCCGGGCCATCAAGAAGCCAACCGGGAGTCCATGACTGGAAGCTTCTGCTGCCAGTCTGGGCCTCCTATTACCCTCAAACAGCCTTTCAAAGTATCCGAAAATCAACAAGCATAGCCGGTCGATCACAGCGAACCGTGCTGCGTCTCCTAGAGCTCCAGATAACGTTCTCACGGTTCTGATGGGTTGCAATGACTGTATGGACCTACCCAGCACACCCACCACCCGATACATCGAAGCCCACACTGCAGAGGATATTTCCTCGATGCGGCGGTGGAGCTCTGTGCTGAGCTCGCGCATTGGGAGATGGCAAAAGCGGGCTGCATGTTACCAGTCATTTATGATGGCCTCCCAGGACCCAGCGTGCCAGCCTCCTCTTCAACTGTCTTCGAGTGGAGTCACCGCGGTTTTGAGCGTAGTGTGATTTGGGGTATGAATACTAAAAGAAAACCAACGGCTGCAGCGTATCAAGCTCAGATATGGATACCAGAATGCCACGAATGCACGGTGTGTGCATCTTGCGTACCGCTCCAAGAGGGTGCTCCCACATGGGCGACATCCCCATCCACAGGAAAGTCTATCCGTTGCGAGGCAAGCAGGACCATCCAAGACCTCACTCAGCTCGCAAGTCATCCCACGTATCTTACTCGCGACTGCGGGGATTTGTACTGCACGGGCCGCGTCTAGATTTGCAGACTAGCAAACTGTCGTCTCTCGAGATACCTCTCCGTCGTCCATCCACAAATGAGCGATGTGGTTGCGGCCTGTCCATTCGTCGCCAGGGTGCAAAGCAACCTTGCCCTTCTCTCAACTTGACTTGGCAAAAACCGTTTACTAAACCCACACTCGTAGCCTGAGTTAGTGTGCGAGGAGGTCGCGAGAGTCCCGAGGGTCAACGGCATGTTCTGGAATTAGGACGGTCTCCTGGTCGCGGCACTCGAGGAGTCTCATGCCGCATGATGGATCATGGGACGATGCACGCCCTAGGGCAGCAGCAAACATGGAAGAGGCGTTGGGCCACTCACTCAGCCGGTGAGCTGTTGGTTCGGTGAGACTAGGATGTCACAGTTGCATCTAAATAACGCTTTGTTGCGTCCCGACTTGGGAATTACCTCACCCCTTGTCATCAATGACATTGAGTTCGTTTACCTGGCCATACAAGGTTTTTATATATCCCGACCAGACAGTGCTCCTGAAAGTTTATCTTATTGACAGTCTCTCGTATGTAGTTTCTTCCTCCCGAGTACCGCGTCACAGTTTGCGATATCTTTTCATAGCTGAGTCTATCACACCGGCTTGTGTTCACAGTACGCAAAGACGTGGCAAGGGATATCTTTCTGGGAATTATTTGTCACCGCTCAATGGACGCGCCCGAAACACATCGGTGGGCCAGACCCGCCATTACGGCTCCGGGCATCGGGCGTGTGTTACTGCATGCAGCAACGGAAAGCCGACGGTGTTCACAAGGCTACGTTTCTCGTTGTTAACATCCCAATCGACGCCCATCCAGCGCCTCGCCCCTCCGATCCATGGCGACGGGGTGATCCCTTCCCCCAACTTCAAAGTTTGACCCAAATCTATGGGACAGACAACGTGAACTACTCCCGGAGTTCCGCGATCCCTCTTGCCGAGGCTAACTAAACGACCTGCCGGTCCAGCCCCTCCATGGCAATTTAGTAGGGTTCCAAACAGATTGATAGATCCAGCCGCATGGTCAGGTGGGTGTGGCAAGCCATGCCGATGATCGTTTCCCTCGTCTCACATCTTCGTCTCTTCAATGCCTCGGCCGAAGACAAGAGAGGTTGGAAACCGAGACAAACCCCCTCCTAGTGAACACATGGTGGCCTGGTAGGCAAGTGCGTGAATGAGTTGTTCATGTTCATAGGGTGATGATTGTAAGCCAACTCGGCTTCCTCCTACTCAAAGGTCAGGATACCACTCCCTCACGCGCGAGGAGGGGGGGGGGGATAACAACAGGTACGAACCCTTCATGAACAAGAAAGACTACCTCCCGCCATCGTTTCTTATTAAGGACAAGGTAGTTCCTGAAATACCGACGAACCCCACCGTCCTACAGCTGTGCATACGATGTTATTTGCGTTGGTCCCCTCTCAAAAAAAGACCTCTCCAGGACAGGGGACGCAAGAAGATAGAATGCGGAAAGAAGAGCATTGGATATGATGCAATGTGATGTGATACGATCGCCGAGGTTGATCGTCGGTTTACCCGCCTTACTCCTCATGGCCCTGGTCCTGGCCATCTTACTCTGCCTCGACCCCGTCCCGAAGTCCCGGCTGCTGCGGGGAGAGAGAGAGAGAGAGAGAGAGAGACATGCACCTAATATCCACGTCCATTTTGGATGACGAAACCTCTCTTCTAACCCTGTAAATTGTACTTGTTCTCAGCTTCATTCACGGTACATCTGTCGCCGAAAAGTGCGGATCGGCCGTGTAATGATGGGCGTGCGGCGGTTCTCCGTTCGTCCTCCATCCCTTCCATCTCTCCTCCCTCGGGCCTCAATTCCCCTCCTTCAAGGAGTAGTCTCCTGTACAGTGGCCAGTCAAAAACTTCCCTAGTCCTGCCGGGGGTTCTCTTGTTCCGGGACCCGGGATGAGAAGCCATCTCAGTTTGGAAATGCTTGCGGACCAGAGTACCTGCAGGAACTTGCAGCATAGTAACATTGCAGCACTGCAGCCGCATCTCCCTCTACTCGTCCATCTCAACTCCTAGCGCTGTCAAGTGTATGCAATGACGGACATTGCTCTGGGAAGGCCTGAGAAAAAGGCCGCAGCGCCTGTTTATCCTAGACAAGTTCGTTGTGTATTGCACATCACCTTGGATATGGGTCATGCCCCGTTGCTGCAAGTTTCCCTGCTTTCAAGTTAACGGCCTAGAGCAGGGGAAAAAAGACTGCGATTCCTAGGGAAAATTGGTATCTTTTCAATTCTCCAAACGGAGCTGAAATCATATTCCTCCCCATCAGCCCATGACATGTCTATACTCTGTTTCTAGTTATCCTGTCAAAGCGGTATTCACACAAAGCCCACCCGGATCTCTTGGCTCAACTGGCTCGCACGCATCGTTGGATTCCCATCTTTCAGCTTCTCACCAGAGGGCTGGGTCGATGCGGGGCGCATATTCGCCAGTGACCTATGTCGGATAACGGTGCATTTCCATTCTGGGGGCAGCTGCCGATGGTCTCTCAGCCCTCGAAAAGACCGGCCACTCCCTCCAGAGCGTCTGGTGTGGCCCGCCCCCCATCAGCAACCCCACCGCCCCGTGTTCGCGACTCGTTGGCCGGTGTCATGAACTCCTGGGCCATTTTGCTACGATTTGACCTCTTGCTGCGTCCGAAGCCGCTGTTTTTGGGAAGCTTTCCCATCTCGGCAATACTGACTCCTTTGAGGTCCTTGAGCAGGTCAAGCACAAGTGCTCTCTGCTGCCGTGTATGCGCGGCTGGCTTGGATACAAAGTCGTTCAGTCTGTCAAGGTCTGCTTGCCTTATGTTGGGCAGGGACATGAGGATGTCGCGTGGGGTGCTTGTGACAGGGCTGTAGTAAACCACTGTGGCAGCAATAAGAGATGCCAAGTCCTTCTGGAGGTCTACAAAGTAAGGTTCATGGAAAGAGGTGATGCAAGCCCGGAGCACGTCAGAGGCTATGTATTCCCTGATGGCCGTAGCTGCCTCCGCAGATACTGGCGTGGTATCGAGGTATGGGTCCCTGTTAGGCGGTGCCGTCTCAGCGCCATCTTGGGGTAAAGATTTCGGCGACAGTGGCTCAGCCACGGTGAAGTCTGGGACGATGGAACGGAAGACTCGCAAAATTATGCTGCAGCAACGGGTGTCTCGCATGCGGATGGCGTGCGTGCAAAAGAGCAGTAGTGGCTCGACGACGGTCGACTGCATCAGGCAGAATTTCCTCAGTGAGGGATATTTCCGTGGTTGCTCTTGACCGCTCTGAGATCTTAATGGCGGAGGGTCTAGATGTCCATGTTAGCTTATTAACAATCTTTACCGTCCCTCCAATCCCCGTGAATCGCCATTACCACCCCCACCAGCAACTGCTCCCGGCCGAGGTACACAGGGAAATGAGGAGGATAAGGAGCGGGGTAAGAGACATCAAGTCTACAAAGCGACTCAATGGGATCCTGGAGGAACAGAAGTTGGGAAGGAGACTGTGACAATCTAACCGAGGAAGAGGAGGGGCGTGGATCAAGTCTGGGAAAGAAAAAGAAAAAGGAGAAGAATGGAAAAAGAACATACTCCTTTTCGTAGGGTCCAGGAAGTCTGCCACCATGATGACTGCGGTGTAAGTGACTTGGCGCAAGATACTCTCTGACTTCATTTCCTCTGTCAGAGCATCAGCAGCTGCCTGAATCACTTGTTGACGCTCCAAGTTCTCCCACTCGGCATTGATCTTGGCGTCCATTTGCTGGAAACAGGCTGCTAATAGTGGAGGTAGAAAATGCTCTCGTTGCTCGAGGGGACAGTCGTCAACGAGGTACCTGACGAGGTTGAGCAGATTAATTTGCTGATGTGCTGAGAGGTGAAATGAGTCTCGGAAGAGCGCTTGCGCAAGCGGACCGGGCAGCTCGCTGAAGCCGTAGAACTGCATTTCTAAACGACTCATGCAATAGATGATGGCGTAACAGGTCTCCCTAACAAACCTGACGGTCCCACGAATCGTCGAGGCAAGACCTTCAAGCGTGTTCTTCTTATCCATGACTCTTGCATAGAACTCGTCTTTGCTGCCCTCCGAAATGCCTGCTTGCCAGAAGCGGTCGCTGAGCACATTGCCAACGACAGATCTCATCTCGTTGGGCAATTCTGTCCAATTATCCGGGTTGTGCGAGGCATGGGCATGACTACACAGCATGTCAGTCGATGCAACATTGTAATCGGTTGCGCGAGATTCACCTCAGGAACTGCAAAAGGTCCGGGAGGATTAGCGGAAAGCTAGCATTCCACAGCTGGTATGAAGTTTGGAACGGCGTTGACGTCTTTTCAAGCTTCTCAACAGAAAACGAAAGGAAGGATTTGGTAGGGCGAAGCGGTAACATCTGTATTCAAGTAAGCATATCATCATGTGGACGTTTCGAGTATCAACCAACCTTTTGCCTTTCCTCTAGTTCGGCCTGGAGAGCCAGACCCTCCGCATCCAGCTCGCAGGAACCCCATTCCTTAACTTCGTGGACACGGTGACTCATCAGATACCTCTTCGCCTTGTCCAAGGCCATCAATTCGCAAAAGCCAGAATATGATGACAAGGCATTCTTCAGCTCTTGGTTCTGCCATGAGGATGTGACAGGCTTGATGAATTCCTGCAGCCGATCGACCTGTTTAGCGGGATCGATGTTGGATGCTCGGTGAATGATGATGAAAAGAAAGCTTTGATAAGCGATTTGGCGTTTTTCGTCCAAAGTACCGGACGAGATCATGTCATTCACCTTCGCCTCGATCTGGTCATAAACAGCGAGCAAGTGGTCAGGAACCTTTGAGGCTAGCCTCTGCAACTCCACCATGCTCTCGGATTGGAAGTCCTTGATCGCTTCGTTGAAAGCACGGTGTTCCGGCTGGGGAGATGGCCAGGTCATCAAGATGTGCTCAAGAACCTTGAGCATGAAGCCTGGATTCTTGTCAAGTGCCGTGGTTGAGAAGGCGACCAACAGCTGTAAAACTCTCTTTCGAATCAAAGGATCCTCGAACTTCATTTCGAGAAGTTTGGTGCACCACGACTCCAAATCCCTCTCTAATGCGGCACGCTGTTGCTCCTAGGAGTCCATTAGTATCACCTTGAGCGTAAGGGTCTCAACTACATACATAGTCTGGTAAACTCTGCTGAGTGCTGCTTGCTCTCCATTTCATGTAGCCTTTGAGTGCGGCTTCGATGACTGTGAACTGCGCATCGACACGCAGAACAGGCATAGAGTGTTTGAAATATGTTGCGACTAAAAGGTCAGCATTTTAAATACCATGCAAGAAGCATCTGTCAACTCACCAGCCATTTGTGGGCTACCATCATACAGATGCTGCAAAACGTGCTCCGCCTGACCGAGAACGTGATAAACTGCATCGGATAGCTTGAGCTGGACAATCGTCTCGATGACCTGCGTGCTGTATCTTCTGTAGTTGCCAAGAAACGCGTGACGCTCGGGGACGGTGTCGGTATCCTCCATAAGAAACAAAAAGGTCTGGTCTTGGGTATCTTCGGGCAAGTTCTCGTAGCGTATCAAGCGAGAGCCGCATACTTCGAGAAGAGGCCCGACAAGATGGCTGTTGGCTGGGCTCTGTCCGATCAGCCTGTTGTTGAGGAGGCGTGTCCAGGTTGCCAAGACTGGGATCGCGATGATGAGACTTTGGCTCTGTACGGTAAGCAATAGCAGGTTGAGGAAACCGCCGACGTCCGAGTTTGTGGGTATGGCAGAGAACCGCCGGTCGAGGTAGTTGCCAAGAAGAGACAGCATCTAGAAGCAGTCAGCAACCTCGCACCCGCGTTATACGATGATCAACACACTTCTGAGAATTTCTTGCCGAATTGGTACTTGTCTTCGTCGATATCCTCCACATCCACGGCGGACCATTCGAAGAGCCTCTTCATGAGGTCTACTGAGCTCGCATCATACATGGGCGCGACAAGGTCCTTAAACTCTTGTTCCGAGAAATTAGAACGGGAGTACAGCGCGTGCAAAGCTTCCAGCGAGGCCTGTTCAATGTTAGCTTTTGACCATGGTTTATGGGCGAGACGAGCACAAGGCGGTCGGTCTGCTTGGTACCTTTTGTATGGATACCTCGGGGGTTGCAAGAGCTCTGCACATGACTGGAACGCAGTTTGCAACGGCAACAGACTTTGGAATTGCCCATGGCATGAGGGAATAGAACACAGTCAAGGACTTCACGGCGCAAGAGCGGATTTGGTCGTTGTTTGGTGCGTCACCGTCGAGGCATTGACTGAGGAACTCTGATACCCTGCTTAGCCAACCTTCTTCCCCAGAGCGCACCTCGGGGCCTGCAGCTCTGTTGGGGAACGCCTCTCTCAGAACAAAAGCCGGGGTAAAGACTTCGACACAGCTTCTGCTGAGAATGCCTTCGCGCATTGCAACAACAGCGTCGTCGCCGTTGAAGACCTCGTCGGACAAGGTCTCAAGCACAAAAAGAACGAGCTCTTTGTGGACAGGAGAATCGGGTATCTGCCAAATCCGTACCAAGAGCTCATCCATATCCATCCACTCGGAGCCCCAGCATCTCTTGGCGATTTCTACCCACAGCTGAGCTGCCTTGTTCCTGATGTATAGCGGATCTTCCTTAGTCAAGGTGCGGCAAAGCTCCAGCACCCATTCGCGTAGCATAGTAGACTGCTGCTCGTTGTATTCGGCCCATTTCTGCTTGATTGCATGTTCAAGTAGAGACAGGGCGTAGTGACGCACAACCGGGGACTGCGACTTGTTGGAGGCGAGGGTGAAGCCGTGGAAAGGGGCCTCGTCTATGCCCTTGATATTCTCGAGGAAAAGCTGTGCGTCCCGACGGGACTCGTTGGAAGAGTAGGGACTGTGTATGACCTCGAGGGCTTGGTGGATCTGGGAGATGATGTCGGGGTTTCCGCCGTTGGTAGAAGCAGGATTCTGAGCCATGCCAGCTGCGCCATTGGGCGCTTGGCCGTCCATGGTAGGATCTGTCGGTCGCAGTACACCGGGATTTTCCAGCCTTGGAAGCTGCTTATCCAGCAGTTGACTTAATGCTGGTTCATACGTCGGACGTGGACTCGAGGGGGACTCGGCGACGGGGGGCAGGCGCGAGAAAAGATCGAAGTAGACGAGCTCGGTGAGGAATGCTGCCCAAGAAGTCGGGAGTAGAGTTAGCCACGGCTGTCGTCGAGTGGGAAAGAAAGGAAAAATGGACAAGATGGCACAATAAGTCTTACAGGACGTGGATATTCTTAGATGCAAGGACGTACCTGAAGTATGTATCTGCTATGAGGTCTTGCCCAAGAACAACCAAGGTCGTTTGTTCTGACCTCAATTCGGCGTCGAGGAAGGATACGAAAGGTAGAGCTGAGCGGCCGAAAGTTTGTCGGTGGGGAGAAAAGGAAGAGAGATTAAGGTAGATTGGGAATGGATAAGGTACGTAGATGCAAAAGCGAGTGTCGTCTTTCGGGGACCTGCGGAATCGTATCCGTGTAGCAGCCGGAGCAGAGGTAGAGGCAAAGACTAGCAATAGCAACGGCGGGAAGCAATTGTGATTTGCATCGTCAGAGGCAGACAGATAGTAAAGCTAAAGGTGAGAATTGTCGCGGCGGCGTGGCGGCGTCAAGGCTGGTAGGTAGGCACCTCAAGTAAGGTATATGGTGAGGTGAGGTGACCCACGGCAGGTACCTCCGTCCATCTGACCTGAGCGTTCCAAGGCTCCGAGTGGTTGCTGTCGGGGGCTCTGCTGTGCTGCTGCGCTGTCCCTAGCGGGGGGTGCTGTGCTGTTCGGGCCGGGGGGGGACCGTGTACCTGGGGCTGGGCTACTTCAAATCTACAGGTCCCAAGTGTCTACCTTACCTAACGCAATGGAACCCTGCGGTGCCATGCCTTGCTTGGATTACCTGCCCGACCTGGAGGCAAATGGAGGTTGACCTGGAAGGCCACACAGCGTGGTTTGTGCAGGTGAAGACGTATTTGGGGCCACCGATAGGCATCTGAGGAATTGCATTCGCAGGTGAACTTACCAGGTGAACAGGGGAGATGCGGAATGAACCTGCCACCCCACCTCAACTCAACTCACCTACCTGAGATAGTCTTTGTTATTCGCTTGATCCCTGCCAGGCATTGGACTCCAATTGTTTTACTAATCGACTCTCTTTCCATCTGTATAATGGTGCCTAGGTAAGGTAGTCTCTCTCCCATGCGACTTGCGTTATGGGAAGCTGTTCCCCTCTAGGTGTCCAGTCGGGCACCGAATATTAGGTAGACAGTCCAATAAGTTAAATAACTACTTCTATGGCCTGCAATAGGTTGCAAAAGGTAAGGTAGGTAGGTAGATGAGTACACTCTGGATACCTCCTCGTGGAACTTGGTTCTTCAATTTCGGCATCTTTTTGCTTTATCTACCTTACCTTGCCTTTCCAGTTAGCTTATCTAGCCTTGATGAATGCATACGGGTACCTGAAATACCCCGCCATTCGGCAAGTGAATGCATCTCCCCACCATCCAAACAAAACCACCTCCCCTTGCGAAAGAAGATGCGAAGCATTTTAGGACCCCCTATTACCGCAATGCATCATCCATTCATAAGGTATCTAGTAGGCGAACTGGTCTGCTCCAACAAGAAACCTCCCTGTCAGAAATTACATCAGCCTGGAATTATTATGCATGGATACTTGAGTCAAGCTCTCTCTGCAACTCGGCAACCCCCTGGTCCACTTAACCAGAATTTCAAACAAGATAGCAGCACTATTCTATCAGACATGAAAAGTCATCAAATTGTTTTAGGAGGAAGAAAGAAGAAACAGCCAAGGCATTATGGCTGAGCTGACCATACTCTCTGCTACCCGCCTATCCAGCTGACTGGTCTCGGGAAAACCAATGGAATGGTATTAATTTATTGTCGCAACGGTGCTCAACCGTCGCAACCACTTCCACAAGGTAAAGGTGACATGCAAACCAAAGGTGGCTTCTGCTTTTCTTTGCTTCCTCCCACATTCACCTAGGCCAATTCCACTTCCCACAGGCACAAGAGCTTGTCGTAGAAGCTCGTCGATACACATTCGAGACGCTTGCTTCCTGGCGCAGGTACAAGGTCGCTGCCGTAGTTCATGCTCTTGTGTTCCTCGAACCGGGCTAGGATAGTCACAGACCAGTCTTCGTTGCTAAGCGGACCTTCAAGTTCTACAACTCTTGCGCCGGCATGCATGCATGATGCCAAAACTCTCAGGCGGCATCGATCATTATAGAGATTCATGTCGATTAACTTGAGCCTCCATACGCCCCCTCCTAAGTCCTTCTCTGCAAGACATTTAAACTTCCGCATGCCATAAGTCTCGTGCAGCGGCTGCACGGAGAATACTCGTATGGTGTCGTCGTAACTACCCGTCACTAGTAGTCGCGAATTGTCTGCAAGTGCGACTGAGATCGGGAGAATAGCTGTCACGCCAGCACCATGGCCGGGGATATTAAGGGGTGCGTACAGAGCCTCGACATCACCATCATGGTCTGTGTGTTGGGTTTTGCGAGAGCATGATGTGTAGCGCAACGCCGAATCGTCTCCCCCCGAATAGAGGATAAAAGGCTCGCGTGAGGCGCCGTTTTCCTGGGAAGTGGGCTGATCGGATGGCGAGAAAGCAACAGTCCAAGCTTCAAGAGAATGCGTAATCACAGCTTCGGAGTCCTCTGCATCCACAATCTCCCATGAGTCATTGAGCCTTGCCATGCGCACCTCGCCTGATGAGGTTGTCAGCGCAATAGAGGCGGCGTCGTCGGGGTCCCAGACCCCAGAGAGGAAAAGAACGCCTTCCGGAACATCAGAGATCCTGCTAGTAGCCACGTGCTTCAATGGCTGTAAGTCATTGGCACCCGGGGCCAACTTAAAGATGGACAGTGTCCCCGTACTCGAAACTACAGCCAGAATGTCCTGTCGACCTGGCGATGGGCAGAAGTGCAGGTCAAGAATGGCAGATGGATGCAAGAGTGTTTGTACATGTTGCCTGAGGAAAAGTCAGCCAAAATTCAAACGAGGCACTTCTTCTTGTCTGCAAGCCAGAGACTTACGCAAGGCCGCCCACAAGCCGGTATAGAATCAAGCTACCATTCCGGCTCTGGGGCTTCTTGGGGGCAGCTACGTCTGCACTGTCTGACGACTCAACTCCTGCCTCCTCTTCCTTGACCAAGTTATAGGTGCCAACCACGAAATAAGACGGATACGATGAGCAAAACTCTACGCAGCTTGGGGGCAAATCGAGAATGAGAGACTGCTTCGATGCAATGAATGGGGCTGAGTCACCCATTGTGGGTTATGTGATGTTGTCTCCTCTTCCGGGCTGAAAAGAAAAGCTCGACGACCGATCCCGTACTTTGCGTGCGTGATGAAGATGTCGTTAGATGGGATTGTCTAACAAATAGATGCCATGCTGTATCATTTTCGGCAGCATCAAGCTCGTGGACCGGCGAATATGGGTGGGGGAAGTTGAAATTGACATTTGACGCGTGGTGCTTTCTGGAGTCGCCAAAAAGCTCTCGTAGGGGTGGCGGTATCGGCTGCGTGCCCCGGGGCAAGCGGAAGGATCCCGCAACTCCCGGCCCGGGATTGGCAGCTGCTAATCGGTTCGGAAGCTGCAATCCTTTCTCAAAATGACGGGGTATCAGGAGAATCCCTCCTTGTTCCAATTCGATAGATCCAAACTTTATCGATACTTTAACCCCACGCACCCAAGGGCATATGAGGAGGCCGTTGCCCACATATAGTCAACTCGTCCTAGTTGCCAAAGTCGTCGGTCACGCTTTATCTCGGGGGCGGTGCTTTCTTTTTCGTCCCCGATTTTACCAACGTACACCGCAATTTCCTCCCTGAGAGACACGACGCTTCCGTTGTACATATCATTTCTGCCTCGGTCCTTGTTGTCCCTGAGCCTTGCATTGGCCAAGATGGATTCTGATGAATCCGACTTCTACGGTTTGCATCGCTATGAAGGCGATTGGCATTAAGAAGCAAACTAATTTGTGCCTAGGTGACGACGAGATGGTCGGTGACCTCGAGTCTCGGGTCACAGCATTTGACATTTCCCAGTGGTGGGAAGAAACGAATGCCGCCTCGGTGGGCCGTAAAGTCAAGAAGGAGCCTCTTGACAGCACCAAACTTCACAACCCATACGCGGGCGTTCCCTATGCGTGGCAGTTGACGGAGACCGTTAATGACTTCCTTGATCGTCTCCCCCCCGAGACAACCGAGCACAGCGAGCATCTTCCGTGGATTTTTATTTGCAATCCGTACATTCACAGACAGGAGAAATTCAATTCCCAGAACCAGCGCAGCAGAGGCAACGAGGATGAAGCACCCGAGGAGGAGGGATCACGGCTCGATACTCTTGTTGAGGGAGGTACCGAGAGATTAGAGATCCTGCTCAACTACAAGCAAGGAGTCGAGAACACCAAAAAAACCAAGGCAGTACAGGCAAAATTAATGAAGCAAGAACAAGAGGATGCTACCCGAGATATCATGGGCCTCGCGCATATGTGTAAGATCAAGGCCGGCAAGGCAAGTGCTTATCTAAGCCCGCGCAATGCGCACAAAAGCTGAAGTCAATTACTAGTGGATGCTTTTCTATCAGCCTAAAGATGTAAACGAAGTCTGGAATATCATTGCGAGGGCCACGGCCAACAACGAGCTGGGTATTGCCGCAAAAGTCGCCCCTTGGAACCCATATACGGACCCGACCGGCCGGAAAGACCGGATCATTTGCGTGTATACGGCCAACTTCAGCGATATGACAGATGTCACACGGGTCTTGCGTCGGCTGAGAGAGCTGAAGCTTGTCGAGCTTATGGGACGTCCTATTTACTACAAACCAGGTTTGTGTAACACTCATATTGCTGAGAAAGGTTTGTAGTCTGACACGTCCAAGATGCGTTCACTTACCTCGGTATTGCTCACGGCAACCATTGGGGCATGAAAGCCTCAATTTACAGTTCCAAAGATGTGTTATCCTAGGCAATTCCCAACCATGCGGGCCCTGTATATCCCGGTAGAGGCTGATGATTCACCTTTTGACATTTTCTTTTGCAGCTATCGGCTTAGGAGGGCCGTATGGACCAGCACTCGGCCCAACGGTTGCATGCTGAATTGGCGCTTAATACTCAAGTTGAGAAGGCAGATTTCTTTTCATCTTTGCTCTTCTGATGTACACGAAATTTGATGTGTGACTCTGATAAGCCGTACTGTAGAGTACCGCTACGTGCCTATGCCACATGTGTAAATACGAACTGCGACATGCGCCCTGCCAAACCATGCCTCCGTACCTTTATACACCGCTCAACCGCCTATCAGAATCGACGCCATAATGAAAAAACAAGCCCGGTACCAGTGCCGCTGGTGATGCTATCATTTAACGGACTCAATGTCTCGGTTGAAATAGTGGCAATTCTTTGCCAACTCTTATGTAACCCTGCTGCGATCTTTCGGTGATTTCATGAACTGGCCAAGGTGGCCGTCTTCAAATAACGCCGCACATGTTTTCCATTATTCTTTTCGACTTGAGAAGCATATCTTCCCAGTCTTCTCTTAGTCATGGAGACTGGCCATCTGACTCCTCAAACACAGCATCTGGGTCGATAGGCTTGAGCAGCAGTACCAGCCTGTAGGCGCTATTGCCGTTGAGGTAGTACCGATGTAGCTTCTTCGAGCGCAAGAACCCTAGACGCTCGTATAGGCGCATGGCTTGTGTGTTGGTGTCTTCTGTCTCCAGAACCACTTCGTCTGCGTTCCTTAGGGCCATGGCATCGATGGCCCTCTTCACGAGTGCTGTCGCAATGCCTTTACCGCGATACGGCGAGGCCACGGCGAGCATGGCAATGTAGCCCCGGCGTGTTGGCGGTGAGTGAGACGAGTGAACTTCCAACTTGCAGATAATGACGCCAATGAGAGATCCATCGGTGGGGTTCAAGGTCTGAAGTAAAGTAAGCATCGGCGATGGCACCGAAGAGGGTACGCACCATAAAGCACAAATGGCCCCACTGTTGTAGAAAATATCGGTAGACGTATATGCTGTATGGCTCACTCAAGTCTTTTGCGATCAAAGAACGTATAGCAGGGAGATAATTCGCTTCCAGACCGTGCTCATACTGGATATACTGCAGATCCGCGGGGAAGTGGGTGACATTGGAGGCGTCCATGTTGCTGTCTGGCGAGACTCTCTGTTTTCAGGATGGTATCCGCTGGGAAGAGGTAAAAGAAAAGGAGATCAGTGAGAGGTTGCGGACAAGCCTAGACCGGCACGTGGAAAGGTCTCAAGGCATGACAATTTGGACAGCGCAAGGAGAAGCAAGAGTGAGGTCTTGGTTCCGAGACGAGGTGGATGAGAGAAAGTGCGAGCAAATAACCGGGTGGCCGTAGTGTGACGAGCGCTCGCTGTCGAGGAGGAATGCAAATGGCAGAGGCGCGGCTCTGCCGCAGCTGGTGATATGAGAAGATGCGGGATGTACGTTTGCAGTTGCAAGATGATGGGCTGCGGCGGCGGCGGCGAAGGAGACGGGTTGAATATCCCGCAGTCGGGTTTCTGTTTCTAGTCGGAGTCGGGGCGCTGCATTCAGGTCGATACCTAAAACTGAGTCGAGTTGTTTGGCTGCGGTACTTCAGGTCAGTCAGCTTCGCTCAGACCGTGCGGTGTCGTGTCCAGTGTCCAATCTGCAGAGTACGGTAGGCCCCGCCCGGTCAAGTCGGGCCCACCGTCCACATCCACTTCCCTGTCGGGTTCGGAGGTCAGTTGTGCGGGTAGGCCATTAAGTGGAGCCACCGAGCGGCCCATCGCCCATTACTGATCTATCAGGGAGCACTAAGGTTCCTTTTTCAGTCAGGCACGATCAATTCCCTTCACTGTCACATGTCAAACGGCCGCCCTCGTGCTACCTCGCCAGCCATCTCATTGGATATCTGCCATTAAGCAGGCTGCAGGCACCTGACATTTACCTGACTTATTGGACATATTGGGATCGCGGAAAAGTGAAATATCTTCCAGGTGAGGTAAGCATGTGGTAAGGTGAGGTGCATTCGGGTGAGGCCATGAAAGGCGGCGTATCACACTTGCCAGCGCGTCGATGCGTTGTAAGGCTTGAAACTTGGGTATTCCTGGCAAGACCTACCTAAGGTAGGTAGAACTTGCTTCATATCTACCCAATAGGTATAATGACAAGGCAACTAGTTGCCATGCCAAACTGCCATAGGCCCATCAATGTAAACCTCTTCCATTGCTAGGGTACCTGCCTCACTTCCCAATACCTCACTTCAAGAGAGGTCCGAGTAGTGGATGGTTTGACCGCTTTCGGAGCATTTCTGCGCGACAGGCAGGCATCGCCAATTAAATGAAAGACATCCATACATGCCTTGCCTGCTCTAGGTGCTATAAGATACTTGAGCACGCCGTGTGAATATTACAACACCCTTTAGGAAATCGCGTACTGTCTGTGCCTCCTAGGATATTATACCTAAATAACTCCTTTTTCTTAGAGAAAAAAGACGAATATGTACTTCATAAGTCTGGAATTATATAATAGGCTTTTTTGATGATTAAAATCGCTGGTGGTCAGTTATGTTACCTTATTATTCTTGCAGCTGGAATCTGAAAGGGGCGATATAATCTTCACACCGCATGTTGAGGTACTGACTGGTACTGTGAAGTAAGGCAGTATGAATTCAAGATGGAGACCTGTTTACAGCACGTCAGGTTGGCTGGGCCCCTCGGAGATTGACGTCACGTCGGACCGCACGGAGTCTACCAGCACTCATGCAGCCCTTTTTTTTTTTTGGCTCGTTCTTCGGCCGCCTCCAAGATCCCACCCTCCGAGCTCCGGACTCCTTAATTCTCAGTATTGCCCGGCCCAGCGCAGCTGAATCTCGCAAATCTCGGGGCTGTCTGTCAACCTTCGTTCCTCTTTCTGTCTTAGGTACGTTAATCAAGCTTTGCCTAGCTCTGGGCTTGCCTTCTTTCCCCCTTGCTCGCCGCTTAGCTCACCCCGTCCCCTCGCCCACGTGCCTCCCAATAAGTACCGGGCCAAACCCCCGGAGGATACCGCGGTGTACATTCTTCCCTCCCACTTCATCCCAAGCTCAGGTACACACCGCATGACCTTTGTTTTCCTTGACACAGCCTGGCCTCCTTCGGCTATTGCAATTTTGATTTCATGAGCTGACTTCGCGTTCCTAGCATCTCTGCGTGGTAACAGCCTTTGCGACCGCGACCATGTCTTCCTCGACTCTTAGGCGTCGAGCCATCCCCCCCGACACCCACGTTGATGGCGAGCCTGCAACACCTCGAGACGAAAGCCCCGAGAAATCCGAGACCACAGCTCACGTCGTCCAGCACGTAAAACCCAAGACACGGAAACGTCGGAATGGCGCCATCTTCCTACTTGGAAGCTTGTTCGGAATCATAGCCGCCGGCTTCTTCGCAAAAAGCAACGACCTAATAGATTTCCCTGAGCTTGGAGACCTCAGCATGGACAGCATTTTCGATGTTTTACCAGCCGGTTTGGTCAAGGATATGCGGGAGCTTGTGGTTAGTAATAATTTAGTTGCCATCGTTGATGGGCAAGCGTCACTTAGCTGGCTAGAGCTAACAAGACCGACCGCTTGTGAAGCAAGGCGAGCGGGAATTCGTCGATAGCTACGATGCCTTTTCCGTAGGTTTACAGGCCCGCGCCGAGGGCCTCCATGCCCATCATCCCATGATCATGGTCCCTGGCGTAATCTCAACCGGCCTTGAGTCGTGGGGCACAGCCAACGTTTCCCGTCAATACTTCCGCAAACGCCTCTGGGGTAGTTGGAGCATGATGCGCGCGCTGGTCCTGGACAAGGAAAACTGGAAGAAACATATCATGCTGGACCAGGACACCGGCCTTGATCCCCCTCATATCAAGTTACGAGCTGCTCAAGGCTTTGACGCAACTGACTTCTTCATCACCGGCTATTGGATCTGGAATAAAATTTTCGAAAATCTGGCATCTATAGGCTACGACCCGACTAATTCCTTCACCGCAGCCTATGATTGGCGTTTGGCGTACCCCAATCTCGAAGCCCGCGACCAGTACTTTTCGAGGCTTAAGTCTTACATTGAAACCGCGCATGCGTTTTCGGGCAAGAAAGCTGTTCTCGTGTCCCACAGCATGGGAGGGCAGGTCCTCTTCTACTTCTTCCACTGGGTCGCATCCGAGAGCGGTGGGCGGGGTGGCGACGACTGGGTCGAGCAGCACGTCGAGGCGTGGATCAACGTGAGTGGTTGCATGCTAGGCGCTGTCAAGGACTTGACGGCTGTCTTGTCAGGTGAAATGAGAGACACAGCTCAGCTCAACGCCTTTGCCGTGTACGGCCTCGAGAAGTTCTTGAGCAAAGATGAAAGAGCTCAGCTCTTCCGTGCGATGCCTGGCATTTCGTCTATGCTTCCCATCGGGGGAGATGCTGTTTGGGGTAATTCGACATGGGCTCCGGATGACAAGCCAGACCAGGAAGTGTCTTACGGCTCTCTCCTCAATTTCCGCAGCGGCATGAATTGGACTACTCCGGATCGGAATTTGACTGTCGAATCGGCTATGGACTACCTGTTCAACACGACCGAGGAGTGGTACTCGAGGAACGTGAAGGGAGCCTACTCTCATGGCGTGGCACACACCCAAGCCGAGGTTGATGCCAATGAAAAAGACCCCAACAAGTGGATCAACCCACTAGAAACACGTCTGCCGTTAGCACCGAGTCTCAAGATCTACTGCTTTTATGGCGTAGGCAAACCCACAGAGCGAGGCTATTACTACCGGTCACCAGAGATGCCAGCGGCTCTCACGAATCTGAACATCACGATTGATACGGCCCTCACGCAAGGAGAGGTGGATCACGGTGTCGTCATGGGAGAGGGCGACGGAACGGTGAACCTTCTCAGCACGGGATACATGTGTAACCGTGGGTGGAACTACAAGAGGTATAACCCAGCCGGGGTCAAAGTAACCGTTGTCGAGATGGAGCACGAACCCGAGCGATTCAACCCCCGCGGCGGGCCCAAGACGGCAGACCACGTGGATATCCTCGGGCGGCAACATCTGAACGAGCTCATCTTGAGGATTGCGGCAGGCAAGGGTAACACGATTACAGACTACGTTGTCAGCAACATTAAGGAGTACGCCGACAAGGTCAAAGTGTATGATAATGGCCAAAGACCCGTTGAAGAGCAGGATACATGGGAGGAGACTTTGGAAAAACTGGTCGGCAACAGTTCATGAGCGATCTGAGTAGAGGCGTTTGCGGCGCAAGGTCACCGAGGGTATTTGGAGCATTGGGGGTGGTTACAATACGGATATAATACCCTCTTATTCAATGAATTTCTCCATCTGTCAATTCCGCCTACCCTTTTTGTCTTAATAGGTACTAGGTGAATGAGGGACACGCTGCACATAGAGCTCGCAGCATAAGTATGAGTTATTAACATCAACGATATTGACAAGTGATGACTGCCCGTAGCGTGTACTCCAGAGACTTTCTGTTACACACGGACAAGTTTCCCTACCAGGCAGTATTTGAACGTGTGACGTAGTCGACCTCTGTTGGAACTCTGGGCAGTGCGGTGCTCTTACGGCAGAGATGCTAAGGCACGCAGCATTTGGTAAGGTTATGGGCAGAGTAAATGAACATTGGAATTTCATTCTCCATCTCCAGTTATTGTTGTATGGGACACTCAGGAGGTCACGATCATGAGGTTAAAAATTGACGGACATGGAGGGACATGAAGTCGCCTCCAATGGCTTTCACCGGGATCAAGTGACCGTTTGCGCTGTCGCCGGAACAGTGCCCGCCTGCAGTGGAAGCGCAGTCGGGTGAGGTGTCCATTAAGGGTACCTAGGTAGTGGGGTGTACAAAAAGCTCCCCTCACCTGGGCAGTCGCCGCCAACCACATGTCCTTCAGTTTTGCCGCTCCGCTGCCGCTACCGCTCTGTGGACCTTCTCAGTTACAGTATTCCACCCGTGGACCGTCCTTACCTCATCCAGCTCGGACCTGGACCCAGGCTGCCTAGGTGCCCTGACCCAACTAGGTACCTGAGGAGGGGGACCTTGTTGTCAAGCCATGTGGTGTATCAAATCCCAAGGAGTCGAAACTCCAGCCGGCTTCATCTTCATCCCACCGAATATCACTTCTCCTCCATCCATAGCAGTCGCTGTTCGCACTGCGCCGGTGATGCAGACCATTCCACCCACATTCTCGCGGTGGTTCTAGCATCATGGCTGAGTTCGACCTTTACGAGTCTCTCGAGACCAAGCATCAATTTTGGGAAGGTCAGCCGAGTTCGCCTCCATACCTTATTCAACCCCTCCTTCCTGTACCTTCCTCTCCCGCCCCGCTGCTCATGATGCCGTATTCTTTGTGATCTCTCAGGCCCTGCATTGCTGCATCGCAGACTGCGCGCATCGTGAGCTTCGTCGCTAACCAGAGTCTCATCGTCAACTACAGAGCTCGACGACGTCGTCACTACCCAATACCAGTCCCACGACTTAATCGACGAAACCCTTCGATCGTGGCTCTATCTTACTTCGAGGTTCAGAGACAAGTTCTCCGAAAATGAAGACGACGTCGCCGCCTGCTGCGAGAAGCTGCTACAATGCAAGCTATTCCAAGATAACAAGGACTACATCCGAACACAGATCATCTACAGCCTCCTCCAGGAGGACGAACCCCCGTCGCTGCACGCTATTGTGCTGTTCCTTCTGCTCGACGGCCATGCCGACGAGGCCTTATACTCCCGCATGATTGAGGAAGCATGCTTCCCTCGCCTCCTCGAGCTGATTAACGGTCGTAAAGAGCAGGATCTGAGGCTCCATCGCTTGCTTTTGGAGCTGATGTACGAAATGTCCCGGGTCGAAAGGTTGCGCACCGCCGACCTGCTGCAGGTCGACGACGGCTTTGTTGCATACCTCTTCCAGATAATCGAGGAGTTGTCTAACGATGTTCACGATCCATACCACTATCCAATCATCCGCGTGCTGGTACACATGCCCTCCTCATGCACCCTCCTGTCCGTCGCTGGCACTGACGCATATGGAAATAGTTGGTTCTTAACGAACAATATATGCTCGCATCTACCGACGTCGCCTCCGATCCTAGCTCACCCACTGCGCCCCTCACCAACAGGGTGATCAAGTGCCTTAGTCTTCACGGCGATTCGTTCCGCACATTCGGAGAGAACATCATTTTACTCTTAAATCGTGAAACTGAGACGTCTCTGCAACTCTTGATCCTGAAACTTCTTTATTTATTATTTACAACCAAAGCCACATACGAATACTTCTACACAAATGACCTCAAGGTCCTTCTCGACGTCATCATTCGGAACTTGATGGACTTGCCGGACGAAAAGATATCGCTTCGTCACACCTATCTTCGGGTTCTATACCCACTGCTGGCACACACGCAACTGAGTCACCCGCCGCACTACAAGCGTGATGAGGTGCTCAAGGTTTTGAGGATTCTGGGAGGCTACGGAAATTCTCATTTCGCCCCCGCGGACGAAACGACGGTGCGCTTGGTCGACAGAGTCTCCAAAGTCAAATGGCTTGTTGACCAGGAGGCTTCTGGCGAGGCAGAGGTGGCTCGGAAGTTCCTGGGCATCAGTCTCACACGATCGGACACAGCGAGCAGCGTTAGTGTCGTCGACGTCGCCGCCGTCATGGAGAAACCTGGCGTCATAACTCCGAGTCGCAAGGCTGAGGCAGACGCGGGACTCAAACAAGGAGAGGCAAAGGCCGGGGCAGGCGCTGTGCGGCCGAAGAAGCCGTTGCCCGAGGTACCGAAACACCGACATGGTGTTCCCGTCGGACCGACGACGACGTTGCATCTGAATGGACATAAGAAGATACCACCAAAAGCGCCGCCGCCGCGGCGGAGGACGAAGCTCCAACCTGTGGAACCCGTGGCGGACGATGCCACTATGCCAGAGGCTTGAAAGGAAGACGTGAGCTGGCCTGGTCCTGGCGGCCGGATCAAATGACGAAATGAATTGGGACAGGTGTTTCTCGATTTGACGACATGGGCTGGAGTTGAACTTGGAAACCTGAAGAGGCATAGCAATTGCGCAACGTTAAGGATGGCGTCGCGCGTTCGGATTACGATCATAGCATATCATGGCGTTTGGGTCCCCGAGGACTGCTACTCCCAGTCCAAAGACGGTATTACCGCCTCCTAGCAGCTGCAAATTTACACTTATTGAGTGGACGTGATGGATATCAAGATCAAGCAAGCGTGCGTTGGTAACCGTGCTCGCCATCAATATCTGTGCCAGATGAGCAAATTTTGGCCGGGTATTGTCAAAGAGGTAGATTGGGTTTAGGTTCGCTTCATCTCGAGGCAACATGAGATGAACGCTATGGGCCCGCTACCTCACGGCCTCAACTGAACCCTTAACCCAGAGGCAAATACTCAGCACATACGGCCACGGGGAAAGTACTTCTTCGACAACATTCAGGGTTCAACCTGAAATCGGGTTTCCGTGCTTGGATTTTCAGCAAAGAAGTATGGAGCTAACCGACACCGAGGAGGATCAGCTACGCGCTGCAGGCAAGACAGCGCGGAGTTTGGTCCAGCCCAATTAAAAACGACGACTCATAGGAGACAAGAAGCAAGTGCCCCTGCTCGGCAAAAAGCTCTTCATGACTTTAGGCAAGGACGAGTGAGATCGAGCGTAAGGTAGCATGCATACAGCTGCTGCTGCTACAGCAGCGGTTGGCATCATGCACACTTTGTGAGCGACCTCAAGACGTTCGTAACGCACAGCTTTGATTCGGCTGTCAGCATCTTGCTGAGGTTTCCAAAGCCAGCAAGCTCGGGGCCCGCTGTCCCTTTTTTGACTTCGGCGCGCCTGGAGGAGGGAGAAAATATGAAGCTTAGATTTCCAAGGCAAAAACAATGACATACAACACCAGGTATTCGCTGGTCGTCACCGACCCAACTACTAATCCGGCCCTCATTGGCTTGTCTAAGGGAGAGCGGACGGGATCCCGAGTTTTCCAATGGGTATGGTCGTATGTGCCAATGATAGGGAGTCTAATTGATTATACAGTGACAGGCTGTAAGAGAGCATCTGGCTTGTAGCGGTGGAACAACTGTGCCACAGAATGAGCAGTTGTCTGTCTTACCGGGCCCCTGGGCGAGGAGGATGCCACGCAACTCTCTGATGGGCTAGCATGGTGCTGATGTGTGTTGTTCGAGGTGCCTTGTACATTGTATTTGGGGATGACATCTGAGCCAACTCACTCGCCACCGTCGAGGTCAGCAACGGGCGAAGGGTGTGGTGAGTGCTAGACTGGGAAGCTTCCGTCAGCTCAAGAGGCATTGCTCGGGCAGGCCGATTTCCATCGGCCCCGGGGTTTGGGTTGTTTGCAGTAGTGTCGAAGAAAAATCGCTTGGCGGGGGGTGAGACGATCATGACCTGAATTAAGCTCGACTGGTGTGTGTGCTGCGGTTGGCACTGATTGGGTTATAGTTTCAAATTCAGCTGGAATGGTCCGGGTGTTTCTCTGGATTAGAGACAGGACGGCCCGGCCGGGTGGGACGGATGCGTCACGTCCTTGAAGTACTGTGGTAGAATACTGCGACTACTTTGGCTGCGGTCGCCATTGTGAAAGCGGAGGTTCGCTTATTAGTAGGTTGAACTGGGTTCGATTCCTACCGGCGCCAACTGGTGTTTTGGGCGTGGCTGGGGGTGGTCGTGGTGGCCGTGACAGCATCTCCCATGAAGATTTGATTTGACGCGGCAACTAGGAACGGGTTCGCGGATATCCGTCGAGCTACAAACAGGCAGGCCGCCGAGAGAGGAAGGGAGGGAGTCGGGATTGTCATTAGGGCGAGGTGGGAAGGAAACGGGTCCGGGTGTTGGTGGCCATGTTGCAGCGAATGTCACCTGTTGGCGGTTTTGGAGAGGGGCGGCTACGTCATTGACCGGGTCTGACGCGCAGCACCAGGAGCTTTCCTTGGCTTTCTTCTCATTTTTGCGACCAGTCTTGAAGGCAATGAGGGCAATGTCACCAAGTGTGAGTTGTATAGCCCAAGGTGAAGAAACCGCCTCATCCCATGTATGACTTGGGATGGTCAATCCCTCCATAACCGTGTGTGCATGTTGTCTTGAATGAAAAATGCAATGCTAAAGGGCATAGACGAGACAAGTGGGCAAAGGCGAGAAAGCTGTGTTGTGTTGGATTGGATTGATTGGTGACACGGTTCATGAGATGGATGCCCTTGGTGTTTCGTCCGAGGTAATCACGAGTCGCCTATCTACCATGCTTGCCAAGCTGGAGCCTACCTTAGAGGTCGCTGTAAGTTCGTAACTTCGTACGAATCCAATGTCTCACGGTGCTTTGCTACCTTACCTTACCTTACCTTACTTACCCAAGGTGCCTTAGGGCGGACGATCCCAATCCCCGAAGCAGACGCGCATTTCAGGGTCCAGCTGCGCTAGGTCGGCAACGGCACCCTGCACTGCTGGAGACGCAGGCCATGTCCGTGTTGCGACTTGCGGCTTGCCCACCCAGGTTCTTGCGGCGGCACCCGCACAGGGACAGTCACAAACATCAGATTCAGCGCAAAACTCGAGGGCCAGACACAAGACGGCGATGCACGTCGTTGATGACATGGGATGCCATTTTCGTACACTGCATCACATTGAGATACACAGCAACCTTGGAAGGCAGAGGGGAAAGGTGGAAAGGTGGAAAGGTAGAACTTGGAAATGGAAGCGCACATGGCCTACCCGGCACACCCCGCCCACCCCCCCTGTCTTGCGCTGTCTGTATCCGTCGATGCAATGCCCAGAGACTGCGATACCCCGGGTCAGGGTGGAAGCTGGCGTGCAAACACCCCAGGTCCAGGGAACCTGATTATCTGACTCTCGGGCTGTCTCCTACTCCTTCACGGTTCACCCTCGATCCTCGTTCCCCGTCTTCGCTCACTCCTGTCCAGTCCCGTCATGTCGAAAGATAACTTACCTTGGTATTCATAGCCTGCGCAACACCAACAAAACCCCCCCATCTTGCCCTTACAAACCTCAATCGTGGCAACTCTTTGCAGCTTTCTCCTTCTCCCTCTCACTAGGTTTTACCCTCTTTCCTTTTCTTCCTCTCTCTTTTCCTGCTGGCCAATTTCAAGCCTGCAGCACCTGACACGCTCCCGTCATCACCACCATCGCCCTACCTTGGAAGCAGCTAATTAGTAGTCGCGCAAATCACAAAGGTGCGCACCCAACCCCCGAGACACATCAGCATTCCACCGAACCAAATCGGTAGCCGCCACTACGACTCGAGCGCACTTATGACGACATTGGTCTGAGCCCACGAGTGCTCTCTCTTCTGCTATTGCGTCAAGCACACCGCAACTGGATACACTAACCACCCATCGATTATCGACCCGTCCGTCCCCCCTCCTTCGTCGCGCTAAAGCTGTCTAAAAAGTCACCAGCGACCCCTTTCCACGCCAGCCTCGCACTTGATATCTTGCGCTAGACTGATTCGTAGCTGTTGTCGAGATTAACACCGGCCTCTCGACGTGTCTCGGTCTCCCTGGTCGTCCCAAGAGCGCCAACAATGGCAGCCAGATCCCCGCCTCCGTCTACTCCCACACCAAAGCACATCACTGATCCCGATTCCTACAGGGAACCAGTTACACGAGACGTGGACAAAGCTGGCTATGGCGCCGCGGCCGACAAGAACTCAAATCGCACCTCGTCCTATTTCCCTCAACAACCACCTCAAGCCTCCTACTCCTCCTCTTCTCCCCACAATCCTCCTGCTTCCGGCGTCTCTACCTATCCCACTCACCATAACGCCGCTCCTCTGCGATATGACGGGGACCAAGAAACCCAATACAACACTCTAGCCAACTCCCAACCCGTCGACCAACAGACGCATCACTTTCCACAAGAGGGTGACGGTGCATACTACGATACCCCGAACACTGTTTTGAATTACGACAACAACAAGAACAACAACAATCTGGCCGTGCCCTCCGCTACCTCCCACGGCAAGTTTAAAGAGGAATGGGATGCAAGTCAGAGAGGAAGCAGTATCATTGACGGTTCCAACATGCCGCGGTCCAACTCGTTCGTCTCCAATAATGGGGACGACCACCTGAGTCTTCCCTCACGCCACAATACACTCAAGAAGAAGAACTCGCTGCGCAGAAACGGTAGTTTGAAGCGCAGCAGCAGTCGACGGAGCATGAAGGCTGGCAGCGTTCGCAGCCTGACTCTGCAGTCCTCCAACGACCCCGATGAGGTGCACAGCGCTTTCTATTGCCCTGTTCCAACATCTGGAAACCCAACCGAGGCCCTGGCCAATCGATTTCAGTGTAAGATCTTTGTGGTGCTAGGTCAGCCACCTGCACGCCAGAGGCTAACATGATGCTGTAGCTTGGCGCAAGATTCTCAAGGACCTCATAGCATACTATCGCGAGATTCAGACGCATTATGAGCACAAGTCCAAGTCGTTGGTGAAGCTGGCCAACGTTGCCAACAATATTTCCAGCCCTCCTGGTTTCCTTGACTCGGGAGGTATCGATGATGCGCTGCAAATATTGCGTGCTTACCACAAGGGCGCAATCCTGGAGTCAAATAAGGCCAAGGAGATTGAAGAGGACGTCATCCTAGCCCTCACTGGGCTGAGAAACGACCTCCACCAGAAGATCAAAGAGATCAAGAACCTCTCGGGCGATTTCAAGAATTCCGTAGAAAAGGAAATGGACAGTACCCGACGGGCTGTCAAGGCTCTGCACGATACCCTGGGTCAGACCGACCTCGACCCTTCGCTGACGACTGGGAAGCAAGATCCTTACCTCTTGCGGCTTGCGGTGGATCGACAAGTTGAGCGCCAAATCGACGAGGAGAACTACCTGCATCAGGCTTACCTGAACTTGGAGAACTCCGGCCGGGAGCTCGAAGCCATAGTGGTTGGCGAGATTCAGAAGGCTTACAATGCCTACGCCGGTATCCTCAAACGCGAGTCTGATGCTGCATACAGTGCCATTGAAGAGCTCCGCGTTGGCCCCATTTCCATGCCCAAGGACTTTGAGTGGTCGCATTTCGTTCAAAAGGACGACCAATTCGTGGACCCCAATATCCCAATACGTTCTGCCGAACACATCCACTATCCTGGCCGGGAGCACGTTGGGTGCCAGGAGATTCGTGCCGGATTACTCGAGCGCAAGAGCAAATATCTCAAAAGCTACACAGCTGGCTGGTGAGTGAATACCCACTTGCGACAGCGCCACCCTTAAGAACGCTCTACTGACACTTGCGGCGACAGGTATGTACTTTCATCGACTCATCTTCATGAATTCAAATCCGCGGACAAGGGTCAAGCACCCGTCATGTCTTTATATCTTCCAGAGCAAAAATTAGGTTCGCATTCCAGCGAGGGAGGATCATCCAATAAGTTTATCCTCAAGGGTCGCCAGACAGGATCAATGCATCGCGGACACACTTGGGTCTTCCGCGCCGAAAGCCATGATACAATGATGGCCTGGTACGAGGATATCAAGGTTCTCACCGAGAGGTCGCCGCAAGAGAGGAGCGATTTTGTTCGCGGCCACGTTCGAAGTCTGAGCCAGTCTTCGCAACGCTCCACTAGCAGCGATGGCGTTCTCGAAGATGACGACGACGACGAGCCGTACTCGGCCGACACAGCGGTCGCAGCCAGCACGAGCCCGAGACAAGATGTCCGCCGTCCCGAAGCAGGTGGGCGTTTCCCATCCGACATCCAGGTCAACGCACAGCGAGGCTTACAGGCACCTCTTTCACCATCTAGTGTAAGCTCCGGATTTGATACCTCTGACCGTGACGCCGCTGCGCAAGCACATGCTTTACCAGGCAGCATGCTCGGCGCCTATCACGCGCCAAACGAGCATCCGACAGGGTATGGCGGCACAGACCGTACTCCAATGGAAGAAATGCCCTCCCATGCCGCCGAGTTGTCCCAACAAGCTCAGGAGGATGGAGTGAACCCTTACACTAGCGAAACTATTCGCCGGTCACAATCCGCTAGCCGTGGACACCAGGAAGCGTACGTGCCTGCAGATGGGTTGCAGCGAGCACAGAGTCAACAGGGCATTGTGAGCAATCCAGCGGATGAGCTTAGACCTGTGTCCAATATTGGCTATGATCGTGGCCTCGAAACACCGGGCGGTAACAGTCAGTATGGGCAATGGATGAATGGCAACGGAAAACGCTCCCCGGGCCTTTCCAACAACGACATTGACCAGCAAGAGACGAGCGAATACTACGCGTCAGGTGAACGAAGTGGAGATCAGGTCAATGTGATTCCCATTGGTGTTGGCATGGCAAACGGTCATGCGCAGAGCAATGAGAGTGGCCAAAACAGATCATCTGGTGCTAACAAAGCTTCGACGCCTCTGAGCCAGGATGTGCCTCGTCAACAGCAACAGTTGCCTGTCATTCGGCCTACTTCTGGCACTTTCAGAACCGACAGCGTACCCACGATTTCCAACTTGCATATTCCAGGCGAATACCCCAAGGGCACTCCTGGAGTTGAAGCACGACGTTGAGGGGGAGATATGGAAAAAGGGATTAGAGCAAGGGAATGGCAGGGAAGGAAACTAACCTGGGCGTGGGACTAGGGCACCAGAACGAGAGATGGGTTTGACCATTTGCTATTCCATGCTATGTGATTGATCACAAGAACATGGGTTTCTTTTTGTTGAATTTCCTTCACTGTCCACTCGTGTGGCTGAAGAGAGAGAAGGGGGGAGAGAGCGTGTGTGTCTCTTTATGGGAGCAAGGCGCTGCAAGAAAAACGAGCTTGGCAATCCCCCTTTTCGTTCTGGAATTATTTCCTCTATTCATTTGGCGATTTCCAGAAAAATATAAATGACATCGGACTATTTTGGTACGCTTGATTTTCTTTAAACGTATCTGTAGTCACCAGATCTGCCCCTGGATTTTACGGCTATCACCAGAAGTACTGCTGCCGATATGACTGCCAGACCACCTAGACCCATCCCAAAATACTGGGCTCCTCGAAATCCAGATAGCTTGGCTGTGCTGTCTGGATTGACTTGGACCTCCACGGTCCTCGCCACGCCCATAGCTAGCGACATGGTGTAGCTTGACACGGCCGAAACCAGGCCGCTTGCAACTCCTCGCTGTCCCTCTGCCAGGCTTTGTCCGAGCAGGATGGTAGCGAGAGGGGTGGCCAAACCCAGTCCAAGCGGGGCGAGCAAGGTGCTCACGAATGTGTTTGCCCAATACGTTTGCCCGGGCGTTGCTGTTGCCATGAGGATGGGTGCTAGCAAAGTGGAGAGAGCGGCTACGAGGAAAGCCCAGTACACCTCTTCTCCGGGCATGAGATACGCCAGCAGCAGGCTCACGGCTAGAGCCTCGACGGCGACGGGTACGAAGCCTGCACTAGCAAGGAGTGGGTCCCATTCGCGCAGTACCTCGACGAGTTGAAAGCTGTAGAAGGTCCAGATGATGAAGCAGCCCCAGGTCGCTGCCGTGCAGCCTAGGATCAGATTCAGCCTCGAGGTCATGGCGCTCAACGGAAGCAAAGGATTCGCGGCGACAGTCTCGTTGTAGATGAATGCGGCAAATAACATGATGCCGATGATGAGGACGAAGTAAATGTACGGTGTACGCCAACCCACGGCTGGGGCCTCGTTCCACGCGAAACTGAATAAAGTGAGACCACTGCCGCCGAGGAGAATGCCAGATGCGTCGAGTTGGACCCAGATAGTATTGGTGGAAGGAATCTTCCGTCGGGGTTGCCGCGGCAGGATCAGAAGGCTGAGGCCTGCGGCAGAGATACAAACAGCCGCGAGGACGAAAAAGACCCATTCCCATGAATCATTGTAGGCGAAGAGAGACGACATGACTGCGCCGACTACGAAGCCCACGGGTGCGGCGACGCTGAACAGCGATAATGCCATATCTTTCTTCTGGCTCGGTGGCAGAGTCGTTTCGAGAATTGAAAAGCCGTTTGGTATGCATAGGGCCGGTCCGATCCCCTGCATAGCACGGCAGAAGCAGAAGTAGATGTTGCCGTTCCCACCGCCCTTCTGGACGTTGATAGAGAAGCCGGCGAGGAGGCTCCAGAGCGCAAACCAGATGCAGCCGATTATGATGACGGGCTTGCGGCCGTAGACATCACCCAGACGTTCAGACGGAAGGGCGAAAGCACCCAGTGTGAGTGTATAGGCTGCGGTAAACCACGAGTGTTGGCCACTTGGTGTATCTGCGAATGACTCGGCGATAATGAGGGCCGGTGCTATGGCCTGGGCGAGACTGGCAAACATGAGAACTTGGTACAGACTGACAACCGCCGCGAGAAAAGACTCTTTCGCAGGCGATAGCCGCTGCGGAGGTACCTCCCGGAGAAGAGGATCTGCCCGATGAGCCGTGCTTTGTGGGGCCCAGGAGAGGCGCTCCTCGTCATCAGGATACCTGAGTTTCTCGCCGGGTCTGTTGAGGGGCATTGCCTCCGCCGAGTATCCAATTCGTTGTGTAAACACTATCCTCCTGGCGGCTTCGAACAAGTCTGGGTACTCTGAAGGATGCTCGAGCGCCTCTGGACCCAACCCTCTCGGCAGTGTGGCGCCAGACATGGGATTCGCCAACGGCTCCAAGGTTGTTGGTCGTTGGGCATGTATTTTAGAGTCGTTATATGGATGCGTGGCGCCTGTAGTCGGATTTCGGGCAACGGACAACGGCCCTGGCATCATGTCCTGTGATACTGGCGTCGTGACTGGATCGCGAGAGGAGGTAGGTGACAGATGCACTACGGGGCCATGTCTTTGGGTGTCGAGTGCCGAAGGAGCTGTACTCGGCCGAGAATAGTGAGAGGTCGTCGGGCTCACCCCGTCGTCGTCGAGAATAGGGGAGACGAGAACCGGAGCCGAAGTCCGCCAGCCCAAGTTCCCAGGCCCGTTGGGGCCGAATGGCCTGCTATCGCTCGCGTGTTCCTCTCTAAACTGTTGTCGGAACGACTCCGTGACTGCTATCATCATATCCGCTACCCTCTGCATGGCCTCGTCGGCATTTCGTGTTTCCCATGCTGTCGTCAGTGTATGAGTGGTGGATTGTGAATATGAAATGCTCGAGTTGCTCATGCTGGTACGTATTAGAGATATACATCGGTGAAGACTGGGGAATGGTGAAGGATGGACACCCACTCTTCAACTGAATTCTATAATGGGGGCGGCGGCGCAATGCCGAAAACAAAGTAGTCAACTTCAAGCTTCGGACAGACGAAGTCGTGAGAACTACGAGTAACGCCAATACGGATAAAAGGAAGATGGAGGAAAGGGCAAGGAAATGAAGCAGAAGATGCCGATTGCTAGCCCAGATCAGGTGCGGATAAGTCTTGATGGATGAGCATTTGCTTGTAGGGGCCCGCAAAGCAGCCCCAAATACAGGCAACAGAGGACCTGGTAGAAAACGAGACAAATTCCTGAACTAGGCTGCCACACTGACAGACAATCCTTTTGGATTGCTTCAGAAATTGATGGACACAGAACTCTGGCCCTGTGGTGCCGTCCCATCTGACAACCTCCATCGGTGCGTCGGGACAGAATGCTAGCGCCTAGAATGCATAATTATGGAGGGCAAGTAATGACAAGAGACTCCAGTGGGCAGTTGGCAGATCGCCAAATGTACTCTGGATATTCGGGAAGGCTCTGACTGCCTTGGGGTATGTAAAGATGGACGACGTAGGGCTCCTGGTAAACGAGCAAGGCTGATGGGAAGGAGGATGGGGGATTGGCGCCAACGGTGTAAACCAGGATCCACTAGTTGAAGAACTGCGCCACCAGCAGAGATCCTTCATGAACGTCCCAGGTACGAATGAGACCGAACCCTTGATCTAGGTATTTCGAAGGGCGTCATTGCGTTGGCTGGTCTCGGATCAAAGTCAACTGTGTTTCCACGTCGAGCTGACGTGGGCGACGAAGCCTGTCCTGAAATCAGGTCAGGGCCTGAAGAGTCGTCAGAGAGATCTGAGGCGATACGAATTTGGGGCCCGAGTTGTGAGAAAGCCGAGTGACTGTGAGTAGAAGGACGAGGGAGAGAGAAAGAAGACATGGTGGCCCCGAGCCCGAGAGGAAACATGGCATTGTACTAAATCGTATTTCTATAGAGCGGTCAGTTTCTTCATCATTCATGTGCTTGGTTGCCCGTCTTCCCGATGGAATCACTGGAATGAAAGGCGCGTTGGATATTTTTGGAAATGACACCCCGTCAGAGACTCAGCCTCATTGCGGAAAGGCAAAGGCGGGGCTACGAAACCGCTTAGACTCTCCGTTTGGGGCCGGGTACCCAGGAACTAAGCCACTCTTCCTCTCATATCAACTTCTTTTCTTCTCTTTCTTAGTTTGGCGTCCAAATGCGCGGCAAATGCGGTAAGATCGTTGGAACTCGAAAAGGAGCATCGTCGAGAGTTGACGGCGCATATGCAAGCCAGGGAAATTACTCGTCTCTGCTCTTGACAACCTGATAGTCAGGTTCTCCACCTGTGTCGCAGGAAAACATATGCCGTTGTCTAGTTGTCATCAAACGTACAACGCGATCTGACCAGTAAACTTGTGTCTGTCTCGTCCGTTTGCTCTGATAGGACTCATCCTTCCTGTTTGCGCCATTCTTTGTGGTTGCATTGTAGAACTGGACGAGAAGAGGCAAGGCGGAGATATGTGACGAAGACCAGCCGTCACGGGACCGGCGAGTAAAGTGGCTGCCCTGACTTAAAGAGCATGACATTGGGCATCAGTTTTCCGTTGGCTCTCTTGCCCCCGCACAAATGAACAAGTCCAAGTACAAATTCAAGGCAAAACATGCGGCGTCTTGCTCGGCCGCGGCGCTTTTGAAACATAAATATTCCAAAACGATTTTCGAACACCCAAAAATGGCAACAAGACCATAACCGTTGCGCGCCGCCCTACACTCTCAATCAAGGCTTTTCTCTAATTTTTGGTTGACCACAGTGGATGATGTACATGTAGCCTCGAACCCCTATCGCCAGGCCCGATATGAAAGCAAAGCAAACCAGAACGCCAGAGTCGTAGTCCAACAGATGAAACCCTCCCCTACTCAGATCTTGAAGCTGATGTTTTCAGCCATGACCTACCGGCCTCCTCTGCTGAAGCCACCGCGACCACGGCCACCCCCGAAGCCACCGCCTCCTCTCGGCGCGCCGCCGCGACCGCCGAAACCGCCGCCACCGCGACCGCCTCCACGACCACCGAAACCACTGCCACCGCGGCCACCTCTGGGAGCACCTCCGCGGCCGCCAAAGCCACCACGGGGGCCGCCACGACCGCCTCTTGCCGGGCCACCGCGGCCTGCACGCTTGACCTTAGGCGCACCTGGGGGAGGTTTCGGCTTAGGCAGGAACTTCTCCAGCGGTAGGAGCTTCTCGGATCCGATGTAGAACTTGTCGCCCTCCTTGAAGGAAGTGGCCTGGATACCCTCGGAGGGCTTGATGGTGAAGTAAACCTGGTTGATGGGTCCAAGGACTTCGTCGACCTTGCCAACGGCAGTCTGTAGAATTGTTAACCAAATTCTTTTGTATCGAGATATAAATCGCCAAAGGACAGGTCGCACCTTGTTCTCGAGGAAGATCTGGGCATTGAAATGAGGGACTTTGGGGTTGATGCTCTCACAGATCATCTCGCCTTCACAGGCGTGCATGAACTTGCCCATCTCTAGACGGAAAATGACGGTTAGGATACTCTGGTGTAAAATACAGCGGGAAGGTAATGGACATACCAAGAATTGTTGCGGGCGGGCCCATGTCCCTATTCTGGAAGCCACCACGGCCTTTGAAGTCAGGTTAGCATTGTACTTCAGATTTCGTCACCAAGCATTTTTAATCTGCAGATGTAAGAGAATGAAGAAATGTCAAGTTATTTCGTACCTCCGAATCCGCCGCCGCCGCGACCACCAAAGCCACCACCGCCGCGACCGCGCGGAGCTCCTCGTCCGAATGACATGTTGATGTGTGGATTGGAGGTTATCGTTCGAAGCTGCTCCAGTACTTGTGCTTAATTCTGATCTTGAAAAAAAACGAAGCCAACGAGCAACCGATAGAAAATTTCCCAGCGACCCAAATTGTGGTGCAGGCCAATCGAGCTACCTCATTGGTCACGGCGGCCGGGTCGGAACAATCCCTTCCGGGTGACCCCGCCAAAATTTCCATCGGGGCGAGTGGCGGGGTGGTGGGTTTGGAAGGAGTGGGGGCCAGACACCACCACCAGAAGAAAGTCGCCCGAACACCTTGTTTGACTCACCGCACCTAGCCTTTGGCGGGGTTGCCTCGCTGTGTTTCGCCCAAATTTGTTGACACGAAAATCGACCTTGTTGTGCCTTCATCTCTCCAACCTCCACCCTTCCCTCGCCCATCCCGACCTCTCAATTGGACGACGTCATGGATTCTGCGAAGCAGGCCGTCGAGGCCGTCACCGAGGGTGTCAAAAAGGTCGCCCTCAACAAAGAAAAAGCCCCAAAGAAGGAGAAGAAGGTCAAGGATGCCGGCGATGCCTCGGCGGGACCCCTCGAGCTCAATCCTCCTCCCGATTTCCTCCAGAAGAGACTCGACCTTTTCGACAAGTTGAAGAAGGAATATGACGAAGAGCTCGCCAGCAGGCCACGCGAGGCCATCACCATCACCATGCCCGACGGCTCTGTGCGTCAAGGCACCAGCTACGAGACGACCCCTGGCGAAATTGCGAAGAGCATCTCTAACAGCCTGTACAAACGCACCGTTGTCGCAAGACTTGACGGCGACCAGAACCAGCTGTGGGACTTGGATCGACCACTGGAAAAGAGCTGCAAGTTGGAGCTGGTGAATTTTGACGACGAGCAGGGCAAGCAGGTCTTCTGGCACAGCTCTGCACACATTCTCGGCGAAGCTTGCGAGAGAAGATTTGGATGCTCTCTTTGCATCGGTCCTCCGGTCGATAACGGTTTTTACTACGAGATGGCGCTTCCCGGTGGCGCTTCAGTTCAGGCCAGCGACTGGAAGCCTCTCGAGTCTATTGTTGGATCGATCGTGAAGGAGAAGCAGAAATTCGAGCGTCTCGAGTTGACCAAGGAGCAGCTGCTGGAAATGTTCAGCTACAACAAGTATAAGCAGCACATCATCAACGACAAAATCCCCGATGGTACCAAGACCACCGTCTACCGTAACGGTCCTTTGATCGATCTCTGCCGTGGGCCCCACGTTCCCAGCACCGACCGTATCGAGGCTTTCAGCATCATGAAGAACAGTGCCTCCTACTTCCTCGGTAACCAGGAAAATGACTCACTGCAGCGAGTTTATGGCGTCAGTTTTCCTAGCAAAAAGGAGCTGGCTGCGCACAAGAAGTGGCTTGAGGAAGCAGCTGCCAGGGATCACCGCAAGTTGGGCCAGGACCAGCAACTCTTCTTCTTTCACGAGCTCTCCCCCGGTAGTGCCATGTGGCTGCCCCACGGTGCGCGTATCTACAACACCCTTCTGGCTTACATTAAGGAGCAATATTTCAAGCGCGATTACCACGAAGTTATCTCCCCCAACATGTACAATGCTGAACTATGGAAGATCAGCGGCCACTGGGATCACTACAAGGATGACATGTTCGTCCTCGATGTCGACAAGGAAAAGTTCGGCCTGAAGCCCATGAACTGCCCTGGTCACTGCCTCATGTTTGCTCACACCCCCAAGGCGTACCACCAGCTGCCGTGGCGTGTTGCAGACTTTGGTGTCCTCCACCGCAACGAGGCCAGCGGTGCCTTGTCCGGCCTCACCCGCGTGCGCAGATTCCAGCAGGACGACGCGCATATTTTCTGCAGAGAAGATCAAATTAAGTCTGAGATTAGCGGATTGTTTGACTTCCTCCGCGAGATGTATGGCCTGCTTGGTTTCACCTTCAAGCTCCGTCTCTCCACTCGTCCAGAGAAGTATCTGGGAGAGCTTGAGACATGGAACAGGGCGGAGGATATGCTGAAGCAAGCGCTGGACGAGTTCGCCACCACAGATGGCGGCGTGCCGTGGACTCTGAACGAGGGAGATGGCGCCTTCTACGGTCCCAAGATTGACATCAAGATCATGGACGTCTTGAACCGCGAGTGGCAGTGTGCCACCATTCAGCTGGACTTCCAGCTTCCTCAGAGCTTTGGTCTCGAGTACGTATCAGCAGAAGTTAACACCAAGCCCAAAGAAGAGGACGCTCCTGCTGCTCCCAAGGTCCCCGAGTTCAAGGCCAAGGACCCTCAAGCCATCATTGACTCGGCTGCCGGCACAGGCGAAGAGAAGGAAAGGAAACGCGTCATCAAGCCTTTGACAAACGGCTGCCAGCGCCCCGTTATCATCCACCGTGCCATGGCTGGTTCCATCGAGAGATTCACAGGTAAGAGTTGTAGATGGTGTGCCACTTTGCCATCGCTAACAACGGTATCCCAGGTATCCTGATCGAGCACTTCGCCGGGAAGTGGCCCTTCTGGCTCAGCCCTAGGCAAATCATGGTCATCCCAGTGGGCAAAGGCTTCGTCGAGTACGCCGAGGAGGTCCAAGCTACCTTCAAGAAGCAGGGCATGTGGGTGTATGTCGTCTCCCGCTCCCTGTATTTGATTAGAATGATTTCGCTGATCTGTCCTCTTTAGTGATGTTGACCTGACCGGCAATACTCTGCCTAAGAAGATTCGCAGCGCTCAGTTGAGGTACGTAAAATGACCTGCGTTGTTATTTGCCGGAAATCAAGGCTAATTTGCGTAGCCAATACAACTTCATCTTCGTTGTGGGCGATGAGGAAATGAAGAACAAGCAGGTCAACATCCGCTACCGTGACGACACTTCGAGCCAGGACCGTGGCAAGCCTGTTGACGTCTCCGAGGCTGTTGAAAAGATCAAGAAGTTGCGCGAGGAGCGCGGCACCTACAACCCATTTCCCTCCGTGGTAAAACCTAAGGAGGACAAGGCATAAACGCAAGGACGGAACATGCTTTTTCATTAGAGGTGAATTTTGAAGATGGTGTTAAGGGGGGTGACGAAACATTTTGCAATTTGTAGCCCAGATTAGAGGCGCAAATAGCATACATGGATGAGGGGAAACAAAACACAAAGTCTTGAGTTTCGGATGATGCCAATTGACGATAGAGTGACAATGGAAGCAGACATGTAAGAAATGGGGTATCATGAGTATTGTATGTTTGCGCGCGCGCGCTTATATGTGTACCTTTCTGTTACAAACTTTTCCTCTGTGGACTAAATGACTGATTGATCCTGTTCCGTGGTCTTCACCTCTGGCATCGCCTTGCGCAATGCGGCGAAAGGCTAGCTCTTTGCCCTGTCGCTTGTTTTCGCTGCAGACAGATTCTACCATCCACCTCTCCTTTTTCTTTTCTGAAACCATGTCGGAAGCGCAAGCGGGTCCCCAGCCAGGATAGAGCTTACTGGAGGCCATGCGTGATGGCAATCAGTGGGAGAGCTACTTCAAGGCTTGGGAATGTGAATGCTCTTGCTGGTCATGAGACATCCGTGCAGTACAAACACAAGAGCGATAGGGTGGAACTCCAGCGCAGTTCCCGGCAGCCATGTTCCGAGAGGAAGGTCTTGTAGGATCCAACGCTGAGACACTAGATACGCCATTACAGCGTCAAGGCCAAGACTAGTGGGGATTGGAGTGCCTTCGAAGTATTTGCTTTTCCCAGTCGCGTCCTTGGGTAGAGCGGAGACAGTTACGTTGAAGCGAGCGAGGCGAGTAAGACCGCAGAGGACGAAAAAAGTCAAGCAGACGTGATCGATGGGCGTGCGTAAGCCTACGGCGAAGGCTACCGAGGCAGGAGCAACGCCGAAAGATATCTGCGTCACAGGTTAGATTGGCTTTAAGTTGCTTATTTCAGGGTAATGTCAAAGAGACTCTTGCGATGTTTGTCTAGATTCACAGACGTAGGCCGTCGATGCTAGATGCAAGAAACGACTCCAATTAAGACGTACCAGGTCAGCCAGAGAATCAAGTTCTTGGCCCATCATGCTGCTCTTCTTTCTCCACCGAGCAACTTTGCCATCCATGAAGTCGAAGAACAGACCGAATGGCAGAAAGAAGAGAGCGAGGTACAGCGTGCTGACGGATGAAGGGTCGCCGAGACAATAGCGCAAAGAGGTGAAAATTGACATGACACCACATGCTCCTGTTCCATCGAAGGTCAGCAGTGCTCTTTCCGTTGGACATTGTGTATGCTCCTCGGAGGTTGCAGTGCATCCGATTTTAGAAGACGCTTGTCATCTACAACAATGTGCGGGAGAGGTTCGGGAAATCTAGGACCGCACCATTACAAAGGGTGATTGCGTCGGCGAGGTGGAGAGCGCGGATCAGCGAAAAGTGGCCAGTGTCGGCCGAAAGAAGAAGCTTCTGTTTATCGTAGGCTATGATGAAAGTGAGGGATCAGCTTAGGGCACATCTAGAGGGAGAGGGGGCGTGTGCAACGCACTGGGCTCGGCGAAGCTATCGGCAGCATCTTTGGCTGCCTTGCCATTGATGGTTGCGTTGCTCGTCCGCTTCGACATGGTTGGGGTGGTCTCTGGAGCTGTATAAAGACGCCGTCGTGGGAGAGCTATTGTTTGGCCGGTTAGCTTCGCACTTTTTTCCTGGACCTTTTGGAAATCTCGATAGTGGGCGTGGATGGGACGAAGCAAAGACGTTGTGGAGGGAGAGACGAGAGGTTGAGAGGAGCGAGCTAGTTTTTGTACACTGCAGTTTGGCTGAGTGGGAGGCAGGTGTAGGAAGAAATGCGAATGGAAGTGCTGGGCAGGTAAGGCAGGTGTGAGGTAAGTCGGTCACACTCTTCCGCCTCAAAAGCCAACTAGGATAGCTGGGGAAGGCACATGCCGTCATAGCCCTGTCGTTCTAGACCTGAAGACGACTAGCGGGGAAGCTGGCCAAGCTCACGAGGTTCTGTGCACGTGATTTCCAGTAAGGCAGTCTCGGCACCACGGTGGCATCAGGCACCCAAAACACCTTGAGAAGCTTGGGTAGAGTCGCAGGTCATACATGTAGATACCTACATCTCCTTTAGGTGACGATCTACTTATCTAAGGCAAGTCAGATGTGACAGGAAGGAACAAAAATATAAAAGTGACCACCTTGGGTGGTGATTAGACATTATGATACCTGGGTATTTCCCATCAAAAAGGAACATGCCAGTGGCCAATACCTCATCCTGTACTCACCGATCCTGTCTAGCTAGCTCCATCGGCCATCTTTCCAAGTCAAACATCCCCTTTTCCGCGCATCGGTGCAACCAGCCATAGGCGTTTCTTGCACCACAGTGAATAATACGATTTATCCGGTGCCTGCATTGACAGCGCTGGTACAGATGTCCGAGCTTCGCATTTGTAGCCATGTATTCGTTGCGTGTATTATTTACAACGAGAAAGCAGATCAATTCTTCGTCTGCCGTGGAAACCACTTCTCTCGCCCGTTGCGTCATAGTGGCTAGCCAGCCAAATTCGCTATGTCCTAGAGCCTTGTTCGTCTCCAAGGCGTCTGACTTGCCACTAATTCCACGTCCAGTAACCCCCCCGTGTTGATGCTCGCTAACCAAAAATAAGGTGCCACAGCTTTGGGTGTAACATTCCAGAACAAGGCGTGCGTCGCCTGGACATGGTGTCAAAGACGTGCGAATTCAACCAGTGGTCTTGATCAAGCCAGTAAACCACACCGCATAGATGATGGTAATGATCCTCCTATCCCTCCTCCTGTTTCGTAAGTATCCTTTAGGTTTATCTTAAGCTGTCGGTCGCAAGAATGACAGGAACGCCTCTGACTTCCTTTATCGAACAATGAGGATCGAGAATCCGTCGACCCAGGCAGCACAAGAGCCTGCCACACCGCAAATGGTATATCCTCTCGGGGGTATTAAAGTATGTCTACCAGATCATCAGTCAGAGTCGGCACTTAATTAACAAAGCCGTCTTAGCTTACGTAGATCCGCCCTGAGCATTGCCGAATATAGGCGACCGTCTACCCAGGCTTGTGAGTACCTGGATTGCATCAATCCAAGAACCCGACCGGACATGAAAGCCCGAGATATATTCACCCCGGCGAATGTCTGTTGGATATTCGTTAGTCTTGGTGGTTCATGGGCTCTGAAAGAGAGGACGCACCAAAATCGAAGACATCGCCGCCCTCCTTGCCTCCTCTCTTCCCAAATAACTGCGTGGAGTCGTCATCGTATACAAACTCCATGCCGTCCACTGCGTATCCGTGGTAAAAAATAATTCGGGAAAGCACCCGGTTCTGTTTTCCGCCGCTCTCAAAAATGACCTCCTGAGGTTCGGTGCCCTCCATAGCCGAGTTCCCCAGGGGCTTCCCTCGGTAAGCTGTCTTGCCGAGCGGACCAGGGGTTAGCTTGAATGAAGACTCTTTGGAACATAGCTTCTTGAAGTCATCGATATCCAAGGTACCTCCGCCGTGCGATTTCACTGACACCCTAAGCCGTCCCTTCCGCTTGTTCTCTGGGAGCTTCTCGCGTAACTCGCGGTCATTCAAAGTCAGTTGACGTTGCACCGAGCTGTTCTCGATGGGATGCTCTATCCATTTTCGGCAGAGATCATCGTCCTCAGCGAATAGCTCGATGAATGCGATTCCGGTCGCTGCCATCACAACCACATTTCCGCTCTCGACTGGGAAAGCGTGGACACTGTCGTCAGCGTTCATCGGAGGGTCGTTCGGTAACCTGAAGCAGGGATGGGTGCGGAAACGTAAGCAGTCCAAACGATGCCAACCGCACTCGTCGTCTTGAAGAACCAGCCCCCCCTTGGACTTGGTCCTGGTGCAAAATGCCTCGCGGGTGACGAAGCTGCGGTTCAGTGTTAAGTAGTCGCGGAGCATTACCCCGGCTTCCTGGTGAGGACATCCGAAAAGGTGACCTGTCTCATGTAAATGCGCACCAATTCCGATATTGGCTGCCTCCCAAGAGCTACCAGCCTGGTTGCAGTCATTGGCCACGTAGGCAACGTCAGTCGGTGTGCAATCCGTGAATGCAGGGACGACTTCTTCGAAACTCGTGGGGTAGCTTTGCAAGCAGTGGGATCCGAAAATGGCCAAGTGCAAGTCGCCTGCATTTCCACCGAGTGCCGCATGCCCCCTTATAACATTGGCCTCCTTATCCCACTGCGTATCCAACATCAACACGGAAACGTATTGCTTCTGGCCGTCTAGTGGTCTGAAGTATTCTTTAACCGCTTCGGCAGCTATTCCGTATAGGTCCCCCTTCTTGCTCGCCTGTGCGTTCTGTTGGGCCAGCTCAAGATCTCGGATCTCGGCGACCGTCTTGTCCGATCTGATGATGTGGATTCTGGCCTCGGAGCGTAGATTTCCGTTTTCACGATCCCGCTGGTTCGATGTGCCGGCGGTCCATTCCTCCTCAAATCTGAAGACACGGCGTCCAAGCTTGTTCCGCCACATTTGCTCAGCTGTGAAGGCTTGCCAGAGGTAGGCGGCCATGCGGAATTTGCGAACTGCCGTCTCCAATCCGTTGCCCTCTCGCTCGATTCTTGTGGGGACGGCATCGAAAGTCTCGGGAGAATCCTTGGCGACGACAATAGCGAGTTGCAGCGGGGGTGCATTGTTCGCTGGCAACATGTGTATCGTCAAGTAGGATGCGTGGATCGGATTAGAGGACGAGCTGTTCGGCAACTTTGGACTTGAGAAGTCGAAGCGGATTTTATTGGGGCCTGGCTGTAGGTAGACGAGGGCTTTGAAATGAGAGCTGCATGCGGGCCAACATGTTGGTGGAAAGTTGTCGTCGAGGCGTGTGACCGACAGCGTGCCGTCAAGAGAGTGCTGCAAGGGATCGCCAATTGTGCCGTGTACGAGGAGAACTTTTTGGTAGACCTTGCCAAACGTTAGCAGAGCGCTCGGAAGCTGCAACTAGCAGTCGGTGACGGCGATTGCGGACGTCTGTGGCTAATTGTCTGAGCGAAAGCTCGAGCCGCTGAAAACATGATGTAGAAGTCAAGATAACACCACACCGGGCCACGTCCCGTACATATCGTTCAGTTCACTTACCCAGGCATTGTCGGTTATGTTTGCGATTCGCGGCGCGTATTGAGAAATTGGCAACGCCGACTTACCGCCCACAACAGGTGAGCCAAGGCCAGCCATACCAGACACGCTGTGCCGGTGGGAATTGGGTACGCTTTGTAGCGGCGGACGAGCTTGAGGATGACTGGAGTCCTTCACTTGGAGATCGAGAGCAGGGTCGGAGGCTTGAGCGAGGGATGGTGGGGTCGAGGCACCGCTTGTGGCAGTTGGGGTGGTTGTGTTGCTGGCATCGCTAGAAACGTCGGTGTTTGAGCGGTCGGTCTTGAAGCTGGCTTTTGAACGACGCCGAAGTCCTCTGAAATTGAGAATAGACGGAGCCATTGTGCTTCTTCGTCGAGGGTGCAATAGCTTGACCTCAAACAGGTGAAAGCCTCAGCAGGAGATGTTCTGGCATGTACAGCGCACGAGAAGAACAAATCATGCGAGCTAGAAGAGGAGTCGGGCTCGGGTCCAACGGTTAGGAAGAGCAGGAAACTGATTTGGCTTTGTCTGGATGAGCAGAGGAAGTTAGGTTATTGAGGACAGGTAGAATCCCAGGCGCAATAGAACCCAGACCGGGGGGGGAGGGGCGTGGTCTTCGAATCGGGTCACTGATCAGCGAGTGGCATCTGCAACGAGGCAGTGTATCTGATGCGAGGTGGACGACGTTGGAAAGTAAGGTACCGACGTGTACAGATACACGGGTAGTAAACGGTTCGGAGGGTCTAGGGGTGCGGGTGCAATGAAGGACAATTGACAAGCAGCATATGCGAGAAGTAGAATCAGCAACGCAGCAAAAGAGCAAGCAAGACAGAAACAAGAAAAAGGGCGCGAGCGTCTGCAGGGAAGGTATGGGAGCAGACCGAGGATGGGATGCGAGGATGGGATGAGAGATGGGATGATGGGGGGAAGGAACTCCGGAGGTGACGAAAAATAAAAAAGGTGTCCAACAAGTGTGCAATCAATATGCAATGTTCAAGGTCCGGACGCTTGCTCCAGAAGGAGTGAGGTGTGGTCCAATGTCCGCGTCCGCGTCCACGTCCACGGCCACGTCCACCCTTCACGTCTCACGGCCCGGCCTGACAAGCGTATCCGTAGTTTGATCCCGTCTCCATTTGAGCGCCGACAGATCCAGGTAGACATGGGGTGAAATCCAGATTTGCGCGCCTGAATGAGGAACAGACAGACAGCATGGGTAGCATAGCACGAGCGCATTTGAAAATTGATGTGCAGCGGGATGGCAGGACCTATGTCCAGATTTGCATGTGTATTCGTACATTTGCATTAAACAAAAAGTCTGCTGCTTAGCAGATAACCGGCAGCAATTCGTCGATGACGTTACTGTGCTTCGAAAGTGGGAAACAGAAGTACGAATTGAGATTGCGACCAGGGATCTGGTTAACCGGGAGGGTGGAGTCAAAAACAAAACTGGGCAAGGAGGCGGGCTCAACCGTCTCGACCGACTCCTAAGAGATAAGGTAACGAGTCGCCATTGTGTCTAACACGGCACCTGGGAATGCTGGAGCTTGATACCTATTTTCAGGTAAATACGGATAATCAGGAACGTGCTTGATATTCAGCTATCTACCTTACCATACCTAAGGTAACATATGCAAAGTCACTACAGAGTACGGAGCACCTGCCGCTCATCTCTCCCATCTTTCTCTCTACCATGTCGTTCTCTGTTCGACTTCCAATGGGATTTGTATTCGCAGGTTAGCGTCATGGTCTTCGTCAACACCACGCAGCCGAGTGCGGCTAGTAAGAGACCAATAGGTAGTCCGTAAGGTGTCGGTATCCGCAGATACCGTAAGGTACTTCGCACTAAGTTACCTTGGCGTGAGCTGGACAGAAACAACTCCTCCAGAAAGTCTGCCAGGCAAAGCAGGTTTCCGAACCTGACAGTGGCTGACTGAGTGGAGGGTGTGGCTGGACCGGGCCCGCTATCAGCATGGGCGGGCGCCATAGGGGCTGTGAGGGGTGTGCACTGGACAGTAGGCACCGAGCACTGAGCACTTGGGTGAGGTGGGTACCGAACCGGCGGGTCCACCTGTCCAAATGGAAAGGTGTGATCGAGATGAGGAATTCAGTCACAATTCGGTCATCGCTCACCAGTCGTCAACTTGTTGCTTCCTTTGCGCAGGGCCGCAGGTACCTCGAGCCTAGAGCTAAGGCAAGTTCGCAAGCCAACGTAGGTAAGTCGGTAGTAAGTTGGGTGTTGGAACTCAAAGGCAAGCACCAAGCTGCCTGGGTCTTATCTGGGGTCGATGGTCAATACTTGTTTGACTACCTTACCCGACCAACGCGTTCGGATCTTATCATCGCGGTGGCTGCATGTCCGCTGCCCGCAGACAGACTTGGCAGACAACTGGGGAGTTTGCGTCCTGTCCTCTGTTCCACCCACCTTCCATGTTTGCAGACGCCACCACTCAGCAGCCAGTAACACGGACACGAATTTCTCCAGGCAAAGACGTGCATCCGTATTTTGACTTTCATCTATTCCTTACTTTACCACAATCAAATCCGTTTGAAGGCCATCAACGGCACACTAGCAAAGACTTGACTCATCGGGTGGGTGCCTTGAAATGCCCACTGGCTGTGCCGATTTCCATCAACTCTCGGTCCCGGCTTTCACGGAGCCTGTTGGTGTTGCGAGCCGTAGCCCGCTGATCTTTTATTTTTGGCCAAAGTGGGCAACATGGAAGAAAAAAAAGTGGCCATGCTTCTCCAGAAACCGGTTGAGAGACCAACCAGCGAGTCCCTTCTACTGAGGATGCGAACTATGTTGGCAATGTTCACTTGTTAGGTGCGTGCTAGGCAATTCGTACTTCCTCCCTGCAGCACCTAGGAATTAGAATTGGGCAAGGTGTTATCCTGTACAATAGTACGGATAACGTCGCCGAATGGGAAGCGGTAAGATTGGTGGAGATTTTTCGATATGTATCTATCTTACTTATTCGTATATCCGTATCCATAAAGGTCCACAAGCATGCTGCATAAAATACTGCATCTTACGTGATCTGAGTAGCTCACGAAGCACATGAATCCGACGTGCGGTTTAATCACCAACCGCATCGTCCGCCAGACAACACGTCCGACCTTATCATCAGGAATGCCCTCTTCCCAGTTGATTCTCTGCAGGTGAAACGCGGATACGTGCTGAGCGGTCGATGAACGTCTTGACTGACTTGTTTTCTAAAATCCCGGCTGGAGGAAAGGAAACGATGGTGAGCTGGCGAGCTTCTCGCCGTGCTCTATTATCGGCATTCAACGCACCTTAGTAAGTTGGTTGTATCCATTGCCCAACAGACCACGCACGCGCGCACGCACGCAACTTGGTGTCGCAAATTGGGTGGCAGGGAGAGGCCGATGAACAATAAGCTAGCTAAGGTAAGTTGGCGATGACAGGGGTGTTAATTGATTTTCCCTTCCCCCCCCCGGACTCCTGGAGCAATGGGGAAATGACCACCTACCTACCATCCGTAGCGCACTAGAGGCTGCCCGCTTCGGCACATGGGCGCCTCTCTTGCATGCGTTGCCCGCATGTGTGATTGGTAGACAACTGCCCTGCCAACGGTATCGAGGACAGGATAGACTCTCCTCAAAATGCTGGACACCCTCATGCCCAACCGGGTCTGGAATGCAACAAAGCTTTGGGTGACATTCATTCCAGTGATCACGGTGTACTCGTACAGCCGGTGGCGACTTCCAAGTCTTCCGTATTATTCGTGCAGTAGTGGTCAAACGAGCTGAGGGCGAAGAAAGGAAACGCGAGAAGGATACCTGAGTAAAGGTAGAAAAGACTCTCAGTCTCGGTCTTTCAAGCCGTTGAACTTGATTGCGCGCTACATGGTGCCACTGGGCCTTGGGAAGGGCGTCGTTCATATGCAGCCTTGAGATGAGCCGAGATGCGCAGAGTTGCGAGTATCGATTCGGTTGGCGACGTTTCTCAATCAGTCAGGAACCTGAATGTAACGCCAGGAAAGTAAGGAGGACGAACCAGGCCGCCAAAGTTCGTCGCCATCACGATGGTTGGCCCCGCCCTCGCCTCAGTTGCCGTGACAAGTGCAAGTTAGATGAGCAAACCTGTCACCCGCTTGTGGAAAGGCTTCCCTGACTCCCTGATCCGCGCGCTCGTCTCTAGGTAGGTACTTAAATTCTCCCACCTACCTTGCCCGGGCCTGGACAACGAGCAGCCAGTAAGGATACATTAGCTCACCATTAGATGCCCTGACCTACCTGAAGCCCCAAAGCACTACCTAGAAGTCCGGGTGACATATCGAAAAAGCACTCAACTCGCCAGAGGTGGCAGGGAGTTTGGAGGTGGCAGATTGGCAGATTAGCAGTATCCCCTGCACCCGGGGTTTGGCGCCTCGCGTCGTTTCCATGTCAATGGGACGGGAAACTCGGGTTCTCAGAGGGGCCTGACGGCAGGTGGTCCACGAGTCCGGTTGGCCTGAGAGCCCTGCCCTGGGCTGTGAATTTTGCTTCCCACCTCGGTCCTCCAGGCTCTGTCCGCTGAGACCGGGCCACTCACTGTGCTGCATTTGCCAGCTGACCCGACGGAAACACCATCCAATCCGAACTTCCTCTTTCTTCCTCTTCCTCCTCCACCGCAAAACCTCGACGCCGCCATACATGACTTCGAATCGGAAAAATTTCCTGCTCACTCCCTACCTTTACCCCTTGAAGATACACGCTCTCTCTGCACCTTTTCTTCTGTTGTTGCTGCACACACTCCCTCCTCCCACGCATTCCAGAAGAACGATTCAACCCCTCAATCACCATTCCTTTGACCGTTGGTTGCTACGGCTCCTCACGGTCTCACCCCTAGGTCAACGATCAGGCCTTTCGACCTCCCATTACCCAGCATCCCCCCCCTCTGGCCTTGGCCATCGCAGGCGGCGACCGAAATTTTCAGGGCTACGACAACTCGTTTCTTTAGTTTCCGCCCTCGGCTCGCATTGGACAAAGAAGAAGGGTCTGCTCCCATTCAACAACACGATCAACACAGTCCTCGGTACCCTGCATGCGCAGCCTTCAAGTGATGTCTTCTCTGTGGAAACAACAGCCTGAAGAGGTGGCGGACAAGGTCTTGAAGCGGGTAGAGATGAGCAAGGTACGTCGACAAAGGCCATGGCAAAGGCCGGAACACACCTTGCAATGTAATGCTTCGCTGATACCAACCGTCTTGTAGATAGCCCGAAGGTTACAGAACCGACTCGCGCTGGCCCAATTCAAAACCAAGCATGGCTGGGAGGACCTGACCCTCGACACCATCGAACCCAAGTATGAGGAGGAACTGCGACGCAAGCGTTTAGCCGAGGGTGACCTCCTGTCCGACTCCTCTTCGAGCGCCTCCGACATTCCATATCCAACAAGAACCCTCATGAGCTCTCCTTTAAAAGCCCCTCTCTTTTCCGACGCCATTGGCTCGAGCAACGGGAGCACCGGCCATCGCAAGCGGACTTACATGGCCTCTTTCGACTGTCAATCGTCTAGCCCGAGCAAACGCTACCGCTCTTCCCCCACGCCCGTCAAGTCTCTGCATGGTCATACCTCGTGGAAAGATAGCCATCAGCTGGCGCAGTCGTCTCCAATCAAGCCCAGAAGACAACAGCATTTCACCACATCTACTGGTCCTGACGTCTCATTCTTTCAGGGGGCTCGGAGATTAGCAGACGACCTGGTGTCGCCAAACTTTGCGGCAACCTCAGATGACGAAGACGATCTCCTGCCCGTGCAGTCATTCAGGGCCACAAATATCCGGTCTTCACCTCCTACGACACCACCAATGCGCAATCGCGTGTTGCCCAATCGCCGCACCAGAGATCATGGCGCTAACGGTGAACCCGCCAAGTCTGGACAAGAAGGCGCTGACCTTCTGCTGTATCTGGCCGCTTCTCCGTCACCTGCCGTCCCATCTACCAAGACCAGGATGGAGCCTCCATCGACACCGCCTTCCAAGGTTGGACGAGACATGACTTTACCTTCGTCCCACATGACCACTCCGGGTGGCGGCAACATGTTTCCCAACACGCCTGGGCAAGGTTTCGACTTTGCAGAGTTTGTCAACATCACGCCGAGTCCTGCCCAAAAGGCATGGAAGACACCTGTCACTCTCTCATCAGCGAGAACTCCCGTCAGTCTGACAAGGAGACGATTGACGTTCGACGAGCCTCTGGCTTAATGAGAGACCTCTAACTGGCACGCACGCCATCCTTCCATCCTTTTTACCATTATTACCAACACTATATATAAATGATACCAGACGCAGGCCTTGTTGGTCCCGGCGTAGCCTACAGAAAACGCAGAGAGATTCTCACTGCCTCTTTGCGTGATTTCCTTTACAAGGGACAAGAACAGCATGTTGGAGGCAATACCACCACTATGCCAGGAAGGAGACGCTACTACGAAACCCATTCTTTTGAGCCTTTGACGCTCATTTCAGGCGTGGAGCCACGCAGGTAACCAACGGCGTTAGAGCTTCAAATCGGGACGAATGTATGTTCCCGGCTCAGCAAATGCTTCACCGAGATGCTTTCTTTCTCTCTGTCTCGTTAATAGCACTTTTGTCACTTTATCGTATAGTAAGAGTTGATCCAAGGGCCCACAGGTTAGGTCTTGTGGACCGTGTAGCAATCAACGCGTCCTTCCATGTGACGCGCTGGATGATGCTGTAGGTTGGCAGAGTTGCGCCTAAGACGCGCGAAAAGTCGCGTAAGTCGCGTTGGTCGCGTCTCAATGTTAATGGATATGCAGCCAATCACAAGGTACATTCAGCCCCATAAGACTAACCCCCTGCAACCATACCCCCGTCTCCTGTACCTGTGTGCGTGCTTGTATACCAATTAGGTACGGACAACCGTACCCCTCAAGTGATTGACTCTTAATGTCGGACCAAAGTCTCTGGCCAATTGCTTTGCCTGAAGGTCGTGCTGGATTGGTAGTGAAAGCCCGTTGGCTGGGTTGTATGTATGTCTTTATTCTGTACTTGTAGGGGAAGATGGGCTGGTGTCGTAAGGTCGGGTGTTCATGGATTTGAATCTGGTCAGAGCGCACAGAAACCGCGGACCAAGTGTCTCTTGGGTGCTTTTCAATGGACAGTTTTCTATATTCATACCTTTTCGGAAAGTTGTTACCTCTCTTTTCCCATGAAATGAAGAATGCCTCGTCGGACGCCTGCTGGGCTCGGTTCTTCTGCGCAGACGTCTGGTTCCAAGTCAAACGCTCTTCTTAAATAGTCCCTTGTCGTCGGGCCAATCGTTGCAATAAACGTTTTGCGCCCGTCCAGCCGGTCTGTCTTGGCCTTACCTGTGGACTCGTCCAGCATTCCTAGCCCACGCAGCATACCTTCGCAGCCTGTCGGAGAAAAGACAACCACCCACCGCGTCGACCGGGTTTCGGTAGCTTTCAGGTGATTCTCAAAGTCTTGAGGGAATGACTCCATGACACCCGTCCCATAAACCACGACTTCGTCGACTTGAATCCTTTCGTCGCTGGGCAACTTCGTGTCCATGAGGGTTTTGGGGATAATATCCCGCCTCTGCTCGCCAACGAGGAAGAGCAGGGGTGGCTTCGTCGGCCGGTCTTGGTACCTTTGGCCGTAATGGCTCACGATGTACTTGGCCAAGGCGTCGCCATTGCCCGTGTGCTCACCAAATATCTGCAACGGAGCCTCCTGTGAGATGGACTGGAGAGCTCGTGTGGTGGCCGGGCCAACGCTATAGACTGGGACGTTCTGGAGATGAGGCCACTTTTCTTCAGTGCCTGTCGATCTGGTCAGCTCTGCTTGTCATGTCGTCGAGATGCCTTGAGCAAAGAGGCGACCGCGACTGACCCTTCTTCTCGTCTACCAAGCTGGCAAATGCCTCCACCGCTCGCTGTGAAGTGAAGATGAGACCGCCATACGAGCAGTCGATGCCGTTGTTGATCCCCCGACGCTGCAAGACGTCCTGAACCGTCGTCATGCCCGGTTCCTGAAAGGTATGTTGCAGGACTGGGACGAAAGCTGGTTCAAAGGCATACCCGTCGTGTTCACGTGAGAGTAGGTCCTCATACGAGTCGCCCGGAGTTGACTTGGTCTTGAGCAGCAGGACGGGCACTTTCACCAATGAAGTCGATGAAGGGTCCTGAGCCATGGCGGAGATCGCGGTGGGCCGGTGCGTCGTTCACCGAGACGGCGAAGGGGTCAGACGATTAGTTGTCTCAAAGTCATGGAATCAATGGTAGTAATCTGCCGCTTTGCTGTGCCCTCTGGAAATTGAATTCGTTGACACAACGTTTATCACATTTAGCGGCGGTGCCCCGCCAAAGACGATTCGGTGAATTTTGGCAGGCGGAGCTGGAATAGAGCTACGTACTGTCTTAGGTAAGGCAGTGCCCAATTCCGTTGAAAAGCAGTTCACTTAGATACCCAGAGCTACATGGGCGGGTCTTCTCCATCGCCATTGTCAGCCTTCAAGTCGAATCTCAAGTCCAACGCATCAATCTCACTGCTCTTTGAAGTTTCCTCAGCACCTGATTGAGTGCGGCGTATAGGATAAAGTATGCGACAAACAGTCCGCAAGAAACAGCGCCGTTTACCAAAAAAAAAAAAATCGCCAGGTCAGGAGATAAAATGGGGTGTATCGGAGAATGATAGGCTTATTCCCCGCTCTTAATGAGCAGAGCACCCAATTGCTGGAATCAAGTGGAACTACCTGCATCTGCAAGAACTCCCGGATCCCGTCGTGGATGCATTTCGACGGTCCGAAAAGACAGCTGCCATAGAGCCCATATGGGGTGACCTTGGATGACGGCCATGTGGCTCAGAAACAACAAGCACCCCACCTCATCTTCATTCGTAGAGTACGTACTCCGTACCTTACGGACGATGTACGGATAGCGTGGGATCGATTGAGCAGCGGACCCCCACCCCCTTTTGTTTCTGGGCCGGTAAGGCGCCGGCGGCAGCACTTGGTGGCACTCCCGCCTCACTACACCAAAGCAAACCCCCTATGGGCCATTTCAGGCACCGACAGGAGTGTCAGAGATCGGAGGTCGGCCGGCGTTTGCCGAGGGGAGCCGGCCACTCGCCGCCACTCAGCATCACCACTCCGAAACTCGAATAAGGTAAGGCAAGGCACCTTGCGCTACTTTAGCACCTAGGTAGGTGGTGTAAGTGGCTTACCTTACCTTACCTGCCTCGATGGCTTATCGATAACGGATCGCCATGAACACTAAGGTACCTACCTATCTTACCTTAGGTACCTACCTTAGGTAGGTTGTCACAGATGAAGAGCCTTCCAGCTTACAAATTTCTCGCAAACGAAACCCGCAAACCGTCCGACATCGCGCGTTCTAGATCACCCCATTCAAGTCCCTTGTCGCATACATTGTCTTTCTTTTGGACCCGTCGCCGTTGATTTCGCGCCTCGCGATAAGAGCGAAAACCTTGCGCAGCAATTCCGTAATGGCCGACATTGAGCGATACCCTCAATTAAGCAGCGCCACACCCGTTGAGGCGACTGCGACGGCGAAAGCTGATCCCCCTAAGCCTTTGCCAAAGGGGATGGTGTTGGGCCCAGATGGCAAGCCGTAGGTTCCCTGTTCCATCTTGCCGATGATGTGACTGCGTTGGCCTGGCTAGGGCTTGCTTTGTTTCCAGAGATACAACTGACATTGGGCATCTTCAGATGTCGGTCTTGCTCCTCCAAGAGCGCTTTTTCCAGCTGGGCTTCCCAGATGAGCGGCTCTGCCAAGAACGGAACCCCGGTAAACTCGGTGTCTATCGACGACTGTCCCCCCGACGTCGAAACCCTCGGACGAGGTACTTGGCAACTGCTGCACTCCATCGCCGCGACGTACCCCGAAAAGCCTTCTCCCGCCCAGAAAGACGACCTCCGAGGTTTCGTCAGATTATTTTCCAAGCTATACCCCTGCTGGGTGTGCGCCGAAGATTTCCAATCGTACATACAAAAGGAACAGGTTCGAGTTGAGGGGCGGAGCGAGTTTGGGAATTGGCTTTGCGAGGCGCATAATGAGGTCAATCGCAAGCTTGGTAAAAAGGAGTTTGACTGCAGCAAATGGGAAGAGCGATGGCGGACAGGCTGGAAAGACGGTCGTTGCGATTGAAAGCGGCGCGACTCGAGATGTAAGATGTGTTCAAAACAGACCAACCGACGGCGGCAGGCACACGCAGCACTATCGTGAACATGGCCACGGGTGTTGGGCTTTGAAGACGATGCTACTCTTCTCAGCGGTGGCAAGGCAGTGCGCTGTGCCGTATGTAGAATACTATACCCTTCACATAGAATAATGGTGGCACAAGCACACTATCTGAAATATTTCCCGTGAATTGTTGCCCGTAAACGACTGTTCCACGCCGCCCGCCCGGACTGGGGCGTCGTGGCTTGCATATGGTTGGCATCAAAAATGGCTGTCTCCTGCATTTCTAGACACACTTATGCATGCAGATCTTCGTCATGCTTTTCCTAAGCTGATGCTCAGAACATGATCTGACATGTGCAGGATTTTCCGATACAGATGAAATGGGCTAATGCTCGAGCCAGTTTACATATTGACCTTGCATTTTGTATGTCGAAGTAGCCCCATACTAAGGGAAAAGAAACATCGCACTCGGCTGCCCTCAGCCTCGGGACTTGGGCGCAAGCGGTTTCTCCGAATGGCACCGCGATATAATTCGGTCTTCGAGCGGCGGTCCGAAGTCGAGTAAGTGCAGCGGGTCCCGGGCCCGGCTCCGCAGCCCACAGGCGTATCCGTACGATTGACGTGCACCTGCGGTTTATTTGGGCCGTTGCGCCGTAGCAGGGCCGATAGGCTTGGGCCAGGATCAGATCATGTGGAAGGGTCCTCTCCCCCCCGTTTGCGAGCGACAACCACCAACAGGACAGGCGGTCAGGGAAAACCGGATGCGAGGTGACAACGGACGCATCCACGGTATCGGCCCCTTGGAGTCGTTTGAGCCGTAAACGTGTCCATCACCGCTGATCCGTGAGGTTCCAAGCTCAGGTCATGGTCTTACAGTGGCTCGAAGCAAAATGCGATGTTTCCAAGTTCAGTTGCGACATGCATGGATACGTGGTAGAGTGGGAGAGTGGCAGAGTGAGAGAGTGGGAGATAGGACGGCATGCCGCAGGATCCCGGCGAGATGGGCGCAGATCCCACGCTGTCAACGGTTCCGTATCCGTACCTTGCAAGGCTTTGCCTCACCCAGCAGGGGCAAGGGTTGATTGGTCCTGGCATGTTCTAGGCCTTCGGCCGCAGAAAAGTGTCACTTTTCTCTCCTGCCCTCTCGCCCAAACCCACACCTCAACCACTATTAACGTACGAACAGTTGCGGATACACACAGTATTGATACGCACGGATTCTTCCCTGCTCTGCCCTGACCGCGGGCAACTTTATTATCGTCCCATTCCATTGTCTCACTAATTAGAATGTTGCCTTACTTTGTACACGGTCCAGGGCACCTCAAAAATCCCTTTTTCCCTCAGATATCTGGGACCTCCCCTCACCTCACCTCACCTCACCTCCGGAACCCCCCGGCCTCTTCCGGCTTGAGCCCGGTGTATTGGTGACCGCAAGACCCGCAACCTACTGTGGCGTGTTCCATTACATCACTGTTGTCTATTGGCCCTCTGCGCTATTCTGAGCCGCGACACGCTGGGTAACAACGCTATCATCTCGCGTCTTTTTCCATCTGATGCCAGGACCCAGTCTGTCTTGGTCCCTTTTCAGCCAAATCTTTATAGAGCCCGTGGCATGCCGAAACCCGGTACCCACTGCGCTTCAGCCGCCTCGCGGGCCCTTGGTGTCTTGTCACTTATACGAAAATGGAACTGCATGAGCTGTCGCCCGTCGCCGATGGCCCTGTCGTTTCAATCTGCAATGGTTAGTGGCCTGACTTGATGATCCTAGGCGTCCCATCCAATGATGCCGGCACTCACTCGAGTGAGCTCGCCTGGGAACATTATCGCCATCTCCGCCGGTCGTCGACTTGGATATAAGCCTACAAGCCTCTGCCCTTGACTAGTAACTCTTGCCTCTCTCTTCATTCCGGATTCATACATTTAAGACACCACCTCAACAAACACCCGAGGCAGCATCCAGAGCTACCACTTATACACCATCAGCTGCTCGCACACCAATTCTATTATGGCTGATATCAGAACCCAAGGGCTCATAGAGCCTGTTGACGTCGTCGAATACCTCTTCAAGAGACTTCACGAGATCGGGGTCCGCTCCGTTCACGGCCTTCCCGGCGATTTCAACCTTGTTGCCCTCGACTATCTTCCCCAGTGCGGATTGAAATGGGTTGGCAACGTCAACGAGCTCAACGCCGGTAAGCACCGCGGCAACCCGCCCAATTGCCTTGCTTAGATCCTAGCAACTGACATCTTCCAGGCTACGCTGCCGATGGTTACGCCCGTGTCAAGGGCATCTCCGCCATCATCACCACCTTTGGTGTTGGTGAGCTTTCCGCCATCAACGCTCTTGCTGGTGCCTACTCGGAACACATCCCCGTCGTGCACATTGTCGGCTGCCCCTCCACCATCTCCCAGAAGAATGGCATGCTCCTACACCACACCCTCGGCAATGGCGACTTCAATGTCTTCTCCAACATGAGTTCGCAAATATCATGCGATGTTGCTCGCCTCAACAACCCCGCCGAGATCGCCAACCAAATCGACCATGCCCTCCGAGAGTGCTGGATCCGCAGCCGTCCCGTCTACATCATGCTTCCCACCGACATGGTTCAGAAGAAGATCGAGGGTCAGCGCCTGAATGCACCCATCGATCTCGAAGAGGCCACCAACGACCCCGATAGAGAGGACTACGTCGTCGACGTTGTTCTCAAGTCCCTACACGCCGCCAAGAAGCCCGTTATGTTGATTGACGCCTGCGCTATCCGTCATCGCGTTCTCCCCGAGGTCCATGCACTCCTTGAGAAGACAAAGATCCCAGTCTTTGTGACGCCCATGGGTAAGGGTGCCGTCAACGAGTCCCATCCCAACTATGGTGGCGTTTACGCCGGCACCGCTTCGCAGCCCGATGTAGGTGAGCGGCTCGAGTCTTCAGACTTGATCTTGTCCATTGGTGGCCTCAAGGTAAGCTACACTCAACCCTCCAACTATCAAGAAGCAGCCTGCTAACGACGTTGCAGAGTGACTTCAATACCGCTGGATTCTCTTACCGGACATCGCAGCTCAACACCATTGACTTCCACAGCACACACACCAGAGTTAGGTACTCTGAATATCCCGGCATCACCATGCGCGGAGTCCTCCGCAAGGTCACTGAGCGTCTCGACTTGAGTCAACTTTCCGTCGTCACATCTCCCGAGGTGATCAACAGAGTGCCCAGCCCTAGCTCAGACCCCTCGCAAACCATTACGCAGGCTTATCTATGGCCTCGAGTTGGCAACTACCTTCGTGAAAACGACATCGTCGTCACGGAGACGGGCACGGCCAACTTTGGTATCTGGGACACCAAGTTCCCTGCTGGAGTCACGGCTTTGAGTCAGGTCTTTTGGGGGAGCATCGGCTGGTCTGTCGGTGCTGCCCAGGGCGCGGCTCTTGCTGCCAAGGATGCGGGCGAGGATCGCAGGACGATTCTCTTCGTCGGCGACGGTTCATTCCAGCTTACGGCCCAGGAGGTCACTACCATGCTGCGCCATGGCTTGAAGACGACAATGTGAGTTGAACCCTGTCATTCCCTCGCAATGATTTGGAGGGTTTCATGCTAAAGCCGCAATATAGCTTCGTCATCTGCAACGATGGATACACCATTGAGCGCTTCATTCATGGCATGGAGGCCGAATACAACGACATTGTCCAGTGGCAGTACAAAGAGCTTGCGACAGTGTTTGGCGGCACTGAGGAGACGGCCAAGAAGTTTGTGGTCAAGACAAAGGACGAGTTGGAGAAGCTCCTGACTGACCAGGAGTTCAACAACCCCACGACGCTGCAGTTTGTCGAGCTCTACCTCCCCAAGGATGATGCACCAAGAGCGTTGATCATGACTGCTGAGGCCAGCGCCAGAAACAATGCCAAGGTCGAGTAGATACAGATACAGCAGCGGTGTTGACATATAGGGTGATTTGGTTTCCATGGCGCAGGAAGAGGCTTTCCGGCGCATGACTAGACGTAATGGTTTGATTCTTTTCTTATCTCTGGTATTAGATCATGGACTGGTAAAACGATATGGAATCGCTGCTGGAGTAATTGCAAACTAGATGAATATTTGATGATTTCTGTACACTCATTGTCGTTGGTATTTGGTGTATGTGCTGGCTCATTGGTTTAAGCAATGATAATTGAGTAAGCAAGGCGCTGATACGTGAGATTGAGTTCCCTCTATGCATCTAGTACCAAGGATGGAAACAAGGTAGTGTCGAGATTTCTTGACACACAATCAGATGGCTTTGTGCCGTGTGACTGGACCCTGACTACCCATTGGGTAATCTAACATTAAGCCCTGTGAAGTCAGGTCATGTGATGAATGCCATAACCATAGAACTAAAGTGGAAGAGACGCCGAATGAAGAAGAATTGTAAAATACAACCCGATTGTCGTGCTTTACCATTTCACGTTCAAATTTTAAAGAGCAATGGAGGTACATACACTGTACAGATGCGAGCAACAGTCCTACGCAATTGTTCCAGCGATATATGGCAATTAGTTCAGGAGTCTCGAAATAGCAAGAGCTGCCATGATCACGAAGAAGAAGAAGAAGAAGAAGAAGAAGAAGAAGAAGAAAAAGGGAGGTAGCTCTCTGATAGTTGTTGACGGTTTCTGATTGACGGGACGGTAGCTTGCCTGGAAGAAGCTTGAGAGATAGCTAGCGGGTCCGGGTCGTCTGATTTCTCACCTCCGGGCGGTGTGACTTTTTTTTTTTACTCCTTCTACCGAGGTGCACAGCACAGCGCAGGCGCCTGTTGCCTTTCTCAGCCATTCCACAAAGCCTCCATTTCCAGATTCACGGCTCGCGAGTGCGTAAGCGCAGCAATTCTTTACTACCTCGAGCGGAATTCTCCCAGGGCTGCAGTTCTCATAATCCGCACTATACAGGCAATCAAATGGCAGATTCAAAGAGGAAACAGCCAGCTTTGGATGGCGGTAGTGGCCGGCCCGCAAAGAAAAGCAAGGTAGGTTGAAGTCCCATTTCTGCAGGTTGCGCTTCGCACTGAATACTTTCCAATGCTGGCTCTTCAAGCTTCCAAAAGGAATCCCGCTCCCAAAGTGAAAAGTCCATGGCTGAAAAAAAGTAACGCCCAGGGTGGACAAGGCTCCGGCAAGTGGCAGACGCCACAGCACAAGGCAAAGGTCGCCAGTCTTCAGGACAAGGGCGTCGCCCTCGGGGTCGGAGACAAGGGTATCTGGGTCACGTTTGCCAGAGGCATGGATGGAAAGTCCATCAGTGAATTTAGCGCGCTGTGTGACGAGGTTTGTGGATCTTGCCATCATTGCACATTCTGCGCTCACTGACATGACTGTCTTGTAGTACGCAAAGACTCTCTACGGCATCGTTCCTCCAGGAGAAGACGTCGAATCAGACGAGGAAGACGTGGACATTGAGGTCTCTATTAAAAAGGAGCTCGACGGCATCAGTGCCGTCAATAGAGGCAAGATCAAGCGTAGCTTCAAGGCCATCAAGGCTGGTATCGAGTGTGTTTTCTTCATGAAGACGAGGGATCCTATCGACCCCGTGGAGCTTTGCCGCCGCATATGCCTAGACGCCCGCAGCTGCGCCGACCTCAAAGAGCGGAAGACCAAGTACATCAACCGACTGACGCCGGTGACCTTTGTGGACAAGGCATCTGAGAACGGCGTGGCACGAGTCGCCGGCAAGGCTCTGGCTGCGCATTTTGACCTGACAGAGGAGACTTCCCGGGCCACAGAAAGCGGTGCTGAGATGGCGGAAGAAGAGCGTAAAGCCCAGGTCGAGAAGCCAGCCTACACGGTAACTCCACTAATGGCGATCCTTGGCTGAGTAATTTTGGCTAATACATCGACAGTACGCCATCCGACCTTCTATACGCAGTAACAGCTCACTAGATCGCGACGTGCTCATTAAGCAAATCGCCAGTGTCGTCAGCCCGCGGCACAAGGTCGACCTCACCAATGCTGACAAGGTCATACTCGTCGATGTCTTCCAGGTTAGTCGAGAATGTCAGCACAGAGCTAGCGAGCACCGGCTGACTGGTTTGCAGAGCTTCTGCGGAATGAGTGTTATTGAACGCAGTGACTGGGATGGGCTAAAGAAGCTCAACGTCAACGAACTGTATAAGGCGTCTCCTGGAGCAAAGGCAAATTGCTCAGCCCCGAAAGAAAGCGAAGAAAAGGTGGTATGATTGGCGTGTTTGGACTTGCTTTACGTGATAGATTGCGAAGGATGCTTTTTGGCTCATCTATTCTCTGCATCCCGGGGGTAGTTCTTTTTGCGCAGCAAAGTTGTGAAAAATTTCGGGAGCTCCGGGCTCGCTTCGATTTATTGTTAACACATTGAAGGAGTGCGAATACCTCGATGCGAGGACGGGATAGCAATTGAGCCGATAGACCGTCTCCTTCGCAAATAGAGAAAGACTTACGGAGAGTGCCGATGCTGAATTGCGTGCTCCCTTTATTTGCCCGCCCCATCCCTCGAACACGTCCGAAGCCGGCAGCCGGAGGCCCGGCGTCTCGATCTACCCTTGAGCTCTTGAGTACCTGTCCCTAATATCCAGAGTTCGACAAGGGATGCATGAAGATCGAAATGGCCTACACCAATCTCCGTCTTTATATCTCTTTCACCGCCGCGGGATACTTCCCAATACGGAAGTACGCGACCTGAGTTGGAATGGCCATTCGTAATCTTAAGTCTTCGTGTGTGCAGTATTGGACACGGCTGCGCTTCTTGCATGGAGAATGATTACTTGTCTGCCTGATCTCTAGGCACTGTGTCATTGTAAGACGTTTCCGCAATGTTCTCGTCAAGACATATGCGGACAATGAGCGATGGGCGCAACGCCGTCTCGTGTCTTCGTGGCATCATGATTATTCCTGGCCAAATTGCCAGCTGAACGGAGCCGAGCGCCCAGAGTGGGCCGGCCTACGGGCCGTGTGGAGCGCGCGCATCCGGGCCCATGACTGCGCTAAGCCTTATCAGTATAAATTTGACGAGTCTACCGCACAATGGAACGTTCCAAACTTCCATACATAGTAGGTTCTATGTGCCGTTCGTAAGGTACCTTGGCCGCTTCCACTATCTCATGTCAGGCTTGTCAGCTAGCTCGACCCTGGAACTTGGGATTGGCCCCCTCGTGGGGTCGATCAGGATACCCGGGATTGGCTGCTATTACAGACCTGGCGCATGCGAATATCAGGCCGATGCAGCATAGCCCTTTTGCAAGTGGATTCCGGCTGAAGGTTGCGTGTCTTCTCGTAAAACATTCTACCTTGAAGTTGTGGTGAGAGACACCAGGGAGTTTAAGAGCAGTACGTTGTAGGCCAAGTATGACTGGCATCAGCAGCAGCAATGCATGCTCCCCCAAACCGGCTTGACGCTAGCAAAAGTTCCTCCGTTGGTGGGCTGAATCTTGGGCCTGCATTTCTGACATGTTGCGCGAGCCTCCAGGCAGATATTGCATTGGAAGCCTTCTCAAGATGAAGTTAGACATGGGAGAGGTCGAAGAGACGGACGAACACTGCGCAGTCAATAGTAAGTACTGCGGAACTGAAGATCCAGGACTGAATCTGGGCACTTAGGTGTCCCAAACTTGACAAATGCCCTTGACCTGTGGTAGGTAGTAGAGGTGTAAAGCTCCCAGGTCATCTTACCGTGAGGTATCCGTAATCTGCCGAGGCAGATTAGGTACCTTAGGTAAGTAGATGTACCTTCCTGGTATCCGTAGAGGAGGGAAGAGTGCACATGTCGTCCCAACTTCACAGGTAGTCCAGTCCAGCCGACCGCCCCGACGCTGCGGGCGGGGATCCGAGACCCGCCAGTCTCGCTTAACCATGCCCAATCAACAAATCTCCGGCTCGCTTGACGAGGCATGGCCTGGCTGGGGTCCCCTGTCATCCTTCAAGCCCCCGGGGTGGGTTCCCTACGAATGGACTCCCTCCATTCCCTTTCTTCACCAACCTCACCACCCCGAATCGCGGGTTATCCAACCTTATACACGAGAAAAAAAAGTGACAATCCTGGATGTCCCTGGCTTGCATATCCTCTTGCTCCTCCTCCTGCCTACTTTGCAGAGGACCTTACCCACCTTACCTTAGCTACGTGTATGTGGAGATCGTCAACTGCACGATTAGTCCACTATCGTCCTCTCTTCTATGGCAGTGAAGGACCTTCATCTGCAACCTCGCTTGACTTGACCCCAAGTGGCACATTCCTTCATCTGTTGTTGGCATCCTGCATTTCAAAGCCCCCTCTCTGGCCCCCGTAGTCACCTTTCCCGACATGTTCCATTTACGATACTTCACCTCTCTCCTCGGCCTATGTCCGTCAGACTCATCCACACTCTCTAACCACTTCGTGGCCCCTCTCTCCCTCTCTCCCTGATGTGTGTGTGTGTGTGTGTCAGACTGACACGCGCTCATAGGTGCTCCTCCTAGGTACCTTTTCACCTTTATGCCCCTCCTGCGCAACTCAAAAGGGCAAAGTTGCATAGAATGCAGCTTATACGTACGTCGTCTTCTCTTAGTGTTGTCTCTGTCGCTTATTCCTCACATGCTCATTGAGGGCCTTTCTTCCTCCCACATAGTCAGCCAGTGTTACTCCTTGCACGACGCCTCGCCCGTCACCACCGGGCCACCGGCCTTAGTCTGTTGGCCTGTTGCTCGCCTGATACGCCCTCTCATTAGTTCATCTTGTTCGTTGGCTTACTCTCAAGCGATCTCGCTTGTCCTTGGTCTGGTCAAGGGCATCCTCGATGCTTGGCCGCCTCATGTCCCTTGAGCCTGGTCGTCGTGCCGCCCGCCCGTCAAGTCTCGCTTCTCACCTAGACCGCTGCAACGCAACTGCGTAATTTAGCGTACCCTGCCCATCTCATCTGTCTTGTTTTCTCACTTGAATCGTACGAAGATACCCATGCCAGCCCGACCAGCTACTACCCCGTCCTATACTCGGACGACCGCCGTCTTTGCTCACGAACAAGGATCTCTGTGTGGGAAAACAACACTCCATCGCTGGCATTGCCCTGCCTACTCACGCCTTCACACCCCCGGGCTTTCCAACGCCTACACCTTCTATCCTGTTCGTCGCTGAACATTCTTCCGCTTGTCTTCGACTCATCCCCCCGTCGCCTCAAGCGCGTACCTAGTGCGCTACGATCATCAACACCACCACCATAATCATTCGGCTCCGATGAGATAAGCGAACGCCGCCTGTCAACCTCTCCTGCTGGCTCAAACTCCGTATCCGCCTCGCTAGCCACCCGTTCCTATTGGAGTGATCTCTTGGTGTTGCCCTTTTGGCATGAAAACGCCCAAAGCCCCCGGTCGGTTCTCTCCGTGTGTCCATATTACGCCGCAACACGACCTTGCAATTCCTGACATCCTCGTCCGGGAAGCCGTAAAGGGCTCGCTATATCTAGCTACTTCGCCCAACCCCTACCACATGGCTCCTGGTCGGTGTTACCGCACTCATACCTCGACTTAACCTTGCATACCATTCGTCTGCCAAAGCGTTTCGCAAACCTGCAGCATACCGCCCGTCACGCATCGACCTTCCATAGGGCAGAACCCGTACCACAACACAGTGTCGACGACGTCCATGTGCGCACCGCCTCCTCCGTCAAAGCCCATACAGACCGTTATAAGTCGTTTGGTACCCCAGGCCACTGTCCAACAAGTACAGGTGATGCCATCGGTCCATTGCCAACGCGTCTATGGAGTCAAAATCTCCAACGGAGCGAGCCTGGTTCTCGTCATCCCCCCGCCGCCCATGGTCAAGCTCCTGCGATCTGAACGCGCCTCCGTCATCTCGGAGGCTGCCGTCTTGAGATGGCTTGCTGGCAAGACCGTCGAGCCGCCTCTGCTCCATGAGAAAATTACGGAACCGGAAGACTTACTCGAATCAACCTCTCCCATAGCCAGCGTTACAAGCGAGGCCACCAATTATGCTGATGCCGCGGTGCAAGAACTGCGGGCGTTCATCCCGGTACTCATATCACATACAGCTGGATCGAACGAGTTGGACCTCGAATATAATCTCGTCAAGCCAACACTCGGCACCCCCATCTCCGAACTTAACCCGCCACTCTCGTCATCTGAACGAAGAACAGTCGATTTCCAGACTGGCCAACTGTTTCGAGAGCTTTGCAAGCAAGTGTCGCCGACTGGGAGATTTGGGCCTGCGTTTGCTGTTCTACCTACGTTTGCGCCAACACCAGCTAAAGATCCCACGAAACCAGCGAGGCGAGATGTCACCGGGAGATTGATAGAATCAAGAGGAGTCCACTCCTGGACCACGGCCTTTCACTCAATGCTAGAAGCCGTTCTTCGTGATGGGGAGGATATGCAAGTCATGTTGGGTTACAGTACCATCCGCCAGCAGTTCAAGCGCTTTGAGTACATGCTGGATGGGATCAAAACACCCCGGCTTGTGGCTGTTGATGTTGGGAAAGATGTCAACACACTTGTGCTCAGGAAACGGGACCGGGGAGACAGCGCATGTCTGGTACACGGTAGACCCATGGGCAGGTTGCAAGACAGGAACCGACACGGCAGCGACGCAGGGAGTGAGGTTGACGACGAGCACGACATCCGTTCAAATTCAGGAGATAGCACGACACTTGCCCTCCACCGCGACCATGGCATCATCATGGCTGGCATGAAAGATTGGAGTAACTTCGTCTTTGGAGATCCATTATTTGCTCTAAATCTTGGTCGTGAACCCAGCAGTGATTTTCTCGGGGGATTCAACGGAGATCTGAACAATAGACACACCATCATGTCGATGTTTTCCTCGGACTTGATTGAAGACAAGGAGAGGGCTCACGTCCGCCTTCTGCTGTACGACTGCTACCACACAGTCACGCACATCGCCAGGACATACTTCCGCCCGCAAAAGGATATCAATGGGCGTGAGTTGGAGGCGCGGAAGAGGCTAAATACTATATTGGCGCAGCTTGATGCTCTCGATGATGCTGGCACCCGGAGAGGGAGAACAGCAAGTGGCGAATCAAGCCCAGCGAGAAAACGGTCCAAGAGCGGGGAATCGTCTGACTGAGTGGACGATAGTTGTGTATTGAAAGATGATGCTTACGTTGAAGGAACATTCTTAGAACATACTTGTGTAGGAAACGCGTCTTAGAACCCGGCGCACGCCTGCTTCTTCCCGAAGGAAGATGCACTCATCGTTTCAGTGACCTGCGAATAGAACATTCGATTGTCTGTCTTCATTATTCTTGCTTGCCTTCCCTTGCATTGTCATCTTCGTCTCGCGGAAGCTGGAGTCCCATCATGCCTAGAATGTTGCCGGCCGGACCTGGCATACCTCCCTGGCCTTTGAAGCTCTCGAGAAGGTTCTTGGCTAAATTGTAGTCAATGTCAACTTCGTCATCTGCCTCCCCATCATCATTACTTGCGTCATGCACACTGCCTGCCCCACCAGGCGCCTGCCTTTTCCCTTGGTCGCTAGATGAAAGGACCCTGTCTTGAGGTTGATCCAACTTCAGAGCACCATGTTCATTGAGCTCTGCTTCCAACTCAGCGGTGAGCTTCCAAACGTCACCATCATCAGACTCCTCGTCCCGGCCGGCCGGTGTAGTGTTTTCTCTTGCCGCCGCCGATTTGCCTGGAGTATCACAAACGTCGGACTCTGCGGGTGCTAGTCCCATCATCTCTCTCATCATACGAGAGAACTCCGCCTCATCGAAGCTGACCGCCTTGTCTTCATCCTCGTCATCTTCATCTGTCCCCCCTTCCTCGCCATCTCTGCCCTCGAATTCGTCGTCGTCGATGTCCATTTCATCGACCTCAGCACCGTCTGGCCCGGCGTTTTCATCATTGAGGAAGGCCTCGAACCGGGAGACAATTTTGCGCAGGTCTGCTTGTGTTGTAGCATCTCCAAAGCTTGGTTTCGGTTCAGACTGAGCATCGCCTTGACGTCCCGACAGCTCTTTTTCAAAATCTTCATAATTGATGTCCATCCAGGACTCGTCATCATCACGATTGACGTCTTTCCAGCTAAGGATTTGTTCGTCCGTGGGGAGCACTGAATCTCCGTCTTCATCGAGGTCCTGGACAACGATGCTAGCCGCCCGGGCTTCACGACTATCAGCCTTGTCAATGTTGTTGAGCATTATTTCGAATCCAGACGTGAGTTTCATGCCCATCTCCAAGCGCGTGCGCTCGACCCCCTTGGCCCGTTGGATGACATCAGCCCAAGGGGCAGGAGGCTCGAACCGTTGCGATCTGAGTTGAGCGAATAACACCCTGGTGAATTTTACGCTCAATGTGACCATATCGATCGGGGGAAAAGTTAGATTGTTCTTGCGGGACAGGAGAGCGTTCAGATCTAGCGCATCACGGAGATAGAATGACTCCACAGCTGGTGCAACGGCTCTAGGAGTTTGGCGCAGGACAAGGGCAAGTCTCCGAGGAATCGTCACGAGCGAGTGGTGTATAGACTTGCGAATCTGGCCAGGATATTTTTCGAGACGATAGAAGGCCTCAGCCTCTATGAACTCTGAGTGCAAAAGGGAATCGGCGGTGGCCTTGATGACGCGCAAAGCGTCTGATACTGTCAACAGCCGGGATTTGGCGCCGTTTTCGGGTGTGTGGGGGATGATTCGTAGATGGCCGTGGTTGATCCAAACGCGGTTGTGGTCTGTCTCGGGACTTAACCATTTTGGAATAACGTTGGCTGCCTCTATGAGTAGAAACTCTCCATCGGCGTCAAAGACACGGATCCATATAGTAGGCTGAGCTTTGGAAAGCTCTCTGAGGATGAAGACAATCAGCCATTCATCCTCGATCGCATCTCCGTAGTCGGTCGTTCCCCGTAGAAACGAATTGCCTTTTGGAGTCTTAGCACTGACGTCAGTAAATGTGGTCATTCCGGGGGTTGCACGAACCTTGCTCTGTTACCACCTCGAGCGTAAACAGGCCCTTTTGCCAAATGTAGTCGGTGGTCAGGCTGCTTGCGAGCTGCAAAGCAGATTTTCGTAGATCTTCGAGTCGGGAAAGATGCTTCATTGGATCATTTGTAGCGTCGGGGTCAACAAGGAAAACGCTGTACTCGACGCAATTCTCCTGTAAGTTATAGCCGTTCTTTTCGTTGCTGCCCTCTCCACCTCCAGTCGCTCCTTTTGGCTCAGCCATAGCGAGTGGTTTCGAGAGGGTTTGCCTGGCCGGGTAGATTTGGAACTGCGTGCTGATGGAGAAAATGATTGTTGTTATGTTGCCACGAAATCGGGAGATTTCGCCCGAGATTTACACAGTCGCAGACTTGGCCGATTTTTTAAGTGGAGTTCTGTTGAGCTTCTTCCAGGCCGAAGGCAGTGCAAATACTCAGATCAAGATGATGGAGGATCACTGCGTTGATGTTCGTGAATATGTAGTTCAGCACACACACCAGCCAGAGAAGTTGGGCTTACCCAGAGTTTACCTTGGCCTCTTGGATACATCCCAGCCTTTGGCGTTGGCGGCCGGCTGGGCGTGTGGTTGCTGGCACAGTGAATAGTATTTGCGCATGCCCAAATAGCACTGTGCGCGTTAAGTGCTTAAATTAACACTGGCTACCTACCTAGGTGCCTAGGTAGGTAAGGTAGGTAGGTACAAAGAGGGCCCCGCCGCGGACGATCACCCAGTCGCGTTTCGTCATCCATCGCGTCGCACGAGCACGAAGCTTTTGTATTCCATCAATCTCGAAGGTTACAGCTCAACTACCCAACGTATCCTATAATTGCGCCCGCCTTTGTTGACGCCTAGTGCGATAGTCACATCAAATCATTACTGCGCGACGCTGCGAAAACTCGAGGTAGGCGCAATTGCAGGCGCATCGTCTGAGTTACTCGTGATGGCCCCCGCCAAAAGATCCCACGCCACTTCGGAAGCAGGCAGCATGGAGGGGGAGCTGCTTGAGGTGCGGCACAAAAGGGCCCATGTCGGCCAGGACGCGCCCGTACGTGTCTCCAAGAAGATGGCCTCAGACTAAGACCCACGGAACCAACTGACACTTCTCACATCCCCTAGTCAAAACGAGTTCGACTTTCACACATCGCTCCGCCGAAGAAGCCAAGCCCCCAGAGGGACGAGCACCCAAGCTCCGGAAGCGAAGCTGGTGCGGACGAGGAAGACGAGGATGGACGAACCGGCCGTGACTCCCCTCCCCGCACCCAATACGAGATTGCGCGAGACGATGGCTTCAGGCACCTGCAGTACGAGGATCAAGACGATCGACGTGCTACGCAGAAAATCAAAAGCCGGCCGCAGCGCATCGGCGACAACCATGCTGCCGAGAATGGCATCATCGAGAGTGTCGAGTGCATTAATTTCATGTGTCATGAGCGTCTCTTTGTCGAGCTGGGTCCCCTGATCAACTTCATCGTTGGTGAGAATGGAAGCGGCAAAAGTGCAGTCCTTACCGCACTGACCCTGTGTCTTGGCGGCAAAGCAAGCTCTACCAACAGAGGTGGAAGTCTCAAGAGCTTCATCAAGGAAGGCAGAGACAACTCTGTCATCATTGTGAGGATTAAAAACCAGGGCATAGACGCCTACCAACCCGATCTGTACGGCGAAACCATCAGAGTCGAACGTCATTTCTCCAGGGCTGGCGCCAGTGGCTTCAAGCTTAAGAGTGTGACTGGGAAAACTATTTCTACAAAGAAGGCCGATGTCGACGAGATCTCCGAGTACTGGGCTTTGCAGGTCGATAATCCACTCAATGTCCTGTCCCAAGATAACGCTCGCCAGTTTTTGAATTCTTCATCGCCCACTATGAAGTACAAATTTTTCGTTCGCGGTGTACAGCTGGAACAGCTCGACAACGACTACAAACTGCTAACAGAGATCCTTGAGAGTCATGAGGCAAAGTTGCCCAACCTAGAGGAGCATGTCAGTCGTGCCAAGAGAGAGCATTCGGAAGCGCAGAAGCTTAAAGATATTGCTCAGAAGAACGAAGAGATGAGGAGGACATATCGCCGTCTCCGCAATCAGCTTTATTGGTCACAAGTAGCTGAGCAAGAAGACGTGCTTGTCAAGTACAACGATGAAGTCACTGCTCTGGATGGGGAAATTCAACGCGCCAATGTGCATATAGAACATACAACACAAGCTCTAATCCAGCGCGACGAGAACCTGGAGCGTGCGAAAGGTGCAGTCGAGTCCGAATCACAGGAAGCTGGTGCCATTCAGGAAAAAATCGACCTTGCCGAAGGAGCGTACCAAGACGCCAAGCAATCCGTCACCGACATACACCACCAACTCAGAGATGTTCAGCAACGGCTCAAAAGCGCCGGGCAAGGGGTGGCTGAGTTTGAGACCAAGATTGAAGCCGAAGAGCAGCGATTGGGTGCTGGAGCTGGTAGCGCTCGCCAGGAACAGGAGGGTCTTCTGAGTGAAGCAAGATTAGAAGAATCCACGGTCAAACAAGAAATTGCCGACGAGAACAGCATGGTCCCGCAACTCAGAGCCGAGCTGAGCCGTTCCCAGGCTGCCTTGCAAGGGGGTAAGGCTGATATCGACAGGAAGAGGGCGGAAATATCCTCTGCGGAGGGACGTTTGCGCAACCTGGAGCAGAACAGAGGCTCTGTTTGGGCTGCCTACGACAAGAAGATACCTCTCCTTCTTCAAGCGATCGAGCGAGAAAATGGGTTTCACGAAATGCCCGTGGGGCCCATTGGAGCCCATGTTCAGCTCACTCAGCCCGAATGGTCTCCCATTTTGGAGACAGTCTTTGGCGCAACGCTGGATGGCTTCCTTGTGTCTAACAAATCGGACCAACAACGCCTGACAAGACTAATGCAGCAAGTCAACTTGCAACGCTTTCCCCCCATCATCATCAGCAAGCGACTGCCGCCCAACACCCACCTCAGGGAGCCGGACGCAGCGTTCGACACTGTTCTCCGGGTGCTCAAGTTCGACAATGATTGGGTCCGCAGTCAGCTCATAGTGGCGCACACCATCGATAAAATCGTTCTGATAAGAGAGAGGACGAAGGCAGAAGATGTAATGATGAGTGATTCACCTCCACCAAACGTTCAAGCTTGCATTTCTCTACACGACGGCACGGGTAAGAGAGGCTTTGGCCTTCGCATGGCCCGATCAAGCGGTGCGGGTTACAACACAGGAACCATCAACCCTTTCCCTAGAGCGCCAAGGATGAAGTCTGACGACCAAACACAAATTAGCCTGGCAAAGGAATCGTTAACTCATCTGCGTGGAGACTTACGCTCGATGGAGCTGAAGCGGCGAGAGCTTGACCAAACGGTCGCAAAATGCAACACCGCTCTGAATAACCAACAGCTACACGGTCAGTCCCTGGAGAGGAAGCTGCTGCGAGTTCAGGCCAGAATTGAAAACATCTCTGCGGAACTGGACCAATACGAAGGAGCAGATGGCCGGCTCATATCACTCCGGGAAGAGCTGGAAAAGATCATAGCTGAACGAGAACACCATGGAACCCAATACGGCGAGATGCGACTGCGACAAAGTGAACTCAATAAAAAATGTGAGGAGTGCAAGAGGACGCTTGCCGAGGAGAAGGGGAGAATGAAAGATTTCCAGGCTCAAGTCACGAAGTTGCAACTCGCAGTTCAGAAAGCGGAGGACCTGCGGAAAATGGCAGTCCTCGAGAAGAATGGCGCGTTCCAGGACCGTGATGATGCGGTCCTTGAGAAGGAGCGAGCAGAAACGAGGCGTGACGAACAAGCCGAACTTGTCGCCAATTTCACACAACAAGCCATGGACAAGGCGCCGCAGCGGGTGTACATCGAGGAAGGCGAGACTCACAAGAGCATCGAGAGCAAGTACGCTGTCATTCACCAGCAGCTGGAGAAGAGGGCTCAGAGATTGGGAGCGTCGGATGAAGAGATCAAGGAACGGGCGGCTAGGGCGGAAGCTGCATATGAAGCTGCGCAGCAACTTTACAAGGGCCAGCAGGAGGAGCAAGCGGCAGGCAAGCTGAATCTGGAGGACCGACTGAACAGATGGCGACTATTCCAGCGACACATTTCGGCGCGTGCTCGCATCTGCTTCCAGTACCTGTTGAGCGAGCGTGGTTTCAGGGGTAAACTGGCGATTGATCATCCCCAGCGTCGGCTGCAACTCTTCGTGGAACCTGATGAAACCCGCAAGGGCACTGCTGGTCGGAGCACAAAGACGTTGTCTGGTGGTGAAAAATCATTCTCATCCATCTGCATGCTGTTAGCCATTTGGGAGGCCATGGGCTCGCCTCTACGATGCCTAGACGAGTTTGACGTCTTCATGGACAATGTCAACCGTACCATCAGCACCAATATGCTTGTAAGTCTGATCCTCATTCCGCCTCGCTGGATCTAGGATGCTAACAGGGATTGTTTTGCTCAGATCACTGCTGCTAGACGCTCCGTGTCACGTCAGTACATCATGATTACACCAAACGCAATTGAAGGACGAGCCACACTCGACAAAGACGTCAAGATCATCCGGTGCGTTGTCTTACATTGGCGGACAATCCTCGCTTTGCTCCGGCTTGGGTTCTTGCTAACATATGCAACAGTCTGACCGACCCCCGGCAGCGGACCTTGGTCTGACGCCGCAGCGGGCTAGCTTTTGTTCACAAGTTTTCAGGCAACGGTGTTCAGGTCAACAAGATGGCGGTCCGATAAAAGCGCGGGTAGACGGGCAAATGGTTTCTTGGCAGTGGCCGGCGTTGCGGCAACATACCCTTTATAGTCATGGACATGGGGCCATTTATTTAGAATGTGTTGGAAGCGCATCTAGTGGAATGGCTGGGTGGAAGGGCGTCAAGGATGTCGTCACTGGGCAGTAAAGTCAACGTAGTGAAAACAATAATATACAATGGCATACACAGTCAGAGCCCGGCTCGGTGGTTCCTGTTAGACAAGTCGGCGTCACTGAGGAGGGGCCTAGATTCGAATTCCCTTGCTCCTCAGGACGTTGACGCCCGCGCTAGCTGTGAAGCCAACCCACTGTCCTAAAGAACCCATGACACCGCCAGCTTCCTTAACCTCACTAAATCGCCGTCGCAGGAAGTCTCTGGTGTCTTTGAAACCGGCCGAATTGTCGTTGGTCATGAATAGCTCGCTCGACGCGTAGATCATGGATAGGCTTGCGCGCTTGGTATACCACGAGGGGTCGACAGAAGTATCACCGGAAAGGAACCAGATCTCATCAACCAACTTGGCTAGTTCCTTAAGAGAAGCAGGCACATAGCCTGGTTGCGCCATGATTGCCAAAGCCTATTGCATCCATCGTTAGTATCTGATAATTACGTCTCTCCAGCAAGTTGAGAAAGGAGCAGTGGTCACCTCTTGCCACCGGTTGATGATGGCTTTGTTTTCTAGTAAACGCTCCCATGTGAGAAGTTCCACCTTTTCGCTGACACCAGCTTGCGAGCTCTCTCCGAATATTTGCTGGTTCTTGGTGGCCAGGCCTTCGCGTTTTGTCTGGAGATGGTAGCGGATCAAGCTGAAAGGACCGTCCGGCAGCACACTGGCGCTAATGTCAAGGTATCCGGCGTCCTTGGCGCCGAGGGCGAGGGCCCTTTGTGAGAAGCCATGCTCCGGCACATGCTGATACGCGGCGGAGAGGATCGTCGATTCGTGGGGGCGGGAGGTCATAGTAGGATCTGGGTGATCGTAGGAGTGGTAGGTACGAGTCGCTCGGAGTGCGATCAGGGAAGCCCTCGGGCACTGTCGCAGGGAATGAATGGCCAATCTGGCAGCCGGACGGCACGGGATAGACATGGTGACGGGCGAGCAGGAGGCGGGTTTCTGGCTAATGAGGGTAGCAACTCTGTGGTTACGACGAACGTCGGCTAATTCCAGAATACCTTTTTTTTTCCCCCCTTCTTCCCGTCCTTCTCCCGGGCTAAGCCATCCGGAATGGCTTTGGGTTAGCCCGCCCGAGCGTCATACTCGTACCCGCTGTTCAATTCCCCCAGGGATCAAGCTCAGCTCCCCTGTAACTTCCCACGTACCAGTGGGTCGGCACGCTTCAAAAACATCAATGTAAAGCTGGCATAGTTGATGAAACACAATCAAAGGCAGTGTGTATCATCAAAGATCATGGAAAGCTGGGAAAAGTATCCGTATATCACAATTGGAGTCTTTCTATGGCAGACAGGAGTTGGAGTAGGCCTTTGCAAACCAGGCACGCCAGGGTAGGCAAGCAAGTGGTTGGGTAGGTAGGTAGGTATCTGTACACTGGTTATGGCCACTTCGGGTTGCCTTCATTACGGACGACTAAGAAGTTACCGTGGGACGCCTTATTCTTCCCACCATGGTAACACGGTGTCAGCTTCATTTTGGTGGTCCGTTCAAGCACCAAGCAGCGCTGTGGAGATTGGATTGCTTTCCAGATGGTGTGATTTGGGTTACGGATACACACCCACAACCATCAAATGTGGTGCTTGCGTGCTGTGACATGCTTCTAGTTGTCGATAGTCCAACACGATCAGGTACCCTGTATGCACAACATCAGCAGGCCGTGTTGCGTCTTGACGAGCAGTATCTCAGAGCCAACGCCACTCAGGGCGTGCCTGCTCCACCAACCATGGGGCCGACGTCGCCGGCTGAGGGATGCCCATTAGTGGTTAGGGCTTCTCGATCCACATCGAAATAAGGGCCAGCCGCCAGACTTCAAAGACACGGTGACTACGGAGTATTAAGGTATTTGGTCAACCGTGGAACACGACGTGGAAGGCTGGATGCAGGCTCGCAGGCTCAGCAGAGCCACCATGGCCCTCAAGGTTACGACTGGACAAGGGGTATAGTGGGAATCTGGATGTCTTCCTGGGAATGTGGCACCGTGTAGACAGTGAGTGGGGAGTGCGCCTGGTATACATAAGAGGCAGGCCAAGTGCGAGTGATTTGCGAGTGAGTTCGTACCTTATATCCCAGCCCTGCCGAGAGGCTCTTTGGAGGGATGAAGAAAGTGGAGAGAAATGGACGTATGCGCAGTACCTTACTCGGCTTTCATGACCTACACACAGTAGCTCTTTTTTTTTTTTTGTGAATCAAAGTAGGTATCTGTACCCGCCAGTTAGATGACGGTGGTTACAATGTCGGGAAAGATCCGTTCCTCCCGTCATTCGGGGTCAGTCAGACTTGAGTGCCTCATGAGGGGGAGGGGCGTGTGCCCTGGCCCCTGGGTAAGGTGGGTGGCAAAGGTAGGTATCAAATCAGATGGCGCCGCCAACAGATGTTACCTTACTGTATCCGTAGCCTGTAGGTAAGAAAGGTAGCTGCAGCAAATCTGAAGAACATCCATTTCCAGTACCTTAGGTAAGGTACCTTACGGCTAGTTATTCGTGTTTTGTATCCGTACCTTGATGAATTGGACCGTTCCCTCCAGCGATATGATTCGTCATCTATTGCTGCTGGAGTTCCGCCATCTGCTGTGCCTGTTCACATTACCTGCAGCTCGTCTCCACAAGCACAGCTCAGCAATGGCCAATGAACACAGAGAAGCTCTTTCCGGCGGGCGTCAACGGGTACGGATAACTGTGCACGGATCAGGAGGGGAGCTACGGGCGCAACGTCAACGGTTGGAAAGCCTGCCTGAGACTGAAGTAAGGAAAACTCCAATAATTCCAGGTTCCTTGATAACTTTGAAGAAGACGGGAACATGGGTAAGGTAGGCGTGATACCTTACCTTAGGACACACTATGTAGGTTCGCCTCACCTCGCGCTTGCCTACGGGCATGCTTGCCTTTCCTTACGTTACCCTAGGTACCTCAAATACCTTAGGTGCTCAAGGTACCTTAGGTACCGTAGGTAAGGTAGCTAGGACCCTCACCTCATGGAGCTTCAGGACTAAGGCACCTAGCAGGCGGTTGACAAAAGATAGAACACTGAGGTGGCTATCTACTTTCCCCTCTAGTTTATTTAATCTCCATTAAATTTAATACAAATACTTTAGATAAAACTAATTAGAAAAGTGTGTATATATATATCAAGGAAGAATTTTTTTTTCTTCAAATTTTGAAGCTGATAGGTGCTTGTATTTGTGCCACCTTTTCCGACAACCGCGTGGGTAAGGTAGGTAAGGTACCATCACGGATGCCTGTTGATGCCTGGCGCCCCTAGAGCGTCGGGTTTTTTCGAGAGGTGAGCAGCAGTACCTTGCACCTCAGGTTGTTGGTCTCGCCCAGGTTTTCCTTTCTGCCTTGCATTTCGCTTCGTTTTGCTGACTGGAAAGGCACAACCTCCTCCTCACCTAGCCAAACTCCCCACCTACCTCACCAAACAATTCCTCATCCATCGGTGCTGAGGTCCCTTAGAACTGGGCACTTTTTCTGTTGGCATCATCATACCTACCTGCCCACATCTCTGTCGGTTGCCAACTTCAGCCATTGACAACCTGGAAGCTAAAACCCAAATACTGACCGAGGTTTACCTTAGCATACCTTAAGTAAGTACCTATCTCAAGTCTCAAGTACGTCGCCAGGGATATCGTCTGCAACCGACGGGCTATCTTCGTGACGCCGCCCCCACGCGTGCGCCACAGCTTCGAAAACCGCGTCGCTGAAGTTGTTCCGAGCCAGCTCGTGCCAAACCAGGCACTCCGTTTTGTTTGTTTCGCCGCCCACTCACACACCTTTACACCACGACACGCACTCCCACTGCCTTACCTACCCGTCCAACCTCTCACCTCTCACGCGCGCACACATACACACACACATATACACGCGCGCAAACACACACGGGGAGACTGGACCCGTCGTCCTTTGTTTTACGCTATCCCTCCCTTCCCCTGCCTAAGCCTGACCTTCCTTACCTTCGTTGCCTTGCGCCTGGCGCCCACATTACCTCAACACCCTCCTCCATCTACCTTACCTTGCCTAACCTGACCTCAGGTATCTATTCAGGACAATAACGCGCGCGCGTCACCTCACTTCGCAACGTATCGCATCACGGCAAGCACCGCACAGCAGCAACAAGCCAGCGACGCCTCACATCGCAACACCGCACAGCATACTCTGTATTGAGTTGCCGACCAATCTTAACCATTTCCCCCCCGGATCACCCGAGTCATCCATGACCATGGGTAAGTCCTAATCGAATCTCTTCTTTTCTCCGTCTCCTTGTCCGTCTCCTTCAATTGTTACCGTCCTCCAGCAGCAGCATCAGCAGGTCCTCGTCTGGTCATGATGAACACTCTCTCCGTCTTCATCGCGCCGCGGCTCGTTTTTTATTGTCCTGCTGTCTCTGCTCCTGCCCCAACCCCAGCTTCAGCTTCAGCTCTACCCTATTTTCTGCTTTGCTTCTCATGGCTGATCCTCCACCGTACCGTAACTTCACCACTTCTTCCTTGTCCCAAAGTACCTTCCCTGAGCTGAAATGGTCTTGGCTTCACCTATTCCCCCCGTCCTGTCTAGTCACCTGCTCACCTTTATTATATGGCCCGTCTCAATCCAAATGTACCCTTTCACGTTCCCTTCATCCACCCTTGCCCAGGCTGGGAGGCTGGTTCCCGTCTCGATGCTTCTCTAGGAGCAGGAGCCCGGCGCGCCCTCATCCGTCACATTGGTTCGAAACGACGCAGCAGTCCTCCAGCTTGGAAACTGTGTGCGTTGCTGTGATGAACACATTCTACCACCGCCCCCCCCCCCCCCCCCCCCCCCCCCCCCCCCCCCCCCCCCCCCCCCCCCCCCCCCACCCCCCCCCCCCCCCCCCCCCCCCCCCCCCCCCCCGTCGTCCTGCAGCTAGCATCTTCCAAGCAGCTCCCGTCACCTCCGTACTCTCGCCTCACACTCCCTCCTGCCGGTGTCCTGGACAAGTACGCGCATTATCCATCTAGCCTTACATATACGTACGCTCAATGCTAGTTGCCTCTTGTACACCCTTCGTACACACGCATGCCTGGCTTGGGACACATGCAGACATCCCTCCATCCACCCAACCGTTCAATTCCGTCCTGATCATCCTCCCCCTCACCCCAATCCGTTGATCCATCAATTCCCGCCATGCCTTACATACATGCGTGAGAAGAACGCCGGCCTACCGCAGCCCAGCCCATATCTTTCTTGCCTCACATAGGCTTGACGGTCCCCCCCCTCTCCGCGCCACATCCTCCCTCTCCCACCCACCCCTCCCTTTTGCTTCCCCCCTCGCCCTCTCCCACCCCCTCAGAGCGAGGACGAAAGACAGAACGAATACCGTTCCTTCCTTGCGTACCGTCCGCCAGCTGCATTTCCTTTCCACTCCTTCTCCACCAATTGGCCTCGTACCCCCCTCGTCCCTCTTTGCTGCTGCCCACCTTTCGAGTAAGGTATCCAAATATCCTCGCCGGTACCCTCCTCTTGCTGTTCCTCTTCTCTTCCTCTCTCCCTCTCCTATCTCCTTAGCCATCTCCTGGTGTTACTCTTGCTTTTTTTTTTTTTTTAATTCCAGATGCTCTGGGAATTCGCTAGCTCTCCGGTCCAAACTAACTCAATCTCTTGTAGCTGACTCCGGCGACACCTATCGACCTGTGAGTGTAAGATCATCCCAATCCATACTGTTGTCCCAAACTCAAAGCGACCATCCGGGATCGTTGTCGAACCGGTGCCTGGCCCTGGGTTTCCCCCCGTCTTTCTCCGCCCGAGCCGGTGTCTGTGCCTCCGCCGCATTCCCCCTCCGCCTCCCAGCGTATTGCTCACGAGTCGTGCCGTGCCGCCTTGAAGAAGAAGGCAGGCTTGAGCAGTGGCTTTATCATATCTGCACCTTCGTCCTATGGTTGCGCCGGCTATGCGACTCACCCACGCTTGCTTGTAATCGTCCGGCCATTCGGGAGAGCAAAGTGTTGAGGGTGGTGCTGCGCTTGCCTGACCTTTTTTTTTGCTGGCCGTCCGGGTGCACCTTACACTTTGCAGACATACCTTGTTTCTTTCCCTACCTATTCTTCTCCAAAGCTACCCCCCTCCACCTAAACCTGATACCTTCCAAACCCAGCCCTATGCCAATCACTTCTCGCCAACGTCAAGCGATTCTGGAAATACCAATACAGTCATCTGGGCCTATGCGCTTCGGCCAATGGCGACGTTCATCGCTAACTTGCAACAGCGGGAGAGATCTCGATCACCTCGACGTGGACGTTCACGCAGTCCCAATCGCGCATCCAGACGTCGTTCCTTTTCCCCCCGGAGCCGATCCCGTAGTAGAGACGAATACCGCGGAAGGAGAGACCGTTCCCCCATGACTGGAACCGGCGCTCCGTCTGGAGGATCTAGCACTGGCTACGGAGGAGCACCGCCACACCGATCGTATGAGGAGCGCGCAGCCGCCCGAGAGCAAATGATGAGCAATATCAGGGAGACGTCTCAGCAGGATCGTCGCGTCTACGTCGGCAATCTTTCCTACGATGTGAAGTGGCATCATCTCAAGGACTTCATGAGACAGGGTAAGTGTGGTTCTTGGCGGATTGGCCTAGGCTGCGTAAGCTGACTAGCCGTGGTGCAGCCGGAGAGGTTCTCTTCGCCGACGTGTTATTACTTCCAAATGGAATGTCGAAGGTGGGCTTCTACACGTAGTCTATGGCTGGTTTTTCTTTTGTGGACTCTTCCCTCTGGCTATTGATGGAATCGTTGGATTGACGGGTTGGGACTTGTGTCCGTGGGTGTATGTAGGGATGCGGGTAAGCTTATGTTCCACCGCCTGGCTAAGTGCGAGTGCTAACGGCGAACTCTCAGAATTGTGGAATATGCGACGCGGGACCAAGCCCAGAACGCTGTGGCCACGCTCAGCAACCAGAACCTCATGGGTCGACTTGTATACGTTCGAGAGGTACGTCTTGGCAAGCCAGTGTGTGGTTTCTCGCGGATGCGGTCTAACTGTGGTTTCTTAGGACCGTGAAGCCGAACCCCGTTTTATCGGCGCCACTGCTAACCGCGGCGGCTTTGGCGGTGGTGGAGTTCAACCCGGTGGCTTCGGGGGGGGTGGCGGCGGTGGCGGCGGCTACAACCCCGGTGGTGGCAGCCGACAGATCTATGTGGCTAACGTTTGTTTCCCCTTGTTATGGCGATCGATCCCAACACTATCCGACACTGACTGAACTCGTTCACAGCTTCCTTACACCGTGGGCTGGCAAGACCTGAAGGACCTGTTCAGACAGGCTGGTAAGTAGAACACTCCAAGTTCCTTTGCTGAATAAAGCTTTTGGCATCCCACTCAATGATCTCTGCCGACTCACTATCCAATGTGTTAGCTCGCAACGGAGTCGTCATCCGCGCCGATGTTCATCTAGGACCAGATGGTCGTCCTAAGGGATCCGGAATTGTCGTATTCGAGAACCCTGACGACGCCCGCAACGCGATTCAGCAATTCAATGGTTACGACTGGCAGGGGCGTCTCCTCGAGGTTCGCGAAGACAGATTCGCTGGCGCCGGAGGCCCTATGGGCTTTGGAAATCGAGGCGGCTTCGGCGGTGGCATGCGAGGAGGTTTCGGCGGCGGCTATGGTCGAGGCGGCTTCGGCGGCGGCCGCGGTGGCTTCGGCGGTGGTGGTTACGGTCGTGGAGGCTTCGGCGGCGGTGGTCCCGGCCCAGGTGGTCCTGGTGGTCCTGGTGGTCCCGGCGGCTTCGACGCTGGCAATGCTCCTTCGGTGCCTCCAAACCCTTTCACTGACTACGCCACCGCGGGAACCGATCGCAGCGAGATCATCTACACACGAAATGTAGGTCTATTTGCTCGCTCCGTGAGCAAACCAGGCTGACAATCGATAGCTTCCCTGGTCCACAAGCAACGAGGATCTCGTTGAACTTTTCACGACTATCGGAAAGGTTGAGCAGGCCGAGATTCAGTATGAGCCGAGCGGTCGATCGCGCGGAACGGGTGTAGTCCGTTTTGATTCCGCAGAGACCGCAGAAACTGCAATCGCCAAATTCCAGGGGTACCAATATGGTGGCCGACCATTGGGACTGAGCTTCGTCAGATACCTCAACGCTCAGGGCGGTGGTGACAGCATGGACACCGATGTCCACGCGGGCCTGACGCAAGATCAGATCATGTAAAAGGGTTTTGAATGATGTGGTGCTTCGGCGACTTGGCATCCGAAAGACCGGGCCGTAGCTCGCTCGTCAATCCGGACACGGGCAGAAACCCTGTCATTCGATATGGCAAGCCATCATTCAACAACCTGCAAAATTATTCTTGTACTCGGTCCATGAAACGGTACACCTTTCCTTTCAGATGTCTTTGATTTTAAAATGGCAAAATTTTCTTTTCGAGTTGCATTTCGGGTTTTCAAGGCGGAACGGACTGAGACATACTTGGTTGCAGCGCAGAATTCGTCGACCATTCCGAAACGACTCTTCTATGTAACGTCGTCGTTATCAGTTACCTACGAGGGTCACATCTACCTCAGTAGTACGGTCATTGCAGACAGGTACTCCAGCAGCTTTCTACTCAAACTGGATGCGGGCTTTTGAGAAAAAAGTTATCCTTCGATAGGGACGCGTGTCTAAGTCCAGCCAGCCGGGTAGGAGGTGAGCAAGACACGCCTCTGCCTTGAATGTATTTCGAATAGAACTCAAATTCAAGAACGGTGGAGGTTGCCGTCTGTCAGAGTGAGACTGAAGACGGCGGTATAGTGAAGTGGAGGAAAAGCGGCCAAAACGAATGTGGCGTGTGGAGAGCGCTTGAAATTTGACATGCCGGGCCTTCGGTCGCGAGGAGAACAGTGGCATTGCGTGCGTGTAATACACAATTCGCTGGCCTGGACCGCCCAAGGTCAGGAGTGATGCCTCCAGGGGACAGGCGCCACATACCGGCAGCGGATGTGCCATAGCCAATGTGTATTCCACTTTCAAGTGACTTGCTTGTCAACAAACCGTGGTACAAACCCAGTATAGTAGCAACCACACTCAGCGGCCCTGATTTTGCAGTCAACCCCGCGTGAGCTGAAACGTGAATAAGTCAATTATCCCAGTCAGAGCCTGGATTCAAGTTTGAGAACATGATTCTGCATTGCCCTGCTCCTAGATATATGAAGCAAACGTTCCTTATGCCTAACGCGTTCCCTTGCAATACGTTAAACTCTGCTCGGAGAACAGGAAATCACATTTAGTCTTGGTTGTATCCGCAATATACGGAGGCTACACACATGTGCGAACTCCACCTTTACTGGTGTCCAGGGTGCGGGTCGAGGTGGCAGAGACGCAAGAGACTAGCGAGTTGCGAGGGCAGCGATCAGGCTTCCAAGTGCCCAGAGAGTCTCTGCATGTATGTCGGAAATCCCAAGAGGCCTAGGCGAGGCGAGTGCGAGACCTGCGCGAGTGTAAGAGAGGCTGTTGGGGGGTTTGGCGAAGAGGTATATTTCACATGAGGCGGCTTCATCAGTTGTCAGGCACAGCATGGCAACCAACGCAGTGATAGTATAGTCCATAGTACAGAGCCTCTTGACTGAGAGCGCATTGCTGGCCAGAGAAGGCTCAGCCGTCATGGGTCCCATGCGTACCGAGGGTAGGTTTTCCACCTGCAAAGTGCTCTTTCTACAAAGACCTTGGTCGTCTTCTATAATCCTCTGGCAGAGACCCAGAACACTTCGGCAGCATGACGGGAACACACCCGTGCCTACCGTCGAGTCCGGGGCGATGGGTGCCAGGCCCTGTGCCAAAAGCGTTCAAGGAATGCGCGTGATGTCCGTTCCCCAGCTCTTTCGCCCCAGCAAAAAGTCTTTACTGCCTTTTGAAGCACAAACGATAATGGTATATAACCTCACTGTATGTTTGGCGCCCAATAGGAGGCATGGTCATGCTATTCTTCCCTCAGGCCGCAGCGAGGACCGTGACTGCACCTCCCTTCTTCTTTCTCGCCTTGGCCTTCTTCTTGCTCCTATCTCGGGGTTTAAGTGCCACCATACCTCCCTTGCAGATTTCGGCGTAGCTGGCGTAGAAGGAATCCAGAGCCTCGGGTCGGACAATTGTCGACAGCTTGATCTTGTCGTCTCTGTGTTTCTTCGACTTGCCGTTCGTTGCGCGCACAATCACAGGGAGTGGTTTTGCCGGGTGGAGATCGGGGAAGGATTCGCTGGCCGATGGCAAGGATGCCTCTTGGCCGTAGGATACTAGAGGAAACGATGAGTCTTTTGATGTCTCGGGTGCGACTGCGAGGTGGCGGACACACATCGTTTCTGAACGAGGAATATCGAGCCGTGGCCTTTTCTCTTGCGCTGTTCGAATAGCTCGGCCAACTTGCCAAAAAACTGCAGCTAGATGGTTAGCAAGATAATTGATTGATAGACTGGATCATCAAACATGGCAGGGACGAAGTGGAATTACGTATTACCTCTTCATGACTTAGGTGGGCTGACATGGTCACCAAGAGCCTCTGGCGTCATGTGTAGGCAGATGAAGCACCACGACAATAGAATGATACGGCTGTGCGATGGGAGGCTTCGTTAGAGACGCCGAGAGGGGTGGGGATGTCGATGTGCGAATGGCACCAAGTTGGGTTGGTGACAGCGAACCTGGCTGCCGGAGTGGTTTTGCGCGGCCTTTGTCAGCCCCCGCAGCAAGGCTGATGAACAAAGCTGACTGCAGTCGTGTGGTGGACGTTTGATTTTCAATTTCAATGTAGAGTACGGATACCTAGGTGCTACGTGCCTATATATTTCGTTATGTGGGGCCATGGCAAGGTTTGTTTACCTTTGATAATAGTGGATTTTCGCTTTTATAGGCTGTGAGAATGGGCCATGATCACTGCCAAAGTCCTAACCCAGGAGAGTTTTTCTACCAAGTAGCTATTGAAGTCACTGGCTTGATGAAAGTTTCAAAAAATGTTCTGAAAAAAAGTTGTATATCGAAATATATCTGGACAATTTTAACTGTGATGTGATTATACTTCAAATAACCAATTATAAATTTTATTGAACCTGCTTATGTGAGTGATATTTGTGAGCTAAGTAAGTGGGGGTGCGATGTTGGGTCGGTGAATCGATGCAACTCGAAGTGGTTGTGCCCCGCTAAAAAGTTTCTCTCGACATGGGTGCAAGTCCCAGCTGAAGACTTTTGTATCATGAATGGCTGTGCATATCTCCCCACTCCGGTTCTGTTGGCTTTTCTCACTGTCTATTACCTGTTCACCACGCGAGTTTCTGCATTATTCGACGATCCCTGTTTTTGTTACTACTGCGAATACCAGAAACGTGGTTTTCCATCTCACAGCCCAACCGACGATATGCCTCCCAAGCCACTCGCCTTACCCACGCAGCTGCTAAAACAGATTGGTGCGCCGGAACAATCTGCCACCTCGAGGTCCAATCCTCGTTGGAAGAGCCAGGGACAAAACAGAAAAGATCGACGGAAAGCCGACAGACACTTAAAAAAGCAGCGACAGTCATCAACGCAGCGGGACCATCTTTCACGGAACCAACGTGTTGTCAGCAAACAGGGAAAGGACCACGATGGCGGACGTACTTTCGACGAGCCGGAAGAGCCAACCCCGAAAAAGCGCAAGCGAGAACATATAAGCAGAAATGAAGACGAAGACGAGTCACGGCAGCCTTTAGCATTAACACAGCCTTCCCGTGTCGTTCAGGAAAGGCTAGCCAAGGATGACGCCGAAATCGAGCAGCTTGAGCGCAAGCTGGGGTTGAAGAAGGGTCGGAAGTCGATTCCTAAGGCCTTCAAGGATGACGGACTTGACGAATTGCTTGGCGATCTTAACGATGGCAGCGAATCGGACGAAGGGAGCCGCAGAGTCAAGAGCGAGGCCGAAGAATGGCTTGCGGCAAAACGAAGAAAAGCGGTCTACGGTTTAGCGAAGTTCCGGTCTACTACGGAGAGCGACGAAGGAGACGAAGACTATATGGGTTTCACAGACGAAGAGACATCAGACGACGAGGATGACGACAATGATGTGGCCATGAGCATGGTAGATCAGGGCGATTCCGATGACCAGAGTTCATCAAGGGGCTCTGAATCAGAAGACGAAGAGACTGTCCGAGAAACCAAGCCCATCAGAGAAAATCCCTATCTTCCACCAGTCTCAGCTGGCACACAGCTTCCCAAGTACATCCCGCCGTCGTTGCGAGCAGGATCTGGTGGCGATGCAGGTCTTGAGGCTCAAATCCGAAGGAAGTTGCAGGGTCCTGTTAACAGAGTCGCTGAAGCAAACTTGATATCGATTGTTGGTGAGATCGACAGGATTTATCAGGACAATCCGAGGGGCCACATGAACAACATCTTGACAAGCCTACTTATGGCTCAAATCTGCGACCCTACGAGCAAGCCTGACACTCTACTCGTCCTCTCCGCCGGCTTCGTTGCTGCCCTTTACAAGGTCATTGGCATCGATTTCGCCGCGCATTTTCTCACCACCGCTGTTGAGCGTTTCCAAGAAGAGAGGAATAGGGCAGTAGTGGCGGCCAAGGAGGAACGCATACCCACCAAAGAGACGTCTAACCTGCTCACAGTGCTTGCGGAAATGTACATGTTCCGTATTGTCGGCAGCAACCTTATTTTCGACTTTGTGCGGCTCCTCCTCGGCGATCTATCGGAACTGAACGCCGAGCTCCTACTGCGGATTGTTCGCGTAGCAGGACCTCAACTTCGCAAGGATGACCCGTTAGCGCTGAAAGATATCGTCAGCTTGATTCGTCCGGCGGTATCCAAGATTGGGGAGAGCAACTTGACCGTCCGCACTAGGTTTATGATTGAGGCCATCAGTGACCTCAAGAATAACAAGATCAAGGCCGGCGCACAGGATCTGGTTATTCTTGGTGAGCATGTAACGCGCATGAGAAAGGTCTTGGGTTCTCTTGACACGCAGAAGATCAGAGCATCAGAACCTCTACGTATCGGTCTGAAGGATATCGAGAACGCAGACAAGACGGGCAAATGGTGGCTGGTAGGTGCCAGCTGGGCAGGCCAGGGTACGCAGGAGGCAGCTAAGGATGACAAGAAGGTCGCAGCCACAGGAGATGTTGACGATGTGGCGGTTGCGGATGCTGATGATTTGGCGACCCGCGATCACACGCAGTTGGCAAGAGAGCAAGGGATGAATACTGACGTACGACGGGCCATCTTTATCGCGCTCGTTGCTGCCGCCGACTATAAGGACGCATACATGCGAATCCTTAAGCTACGGCTCAACAAATACAACAGACGCGAGGTGCCAAACGTGCTGCTTCAGTGCTCGGGAGCACAGCAACACTATAACCCTTTCTATACGTTGGTATCCAGAAAGTTTTGCATGGATTCACGGATCAAGCATGCATTCCAGGATACCTTGTGGACGCTGTTCCGTAGGCTCGGTGAACCGCTGTTCGGAGAGGAGGCCGAGGAGGAAGACGAGGAGGGGGTAGACGACCGGCGGCTTATCAATACTGCAAAGATGATGGGAAGTTTAGTTGCCGATGGCTCTGTCGGTCTTGGAATCCTCAAGCCGCTCAATCTGGCCTATATCAAGGAGAAGACGAGCTTATTCGTCGAGGTGCTACTCATTACTGTGCTTCAAGAGTGTAGTCACGTCAAGGGCAAGAGCGTGGAGCAGGCCCTTGGAGTGCCCTTCGGCAGCGGGTTGACGCCGGCCCTTGCAAGAAGTGTAGGCTATTTCTTGCGCAAAAAGGTACGGGTCACAGATCTTGTCGGCGGCAAAAAGGAAACTAGAAAGGTCAAGGAGACGTGCAAAGTGGCGGAGGCATTGCTACAAAAGCCAGACATAGGCGGAGATCAGTAAATTAACAGCCTGAACATGAGATAAATATTTATATATTTACTACAATGAGCTAAGCATGATACAACCCCGTTGCGCTCATGGCTGAGTCTTAGCAGTTCTGCCCTTACTGTCTGCCGATTCTCGCAGAAGCTGAAGATAGCTGCGAGCGAGTACGTGATGTTTATTCTGAACCCCTACCGGATACAATCATCACATTTTACATTTTCTTTTTTACCAATCACATAACTGGAGTTGTCATGGACAAAGGATATAAATGCCGAGACCGGCTCTGGGTATGGGTTCTCTGGCATAGCCAGCCATGTGTCACAGCCGGCAGGGAGCAATGTCGGTGTGCGATCAAACATGCTTCAGCAGAGAGGCATCCTATCTATGTTCATAGTGCTAGATATCTATCCGAAGAACCTAGATCACGAGTGTAAACCTAGGACGTTTGATGTGACGGCGGGTCTCTTTCCTGAATGATAACCTTTCAGCTGGCGTAAAAACTTATGCTTATGCTACAAACTACCTTTCGAACTTCTATCCGCTATCCCTCAGGTGATACAAATTACATGCTTCGATTGTCGTTATTTCAGGACGCCAAAGCTTTCCCACACCCCCACTATCGTTATTGCTGACTGGCCTTACATGTGGATTGGCTTCGAGTAAGTGGCCATGGCCGCCTCTTTGAAAGCCTCAGCCAGAGTGGGGTGAGCATGACAAGTTCTGGCGATGTCTTCGCTGGATGCACCATATTCGAGAGCTAGGGTGGCCTCCGCAATCATTTCGCCAGCGTTGGGACCGATAATGTGAACTCCCAAAATTCTGTCCGTTTCAGGATCAGCCAGCATCTTGACCATACCCTCAGTGTCCAGGTTCGTCTTGGCGCGGGAGTTGGCGCTGAAAGGGAAGGAGCCGACTCGATAAGGGATGTCTTGCGACTTGAGGTCCTGTTCGCTCTGGCCAACCCACGCAACCTCGGGGTGGGTGTACATGACGGACGGGATGACGCCGTAATTGACGTGGCCGTGGCCCTTCTTGATGTATTCGACGACAGCAACAGCCTCTTCCTCGGCTTTGTGCGCCAGCATGGGTCCAAAGGTGACGTCGCCAACACATCGGATGTGAGGAATCTTGGTGCGGTACTCGGAATCGATAATGACACGTCCTCGCTCATCAAGGTCTAGACCAATGTTCTCCAGGCCCAGTCCGCCAGTGTAAGGTCTGCGGCCGATAGCGACTAGGACGACGTCGGCGTCGAGCTATTGAAGTAAGTCAGCAACTTTCGGCGTTCAAACAATTCACGCAATAAGTCTTACCGTCTCCGGCTTGCCACCCTTGGCAGAATCAACCTCCAGCTTGACCTTGTCGCCGCCCTTGTCGCCGCTGAGGACCTTGGTGCCCGTCTTGAAGGTAATGCCCTGCTTTTTGAGGATTTTTTGAGAGCTCTTGGCAATCTCAGCGTCCATTCCGGGGCCACCAATCTGGCCGAGGAACTCAACAACGGTCACCTTGGAACCGAGACGAGACCAAACGGAAGCCATCTCCAAGCCAATGATGCCACCACCAATGACAACAAGGGACTCCGGAATTTTATCGAGAGACAGCGCACCAGTGCTGGTAACGACGCGCTTCTCGTCGATCTCGAGACCAGGGAAGGGAGTAGCCTCGCTACCAGTCGCAATCAAAATGTTCTTGCCCTTGACAGAGGTCTCGCCACCGTCGTTGAGAGAGACCTTGATCTCGTTCTCGTTGACGAAAGTGCCAGCACCTTTGATATATTCGACGCCATTCTTCTTGAAGAGAAATTCGACGCCCTTGGTCAGTCCGCCAACAGCGGTGTCCTTGGCCTTCATGAACTGCTCTAGGTTGATCTGGACGTCGGAAACATCGATGCCGCGGTTCTTGGTGTCGTGTTTGATAGTGTGGTAAAGATGAGAGTTGTTAAGGAGTGCCTTGGAGGGGATACAGCCGACATTGAGGCATGTTCCACCGAGGGTGCCTCGCTTTTCAATACAGGCAACCTTCAAGCCCTCTTGACCGGCTTTGATAGCAGCAACGTAGCCAGCAACGCCGCCACCAATGACGACGAGATCGTTCTCCTCTAGAAACCGGTCAGTGGCGTCACAAGGACAACTTTCGGGTAAACATAACGCACCAGAGGCTGAGGCGTAGGCACGGCTCCATCTAGAGAGCTGGGGTGCGACGGCGGGCAGGCTACAAGCAGCTGTCAGCTTTGGAAGGGTGCGCCATGTCTATCAGGAGGCTTACGAGGGTTTTCGGAAAGCCGATTTGGCTGCAGCGCGCGGTATCAATCGGCTGGAGAGCATTATGACCAGTTCCGATGGATGCTCGGAGGCGGTGACAGGAGCAGAAAGAAAGACGACGGTGGTGATGGAGAGGGAGAGAATGCGCCGGGCTGTTGATGAACGGCGATTCACGGCAGGCGAGAGTGGACGGGTGGATGGGCGGATGAGTTTGGACGGGCTGCGGTTGTGCAAGCTTCGGATTGAATTGGAGCTCTCGGCCATTGGGGCACAATTTTTCGTGGCTGACGGGTACCTTTGGGCCACACCAAGGGTGGAGTAGTCAGCCGCCGCTTTTACTTCATAGCTCCTGGCTCTTCACGTTGACATACTGATGTCCGTAGAGACAACAGCTGAGGCATAAGTGGCAGGGGCACGTTGAGAGATTATTGAAGGACCACAGGGTCTTCGATTACTGTCCGGCCATACTAGAGTGCTAAGGCGTTTTGTTAGTGCTGATAAAGCGGCGTGAGGCCGATGTTGCATTCCACGACTAGTAGGCGAGCCTTTTTCTTATTACAGCGGCGTCTCCCAACGTTCTTTACTCACTGCTTTCTTATGCCGTTATCTCCCGCACTGGGGCACTATTAGCCGATGCTCGCCGACATCTCGACTTCCGACTTCGGTGCCGGTATATCCCACGGCCTTTGCTATAAGATACGGTGGGCGTTAAATAATAAGGACGCGAGTTCAAATTTTAATTCAAACTAAAAAAAAATTAAACCATACTAATTAAAGTTTTAATTTAATACTAAATAAATAAAAACTTTATATTTTATTTTAAAATATATAGTTTTATAAAAATATTATTATTTAATATTTAAAATAAAATTATATAAATAAATATATTATTATTAATAAAATAATACAAGAATATTATTATAAAAAGTCTAGCGTATAGTTATATATAGTTAAGGTAATACTTACTTAAATACGCTTATTAACTTATTTTTAAAGGCTTTTAATTAATATGTTTATTTAATTAATTTATAAAACATATTTTAAAAAAAAAAAATTTAAATTATTATAAGGATACCGCTGCCGCGCGCCACACTAGCTTAGCCACTATACGCTTAAGTAGCGACGGCTTAGCGAATTTTCGGCCTTACTAAACTAGGTTAAATTTTAAAAAATTAACAATAGCTTTATAAATCCTTAAACTTAAGTTTTAAAATTACGATAAGCCTATTTTTATATCTTTTTTAATTTAATATTACGATCGGCTAATCGTAATAAGGTTTATATTAATAAAAATCAAGGCTACGATATTCGTAAATAATAGTCGTTATAAAAATAGCTTTAGTAAAGCTATTATTTATAAATCGTAAGATAAGTAAGGCTTTAGTAATTAATCGTAGTTTTATTAAATAAGTTTTTAATAAAGATAGTTAAAAGTGATTATTAAATTTAATATAAGAATTAATTATTAAAAAAGTTATAAAAGTTTATTTTTAAACTTAGCTTAGACTATTTTATATATAAGTCTTAATCGTAAATATATTTTTTATAATATTTTATTTATTATTATTTAACCGTTTATTAAGCAATCGTCCGTTTTATATTTTTATAATTGCCTATTTTATTTATTTATAAATATCCGTTTTTTATTTTATTATACGATCGTAATTATATAACTTATTTATAATTTTTTCGTCCTGAGGGAGGCCGTTTAAGTTCTTATTTATTATATATATAATATAATAGCCGTTATAAGTCTTATAAGGCAGGGCCTTAATTTAATAATATATATTAAATCGTAATATTAGCTCCTCCCCTCAAAGGTTTAGTCCTTAGGCTTATAAGTAAATTATTCGTTCTTAAATTAAAGAATTATTAAGTATTTTTATTAAAATATATTAACGTTATATTAAATCCAATTAAAAAATCGAAATCGTAAATAGTTACGTTTTATTATTATTTATTATATATTATTTATTTATTTAATAAAAATATAGAAATAATACCGTATTTAAATTATCGTTTTTAGGGTATTCGTTATTTAGTTTTTTTTAATTTTAATATTTATAAAATATCTTATCGTTTAAGTATTTTATACGATATTTTTATTAATATTATTTATATTTATAAGTTTCTTAAGGACTGTTTTTTATAAGTCCCGATTAATAAATATAATAAATCGTTTAATAATAAAGTTCGATTATTTTAATTATAAAAAGTAAATAAAAGAGTCGCGGTTTTAAAAAAGAGCTATAGAGTTATAAAGAAAAGCTAAGGCTTATTAAAAAGTTTAAATTAAATTAAATAAGTCGTTATTTAAGTTAAAACGCTTTTGTTTTTAAAAGCGAATAATATTTAAAAAAAATCGTATTATATTAAAGGAATTTCTTAAGGATATTAAGAGTATTTTTTTAATAGCCTAGGAGGCGTAAATTAATAATATTTTTAATATTATTAATTAAAACGCCGTAATAGTTAAGAGTTTTAAGTTTAAATTTAATTTTAATACTCTTTAAGAAGTTATTAAGAGTTCTAAAGGTTTATAATAGGTTTTTATATATTATTTTTATATTTATAATCTTTTTATTTAATAAAGTATTTTTTACGTCTTTTTTTAATTTAGTAATCGATAACTTATTCAATTTTGTATTTTAGTTTATTAAGTTCAATAATAATACGATCTTTAGTATATAAGTTTTGTCGCAGGAGGTCTAGCGCACAGCCACGTGTGGCTGAGGTGGTACCCGCTTAAGTGCGCCTACTAACCCACTTCCTAGGCGCCCTCAGCCGGTATATTTACTTAATCGGTTTATAAAAGATTTTTTTAAAAAAATAAGCACTTTAAATTATAAAAACTACGTTTCTATACTCCTAGCTTATAATAGTTATAAGCTTAGTTTTTACGGACCTTTTTTTAAAATATAAGAGCGGACGAGTGTTTTTATTATTTCGAAACTTATAAAAGTACGAAGCGTTTATTAACGATATTAATGACTATTTAACTTTTTATATTTAATAATAGTTAATATTTTAATATAAGAGCGGATTAGTTAACTTAGTATATTAGTTTTTAAATATATATAAAAAACGTATTCGTTTAGGATCTTATCGATTTAAATATAAAGGACGTTAACGACGACGATATACGATTATTAAAAGGATTAGACTTTATTAAATTAATCGCTAAACGTACTATCGAATTAAAAAATAATTATTATAAATAATTAACTATTTAAAAGAACGATAGTAATAAAAGCGAAATTTAAACGCTTAATAACAATAAAGTCGATTAAATTTAAATTTTTTTAATTAATAAGCTTACGAAATTATATTTTATTAAGTTCGACGATATTAAAAACGAGTATAAACGATTTATTAAAGATTATATTAATTAAAATTAAATATAAATAATAATTATAGCGAGCTACTAAACGATTAAATCTTTTATTTTTTAAATAGTTAATTTGTAAAAGTTTATAAATACTTAAATAGAACTCTTATATAAAAATAAAATTAACCTTTAAGAGCTTATATATATATTAAGGCATAATTTAATATTTTTTAAGTTTATAACTTTTTTAATAATTTACGAAAAGTATAATAATATACTTTTTAAAGCTTTTTAAAATAACGTTTTTTTAATTACTTAATATTCTGATTAATATAAAGTATATAAGCGATTTCGGGCTTATAATATACTTAAGGTCTAAGGGGTTTTAATAATAAAAAACTTTTTTAAAGTTATTAAAACCCGCTTCGTACCGACCTAAGTAATATAAGTATTTAATAAACTTATTACGAATAAGAGTCTTAAGCGCCTTATCTTAATTTTAAAAAAATACGGACGAATTTTTAAAATTTTTTATTAAAAAAATTAGTTTTTAAAAAACGGTAATAAAGGCCTTAGCTTTTTTATTATTTTTAAAAGACGCTTAGATAAGCTTAATAATTAAAAAACGACGTTTAAAACTTATTTATATAAAAAAGATTATTATTAATCTTTATAAAATTATAAAAAAGTTTGAAAAGCTTTTATAAAAGCGTTTAAATATACGAAGGAGCTTATAAATAAAAAAACGGTTAAAATAAAAAATTAAATAATATTATTAATTTTTAATTATATTTAAGTTAAATATTAGGAAAAAGGGTAGCTAATTAGTAATATTAAAAGTATATGTTAAAAAAACCGAGGGGATAGTAAAACCCGTTTAAAAAATTATTTTAAAAGCGTCGTAGCGGTTATTATATTTAATAATAATAAAGAATTATAAAAAGGCGGTTTTATAAGCTTTTTAGTATTTTTAATATTTTTTAAAAAACGCTATGCTTTATTAAATAATATAGTTTATAATAGTTATAGAGGATATTATTTAGTTAATAATAAGGCTTTATTAAAAAAGGGTTTTTATAAACCTTATTTAAAAAAAGAATTTATAAAAATAGGTATTACCCGTATTTATATTATAAAAATAGGTACTAAGGTCCTTAAGAAAGCTTTTTATAATAAAAAGGGTTTTAATATTAAAGACCTTATTTTAAAAAACGTTACTATTATAAAAGGGTTTTATGTTAATATCGTTTTTAAAACGCGCCTATCGAAAATTAAAATCTAGTATTACGGCCTCGATACGACTTTACGTTTTAAGAATATAAATAAAAATATAATAATAGTTTAATTATTTAAAAAGGATAATCTTATTTTTTTTTAATATAAGCTTATTATTTATTATTTTATAGCCCGCTTTTTAGTATTAATAAGCTCTTTATATTTTATAATAACGGTTTAGTTTAATATTTTATTATATTATAAATTTAATTTTAATATAGCTTATATAAATAAAATAAATAATATAATAGTTTAGTATTTTTAAATTAGTTATTTAAAATTAAAAGCTTTTTAAAATTTAATCCGTAGCGCTCGGGGAGTAAATATAAAAGGGCTATTAAGGGTAGAATACGAGTACTACGCTTTTATATATATATAAAAAATAATTTTTAAATCCTTTTTAAAAAATCGAGCCTTAAGACTATATTACCGTATATTTTAAAACTTTTTTAATTTTTTAAAATCTTTTAAAAGCTATTTTTAATTATTTATAATTAAAAATAAATACTTTATAAAGCTCTTTAGATTCTTTTTAAAAAATAAATAAATAGAATCAGTTTTTAAAATCGTAAAAGTTTTTAAACTTTAAATACGCTATTAAAAAGGCTTAGTAATTTATAAAATCCGTATAAATAATAAAAAAATAATAATTGCTATATGT